TGTTTTGTTTTGTTTGTTTTGTTTTGTTTTGTGTTGTTGTTGTTTGCAGGCTTGGGCGCTATGGACGGACGAACCTTGACCTTGCATGTGTTCTTTGCTTTTGGATCTTGGGTTCTGGTTTGCTTGGTTGTTTGTGTTCATGACCTTTTTTTTATTGTCTTATTTGTGCTTGTGTGAAATGCAAGCATTACCTTTCTTTGACCCCGCTCGTTTGTTTGCTCTTGCCCGCAAGTGCCCTTTGCCTTTCGTTTTGTATTTTTTGTTGTTTGGCCACAAATAATAATGGCTCTCCGACGCATACACGCATCCCACCTCCTTCCAGTTATAAGACACAATGCTCGAAAGAAGGCAAGAAAGAAGAGGACAGGGAAAGTGTGCGTGAACACAAAGTGACAGTAGAAGCAATAGGGGAGACAGAGAGGGAGGAGGAGAGGACATCCAATCAAAGAAATGGGATGATGGCTCAATGCCAATAGGGGTCCATGAACCATGGAGCGCATTTGTGCTCTCGCACCACTCACAAGCTTGCATCAAGCTTCGTTTTTCGTTCAGCAGGAATAAAAAGCATGGAGAAGGAGGAGGAGGGGGGGGAGAGGGGACCATGCCATCTATCCCATGCTGTCCACACCCCCCACGTTCGACTCCCTGTTCCCTTTCTTTTTTATTTGGCTTGGATGCCCCTGCCCATGCCCATGCAACAAAAAAAAGACATTGCATGCATAACCGTTGGGCGTTAAAAAAATACACAGTCGGGTTGGTCTGTTATATTATCGATTCGGTGTTGGATGGTCGTCATAGGCGTTTGCCGTTTTTTGTTTCTGTCGTTTGTTTGAAAGGGATCGTGTATTCAACGGACTGGGCAACGTGTTTAGAGGGGGTTGAAAAGTTTCGTAAAGTGAAGTATTAGACAAGAGAGAGAGAAGAAAACGCGACTATAGTGAGACCTGAAGCTATTCATGCCGTCATGACATGACGGCTCAGAGAGAGAGTGAATGAGGCGTCGGTCGGTCCAGTGGAGTTGCTGTCGATGTAGGCTGTGGCGGAGGTGAAGGTGTAGGTAAGCTGGCCATAAAAACAAAAAGAAATCCTATGGACCTCGAAAAGAATGCGCAAAAGGGTTGATCTGAGACGTGGAGGAATGGAACCTGATACATAACCCTGGCCTGGTACCTGCCTGCTCAACTACAAGCCAGGACCCTTTCAAACTTTCAATTACATTAACAAAAAAAAAAAAAGAACAGAAATGAAAACTCTATACCGGTACTTACCTGTTCTCAGGTGCGTCCATCTGCACGCCGTTTTTCCCTAGATAATATGGACCCCTTATTTTTTTAATTATCGCAATTCATCTGACTATTCCTTGGAGAAAATGTGCGATATTTGCGCAAAGTATTAACCCACTTAATTATTACACAGATCGAGCGCCCTGTCCTGTCCTGCCCTGTCCTGTCCTGCCCTGTCATGCGACAACGTTACGGAAATGAGTGAGTGAACAAGAGGGCGAAAAAAACGATGTTGATGTACAGTAGAACCGAAAGAAAATGGCGAGGAGAAATAATGCTCCCACATGTGTCCTAATCAAAAAAAAGAAAGGAGAGAAAGAGAGAAATGAATAGTCCATCAAGCCCACCCAACCGACTATGACCATGCAGACACAAAACAAACAAGCCCTTGCATGCATGGCAATGCGATGCTGGAAGGAATAAAAAAATGTAAAAGGTACCGGTAAGTTAATATGAAAGGCGGTGGAGGTACCAACCATGGTACATAGATTGGATAATACAGCCCTAATTTTGGACCCATTTGACATTCGGCGGTTTATTCTTTCCTTCTGTTCATTTGACTTTTCTGTCTTTTTGCCGTTTCTACCGTTTTTCTTTGTGTTGTTGTTTGCTGTTGATGTTGCTGGTATCGCTCCTCTGGTTGCTCCTGTCTATTGCTCCTGTCTATTGCTCCTGTATTGAAGTTACGCCCATGCGCATTGTGATGAGGTTTATTTACCACGTTTCTCTCTCTCTCTCTCTGTGTGTGTATGTGCTCTTCTGATCTCTAACAGACAAAAAATAACATTGCAACGTCGCGACAGAGAAAAGGGATGCGTACAAGGTTTACGCCAGCACCATTGTATTTTTTTTCGCTTTCGTGAAAACAAGATGGAGAGAGAGAGAGAGAGAGGAGAGGAGAGCAGAGCAGCAGGGCGACAACGAGGGTGACGAGGACGAGGTTGAGGAGGAGAATGCTGTATGAGCTAAACAAGAGCAAAGAGGTAGGGTGAGGATGGACGATAATAGGAGAAAGTTAATACGCAAAAAGTCAACGACAAGGAGGAAAGAAAAAAGAAAAAGCAACGAATGAAGAGTCGACGACAATGACCACGACGACGATGATGGATAGTGGAGAAAATTGAGAGGGACCGCGATACGTTGGGTAGAAAAATAAATAAAAAGAGATGGAAATTTCCTTAGTGGGACGAGATACACCAAGGAATAGAGAGCCAGAGAGTGGCAAGCAGACAACAGACAGACAGAGATACAGGTAGTCGGAGAACGGCGTACAGAAGGAGAAAAAGAGAGGGCACAGAGAGTCAGAGGGGGTCAGAGAGCCAAAGAGGGTAAGTGCACCGAGAAAACAGAGAGACATTGGGAAACGCTATGAGGGAGGAGGAAACACAGAGAGAGAAAGAGAGACCAACACAGACAAACACGGAGGACACATACACACGCACACGCACACAGAGGGAGCAAAAAAACGAGTGAGCAAACATACACACACGGAGAGGGAGAAAAGAGAGAGAGAGAGAGAGAGAGACAGAGAGAAAGAGAAGGGACAGAAAAGAAGATGTTGACAGGTTGTCACCGGACCAATCATTAAAGACACCAGAGTCATTTCAAAAGAAGGAAAGGAGGGTGTGATGTGGTGTTGGAAAAGAAGAGAGTAAGAGTCAAGTATGACAGTATTACAGTTTTACTGTCCAGAGGTACCTACTCGTTTTTTGATGATAAGAGAGAGATCAAGAATCAAGTCAAGAGACAGACAGAGGGTCTGAGGTGCTGAAGGTGCGTATGCGCAATGGTAAACAAATAACAAATAAATAATTTTGTAAATATTTTCACGTACGGTCGGTCGCTAGAGGGAAGATTCGACGACACAGAACATTACAGCATTGTCCTTGTTTTTTTCAGTGCCAGCTAATAATTACCTTCATAATAGAAGGTCGGAAGAGAAAAAAGAGGGGTTCCTCTTGACGTTTCTTTCACTACCCTTTAGTTTGGCTTTGTTCTGAAGAAGGACATACTTTTGGTCGTGTAAAGAAAATGATAGGGTTGAGCGAGAGATTGAATAAAGTAACCAACAACAGTGTCGATACATTTTTTCCGTCGGGTGAACGTTCACTTTTTTTTCATGCATTGCAGAAAAAAAGTCCCCAGCTTTTCAGAAAGGACCATTTCACACTTTTTTTTTTTTTTTTTTTCTTTTTTTTTGGTTACTCATACGAATGAGGCTGCATGCAACAAAACAATCCCTCGCTTTCTACCACCCCCTTTTTTTGTCCCGCGTTGCCTGGCATTGTCGTCTTCTAGTAATCTTTTTTAGACAAAAGAGCCGATCGTTACAAACTAGGAGTGTCCTCCTCCGCACATACATCTCACAACATTCAGGGGATCGTCCTCATTGTGTTTACTTCAGTCCCGACACAAAGGGGAAAGAAATAAAACAACATGCTATGGTTGCTCACCAGACATAGTAACAAGGAGACGACGACGACGATGACGAGGACGCGATAGGATGTGGCTCCCTATTGGTTTGTTTTCCAATTTTTATTTGGTCCGCTCTTTCGTTTTCCTGCACAAATGCAATTGGTTCCTCCTTCTCTCTCCCCACTTTTGGGTCAAGACAAGAAAAGCATAAACGCACACGCCATTTTGTTTCGTTCCTGGTTGGGAGGGAGAAGGGAGAATAAGGAGGTGGGTCAATGCTATTGTTTCTCAACGGAAAAAATGCAATTGGACAAGGAGGATAAAATTTTGGGGCAGGTGTGGTTCACAGTCAGGCAGAGAGCAGAGATTGGAGGAACGAATAGAAAGAGAGGACACGATATGGCGACATCGGTCAGAAGAAGAGTAAAAAACGTCTGTCTAGGTAGATAGACAGACAGACAGACAAGTCTGTTTTTATTTTGTGATCTAGGGGTGTGTATCATGATTTGGTGCCAGAATGCACTAGGTAAGGGCTACAAAACAAAACACCAAAACACCAAACAAAATCACAGTTGCCAGTGCTTACGTTCGCAAAAGAACAATCTTGGTTGGTAACTTTATCGTTGTCGGCCCTGAACTACTGTTCTTGCTTTTATAGACCGGGTTGTTTTTGTCTTGTTTTTACCTTGCTTTTGCCTTGTTTTTGTTTCCAGTAGACTCGGTCAAGGTCGACTATGCTTTCCCTTCTTTCCACCCCCACAGCTCTAAGCGATTTTTGTGGTGGGTTGGTCGGAGAAATGGTATGAAGGTGTGCGTGTATGCTTTCTAGCATTCCAGGCAGCTTAGAACCACAAATGAGATATCGAAATAAAAGGAGGCGCGTTGATAGTTTCGTATCCTGCTTCTACCGTTTTTTCGACGCGTCGGAAAAGGTGAACTTTCTTTGTCTGAGAGTTTCCCCGCATTTCCAGCGTCCCAATGATGTCTTGGTATTGTAATCGAGTGTATCACTTGCGCCAAGGGTAATTTTCAGTCAAAAACTTAGTGACTGCTCATACCTAGAGCCTGTTTACTTTCGCCGCCACTTCTTTTTCTTTTTTTTTTGTTTTAGCTTGTAGCTTGTTGCCAGCCAAGGACTCTTTTTGTTCAAAGACGACCCTCCTCTCACTCTCACCGCATTCTTTTGTCGCCCATCAGCCCACCCTCCTTGAGCACAACTTGAACCGGCGTCTTCTTCTCTTTTCTCTCACGCACGCCCTCCCACACTCCACAAGTTAACCCTCTTCGCTCACACGACCCGCCATGTTTTCAGGAGAAGATGCATTCGACGTCTTTGACGAGTCCAACACCGAAGACTTCTCGACGTACGAGCAACAGCCCGTCACCCTCTTGCCCAAGAAGAGAAAGGACAGCACCGATGGTACCAACGGCACCAACAAGAAAAAGCAGGCAACAGGAGGAGCCACTATCACAGAGATCCCCGACTTGACCGATGCAGAGGATACCAACGCTCCCCAGGAAAAGAAGGCCAACGAGCCCCTCCCCGTCGTCACCGATAGCTTTGAGCAGGATCTCGAGCGTGAGGTGGCGTCCGCAGCTGGATTGATGCCCTCCGCCGAGGGTGCCAACGTTGTCCTCTCCCATTCGGTAACTAACACACATGCGTGGACGCAGTTATATCCTAACACTGCCAAGTGTTGTCAATAGTATGTATATATAGGCTAACGCAATTGTTTGCCATCACAAAAATTAGGTCCGCCACCAAGTCGCACTCCCACCCAACTGGGACTACACCCCTATTTCGCAACACATTCCCGAGAACCCTCCAGCAAGGTCCTACCCCTTCACATTGGATCCTTTCCAGAAGCTCTCTACTTACTCGATCGAGCGTGGAGAGTCGGTCCTGGTCTCTGCCCATACCTCCGCCGGTAAGACTGTCGTCGCCGAGTTTGCGATTGCGACAGCCTTGCGCGACAAGCAGCGTGTCATCTATACCAGTCCTATCAAGGCCCTGAGTAACCAAAAGTACCGTGAGCTTCTCGAGGAATTCGGCGATGTCGGTCTGATGACAGGAGATGTTACCATCAACCCATCGGCGTCGTGCTTGGTCATGACCACAGAGATTTTGAGATCCATGCTGTACCGTGGTTCGGAGGTCATGCGTGAGGTCGCTTGGGTTATCTTCGATGAGATTCATTACATGAGAGATGCCGGTATGTCCTTTCTACTATTCGGCGCAGTTGTCATGGATGCTTAACCTTCACGACGATACTAATACTACGCATCTGCACCTTGATCCCATGTAGAGCGTGGTGTGGTTTGGGAGGAAACCATTATTTTGCTGCCACCCAAGTGTCACTATGTCTTCTTGTCCGCCACCATCCCTAACGCCATGGAATTTGCCGAGTGGATCTGCAGGAACAAGGAACAGCCATGTCACGTTGTCTACACCGACTTCCGTCCAACGCCACTTCAGCACTACTTGTTCCCCCAAGGTGGCGAAGGTATTCACTTGGTCGTCGACGAGAAGGGTCAGTTCAGGGAGGACAACTTCCAGAAGGCTTTGGGCGCCTTGACAGATGCACATGGACCTCAGGCCGATGACATGAAAGGACGCGGCGGAAAGAAGGATGCCAAGAAGGGCGGCAAGAAGGGCGCTTCCAAGGGTATGTACACTGAACTGCTCAGATGTTATTGTGTTTTCGAGTGACTTATAGCCAATTACTAATTTCAACCCTTGCTATTTTAGACGGACCCACTGATATCTACAAGATTATCAAGATGATTTTGGTCAAGAACTACCACCCAGTCATTGTCTTCAGTTTCAGTAAGAGAGAGTGCGAGACGCTGGCGATGCAGATGAGCAAGCTGGATTTCAACGACGAAAAGGAGAGCGACATGGTCAACCAGGTCTTCAACAACGCCATCAGCTCCCTGTCAGAGGACGACCGCACGTTACCCCAGATCGAACACATTATCCCCTTGCTCCGTCGCGGAATCGGTATCCATCACGCTGGATTGTTGCCCATCTTGAAGGAAGTCATTGAGATTCTTTTCCAGGAAGGTCTTGTCAAGGTCCTTTTCGCCACTGAGACATTCTCTATTGGTCTGAACATGCCCGCCAAGACCGTCGTCTTCACCAGCGTGCGCAAGTGGGATGGAAAAGAGACACGTTGGGTGTCGGGAGGAGAATACATTCAGATGTCTGGTCGTGCCGGTCGTCGTGGTCTGGATGAGCGTGGTATCGTCATCATGATGTTGGACGAGAAGATGGAGCCCGCAGTCGCCAAGGGAATGGTCAAAGGAACAGCGGACGCCTTGAACTCGGCTTTCCACTTGTCCTACAACATGATCCTGAACTTGACCCGTGTCGAGGGCATCAGCCCCGAGTACATGCTGGAGCGCTGCTTCTACCAGTTCCAGAACAACGCCAATATTCCTCAGCTGGAGCGGGAGCTTGCTACCTTGGAGGTCGCCAAGAACGCCATGGAGTTTGAGGATGAGGATGCAATTGCCAAGTATCACGATATTCGCCAGCAGGCCGTGACTATCAGGAAGGACATCCGCGAGGTCGTCAACCACCCAACGTATGCCCTTCCTTACATGCAACCCGGTCGTGTTGTCAAGGTCAGCTACGAGGATCAGGATTTCGGATGGGGTATCGTTTCAGGATTCAACAAGAAAATGCCTTCAATCGTCCGAGGCGCACCACCACCAGCCAATCTCGATCCTATCTACATTGTCGATGTGTTATTGTACTGCGCACCCAATACTCAGGTTGTACCAGGACTGGACGGGCTCGCCCCCGGTATCAAGGCATGCCCACCTGACGAGAAGGGAGAGTTGATGGTCATCCCTGTGTTGCTGTCGTGCCTCGAATCGATCGCCACCCCCCGTATTTTCTTGTCCAAGGATTTGAGATCTCCCGACGCCCGCCATACGATTCATAAGAGCTTGTTGGAGCTTCAGCGCCGTTTCCCTGATGGTATTCCTCTTTTGGATCCTGTCCAGAACATGAACATCAAGGATGCGTCGTTCATCAAGGCGATCAGCAAGGTGAAGGTTCTGGAGGACGCTCTCAAGACTCTTCCCTTGGTTCAGTCAACACCCAAAGACGATCTGGAGGCACTGTACGAGAAGTACTTGAAGAAGGTTGAGACGGTCAACTCTATTAAGTCGATCAAGAAGCGTATTGTTGAGGCAAACGCGATTGCTCAGTTGGATGAGCTCAAGTGCCGTAAGCGTGTCCTCCGTCGTTTGGGATACACTTCGAGCTCGGATGTTATTGAGATGAAGGGTCGTGTTGCTTGCGAGATCACCTCGGGCGACGAGTTGTTGTTGACAGAGATGATCTTCAACGGAGCTTTCAACGACTTGACGGTGGAACAGACTGTGGCCCTGTTGAGTTGTTTTGTCTTCCAGGAGAAATCGGATAATGTGCCCGCGCTGAGGGAGGAGTTGGCCACGCCACTGCGTTTGATGCAGGAGGCTGCTCGCAAGATTGCCAAGACCTCGCAGGAGTGCAAGCTTGCCGTTGACGAGGAGGAGTATGTCGCCAAGTTCCGTTCCGAGCTCATGGATGTTGTCTTTGCCTGGGCTAACGTAAGTCATTCGGCTCTGGTTTTGTTATTGGATGATAGGAGGGCGTCACGTCGAGTGATATGAAATGATTTTGGCCTTAGTTGGTAACTTACTATTTGTTTTTTTGTCTTGCTCAACAGGGTGCACGGTTCTCGCAGATTTGCAAGATGACAGATGCGTTTGAGGGATCGATTATTCGTGCGTTCAGACGTCTGGAGGAACTGTTGCGCCAGATGGCGACCGCGTCCAAGAGTATCGGAAACACAGAGCTCGAGAGCAAGTTTGCCGCCGGTATTGTCTGCATCAAGCGCGACATTGTCTTTGCCTCCTCCCTTTACCTCTAAGCGACTTGGACTCTTTTTTCTGTCGTTGTCGTCGTTTTCTTTTTTCATTACGCGCTACCAATGTATTATTCCTTCACTTTTCCTTGTTTTTCTCTTCATACTTGCATTTTCTTACTATTATCATCATCAGTAAGGCACATCCTTATACATTCCTAAATAAAACACAAGGATTGACTTTTGCCATCTAAAAGTAAACAAATTAATACGACAATGTATTCAAAAGAAAAAGAAAAACTGGAAAGTGTCTATATGATAGCTTCAAAAATATCTCTTAAACAACCTTGTGCGAGTTGTGTCCCTTCTCCCTTTCCGACGAACGCTCCTTCCTCATCTCCTCCTCCACGTGGATATCCTCGACAAACAACTCCATAACCTGACTGTACCCTCTAATCTTTCCACACTGCTCCTTTAGATTCCTAGCCTTGTCCGTATCCCACACTTGGGCCCTCATAAACCCCCTCGAGTAGCGAAAGCAAGCTTCTTCTTGAAAGTTCTGGTACAACTTGCGGTTGTATTTGCGTTCCTGTTTACGGGTTTCTTCCTTGTAGGGGTGGGATTGGTGGATGACAAAGTCTTGGGGGAGGACGTAGTAGTCGATTCCTGAGATGTAGATCTCGAATAGGCAGGCCTAGATAGTAGTTTGAATAGGAAGAGTGGAGAAATCGAGAGAAGAAAAGCATTTCGGTTTGTTAGAGAGGCATTGACTCCGGAAATGGAAAAGAAAAAAGGTGGACTCGAAAAAAATGGACTCGGAAAATGGTAGCGAAAAGTAAGAAAAGAAGCATTGTCACATTCATGCACACCAAATTGGTGATACAAACGACACGAAACACATGCGCACAAAGCGTCCCAAAAAAAAAACGCTTATACCGAGGAGAGAAAAAAGGCAAAGGACTTACAGCTTTGTTGGCGCCATAACCAATGAACCGCTCATCGCACCAAGGAGTCCCCTCCTTACGCAGGACCACATAGGGTTCATAAGAATGCTGATACGCCGTGACCTTGTACACCTCGTCCGTCGAGAACCAAGTCTCATAATCCGTCGCGTTATGACCCTTCGGAAAAAAGTCGTGAAAGGTGGTGATGCGTTTTTGGTCAAAGAGTTGGCGGAGGAATTGTTTGTTTTTGGGGAAGGTGGTTGAATCGACGCCTTCTTCTTGTTCGACGTATTCGAATGCCGGGAGGATGACGGCGTTTCCGGCTCGCATGACTTCTCGCGCTCGGGCGTCGAGGGACAGATGGCGTTGTAGGTTTGTGCAGATGTGGAAGTCGACTATTGAAGAATAATGCGTAGATTTGAGCGCGTAGTTGATTGATTAGTATGAAACCGTAGATAGATCACCACAGATCATTACAGCATGAAACCCAGTCTAGTGAAATAACATCAGTTATAAACGGATAAGATAACTCTTACCATCGAGCATCATAAAGTAATTAGACCGCGCAAAGAACCTTGCGACATTGCGCCACATATTAAACTGTCGATCAAACTTGTCCACAATCACATGGACATCCACAAACTCGCGCATATACGGATTCGAGTTATACATATCTTGCAACGTCGACAGATTCTCATCCCTCATTTCATCATCGTTGATATGAATCGAGACAGAAACGGGACCTTGGTAGTTGGTGACGAGTTTAGAAAAGATCGGGTACCGGTCAAAGGTGATCAAGGTGGTGATGGTGACGGAATCGGGGTCGAATTGGCGGATGGCTTTGAAGTAGTAAGGGAGGACTTTTGAGGGCTGCATGGTGCTGGAGAAGATCTTGCTCAACACTGCGTCCTCTTCGGTCCCGTGCTCTGGGAACCCTCTCGGTGCTGGTAGGTTGAAAGGAGAGGAAGGAAGGCATTATGTACGCGTGTTGCATTAGCATGGAAGGATGATATGAGTTCAATCCCGATCTGTACTAGCCTCCGTGTCAATCCATCGTTCATACACATCATTTCTTTATCCGTCTCACGGCAACAGCATATACACAATCCCCCTCTCGTCAAAGTAACTTACTCTGCCAGTTCATGACCTGCTGGGAGTAGATGATATTCTCGACATCAAAAGTGCCCATGCCAGGTTCGGTCATGACCTTGGGTTTGACGACAGGAACGGGCTGTAAATTCCGGTACTGGCTCGCAAAGTAGTATACCGTGAAGAGGACCGATCCTGCAAGGTAGGCCACACCTGCATAGCGTAGTGAGAGCGCCGTTGTTGTCGGGACTGGAGGCCGCATTGCTTTGTTGCGCTGTGCTTATTTGTATGGGGTGTATTCTTTGTTGTTTCCTCGGCAATGCGTGTGTTCGGGTTCAATAGGAGACTATCCCCAGTAGCCGGTCCTGGGGTTTGATAATGAAAGGAAGGGGGGTGGAGGAAGTATAGGAAGGGCAGAAGAGGGTAGCGAGGTGGAGTGAAGCGATGTGCAAGAGAATGTAAGAACAAGAGAGTGAGTGAGAGAAAAGTATTTTATGGTGGGACAGCAAGTTAAAACAATAAGAAACCTTTGTCGCAGGGTGAATGAAAAGGTGTGGTTGGAAGCAAGAAGCAAAAAGAGAGAGGGGAATAGTGGTGCTTTGGAGTCGGAAAGGGTAACAGAAAAAAAAAAAGAGATGAATCTGGTTCGTTGTTCGGCATCGCTTTCACTTGTTTGCATCAACCTTCTCACTGTTGCATTCATTCGTTCCTCATTTCGTCTTCCACTTTTTCTTTTTTTTTGCATGCAAGCTCTGTTCGTTTGGGCGTCAAAAGACCCCAAGTTGGTAGCAGGAGAGCATGGTTAAGGTAAAGAAAAAAAGGTGGATACGAGAGGAGAGAGAACGCTTTGTCACAACCCAGAAGTTCCTCTTTTTATCGATGGCGTTTGTTGTTCCCTCATTCCTCTCTATTCACGCCAGTCGAAAGTTAGCCCCTTATCCATTTCCCCCGAGTGACGCCCTCCATTCCTCAACTCGCCCACGGACCACCCAAGGCTTATTTATCTGTGTGACTAAGACACTCACTCCTTCCAGCGGACTTTTTACATGACGCGCCTGTTTCGTGTTCCTGCAGCCTTCAGTTGATGGCAGCGCCTGCCTTCGGGTACACGCATAATGCAGCTCATTTGCTGCTCGCTGATTGACAGGTCCGGTTGAGTGTGTTCGTTTGTTGTTCGTTGCAGCTAGTTGTCGATTGAGCTTGGCCCTGATTGAAATGTACGTTTTGGATGGTGTCGAGTGTGTTACCTTGTTGTTGTTGTTGTAAGTGTGAGGCGTCGTCAAGGAGTAGGTGTAAAGAAGGACGAAGGAATACAGGGTGGGATGATGGTATGGGGTTTGGTTTGGCGCAGAGGATAAAGTGGATGAATTGGTGAGTTGGAGAGGGGTCAAGGGTTGACTCGAGGAGAGTGAAGGGGAAAGAGAAGAGAAGAGAAGAGAAGGGTTTGGAGAGTGGTGTAAAAGAGAGAAGTTGTTCAATTGCAATCCGACCCACCCCAAAGGACAAAGTCAGGACACTAAAGGAGTCATGGTCAGTCCTTTCTAGGACAAATCAACATATACTACTAGTTTCTCCAAATGAACGATGTGTAATTGCATGCATTTGACAGTCACCCTTAATGGTGGTGCCATGTGGTTGGCTCGACGACAAGAAAAAATTTGCCCGCTGAGCTTCTTATTTCTCCAACGTTCACTTTTTTTTTTCTCACACCTTGTTCCTGATCAACACCATTCATTCATTCATCACTCAACTCATTCCTTCTACACACACCACTCGTAACAACAACTCAACACAACACATATCGCCACCTCAAAGAGAAAACACTTACCCCTACAACAAAGAATACTAAAAAATATCATGACCAACAAGGCAAAGGAAGACGCTGAGAAGCGCAATGCTGCGGCGGTGGCAAAGTGCCTGGCTGAGCACACCTTCCCTCCCAAGCTTAGTGGGTGGGAGTTCTTTAAATCCATTGGATCCCCCAAACACGTCATTGCCCCTATGGTAAACTTTACTCTTTCATACATCTTACTCACCTGCCCTCTCTTTACACTCTCCTTCAACAATTGTCATCATTAACAACCTTGTGTCACGTACATATACTGATTATTATGAAATAGGTTGATCAGTCGGAGCTGGCTTGGAGAGTGCTGAGTCGTCGCTATGGTGCTGACCTGTGCTACACACCCATGTTCAACGCCAAGCTGTTTGCGAAGGATGTCAAGTACCGTGATGAACACTGGGCGGGTCTCAAGGACGGACTCGGAGGAGGCGGACCCAACGATCGACCCCTTATCGTTCAGGTACATATTCGCTGTTTTGTTTCCTTTTGTCTTTATTTTGTACCACTTGTACAACGTATGACGATGCTTGCTAACCATTGACAACAACGTTATCGTTTAAAACTAGTTCTGCGCAAATGAGCCTGAATACTTGCTGCAGTCGGCATTGCTCGTTGCCCCTTACTGCGACGCTGTGGACATCAACTTGGGTTGCCCTCAACACATTGCTCGGAGAGGACACTATGGATCATTCTTGATGGAGGACTGGCCATTGATCTCGTCCCTTATCTCGACTCTTCACAAGAACCTCCCCATCCCCGTCACCGCTAAGATCAGAGTATTCCCCGAAGCTGAAAAGACGGTTGAGTATGCAAAGATGGTCGTCGCTGCAGGAGCACAGATTCTGGTCGTCCACGGACGTCTCCGAGAGATGAAGGGTCATCTGACAGGTGTCGCAGATTGGGAAAAGATCAGATTGGTTCAGGAGGCTGTTGGTCATTTGGTCCCTGTCATTGCCAACGGTAACATTCTCTACCATGAAGACGTTGCCGATTGCATCGAGAAGACAGGATGTGTGGGAGTCATGTCGGCAGAGGGCAGTCTTTACAATCCAGCCATCTTTACCCCCGGCCACCCAGAGAGCTGGCGCTTGGCAGAGGAGTACTTGACGATCTGTGATGAGCTTGACACCAAGATTGCATATGTCCGCGGACACCTCTTCAAGATATTCCGTCCCAGTTTGAACGTCCATGTCGACCTTCGATCCGATCTCGGACTTGCCAACTCGCGGGAGGCCATGTGGGAAGTGACACGAAAGTTGAAAGAACGATTGATCGAGGATGAGGAAAAGTCGCGCGCGAGTGGCGAGAGCTTTGAAGGACGCAAGGACGAGCAGGGTTTCCCCATCTTGCCTCATTGGGTCGCACAGCCATATTTCAGGCAACCCATGCCCCCACAGGAAGCCAAGAAGGACGAGAACCAGGAACAGGAAGGCAATGCTACAGCCACAACAGCCTCAGCAAAACGATCTGCGGACGAATCAGGACACCGCGACTCCGAGGACCACACCAACACGACTGTCAAGTCCAAGAAAACTATGTCAGAGGCGGAGCGGAATCGGGTGAAGAACAAGAAGGCCAAATATGCGGCGACCAAGTGTCAGAATGAGAAGGGATGTAACAATGCCTTTTCGGCGACCTGTAGCTTCCACCGGTGCAGGGGATGCTGCCGACAGTATCAGCGCGAAATTGAGCTGTATGATTGTCCTCCGCACGGGATCCGATCGATGCAGAAGGAGATGCATATCCGTCTTCCCCGTGTGGACTCTGACGAGGCCATTGGCGGTGTTGCCCTCGAGGGTATGATTGTCGGGTCGTCCGCGGCTTCCTCTGTGGCTCCTGCTGTGGAGGGTGAAGAGCAAGTACCCAAGCCAGCGGAGCGTTGCCTCATTCTTTAAAGCAGTAATAAATTTTCATTTTTTATGTTTACGTCACCGTGCTGTGTATTGACGGATATCTTGTGGTGCGCAAAATCTAGCGAGCCGGGCGCAACACGACAGTCGAGGAGGATAGACAGATAGACCTGGCGCTAGCCCTTCTACGGTCACCCTCCCTATCTTCCCTTTCTCTCTTCTCTTTTATTTTTCTGCTGCTCTTCTGTCATCGTCAAACCACTGACATAAACCCACATACACATTGTCCCATCCTCACCTCACCTTCTAAAGAGGACAATAACATCAACAACGAAAAATAATATTCATCCTTCATCACCTTTCGTTCGTCCCTTTTTATGCTCTTTTAATTCCTTTCTTATTGAGACCTTGCATCAGACTCTTTCGTCCCAACTATCGTCTCCTCATCACACCCCTTCCCCCTTTCCACACACGAACCAGGCTTCTCTGAAGTGCACGCTTTGGTATGTTAGCCTTTCTCATCATCATGGTTTTTCACTCTGCGACTGATTGTGTGCATCCATCACTTTTTGTGTTTGTGATCGAGACAACCTCTATTTCTAGAGCGATGACCTACGGCTTCACATCATCTCTTCATCGTTATTGTCAGCAAGAGAGGAGGGGTTTGACTTCGAAGGAACTTTTATTTCTATGCGTGCGATAATATGACGACGGCGGCGGCAAAGTGCGGAAAAGGTGGCGAATAAGTATTATGCGACTGTAGTTTCCTATGTTGTGTTGTTTGTATGCTAACTTACACGTCGTTTATCTCCCTCTCTCTCTCTCTCTCTCTCTCTCTCCTTTTTTTTGTTCTCAGCCGTATCACAAGGCCTGACCCATCTTTGTCTTGTCTTTTTCTTACAAAGACAAATAATCGTAGGCGATTGACCAACCTATTTGACACACCGACACAGATTACACGTTCCCATCTCTCCTTTTTTTTACGCCTATCCTATTGACTGCATCTACAAAGGGGGAAGAGCAATCGACTCACAACAACAACACACTCAACAAATAACACAATAACACCTCCATATCTGGACACACACGACCCAACTCGCTATTAGCTCGACAACCAACAACAACAACAACAACAACAACAACAACAACAACAACAACAACAACAACAACAACAACAACAACAACAAGCACAGCAACCTGGTAGCCTGTTATCCCTCCCCCTCCAAGCCGGATCCACAAACAATACTCCTCCTTTCCCCCCGTCCAACGGCTGGATCTGGTATCATGACCGTTTCAGACCAGGATACCAAGATGGATGTCGATATTGTCACCCCCAACGACACCCCTGACTCACATATACACCTGACCGATCCTCCATCGACACTCAAAGGTACACTTCGCTCACCGTTGTACTTTTCTTTGTTTGCAAACTGATCATCTTGACACTGTTGGGGAGCTACCGTTGATATCAGCAGCCAATAACATTATTTTACACTACTCCCTTGCTGTTCTAGATGCATCACAAGCCTTGCAGCCAGCAGCTCCCACCATATCTACGGACCCAACGGCACCCTCACAGCCACCAAACAATCCCGGAGCTGCAGCTGCAGAGCCAATGGTTCAGGATCAACAACCCCAGCAACAGCCTCAAACGCAACCTGTTGAACAATCTACACCCAGCACTGCCGCAGGCATTGCACCAGAGATCTCAGCAACAGCCGGACCTGAAGTGGACGGCGATGGTGACGAAGATCTCTACAAGAGCAGACACCCCTCGGCCGTCTTTCGCCCTCAATTGGATGACATTGTTATGGACCAGGATCTGCTCGACTTTTACGAACAGCTCAAGTTCCTCGTGTCGCTCTCGCCTCTCAAGACAGCCCAGGTCCTCTACGCATTCTCACTGGCAACAGAACACCTTTCGCCAGAGCTGGAGGTTAGGAGGTCGGTCCTGGACTTGAACAGGAGGGCATTCTCGTTCTATCAGGAAAACACGTGGTTCACTGTCGATCTAGAGTCGAAAGAGGATCTGAGCGACGATGAGGCATACGAGTCCTCCGACCCAAAGTTCAGGATCCTGCCCGCTCGCCATGGTCTATTCCCCGCACTGCAAAAGCAGCCATTCGGATACCAGTCAAATCCAGCATACTACAACCCCTACCCACCTTATCCATATCCATACTATGCTGAACCTGACCATTACCTTCCAGATAACGCGGAACCTCGTCCAGCATCACCAAGACGTCAGGATGGCGAAGGAGAGCAAGAACAGGAACGTCGACCTAGGGATCGCGAGCGGTCAAGCCGGAGCCACCGCCGTGGAACCAAATCAAGCAAACGCAGACGCTCCAGAGATTCGGAATCGTCCGTCCGCCCATTAGGATCCGTGACCAAGATCCGTCTGCGCACTTCAGGATACGACGATCGATCACCTAAAAAGTCGAGACGTGACCCAGATTCTCCCTCGCTGTCGAGCATGGATGGCGTTCGCAAGCATCATCGCCAGGGTACTGAGACGGGCGACGCCAACATGGATCCGACCCAGCGGAAGGACCCTGAGCGCCATAGAGACAGGGTGCGGGATGCAGACTACGAGAGGGAGCGGATGGAGCGTCGCTTGGCCAGGAAGCTGAAGAAGCAGGCTCGGGCTGGTGAACATGCCTCAGGCGATCGACAGAAGGACGGTGGCTCAAGCCAGACAAAGATCCGACCCCTCAAGATCACCCTTGTACAGTCTGGAAAGTCGGGCTCGAACTCTGCCGCTCAGGACTCTGCTACAGACGGCACAGGACATAACGTTTCCAAGGCATCTCAGAGCTGGAACCCCAACGGAGATCACGCGGACAGCAGTAGCAACGCGCATCGCAGCATTCAACCTCAGAATAACAACGCAGCGGGCTCAGCAGACGATGGTGCCTCCGCGACCAGTGGCCAAAAGCCCGCCAACATCAACACCCAAACCCCTCAGCCCATTCCACGGAAACCCAAGCACTCACACGCATTGCAGGCATCGCCTGTCCAAACAACGTCTACCCATGGAGGTCAAACAGCTCCAGGACCATTCTCGAGCGACAAGTCGGACGATAAGCTCAAAAAGGGAACATGGACTGCCGCTGAAGAAGAGATCTTGCTGGAGGCTGTCCGAGGCCTGTCGAGCGAGAACTGGCATGCTGTTGCGCAGATGGTTCCTGGAAGAAACGCGAAGCAGTGTATGCAAAAGTGGCAAACCGACTTGGACCCTCAAATCAACCGACTGCCCTGGACCGAGGCCGAAGACGAGAAGCTGGTCGAGGCTTACCACAGATACGGAAACTCGTGGCAGCAGATTGCCAAGATGGTCGAGACCCGCACCTGGTACCAATGCTACAACCGTGTCCGTGCCAAGAGCGTCAAGACCAAGATCCAGCAAACTACAGGAACTCATCCAGCGAGTATTGCGAATGGGGGTATTCCTGGTGGCCCACGCCCAGAAGGATCCAAGCCTGGCTCGAAGCGGGATGGTGAAAAGAGAAAAGGACATGGATCTCAGGGTGGCATGACATCTGGACTTGCTTCAGGACCCAGCATGGATTCGCAGTCTCAGTCAGGCCCTTCACAACCCAGGCCGGCGCCTTTGAGTGGCGAGAGCAACAGCAGCAACAGCAACTCTGGAGACTATATCCGCGTGAAGGGACAGCAGATGCAGGGCGTTTTGGCTTTGGGACCTTCAGCACAAGCACAGGGACCCACTGCGGGACATCGGGATCAGCCAATCTCGTCTCCTTCGCAAGGACCTCCTTCGAGCACTGAAGGCGCTACGCCCAGCACCTCCAGCAGCGACTATCATCGATCCTCGCCAATGAGCGCACGTCAACAGGACGTGCCCCAGCATCAAGGAGTTAAGCCAGCGTCATCGACGCCGTCTCAGGCGACATCTCAGGCTCAGTTCCAACCCCCTCAGCATTTGCATTCACCTCAGCAATCTCATCAACAGCATCACTCTCAGCATCAGCAGTCGCCACAACAACGTCCTCCACAGCACCAAGCATCCCCACATACCTCTCAGCATCAGCCATCGCAACCATTGAAGTCGGTCAAGACGGAACCGCAGCAACCAACCACACCGCAACCAAAATCAGATGCCGGATACTGGCCTCAGCAGGTAATTTCCACCTTTCACGAACACGAAGTTGTAGTTTTTTTTGATTGGATTATTGAAACCTTACTAACACGCACTCATATATCCGTGTAATAAATAGCCAACATCTTCGTCGAGTCCGCGCGCAGGATCGCCCAAGGGATACCGTACTCCTCAGCTCTCTCAGGGTCAGCAGCAGCAGCAACAGCCGTCACCACACCGTCAGCACAACCACAACATCTCTCCAGCACAGTCGCAATCGCCATCGCATCAGTCGCAGCATCATCATCAGCAAGGGATGCAGCCACCACCTCCTCCCAGCTCTCACTCCAACTATCCTAGTCAATCTCCTGGACCTACAGGGATCCACATGACGTACGAGAGTCAGAGCAGCAGCAATAGCAGCAATGGTGGCAGTGCTACAGGCAAAAGTAGTGGCGCAGGTTTGGGAATTCACCAGAGTTACCCGTCGCAACAGCAGGCTCCTGCACAACAGCAAGGTCAGCAGAGTCAGCAGAATCAGCAACAACACTCGAGCCCATACCAACAGCACCACCGCCAGCAGCCATCGCCTCACCAGCAGCATCTGCAACAGTCTCCACAACAACAGCAGCAGTCACCTCATTATCGCCAAAAGTCGTCCAGCAACCACCTTCGTCCTGTGCCTCCATTGTCTGCAACTCTTTCTAAAGGCCAGCCGCCCTCGTCTGCAAGCTCGTCGTCACCCTCCATCTCGATGCAGCCTCAGCATGGAAACCGCCCACCACCTCCACCCGTGAGTCAGAAGAGCCATAGCAGCAGCTATTCGCCCTCGACATTGCCACCTATCCAGCAACACCATGCTGCATCCCAGCAGTCGCCAAAGCCTTTCTCTGGAAATCAGCGTCTACCCAGCTTTAATGGCCCACCATCGTCGTCGACTGCTTCAACGACCGCATCGTCTTCGGCGTCGTCCCCACACCCACTGCTCCCGCCTGTCCAGGGACACTCCCAGCAGCCATTACCGCCCTTCCAGGGACAACGACAACAACAGGCTTCTCCCTCATCCCCTCCACCACCCCAGGCATTAGGATCTCAATCATCTTCGTCTTATTCTTCAGGACCTCCACCCTCGATAGTCACGTCTGCAAATATGACACCCCCAGGACCTGGTAGTAGTGTCCATTCGACATATTCGACTCCTGTCCTCGCACCGCCACTGTTGTCGCCCACCCTCGCCAACTCTCCCACGGGCGGGTTTATCTCGACGTCTGCCTTGTTGATGATGGCCAGGAACGCGCAGCAGCAACAGCAGCAGCACAGGCAGTCGCCTGGTGGGGGAGGACCTAATAGCAGCACACCTTCTACATCCATCCCTCCTCCTTGAAACACTCTTCAAAAATTTAATCGCATTTTGCATTAATAAACCTCTCACTTGTTTTAGTTTTTCATCGGCAGTCCCACGGTTCGCCCAGGCATGTACTCCATTGAAAAAAAAGTTAGAAATTGTGGCCAAGCAGGATATTCTGGACTTGTCATACACCCTAGTAACTCTACTTTACAGATTGGAGATGGACAAAGTCAACATAATAAACGTCAATTACTTTTCTGGGCCATCACACTGTCTGCCTATGGTGTTGATTTTCGACCGTTCTGTGTTCGTATGATGAAGAGAATTGGTTTTATTAAAGAAAAGTGGATGCAAAATTAAAAAAAAGTCAAATAATGAGTAAGAGATGGTGTGGTGTTCAAGTATTGGTAATTAGGATAATAATAGGTGTTATTGCATGTAGGTAACAAACAAAAAGAAGGACACCGGAGATGTTGTTCCTCCTCGCTCCCCCCCCTCTGTAGAACGAGAGACGTCTATTGGAAGATGAGACCGTATTTCTTGCCGAGCAGCACAGCAATAACACAGTAGCTATCAATATAGAAAACAAGAACGTTAGATTTTTTTTTGTTTGTTGTTGCTCTTTATCTCTTTTCTGAGATGAAGAAAGGAAGCAAAAGGGCTTAGGTTTGATGGTTATAACTTACATCGCCATAGCACCTAGAAGAGCCCACCACCAGTCCAGGGGCTCGCCTGGGTCTTGTCCTGGTTGTCCTGGCACATGCACGTTCATCCTACACAATAGAAAGCGAGAAGAAAAAAAAAAGGACACGATCAGAGGTCAGAAATTGTCAGGCCAACACACAACTAACATTCCTTTCTTCGTATTGGACAAAATTCCTGAAAGGAAAAAAAAAAAAAAACAAAAAAAAAACATACCCCCAGAGACCAGTGAGAAAGGTCATGGGGACGATCAAACTCGCAAAGAATGTCAGTGTTCCCACAACCTCGTTTGTCTTGTTCGAAAGCTGATTAATCTCAAGCGAGATCTGTGCCAGGTAGTTGGAATGAGATCGGTCAAGGATCTTTTCGTAGGATCCCAGGGATTGGAGCATGGTCAAGACGTGGTCGAGGATGTCGCCGAGGTACAACAGTATTTCGCCGTCGCGGTGATGGTAGTGGTGTTGCAGTCCTGGCGCGGTGAGCATGTTGTTGGTGGCGTGGCCGGGGTCGTCGTTCTTTACTGATGGTGCTCCTGTTGCTCCTGCGGGGGCAGCGGTTGTGGTAACTGTGGCAGCGGTTGTGGTAACTGTGGCAAAAGAAGGAGCCAACGGCGCCACGGCATAGCGTTCATCAAACCGCTTCATCAACCCCCTCACTACATCCGCCTTGTTCGCCAACAACCTCGACATGGCCATCACGTTCTTCCTACATGACCCAATCCTCCTCAACATATCTGTCGTCTCATTCTCTCTAAGCAAGAGGACGAGGTCATCGATCGAATCGACTTCATATTCGATGGTTTGGATGGGCGAGGCAAAGGAGTCGGTGATGTCGTCGAGGAGGGCGTAGTTGATCCAGTCAGGGGTGAGGGTGATGTGTGAGTGAAGTTGTTCTATTCTTCGGAGAACGTTCATGTGGTGATCTGCCGGGCGGAAATGGAACTATGTGAGTTGAAGGGAGGAGACGATGGGGGGAGGGGGTTAGTTTAGATAAGAGCTACTTGGACCTTTATGCCCATGCCTTGTCAAAACACCAAGATATATAGTATGTAGTCAATTCGCAGTTTGCATGCACTAGGAAGTTGAGCCGTCCAAACTAGCTAGCATTTGATATGAGATGTGCATGAGAATGAGTGAAGGATAGCTTACGGTCATGATGCCGTCTCTAAATACAACGCTGTACATGCTGGCAGGCTGAAGGTAGGATCCTGAGTTGTAATCCTGATCAAATGTCCGGAAGCAGACAAAGTAATAGTGTCGAAACACCTCATACTTTTCGCGTTGCTCCTCTGTCGAGATATCCTCGATCGTTAGAGGGTGAACATGGAAATGCTAAAATCGAAAAAAATAATTAACGTCAGCATGATGTTGTTCTTTTACTTTTCAGGGTCCGTTCTAGGTTATCTCCTGGTTGTCAGCGTTGGACGGTTACTAACCTTGGCGAGGATTTGCATGTCAAAGTCGCTGGGGTCGAGGATATCAAGCCAGTAGCAACCATCTTTCAGAAGGTCAGAAAACACAGCCGGTGTCTTGGATCCTCCATCCGGTGTCTGGAGAGTGCAGTTGTTGAGGATCTGGGGCATGGACGGTGCTTGAACCACTCCTGTTGCTGGCGAGTAAAACGTATACCTCAGGGACTCTGGCAATGGGGGCTAATTATCGTTAGAAAAGGATTATTGTTAGAAAGGAAGAGCTGTAAAAAATGTCAAAAAGGCCGACGATGGGGAGATTAAAAAATAACGAAAAGCCCAGATTACTTTGTTTTGCTCAATTCATTTTCACAGGACAAGAACAGGGCAACATACCCTTGGAGCACGCTCACTGTAAAAGCTGGCCTTTCTTGCAGATCGACGACGGAACTCAATCTGCCCACTGTTGGCAGAGGTGGGGCCAGCAGCATGGAAGTTGGACGAGCTGGTAGTTGAAGTCCGTTCCAGCTTATTACTTCCTGCATCGCCCTCCTTGGACTCAAATTCACCTCCAAGCACTCCGCCAGTAGAGTCCATGAAGGCGCTGTTTCTCGTGAATCCATTCTCGATCAATGCCGCCTCTGCAACGGAGGTGTCCAGACCGGCATAATCAATCACCATAGGCTTACTCGTATCATGTTGCCCATCGACATTCCGATGCCCACCCATGGGTGGATGGTATTCGTTGTTACGGAACAAGGAAGGGTTGTAGGGCCGATTGGATTGCTGGTGTCCTGGCAGTCGCAATGATCGAATAGAGGGCGTTGCATTCCCGCTGTGAGGGTACCTGTAATAAGCGTCGCCGCCGCCACGGAGCGCATGGTGGATAGGAAGGTGGGGGGGAGAGAGTGGTCGTGGGACGTCTTGGCTCCTGTCACTGTAATCGACTCCACTCCCTCCTCCTACTCCTCCTGTGCCACCGTTGATAGTATCGGGGCTGGTGGGGTCAATACTGCTACTGGAGGGCTGGAGAGGGAAACCATAGTCAGGTTCGAAGGTGGGGAGGATAAGGGTTTCACGGGGTTCATCGTTTTGGCTGGGGAGTCGAAGGTGGGCAGGGGAGACGAGGGGTGAGGTTGAGGACTGTTGTGTTGTTGCAGATGGTGGTGTTGGTGGAGTTGTTTCTTGTGGTGAGATTGGGTCGACGGAGATGAGGATGTCGTTTGGGTTGTGGTTTTGATTCTGATTGTGATTATTTTCCATTGTTCCTTGTTGTTAATGTTGGAAGGATGAGCAGGGGGGGTATGTGTTGTTGTGCAACTGCAAGCAGGGTGTGACAACGGAAAGGTGTGAGGAAGGAAGGAAGGAAGGAAGGAAGGGAGCAGGCAGGGTTCAAGGTGGGAGGTGGCGAAAGAAAGCAGGGGGAGAAGGAGGAGAGAGGAGTGAAGGGTGGACAGAGGGAGAGGGGAGGAGAGAGAGAGTAGTAAATGGTAAAGAGAAAGAAGAGAGGAAAAGGTAGAAAAGAAGGAAGAGCGAAACAAAAGAAACAAGAAACAAGAAACAAAGGTACACGCCCCTCACACCCATCAGTGATCAGTGAAAAACCTTTTTTAGATTTTCAATTGCAGCGAGCATCAGTTGTGTCGAACAAGCGCACGTTTTTGTGTGTTCAACCTTGCACTTGGAGCCTGCTGAAAGGCATAAAGGATGAACCTGACACCCCCCTTTTCATCTCTCACCACTCGCTTCATTTCCGCATCTTTCTTTCTTTCGATATGTCCAAAGAAAAAAAAAACAGCAGCCGGAAAAAAATGAAAATAAAGAAGGATTTCGATTGTGCCTAGGTCTGCCTCTCCGTCTCTTGCTGCTGATTGGGCAGCGCGTTTTATGTCCAGGTGGACATTAAAAGAGAATTTTTTTTTTCCTTTCTCTCCTTTACGTCTCGACTTGACTCCTGCATTGTCCGCCTTCTGGGTACGATCCATACCGCGATGATGAAGATGTTTATCCATGGCGTAGTACATTGCAATACTCCAATGCTCTATGATTAGCGACATACATGCCCCTTGAGTACAATATTTGGTGGCGGGTATTGGATTTGATCAGCTATGAGATCATTCGCATGACCTGGGAGGAGTGGTATCAATGCGAAACCCAGCTATTGCTTTTTCTCTTGCACCTGACCACGCCCTTCATTCAACGGTCCAGCGCAGGAAGGCAGTCACATTGTTCTGTTCCAATGCGCATTTCTTCTTCTTCGTCTTCTTCTTCTTCTTCTTTCATTCCCCTCTCTCGTTCTTTGTACATATCTTACCATCGCCATCCTTCTTTACTGCCTCGCCGCTCCTCTTCATCATCCCCTCACCTCTTCATCATCTTTTCTCGCGTTACGCTGGCGCAACAACACATTGGATCATGCTCCCTGTGCCCGCACACATGCCCTTCACAGACGTGTGCTCCACCGTCTCCTGCTGGGCACTCATCCTCTCCGTCATCTTCCCCCCTACCCACATCCTCGCCCTCGACCTCATTTCCACCCCTACTCATACTCACTCACAAACCAAGCATATCAAGGATGCCGGATATCATCATCATCCGTACAGGATCTCATCCTCCTCAGCCTACTCCCTCACCGTCTATCTCGATTCAACCCTGTACTCCTTCTCGGCCTCGGTCTCGCCCACCTTGCTCTTGCCCACTCCTCCTCCCTCCTCGTCCTTGCTATCCTCGTCCACTTCGTCGTCTCTGGAAAAGAACTCAGCTCCTCTTTGTCGTGTCCGTCGTCACACCACTCGCGCTCAGGGATCAGTCAAACGATCTCATATCAGCACGGTCCTCCTCCCTCTCTCTCCTCGGAAACAGGAAAAGGTACATCCTTTCTCCACCACCACCTCCTCCAAGGTAACAAGAGCCACTATCCCCGATACTTCAGCTCAATTCCAAGGTAACAACCAAGGCCACAGACAAGATCGACAAAAGATGTCGGACAGGAATATCATCAAAAAGCAGACCATCTATATCGCCAACAGCAACAACGAGCAGAAGGACGAGCAAATCCCTCACGTCCGAGTGTCGAAAGGTCAGATCCGTCGTCTGATTCGCCACCAATCCTCCACAGACCAGAGCAGCCAACAGCCCGAACGTCAGCGGTCGCAAATTTTGGACGTCGTCTGGAACAGGGATACGTTTCAGGACACCACCCCCGCTTTCCAGAACAGTCGTCCTACTCGTCACCACCACCAGACACAGCCGCAGCAGGAGCAGCAGCAGGGGCGCCATGACCATGCAGACGATTCACAATTGTCCGACAACACCGGTAATAACAACAACAACAACAACAACTGGATTACCGAGACTGAGGAAAAAGACGAGTCTGGACTCTGGCATGGCTATGTCTACCCCACAGGATGGAACAAGTCGACCTTCAACAACGACCTCTTCCCTCTCTCTGTAAGTAATTTACGTTTTGTTAGGAGTGTTTGGAGTGAGTGTGCGTTTGTGTGTCGCCGACTTGTTTCTCCTTCCTTCTCTCTCTCCCGCTCCTCCTTCCTGCTCTTTTTCTCTCCCCTTTTTCAAACTTTTTCCCCCTTCCTTGTTGTCATTGGGATACATGGCGGTTGGTGTGGGGGGAGGTGGTTCAGGTTACCCGGTCGTAGTTGGAAAAAAACAAAAAAAAAACGAGATTTGTGAACCAATTGCACCAAACAGCAAAGGAGAAATAAGGTCATAACGCAATGAGCAATTGAGGGCAAACATGAGTCGCTCTTGGGGGAAGTATGAGACGGAACGGAGAGTTGTCTTTGTTGATGGGTATTTCTTTGCGCATTTCCCCCTATGTTAATAATTCATATGCTCGGCGAATTGTTTGTTTGTTGAAAGATCGGATCCGGCAACAGTTGAGCCATCTGTCAAAAGGGACCAAGGCAGGGCAGAGTGGAGTAGTGTGACACAAGAGTGGACACGGTTCAAGAGACAAATTGGCGCATGGTTTACCCTTGTTATTTTACCTGTCTCCCTCCCTCTTCCTGGACTGCTCGTCTGCCTATCTGTTCAATGGTGTCATCGATACCAAACGAGAGCACTTTTTTATTTTATTTTATTTTATTTTATTTTATTTGTCGCTCTTTTTTTTTCAGCTGCCTCTCTCATCCTCCAACTGCGCTTTTTTCTTGGATTTATCATCAATTGGAAAAAAGCGAGAACGAGATAGAGTATTACTACACCATACCTTACCAGAAGAGAAGAGGGAAGAGGCGGAAGAAAGCTGTTTGCCGCGGAGATGTAAACAAACCATGGTGCTGTCCTTTATTTGTTTTTGCTTTGTTTATTCACTCACCCCTGTCTCTCTTGTTCTGCACTTTTTTTGTGTGCGCCAATATGGATAATCATCAATATCCGAACAAATCAATTAGGGTTCCATCCGCAAGTTCCCTCTTTCATGGCCTCTGCGCTCATTTTCTTCTGCTCCTTCCCCTTTGTCACTGGATATCCCCTGGCTGGCTTTGGTCGAGTGCACTCTTCAGACAAAGCAACATCTCCGCTCGGCAACTCAGCTCGGCGCAAAAGCTGTCATCCTTTATCCCTCAACTACTACAACATCATCTTCGTCATCGCACCAGGCTGAGCTCGTCCATTGCTATTCCCTCTTGACGTCAACAAACGCTTTTGGCGATTCCGATGTCGACTCTTCTTCTGCTTCCGTGAAGGAGAGTGTTGTTGTGCCCACCCTGACTTTGGACGCCTTGACCGCCAAGGATCTTTTGACAGCCCTCCAAGGATTGGGCGATACAGAATCCGATGTCGTTCCTGCAACCGTCACTCTTGCCAACAGCATTCAGGAGGAGGAGGAGGAAGCTTTCAAGGACGACAAGAATGAAGGGGAGAACGATAGCAGCAGCATTTACAGTAGCATGGTCAACGAGCAGGGGATGCGCGACAAATCGGGCTCTGTGGTCGTCGCTGCTGCATTGTCTTCTAAGGTGCATAGCAGTTCGGGAGGAGGCAATTCCAATTCAACCGGAACAACTACCACAGCAACTGATGAAAACCAACAACGGGTCAAGGAGCTGCTTATGTCTTCTCTCTCAAATGCCCTCAAGTCTGGAACCCTTCTGGCGAGAGGAGTCATGGTTCGCTTGGGTCTGGATAACGGATCTGTGGTCAGGGCTGGACTTGATACCATCGTCACCCCTACCCCTAAAGTGGAATCCTTGTCAGCAGCGTCGTCTTCGCCTTCGTCAACAGTGGCAGCAGGACGGGTTGAGAAGGAGGATCTGGGTATGGTTTCGACTCGATTTTCACCCCTGTCGGCCTCGGGGATCAAGCCGGACTTGATTCCTACCACCGGACGTGTTGACGCCGTTGTTGAGCAGCAGCAGAAACAGCAGCAGCAGCGAGTTGTAGGAGGTCTGCGCAGTACGTTGTCGTCGATGTCGGCGTTATCGCAGGCGAGCAGCAGCCCGATCCCAAAAGGTCAACCCGGCGAAGCAGGAGCACGAGGAGTCAGTACCGCTACAGCCGCTATCGTCAGTAGTCAACAACTTGGAGGACCAGCAAGAATTGCAGCGGCTCTTTCGATGAGGCAGGCGACTGCCGAGCGGATCTCTATGAAGGGCGCCAATCGCCGTCAGTCCACCACAGTGCCCTCTGGATCCAATCCCTCTGTCAGCATCATCGGTAGATTGATCCAGCGGATTTACGCATTCTCGCCCTCAAAGTTGGTCCAAGATACGGCTATTCTGGTCAAGGACGACAGCTTGACGGGCAAGCTGGCAATGGTTTTGATGAGCACGATCTGTGGAGTTGGTGTGGGCATGTTTGGAGCACTCCTGTTTGTGGTCGCACTAAAAGTCCGAGTGTTCCAGACCCGTCGACGAGGCGGAGTGGAGGATCGATTTGGGTTGACCTTGCAGGCGACAACGGCTTTGCAACATCAGCAGCAGTTGAGGGAGCACGGATACAAGAAGGTTATTCCTATTGGGATTCTAGAGTCCTTTGGAGTTCAAACTGTCTTGCACACCTCGACCTTGACCATGATGACGAGTAAGGGTGAGGATGATATCCAAGCCAAGCCCCGGTCTTGCCATACTGGAAGCAGCAAGGGCAAGTTGGCCTATGCAGAGGATGTGTTTGAGATGGAGGAGGGGTTGCAGGATCTGACTGCCCGGGAGAACTCTCGTCGGGAACGTGAGCGGATGAGCATGGCACGGACTAGCAGCCATCTCTTCCCCCGCACGCCTACGGGCAGCTCTGGTCACCACCATCCCCGACGGGTTCCTACTGCTGAGTGGGACTCGTACTTTGAAGACGAGGGAATGGATGATATCACGGCTCACTCCTCGTCCCAGGACCACGAGCATATTTCTGCAGCTGCTGAGGGCGAGACAGATTTCGATGAGGGCGAGGGCGGTGCTGTTCCCGACCAGGCTTCAATGGACATGGAACGTCTCGCCGCGGCGATCATGACCGCCACCCGTCGAGGATCCTACCGCCGCATCTCGTTGTCCCGCTCCTCTGCCAGCGAGACTATTGAGCACGCCGCCGATGGATCCACAGCCACCACCACTACCAGATCCACCTCTGTCTCGACCTCAATCACCCTCGCCCTTTCACCCCAAAAGCACCAAGGAGGCTGCTGCGGGACTAACGGCAACCACCACCACGGCGAAGAAAAGGACAAGAAGGAACTCCCTTTCGCCAACGCAAACGCCCAAACAATGTGCGCAATCTGTCTAGGGGAGTATGAGGTCGGTGACCAGGTTCGGACGCTCCCTTGTTACCACCAGTACCATCTCGCGTGTATTGATCCTTGGCTGTTGAATGTTGCGTCTTTGTGTCCGATTTGCAAGCGTGATCTCTGGCCTGGTTCTCCTTAGGAAACGCGCTCCCAACTCCACCCTTCTTCACCTTGTTTAATTTACTGGGTCACTTTCACGTTATTTTATTTTTCTGATCGCTTTTTGTATCTAGTTCTTCCTCATCTCCATTGTACATACATCCCCATCTTCTCACCCCCTCCCCGCTCTCCTTTACTTGTTAATACGTTGTGAAAAATAAAAAACACAGAACCAACGAAAACAGAAAACAAAGGAGGTGCTCAAGTGTATGATCGTGTCTTGATCTCACCCTGTTTCGTGTTTGAAACCACCACTAGCAAATTATAGCGTTTCTTTTATTCCCTGTTTTTTTCAATGCGTGAAAAAAGATCTATTATCTAGGTCGGCTTTCGAATCTACAGCGCTGCCTCAGCAACATCAGATTAACGGCGCTCAACCCAACCGCTTCCTCAAATACAGCATTCGTAGTAACAAAGGCAAACAGGTCCAGTTCCCCCACAACACTTGCACCACCGCAAGCTCCGGCTCCGTCTTCAACGTCGACCCATCGGACAGATCCAGTAACGAGATCCAACGTGCCCCGGTCTCCAAGCAACACAGACCGCCATACCAACCCACCCATGAATGAGTGCCTTGCGTGTCCATTCTTGAGATCCTACCCCTCCCTCTTCCGAATCTGAATCGCAGTTCCAAAGCCAGACCCCCAATTGCCCCATAGCAAGTTTCAAGCCACTGACCGTAGGATGAAAATGCAAACAACACTCTCCGTGTTCCAGGATATGTTTTATCGCTCCCAGTCTTTTCATCCTGAAGCCGTAACTGTGTCCTTGCGGCGTTAGTGGCGATCTGCGATCTTATCGGTGGGTAGGCCACCATCACGTCCTTGTACCGTCCGTCGGTCACAAGGCGCCCCTAGACTCACCTCCGTGCTCAGATCCCAGACTCGAACAGATCCTTCCTGGCTGCCGGACGACGAGATGGCGGACCGCGCTGGCGAGAAGTACACGCTGTTAACTCTGTGAAAATGACCAATAAAGACTCGGCTCAGCTCGCTGGATTCCAACTCCCACAACACCAACAGTCATGTCGTTTGCTGCCAGTCGCGATCCAGTGGCTACAAGGTGAGAAATGCGACAGTGTTTGATGATGATATCCTCGTGGGCCACAGAAGACCAGTATAAACAGACCTGTTGAGGTATTCTATAATGGGTTAGGTCAGTGTCCCTGTCGGTGGCAAATGTACAGTCCGTCGGGCGAATACGCGACACAGCTGGCGGATTTGGGGGGTCCGCACGACAGTATTACATCTTGTTTGCTTGAGAAGATCGTAAAGTTGTCGCTTGAATTCCGGGTCCGCTTGGGCACGCTCAGCCAAGAACTGCACGATGGATTGCTCTGTGACAAGACTCCTCCTCGACAGCGGGTGGCCGACAATGAACGACTGGGCGGAGGTATTTTCTGTAGACCCTTGCGGAGCAAACTCATTGTCAATGGCAGGCGGCGGACAGACTGCGCAAGAGTAAAGATACTCCAAGATGGATCGATGGACAAAACGGTACATGTTTCCGGATCGAACGAGCAGGCTGGCGTCACGTAAAATACATGTGTCGAGGTCGGTATTGAAAAACGCTCTTTTCCATGAATTTTTGTCACGTCAGTGGTTGTATTCAACAAACAGGCTTGCTCTCCTGCTCCTGAAAGATCGCAGCTGCCAGGTCTGCTTGAAACTTGATCCCTCTCTCCTCGAACCCGTCATCCAGCAACTCGTCGATCATCCGCTGTTCGTCTCGACTCAACTTCAGGTTCTGATTCCGTAGACGTCGTTTATTGACTCTCAGCCAGTGCTGAACAAAGCTGTCATAAAGCTGTACACGGTTGACGCGGACTCTTGAGAGATTATCTTTACTCTCGACAACTGCCGGCATGGCCCCCAAAGCCAGCGAGAGGAGGAATGGATTCTTGACCAGGCCTATAAGTCCGGGGATAGTCGTCAGCCTGTCCATGTAATCTTCCTTGGTCCAGGTCCATGGCTCGAGCGGAACATACTGTGCGACATACTCCTCAATCTGGTCCGTGGTGAATGGTGCAATGACGAATTCCTTAAAGAGATCTGGCACCGAAAGGTCGTAGTGACTTCCTCCTTGGGGCTCAAAGCGATCCCGATAATTTTGGCCGAGATACTAGAGTGTCGTCAGCCACATGAAATTACAATGGACCATGGGCGATATACGACAAATGACAGATACACTGGTACTTTGTCAACTTGAGCATTTGAGTTCTAGCAAGAGTTGTCTGCCTCAGGCTTCCTGAACGTAAACGCGTAGATTCATGAACCGACTTCGCCTTTTTTTTTTTTTAATCAAGTGTGAAAGCTGCTGCGAAAATTAGTGGCAAACCAGTAGGATCTACTTATGATCGCAAGGGCTGCGTTCTCCAGGTCTCCTCAAATGTCGTTGTCACAAAATTTGGGCGGACCTCCTCTTGTTCCTTTGGCGCATTCTGAACCGCGTTTCTTCATTCTCATTCTCATTCTCACTTCACTCACTCATCATCTTGCCTTACATTCCTTACATCCTCTACTCTCAAACACTCGCCATTGTCGCACACTCTATACTAGACAGCCCTACCTCGACTTTTTGTGAATGATGGGGTCGAATATTAGAGACATCCAGGACATTGAACGTACGTCTTTCTTAAAGCCAACTCGACAAGTTGTTCTCCTGCTGAAAAAGAATGAACATGCAGTCACCTCCACGTTCAGCAAAGAGGAAGAAGTAAACCCCCTTTTCAAACTCACCTTCTTCTATCACCTCCTCTGACCTTATCAACGTAGTTCTTCGTCACTACCACTTGGACAAGACAAATCCTGATACATGGGTCGACGAAGAAGACTTGCCTTCGTGGGTCCACGATGACGATATCAACACCGACCATGGAGGGCGAGTCACACCCCGTGAGAGGAGGACCAATTCTATCGACGGAGACTTTGCACTGTCGGAGCAGACTGATATGCTGGGGCTAGTTAAGGGCAACGTCTTTGTGAGCAAGAACGTCCGCGGCGACAGTAAGTTCAAAGTGTGCTCTCTCTCTTTTCGAATGAGGATCAATGGCAACATGTATGGCTCCTGTATCTCACAGTATCATTTGCCTTCTATGTCAACCATAGCCAATTTGATTTCGTCTACACAAAAGAGCTTCAACCCCCAGCGATACCTGTACGCGGTTCATGCGGACACCTCTTACGATGACCTGTGCGTGGGTGTTGACAGACTAAAGGCATCAATTGACCAGCGATCGTCTGCCCTGAAGGTCCTTGTCCAGAATAATTTCGACCGCTTCGTTAGTGCCAAGAATGTCATCGACTGTAAGGGTTTTCATAGCATTGATTCTAATGCTTGAAGAAATTTAGTAATGTTGTTCTGGGATGCCACGTATTGACCTTTTAGTTTGTGATACTGTTACTAGCTGTGTACGACGACATGAAGGAGAAAACGCTGAACGAGACACAGGATTACGGAACACTTCGTCTCAACGCTATCCTTCGAGGTAAATTCGAGCTGAACAACAATATTTGGAAGCATGTCACTACGGCATAGTTGAACCTAAGAACTCACCAGCATCACTTACATCCATAATGTAGAGTCGTATGGAAAGGCGCACGAGGTCATTAACCCAGTTCTAGAACGTCGTGAGAAGATCGACAAGCTACGATCGACAGTCGGGCTTTTGGAACCATATCGTCTGTTCTTCAACTTGCCCAACACATTGCTGGAGAGCATCAAGCAAGGAAAATATCAGCTGGCGGCCAGGGATTATAACAAGGGTAAAGTGCTTTTGGCACAGGCATTCCCAGCGACTACACCATCAGTCGCAAGTGACACTGCGTCAACTCATTCATCGACATTGATTGAGACCAAGCGACGCGTATTTGATAAGGTCTGGTCAGAGGTCGAGCGCATTGTTGCCAGGCTTCGGGCGGATCTCGAGTCGCAGTTGGAGGAGCCCTGGCGAGGAATGGAGGAGCACGAACGCAACATCAAGTACGTTCTTCATGCTAGTTGTTGCGCTTCAGATGTTATACATTCAACATCTCAGAGTCTCTAGGAAATGCGGAGCTAATCCAATTTTTCATCTTTTTTGCACAGGCTGCTTTTCGAATTAGATACCAAAACAGACCCTGTGTGGCACTGTCTGTCCAGCCAGTACCGCTGGATCAAGAAAATTATGTCCGAGTCCTTTGACGAGCAAGTCATCCTTGTTGAAGGTATAATTGTCACTATTGTAACCGTGGATAATATTTCACTTTGGTGGCGTCTGAGCTAATGCTTCTTTGAATCTCATTTGTAGAACTTCGCAAGAGCGACGAGTACCAGCAGAGTCAGAATATTACCCTACATGGCCGCACAGCGCTATTCAAGCAGATCCTGGGAGCTGTCAACTCTAGTGAATTCGAAAACCAGTTTGGTAAGTAGGGACGTGGAGTCAGCTTGTGATGATTTGCTTTGTCAGTTTTGTGATCCATTGTACTCACATCCGTCTTTTACATCTCGCTCCAATATCGCTTAGCCAAGGAACCGGAAGTGAAGTTGTTGGTGGCAATTCATACAGGAGTCAAGACACTGTCGGACCTCTTATTGCGCCTCTTACCTGATTTCTGGAAGTTGGCCGTTGCATTCATGGATGGCAAGATCCAAAAAGTACGTCTCAACTCTCTTTATTTTATTTTTTTTTGGTGTAAAAGATCTTACAAGCGAATCAGAGATCTGACGAGACACTTTACATGTTGCGTTGATAGGTCCAGAAGAGACGCACGGTGGTGGACCCACAGCGTGTGTCACAGAGCATCGCCATGGTCAAGGACATCATCGAGCTGTACTCGAACGAGATGACTTCGATCTTGATTGACTCTTTGGTCGTGCAACGACCGGAAGAGGTGGACGATGAATACTTGCCCGGGGTCGAGAAGCCGGAGCCACGACGCGAGAGCGCAGTGGTTATGGCGGTGTTCCTGAGCAAGATCATCACGGAGGTTAGCAACTGTGTGAACGATATCAATGGACTCAGTTTGCGAGGAGGTGCTTTTATGACCCTTGTCGAGCTGATGCAGCGCTTGCGCTGGAAGTTTGTCAAGGTCATCTGCATGTCCTGGGGCGATGGTAGGTCAATTTTCTTTGTTTGTGCTTGATGTGTACTTGGCATATCTTTTTACGAAACTCCCATTAACATCGTTCGCGTTCTTCAATAGATGCGAGGTTCTTTTACCAGCATGAGGATTGGACATTGCAGGCAGAGAACTCGCAAGTGACACTCTTTGTGGGACTCTTCTACAAGTTCCATGAGTTCTGCCTCCGATCAGCCTACAAGTACGCCAGTATCTGGACAGCGCCAACCGAGGAAGCTGTAGCCAACGACGACGTCCTGACCGTGGTTCCTGAGCAGTTTATTGAGAAGATCCGCGGCACCTTTTTGGATGCTCTGTACTCGTTCTTAGATGGACTGGTTCACTTGGCGTTTGCGGATCCAGAGCAGCCTAACAATGGCGAGTCCTCCGGAACAAGGTTGTTGGAGAATTTGAATGGAGGTGGCAAGAAGGTCAAGACGATTGATATTACTCAGCTGGACTCGAGGATCTTGATCACGATTAGTAACTTGAGCGAGTTGCGGTCTGTTACGATCCCCAAGATGTTGACTGATTTTGAGAAGACTTGCAGCATGTCCATTGCTGGCGATGGCAAGGTATGTGTTTGTGCTTTGTTATATTATGTTTTCCTATTTTCTTTTTTCATCGTTGTCATTCTCTTTTGCGTTTACTATTCGATTCATTTCTTCCTCCTGGACGAAATGCTGCTCTTTTGCTCTTCAACATGCCTGTATCGCTACTTCGCCTGAGCGCTAATCATGTCATGAATACGCTCTCCGAACAAATAGGCCCTGATTGACATTGTGGATCAACTGGATACGATCTTGTTTGACGATTTCATTAAGCGCAAGACCGTTGTTGCGACACGATTGATTACGGATGGTATTCTCTACGGCGGCACGGACTGGTCTGCCTGCCCCAAGCCCACAGGTAAGAAAAAGCAAGGCAGTTTTTCTTTTCTTTCTATGTGTGTATTAGTCCTATGTGTGTCTCGCTCAAGTGTCCTTTGTCTCACACCACATCTTCTTTCTTGATATTAATCTCCTATACTCCTTGTCCTTTTACCGCACCTTGTACCTTTGGGGAACCGAACCATGGATATATAGGAGTGCATGCGTACATGTACGAGACATTGTTGTCATTAGTGGTTGTGCATGCCCAGATCTCCGAGATTGCACCCCCACTGGTGTTTAGGGCTTTGTCGGCGCTGTTGATTAACATTGCACAGGACTGTTTGAGATGCTTTCAGGAGGTGAAGCGGTTTGGGATGGGTGGGATGTTGCAGGTGACGCTGGATATGGAGTTGATGAACCACTCGTTGGTCCAGTACCAGAGTGCATCGTCGGATGAGATCTTGCAGATGATTTATGAGGCCGTTGATAGGGCTTACCACCCAGAGGGAGGCGAAAACTTGCAGGTTGAGATGGCGGGTTTGAAGCGGATGCTCTCGGAGGCCAAGAGCTCGTGCTATGTCCAGTTCAAGTGCTTCAAGAAGGACAAGTAAGATAGATGTATGGTTTAGAGATAGTCAGGGTGCACGGTTAATTGGGCTGCTTCTGTTCATTATGATTACTTTTCTAGGACCCTTCACTCCTGGTCTTCCCTGTCCCTTTCCTCCTATTCCCTCTGCGGGGGGTGAAAACATAACGAAGAGAAAATAAAAATCCTAAAATAGATCCCATCCAATCCATGGACTGAGCTGGCGATGATCCAAGGACAGGGACACAGAGCAGAGCAGCCAGAGCACACAAGGCAAAAACCCAATCACTGCCACTAAAGGTCACAGTCATGGCTACAAGGAACAGTAGTTATCTTTATATCCCCTCGTCGGCCTTTCTTCCTTCTTCTCCTCCACTCCTCCCCTCTCTCCCTTTCTTTCCATCCAGCATTTGTCTTCTTTTCTACCCTTGTTCCTTGTTCCTTGTAATGACCTTTTCTTCTGTACCACCTTGATCAGCCTTTAATTCTTTTTTTTTCTTTTCATCATACTCCTCACTCACATACTTTACTTATTTTACCCTTTTTTCATCCAGCATACCCTTCTTTCCTTTCTTACATTCCATCACTCAAACACATACACACACACAACGTACCCATACACATATACAACCACAACCCCCTCTTAACACACACTCACACACAAAACTCACACACAGCACATAATGGCAGTGGCGGTATCAGGCAACTTGTGTACCTGCCTCTTCCGGTACCTCGTCCTGGCCTTCTTGGCCTTCTCCGTCATCTTCTCGACTGCGTCCTTCCTATTCCCTAACCTCTCCTCTGAAGACTTCCGCAAGAATGCAGCTGGCCTGATTCAACGTGGAGCCGGCGCTGCTGGTGTCAGTCCTGGCGCACTCTCTTGGATCGACAACCAGTCGCCTACCTTTGAAATCGACTCCATTCACTACAGTAACCAGAAGTTGACCATTCAACCTGTTCATAAAGGTAAATCATCTGTCGCCATCAATCTTCGCAAAGGAGTCTTGAACGATGATGCAATACAGGACGGACTCAAACGACTACTCGACGCTTCTGGATGAGATGGTAGTTGGTGCCACTGTGGTACCTGGACCGGATCTGGGGATGAAACTCGGTCTTCCCTTCTTTACTATTCCTTTTGGACCTAAAAGTGGTTTTTTTTGGAACCCGCTTATCTAATTACTATCATCTTTTCTTCATGGGACCCCCACTCAATAGGCGATATTCAACAAGAAGGCGCCAGCCAACAAGCCGTCGATGAGGATTTTTATCTGTCAAAGGTCTACAGCACAGCAATGCAGCCCTCTAAAGTCATGCCCTACTATTTCAAGGCTGAGGGCGTCTTTGACAAAGAGGAGGTCACTATTACCACCCTTATCACCGAGAACAGGTAAATACAACTACGCCCAGTGAGGTCATCTCTATCTCTTTGCTACTCGCTCCACCCCCCCCTCTACCTCCCTGGCCCCTTGGCCCCTGGTTTTCTCGCCTTTTGCTCAAATCAGGATCAAGTTTTCTGCAAGAACAACAACTGCAGGATGGATGCAGTAAGAGAGAAAAAACCACACAACACCAGAGACTGGACCGCACAGTAACTCTCCAAAAGAATATAGCACCGCCGATGGTTATGCAGGATACCCCAGGACCCACCCAACAAGGAGTTGGAGGGGGCGATGGCAAGGAGGTATTTTGCTGCCTTCAGAGTTTATGGCATGGTGTGGTGCACTTGGACCTTTGAACCAGAAAAAAAGAAGGGCATCATTTAAGGGAACAAAGAGCAAAAAAAAGGGAGAAGACTTCAGGGATATGATGTCGTTATTGTGCGATTCAAATGTGGGTCCCGTATGAGAAAAAAAGTTGTGAGTGGCAGCATCAAGGAAGTTGATTGGTGACACCCTATTCTCATTTTCCCTTGCAGAGAAAAAGAAGACTACTGCACTTCGTTTCCCGCTAGTGACTTAAACTATGACAGAACCAGCTCTTTGTTCAGCTGGACAACCCTACCCCATTGTGTTTGAACGTCCCTTTGCCTTTTTTTTTTTTTGTTATCACTTCTTCTTGACCGTTGAGACGGTTGGGGATGGGCGGGGTAAACTGCTATTGTGCTCTATCCGCGCTTCATTCTTTGAGCATTAGGTCGTCTGTTACTTGTAAGGGAGGAGTAGGGAGCATTCAAAAAGAAAAAAGGACGGCTCTCAATTTTTTTTTGTTCTCTAGATTTCGAAAATACTTTAAATGCGTTTATTAATTTCATGGGGGGCGAAAGGCACCATTGGGCTGATCGCGGGAAATAACAAGGGTTGTGATCTAATTGCTCACATGCCCCTGTTGAAAAACAACAACAAACAGAAGCGTCTTATCATTATGGTGTACATTCACCTTTACTTACGTACTCTCTTTTTACCAACCGTTGAACAATATAGATTCGGAGTGTTCAAGAAGCTGGTTCGCAACTACAGGGGTCCCATCTCGGTATCGATCTGGATCAGGGATGACGAATACAAGGATCAGCACTTCACCGCACTTCACGAGTTGTACGAGTCCGAACCTTTGTTGAGACAATACGTCGACTTCCATGTCGTTGTGGATCGGTTCGATTTCCAGCTCAACATGTGGAGAAACGTTGCTCGTCTTTTCGCCAGGACCGACTACTTCATGTTGCTCGATGTCGACTTTCATATCTGTACCAACCTCCGTCAGCATTTGAAGGAGAGCCCCCAGGCTCGGGAGTTGCTCCGTCAGGGTGCAGCCTTGGTCTTGCCCGCCTTTGAGTACACCAACGAGGAGGATGGTGTTGATTCGGCTACTTTCCCTGTTATCAAGGCAGAGGTTGAGAAGCAGGTCAAGGACAAGAAGTTGATTGCCTTCCACGCAGCAAAGTTCGTCCCTGGACATGGAGCATCCAACTACCCCAAGTGGTATGCGACCAACGACATCTACCAGGTCACTGAGTTCAACTACAAGTATGAGCCCTATGTCATCCTTAAGAAGGAGGGTACTCCTTGGTGCGACGAGCGCTTCGTCGGCTACGGAGCCAACAAAGCCGTAAGTAACCTCTTCTCAATTGCCTCATGCTCTTTCTTTGTTGGACATTTCAGTGAAACCCGACTTTTTTTGTTCAAAAGTACTCACACTTTTTTTTTTCTTTTTCTATATTTCTCTTTAATGACTTACAGGCCTGCTTGTACGAGATCTACATCTCCGGAATCGACTACTACGTCCTCCCCAACGACTTCCTCATCCACCAGTCCCACGCCTACCCCGAATCCAAGCGTTCCGGTGGCCGCAAACTCAACGCAGAACTCTACGCCGCCTTCCGGGATGAGTTGTGTTTCCGGTACGCCAAAGCAATGTACTTTGCTAACGAACTCAATACCCCCAAGGCCCGCAACATGCGCACCCAGTGCTCGTCCCTCAAGGGCTTTGATGCCGCCCTCAAGGCCTTCCCTCAGATGTGGAAGACCCTTCCACCCAGGGATGCTGCTGCTGGCACCAAGTAATATTTATGATCCAACATATTTTTGTAGTACATAGGATTGATGAAGGGAAACAACAACAACAAAAAAAAAACAACGATCAACCAACAAACACCAACCCATACATAGACAAAAAGGTGCCGTATTCGGTATTCGAGCATAATTAAAAGAAAAAAACATTTGCTTTTTGAATCATTTAATCATGGGGCGTGTAGTGTATTCATGATAAAAATGGAAGGATTCTTTTTTTTTCTTAGCGTCTCATCTCTTACCTCTTCACTCAGGTCCGACGTCAACAGGTAAGCACGACTTTTTGTGCCCCACCCCCTGAGTTAAAAAAGCATTTTACGAAACAAGTAAAACAACCAAAACAAAAAAAAAAAGCAAACGAAAATTATTGATCACTTTCCTATTCATCCTTCTCTCGCATCATGATTCTTTATCTCTTTTTCTTTTTTGTGTGTTGGAGGAGGGGGGGGGTTTGTATGTTGTGCTTTTGTATCTCTCTCTCTCTCTCTCTCTCTCGCTCTCTTTCTCTCTCGCAATGAGCTTTCAAGATATCAATCGGAAACAAAGATGCAGCCCAGGTCAGGTCGCCGGATTTGCTGATCCAGCCGCTCGACTTTAGACCTCATCGCGCCACTGCCTGCTCTGCCTTGCAAATGGGCACTACTCGAACGCCGCGGCTCTCCCTGCTGACCAGGGTCGATCTGCCCCTCCGGCATACCATATCCTCCAAACGTACCCTCGCTCCCATTCGAACTTGGCTTGCTGTTACTTTGACCGTTGCCCGACTTGACAGAGCTCAACTTGAAGCTACCACCCAGGTGCGACGTCGAATAACCATTGATCATGCCTGGGGAGTCAGACAGACTCCCATTCGTCGCTCCTGTAGGTACCGAGAGCGGTTGGGTTGGAGCGAATCCAGAGACAGATCCAGAGGCCGACTTGACGCTATCCGAGGGTCCCGAGGATCCTGAACCCAATGACTCAGCTGCTGCTGCAGATCCCTGCGCTCCAATGGACGACACCCCCTTACCGACTCCGTTGGCGTTGCTGTGTGCCAAAAGACTGGTCGAGGTAGTCGCAGTCATAGAATCGATATCATGTTGGACAACAATGTTGCCATTCGACCTGCGCACATTACTCGTCGCGCCCTCCAAAAGCTCGTCAAACTCCTGGCCAGTCTCCCAACGTCTCCAAGCCTCACACAGACCCTTTTCCAAGTTGCGCGTCCACCGGAGCGTATCAAACAACAAAGACTGGTCACGCTGTTCCCAGAGAGCCCTACGAAGATCCATCAATGGTCCATGTCCCATCCAATGAACGATGGACTGCTGAGATGCAGCCACCATGGGTTGTTGAACGCCGTTAGGGTATACAAGTGTCTGTGGCATCTGACCGACCGTCATGGATCCAACTCCGTTCACCGAAAGTCCGTGGAAGGGCTGGACTAAACCTGCGCCAGGGGTTGCCATCGCGTGTGGGTGTCCAGCAAGACGGAGCTTCTGTCTCAAAGCACTGTCCGTAACATACTCCCAGTGGCATCCCTGTGCAAACTTGACTGCTCGATCCTTGTACTCCTCCTCCGAGTTGACGACCATCTCGTGACCATGTCCGGTCGCGTAGGCGATACTGGCTCCGACTCTTGAGCACATCTTGTGGTTGTACTTGGGGAACGTCAGGATGGGTGTACCGCTCCACAAGATATCAGCAGCGGTCGTATGAGCATTACACTCGGGAGTGTCCAAGAACAGGTCCGCAATGCGTCCACGGTGGATGTGGATCTGCTTTGGAGCAACATCTGTAAAGATGACTCGGGATGCGACAGAGGGGCCTGCCCACTCGTTGGCGGTGCGGAGCAAGTGCGGTTCACCGGCAGCGGGGAACCGGAGCAACCACAAAATCGCATTTGGAACTTTGGCCAAAATCTGCAGCCACACTTTGAAAATCTGCGGATCGATCTATTATATCACATATTAGAACGAAGTTAGTACGATATGCTCACGCTCAAGGCAACATACCAAAGTCAAGTATACAGCCATTCAAAGGGAAAATGAATCGTTACCTTGTAGAGCTGGTTAAAGTTGGCAAAGATAACAGTGTTTTCGGCAAGGCCAGGGAAGAGCTCCTTGCGCATCTGCCAGCGACGGTCCTGCTCCAGAACCCACGACCACTCGGAACTCATGGCAAGGTGAGGCTCGGTGGCCAGGAGCAATCGACGTTCTTGCTCCTTCTCCTCCTCGCGGAAGCCTTGTCGGTGGTCGTTGACAAAGTAACTGTGGGGCATGTAAATAAACTTTTCAGTGTATACCCAGTCGTCACTGGTATCCTCGGGATCAACATCACCCTCGAAATCGGAAATGGCGTGCTGTGACAGCGATCCAATAGTTGGGCTAGAGACCTTGTCAACACTTGGCTCGGACTTGATCTCCCGCTCGGCCTTGGTACTTGACCGCCGCTTCGATCCGGATCCGGATCCTGACAATGTGGAGTCGCCGTTACTGGAGGATGCCGCGTTCTCGATGATGAAGGATCGCTGCTTCCGTTTCCATGCCACACCGCTGACCATCTCTGGTGGGCAAACGATGGGATCCGCCACGATCCAGTCGCACCATCCCGCTCCCAACGTTCCTGCGAATCCCATGAAGGAGACTTGAACTGGGCAAGGACGCGCCGCAAAGACCTCGTTTCGAGCTCCTTTGGTGTATCCGTTCAAGTTGACGAGAACATGGATTCCATCCGCAACAACGCGCTCCACAATAGCCTGGTTGCTCCAGGTTGACACCTCAATAAAATGTTCCACCTCGCTCTGGATCTTGGCTCGGTAAGGTGTTTGATCGGCCGGGGTGGTAGCGTAACAGAAGATCTCAAATCGGTTCTTGTCGTGCATGCCAAACACACTCTGCATAAGATGCGACAGAGGGTGGTTGTTGAAGTCACTACTGACGTAGCCAATCTTGAGTCGAGAGGTCGGTGGCGTAGGAGGAGGGTAGACGGTTGTTGGCAGCCAATGCGATCCCAGTGTTCCGTGAGAGATGCGCAAGGCATTCCTGTGAGAGATCAGTCGGATCTGGCGAGCCGACAATGGATAGGTAAAAGTATGGAATGGCAAAACTGTTGGAACAGGAGGCGCCGACATGCCATGTGGGAGCATAGGTCTTTGAAACTGCTCAGCCAATTCCGCGCTTGTTCGCCGAGGACGCTTAGGGTTGGCACCGTACTTCTCCAGGTACCACCGCCTCTGCAATCGACGCGATGCCCTTTCGAGCAATCGGATGATCCAGCCACCCTCGTTGCGGCGATCCTTGGCATCGGTGCGGTTGCACCAAAAGTCGAGGCGGGACTGCCAAAGCTGAGCGTCGGGATGACGCGGGTTCGAATCCAAAAAGGACCGGAGAATAACCTGCCACAGCTGTTGACGGAACAATCTAACAAGACCCATGCCCCACACAGCACCCTCTGTGAGCTGTTTCTCAACGATCTCGGAAACTCGTCCCATCCATCCTGAGACGGGTTGCTTGTCAGTCGGCGAAAGTTTCATAACCACGAGCTGGCCCTCCATCGTCACGCTGACGGGTCCGACACCACCTCTGCCACGCCAATCACAAACGCCTCCCAAGGCGTTGACCAGACCGCAGACAGCCTCGGAAAAGTTGGGGTTGATCTCCACGGCTCGCAGGTACCACTGGATACTCTCCTGGACCTTGCCCAGATCCTTGACCGCGTTTCCGAGGTTGGCAAGAGCGACATCGAACTTGGGGTTGCACTCGACAGCCTTCTCATACATGGCCACAGCTTCGTTGAGTTGACCCATATCCTTGAGAAGTGATCCCAGGTTGGTGTACAAATGAGGGTGGCGAGGATCGAGTTGAAGGCCATAGTTGTAGAACTGCAGCGCCAATGCCTGTCCTGTCATGGGGTAAGCGGGCGCCACCTGCGCAGGAACCACCAATCCATTCGACTGAACCTCGAGCTGCATGGGTTGGACGGCAGGGGGGTAAGAAAAGATCTTGGCGGTCGGTGGAATGGAGCTCAGCAAGATACCGAGGTTGTTGCAGGTCGAAGGCGACGGGTTGAGAGCCAGACTGAGGTAGTACAGAGGCAGAAGCATCGACATGGTGGGAACATAGTTATCCGTTCCTGCGAGCTCCTTCGCCTTGGCTGGTTGATCCATCACGTCCTGATACAACTTGGCCAGGGTCAACAGGATTGTGCTTGTGGTCTGGTTCGCCTGCTGCCAAAGCGTCGAACTGACTCCTCCAACGGGATGACCAGCTGCGTCGGTACATGAAGCAGCCAAAGCTGCGAGACCAGGAAGGATACCCCCGTTCTCACGGAAGATAACCTGGGTGACTTGGAGGGCTTCCTCGGGTCGGAGGAGAAGCATGACTCCCTCAAGTTCTGCGGCGCTGGGCCGACTGTATCCGGCAGCCATTCTGGTCAGACACATAATCTCGTTCACGACCTGCATTGCTCCGATGCCTGCTCCAAAGACAATCTCCAGACTCCGTTCATACTCTTGACGTGCGCCAGCGATATCGCCGAGTGCGTACTTAAGATTACCCTTGGCGTAAAGGAGATTCTGAAGACGGGGAGTATGTTGGATCGGGAGTGGCGGAGGCTGTTCTCCTGTGGAATCACTGGGATCTGGAAGAACGTTGGCCTCGACAAACTCGCAGATCTTGAGAGCCTCCTTGTATCGAGGAGGTTGTTGGGTAGTCGTTGTGGGCTTGTCGATTTTTGGTTTGGATGGGTTTGCAGCGGCTGAGGACGTTTCATCAGCCAATGTCTCTGCCGAAGTCTGAGCTTGCGTCTCTGTGGCGCCATATCCAGAACACAAAACTCCGATCAAATTCTCGACAGCGTCCCAGTATCCAGGTCGGAGCCGAACAGCTTTCCACCACCACGATTCGGCCTCCGGTTGCCTTCCCATGCTTCGCAATGTTGTTCCGATATTGCTCATAGCCTCCACGTAGTTGGGGTCCTTTGTAAGGATGAGGTGGTTGTAGTGAAGCGACATTTTGTAGTTGCGCTGTGTGTAGTAAACACAAGCAAGGAGAAGGAGTGTTGGTAAGTGGGATTTGTGGATCGTGCTGATCGTTTGCAAGATGGGGATAAGAGGCGATGTTGGCGAAGGGTTGGCTGCCTCCGAGGCGTAGAGCATATGCGCGTATGAGAGCAATTGATCTATTAAATTACAAAACAAAATAATTATAAAGGTTAGTCTTCATTGCCAAACAGTAATGGCTCCTGTCGTTGTCATAGCAGCATCGCAATCGACAAACTTTTAATGCATTTACCTCTCCATTCTTCCTCTCTGGCATCAATGATCAGCTGCTGGTTCTTGCCGTCAGCGAGTTGAACCTGGACAACCATTTGTGTGTGTGGCGCTTGAGGGAGTTGGACTTTGGTCACTGTCATTGAACCCGCAGGAATGCTGGTGGCAGGCTGCGGCTGACCCTGCAATTGGTGTTGCTCCTGCTGCTGTTGTTGCTGTGCTGCTGCAACCGCTGCTGCTGCCAACATCATCTGGTGCTGTTGCTGTTGCTGCTGCTCCTGGCCTTGGCGGTGTTGATCGTAGATCATTTGCTGAAGCTGAAGCAACTGCTGCTGCTGCTGCTGTTGCTGCTGTTGCGCCTGAACTTGGGCTTGCGCTTGCGCGTGGGCCTGCGCTTGCACTTGAGCCTGATGATGATGGTGTAGTTGGAGCTGCTGACTAATCCCTTGAGTAGAATACTGCAGATGAGATGCTGCGGGCAGCGCATGAGCGAATCCGTTGAGTGATGCCTGCTGATCCAATGACGACTGCAGTTGATACTGAATAGGCTGATGTTGCTGGCCAGAGTAGAGCTGCTGGAGTTGTTGCTGTTGGAGCTGCTGCTGCTGCTGTTGTTGTTGTTGTTGTTGTTGTTGTTGTTGTTGTTGTTGTTGTTGTTGTTGTTGGATGGCGTGTTGAAGCTGTTGCTGTTGAAGCTGGGCCTGGGATGCTTGATATTGCAGAGGTTGCTGAGCAGCTTGACTCAAAAGTTGCTGCTGATGGTGTACTTGAGGGTGATATGACGATGGCGTTGAGTAATGAGGATGTTGCGCTGACTGCTGACCAAGGTGCGAGTAGCTAGAGGACGCAAGGCGCTGCTGCTGATGCTGGTGCTGTTGTTGCTGTTGTTGCTGTTGTTGGTACTGAAGCTGTGCCTGCTGAGGATCCAATGGAGGTTGTATATGGCTTGAATGCTGCCCGTAGTCATGCTGTGATGATTGCCCTGCGGGCTGTCGGAATGGTTGGTGTTGTTGATGTGAGCCATAAAGGATACGATCCGGCTTTTGTGATGTGTATGCTGGATGGGTGCCCTGTGGTTGTTGCATAAGCGAATGAGAGTCCTCATAAGAGTGAGCCACGGAGGGATACTGAAGGATGCTGTCGAGATATTGGTGGTCAGAAAAGCTGCCTCTGGCCAGGCGCGCCCGCTGTATTTCATTGTGGTGGTAAGCGTCCACGCTCCCGGATCGTTCAAGTCGGAGCCAGCCGCGATCTGGGTTATAGTAGTAAGAAAGTGTGTTGGGTGACGGTGGCGGTTGCATCAATGGTGGTAATTGCTGTTGCAGGTGGGCCTGGTAGGACTGTATGCTTTTGGCGTATTGCTGTTGTGGTTGGAGTTGCGTCTGAGCTTGAGCTTGTTGCTGTTGTTGATGCTGTTGATGTTGTTGCTGGAGCTGCTGTTGTTGTTGTACTGCTGCCGAAGTATAGTCGCGCACGAATGCGGTGGCAGTATTTTGAGGATCATAGCCATTGGCCGCATCCATGTGTGGCCTAGCTTGTGAAGATGACATCTGGAAGAGGGGTTGAAAGTCATACGTGTAAGTGCGGAAAAAATAAAATGCAAACGAGGCTGATCAGTCATAGTTGTACGACAGGTAGTTCAAGCGGACAAGTCATATCGCTACTCCACAAGGAGCTCCTGTATTCTCTTTCCTGTACGCCCTCCTCTTCTTCTCCGCACCATCACGCTCATTCAAAGGAAACAATAAACATCGTCATGGCCTTACCTGTGTTGTTGTACAATAGGATAGAACGTGGGGAGTGAAAAAAAAATACCCCTCTGTTGTCGAGTTCCAGTCTGCAAAGTGTGTAGAAGAGAAAAGAGAAAGCTGATCTATCGAAGGATGGAACGGGAAAGAAGATCTTTCGTTAGTGCAACTCAGTCACTGAGAACACTCTGAAGAAGAGATAAAAGAGAGCCATCATCATCATCATCTCCAGTCGGAGGCGCGACAAGAGAGAGAACGAGGGGCAAGGGCAAACGGAGTGGGGAAAAGCAAACTCCAGAGATTCCCGAGGATATATATGGACTAGAGCAGGCGCTGAACGCTCTCCGTTCTTGTCTCCTCTGTCTGTCTTCCTGTCTGTTCTGTCTGTCCTGCTGCAGCGCAGGGCAGTCTACGTCTCTCTTTTATCTCCAATGGGTCTGGGTTTTTATGTTGTCCTTTGTTTGTGGTCCTTGGTCCGTCTTTAGCACGACCCTCTGTCGGCCTTAGGCTCAAAGGGTAAAACACTCATACTCCTACTCCTCCTCCGTCGTCATAGTCGCCAGGCCAAAATGACGCGGGCCCCATCCCAAAAATAACAGAAAGACAAACAAAGAAGCACAGTCGATGCCTGTCGGGTCGCAAATGTGGGATGTGTTCCAGAGGTGTGGTAGTGAATCATGGCGAAGGGAGGCTGGGCTTGTAGTTGCATTCCTGGAGGCGTGTTGTTGATGATTGCGACTAAAAAAAAGTGTTAGCAGCAAGGGGCAAGCGAGAGGTCTAGGCACACTACTGCTGCTGCTACTCCCGTTTTGTTCGTGTTGCTCCTGTTGATACTGCTCCTGATAGGCTGTGAACTGTCCTTGTCGTATGCAAAAGAAGCTGACTGGGTCTTTGATGGACAGACAACGATAATAAGCCAACAAAGATAAGCCTGAGGAAGCGTGGTAGTGATGAGGGTGTTGGTGGTGTTGTTCCCCCCTCAATATGCGAATGGGCTACGAGTCATTCGTTGGATGGTGTTGGTTGGTTGGTTGGTTGCCCAGGTTTACAAGCGAGGACCCGCACCGTTTTTCCTTCTTTTTGTCGAATGACATTTGTGTTGCTGATGTGCTCAAACGGCTTGAAGGGAAAATAGACTCTTTCCCATTGTTTTTTTGCGTTTCCCACTCCAACGTTCAACGCAGTCCGGGAACCCGCAATTTTTTTTCCTTTTCATTTCAAACCGAGACGACTTGGCCTCCCTCCCATGTCTCCTTGTGGTGGACCACAATTGTCTTGCGTCGTGCGTCTGTTTTGTTCCCATGTCACAAAGAAAAAGGAATGCACGTTCGTTACGCCCAGCCAGTGTGCTTGCATTGCCCCATGGTGTGTATGGGTGTTTATGAGGAGGAGGAATGTATGCTTTTTGAGAGACAGAGGGCAGGGTATAAAGCAACAAAGAGTGGTTTGTTTATGTCGCCGTCGTTGATGTTTGTGCTATTGTTGATTGTTGTCGCAGCTTCTGTGTCTGTGTTATGTGAGAGTGTGAGAGCTGGTTTGAGTTGCCTCTCTTCTGTTGTTAGTTTTTTTTTTACCTTTTGAATAATGCTAAAAATGAGAGCGTAACAGGTGTAGTAAAGTAAAAAAGGAAAGAAGAGAAAGGCGTTGTCTCTGGAAGGGCTTGGGTGTGAAGAATGAATGAATGAATGAAAGAATGAATAGGCGAGTGTGTATGAGAGTGTGAGAGTATGAGGGTTAATGAGAGTGGGTCGTTTTAGTTGAGAAGGTGAATGAGTAGGTGTATGAAAGAAGGAAAAAAGAAAGAAAAAAGAGGGTCGGTGCGATCGACCGAGAACAACGAGCGACGGAGAGAAGGGGTGGGGGGAAGGAAGGAGGTAGAGAGAGAGAGAAGGAGAGAGAAGGAGAGAGAAGGAGATGAAGAAGAGGAAGAGCAAAGGGAAGGAAGAGGAGGAGGACGAAGAAGAGGAGGAGGACGAAGAAGAGGAGGAGGAGAACAAACTGGTGGCAAAGTGAAAGAGCAGAAGGAAGAAGAAGAAAAAAAGTCAACAACACAGAAGAGTCGTAGTCAATAGAAAGAGAATTCAATTGAAATATCAAAGTGATTTGCAATTCAGTCACAGCAAACAGTTCTTCAATGACGATGATGTCAAACAACAACTTTGTTCGGGGACTCGACTCTCGAATCTTCTCTTTAATCACTCGCTACGCACTCACTCACCCACTCAGCACTCACTCACCCGGCCTGATCCTTGCTAAAACACAACAATGGGATACCCTTGCATACCAGGCAAGGGCTTTGGCTTCTTTGTCTATCTTTTACCCTACCTTCACTCCGCTATCTTCGTTTCATTCAATAGTTCTCTTCTAGTCTTCCTTCCCCTTCCTCGGAGACGTGGAGGGATTGATTTGCCGTTGTTGTTCTTCCTCTTTCCCTCTTTCTTTGTCTCCTTTTTTCCCTTTCTTTGTTTGCTTCCATCGGCTCAACTGAATGAAATATAAAAAAAGTTTTATTACTCTGTTCACAAAACCCGCCGCGTCCTTCAACGAACTACTTAGTACCTGTGCTATTCTTGTTCCTCTCTGTCCCAACTTCATCTACTTCTTCTTAATCTTTCTTATCCCTCCCTTTACTCAATAGCAACAATAAAACCGAGCTACCCCCTCTACTTTGATAAGTATTTCTGAGCTAGTAGCTTGAAAAAAGATGCCAGTGTGTGTATCGTGACATCATGAGGATGATCCGGGGGCCTATCCAAATTGATCTCAGAAGGGAAGATCTTAGTCCGAGTACTATAGCTATAGCAAATAGGTACCCTACCTGGTAGCCTTCTCATCCACAACCGAACACAATGATCTTGATGCCATCAATTGTAACACTGCATGAATAAACAAGACCAGGGACCTGCAGCTGGGACAGGGACAGGGACAGGGACAGGTTTAGACCATGGAAGACGAGAAGGAAAAGAGATGCGAGAGAGGGTTTGTTTGTTCTTCTCTCGTCTCTCTTTGTATGTTTTGTGTTTTGAGATCTGTGGTTTACTATCCTTCGTCTCTCATCGTCTCATCAACATATTTTATTCCCAGCCTGAAATGGAAAAGTAGACGAAGGAAAGAGGAGGAGGTGCAAAAACGTCTGAGTAATGAAGGAGTACTCTATTGCTACTACTACTACTACTACTACTACTACCCAAAACCTCGCAAAGAAAAAAAGCATACATAGGACGACAACCAGCGATAGAACGAACAACAATACAAAAATGTCAGAACGACAACTATCCACCTTAACCTTGACTATACACTTGGGATGAAACATATGAAAAGAGCGCGACGCAAAGCAAAGCAATGGTTGCCAACATCCCAACTTTTTTTTTTCTTTGGTCTGATGACGGAGGCGGGTGGGGTCTTGGATTGCTCTCAATCGTTCATTTTTTGCTCTCAGAACAACAGTTCAGACGGTCTACTGGGCGCTAAAAGCTATGTATGTGTGTACGTGCTCTGTCAATGAAAATTGGGATGTAGGATGGCATGGTAGCAAGTAGGGGCTAGATGGAGATGATTGCTAGGAAGGTTGGTGTTCCTCATAGAAATAGAAGAGCAACGCGCGTCATGAAAATTTCTTAACCTTCAATTGAATCTGCACATCATAGGTGCAGCCGCATGACCATAGAGCGGGCAAGCAAACATACATTCAACAGGGAGAAGGAAGTATGCTGGGGATGGTTTTTTATGAATGAAAAATGAAAAATACTCTACAATGGATGGTGATTATGAGAAAGAAAAAAGAAAATGGATAAAGAAATGAAAAACCTCTCCGCGGACCTAACGTTAAAAATATGCAGCAATCTCAAAAGAAAACTGGTTTACTTCTTCTCCTTCTTGTCCTTCTTCTCCTTCTTCTCCTTCTTCTCCTTCTTCTCCTCCTTGTCCTTCTTCTCCTCCTTGTCCTTCTTCTCCTTCTTGGACTTCTTGGCGGGAGCCTCCTCCTCGACGACCTTTCTCTTCTTGCTGTTGGTCTTGGGTGCCTCGATATCCTCACCAGCAGCGTCCTTGAGACCATCAATGACCTTCTTCATGGTGTCGGCGTTCTTGGAGGGGGTGGCACCAGACTCGTAAAACTCGAGACGCTCCTCAACCTGCTCCTTCATAGCCTCACCGAACTTGGTCGTGGGCACTTCGCTGAAGCAATCAATACGGGAAGCAATGGAGCACTTGTTGGCGACGAAGCGGGAGATGCGACCCTTGTTCTTGGCACCGGCGCGGCCAATGAACGAAGAGTGGTAGATCAAACCGTACTTGGGGGTGTTGCCCTTGGTCTTCAAAGCACGGAAAAGAGCCTTCTCGGCACCGAGAATCTGGACAGTGGAGGCGGGGTACTTGGAGAGGTTGGTCAAAGAACCGGCGTGGGAGATCAAACGGGCACCGACCATCTCGCCGATCAAGGCAGACAAGTTGGGGGCGACGTTGTTCATCTTCGAGATCAAGTACTCGTGCAACTTCTTTCTGTAGTCAGCAAGGTCGATGACACGCTTGGCAAAGTTCTCGATGTTGATCATGTCAATTTCAGAAATGTCGGTACCCATCGAGGCACGGGCAGCGTCGAGGATCTGCTGGGCCTGAGCGGCATCACCAGTAATCTCCTCCAAACCCTCCAACTGGCTCTCCGAGAGATCGTTCTTGTTCTTGATGAACTGAGCGAGCTTGGCGAACTTGTAGTTGTCGTTGACAATCTTGACCAACTCGGGGAAGTGCCACGAGTACCACTCCCTACAATAATCATTAGAGTTGAGTATGGAATGAGGTGTTAGCTTCTAATGCCATGAACAAAAATACAGGGGCATTCAATAGCAAATACTCCAGCCAAGAGAGATTACGAACCTGATACGCATGGCGAAAGTGTTGACGTCCTTGTCCATCTGATCCAAGAGGGCAATGGCCTGCATGATCATGTTGTCGGAACGGTGAACGTTGAACTTGACCTTTCCGCGAGAGTAGCTGTGACCCAAACCGAGCTGAGCACGCTCGAGATCGCCCTCCTTAAGCTGCTTCAAGAGCTTGTCGCCAAAGAGACGGACACCACGGACAAGGTCCAAGACGATCTCGCCGGCATCGCACTCGTATCCGAGACCATCCTTGATGGATCCAGCAAGGGACTTCTCAGTGACACCCAAGACGACCTTGGACTTTTTGCCGGGCTTGGGAAGGTTCATCTCCAAGAAGGCCTTCAAGTGGTCGTTCATGATGCCTGGATGTCATTCGTATCGTCAATTGATTGAGTGAGAGGTCGATAGTTTCAAGTAGGATTCGCATTTGGGCGGGTTGTCGGAATAAATTGTCGAAGGAGAGGTTTGTGAAAGTCCAATTAAGCGAGTGGAAGGAGAAAAGATATAAGAATAAAACACGTTAGTAACTAGCGAAAGCAATAGCCATTGATTTGTGAACGAGCAAAGAGGATACGATATAGACGATGAATTACCCTCAGAGACGTCGTTCATGTTCTCGAGAGCGTGGGCAGCGCTCTTGAAAGGGGCGAAGGACTTGAGCTTGACCATCTTGCCGAACTTGGTGAGATCAGTGGCAGCCTCGCAGACATCAGCCAACTTGGAGCCAATCTCCTCAGACTCCAAACGCTCAAAGAGAGCGTATCCGGATGAGCTCTCGTACAAAAAGTAGTTAACCTGGCAAGTGGACAAGAGATCATGGACATGAGGTGTGATTGTCGTTAGTTTTCTGATTCATTGTGTTTTTCTTTCATTTGTTGTTGTCGGTTTGGTGTTTTTGTGGTGACCAGATCAGGTCTTTGTCGAGAGGCTCCATTCCTGCGAGAGAGTGCGTGAAGGAGTGCGTTGTGGAAGGAGTGGTTATTGTTGCCGTGTGTGTAAGTGCGTGTGTTGTCCCGCGTGCCTTACCATGATGAGAGTGGGTGGTGGGTGGGGGGGGGGGGGGGAAGAGAGATGGGTAAGGACAAAGAAGCGAAACAGCAAAAACAATCGACACTTGTGAGAGTTTTTCTTGTCAGTGTGTTGTGTTGTTTTCTTTTTTTTTCTTTTTTTTTTTTTGGCGGGGACTGCTGTTTGGTTTGCTTGTTGCTTTTCTTTCTTGTCAATTAGACATGTTGGAATTAGTTTAAGGGGCATTGATCAGCACGGGAAACAACTGGCGCCACCAAAAATTAGACATCTTTAATGATCAAACAAGAAGGAACAGGCCCTTTGCGAGGTGTTAGAATTTTGTCAACGGAGATCTTCCCTTGTGGTATTCATGGCTGATCCTCCAAGCCATTGAGCCATGAGCATATCGTCTCTTGCCGCAAACAAGAAAAACGATTATCACCGTCAGTCGTACCTTTTCCTCTGCATTAATATGCATTTTTTTTGTGACGTCATCAAAAATTTTGGACTATGTTTTTTTTTATTATTTCTGAGCTTGCAGCTCTTTTTTTTCCCTTTACTTTCAAGCCTTTTTTTTTTTACTTTGCTCTCTGCTGTTGAATCGTCAACGGAGTCAATCCTTGTTATTCTGCGGACCTTTTGATTCTCTTTACTCTCTACTCTCATCAACAACACCATTCAACAGACACACATCAACCAACCCCCTACTCCTTCGTTCCAACACCATTTGACATTCACTCAAATTCACACTACTCTGGTCCTTTTTGACTCTCCCTTGACTACTTTACTCCACTCACTCCTTTTCACTTTCCCCCTCACTCACTTCCACAACTCACTCGACCATTTGTCTCTGACCTACCTACCCCCTTGTTTTTTCACTCCCTCTTTAGCCCGTAACCAGCTTTCTTCTCTTCTTCATCTTTCTCTTACACCTCTCCTCTCATCCACTTCGCACTTCCTACTCTCGTACCTGGAAGCACATCTCAATTTCCCCACTTACTCCCCCTACAACACTTTTCACCATTCTCAACCAAACGACTTACGACATGATGTCCGACGAAGATGACTTTGACTGTCCCCTTTGCATGGAGGAACTCGACATCTCTGACAGAAACTTCCGTCCCTGTCCATGCGGCTACCAGGTAACAGCGACAATGAGTTTGACATGTCCAGAGAGTGTAAGAAAGAGAGACCGTCGGTGAACTGACGAAGAATGTTTTCTTTTTTTCTTTTGCCACCAACAATATGATAGATTTGCCGCTTCTGCTGGCACCACATCAAAGAAGACCTTAATGGTCGATGCCCAGCTTGTCGTCGAGTGTACTCGGAAGAAACTGTGGAATTCATCCCCATCTCTGCAGACGAGTAAGTGCCTCTGCACACTGTGCGTGTGTTCTGCTGTGCTGTGCTCAGCATCATGTCGGCTGTTTCTGCTGACAAACACCGGCTTTTTTTAAAATTTGGATACCCATTTGTTCGCCGCTCACTACTCATTGCTCCTCTTCATTCAGCGCTCAATATCTAACACTGCCTTGTTTTTCAAACAACCTTGTATGTCCATATTAGACTTGCCATGATTAAAAATGAGAAGAAGGCAAAGGAGCGGGAAAAGAAGGAGATCGAAGCCATGAACCGGAAGCACCTTGCCAACATGAGGGTTGTACAAAAGAGTCTGGTCTATGTCATTGGCTTGCCGACGAAACTAGCCAACGACGAGGTATGTCACATCTCCAATAGCTCCATTCCGACGCTTTTCACCCTCCAAATGCAAAGCAAACAGAGGCTCGATTCTAATACAACTCCTTCGCCTTTTTCTCTCTCTGACGTCTTTGTTGATGATAGCATGCCCTGAGACAACAAGAGTATTTTGGACAGTATGGCAAGATCTCTAAGGTAGTTGTCAACCGCAGGAATTCGCCTATGCCCATGCCAGGAGCAGTGCCAGGTCAGCCTAGTCTGGGTGTGTACATCACCTATGTGCGCAAGGAGGATGCAGCAAAGGCCATTGCAGCGATCGACGGAAGCATATGGGATGGCAAGATTCTTAGGTAAGCCCCACAGTCCATATCCCTAAAATGTATATGCGCCCAAACTCAATCTGATCCGTTTTGCCTCGCTGCTGGGGAGAGAGAAGTTTAATTTTGGAGATGTCTGACCACCCCCGCCAAAAATTCCATCTCTCTCTCTGTAGAGCATCATATGGGACAACCAAGTATTGCTCCTATTATCTTCGCGGTATGTCCTGTCAAAACCCTGGGTGCATGTACCTGCATGAGCCAGGCGAGGATGCCGACAGCTACTCCAAGGAGGACCTCGCAGTCAGGTATGTATAAATCATAGTATGTTGAGAACGGTCAAATATTTCTGCATGATATGTAGCTGAGAAGAAAAAGGAGTGAATTCACACCTGACAATTTTTCTTACTTCTCTACTTTTTATTACAGCGGGAAACATAACTTACAGGACAACATGGTGCCGTATGACCCATATATACACAGGCCCTCTGCTCTTAGTCGCCCTGCGCTGCCCACCCAGTCGTCCAGTTCCTCGCTCACCCCAAGGACAAGATCTGCGCCTGTGGCATCAACCCATTCTCCTGCGGCATCAACCCATTCTCCTGCGGCATCGTCGCTAGTGGATTGGCCAGTACCAGGAGAGAGGTCAGGAGTGGATGACAGGGAAGACGAAGGCTCGGCTCTCCCGGCAACAGCATCCTGGGCCAAGATCGGAAGCAATCCCTCAACACCGACCCTAATCAACTCACTTCCGCTCTCTCGAAAGTTGACTGAACCCCCACCACTCCGTGCAAAGGGCTCCACCACATCCATCATCACCGGTGTTGTCGTCAATAATGCAAACAAAGATACCAATGACTCGCCGGTTCTGGATTGTAAGTCTCTCCACCGTTCTTTTCGGTGGTTCTAATTTTAATACGATTTGAACCTTGGAAATTCGACAAGTCAGTTGACTAAGACGCCTCTCTGAATCATTCTTACTTAGATGCACCAACACCTGCGGAGGCCCTGGCTGTCGAAGCGGCAGCGAAACAACAATTGCTGCAAGAACAGCGCCAACAACAGGAGCAACAGCGGAAGCTTATGAAACAGCAGTTGAAGCAGCAGGAAGAGACTGAGCAACAGGCGGAAGTTTTGAACCGAAAGCTCCGGAAACAACGCCAACAAGAGGAGGAGAGGGAACAACAAGAGCTGCAGAAACAGAAGCAGCAACAGGAGATGGAGCAAAAGATGCAGGCACAACTCGAGAAGGAGAAAGAGCAGAAGAGGAAAGAGCGTTTGCAGGCCGAGAAGGAGGCACAGGAGAAGAAGGAAAAGGAAGAACGGGAACGACAAGCTGCAGAGGCCAAGAAGAGGCAGGAACAAGAGCTGCTCGAGCTTGAAGAGCAACGGCGGAAGGCTCAGGTGGAAAACCTGTTTGTCACGGCACCCACTTTGTCCCTTGGGTCTTTTACTTTCAACCCGGATGCTTCCTTGTCCACCCAGCCCCTCACCCTCGGAAGCGGCATGATGCAACTCGGACGGGACACCCCTGGCTCGTTTGGTTTGGACAGTTTCTCGGCCTTTTCTAATCTTCCCGTTACTCCTGGTCACTACACTGGTTCCTTCAACCCCTTCTCGATGGATGACGAGCCGCTTATGAGGCGATCTGCTGTTCCCGTTGGCCCAACCCGATCGTTCTTGGACGAATCCGAGTTTGATGCAGCTGGACGGCAACGTCCTATGGGCCCACCTATCCCTGGCAAGCCAAGACAGACCTCTCGTTTTGGATTCGCTATGGACAACCAGGCTGGTGATTCTTATGGATTTGACAGCTACTCGGACCCCATCATGTCGCCTTCGATGCAGGAAGGATTCCGAGCCCTATTCCCCAACGTCAACGTCAGCTTTGGTGCGGCAAACGGTTCACTCAATGCCCAGCAACAGCAGCATCAGCTTCAACAACAGCAACAACACTTGCGTCAGCTCCACCAACAGCAGCAGCAGCAGTTGCAATTGCAACAGCAGCAACAACAACAGCAGCAGCAGACGTTCCAGACTTCGCCTCTGCTTCACCGACAGGGCTCCACTCCTAATGGAATGTGGAACGCAGGCGACAAGCAGGACTCTCACATGCTCCAGCGAAACATGGCCCAGCTCAGCATGGACAACATGCAGTCGACCCCAAGTTCTCGCATGGCAGAGTACCACCAACAGATGCAGACCCACTCTCAACGCAATGGCCCTCCAGGAATCACTCGCAACACATTAAACCCTTCGATGATCAAGACCCCTCCTCCTGGTCTGGAGTCCCTTGCCCGCTCCGACATGGGTAACTGGTCTGGATCTCAGCAACAACAGCAGCAACAGCAGCAAGCATCCTCCAGGATGAACGGCTGGAGCAACGACAATGGTAAGCAGTATGGAGTTGATTATTTTAGTGATGGAGTCTTGGCTCATACTGTAATACGAGTTTTGAGTGCTTGCCACTAATTCTTGATCCCTGATACGCATTTGATTTTGATAGGTCCCTACAACTCCCTGGCTTTCCAAGACCCAGCAATCATGTCAGCTCGCTTGCCAAGTTCGGGGGCGACCAAGGCATCGCTGATGGAGGCTCTTCAGAACCCTATACCGAGCAATGGACTGAACGGATACCGTATGGCAAATGGTCATGACAGCATGGATTCCAACCACAACAGCAACAGCAACGATGCGATCTCAGGTGCGTTTTACAGGCTATCCCATCCAGAAGTGATGATGCGTGGACTTATAATCGAGTAGTCCTCTCAACGTGGACTCTTTAGACGCCTTTGGACTGGTCAATGAATCAACGAGTGGACGTTTGATAGATGGAGTGCTGGAGAGAGACGATTTATTTGGACTTTTCTGATTAACAGTGACGGCGATGAACGATAAGTCGTGATGGATGTGGACGTGGAGCTGGACATGGACAGTGGACGAGAGTTGAATGGATCACAACAAAACAATGGGAGAGGTGAACGATACCGAGAGTTCCCGCAGGATGAAAGCTGAATGACAACACACCGTTCTATGCGACACCCATGCCGGGCGAACCATAGGAAGGTGCGTTAGAGTGCGACAACACACTTTTGCAGACACTTTTGTCCTACCAACTAGATGTTTTCATACCAGTTATCCCATACTTATTACTTTAAATTTCTCTTTTTCGTTCAATAGAGGGTGATAAGAAGCAGGATGGACAGCAAGTTGCGTCGTTGAAGCAGCAGCAGCAAAGGCAAGGAATGCCCGATTCCCCTTCGCCACTGCAGAACTTTCCTTTGGGCTCCAAGCGCAAAGAAATCAAATCAGTCAAGGGTGTTCTGAACTCTGGAATGAATGCCCCCTTGAATGGAAGTTCGAGGTCCCGTCCATCTTCGACCCCCGGATCCCCTTTGGTCGAACCTCGGCTCCAGCTCCCTACTCAGCAGCAACAACAACAACATCTGCAAGCCAACTCTCAGGCGATGAATGGATTGACTTCTGCTGCAGCTCGATCGGCAAAGGTCAAGTCGGATCTGTTGATGGGCTTGAACTCGCCCAGCATCCGGTCGGATCGGTACTCGGCGGCAGCGAACATGAAGGATGGTTCGGACGGAGGCCAGTACGATATGAACGGATACGGACAACAACATTCGCCTATGATGGGAAGCGCCGTCACGGGCCCGCCTCCTGGTCTTGGCATGCCTAACGGCAACAGCAACAGCAACACCAACCACAACAACCCTGGAAGCCCCTACTCGATGTCGAATCTCCTTGGTCGTCAGCCCGAGTCCTCGCAGTCGCTGTATGGCAATACAAATGGGAAACCCTTGGATGTGGCGACTATGATGAGTGCGCTAGACTTTTTCGGACCTGGGCAGGCTAGTTCGCTGATGATGTCTCCCAACTGGTCTATGGCCAGCGGACATTCTCAACAACAACAACAGCAGCAACAACAGAACCAACAACAGCAGCTTCAGCAGGACAAGAACAGTGGCTCTAACACTGGTCACTCGAGTCCTAGTCTGGCATCTGCCGCAGCAGGAGGAGCGACGGCACGCAGCGTGGAAGATCTTGAGTTGCAGGTGATCAATGCCAAGATGGAGACGCAGATGCTTGAGAACCAGCTGAATGCGGTCATCAAGCGCAACCGCCGCAAGCTCTACGCTTAGTCTTTCTGTTTGTCGTTTCAAATAAACAGCTCGTAGACGATGAGAATTGTGTATGTGTTTATTTCTTTGTTCTGTGCGACAGGGAAATGCATCATGCAAGGGAAGTCAGGGATTGAAATGGTCCCTTACTCTTTTTTTTTTCGGGAGAGGATTTGGCATGGTGGCAATGAGTTGTTTCTCAACAACACTTACGAATTCTTTTCATTTCTGTCCTTCGATTGTCGGGGTTTTCTGGTTGTTTAAACAACCAGATTTTTCTGGGCACTAATCACGTGTAACACCATAATAATGAAACTCGTCACTTACGCCTTCGCCGCCCATGCCTCTGCCCTCGGCGAGTAAAAAAATATCGCGCCCATGTATACAGAAACCCCTCTGCGAAACGCCTTTTCTTCTTTTTCCCTTCGAACGCGCTCACTCACACAAGCTGTTCCTGAAACATGAAACAGGCACGGACCCAATGAACACATTGGTGATCGAATCAAGGTCAGATCCATTAACGGCTTTCAGTAGGGCTAGATCGGGATAGCGATAAGACCTTGCGACTCATCCACCCGTCTCCTGTCGTCAACACTCTGCTTCCTCCTCCTCCTCCTCCGCATCCCTACCAGCTCCTCTTGCTACGCTTCAAGAAACGTCAACCCCACAGGTCCAGTCGACTGCCAAAAGTTCTCTACATACCTCCAAACCATATTCTCAAGATTCATCAAGCTCTTCAAGAAAACAGTGCTCGGAAACCAGCTGTTCTATCTCTATTCTCTCCTCCCCTTCATCCTCGTTCTTTTGCTTCTTCGCCAGTCAACCCTTTCTCTCATTCCTCTCACTCCTATGATTCCTTATCTCCTCCATCCAACTCTCCTTCTGTCTCCGTCGCAGTTACACCCTTCAGAGTTTCTCATTCGGAGTTGCACACGACACGATCAAGAGTGCAAATTGGCGAAGGAAGTGTTGTTACTGGACAGACGACAAAAAAAAAAAACAGGAACCTTGGCCAAGGCGCGTCTAGATACAATCATGCCTCCTTCCTTCTTAAAGGTCCTTGTTCTTGTTGTGCTCTCGAAATGTTATTTTGGCGCATGGGGAGGAGACTACCCGAATAGGAAACCAATGACCTAATGCCGAACGGGGCAAGAGAGAGGCGGCGTATCTCTGGAAGAGCCGGAAGAAGGCAGCAGGAAAGAAAGTGTGGGATAAACAAACGCGACTTGATTGGTTCACACAAAGCACACGCACACGCATGACCTTTTGTTATTTTTGTTGCATTGTCCGACTGGCTGTTTTGTTTTCTTGGAAGGCGGGTGAACTTGATAATAAAAAGAAAAAAAAAAAGAAATGATAGTGAGTTCAGGAAACAAACGAGTAATCGACAACATATGTCGTCAAAGTTCAGAGGCATCCTTTTCCTCTTCCTCCTTCTCCTCTTCCTCCTCCTCCTCCTCCTCCTCCTCGTCATTCATCGTTTTTCCGTTTGGTGGTCCTTTGTTCCTTTTTTGCAGCTTCCGGCTAATTTCTCACTCTATCTACTTTTCTTGCAATTGTCATACTCCTCAACACTCATTTTTCGTGTTCCTTGTTTTTTTTGTTTGTTACAAAAAGTAGCATGCAAGTTGCTTGTTTTTTTTTATTCAAGTTACACACTTGGTATCATATATAGAGCAGAGAAAGAAAGAAGAGATAAAAGTGGAGGAAAAAAAATATACACTACAGGCGTATTTTACATAGTAGGGAGCTGGTGAGCATCAAAACCCAAAGTCTTGTTCTTCAAGGGCTCCTGGGGGTTACCATGGTGGTCATGGGCAGCAGCATGAGACTCATGGTGGACATCGTGGTGCTTGTGCTCATGGTGGGTAGGCGCGTGATCCTCCTTGGGTGGGAAGTGAGGGACACCAATCAAGCCAGCGGTCGCGATACCGGCGCCGATGTGGCTACTCATGGCGTTGAGGCCGGCCTGGGCCATGGGAGGGAGGGGGTGATCGGCGACGTGGAGTGGGGTCTTTTCCAGGCTTGGATGTGCGGCGTCGTGGTGCTCCTTTTGGGCCTTGAGAGTCTCGACGGGGTGGGACTCGATCTCGGAAGGGTTGGTCATTTTTTGTGATGTGTTTTTGTTGGTTTGTTGAGAGAGGAGGGGAGCTGTTGGTGTTGAATGAAGATATAAAAAAAAAGGAGGGGAGAGTATCGATGGTGCAGGGGGTTTTTATACTCCCAATGCAAAGGAAGAATTGTCTATGCGCGATAAAGTTGTTTGCTTGTGAGAAGAAACAAGGAACAGACATGAATGGACAATGAGGCAAGAGAGTGACATCAACCGCATAAGAAAAAAGCAAAGAACGGACGAATGGCGAACAAGCAAAATGGACACAACAGACAGCAAACGAGGAGGCGTTTGTTTAGTGTTCGACTATGACAACACCACTTCTTCTCACTTTTGAGTCCAATTACGTCCGTTTGTTTGTATGGTTTTGTTACTTTGTGTGCCTCTTTGGTTGCAAATCAGGGACATCCGACACCAACGGAGAAGGGACGAGGCAAAACTATGAGAAAGAGGGAAGGGAAAATACAACAGGGGCTCTCATTACAGAGTTGAATCGATGATGCATTATGCAATTCTCTCAGAGAGAAGGGAAGGAATTTCTATCCGTCTGTTGGTTGGTTGGTTGGTTGGTGTGCACTGAAGTGAAGGGTAAACATTGTCACCCTCCAAACTGTTGGAACAACGTAGAAGAGTCTCGTACGGCGGGGATAAAGTCCATTGTCAACCGTAAACAAGCGGTTTCTCTTTCTCTTTTTCTCTTTCCTCTTGTTCTCAACGGACTTCATGAACAACAACACCGTGTCGTCATTGGTTCTTTCCTCTGCCTAGAACAAAAAAAAAGAACCAGGCACTTCCTCTTGTCTAATGCCTGCGTATGTCGGAATGGTATTCGAAGAGTCGAGAACTTGACGAAACACGACAAAGAACAACAACAAACACGGACACACGTCTTCACTCGTATTTCAATTCGCGCATTCCCTCTGTTTGTACCTGACTTTCTTATATGCTCTGCAACGCCCACTTTTCAAGAAGAAAAGACGCCAGTTGAAGTGCACAAACGGTTCCTGCGTGCCCTCCTTCCCTCATTGTCCATGTGTATGATGCGATGTCCGTGTTCACACCTCCGTCTTTCTCGTCTTCTATTGTGAAAGAACCTTCTCCATGATAGTCACAAGGGAAGGTAAAAGGAGATAAAAAAGAAAGAGAACGGGAGTGGGTGAGAGAAGAGACACAATGGAAAGAAGAGGCGTCGAATCTCGGTACATGCTGGTATTAACTTTCTCACGCCATTCTTACCTCCCCCTTCTCCTTCTCCGCCCCCTTCCTTCCTTACTCCATCATTGTTCTTGTCCCTTGACTGACTCGCATAACTAGGACTATCAATCCTCATTGTGCACGTTCTTTGGTTGAACGTGAAGGCGATGAAACAAGAGACAAATGGGTTGATGAGAAACCAGGGTTAAGAATGGTGAGAAGGGAAAAAAAAAAAAAATGTGGCGAGGCTGAATTTTTTTTTTTTCCCTTCTTTCGCCCTTTTGTGGTTTCATTCTTTTTCTTGCATTGTTCACTCGATCGGGGAATGGATCTTGTCTTCGTCAGCAAGTTTTACTTCTGTGAGGAATGGCCGATTCCCTATTCTTGGTGAGTCATTTTTTTCGAAAGAAGGAGAGACGATGAAAAGCGATGTACGAGGAGAGCCGATGGGTGTTTCGGCAGTTAGAGCGAGAGGTAGAATCCGGACAAGCAAAAAAAAACCCATTACAACCAAGTTCGCCGTTTCGATATGTGCTTGGAAATCAACAATTTGAAACACTGCATGGCTATGGGCATGAATGGGCATGGAGGGAAAAACAAGTAAGGAAAGAATAAGACCATGATGTGTGTATGTGGATGGTAAACAAGGTAAAACGCTCAGGACCAAACACATACACAGACAAGATAGACAAAAAAACATCATTCTTATGCACGCCCGCTTGTGTTTGGTCCTTGCTGTTCGTAAGGGATTCTAGGCTTTTTCGTGGATGGTCATTGGTCCATGAGGATGAGAGGATGGGAGGAAGCCTTAAGATCAAAAACAGCCTCCTTGTTACGCGTTATTGATGTTGTTGACGTTGTTGCTGTCTAAGATGTCAGAGACGAGTAGGGGGGAGAAGGAGTGGATGGGGACTTTGACAAACGTCCGCTTTTTATTACACTGAGTGAGTACTGTACATTGTGAAAACTAGGGTGGAATGCAAATCGCTGTACCCCTTAGTAGGCAAGACGACCCTTGGCACAGTTGGGCGTCTTAGCCCCATAAACATTATGATGCTCCCTCTGCTCCCACCCCAGCATCAACTTCTGGAAAGGCGCCTCCCACGCCTTACATTCCCCCGGACAAGCAGCCTCAACGCCCGCAACCATAGCCTTCTGAACCATCGCATTCTCCTCTCTATAAGTCTTCTTCATCACATTCACAACCGCATGATGAACCATATCAAAGACCCCATCACGATGACCCCAGGGTGCGAAACAGGCGATGGATTTTGCCGACCCACAGAGTTCGTCGGGGGATCGACGGGGCGGTTTGTCGTGACAATTCTTGCGGAAGACGGAGAAGATTGCTTCGTCGATGGCGCCACCGCGGCCGGAGAGGGAGGTGATGGCGCTGTGGGAGAGGGTCTCGGCGCGGGCTCGGTCGGCGATGGGGAGGGTTGCGAGCCGGCGGTCGATAACGGTTGAGTAGCGCTCGACGAGGAACTTGACGGGGTAGATCCTGCACTCACGCTCTGTTTGTAAGGAAGAGGTAGAAGTGGGTGGAAGTGTGGGGTGTTTTAGTAAGTGAGCATACATGGTATACATGTGGTTGTTGTTCAGTACGGGCATGGCGCAATTGACAGCATATACAGTTGGTTACGAAGGATAAGAGCAAAGGCATTCTGGTTCTTACCACAGGCGAAAGCAGTGGGTGCGAGGAAGGAGGCAATGGCAAGAGCCGAAGTAGTCAACAAAGTAAAGCGAACCATGATCGTCAAAAGAAGATTGCCTATGATACAGGAAAAAATGAGAGAAAGATAAAGAAGAGAAGTGGAGTGAGGACGCAAGAGATAAAAAGTAGAGAAGAGGGGTGTTTTTATGTCTCTCTCTTAAACCAGAGGAATGCTGTACCTAATTCTGACACAAACCTCAAATCCATGAAGTGAACAACTCTCTCTCTCTATGCCAAAGGTTCTCAACTAGCTCGTCTTTCTTTATACTTGGACATTTGACTAAGAAGGGTGGATGTGACTCTGTGGGGCTATGGATTGAGATGAATGTAATTCTAGCGCGCAAAAATAATATGCATGTCCATGGTTCCGAATCTTCCTAAGAAACAAAAGGAAGAATGTCGCATAAAAAGGAAGTTCATAACCATTTTTTCTTTCGCCAATAAGTCCCGGACCCCTCGATGACTATGTGGGTTCATGATGTGACAGGAAGGATGCATTTGTGCTCACGGAATATTGAGTTGAAAAAGAGTTCTGATGGAATAATGTCAATACGGGGGAGTTGTCCTCCGTCTCATCCTCTCTGTCGCGCCTGAGGTACTCGTGGCCTTTTCGCATTCCTGAATGACATCCGATCCTTCCCATTGGTAGGATAGACGTCAAGCTGGATGACTGACATTTATGGGACTTCAAGGGAGGAGAGTAGTAGTAATAGGTGAGTGAGTGGGTCGCCTTGATGGTGGTAATGGACGGCTTGACCTTCGAACACAATGAGTTTCGGAGTTGAGTGGCGATGGATCTGGCGCATGTTGTCATTTTCCCCATAAATGCTCACTCCTCGAAACAAAAGTCGTGCACTAAGAAAAAGACGGGAAGAAGGGAATAAAAATCGGCCGTCAATGAGCGGGACGCGTTGTTGCATATCAAACGGTTACAACAATAACGCGTGTACAAATGCCAAAAAAAAAAAAATGTAGACCGAGAACAAAAAGACATTTTTACTTACGAACGGTCGGCATCGTCCAACATGAAACGTCCCCCTCGAGGAGGATGTATGATGTTCATAAGACGGCAGAGGACTGCATGCCAGGGCGGATAAAGCCAATAGATCCAGCAGGAGTTCCACTGGGGATCCCTGGGTTCAATGAAGCGATATTCCTTAGCCGACAACCACAACAACCCCGAGGATTCGTGCCCTAGACACAACAAAAAAAAAGACATTTTATTCTTTTTGTTTTGTACTCTACTACTTGCGCACCAGGATTCCTTTCAGTAAGTTACTTCTCCAATCTCAAGAACGACGATGATATCAGGTCCTCATAAAAAAAGTGAAAATCAGGTTGGGACACTGAATCCGGGCTGTTCTTGATACAGAAAGAAAAATGATCCTCGATAGTTCCGACTCGGCCGATGAAGAGAACCACTTCAAACGAAGAGAAGAGTCGAGGGGTGGGGATACTCAGAAACGTGAAGGGCAAGAAAAAAAACACACCCGCATGGCAAGGATGGCGTACAAGGCATCGAGCCGCACGTGGAGTGTCGGTAGTCTGGTTGTTGCCGGATTGGCAGTGTTTGTGGGTAGTAGGTTAAGTTATTGGAGTCGATGGAGAAATGTATAGAGGGTGTTGACCGATGTGCTTGATATAGTCTTTTTTTTTTCGTTGGTTACAGTCTTGGGTGTAGAGTGTGGACAGACGAGGAGGAGTAGGGGGAAGAGAAAGAGGTTAGCGTAGGAGAGAGCAATTGCTCCTCCCGCCCTTGGGCAATAATGTGAAGAGGATAGAGTGCAAGAAGGCAATGAGGACACGATGAAAAAAGTAGGAATAAAGACGGGATATATACAGATATATAGAATTTTGGCAATACAGTCAAGTTGGTGGTTAACTGGCCAGCTCTGGATCCTGTGTGGGACTGAGCAAGAAAGAGCAAATAAGATAACATTAGCAAAGGCACCAACATTATATGTCCGTTTTCCAACGTCAGGGCTGGAGGTTTTTCCACAAGATGCAAGCGCGCCATGTTGGTAATACTGGACAATTGCTGCAGTTGGGCGACGACACTGTGTGCAGAGTAGCAGGAAAGCTGAGGGACTGAGAGGAGTGTGAAGTGGAGAAGCAAATGTCGCCTCTCCTCTCCCCTCTCCACTCTTTTCTCTTCCTCCGACAAGCTTCAACAGCTCAGAGCTCTCAAGCACAGGAACGGGTGCCTATCGGCGCGAAGCCATGAGGCGCCGCCGAATCACTCGCGAAGGAGAGGGGGGTCAAATGAGGCAGGGCATGATTCTTCTAGGTACGGCCATTTTTGTGCCACAGGGGTCAAAGGATGGAGGATACACAGGGACATGGCGGTAGCACAGCCTGATATGCATACATACGCAGGTTTACCTCCGTTTCTCTCTCTCTCTGAACAACACACCATCTTCAGCCAGAGCTACAAATGAGCAGCGAGTGTTTACATAGGGAATACCAAAAAGGGAATTTATTGACGTGGGCGAAGTGTATTGTCACACCTTGGTTGGCGGCGGTGGAGGCAGTTGTGTAGCAGATTGAAGCCCTGTCTCGAGTTACCGCCATCCTCACCCTCGCTAGGATTAACTGGGGGGTCGCGGGGCGTCCCTCCAACATAAGTAAGCGTTCCGTCCACATTCTTAATTTTGTCAGCTATGAGAAGGAAATTTGGAGACGTGAATGCCCAAAGGGTTTGGAGAACAAAGGGAGAGGTTGGGGTGGGTGGAAGAGGTAACGGGAGTTAGAGGGCGAATATTCCAAGAAATCCAAGTCCTTCAGCTCAGACCTTCCCACTCGCTAATAGTACCTAGTGCGCCTTCCCTCTTCCCATTTACTTACCAAGGTCAATGGTAGCATACTGGCCATCCCCTTTTCCGTTCTTAATGTACCCTTGAAAGACGGTTACGTCTTTGAGATCGCGAATTTCAGCGTCATGGGCAAAGTTGGACTGAGCCCATTTAAAATGGCCTGGGCGATGAATCCTTTTAACTGCCTGGATCTTTTGTGTGTGTGTGTGTGTTTTATCGCTTCTCACCATCAATGTTGCCAATGAAATCGTTGTGATTGATCGATGACTCCTTGATCGAGCCGTCGTCGGATTGGCAGCTGGCTATCAGAATTTGCCTGTTCTCAGAAAGCTTGGTGTTCTGTGCACGTATCCTTGATGGACTTGGCATTCGAGGGAATGGGGGACGGCAAGCGATGCTGTGGAAGAGTATTTCTGGTGTAAGGTTGGGTGTGCGGGTGCAAAAGAAAAAAAAAAAACGAGAATAAGGTTGAGACTGGGATGCCGCGCCATACGCGCGCTTTTTAAAATCATTGACGAGGATGCCTGGCTTGGTGGTCAGTTTCGCAGATCCGTGCCCCCAGGGCGGCGTGGAAGACTCCTTGCCGCTCACCAGTACACCGCCGCTGGAACGCAAAGCGGAGGCATCAGAGGGAGACGGACAACACCATTTTTCAGAGTTGAATTTCAAGGACAACACCACATCTTTCAGAGAACTTCAAAGAGAAAGGGACAACACTAAAGGGGACGAACGTGCACATTCATCTTCATGCCCTTTTGGCATTAGTTCCCGAACTGAACCGACCCCTTGACATGGACGCCTCAAACTAGTCTGGAAACACCCTTTATGATGAAAGATGCCCCGGCTTGAGGGTCAAGTTTACACCACTAGAGCATTACCATCCTCTTAGAGGTACTATTCTCAATGGAAGAGAGAAACGGCGGGGAACGACTTTGCCAAAGGGAGTTGGACCGATAGTTTATGGTCGTCGGTATGTATTCCCACCAAGAGAGACCTTCTTGCAGTACAAAGTTAACCCCTCCCCTCGTACCTCTTTGCACGGGAGTCAAAGGATTGAAAAGCTGCTTTCCCCCATAAAATGACTGCCATCCCTAGGTCCTAGCTGCCCATTCATCTAGCCAACAGCTATTCTTCGTTTCCTGCAAAGGACCAAATGTGCAGAGTACGGAACACGACGATGATCCAGCCAACATATGTGACACTACACACAATGCAGAAAATTGTAACGCTTTAGAATATTCACTTGTCGCATCGAGTTAGGAGTCGGCTATCAACCATGCAAAAGCAACTGTTGCTGTCAAAAGTGAACGTTTTCTGCAAGCTGATGCTGAGGGTCTGGTCATTGTGAAAACAAAAGACTGACACGACGGCAGCCTGCTATGTTTTCATGCAAACTATGCCTCTACAGTTGAAGAAGGCATCTAAAGGGAGAGCATCGCTCCTGTGTTAGGAATGAGGACCAAAGGGGTGTGGATAATGAAATGTTGTTGTTTTTTTATTAACAGAGGACACAATGATGATGACCAAAAACAAAATAAGGAAACCCCGGTTGAAAAGACTATTCTACAGTGGAATGGAGTTGAAAGAATGGAAGAGAGAAAATGTGCATATGTAAAAAAAGAGATGGTAACCTGACTTGCTTAGACGACGCGACCGTTGAAGAGACGGAGGACCATGTAGGCGACACTGCCGATGAAACGGAAGAGGGCGAGACCAGCGACCGACCAGAGGACGATACCGAGGTACAACTGACTGTTCTTCGTGAAATCGGATCCGAAAGCAGACGAAGTAACCAAGGCGACCAAGAGGGCGTTGGACATGATCCACGACAGCAAGACGCGAGTACGAATCTCACGGTAGTAATCCTCCTGCTTGGTCTTGGCATCACGACTCTGCTTGACCTCGACAGTCTTGATCGAAAGCGAAGACACGGCCTCATCGTAGGCGTTGTTGATATCGTGGCTGTCCGTGGGCACGTCGACCTCGACTCCTCCCTCGGCCGTCTTCTTGGCAACTCCGAGATCCGTGGCAACAGAGGTGTCTCCCTTGGTTCCCCAGGAGATATCATGGATGTTACAGAAGGCGTAGACGTTGAGAATGTTGACGTACGAGGGGACCATGAACAGGTACTGAATGAACGAGTGGAACATGTGCCAGGGCTCCAAGAACAGGAAACTGGCAAAGAAGTACAGTCCGTAGGTCGAGGCGAGCGAGATGACAGTGTTGCGGAACATGTCGTTCTGGAAAAGATACGAAGCTTCCGATTGTCCTTCGGGCCTGTCCTTTTGAACCTCCTGGATTCCGCGAACAGTCATGTAACCGGCTCCGAACAACATGTATCCCATCAGCACCGCAAAGAATCCCATCGACGACTTGTAGGCCCAGTTCGATCCCTGAGGTCTGTTACCCATACTCATGATGAACTGAGCAATGATCAACAAGATGTAGATGTAGCGAGTGATGGTGAAGATCCAGAATCCGGCAGCGTTTTCTCCGAAAGGCGATTGCTGAGGCGCATGTCCCTCTGTGTTGCCTTCTCCGTAGTAGACCATCGCGCTTCCGAGAATGTAGAACGTTAAGTAAAAGTTGGCCTAATTCATTCGAAATAACAATGTGCATATGAACTGTCAGTCAAAACATGCCTGCATGCAAAAAAAAAATATATATAACATATTAAGTAGGCGGAGAGGTGAAAGAACTTACCAAAGCGAACCAGGAGAAGAAAAGAGAGACAAAACTGTAAAAGAACTCGAGATGGAAGAACATCTTGCGGGATGTAGAGTGGTCTGAGCGCCAGATATCCATCTGGTGAACCAAGGCATAGACAGAAGCGAAGAAGGAACCGTTCAACCAACGACGACGTTGGGAGATAAACTCGGCAACAGTGCTGGGCACATCGGTCTCACCGTAGGCAGACTTGACGTACTGAAGGACCCAGGCGGCGTTTCTCTTGGCGACCAACTCGAAGCAGAGGATACGATCCTCAGCCAGGTACATGTTGGCGGTGAAGATGTTGGCATCGGAACCATGGAACTTTTCACCTAAGAAGTACTTTTCGAGAGGACCTTGGCCGGAGGGGTCGTTCTGGAGGGCACGGTAACGGTAAGCAGAGAAGGCTCCTGGCAAGACGGAAATGTAACCAAAGACAGACTCGAGGGGCTTGTCGAGAATGTTGGACATCTTGTACTCGAAGTTCTGGGAAGCAACCAAGGGCGACAGGAGCTCGCTGCCTCCTTTACCCAACATGGCGCAAATCTCTCCACAGGCGCCTCCGACGTTCGAGTTGAGATCGAAAGCCTTCCAGAGATGGTAGATGGAAGTTGATCCAGGGCGGGTTCCGACATCGAGCAAGACACAGACATTGGGCTTCAAGACCTGTCCGAAGGCGTTGAAGAACCAACTAATGAAACGATATATTGCGAGGAATATCGATTGAAAGTTAGAAACTATGACAGTCCAAATGATTTTTCCGCTAGTGTGTATCCAGTCCAGAGTGTCCACAGCCCATCCATGTCATATTCTCAGCCCAGTCCCCAAGCAGCGGGAAGGGTGTAATAATAGCAACAAACAAGAAAGAAACACTGCGTTTTGGTGATAGCCGTTTGCCTTTCACAGTCAGCCCTGCCTTTTTTTTTTTTTTTTTTTTTTTTTTTTACTTACCGATGAGAGTTCAGTTTCTTGGCGTTCTTCTCCTTGAGGCAGAAAAGAATCTGGACAGGGACATAGCCCTTGTCGTGTCCTGAACGACCCATCTCGGGGTCAATGGTGACCTGGGTTGTGTACTGTATAAAGCATTCATCAATTGGAGCGGCTCATTAGAAAAACTAGTATTTTTCACAGGCTGAAGGAAATTCACACACACACATAATGATTGAAAACATTGATACATACCTCGTAGATATGGGCGGTGACGGGCTTGTCGTTGACAATGTTCTTGGCGACACCATCCTGGTAGACACCCATGGCGGCAAGGACGTTGAGGGTCTTGGGGTTAATCTTTGTACGACCATCAGAAACAATGCAGACGACAACCTTCTTCCAGGCATCAGGGCCCCAGGTGCGGGAGCGGTCGCGGGTGGTGAGATGGCGAATGTTCTTCATGACACCGTGCATTGTTCTTGTGAAGAGAACCTCATCTTCCTATTTGTTTTAGAGAGAAACAAACAAAAGGGTTAATTGAGTGCACAAGCATGGATCGCTTTGTTTGTTTCATGTCTCTTTTGCCTCTGAGAAGAGATTGGTCCTTCGTCAATGATATAAAACGGTTTAGTTGTTTGTTCCTTTCTTTTTTTGCTATCCAACCAACCAAACAACCAACCCACCAACCAGCCAGCCAAGCAAGAAGGGTAAGCAAGCAGGCTGAGTGGATCCCATATCACTATCACCGGCGAATTTTCCTTTTTTCCCTGTCACTTTCCCGCTGCTGTTGTTTTGATTTGCTGTCGTCTTTTAACGTTATTTTTTTTTCTTTTCTGTGTTCCTTTCCCATTGACTGAGTTCTCGCCCGCGGGAATAGAGTGTTGCTCCAGAACAAAAAAAAAAAAAAAAAGCACTGACGAGGCGGGAAGGGGAAAAAAGTACAAAAAAACAACAAGCGAATAAATAGCCTGAAAACAACGTAATAGTCGCTCAAGTGGCGCGCAAACTTACGTTGTACATGGTCATGACGATGAACAGCTCAGTCTCACGGGGCTGGTCATCCACCAACAGGGGTCGAAGGGTGTAGTTCTCGGCAGCAAAGTCGTTGGGATCACAGGTAGCAGCGGTGTAGCGCATGTGCGTAAACTCCTCGCCCTCCTGGTGCTTAAGCGTCTTGAGGAACTTTGAGGGCACAGGGCAGTCGAGGACCAAGTTACCTGAAGTCAGCTTGACCTTCTTGGTAGTCTGGTAACGACGACGTTGAGCAGTGGGTGCGGGGCCATAGTGGCGAGTATCGGGCGTGCCTGGGGGCAGAGCACCTCCGGCCATGTCGAACTTGACGTGAGGGGAGCCCTGGTGGCCGAGGTCAGGCGTGCCGGCAAAAGGGTTTGCAGCAATATGGGGCGAGGGTATGCCGAGAGGCTGCTGGTGTGGGGTATAGGGCGAGGGAGCGAATCCAGGTGCGGGACTGGGAGCAAAGCCTGGTGCGGCGTTATTACTGCTGTTGTTGTATCCGGACGAGAGGAGGAGGGGCGCATTCTGGGAGTAGGCGGGTTGGGGCTCGTCGTCGAAGGGGTTGGCATTCGGGTTGTACTGGACGTTGACGTTTTGCATCGGGTAGTCCGATGGGGCCTGGCCAGGAGGGTAGCGAGACATGATGGCCTTTTTATGTTCTCTCTATTTGTCTCTAGGTGTGTTGTAAGAAGGGGTAGGTATAAAGAGGAAGTAGATAGAAAGTAGAGAGAGAGAGAGAGAGAGAGAGTGAAGAAGGTGTGTGCTATATCGGAGGATATCAAAACGAAAAGAAGAAAAGAAGAAAAGAAAGAGATGAAAGCAGGTTTGTGTTAGGTGGGGGGAGGACAAGAAAAAGATGAAGGACGAGTGAGGCTGGTGACGATGATCAGAGGGAGAGAGAAGGAGGGGAGGGAGGTTGAGGTTGAAATAGGGGCAGTCAAGGGGGAGTGTGAGTTGTAGACAGTCGACACACCGCCCTCCCTTTGTCTAACACGCACCACAACGCTATTTTCTACTTTCTGTTTCTTCATCTTCGTATTGCTGACCCCCCTTTTGATGTTGAAGGATAACAGCCTGGTGGCACACACACACACATACGAGTCGAAGAAGTACCGGAAGAGACGCACAGAACCATAGGCACCCTTCACAGGACTGAGCGCTCACTTTCTGTTGCTGTTGGATCTGATCAGCTCTCTTTTCTTTCGGTCATCGCCATTCCTTTTCTTCTTTTTTCACCGGGAAAAGCGCTTCCTGCAGTTTGTTGTTACCTGTGTGTTGAAGGTGAGGCAGCAGCACTTGGAAAGGAAAAAGGGAGGCGAAGGGGGAGGGCGGTGTAGGAGCGAAAAGTGAAGAAGTGGGAAAAGAAGGAAAAAGAGGAAAAGAGAGGAAAACAAAGGCAGGGGTGTGGTTGCTTTTATTTATGTACGAAAGGAAGGGGCTAAGGGTCGAAAAGAAAAAAAAGTTGAGGCGGTGTTTGCTCACACACATCCCCTCCTCTCTGTTTTCATTTTTTCGACCTTGTACGCTTGTGCGCTAGCCAAACACTAAATCGACTTGCCACAACTATCTTTTCTGTATGATGTTGTTTATCGTTCAATTGGCAACAGCAAAAACAACAACAATGGCCTTTCACCTCATACCAAGTAATTGACGAGTAGAGATTCAACCTGGCCATGGGAACCAAAGGGCTCGTCAACGGTTCCGCAACCTCAGGCACCTCGAAGTCTAATTGTATTTTCTCCATACCTCTACAAAATAAAAAGTGGTAAACAGGGCTGTGTGATTATTTCCTTCTTACAAAGGTCAACAGGATCAGGATCACAAACCGGACTTTTGGTCTTCTCTGATTGGATGATATTTTTAGTCCTGTTCCTCACCATCATCGATGCCCAGCGCCTCCTTTCGTGGCGGTGCCCTTCTTCCCCTTTGCCTCGACCATGTGTCGTGTATCGTTCGTTGAGCACTTTTTTTTGCCCGCTAACATGACCAACCGAGACCTTTTTGCGCATCTTTCGTCATCACCTTTCTCTTCGTCGTTGGCTTAAGCTTCACCTTTTTTTGTCCTTCCTCCAATAGCGCATCATGGATAAAAGTTATAAATATTCAAGACCCGCCAGTCAGCATATGAAGAAGCATTCTCCACGGGGAATGGATAATCATTCGCATTCATGACGCTTCAAGGGAAAAAGAGGGGAAAGAGGAAAAAAGATAGACCAAGGAACGTAGAGTAGGAGGTTAATCCTTCTCTGTCTCTCCGTTCGCTACGTTAGTCGTTCGATCTAGACACCAATCAGTGAGATAGACGCTGTTTCTGGGCGTCTGCTCAGGAACAACTTCCTCGCATCCCACCCAACTTCGCACTAGTGACGAGTATTGAGGCTTGAAGATATATAAAGAGGTCAATCAGACATGGTTGCCTTTGCTCTCAGAATAGACGTATGCAAGTTTTCTTCAGCCAGAACCATGGGCGCGAAAGTTCTTTTTGTCAACGGCGGAAGGTGCTCTGATCTTCCCTGCAGCAGCCTTGCCACCAGGCAAGTATGTATCGCCATCATCACTCAATGATCCTTTCTTTGGCCAAAAGAACGGTCTAGACCACCAATACAGAAGGTTCATTTCCTCCCTTTCCTTCTGTGCCAGCTTCTTTACATTACATTTTGTGCGACTGTCAACCAAAAGAAAGACAAGAGCAAAGGATGGAAATCATCACGAGCGGGCGAAGGCGTAGCGATGAGCAACAAGCAGAAAGATTTCCTTTACCCCTTCTCACTCGACCCCTAATCCTTCCGGTTGACATTCCCCCTGTCAACTGCTAACGGTCAAACGTCTGTTCCCTCTCTGATCTGGAGAAAAGTTCACAAAGTCAACAAAATTACATACACGGGCTCTGTTTACTACTATGAAAAATGCCAGTGTCCCAAGTGGCATGGCAAGCGATGCCCTGAAGCAGTATCACAGGGCAGCCGACTTGGCATCCTTGTTGTTTTTGTCTTCGGTATCTGCGAGCAATAAGCCCAATTGCAGTCTACCTCTCGGCTATGATGAGCTCCTTCCTTGTCCAAGGCCAACCTTGCAGTCAGATTCCTTTGAGTCCTGGGCAGTCTCTGGCTTGGCAGCCGTAGGTTGCACAAAACATAAAAACATTGTTCTTGTTTCCAACCGAACATCATCTCCTTTTCCCCCTTTTCCCCACCACCCTGCATGTGTCAACCTTGTTTTTTTTCGTGTCCGTGTTTGTTCCTCTGCTGGCTCTTTTGCTTTCCTTTATTATCCTCCTTTTCATTCTTCTTTTCCTCTTTCTTTTTCACCACTCCAAACTCACCTTACTCCCACAAGTACCACCAACAAAGTCCAAGACAATCACCAACATGCCACCAACGACCATGAACAAGATCCTCCTATCCCTCCCCCCACCAGTCCTTCAACAATCCGCAAACCTAATCTCTTTCTACTTCCAACACGTCCGACCACTGATCCCCATCGTACGCAAATATATCCGTCGATTGATCCTCTTGACCCTGTTGACCAACTTCAAGTCCTTGCCGGGTGTGTTCCATGCAAAGATGGGTCTTCGAATTGCATTGGTCCAGTTGTATTCGATCCGGTATGGACGGGCGTTCAGGATCAAGCCGACAGAGACTAGTGTTGTGAGGGAGAGGGTTTGGTTTGATGATCTGGATCTCAACTTTCACTTTTCCAACAGGTAAAAGGGAAAGGGGGAAAATGCTGTCCGCGTTTAATTGAATACCGAGGAATGTGTCTGTCATCCGCGCATGCTACACCTTACTCCCATCACTCGTTAACAAAAACGATCCTCTCTCCTCCACAATGTCTCGATATGCATAGCTCGTACGGAAAGAACTGCGACTTTGGTCGAGTCAAATACGTCACTTCACTCCTCGGTCCCTCCGCCCTCCCTTACCATCCCTTCCAAAAGATGACTTTTGCCCTCGGCGGGAACCAAATGTGGTTCAAGAAAGAAATTAGACTCTTCCAGACCTACGAGATCCGTACCCGCCTCTTGTCCTGGAACCAGAAATGGTTCATTATCGAGCACAGGATGTATACCCCCTGCAAGGGCAAGACCCAGACGCTGTGTGCCATTGGGTTGAGCAAGTTTGTGTTGAAATTTTCGGGTGGTACTTGGAAGGGTAAGACGGTTCCGTTTTTGGATGCGCTGGAGATGGTGGGGCATGATGTTAGGCAGCTGAGGGTGCTTGAGGCCAAGGCGAAGGAGAATGGGGAGGAGGACGGAAATGTAGTGCTGTGGCCGAGGGAGGAGTTGAGGTTTGAGGGGTATGATGGGTGGACTGATAGGGGTGCTGCCGTAGGGAATACGCTTGATTTGTGCGAGCAATTGTTGTTGAAGCAGAACTGAGGATGTGGTGCCTTCCAGAGCATGAAGTGAGTAAAGTAACAGAAATAAACACTAGCGGCTGTAAAAAAAGATCGAAAATGTACACAGTGCTTACTTGCTAGTTTATTTCGCATAGAAGATCATGATGGACAGTGCAAGGGCTATTATAGAAATTATGGCAATAGGATGGACGGCACCAAACATGCCATAAGACTCCAAAGAGGATCCATTTCCCTGCTGCAGCTGGACCAGGATCCCGTTCAGCTTGGAAACGAAAGCTTTCAGCGAGAACAAACCAACAACACGGTCATGTCCAGCCTGGCCCATCTCCTCGACCTCCTGGTTCGACTTTTCGAGCAGAGTCTTGAGAGTCTCAGCCCAGATGGCCTCCTCGGGCTCACAAAGGTATCCAGTCTTGCCATGAAGGACCGATTCGGTGGGGCCGCCAGAGTTGACGGCGACGACGGGGCACTTCATGTACATCGACTCGACAGGGACAATGCCGAAATGCTCGTTGGTGGGGGTATAGAGCAAGGCGCGTGCTGTCTGCAACAGGAACAGCTTTTGAACATCTGAGATCGACTGCAAGAACAGGACCTGCGTATCTCCAGGAACAGCCTTGTCAGTCTGTCCTGAAGAGAGTGTGAAGGTCTTCAGCCCATACGTGATCTCAGCCAACTGGACCAATTCCTGGTGATGCTCAACATTCTCGGAGACACGAGTGTCATATCCTCCTGCGATGATCAAGCGGAGTTTCCTGTCTTTGATGCTGCTGGCGTTACCTTTGAGGAGTCGGGCAAAGGCGTGGATGGCGAGGTTGATGTCCTTTTTGCGCTCGTAACGGTTGATGGAGAGGAAGGAAACAGTAGAGTCGTCAGCCGCCTTCAAGACCTGGACTTCAGGCAGTGAAAGATCCACGGGTCTGTCAAACTTGTCGAATTGGATGCTGGGATAGAGGACTTCAGGGATCTGGCGGAGGCGTTGGAATGATTGCTGGAAGATGTGTGCCGTAAACTTGCTATTCACCACAATCGTATCCGCCATTCCTAGAGTGAGAACGTGCCAAGCACTTGATCAGCTACATGATCTTATCGATGTCCTTACTCATCTCATCAAGCAATCTCCGCGTGGTAGTACCTGTGGTGAGTTCCTCGATGAAATCAACAGGGAGTCGATAGAGCTTTTTGAGGAACGATTCGCGTTTGGTTAACAGTTTGTCGGGGAAGTGGCAGTAGAAAAATATCTTTGCCCCAGTCCAGCGTAAGAGAGGGATCGAAACGGAGAGTTGATCGACAATGATGATATCAAACTTTTCTTTGCCGTCCAGTTTCCTGTTCAGCATGATCATGATCAAAGCAAGGTGAATGTTCCTGAGAATGGCGCAGATGATGTAGAAGCGTCCTGCAATCGTCCTTGGCACAATCGTGTTTCCGCCAACCTGGACCTTCAATGTTCCTATTGTTGTCATGGCGATGTGATAATTATTAGACTATGAAAGCTTGAGAATATGTTCAATGCCTTTTTTCCAGACGTCAACTAATTACCATCGCGGGTTTCCTCGAAGCAATGAGAAGGGTCGTGGTGAGAGGTGTACATGGTAACCTTGTGCCCGAGGTCTTGGAGTCCAACTGCCGCGTCAACCACGAGTCTCTCGGCGCCACCTAAAGAATGACATGATAATCTATTGATCAGTTGCTAGCCTTTGGCTCCTGCAGCCTGAAAAAGTTGTGTGCCGACGAAAGAGCTGTGTTTATTACCGATGCCCAGGTCGGGGTGGATGAATGCGATCCGCATGGGTGTGAATGGCTCCGCTGTGGGTGATGTCCGTCCAGATGAGGTCATTGTGTTGCGAACCCGGTGATGGGCTGTAGTTTGTGTGTCGTGGAGGGAGAAGGAGAGTTGTTCCCCTGTCACCTTCGCCCAAGAGCTCTTCTAATTAATGGATGACTGGTGGTGGCGCTGCGATTCAGCAGAATACAGAGACGTCATTGATCTGGTCGTCCAGGCGACCTTCGCCTGTGGTTCGTTCGCGCTCACTTTTATTAACCTCTTTCCAGTTTCTTCTCTTCACCTTTCGTTCCTTTCTTTCCTTTCATTCTTCTCCCCCACCCTTCCTCCACCGTTCCCCAGCCGCTTCTGGATCACGGAACCCTCGTCAAGTCCTTGCACGAAACACACTCCCCCGTCCAGACCAAGAACAGCGCGCCCGCCCCTTTTAAAGATCGTTTTTTTCCCCTCTGCAACAAAAACGATCGCCAATCCGCTTCTTTTAACAAAAAGAAGGACACTCCAGCACACACACAAGACAGGACTCGAATCAAAGGCGATCGTTTACTGAGCGAGAACAACAACACCAGGAGTTCCGCAGCACATCAGCGTTTTATTCGCTCCTTCTTACGCAGCTGATAGCCACCACAGCAACAACAAAACCCCCCCCAAAAAATCACCATGTCGGACGACGAAGAGAGAAAGAACTACTCCGATGAGGAAGGCGAGGACGTCGGCTTCGACGACAGCGACCGCGACGATGACTCTGAGGAGGATGAGGAGGACGACGAGGAAGAGATGAAGAGAGTAAGCGACAACTCCTCAGCAATGCTGTAAACTGCTGGGACTTTCCACTGCTTCACGCCACCGCAACTAAGTGACCCCTATCAGCTAACAGGACTTTATACGCGTTGATCCACCTCGCTACTATTATAGGTCAGAGACGGTTTTATTGTTGACGATGACGAAGACGAAGAGGAAGAAGAGGACGAAGAAGTCGTCCGCCGTTCCAAGAAAAAGAAGAGAAAAAAGGAGGCCATCGGTAAGGGATCAGGATTTGCCCTTTGCAACTGTGTGTTTGATCGGGTTGTCGGTTGAACTCCAGCGAGAGCTACGAATCTGACCAAGAGCAAACCTCCGTGAACGTTTTTCCACTAACCATGTACTAGAGGAGGACCTCGATGATGAGGATCTGGACCTCATGGAGGAGAACACCGGAGTCAAGATCAGACGGCCAGAGGTAACAAGACGTTGCATATGTAACTATTATGAATTTACGCCTCCAGTATTACCCAACGAGCACTTTTCTAACAACTCTTATTTTTATCACTCTAGAAATTCAAACGCCTGAAGAAGCGCAGACAGGAGGACAGTGACGATGACGAGGAGTCTGGACCCCGACATGATGCGCTTCAAAAAATCTTCGACGACGAGGATGATGAGGGCATGGACGACCGCGGCGGCTACGAGGATGATATGGACCGATTCATCGACGACGATGAAGACGATGATGAAGGTCTTGACGACAACCGACACAACCGCCGCGAGAAGGCTCCCGTCAAACCTAGAGCCAGGAGAGCCCCAATTGAAGGCCTGAGCGAGGAGTACGTGTACCTACTTCACATGGATTCTTACAAGTTCAATGCAGGCGAGGTAATCACACAGCTTCTAACCTTTCATTTTTCATATTTTTGCTTACGATAGGGTCTGGGGTGAATGGTACGAAGTCTTTGGTGACGGAGAGGACTACGCATATGCACTTGGCAAGGAGAACGGCGAGGACAACTACTACGACAAGAAGCCCGAACCCAGACTGAAGGACGTATTTGAACCCGGTGTCCTGGCCGAGAGGATGATGACAGATACGGACGAGATTATTCGTGTCAAGGATGTTCCTGAGCGCATGCAGCTCCGCCCCGGCATTCAGGCTGACCGCATTCTCACGGACGACGATGTTGAGGACGAGGCGTACTGGATCACATCACAGCTCAACGAGACTAGGAGAGGCGTTGACCAGCCAGCCTTCCAGGCCGAGAACGTCAACGCTGTCCTGAAGTTCATGTCGATCGAGTTGATGGAGGTACCTTTCATCGAGGCACATCGTCGGGATTACTTCACCAGAGTTAACGGAGCGGAACTCACCAGCCTTTTGTCGCGCGAGGATCTGTGGTATATCTACGACTTGGACCTCAAGTATCGTTCCTTCTTGGAGCGTCGCGAGGCCATCAAGGCGCTCACGGAAAAGATGGACATCAAGGACCCATACCTGAACGAGTCTTTGATCAAGGCAAACAAACTGGAGGAGCTCACGGACGTCTCGGACTATATCAACCTCCGCTTCTCCAAGCAGATCGACAAGACCAAGGCCTTCAAACGTCCAGGTGCAGGAGGCGCATACGACACCGTCAAGCGCCAGCAACTCGCTGGATTCATCAAAGATTTCGGATTGTCGGCACGCGAGTTTGGAACCAACTTGATCGAGGGTAACAAGCGTTTCTTCCCTGAGGATGTCATCGCCAGGTCTCCTACTGAATCTGCAGAGAACCTCCTCAAAGAAGGATTCCCTTCGGCTGATCGCGTCATTACCATGGCGATGAACATGATTGCTCAGGAGTTGGCCGTCGACCCACAAGTCAGGAGGGCGATCCGCGCCAAGTACGAGAGCGCAGCCTGTGTGACCGTGACCCCAACGGAGAAGGGTGCCACTGTCATTGACGAGCTCCACCCTTTCTACCCCTTCAAGCGTCTGGCGCAGAAGTATGTCCGAGATTTCCATGACGGACAGTACCTTCAGATCTTGCAGGCTCAGTCGGAGGGGCTCGTCAAGGTCGAAATCAAGATCTCCGAGGAGGCAAACTACCTCCAGGGCATCATGGACTATTTCTTGAGCGATAACTTTTCAGAGAACTCGCAAAAGTGGAACGAATTGCGCCGAAAAGTCCTGTCGACTGCACTGAAGGACAGCGTCTTTGTGTTGATCGAGCGTGGCATGAGTGAGAAGCTGAGGACCCAGGCTGAGGAGTGGGTCGCCAAGAAGTGCCAGACTACCTTGGAAGATGTATGTTATATTGTCGTTGCCGTTGGTTTGACTGTCTATTGTTCGCGACAATGTTTAGTGTAAATCTAACACTTGGTTTTTATTGAATTTTTACAGAAATTGATGATGGCTCCATATGTTCCCCGTGGCGCACGACCCGACCGTGAGTACTCTGCCAGAGTTGTCGCCATCTCCCATGGAGCAGGATCCAGCAAGGATGCCATCCAGGTCGCCTTTGTCGACGACAAGGGCAAGTTCATGGACCACATGAAGATCGACAACCTGCGCGACGAAAAGTCTCAGAAGGCCCTTATCGACTTTTTAGATCGCCGTCGCCCCGATGTCATTATCGTCGGAGGATTCACTGTCAACACGCGCCGTCTGGTGGAGCAGGTGGAGAAGGTCGTTGGCGATCTTCGCGAGCTGCGTGGAGATGACATCACGGTGATCATGACGAACGATGAGGTTGCCCGCCTCTACCAGCATTCCAAGGCCGCTCAGGAAGACCATCCCGAGGCCAACCCATTGACCCGTTACTGTATCAGTTTGGCACGTCTCATTCAGAACCCCATGAACGAGTACGCTGCTCTTGGACGTGACTTGATCAACATCCGCCAGCACCCTCTTCAGCACCTTGTTGGCGAGGACCGCCTCCGGGAGTTGCTTGATCGTGCTTTGATCAACGTCATTAACCACGTCGGTATTGACTTTAACGCCGTCGTCGACTCTCCATACAAGGCTCATATGCTGAAGTATATCTGTGGTTTGGGTCCTCGCAAGGCTCAGAGTTTGATCAAGGGTATCGAGGCCGACCAGCATAACGGAAGTCTGGACAAGCGTGGAGACCTCGTCATTCGCAAGCTGTTGACCTGGCGCATCTTTATGAACTGCTGCAGTTTCCTCCGCGTCCACACCAACTACGGAGGAGATGTCCTTGACGAGACCCGTATCCACTCGGAAGATTACAACTTGGCCCGTAAGATGGCTGCCGATGCTCTGGAGATTGACGAGGAAGCCTTGGAGGAGTACGAGAACGCCTCGCAGCACGTCGAGGAGTTGATGCGTGACGACAGTGCCGAGAAGTTAAACGATCTTTTGCTTGAGGATTACGCCCACCAGTTGGAGCTGATCCAAAACAAGCCCAAGCGCATGACCCTGGAAACTATCAAGCACGAGCTGCAGGATCCCTTCCGCGATCCCCGCCGGCCTTTCGAGCGTGCTTCGCCTGATGTGATCTTTACCATGTTGACAGGAGAGACCCCTCAGACTTTGAAAGAGGGCTTCATTGTTCCTGCCTTGATCACCAAGATCCGCGACAGGAACGCCATGTGCCGACTGGACTGTGGTATTGACGGAATGTTGGCGATCCAGAACATTGCGGACACCAAGATTGGCGCCGTGTCGGATGTTCTTTCGGAGGGTCAGACGCTGCAGGTCAAGATTCTGAGGCTGGACCGGGAAAAATACTTTGCCGATTTGACGTGCAAGGAGAGCGAACTTCGACATGGTGATACACAGATTCGCATGCTTCCCGTGGACAGGATGTTTGATCAGTTTGAGGAGGAAAGGTCAAGGAATGAGGTCAAGAAGAGCGACAAGGTCTCCCACTTTTTGCGCCGCAAGATCAACCACCCTCTGTTCAAGAACATGAACGGAAAGGAGGCAACCGAGTTCCTGGCTGACAAGACTCGCGGTGAGCTTGTGATCCGCCCCTCCAACCGGGGTGTCGACCATCTCACGGTGACTGTTAAACTTGCCGACGACTTTTACAAGCACTTTGGTATGCTTTCTCACGCAGTTTGTACTATGTCGATGATGTTGTGTTCACTGTTCATGCGACTAATAAGCGATATATGTTGCATGGTGCCAATAGACATTCTGGAGATGGACAAGAAGGACGATGTCAGCTTGGGCAAGGTCTTGAAGATCGATAACTCCAAGTATACAGACTTGGATGAGTTGCTTGTCTCTCATATTGAGTCGATCATGGCGAAGACCGAGCTCATCATGGCCAACCGCAAGTACAAGGAGAGTGCATCTGATCTTCGTAAGTATTCTGATGTGCAATGTTATCTGTTCTGCTGCGGGATGATATAAGAAAAGCAAATAGTCTGATACTTTTATGATTTGTTTATTATAGGGCAATCGCTGGACACACAGACAAAGGCCAAGCCTGATGCATGCGTGTATGGATTCACTCTGGACAGAAAGTTCCCTGGATTCTTCTCGCTTCTGTTCAAGCTGGGAGCCAGCCGTCCGATTGAGGAGTTGAGCGTGAAGGTCCTCCCCGATCACTATGTTCTCAAGGGACCAACCAACAAGGACTGCAAGGATTTCGTGGCGCTGTGCAACTCGTTCAAGGAGCTGATGCAACAAAGGCTGCGTCCCAAGCCTGTGGCCTCCACTAGCACAGCGGGACCTAGCAACAGTCGGCCCCACTACAACAGTCAGAGCGGCAGCAGCAACAACTATAGCAGTTACAACTCGAGCAGCGGCTACAACGGCAGCAGTTACGGCAGCTCGCACCACACACCTTCGCACCCCGGATCGTACCACCAACAACCATCTTCGCACTCGCACCACTACGTCCCCCACCATTCACAGCAGCCTGTTGCACCTCACCATCTTGCCCACCAGGCAGCGCCACCGATGCACCAGCAGGGACACCCTTCGTCGTCGTCATCAAGCGGTCACTGGGGCTCAACACCCTGGGGAGGAGCACCATGGACTGGAGCACCTAGCGGTGGACACATGGGACCTCCTAGCGGTCATATGACGGGCCCACACCACGGCTACGGCAGCGCACATGGTGATAGCAGACACGGACCTCCTGGTGGCCATGACTCTTATGGCGCCCGATCGTCGCGTGCTCCACCCACACCCCGTCGGTTTATGCCACCACCAGGCCAGCAGCCCCAGCAGCCTTTTTATTAGATAGTTTTTCATATTTGTTTCCTAGTTTCCTCCTTGTTCGCTTTCTAGTCCATTAAACCCCCCAAATGGGTAATGGCAATCGTCTTGTTCGTGTCGATGGCATTGAGAAGGAGTGCTTGGGAGGAGTATCTGTCGACGGACAGAAAAGGGATGTGAGATTGTGCAGTGTGCCTTCCTATTGCGGAACTGACGTCGAAGGAGAGAGGGCTCATAGACAGAAGAAACGCGCGCCAAGGGAAAAGAAGAGAAGCGATTCTTTGTATTTTCCACACCACCCCTCGTTCACTCTCTCTCTCTCTCTCTTCACAGGAACCATCGCCCATCCTTTGCCTTATGGACCACCCTCAACAGAAGTAGACCGACGCGCCCTTCATCCTTTTTACTTCAGGAATACCACAAGGAAAAGGAAACCCCCCCCCCCCCCCCCGCAAGAGCGAACCAGGACACATCCTTCAACGTTACTCTCCCCCATCAAGCCAAGAAACATCAACGACAACGAGACACATTATGAATCCTCCCTCACGACAGGACGAGGCGGATGCGTTCTTTGGGGCGATCGAATCACCAGACAACAGGGACAGCTCAAATCCAGTCTTGCCCTTTACTACTTCAACATCAGCTACTCTCAGTCCGTCCGCATCACCGTCTCGGCTACAACAACCTCAGGACTCTGAAGGGCAGTCTCCTACGTTGGACGACCTCTTGCAGCAGCCTACAACGACAACAACAACAACAACAACAGCAGCAACAACAGCAACGTCGTCATTTTTAGGGCCTTCACCAACACAACCACCCCGAGAATCCTCGACTTCTCCACGGCCATTGTTCGGTGGATCTTCTGTCACCAGGGTGGCCTCACCACCCATGCTCCGTCAACAACCCGGGATGAGTCCTGCGATCCAGAAGGGACCCGTTTCGTTAGGACTTGCGCTTGGCGGATCTGGGTTCCGACGGAAACCATTGTTCGAGCCCGAGGAGGAGGAGGAGGATGATAATGATCATCATTATGCAGGTGGTGGCGAGCACGATAAGAGTCGATCCTCGGCTATTCAGGAGTTGACGCGGTCAGGCGGCATTGACCAGGAAGACGGTGAAGCGCAACTGGATTCGCATGGACAGAGTCGGCAATGGAATGGTACTGACAATGGTGAGGATGGAGAGGAGGATGAAGAGGAGGACGCGGATTCGGAGACGCCGTTGCAGCCGCATGAACCTATCCGAGGACTCGAGTAAGTCAATTGCTACCTGATTGTGGCAAAATGGATGGATACTTTCCTGGGAGAAAAAAATTATGGCTCGAGCTCATGATATTGCGTCAATTTGCTAACGCTCTCCTCCATGTCATTGCTTTATTGTCTGTGCGAAACTAAATAGGAGTCGACATGATTTCAACTTTTTTAAGAACAAGGCGCACCCGGAGAGCAACAGGACAAGGGCAAGTTCGTTCTTCAGTCGACTCGGCGTTGGATCTACTGCCTTGGGGAACAATCTCGGGATGGGCGGTCTTAACAGCGGTAACAGCAACAGCAGTGGGGGCATGAACAGCAGTGGCATGGCACCTTCTCCACGGTTAGGCATGGGACCCTTTGCGTCGGGAGCCAGGATTGGACAATCACGAATGCCTGGGAAGCTGTTCTTCCCCAGAGCTGTTCCTGGTCAGAGACATCATGGACTTAATTCAACGTCTAGCAGTAATACTGGCGGAGGCGTTGCTGGCGGATCTGGCTCTAGAGGCGGAGGTGTGGGTGGACCAGGATCTGGAACCGGCGGTCAGGATGATGTAGATAGCCGTGTTAATGAGTCAGGGGCGCTTTCGAATGACCCTAGTCCGATTTACCCTGGCGGCATGAACCCGTACCATGATGATGCTGTTGACTGGGTTGTTGAAGGAACCGGCATGCGTGTTGCTTACGACGATTTCACAACCATTGGTACGTTTTCTGCTCAGTTGTAGTTTCCCAATGGCTGGCAAGGTTTTTTGTTCCTATACTGCTGTTGCTTAACTAACGTCAATTGCATTTTTCAGATTGGATTCACGACTTTGCACAGGAGAGACAAAGGACGAGGAAATTGCATCGCCAACCAGGCGTTGCGGGCCAGATTGCGGTTATATACGACTGGGTTCAGGGATGGATTGTCGTGTTGGCTGTTGGAATCGCTGCTGGTATTGTTGCAGGTGGATCTGATATTGCGTCTCAATGGCTCGGAGATATCAAGGAGGGCTACTGTGATACCGCCTTTTATCTCAACAGGAACTTTTGCTGCTGGGGACTCGATGGTAAGCACTCGAATCAATTGTTTTCTTTGCGGGAAAGTTTTAAGAAGACGCAATGCTTGAGCTTGACGCGCCCTTTTAATTTGATCCTCGAATAGAAACGGATACGTGCACGGAATGGGTTCCATGGAACAGCGCGACGTTTGTGGTCGGCTACATCTTTTACATCATGTTTGCGCTCATGTTCGCCACCACTGCCGCCTACCTCGTCAAAACATTTGCACCCTACGCTGAAGGATCAGGAATCCCAGAAGTGAAAACTATCCTGGGAGGCTTTGTTATTCGCCATTACCTCGGAGTGGAGACCTTGGTCATCAAGACTGTGACCCTGGTGCTCTCCACGGCTGCAGGACTGTCTCTCGGAAAGGAGGGTCCCCTACTACACATCAGCTGCTGTATCGGTAACATCTTGCCCAGGATATTCCCCAAATTCAAAAAGAACGAAGCCAAGATGCGCGAGATCCTGTCAGCGGCCGCATCGGCAGGTATCTCTGTCGCTTTTGGAGCTCCTATTGGAGGAGTTGTGTTCTCGCTGGAGGAGATGTCTTATTACTTTTCATCGGATACGATGTGGCATTCGTTCTTTTGTGCGATGGCTGCGGCTGTGGCGTTGAAGTTGATGGATCCCTTCAGAACTGAGAAGCTGGTTGTTTTCCAGGTCTCGTATGATCGTGATTGGCATGGGTTTGAGATGTTCTTCTACATGCTCCTCGGCATCCTCGGTGTAAGTCTTGTCACGTTTGTCGTTTGTCAAGATTGTTTGTCACTGCATGCATGCTTACACATTTCGTTTGATGTTTGAATAATAGGGCTTGTGGGGCGCGTTCTTTATTAGGATGAACTTGCGACTGGCTGCGTTCCGCAAAACGTCGTGGCTGAGGATCTTTCCTATCTATGAGGTCTTTGCAGTCTGTCTCTTGACTGCCGTCGTTGGATACCTGAACATCTTCACTCGGTACGCAACAAGATGTACAAATGTAAACTATCAATGTCAGCAGTGAAAGTACGCATTATGCTAACGACATTTACATTCTACCCTTGTGTTGTCTTGTTAGTGTGCAGTCACCAGAGTTGCTTGCGAATTTGTTCCGCGAGTGTGATGGCGGTGCCGGAAACTACCATGGTCTTTGCGAGTAAGGCCCTTTGTCTACTGATCAAAAACTGATATCTGCGCCGACTAATTATTCTGATCACTAATCCAAATGGTTTCACTATCCACATGATCTACGCAGTGAGGGAGGTGTGGCCATGAAAGTGTTTTCACTTTTGACAGCCAGCGGCATAAAGGGAATCCTTACAATCTTGACCTTTGGCCTAGCGATCCCCGCAGGAATCTTTATGCCCTCAATGGTCATTGGCGCGCTATTTGGTCGAGCGTTGGGTATGATTGTTCAAGCCTGGCAAACAAACCATCCTGGATTCTGGATGTTTGCATCGTGTCTTCCGGATGTCCCCTGTGTCACCCCGGGGTCTTATGCAATGGTCGGCGCGGCCGCTTTCATGGGCGGTGTTACTCGGATGACGGTTTCGTTGGTTATTATCATGTTTGAGTTGACGGGTGCTCTAACCTATGTCCTTCCCATCATGATCGTCGGTACGTTTCCCTCTTCACCTCGCCTTACCTCTGCCCTTTTTGTTCCTAATCGCGGGGGATTGTACCTTACTAATATTTTGAATATGTGCATTCTATGGATGATAGTGATGACGAGCAAGTGGGTGGGAGACGCGTTCGGGAAAGAAGGCATATTCGACGGAATCATCCTCCTCTGCGGATACCCTTTCCTGGGCGACAAGGAAGAATACAAACTCAACACAATGGCATCCCAAGTCATGACGCCCGTCGAAGACCTCGTCGTCGTCACCGCCACCGGCAACACCCTTGACTCCCTCGACAATCTCCTCCACGAGACCCATTACAAAGGCTACCCTGTCGTCAATTCTCTCCGGGATATGATGCTGGTCGGATATATCTCGAGGACAGAATTGAGGTATGCGATTGATGAAGCCAGGAGGAGGAATCTGCCGGGGAATACTCCTGCGGGCAATGTAGTCCCAATATTGGAGAACACGCCGGCGTTTATAGAGTTCCGGCTTTGGATGGATCAGACGCCGATTACTGTTAGTCATCGGTTCCCGATGGATCAGGTCATTGTCATCTTCCGCAAACTGGTACGTTTTCTTTTTTTTTTTTTTTTTTTTTTTTTGGCGCTTGAAACGTTTTTGTAGTATTGAAGCTTTTGGAGTGCACAGGGGTTGAACTAACATTATTTTTTTTGGGCATGTTTCTTTGTGTCTTGTTTCAAAAAATAGGGAGTGCGGTATGTGCTGTGTACGCAACATGGTCAGTTGTTGGGATTGATTACGAAGAAGGATGTGTTGAAACATTTGTCGTCGATTGAACATCCTGGCGAGCAAGAGTCTTCTTAGAAAAGAAAAAAATCAACATTTTTCAAGAATAACCATTTTTTTAGTTGTATGTACAATTGTTTTAATGCTTCTAAAGGGAGGGTGAATTATGCTGCATGGTAATGAAAAAAAAAGTAGTTGTTGTATCCTGAGAGCAAAAAAGCGAAAGATTTTTTTTTTTTACTCAAACTTGATGCCCTGGGCGAGGGGAAGCTGTCCAGAGTAGTTGATGACACAGGTCGAGCGACGCATGTACTGCTTCCAGGCATCAGAACCCGACTCACGTCCACCACCAGTCTCCTTCTCACCTCCAAAGGCACAACCAATCTCGGCACCGCTCGAGGGCAAGTTGATGTTGGCAATACCGCAGTCCGATCCGGAAGGACCGACCCACTTGAAGAGGTGCTCAGGGTTACGAGTGAACAACGAGGAAGAAAGACCCTGCTTGACAGAGTTGTTGAGCTCGATGGCGTGTTCAAGGTTCTTGATCTTCATGGTGTGCAAGATGGGGACAAAGATCTCGTTCTGGACAACCTCGGCGTCGGGGGAGATGGAGGTGATGGTAGGGACGACAAAGTTTCCGGGACGGTCGTCGAGGACCTTTCCTCCGGTGAGGATCTTGCCGCCCTGGGCCTTGACGGCCTCAATTCCCTTGCGGTAGTGCTCAACAGCGGCCTTGGTGTGGAGGGGTCCACAGAGGGTACCGGCCTCGAGGGGGTCGCCGATACGGATGGACTGGTAGGCCTTGACAAGCTTCTCAATGAACTCATCGTGAATCTTCTCATGAAGCAACAGGCGTCTGGTAGTCGTGCATCTCTGGCCGGCAGTTCCAACAGCCGCAAACAAGACGGACCTCAATGCCAAATCCAGATCGGCGTCATCCATCACAACAATCGCATTGTTTCCTCCCAACTCGAGCAAAGACTTTCCGAACCGCTTGGCAACAGTCTCACCGACCTTACGTCCAACAGCAGTGGAGCCGGTGAAGGAAAGGAGTTTGACACGTTCGTCATCGACCATGGATTGACCGACATCGGCACCACCGGCGACGAGAGAGCAGAGCTCGCCGGGGAGACCGTTCTTGACGAGGACCTTTTCGAGGATCTTTGTGACGGCGATGGAGGAGAGGTTTGTGGTGGGTGCGCCCTTCCAGACGACGGGGTTTCCGCAGACCAGGGCGATTGCCGAGTTCCAGCCTGTGGGAGGAGAGGAGTGAATAGAGGAAAATGGTTAGGGAGTGAAAGAGGATGATGTTAAGATGATGTTAGTTAATGCGGGACTCACGGGACAAATCGAAAGAGAATTCACGTATGCAAATGCCAAGAAAGAATCGAAGGACATACCATAGACGGCTACGGGGAAGTTGAAGGCAGAGATGACACCAACGGTACCAATAGGGTTCCACTGCTCAATCATAAAGTGACCAGGACGCTCTGAGGGGACAACCTGGCCGTTCAGGGTACGACCAAGACCAAGAGCGTAATCACAGATATCGATGTACTCCTGGACCTCGCCCTTACCCTCAGGGAGGATCTTTCCCATCTCGAGCGAGACGAGGGCTCCGAGGGGCTCAAGCTTGTCGTTGAGGGCATCACGCATCTGACGGACAATCTCCCCACGCTTGGGAGCGGGGGTCTCACGCCACATGACCTTGATGGCCTCCATCTTCTTCAACGTCTCGTCCAACTCTTGCACCGTGCCCTGTTGGAGGGATAAAGAAGGAAGGAAAGGAGTAAGATTAATATTCACACGCCTTCTTTTTATGAATCGCCGCAATACAAATAGCAAACAATCTCAATCCGAACAAAGGGAAGAGAACCTCCTTTGTACACAACTTGTTTAAAAACAACACAAGCAATGATCAAACAAACAACAACACAAAGAAGAAAAGAAAAAAAAGAGAGAAAGACTTACGGTTTGGACACGGGCGATGACGGATCCGTCGGCAGGGTTGATCGAGTCAACAACGGGGCCAGAACCGCCCCACTTGCCGTTGAAGACACCCTTGTTCTCGAACTGGAGATCGAGCTGGTCAAAGATGGCCTTGTGCTTGGGGTTGATGGCGGTCGAGTAGTTGAGGATGGCCATGGGACGGATGGCCTTGGCACGGGAGGCGGCCGAGTGCAGCAGCGTGGCTCTGTTGAGCGAGAGGCGGTTCAAGAGCATGGAAGACATTATGTTTTATGGGAATGAACAGAAAGGAGGATGAATGAGGAAAAAGAATGGAGATGAACGAAAGAGTGACTATAGACAGAAGAAGTGACGAAAGTGCGTCAAAAGTGGGAAGGGGAAGGAGAGGAAGAGTGGAGAGGATGGGGAAGGAATATAGAGAAAAGAAGAGAAAGAACAGAAAAAGGGGGGAACACTATCGGCTTAAATAAGAGGGCGTGATGGTTGAGTGGGGAAGGAGGCGAGGTGCCCCCGGTCGAATTGTCCGTGGTCATCGTTCGTTCTCCTTTACCTGAACATTCGACCAGGCACACTTTCTCTCTCTCTAACTCGTCCCAGTACGAGTCATTTCTCTCGTATCGTCACTCAACAGAGCGAAAGAGAGGGCTGACATCCCCCTTCTCCTCTCCTCCCCTCCATCCCCACTGTCCGGCCAAACTTAAAAGTGAAGATGTCAGACGAAATCGCCCGTGGGAAACTGCTAAAACGGGAAACCTCAACTTTTCCACACTCTTACACGTACAAACAGTACCTACTCTCCTCTCTTCTCTCTCCTCTTGACATACCTACCCACTTCGTATCTCTTTTCCTTTCTTTTGTGCTCTCAAGCAGAAAAAAAAACACACGTACAGTACACAAAAAACGAATCAGGGCCAGGCCAGAACGAACACAGAGAGTACACAAGGCTGGCACATATGTTTTTCTTATGTATCCCAACAGAAACTGTAAAGGATTGCTACGCTGTTTTTACAAACAGCAGGCAACAACTCGGGATCCATAGGAAACGAATGAGCAAAACCCCCTTCCACAAGTGAGTCACTTTCACTTTCCCTCTCGTTCGTTTCTTTCCTACCATTGTTTTTTTCTTTGTTTAGCTCCATTCCCTCCACTTCTCTTCCTTCATTCTTCTTCTTGTAATATTACTTCACCATCCCTTCGTTTTGGATACACACGCGTACTGCTCCTTGAAGCGTTATATACCTCTACGACCAAGCCCCTAAGGACAGTATACGCGACAGCAGGGGGACGTGTTGATCGTATACAGAAGCAAGAAATATGATGACTGATCACTGATCACTGATCCGCTGTTGGAAGTTGAATATGATCAACGATCTTTGTTTTATCATTGCCAGATGAAGAAAAGGGGGGTGAGTGACAAGAAAAAGGAGCAGAGGCGCGAACACAGGCACACTCTGCAGACTGATTCTCTTCATGTATTCTTCACATGAGAAAAAAAGGGTCGCAGCATGCACTGCACTCAGGCCCAAAGACAATAGATGGCGATCTCCTCTTCCCTCTTCTTCTCCCTTTCGCCCTCTGGACGTTGCTTGTCAACCAGAGCCTTGCAAACAACGACCCCAAGACATAAGATACTACTCGAAATTGGAGAGAAATGAGTTTGGATTCTCATCTGTGATTGGCTTAGAAGACAGACGCCCACGCTGGTGCCTTTGTTCCTGGTCGTCATCCAATCATATCCGCCTTGGTCACGTTCTGCTTTATTTCCTTCTGGCTACTTATCTTCCGTTTTCAGGGCAGAACGAGAACATGGGGGGTAGGACAGAAGATACACATAGACCTCGGAAAGTAACAAGAAACGGATAACGACCACTCCAGTTCATAAAAATAGCAAAGCAAGGGCAGTAAAGAAAAGAAAGAATACGAATGAAAATAAAAGGTAGAAATCAAATCAAAAGTTAGCGTATGGTAGTAGAGGGCACCAGTGGAAGTGGGGGACACAGAGGGATCGAAAAATAAAATAATAAGGGCCGTGTGAGTGTGTGTTTGAACTTTGAAGAGAGGTGGCACATGGTTAAGAATGCAGAAGTAGGGACGAGAGACGCGCGCCAATGTGTGTCTTCTGAGAGAGGAGGAGCCAAGGAAGATGAGAAGAGAGAGAGAGAGAGAGCGGGAAAAGGTCTCTTTTCCCTTGTGTTCTCCCATCCCATCTGTTTTACTGCTCTCAAAGACAGCAGGAAACGGCTGACAATCGATGATGTTGTTTGTTTGTAAGAGGAGGGAAGAGGTGTGGTATGCTTGCATTGCATTGTGTTGTCCCAGGCCTGAGACCGACAGCACTTTTTCACTCCTGTGTGTGTGTGTGTGTGTGTGTGTGTGTGTGTGTGTATGTCTCTCTCTCTCCCCCCCTCTGTCCATCCCTTCCACGCGTGGCCGCATCTTCTTTGTATCATCGCTGTCTCTCTCCAGCATCATCGCACTAACACAAGTCCGTGTTTGTCAATGTCTACTCTGTCCAATCCCATCTCATCCACACTACGAGCAAAGGGCAAACAAGCCCAACTCTATTCCTTTCCGACTGATGGCTCTCGTTTCTTTACTTTTTTTCTTGGTCCTCCCTTCCCACCCTTCCCTTCTTTTTTCCCTTCTTTCTTCCTCTCTCTCTCTTCTTCTCTTCTTCTCTTCTTCGCCATCATCATCTTCTCCATCCCTCCTCCTCCTTGTTCTTCCATCTACCTCACTCTCTTGTACCACCCTCTCTTCATCCCTTCCTCATCACCAACCAACAAAAACCCAACACCCAAGAGGAACACACCCGAGCAAAACACACAAGTATGGTCGCAACGGCCATCCTCTCACCACCTCCACAAGGCAATGGTCACCTCGGAAGCGACGACTCTAGAATGGACACCACCACTACAACAGACTCAGTTGTCGATACACCCACAGTGCAGCCCCTAGCGGCATACCCATTGGTGAACTCACAACCCCCGGTGCGCGCCATTGATGGTCACCAGCTGTTCCAGCTCCACCAAAAGTTTGTTACAACGCCGTTGCCCACAAAGGCCATGTTCCCCTGGCTCCACGGCGTTGACGGCACAAGCAATCCCCAGAACTACTTCTTTGGCATCCAACACCAACATTATGCTGGCTGTGCCGCCACAGGAGGAGTCGACATAACAGACAACAACAACAACCCTGCCACAGCAACTGCAACGACGCCTCAACTCCCTTTGCCAGAACACCGTGGGCTGATGTTTGTTCATGCAAACGAACTCGACCTCGGCCGCCTCGTGGGCTCAGTCAGCCCTTCAGAGATCCTTCAACCGGTTCCGCCCACCCCTCAATCGTCCCCTGCCTCCCCTTCCCTCGTCTCTCCTCCCGCCTCTTCCAATGTTGAATACTCGAATGGAAGCACCAACAACACCGATACTAACGGTTCATATGACAACAACACCAACACCAACGGTTCATATGACATCAACAACCACCCACAACTTCTTCATCAACACACAGCCGCCCCTGCTACTTCGATAACTCATGGCGACATAACAACCATATCAAATACCGACTGGGCCGACATCTCAGACGACCTAGCCAGTTCCGCCCTCTCGTCCTCGTCCCTCCCCTCTACCACATCCTCGTCATTCAACAACAATACCATCGGCAGCAGCAATGGTGCGACCACAGGAACAGGAGGTGGCAACGGCGGTGCATTCGACTCTTCTTCGACTTCGTCTTCCTCGTCTGTTACATCTCACCCTCTCGCCAGGAAACTCCAAAGCTCGTTCATGCACTCGCTGAGCGAGGGGATCAACATTCGAAACTTTAAGATTCAAGTCCCTCGCTATGCCCTCCTGTCGGACCTGATCATCTATGCCAAGGACGGCGAACAAGATATCTATATCTTGGAACTCGCAAAACAGATCTCGACCGCCCAGGAAGAGGTCTTCAGGGCAATGAAGGAACAGTACCCCCAGATGGCACTCGAATCCCGACGACAGACCTTTATCCTCACAGGTAAGAAAGGCTTTCTTTTGATTGATATGATTAGAAAAGGGGTTGTGATGTCTTGGAAGGGTGGTTGGCTGGATGAAGAACACGACACGACTATTTCCATCGGCAATGCAATGCATAACCATCACAGGCACACGCACATGTACACGCGCACTTGGACAAGGGAGAGAAAAACCGCCGTATTTTTTGTTCTTTTGCGAAATGAACAACGAAGAGGACAGGAGGATCAAAAGGTGATAAGGAAAGGCACGATATTCAAGCGTCTCTCTCTACTTTCCTTCCTCCAAAATAAAATTGTCGGGAAGAAAAAAGACCAGAAAACGCAACGACGACAGAGACGAGGGCGTAAACAAAGTGGGAGAAAAGCGTGCTAAAGGAGGATGGGCCAGGGGAGGGGAAAGACATGAGGTGTCACACAGAACAGACAGCATGCATGAATCCAAAGGGGGGAGAAAGGAAAGCGAGAACAAACGAACAAACAAACAAAACAACAAACCAAATGAGCGAAAAAGAAAAAAAGCGAAAAGAGATTAACCAAGGCAAACCATAACATGGCTCGCCGTTGTCATCTCCCTTCCCCGCTCTCCCTCTTCATGCTGTTCATATATATCGCGTAATAATCGCAACTCGTTCTAAATTACTGCTAAAATCAAATGGTGGTGATTAGATTCGTTCGCGGCATTCGAAGCGAAGTACCCCGAGCTGGTCGCGATCTCCAGCAGTGGCCACAACTGCAAGAACAAGGTCGACTTTTGGGAGCAAGAACGCGAGCAAATGTCCCTCCTCACACGCGGCTCCGAGATTGCGCCTGGCATCTGGGTAAGTTTCCTTTTTTCTCTTTCTTTGCTCGGTGTCTTTCTTATCGACTTTTGGATCACTGCCGCACGGTAACCCAAACGGAAAATAATAATCTCCCTTCTTCAGCAATGACACGCGGTCAGAAATCCAACCCACGGACTGCAATCGACGGATAACGCTTCCTTTTTTTTCCTACTTTGCTTCTAAATGGCATTTTTTTGTCCAACCCACGATTGTGAGCAGCAGCAGTAGCAGGTGTTGAGAGAGAGAGAGAGAGAGAGAGAGTCGAAGCGAACACAAAAGGGGGGGGGGGGAAGGAACAACAACAAATACTCGCACGCCCACGCCGCAAACGCATGGCAGCCAATGAGCACTGACACGCGACAACCAACGACGCCCAAAAAAAATACTACGCGCACGAACCGTTACAAAAATAACTGACACCAATTTTACCCCTACATATTCATAGCTGGGAAACAGTTCGGATGTGCCTCAACAGAACAACGCCAACAACAACGCGTCCGCCCTCGCTACGCCCGTCACCCCGGGTTCCTCTTTTCAATCCTACTTTTTCTCGTCATCCTCGGCCTCGTCGACTATACCAAACGCGACTTCTTTGGCTAACAGCAACAACAACAACAATAACAACAAGTCGACAGCTATACCCACGACACCACCGCCCGAGACAACCAACGACTATTACCCACCCCTCACCCCACCTTCCTTCAGCGACCAAACCAACTTCCACCCTTCCATCTGTGTCGAATGTCGGTCTGGCGCCAACGCGCCTACTACTTTTACGCTGGACCGGATCAAGAGCAATGTTGCCTGCACCCCTGCGCCGCTCTCGTTCAAGGAGATATTCCATCTGGAATGTGGTGGTTCTTTGACTGCTGGAAGTAACCCGGAGGCCTTCCCGCCCTCGACATCGTCTCTCTCGAACTTTGCTCGACAGCAGAATGTGGATGTGGGCGCGAATCAGACAATGCGGAGGGCGACCGCTGCCGGACTTGTGGGTGGATACCAGATGATTAACACTATGCTGCAGACCCAGATTACGCACCTCGTCAATATGGCCTTCTTTATCAACCAGGTCACCGACGGCACCTCTGTTGCCAGTGCTGCCGCTGCTGTTGCGTCAGGACTCTCGTCACCCACATCGCCATCATCACCTCCTTCGTCCTTCAACAACGGCTTCACTGCTGGTCATCGTAGCCCTTCAGCTCAACAGCAGCAGCAGAGACCTCACCAGGTGCTGATCTACTGCGTGGACGGATATACGGAGACGGCGCTGCTGGCGCTTGCGACCGTGATGGTACACTATCGTTTTACCCTCGCCGAAGCCTATGTCAAGATGCAGACGGACCTTGGCCGCAGCTTCTTTGTATACCCCAACGATGCCATCATGATGCTTGAGGTCGAAGCCCAGATCTGGCAGCGACTTGTCTCGGAGAAGAATGGAGGTGGTCTGAGTGTCGGCAGCAAGAGTGCGATTCCTGGAGCTTCGGCGTCGACTTCTTTCTCGTCTTCGGGCATATCGTCATTGTCATCCTCGATGAGTTCGACTTCGTCGTCGTTCTTTTCGTCGCTACTTAATATGACCAATCAACCCTCTCAGCAGGGACCACACGACGGATCGGTGCAGCAGAGCCAGGAGCAGGAACAGGATTCTGGGAACGGAGGCAGTATGGCCATGGAGGGCCTCGAATCCACACCCGATCCGGAACCCATCCCCATCATCCCCACCATCACAACCGCTCCTCCTCCTCCTTCTCCTCTCCCTTCAACGACCAACAACAATTTTACAGCAGCCTACCCCTTCACACAGCCCGAACACCTCGAAAAATTCGGATGGTTCTATGATCCAGAATTCGAGGGCTCCTTCCCCTCCCGGATCCTGCCCTTCTTGTACCTGGGCAATTTAGCGCATGCGTCCAACCCGGGGTTGTTGAAGAGTTTGGGGATTCGGTATGTGTTGAGTGTGGGCGAGCAGGCGCATGGACTTGATATCCACATGGGCGAGGTTGGCAGTGAAGACAAGTCGACACAGTTTATGGTCAAGCTTGTGGATGATATGTATGATAATGGAGTCGACCCACTTTGGCGCCACATCGAGAATTCTGTTGCCTTTGTCGGTAAGCATTTTTGTTTGTTTTGTTTTCATCATTTTAACTCTAGTCGATACTCTCACTCACTCCAACTGTTCAAAGCAAACAAGAAAACTAACGCGTTCTCCTTTTCCTAACCAAAAAATAAATAAATAGACGAGGCAAGGAAGAACAATACCCGGATCCTAATCCACTGCCGAGTCGGCGTCTCCCGGTCCGCAACAATCGTGATCGCCTACTTAATGGCCTACTACAACCTCTCCCTCGTCGACGCATACCTACTGGTCCGCGCCCGTCGCCTAAGCGTGATCATCCAACCAAACCTCCTGTTCATGTATGAACTCATGCAATGGGAACAACGACTTCGAGGCCGGTTCGATTCTATGGGCTGGCATGGGATTGCGAGAGAGGTGCATCATCTCAACATGTATTACATCGGCAACTGATTCTCCTTTCTTGCTTTCTTTCTTTTCTTTTTTTTTTTTTTTTGTTATTGTCCTTGATAAACATCTCCAAAAAATAAAAACAATACAATGTCACTTTCAATGAAAAGAGATCTATATATCTTGAGTCCTCCTTGAAGAGGAGGACATAATTACTTACATATCTACACTTTGTACAAAATGGGGACGGAAACGAAAGAGAAGGTGGAGGAAAAAAGAAAACATAAGGTGATTGGCAAGAAAGAACGGAAGCAAGAATTTAGATGGAAGATGAGTATTAAGAAGAAGTGGCATGGCTGGGCCGGGGAGAAGTGGGTGTGGGGGTAGCAGATCGGGGTCCAAGAAGGCTCTCCGAGTGGGCGGCCTGAGGATCCTGCATCGCCATCAACCTCTCCACCTCTATTTTTTTCATGGATAACACAAGAAAAAGTTGGTTAGATCGAATACAAACAAACAACCACCGTGGAGAAAAAAAAGAAGGACAAGAGCAAATCCTAAAGAAAAAAACTTACTGGCGATGAGATGCTTGCCGTAGGTATACTTCTTCAAAGATCCCAAGTGAGGCTTGATCTTGGCAACAAGGACATCCCGTTGGTCGCCATCAACAACATCCAGCATCTTTTGCACAACATAGTTGGCAAACTGGTCCTTCATCATCAACACCAACGGCGAAGTTCCGTCAGGTTTGGTCGTGATCACTTCCTCAATCAGCTTTTGGCGGTCCAGTTTCGATCCATAGGCGACACACTTTTCCACCACATTACTCGCAAACTTGTGCTTGCTCAGAGGCAGGACCTGGCCATATATCTTTGAGACCACCAGCGATTTCTCGGAGGGTTGACCACGCTCAAGGATATGCTGGATAACATAGTTGCCGTATTGATCCTGAACCAAGTTGGGGATATACTTGTGCAACTCATCCATCAGGGGCTACAATTAGCACACACGGAAACAAAGGGTATCTTGTCAGCGTCCATATCCTTTCTCAACCAAACTTCTCAGCCGCCCACATATTAACAAAACAAGATGGAACTTACAGTTTTGGTATCGGCACAGTGCTCAAACATGCGTTGGATCACTCGGCAACCATAAGGGTGGGTCGCAAGAGAATACACCTGTCCAGTAAAGGCTCCAATGATAAACTGAATATGCTCCGCAGGAACACACTCAATCGCCTTTTGGATCACATGGTTGCCGTTCTGATCCTTGACACACTTCAACACATTGCCGTCCAACTCCTTGACAAGAATCGCCTGCTGATCGCTCAGGACATGCTCCAGACCTTTCTGCACAACACGGCAGCCGTACATCTGCAGGGCCAGTGACAAGACATGGCCCTCCATCTGCTTGGCCAATGCGGTCTTTTGGTCCTGCTGGCCGTGCTCGAAGAACTTTTGGATCACATAGTTGCCAAAAACGTCTGTCATCAGCTGCAGGGCGTGAGGCATAATCTCCTCAAAGACCATCTGCTTCTCCTCGTCAGTTGCTGTCTCGAGCTTTTGCTGGATGAAACGAGAACCATGCTGATCGCTACTGAACTCGACCACACTTCCCGCAATATCCTATTATTATCAGATATTCATATTTGCAAACGTTAGCATCGGTTAGCAAAAAGTCGCTCACACACGCAAGTCATATCCGATTGACCGAAAGTCGACGGATGTTACCTTGAGCTCGTATTTCTTGTTACTCTTGTTGTTTCTAAAGTCCTCCAACAATGCGCTACGCTGGCCATGGCCACCCTCTGAAGCGTGGACCTCGAAGTCGGCTTCATCGTCCTTGTGGGCATGTCGATGGGCGCTGTGAGGTGGGCTAGCATTGGCACTCGACCAAGAAGACGCCTGGTCAGGCTCGGAGTGCTTGGAGGAGTCCTGACCTCCCTTGTTGTGACGTCCGCCATGAGACGACTTTGATCGTCCCTGCTGCTTTGATCCTTGGTTTTGCTTCGACGAATGGTGAGGATGTGTCTGCTGCTGGGACCCTGAAACGGCCTGTGGGTGTTGCAACTGCTGTTGTTGTTGTTGCTGCTGTTGTTGTTGTTGTTGTTGTAAGAGCAACAACTGCTGGTGCTGGAGCAGGGTCTGTTGAGACTGAAGACGAAGCTTTTGTTCAGCAGCCGCGTTGGTTGTAGCCAAACGAGGGTCCAATTGGGCGAGATTAGGAGAATTCATGGCAGATCCTCGTGCGCTACCACCAGCATTATTAAAGTCTGAAGCGAACGAGCTAGGGCTCATGGGATTGGGTGAGTAGATGCCGCCTTGCTGCCGCTGCTGTTGCTGCATCTGGAGAAGAGCTGCCTTTTGGTACTCTGGAGACAGACCAATCGCAGAGTTCATGCGACGTGGGTCATAAGCCAAATCATTGGCTCTGAATCCCAAGGATGCCTCGTCGTGTCCCTCAAACATCGAATGGAAATCTAATAAATACAGGGGAAATTACGTTAGAATTTGAAATTGAACCTATAAACTAAAATCACATCGCTGCAAGGTCTCATTTACCTTGTTGGACTGGGGCAAAATGATCCTTTTGTGCAAGGTATCCAGAAGTTGTCATGAGATTATAGTCGTATCCATACTGAGGGTTAATCAAACGGGGGTCCTTGAGCATAGTATTGCTGTCAAAGTACGGTGAGTAGGCGGTGACGGGGGTGTGGGACCCATGGACAGGCTGCTTCTGGTGAAGCTGCTGGAGCCTCTGCTGCTGCAAATGCTGTAACTTCAATTGTTGCTGGTTCAACTCGTATTGTTGACGCCTGATGTTTGCCTGCTGGATGGCCAAGTCATCGTCCTAAGAAAACAACGAAATGAAAGTCGTTAGTTTCTTTATGCCACAGCAATTCACAACAACGTCATAAAAAGCTATGCAAGCTGCTTACAGCATCGGTGAAAAGGAGGTTCTGCATGCCAAACTCCAGCTCAGAGGTGGACCGGTCGCTTCGTTGATCATTTGAGAAGCCAGGAGGGACGTTTCTCGAAAAATTACGGCTGTGGATAGGAGGAGTTGAGGAAGAACGCGTCGGGGGTGCAAACTTGGTGTGGAACAATGGAGAGCGAGCACTGCCCAACGAAGGTATCCGTTCCTCGTCCCCACCATCTAATGCGGCATTTAAGACAGACTTGAGCTGGGAAGATCTATCGTCGAGGTCGTCAGGGCCAAGTCCTACTCCACGCATTTGCTCCTCCAAATCGGGCGAATCCTGACCTTCATGAGGCAGTGTCGTGGTCTGTGATAAAGGAGATCTGAGCAACTGGCTTGAGGGATGTCCTGTGCTCAGATACTGTGGTTGCGGTGTAGACAGATGGCTGTGGTGCTGAATGTTGAGAAGAGGGGAGGGCGATCTAGGAAAATCGTTTGTAGGTGACGATACCGTTGGTGCCCAAATGTGGCTCATATGGTCGGTAGTGTGTGCTCCAAAGAGAGGCGAGCTGGGCATTGAGGCAACGCTGCGCGGTGGCTCGAGTCCGTAGCGCGACAACAAGGGCGAATGGGTCTCACTCCGTGGGATCTCTGGCACATTGATGTCTTGTCTCCATAGCGAGACAGGATCGGCATCCCTGGGGTGAAGTGAAGAGGAAGTAGTCCTGGTATTCTCCTCGTTGGGATCTATTGGATTGAAGGTTTAAATAAAAGATGTTGGGATATTTGTAAATGCAATAAACAAAAAACACGAGTTAAAAGGTGGAGTCTGCATGCATCTGAGCCCTGTCTCATTTGTGTCCACAGATAGACACCGTCCAATGGTTCTTCTGAGGAAACGAAAAGAGAAAACTAAAAAAACCTCGCATACCTTGACCCCCGAGACGGGAGCTAGACTCTGTGACACCTTTGAGCTCCTCTGATTCGTCTCCAAACCCTCCTCCTCCACCTCCTGCCGAGGACCACATCTGCCACGACAATCCTGGGGAGTACATGCCTGACAGAGCGAGATGAGGTTCTTGGCGGGAAGAGGACATATAGAAGCTGTTGTAGTCGGTCTCTGAGCGAAGGTCGTTGGAGGGTTGCGAATCGAATCCTGGTCCCAGGCCGAAGCGCGATTGAGCTTGGTTGGTTGGTGGTGCAGAGCTGGAGCGAGAGATATCGAAGCCGCTGAAGTTGCCAGGAATGCTAGTGCCATGGTCGTTGAGTTTTCCACGCAAAAGCGTCGCGAGTTGCTATTAGGGTGTAGAACAGCGGGGCAGAGTGTGCGTTAGTGTCGATCTCTTGTTGGCTCTGTCTTTGGAAAGACGTGTTTACAGTAATGAGTATGCTCTTGGTTTTTGTAAAGACGTGTTTATATCGACGATCTCTTGTGCCCTTTGTCTTTGCAAAGAGGTGCAAAGGGTACTAAGTAAACCAATGGCTTTGTATCGATCTCTTGTCGCAAGGACAATGTCAAAGGAGACAAGGGTGGGCAAGACCAGTTACGCCGAACTTGGGAGGGATATGAATAGGATGGAAAGAGAGAAACAGGAAAAAAAGAAAAGAAAAATGCATAACGCAACCAACTAACGAAAAACAAAGGTCTTACCTGGCCTTGTTGAGGCTGGTTCATAGTCGAAGGTTGATGGAGATCACCGCTACTGAGAAAAAAGTCGTGCTGTGAGCCTGAGGAGTTGTTGCTGGTGCCTACGCCTGCGCTCGAGTAGGAGGCATTATGATGACTCTGGGGGAAGTGGTCATCCATCTGCACGCGGGGCATCACTGAGGGCGAGAAGATGAGAGGAGGAGGGCTCTGATGTTGGCAGGAGTGAGGGAGGTGTTGTTGGCACCTGGCTTGCCAGAAGAGGGTCTGTGAGCGGCCGTTTGGAGTGGAAGGGAATGGAGAAGAGGCGAGATGTGAACGCGGGGGGGGGGGGGAGGGGGAGGGTATTGGTTCGTAAGGATGGCGAGAGCGGTTGATGGCCCGTTGGAGGTGCAAGGGTGAAAGTTCAGAGAAGAAGAAAAAGAAGGGAAAGGATGAACAAGTGAGGAAGAAGGAAGGTGGAAGTGGAGAAAGGAAAGGACATGGAGTCAGAAAAAGCCCTGGGAGGAACGCAAGTAGAGAATGTGTTGCAGCATATGCGATCATTGATCCTTCCTTGGTCAGGCAGACACACACAGCACCTCCTCCCTTCATTCTTCATTCATCTCGGACACACAAGGTAATGGTTATTTATCTTTGCGCACCAAGAAATGATCCATGTGGCACACCCATACGCTCCCTCTTCTCTACTCCTCTTCTCGCTTCATTTTGTTTCCCTCCCTTCTATCGCGCGCTTTGACTGCTGTCACAATGGTCACACACGTTGTCCATATTCTCTGTCTGAGAAGAGGAGAGGGCGAAAATTCTAGCTTATCGTGCGTGAAAAAAAAGAGGAAAAAAAAGTGGGTATGGGTTGCACTATATATATACGCGCATTTGCAGTGGTTACGATGGTGCGATGTCGAAGAGACGGAGAAGAAGAAGAAGGAGAAGAGAGAGCCCTACCTCGGTGGTGCAAAGAGAGGGAGGGGGAACTCTCATTCTTCTTCCCTTGAGTTTGTTGGTTGTTTCCCAAAAGGAGCAGCATCCGAAAATTGAATATTACTTTACATTCCCTCCCTTGCCTTGGCTGGATGCTCAATTGGCTTTGAAATTTTATATTTTTTCCAGTCGTCTGTGTGCCCAATGTCTCGGACATGGATCTGGATTGGGATACTGTCCTCTACCGCCTTGTCCACTCGATCGGATGTTGTCTTCTTCTTCTCTCATGCCCCTCTACCTTGGTACTACAAACAGCACAGTCAGTCACTCAGTCTGCCACTCTCTCCCTACCAGTGCGCCTTAATCGACCTCTTTGTCCGTGTTCCCCCACTTTCATATCTATCGATAACTCTGGTCTCCAATTGCCTCCGCCTCAGGCCACTTGGCCCATGTTTCAGGTTCAATCAATCTGTCGTTCCTGTTGAACATCGTAAAAAAAACGAAGTGGCCTGATCTGCCCATGCTTCTCGTTGTCGTTGCCTTGACAATGTATATAAAAGGTCGACGATGCCGCCTTTCTTTCTTCTACAAAAAAAACTCAAAGATACCCCACCTCGCCATATCACACCCTGCTTCGCACCTTCCACCTCCATTCTTCGTCCCTTCCTTTTTTCGTCAACCACTCTTCAATTCTCATAACAAACAATCATGCCCGGAAACATTCCCGCGTTCTCGATTGCAACAAACCCGATCCCCAAGGATGGCTCCGACTACGACATGATCGTCGTCGGTGGAGGTGTTCTGGGATCTGCATTCGCTGCTACTTTTGGCAAGCAGGGCAAGCATGTCCTGATGGTTGGTAAGATTAGACTCTCACTCACTTCTTTTTGCTATGAACGCGTCCTTACATGTTCGACAGTAATGCTAATACCTTTTGATCTTCGCCGTGTCAATCGTCATAGAGCGCGATCTCAGCGAGCCAGACCGTATTGTCGGAGAGCTGCTCCAGCCCAGCGGCTATAACGCACTCAAGGAGCTCGGCCTTGCTGGTAACAATCTTGCTCTGTCTCTTTCCGCAATCGTTGGTATGAGAGTTTACACAACGGATCAAAGTATTAACTTTCTATACTACGTAATGTAGACTGCTTGGAGGGCATCGACGCGGTCCCCACCTACGGCTATACTGTGATGCGTGGCTCCGAGCAAGTGCTTATCCCCTACGCCAACGACAAGGACACCCAGAAGCCTGTCCAAGGTCGCTCTTTCCACCACGGACGATTTATCCAAAAACTCCGAGCTGCTGCATCGCGGGCGCCAAAGTAAGAATTTTCTCAGCAGGAGCAGGAAGTAGGGCTTTGAGGGAAGAAAATGCGCACAGGCGACAGGACAGGAATTGACCACATCCCCCTTTTTTCCTTTTTCATTGCGGGGATTAGTGTAACGGTCGTCGAGGCAACGGTTAACAAGGTTCTCTACAACGACGATGGTGTCCGTGCAACTGGTGTTGCATGCACATTGAAGGGTGCCAACGACAAGAAGCCACTCTGTGATGAGGATGATGCCTTGGAGCAATCGCCATCGTCATCAGCTGCTCAGTCTACAACGGTCTACCGTTCGCCGATCGTTGTCATTGCTGACGGTTGCTTCTCAAAGTTTCGCAAGCAGTTCCTTGGCAAGAGCGTCAGCATTTCTTCTCACTTTGTCGGGTAAGCTACAGCTTTCTTTCGAACGAGTGCTTCCGTGTCCTTTGACAAGAATGCCTCAGCTAACCATATGGATACTATTGACATGTCAATAGAATTGTGCTCAAGGACTACATCCCTCCAGCCAAGGAACACGGAAATGTCATCCTCGCCATCCCTTCGCCTATCCTCATGTACCAGATCTCGCCCACAGAAACTCGCATGTTGATCGACGTCCCCGGCAAGCTGCCCTCAGTTTCCTCGGGTGCCTTGCGCTCATACCTCGAGAGCTCAGTCAAACCGCAACTGCCCAAGGCAGCCCAGACACCCTTCATGAAGGCCCTCGAGACCCAAAGACTTCGCACCATGCCCAACAGCTTCTTGCCCCCTTCTACCACCTCTGAACTGGGAGTCATTGTATTGGGAGATGCTATGAACATGAGACATCCCTTGACGGGCGGCGGTATGACAGTGGCGTTGAACGATGTGGTGTATTTGAGGGATTTGTTGCAGGGTAATGTGTTGACGGATCAGGAGGTGACGATGGTCCAGATGGAGTTGTTCTTCTGGAAGAGAAAGGAGCTCACTTCTGTCATCAACATCCTCGCCGAGGCACTCTATACCCTCTTCTCCGCCTCAAGTAAGTACTTACCCGCGTTCTCTACTTTTATGATTTTTTGAGCTGATACATCAAACCCTCCTTTGCCAACAACCCTTCCCACTCACTTCTGATAAACCTTAGACGACAACTTGATTGCACTCCGAAACGGTTGCTTCAGCTACTTCCAGCAGGGCGGCGAATGCACCCAGGGTCCCGTCGACCTCCTCTCTGGCATGAACCGCAGCCGGAAAACACTTGCCTATCACTTTTACCGTGTCGCTTTCCATTCGATCTGGCTGTTGTTCCACAATGCTTCCTCATTTGCAGAGTTCCCTCTGTTGTTTGTAAGGGCACTATGCATCTTCTGGACCGCTTGCGTGGTCTTCCTGCCCCTTGTCTGGTCTGAGTGCTGGGCATAAGATACCTTCCATACCATTGAACATCGAAATAAATAAAAACAACATTGAATAAAGGGCCGGCTGGGCGACTATGGAGATGAAAGTGCAACTCGATCGAAAAGTGAGGATACAGTGTTGTTTCGATCCCATCCCAAGGCGACGCATCGATTTATTACATTCAAAGAAATATATACCACTATCTCCTCCGACAAATGAATTCGGTCGCGCTGATCCTGCTTTTTTTGAAGACGTCGGAACTTGAGCACATGCGTCGTGTATATATGAAATGAACAAAAAAAAGCGTTAGTACCGTTTTACACCACTAGTCATCGATCGCGACACCCGTAGAAAAAGTGTGTCCAAAGCAAAAAAGAAGGGCAATGGTACCGCTCTAAAAGCGAGAACATATCGAGTGTCTTTTTGCACTTTCAATGTTTTTTGACGGAACAAAAGAAACTGACAAGACATACGACGTGAACGGCGGTATTTTGCGTGTTCTGCCTAGGCGACAATCTGCTAAAGTCACAAAGTGTTCACGATTGACTGTGACAGAAATTGTGTGTGTGGGGGGGAGGAGTGTCCAAACCCAAGAGGAGTAGATGGTGGAGGTGAGCAGGGGTTTGGATTCCAAGCCTGCGACCCTTGTTCCTCCTTGAAGTATCTTACAGTCGGGGAGAGGGGGGATGGAAATTGGCAAAGAAATGATTGACTGTTAGACAGGAGGCCGGCAACCAACACAATCCCTACCACTACTGCGCCGTCCATTAGGGGAAGGAAGAAGGAAACACGAATAAACGCGCCAATGGAAAGGGAGAAAGAGGATAGGAGAAAAAAAGTAAAGGAAAGAAAAAAATAAAATAGGAAACCCAATGGCAAAGTAAAGGCTGGGCCATATAACACTCAGGCATGACTCTACTGGTTGAAAACTCTCTACCTCACTGATCACAGCAACATTCCTAGGCGTATCTTCCCTTGCCCATGCAAAAAGAAAAAGAAAAACGGGAGGGAGCACTGGTTATGGGTCTTTTCTAGCAACGCACCTCTGGTTCCACTCTTTCTTCGTTCCTCAACTATGAATGTTGGGAGGAGGGACGAGGAGAAGAATGTTCTGGAGGTAGAGGGTACGGCGAAGGAGACCTGACACCGACGAGTGCTATGCAAGCGATGTTCCTATTGCGGTCGTCAATCGACTTAAGAAAGACTGCAATGAACCTCCACAAGCTGGTAGAGGCAACCAGTAGCGCAACCTTAAGCACAAGTTCAGGGAAGTGGGATATGAGCGACAATGGACGCGATAATTACGTCACCGAAGCATTTTATCACTGCATCCACTGCGGCCTACCCACACTACACTTGAGCGTGTTCGTAGCCAAATGTGGAAAATGCTACCCACACACGCGTCAAAGCCATAAATTTGGAGGGATTGGTGGACCTTTCCACTTTCTTACTTTCTTACATTTCACACTTACGCATTCAAGACACACAGCCATGGCATCAGCAACGAAACTGCCTCTCTTGGAATTCAAAGCCGGCCGCTGCTTCAGGACCACAGGAACCGACACCGTCAAACCAGACCCCACCAAAGGGTAACGCCCAATGCCATTCCCCCTCAACTCATTCTGAATGTTGGCGACGACTTTTATGACAACAAGCCATCCTCCAGACTCTAACTTGTCACCACACTCTCTCTTTCACACAAATAGGCTGGTGTATCTGGAGGAGGAAGACGGTTTGATGCATTTTTTCTGGAAGAACAGGACATCCGGCGAAATTGAAGACGTAAGAGGCCATACCGCCTTTATTTCGCATTCTTGAACGATAGAACCAACTTGCATACTTAACACTAGCAACTTATGTCACGTATATATCTAGGACCTAATCTTATTCCCGGGAGACGCAGAACTGATCGCGGTACCACAATGCACGACAGGACGAGTAGTCATGCTCCAATTCAAGTCGTCCTCACAGAAGCTCTTTTACTGGCTCCAAGAGGTCAGCACCGCACGGGACCAAATAATCTTGCAACATGTCAATTCTTTGATTCACTCACAGGAGGATGAAGAAGAGGAGTATCTGGATGAGGATGCTGCCATGGGAGACGTTGAAGGTACGGATGGGAGGAGCTTTGAAGCAGGAGTATGGATATGTGCTGTGACTGGACATTCGTCAATTGATAGGGGTTCTGAAACTAACCTGGTTGAAATGGCTACGTTATATACTTGAATAGCTGCACCGGCTTCAGAATCAGCATCTACAATTGCGCCATCAGCAGCGTTCGCCCCTGCAGCACCCGTTTCTACTTCTACTACCAACCTTACTTCAACAGCTCCCGCCGGGGCAGCAGCAGCAGGTGGCTCTTCCTTGACAGCACAGCAGATGGATCAACTGCGCCATCTCCTCGGAGGTCTTCAAGTGCCTCGTAAGTCTCGAGCGCTACCAGGAAAAGTCTCAATTGCGTCAACAGACAACCTGCAACAAATGCTTCCTAAAACAGCTCATCTTATTCATTTAACCCTTAACACATAGAAGCGGCACAGAGATCAAATCTTCGTCTGGACCATATTCTGACACCAGGAGCAGTAGCACCACTGCTGAACAACCCAGAAATCTGTGCAGCACTCTTCCCACACCTCCCTGAATCTTCCGAGAGGACGCCAGAGGAGATCCAGGCCATTGTTCGGACCCCTCAGTTCTCACAGGCTTTGGTGTCTTTGAGCACTGCGCTTGAGTCGGGGCAATTGGGTCCGTTATTGAGACAGTTTGGACTTGGACCTAATGCTGGCAATGGTAAGGAGACTGTTGATTATCGTGAGTTACGAAGGAATGGTCTTTGCATTGATCAGTCGCGGAGTGCTAACATTTTGACTTTTGCTGTGTCTGTTTTGATAGGTGTGGAAGGGTTCCTGAGCGCGATTCAGGAACAGGCGAAGAAGGACAAGAAATAGCGCATACCACATCCTTATTGTAACCAACAAATAAACGGGATTCGCTTTTGGAAAATATTCAATGCTAATGGTGATTTGTATTTCAGTGTATTCCTATTCAACAGCCAAATCCAAGATCTCTTTCTTTCTTAATTCACAGCACGCTCCCTCCTGTGACTATTCAAGACCGTTTTGAAGGCTCCTCCAAACCCATCGCAAATCGCATGATCTCGTTCTTGATAGGCCCCATCTTGTCAACAGCAGTGAGTCCCAAAGAGCGAGCCCAGACAACAGGGCCGAAATCTGTGTTGTACAGCTTTGACAGTTTGTCGACCGTGCCCAACATGGCCAAGTTTGGCAAGAAGCGCTCGCTCGAGTATGGAGTCAACGAATGAATGTTTCCTAAGATTATCATACGAGAAGGGTGGGTGGTACAAGGTGTTACTTTTCTTGTCGGAGCATGGAAATAATTTGAACAAGAATTAGTTTCATGCAATATGGTATGTGTCTGCATTTGGGTTTACCGATGTCGGATCCGCTGAGGAGACTTGTTTCGATGACACGGGCAAGGCACTCAACATCAGCCAGACCCTGGTTCAATCCCTGACCAGCAAGAGGGTGGACGGTGTGGGCAGCATCTCTATACCAATGAATTGTAACTTAGTTCCACGTTAGTGAACATAACCTCAGCGCAAGAGTGCACATTTAACGATGTCAGGCAACCAATTGACGTACCCGACAAGGACAACGCGGTCTTCGACATAGCTGCTCGAGTTCCTCATCCTCAAGGGGAAGGGGGCTCTGCTGTTCTCCTGGACGTCAACGACTCTTGGGGGTTTGGCATCACCCTGGGAGCTGCTGCCACCACGGATCATGGTCTGAGATGCCTCCTGATCATGAACACTCGTCCTCCATTCGATCTCCTTCTGAAAGTCAACGAGAGGCTCGCCATTGGGTCCAATGTTTTTGTACAAATACTCAAGCTCCGCAGGGCTGGCGCTGAAGGCTGCGTTGACCAGTGCGCAAAAATCACGAGCGGGCAACTTTTTGAGATCCTGAGCAATCTTAGGTGTTGTTGACCAGACTAAACTTGCGTAGCCATTGTTCAACTAGATCATAATCAATTTCGTGAGACAATGTGATTAATGACTTTGACATATACCGCAGCAAGCAAATATGCAAGGATCAAGTTGTGGCTATCACTTACAGGCAACATTGCGATGGGTCCGGTGGGCAAGAACCTCTGCCAGGCGATTCCCTTGCCTTGTCCAGGTGCAGTCGAAGTCGAGGGATCAATCTGAAGGGTACCGACTAGACCGAATTGCGAGTAGTCCCATCCAAGAGACTCAATTTTGGCGAACGATCTGACGGGAGAATTGACACCGTCCGCGCCAACCAAGAGCCTCGTCACTAGGGTCTTGCCGTTATCCAATTGAACAGCAGGCCAGTCCCCCTGAGGCTGCGCAGATTCGCCCTGCTCAGTAGTGATTCCCTGCACCTTGGTCTTTTCAAAAATATCCAACTTGACTCCACGAGCCTGGTGACCCACAAGCTGCTTCTGCAGCCCATACTGGACATGCAAGTTCTCTGTCATCCATGCCAGGGGCGAAGCCTCCTTGTTGCCATCCAAATTCTCCTGGTTAGTGCTGCTGTTGACGCCGGGTGGCGTTGGGATGTTTCCTGAAAAGACCTGGTGCAAGAAGCTAGACTGGATACCGTCCACATCGGCAGCATCAAATGTAATCCTGGCACCACTGACACCATCCCAAACCTGCATCCCCTCACAGGCGGCGACACGGGACGAATCTAGCTCCGACCAGACACCAATCTTTTTCAAGAAGGCGACAGATTTGGGTGTGAGGGAAGAAACGCGGTTGGAGTATTGATCGGGACGAGGGGACCACTTGATATGGTTACTGAGGTCAAAGGCCTCAATGAGCGCGATCTTCAATGTGCTAGAAGCCTTATTGGACGCTAAAGTTTAAGTGTCAATTCAGAGGAAGGCGTTATAAATTAGTTCGGAAACTGTGCGCATTTTTTGGAGGAGAGGATCAGTAGTTACGTCTGCAGGGGTAACATACCAAGGGCACATGCCAAGGCACTTCCGGCAATGCCTCCTCCGACGATAACGACGTCGTATTCCTCCGTTGCTGTTGCTGCCGCTTTGGCCTCTGTTGACTGGAAGCGAATGGCAGCCATGGGCTGGTGAAGGCGGGAAGACAAAGGGTTACGGATCCCTGTCCTTACGGCGCGAGCGAGTAAACTTGACATTACTGGTTGTGAAGTCGACACTGAGTCTTGTTGTTGTTTTTGTTGATGTGTTGTTGGGCGGGGTGATGAATGTGTGAGGTGGAGTAGGACGTGTGTGTTACGGAATTGCGAAAAAAGACAAGGGGTGGTGCGGAGCCGCTTCCCTTTGAGGTCACTTTCGCACGCACGCGAGAACCACCGGAGCACAGTCACAGCAACAACTTAAAAATGAACACCCTTGGGCAAAATCAACAAACATCGCGTTTCAACTCTTCCTTTCCCTCTCGCCTTTCACACCTTGAACTTCCACTCCCTTCCCTACCCCCTGGACACGACACTCACTTCCCGCCCCACCACATCTACTCTCCTCTTCTACCTCATCTGTCTCCTTCGTCCCTGATCATGGTTGCTTTTCGAGTGCCACTTCCGTTGTTTTGAGCACAACTGACCGCTCTTTCTCTGCTTGGGGTTGTTTTTAGTTGAAAGCACTAATGAACGACAATAGACTAAGTACCTCTCTTTTAAAGAACCACTCCTGCCTTGCAGCGAAGTACCCTTGGAAACAAATTGCTTTTGGGCTGTCGCTTCTCCTTCTTAGACTTGCAGCACTTGAGAAGGATGAGGGCGTTGCAAAGAAAGTCCATTGCAGATAGGAACCAGCTACTTGTTCGTGGTGTCCCCGTCTCTTAACCACGATAAAAGTCTCCTCACCGTCCTGCGACAAAAAAATATTAGAAAAGCGTTGATGGTTCTCTTTGGTCTTGAGTTGAAAGGGGATAGCTCTGTTCTTGTTCATAGGTGCTTTCACCTCTCGAGTTACCGGTCTTGCTACAGCCACTATCACAGGCAAAATATGTAACAATAGCAAGCAAGGCGAGTCTTTAGTAGCGTATGAGCAGAGGCGCTCTTATCTTGTCCACGGCCATCGTGTTGGAGGGGCGGAGGCGTTGAATGAACAAGATTTGCGCAAGGAATAACAAAAATATAGAAAGATATGAATAAAACACCTTTCTTTGTATCTCTCTCCTCTTCAATGCCCCACTTATCCTTGCTTGCTTCCTCGTCAATCTCTGCGCCGTCATTGTCTTTTCCTACTTTATTTTCACTCCCAGACTCTCTGGCTCTCTCTCCCTCGTTCTCTCACTTTAATGACTTTAATCTGAACGCAGTGAGAGACTCTTAACTAACGAGGTCGTCTTCATTGTTTTCATGTTGATGGAGTCCTGAGTGTAAATCACCAAGGGCTGTTTCAGCACACCCGCCACCAAATTACGTGCAGCTTTAATACGGGGGACGTGCTCATTTTTATGTTTCCCACCTTCTATTCTTCCCACAACACCTTTTAGCCTTTTTTACTCTCACGGCAACCAGTCTTTACTACTACATCTATACGTGAAAATACTATCGATCGTCACCATGTCTATGGATCAAGTTGTCCGCGACAAGAATGACCCCATCGAGGAGGAAGAGGACGAGGTCACTCCGCTTACGTTCTTGTTTCTGTTCCGTACCATGGATGTTGACTCTTCCCACCACCGGCACAAACAAACTAATAATACTACCTCCTTTTCTGTCTTTCTATCCCTCTCTTTGCTTTTTTTACATCGTTCAACGAACACAGGAGCTCTTCTTCACTGGTAGCGTCTCCGCCTGCTTTCGCCGTCTCTGGCAAGATCGACCTGAATCGTTAAACTTTACGCGCAAAATTTGGTTACGTACCGTGCATAACCTGTCAAAGTCTCCTTCGCTCTATCTTTTGTCCATCTCGCATAGATGTCGACGAACTGCAGAACCACGGTATTAACGCTGCCGACATCACCAAGCTCAAGCAAGCTGGTGTCTGCACCATCAAGGTACGCTCCTCGTCAGGATTTGTCTTCGTTGACTTTTGTGCTTTACTCTTTTTTGGTGAGAACTCAGCACCTAACTGAAACCACTTGCTTCCATCTGTAGTGCGTCCAAATGACAACCAAGAAGAACTTGTGCCGCATCAAGGGATTCTCAGAGGTGAGCATAATCTGATCAACCGAGAGTTTGAGTGTTCATCCAAATTAAGCTCACACACCAAACATCTTAATATCAATATGGTAGGCCAAGGTCGAGAAGCTCAAGGAGGCAGCAGCCAAGCTTCACAACGCCTCTTTTATTACTGGTCTCGAGTACAGCGTTCAGCGCAAGAAAGTCTTGACCATCTCCACTGGCTCCAAGCAACTGGACGGGCTTATTGGAGGTAAGTAGCGTCTCTCGCAATTTAACTCGCAGGGTTCGCTCTCACTTTTATATTCTTGACTTGAGACCAATACATTCGCCTCCTCTCTTGTGCCTTCTAGGCGGGATTCAAACAATGGCGATCACGGAGGCGTTTGGCGAGTTCCGAACGGGCAAGACTCAGATCGCGCATACTCTCTGTGTGATCGCTCAGCTCCCCCTCGAGATGGGCGGAGGCAACGGCAAAGTAAGCTTTCTGTTGTTTTGGTTGCGATGAGGAATCGAGAATATGCTTAACCTATCGCCACATCTGACCCACGCTCCCTATTCTAATATAACTAGGCTGCCTTTATTGATACCGAGGGAACGTTCCGTCACGAGAGAATCAAGTCGATCGCCGAGCGCTTTGGGATCGACGCTGAAGCTTCCCTTGAAAACATTCTTGTTGCTCGTGCCTACAACTCGGAGCACCAGATGGACCTCATCACCGAGGTCGCAGCACGATTTGCCGAGGAGAGAGGCATCTTTCGACTTTTGGTAAGCTATTCAACGCATGTCTACCCTTATAGAAGCTCACAGGAGAGCGCAACAACAGTTCGCGATACTGATTCCATTTACTCTCCACCTCGGTTTCTTTTTAACCTTCGTAGGTGATCGACAGCATCATTGCCCTCTTCCGAACTGACTTTTCTGGTCGAGGAGAGTTGTCCGAGAGACAGCAGAAGCTGAACCAGATGTTGAGCCGACTTGTCAAGATCGCCGAAGAGTTCAACGTTGCTATTTACTTGACCAACCAGGTCCAGTCAGATCCAGGCGGAGGTCTCACCTTCGTCGCGGATCCCAAGAAGCCTGTTGGTGGCCACATCTTGGCCCATGCTTCGACAACCCGCCTTTACCTCCGAAAGGGGCGAGGCGAAGAACGTATCGCCAAGGTCTACGACAGTCCCGATGTTCCCGAGGCTGAAGCCCGTAAGTCTAGTACATTTGATAGCAAGGTTAGGGATGGTTCACGTTCGTCTTTTTTCTGCAATACCACTACTGACTAAGCCCTTCTTCCTTATCTTCGCATATGGTTTAGCCTACGCCATTTCTGCAGGAGGTATCGTTGATGTCAGCTAAATGCTGCAAAGGCCAATTTGCCGTTGGTCCCTTGAGCGGACATACCACAGTGGCGTGAACTTTTCACACCTTGATTTTTTTCTTCTTTGCTTCGTCTATGTATTTTAAATATCCTTTTTGTTTGCGCCGTTGCCGAACCTCTCTCCGTTTGTTGCTCCTTTGACTTTACTCAATCCTCCCCTCAAATGACTAGGTTGTCTACTAAGCCTCGACCACACTTTTTTTTTCTAAGGGCGCTTCGAGAATAATAACGAATTCCAATAAATCGCCAAGACCGCGCCGTTGTTGTCTTTCTTCGCTTCTTTTAAGACGTTGAGTCGTTACCCCATCCGCTCACAGCCACACTCGCCAACCATTTTTGCACGAGACCGACCATCCGCCATAGGATTACTGCCCTGAATGTGAACATTTCCTCCACCGTGACGTCCTGGCGGCGCATAACACGGTGAATATTGTCGGGGGTCACTTGCTTGCGCAAAGGCGTCCCGAATACTTGCAGCCAATGAATGCCGAGGGCAACCTCCCTTGGCAGGGCGACAAATCGAGCAGCAATGAAAGTTCAAGCAGCAGTGGGGATACGAGCAGTAACGGCAGTGCAGCCGGCAGCAGCACAGCATCTACTACAGGGTCGAAAGGTCGAGAGGGGAGGTTCACGTCTCCTTCTTAGGAGAGCCTAAAAAGCAGTCCCCAACCACAAATAAAAATGCACTGAAAAGAAAAAAGAAACAACGTTCAAGACGTACATCTCTTCCACACTTTGTACATTTACCTCTCCTCACCCCCTACTTTTTACATTCCTACACCCTGCCCTCCTGCAATGATCAAGAAACGCAAATCTGCACCCGGGGTCTGGAAGGAAGAAGCATTCCGGGAATCGACAACTGATTCCTCAGACAGCAACGGGACACAGGAGACAGTAGACAGTGGCGCGGGTGGTAGCAACGCTATGGCCATAGATCAAGATACAGAGACATCAGCTACTACTGCAGTGGTGAAAGAGTTAAACCTCGAGGAAGGCGAGACTGTAGAAACACCTGAGAAGAAGCAAAAGATTGGGGGAGATGATGATGGTGGTGAGTAGACACTCGACCTTCTCTTTGTGGTGCTTTTGTGTCGTTGTTCTGGGTGATGATGCCAACTGTGGTATCGATCGTGGTACTAAACAAAGAACTCATTATCGCATGCTCTGGGGTTCGACAATTAGGTGCAACTACACTTATGGATACGATGACAAAGGAAGAGAGGAGAAAGCTGAAGAAGGAGAAGAAGAAGCAGGCTGGCTTAGCCAAGCTTGATGGAGGTCGGCCGTCGATTCTTCTCAGTCGCAATTACAACATGAAACTCAAGCTCAAGGTACGACCAAGGCGAAGTAGTTTTGATCGTCGCGCAGGATTGGGAAGTACTGGACACACTTGACAGGATGATATTCAATTTACAACGATCTAACATTTTCTACCTCTCGACCTTGACCATAGGACTTGCGCGACCTAGTTGTGTATCTGTTGACCGAGACCAAGACACTGCCATGGATGATGGTCAAGAATAAGTTCAACATCCAAAAGGTTGTTCTTCTCTATGTCGGAGGTCTGGATCCTTCGTTTTTTGGAATCGACTACAAGGATGAGGATGCGACAGCACCCGTGGCATGGGCATCGACGGCGACAGAAGGACCAATCACGGAGATGAGGAACTTGAAGAGGTTCTTTGATGTCGTAAGTCCCATGAAGGCTGGAGGCGAAAAGAACAAGATCTACTCACCCGTCAATCAGATCCTCAACATCCCCCTGAGCAACACGGAGAAGATCAAACGGGAAGCTGCAAGAGCTAAAGGTATGCGGGTTTGCTTCCATGCCATTCCGAAGTACGTATGACTAGCGTTGGCTACGCTTCATGACCTCTAACCGGCATATATCCTTCTTTCTTCATATTAGCGCGAGTACCGGATTTGAAGAGGGATGGATATATGTTGACACCGCAGGAGATGCAGGAACTAGAGTTTCCTCTTCCAAGCTACATGACTGGCGGTGTCTCGGAACTCAAGGAAAACTGGATCGAAACGGATCAGCTCGCCAACTCAGTCTCTCCTGACCAACGGAAACTGATCGCCATGGACTGTGAAATGGTAGGGGACCCCTTTGTCATCGCGATAATCTTCTATACATTGCAACGGTGTGCCATACCCAGGCGTGTATGCAAAGTGCTGACTTAATCCCTGCTTCTATATGTAGTGTCTCACCGAGCACGGTTCAGAGTTGACGCGCATTACGCTTATTGGCGAGGACGGGAAAGTCATCTATGACGAGCTGGTTCTGCCAACCAACCCTATCACGGACTATCTGACCAAATACTCGGGAATGACAGCAGAGCGTCTTAGTGGTGTGACGACAAGACTTGCGGACGTTCAAAAGAGGTTGAAGGAACTCATCGACTACGACACCATCCTTGTTGGTCACTCCCTCGAGAACGACATGAAGGTTTTGAAGGTATATATTTTCGTCCGCATGCACGCGGAGATTTATTTGCTGATCCATTAATGTCTCTGTGTAACAAAGATCTGATCGTTTTCTTTCTTCCTTTATGCATATATGACAGTTTGCACATCCATTTATTATCGACACCGCAAGGGTATATCATCACACGCGAGGACCTCCCTCGCGACCCTCATTGAAGTGGCTGGCGTACAGATGGCTTGAGCGGAGGATTCAGAACGGAGGCGACAACGGACACGACTCTATCGAGGATGCCCTCACTTGCTTGGACCTCATCAAACTCAAGATCAAGAATGGACAAGGCTTTGGCGAGTACTACAACGATCAGGAATCGGTCTTTTCTAGGATCAAACGATACACCAAGCCCAGGACATCGGCAGCGATTGACGACGAGTCTTTCGTGAACTGCCAGGATGCTACCACATACATCAAGACGACCAGTGATGCCGAGGTTGTCGCTGCCCTTCCTAAAGCCATGAGGGATCATCATTTTGTCTGGGCACGGCTTCGTGACCTGGAGATCAACTATGGAAAACCTGGACCAGATGTGTCAATTGCATCAGGGCATCATCCAGACCAGGGGCGGGCTGCTTTTCTGTCGTACGAGAACCGGGTTGATGCGACTGAGGAGGAGATTCGGGAGGCGGCCCGGAGTGTTGACAAGAGCCTTGCGGCGATTGTGGAAGCGATGCCGCCCAACACGGCTTTTTTGGTGACGAGCGGGCAAGGCGATCCGCGGGGGATGTTCAAGTACCAGGAGCTCCAAAAGAGATACCAGGCGCTGTACAACTCTGTGAGCATCAGTGAGATCGCCAAGGAGGATCGGTTTGATGATGAGACCCAGGCGGCTCTTGAGCTTGGTGTTGAGCAGGCCAAGAACGGCGTGTGCTTTTTTATGGTCAGGTAGACACGCCTTGTGCCCTTCTTTGACGGCTGCAGGTGTCATAAACAAACAGCCTACTATGAACGTTTTCTTTGTACCTGACTTAGTGAGAGCTCGTTGGACTATATGCACTAATTATTGAAAATGCAGGCTTGGATATGGTTTATTCTAGATGGAAGAATGGGAGGGCGAGTCACTCTATTGCTCCCCATTGTGCCCTGGATCCACACGCGGCTCTGGCGAGGGTATAAAATGCCAGCCTCCTCCATCGCCTTCGCATTTTTCTTTTTCATTCTTTTTGCTTTCCTCACCCTTGTTTCTCTTAACCACCTTTTCTCAATCGTAAGCTTTGCACCTTCACATTCCTTTCCTCCTACCGCAATCACCACTCCTCTCAAAAAAAAAGAGAGACGCGTTACGCACGTATACACACATACACACATACTCAATACAGTACCACTGTAAACCAACAACCACTACCTGTTCTCATTCTCTCCATGGGACTCATCCGCAAGCTATCCAACACCTTCAAGAACGTGACCGGTAACGTAATTGACAGTCTGAAGGACAAGAAAGAAAAAAAGGAGCAGCGAGAGCAAACCGAAAAGCAGGAAAAGAAGCCCATCTTCGCCTCTTCCACTGTCACCACCAGCACGTACAGCCACGACAACTACGACTCGGACAACGCGTCGGATGACACTCATCTCCGTGGTGAAAGTTGCGTTCGATGTGCCAATGGCAACGTCAGCGTTTGGTGTGTCGTTTGTGAGGTTTGTGTGGGTTGTTGCGATAACGATAAGCACCGCAAGCCGAGAAAGTTTGTGAAGGAGGCTGAGGAGGCCGCGGCTGCGGCTTCGGCTGCGAGAATGTCGCGTCGATCCAACAGTGCCATCTTCTAGGCAGTTCCTGGCCTCACTCCATTCCGGCCTTTCTCGGTGTCTTCTGGTCGTCTGTTCTCGGTCTCCTCTGTCATGACCCAAGTCCTCCTCCGGTTCCTCCCTGCGCTCTTCCTTTTTCTTTAGTAGTATAAAAACACAAAAGCACAAAAAACAACAACACAAGTAACACACGTAATGCCACCTCCGCCATTCCTGTCTATATTTCTCTTTTTTTTCCTTCTCTCGACCCTTTCTGAAAAACTAAACAATAAAGCAGCCAAGCAGGGCATGGGGAAAACCCTTTTCCCTCTGTCCTTCGTTTGATATGACACCTCTCTATTCTTTCCGGCTGCTTAGCCTTGCTTTCAATCATCAGAAATGTGCCTATAGACATGCAAACTGTGGCACCTATCTGACGCGTAATTAACTCAATCTGCGAAGAAGGAAGAAAGGAACATTACCCCACAAGGATGGCTTCCCGAGCCGCAAAATACGGCCTCATCAACTGGACACGAAACCCTCTAGCACACAGAGATAGCGAGCATGAGAAGGATCGTACTTGCTGGCTTACCTGTTCTGCCGCTCAGGGTGGCGGTTCGCCCTGCCTTGACCCATGTGTTATTAATATCTTGAGGGTGGTCGGGATACTTCGGCTACGGCGAATGAAAAAAAGTAGACTAGTTTCTCGCCTTACTTTTCTTTGCATTCCGCCTCCCTGCCTTTTTTTCTTTTCTTTTGCTTGTTATCAGATACTTTGGCTGTAATCAATAGCTAGGAGACTCAATCCAACGCTTTTTTTTGAATTGATCCACAGTAGGAGGAGATCTGCCCTTAGGAATAATGAAAAGAAAACATGCCATGACTTGATATAAGTTTTCATTTCTTGGCTATGCATAGACCATTCTACCCCAACAACAACTATATTAAGAGGTCAAAACCTATATTTCGCTCCTTTTTTTACTTCTTCGGAGTGAGAGAACGCGTCGGTTTATCCCTCTTTGCCTCTACTCCACTTGCAATCATTTTTTGTCATACTGCACAATACACCCAACAAAAAAAAACGCGGGGATCCCTTTTTTTGTACCTGAAAATGAATTGGTCCGAGTACCTTACTTTTCTGTTGACTTCGGTAGACCCTTTGTCATAACTTAGGCCATCGCCACGCGTTTTCTATGAACAAAGATATCGGTCATGGTTTTTAGCCTTTGCGCAGAGTTGTACTGTGTAAAAACAACTGTCCTTATCCATCGTTTTTCCCTCGTCCATTTCCTTTCTCTCCACCAGCAATCTACCAATCTCATTTCCAAGCTCTCTTCCGAACACAAACTCTCTTTAACATACCTCAAGCATCAATCAACATGGGTCAAGTATTTCCCGGCGATCCCAACGGCAATGTCACCAGACCTGCCGTTCAGCCAGATCTCTTGCAACCTCGATTGCTGATGCAGCGACCACCACTGTAACAAGTATACCTGTTCGCATCGTTCCCAAGCCCCATTATTGCGCTACCTTTGCTCGCTGCAAGGCTTGTTGCACTGGGCATGATCCGGACCCCAAGCTACCCCAGCCTGCACCCCTGGCGCTATTGCTTAAAAACGCGAACGCCGAGTCTCCAAGCCTGCTCTTCAAGAAAGAGCTGGTGCCGTTTGTCCATTCCTTACTGTCCTCTCTCGATCAGGGACGACACACCTTCATGCGCTTGTCTGGTTTCGTAGTAAATATGACGAAAGAATAGACTCAGTAGTGCACTCCACCTCCCTTCCCTCACCTATTTCTCCTCCCCCATCACAAACAAGAAAAATAGGAAAATTCCCTGTCTTGACATTTCTTTGTTTTTTAGCTTCCGTCTAGCTGCATATATTGGATGGACCATCCATGACCTGGACCACTGTGTCTCGTCGTCTTTGTTCTTTTTTTTTTTTTTTTTTGGCAATTGATGAAACTCAACAAAACAACCGTTGTGTACCTGAATAATTAGGTCAAAGGACACGTACGGTTTTGTTTTGTTCTTCACTATTCGACCCATGCCCATGCTTCCAATGTAAGCAATCCATTTTTCTTTCATAATAGGGAAGAGAGGGTGTTCTCCTTTTTCATAGTCATTCTCGCTTGCGGTATAATGGGGTAGATGCTTTGCTTCGACAAGGTATAAAAACCATGGATCTTACCTTCGTTCCTTTTTTTCTTTCTTTTCGTTTCAACATCATTCTCTCTCTTACCCTACTTTCGAACGCACGCACACACTCCCATCCACACCCTCACCAAAATGACCCTTACCGTCGACGACCACTCTGCCTCTTTCGAAAGCCTGCTCGTTAACCGACGCTCCAACAACGGCAATGATGATACTAAAAACAACAACAACAGTGATGATGACATGCAGCAGCAAGCCAAAGACTCGAAGAAGAAGAAGCAATTCGACTGCGGCACTTGCAAGACAAGGGACATTCCCTTGGAGCGATGGTGCACCTCGTGCAACCTCTGCACTTTCTGCAGCCAGAGATGCGTCAACATTGGTGGCCGCGTTTTTGTTTGGCCTTGCGGATGTCTCAAAGGCTGAGCGCCAGAACCGCCGAGCTTGAAACGTCCAAAGAGAGTCGTCTGTCCGTCCCCCCCCTCGCTCTCGACCCTCCCCTCCGCGATCTAATTCGGTTCTTTTCCAGTCGTCTCCCAAAACCAGGCCCTTTCCTTGACCATATGCATCCCTCTTTCATACTAGCAAAAACGTACAAAATATCAACCCAACAAAACACCATTTTTTCTTTTCATCAACCAGTTGTTCAGCAAAAATAAACAGCCATCATGCATGAAAGATATCCATCCCTCCTCTTCTTCCTATCGCCAACCATCTCTCTCTTTCACCCAACCATTCTCTCTCTTTCCTCCCCCTCATTCGGCAATGGGTCGTCCTGTCAACAGCAACGGCATCTTCTTCGGAATTTTACTCAACAGCCAGCAGCACGGTAATGGAAATGCCAACAACGTCAACAACAACAACAGTGGTAACAACCAGAAACCCAAAACTCGTCTGCATCAGGCACAACACTTTTGCCAGTCGTGCATGACCCGAAACGTTCCTTGATGCAGTGGCCCGACTCCTATCAGATGTGCAACATGTGCAGTCGCCGAGTTTTCCGAAATAGCGAGCGCCTCATCGTCATGTCTTGCGGTTGTCGCAAGCAGTCAGCAGCCTGAGTCGTTGAGCTGGGCGTGCTTGACAGAGCTGTTCATATCCGTCCATAGTTACTTGCCTAGGCCTGTCCTCGTATGCTTCATCCGACTCGCTTCCTTCCTACCTGATCAAGGTCAGACTACCCTCTCAAGCTTCATATGTCCCTCCTTCTTAGTAGTAAAAAAACACCAAAAAATACATCCTCCCAAAACACTCATCGATTCTCTTTGTATCTCTAGAAACGACAAAAATAAAAAAGTCTCTGGTGCATGAAAAGTACCGCTCCTCCTTTTCTTCATTTTCTTTGTTTGCTTGCTGATTTTACTATGTCTAATTTTCGTGTTTTTTTTTTGGTGTGTGGCCCTTCTACAGCCTTGCGCATCACTCACTTTGCTTTTGTTCCTTTTGGTCATTTTCGGTTGTGAAATGTGGTGGCTTCATTGCGAGACGGTTCAAAGTCAGTAGGGATTTTTATTTGTTCTTTTTTTCTTTTTCGTCACCATCATCTGTCATCTCACGCTCACAAACACGTACTCCCCTCTCTCTAACAACAACAAAAAATGGCTCACTCGGTCTTCAAGTACCTCTATTACACGCGATACCCACCCAAAACCGCTAGCTCCAAGAACAACAACCGTTTAGTCAATATTACCTCTGTCAACAGCAACCAAAAGAAGGCCGATGCCCCGCTCACCAAAGTCAGTTGTCGCTCGTGTGGGATCACAAAAATTCTGGAGGAGAAATGGTGCATCTTCTGCTGCAGTTGCACACTATGCTGCGACAGCGGCTGTATCGAGTACATCGCTGAAGAACCTGGACTTTCCCTTGCTCCTTCTCTTGACAATAAGAGCAGCGTCTCTGAACTGGATCGCTTGGATGGCCTGTTTCCTTGATGGCTTCCCTGGTTCCCTTCCTTCACCTTCAATGTCAGGTCCAAGTTGCCCGTTCATAATCCCCCTCTTTTTTTAGTATCACAACCAACCCAAAAAATGAATAAACTAACCTCAGCGGTCCTCCATCCTCTTCTTCCAGCACAAACAAAAACAATAAATGATGCGTGCATAAGAGCAACTGTTCTCTTCCTTTTCTCATGGCTTCGTGTTTGCTTTCGCATCCGTTCGGCACTGGCATGAACTCCATTCATGCGCATACCATGAAAACAAATCAAATCGCGCGACTTGCACCCCCGTGTGTAGCTGTTTTTTGACTTTGGAAAACACGTTCAAGTAGGAGTCAAGGAAGAACATATGTGGCTTGCCTATCTCTATTTCTCGCGATTCCATGGGCACTCTTGGACGCGGTGATTTTTTTTCTTTTTCTGTTATATCCGGCTGTAATTGCATTGATCAAACTCAACAAAAAAGAGTGGTGTGTCCGAAATGTTGCGGTCCAAGTCAATTGCTTATCCAGTTTAGACTCATTGCCCCCGATCCATATTCAAAAACTAGGCAACGTGTCTCTTTTCGTGGAAGAGAGGCACTACCTCTTTAGTCTCCTTATCTGGGATAACGAGCGTTGACTTGATCGTGAGACGCATGAGAGCTTTGATTTTCGATTGTTGCCTTTTTTTTCTTCCCTTTTTTCTATTCTCAGTCACCTCCACACCATCTCTCGCTCTCTTTCACCCCCATTCTACCCGGCGAAGTCAACTCATACCAATCACTCCCGTTCCGCCCGAAGCTCGCCCGTCGCCAACAGCTCCAAGACTGGCAACAGCTAGCAGAAAGTTTGTGCCCAGACCTGATCGATTATATTAAGTGTGGGACCAAGAATATTTCGTCGGTGAAGTGGTACGTCTCCTGTAGCTCCTGCCGTAACTGCAGTCGCCAAGCCGTCATTGTTAGTTGTCGCACCCAGATGGTGTCTTGCCCCTGACCCCGGGAATACTAAGTTGTTGAGCTGGACTTTCAGAGAAAGCCATCGTTATTGTCGAAACAGTCTCCTTACTGGTCCTTTCGGCTCCTTCCTTGCCCCTTTTTTGAGAACACTTTCTCTCTCCGATACTCATGTGGTCCTTTTCTTAGTATCGCTACAAAAAAAAACACAGAAACAACCCCATCTTACAGTAATCCACCTCTCTTTCTCGTTCTCAGATCCCACAAGGATGAACAACTTTTGACTCATGAAAAAAAACCCTTTTCCTTTTGGTTTGCTCGATCGCTATGTGGTTGCTTTATTACTGTGAAATACAGTATCGATCAGACGTGTAATATTTTATTTGTTTGCGCAGAAGGAAGCAACCGATTGACGAATGCCCATCATGTAAAGAAACCCTTAATGATTTGGCTTGCTCTCTCTGAGTAATAAACCAAATACAACTCATATCTTCACTTCATTTCTTCTCTTCGTTCCTTCTCATCACAGTCAATTACCATCCACTCCGCGCCCCTTCACCCCTCGCTCCACCCAAAATGGCTCAACCTCACGGCAAGCTCGCCGTGTCGCACAAAACTTCCCTCATTGCCAGCAACACCAACAATGGTAACAAAATCACCCCTGGTAATAACCAGAGAGCCAGCACCCCAATGGATCGGCTCAACTGCCGTCAGTGTGGGGCAAAAGACGTGCTGCCGATGGCGTGGTGCTTATCCTGTGACACTTGCAGAGACTGCAGCAGCAGTGCCGTTTTTGTTAACGGCCGCATTCGGATTACGCCATGCTCCTGCCCTTGTTAGTGAGAGTCGTTTCGCTGAGCCTGATCTTTCGGAATGGCTGTTGGTCCTCTTCACTCCGCCTACTTCAAGTTCCCTCCGACGCCTTCCCTTTGTCTGTTCCACAGACCGTGTTTTCCCTTCCCCCCCATGCGCCTCTTCACTAGTAGTGCAAAAGACACAGAAATTCTCCAAATTGGCAAGAAAAACACGTCTCAGTAGTGCACCTTCTTTCTTTCTTGTAGTACTCTATCACAAAAACAATAAAAAATCATTGGTGTATGATCCAGTGATCCAGCTATCCTCTTCTCATTTCTTTGACTGCCAGCATGATGTTTCGCGTTGCTCTGTGACTAAAACCTACAGCACTGATTCAATGAACAAGAAATTACCATCACGTCCTATCATGAATGAAAAATGACTCTCCGAATCGCTATTCGCGGCGCGTTTTGTTTACATAGACCTTTCTGATGCACTCACATAGCAATGGCGAAGATGAAATAAAAGGTGTCTGTCTGCCTTTAAGGCACTTACCTCCCTCTGTTTTATTCTTTCATCCTCGAAGTTTCGAATCATGCTGCCGTTCGCATTAATCACATCCACTTTAAGACACTCCGGGATACCGTAAATGCAATTAACTTTCCCAACATTTTTTTTTCCAATTTGCGCCTGAAAATGTCCTTGACCAGAGTACTTGTTTTTTCTGTGGACCCACTTACTTCTTTTTGGCTCATGCATATGGACGCGTGATCTGTCAAAGGGAGTCAGGGTCGCCCGCATTCGAACCTTCTCGTATAGAACATAGAGAAGTAGCTTGGTCGCGACGTGGTATAAAGCCTTTGTTTTTGCCTGCTTTCTTTTATTTTTCTTTTATTTTTCTTTTATTTTTCTTTTATTTTTCTTTTATTTTTCTTTTATTTTTCCTTGACCTTCATCACCGCTACCAACTTTTCCAAACATTATCAATTCCTTCCGAACAGCCATATCTCTCTCTTAAACTCCCTCACACAAACGCGGTCTGTCCTCTCATTAATCGATCAACAAAAGATGAAGCGAGCTCAGTGCATCTACCTCGGCTGCAAACACACCTCACCCTTCACCCAGACCGACAACAACAACAGTGGCAACAACGGTAGTTCCGCTCCTGTCAACAACCAGATCACCGATGGCATACAAACCAAGCACATTTGCCATCCGTGTGGGGAAAAGAACGTCCTAGTGACGAAATGGTGCATGTCTTGTCCTAAATTCAGGGTCTGCTGCGGCAAACCTGCTTTCAACTCGGACCACACTCACCCCGACCTTGTTTTCCCTCGCTCTTACTAAGGATAATTAAAGCCCGAGTTCGACAAGCCCCCGATCACCTTTCAACGAGCTGCTTGTTCTCCATACGTCTGCCCGCTTCAAGCTCACCTTTGACATCCCTCCATACTCCTCTCAAGAACATGTTTCTCCGACCGATCACCTGAAATACCCATCTCAGTAGTACAAAAGCAAAAAAAATCAATGCCCTCTTGGTGGCACTTCTTCTCTAGACCTACTCAAAAATAAAACAATCCTTCATGTTCTCTTTGGTCTTTCTTTGGTGCTCGAAGATCTTTCTCTCACGCACACACGCACGCACACACACACACACAATGTGATCTAGCGCTAATTGGACGCCATCAATTTTTAACAACGCGACTTCAGATGAAACGGTTACTTACAATGGACGCGTCAAAACGCGTGGCTATTGTGTTCCATCCTGTTACCTCAGTTTACCTTTGACTGTGGTTTCAGCCCACTGACTCTTTCTGATCTGCATTTAATTTTATCTGCGGGAGAAAGAAACAGCACCCAACAAGGCGGAATATGAAAACACAAACAGATGCCCTGATTCGCTCGACAATAATGTTTTTTTTGCCTTGACTGTAACTGCAGTAAAGGCGAAGCTAAACACGGAACATCTTCTTCTTATCAATTGGGATTGAGAAAAACGTTTACTGCTCACCCAGACACCCCAGTTATCTTGCTGGACCTGTGGTCAATAATTGTCAATTGGACCCAACAAGGTCAATGCGTGGTTTTTTTGCCTGATAATAACTTCGCCTCGGCCCGAGTACCATGCTTTTATTTGCCTTTTCCTTCAGTCCTTTTTTTATGATTCAGGTACTAGCGATGCCTTTTTTGTCAAAGAAAAGAAAGGCTGCTTGCCGCCTTTTTTTACTTCTTCCTTGACGCAACCCAAAGGGTGGTTGCTGACTTGATAACAAAAAGGTATAAAACAAATCACATTCCTCTTCTTTTCTGCTTTCCTTTTTTCCCCTCTTTTCATCATCACTCAATTTACAATGAATCCCACACCAGGCAAAAACGGATATCTCATGCAGTCACTCGCCCAATCCAACCGTCGTCTGACCTCCACCGCAAGCATGATCAAGGTCGAATATCCTACACCTCCACCACGCACCCACTCCTTGGGACCAATGAACTGCACTCCAGGCCAGGTCGAAGTCAATTATCCCAAGCTATCGCTCCGTGCCCAGTCCAAGCAACCGATGAGGTCCGCCCTAGGTACGGTCAAGGTCGAATATCCCATACCTCCACCGCGCACTCACTCCTTGCAACAAATGACCTCCATCCCAGGCAAGGCTGATGCTCCCATACAGCCAACACGAACTCACTCCAAGCAGCTGGCGATCCCCATCAAAGGTAAGGTCGCAAGTCCCTCACAACCTCGTATCTATTCTGGGTCAGCGATGACAATGCCCATCCCACAGAAGGCCGAATACTTCCCCTCCAAGAACGACAAGCATCAGGACCTCAACGCTGCTGTTGAAAAGGCCTCTCAAGAGAAGCTCATGGCCACCATCGCTACATTCTGCACCAAGTGCAATTGCCGCGACTACATTGGTTGGTGCAGGGACTGCAAGGCCTGCTTTGATTGCTGCCCCGATTTCATTGATATCTGACCACTTTCCGTCTTCCCTGGGAAATCCGTGCGATACTTGTCGTTGCTTCCAGGACCCCTGTACTGGGGAGCCTCTAATCCTGCGACTCTCTGTTCAAGAGGCGTTCGGTTCTCGTCTTGTTAAGCCAAGTTTACTCTCCCCTTTCCTCGCATACAAAATAAAAACACAAAAAAATAGTCTTTCGCTGCACTCCATCAAACACAAAAAAAAACGTACAGCTGTGAATAAAAATCTTCTCTTTGTCTTCTTTCATAGTATCTGTTCACTCGCTTTCCTTGTGCATCGCTTACTGAGAACTACGGCGCGATTGGACTCGTAAATGGTTTGACTTGCATGATGGAAAATCTGCCTGACACTTCTGTGCTGAAGGACAAGACAGTCGTCCCACTCTCTTCTCTTTATTGTAATTGCTTGCACGAGGTCGCGTCCTCGCTTTTCGGCACTGCTTGCTGCATGGTGTTAAGAGAGTGCGATGTAGAGGGTGTTGACTGAAAAAAGCGCGCTAGGGTGAAGAAAATAATATGTTGATATCGCTCTACGTTGTGGTGGTGCACATGTGACGACTGAGGGTATTAAAGGTACTTCATCCTCTAATGGTTTTCTTCATCCCTCTTTACTCCTCTCTCCTAGGATTCATTCGTTTTTGTTCATAGGGCTTTTTTTTATTTTATGATTTCGTTGTTGAAAAGAGAAAGGGGAGTGGAAAACGTGGGGGGGAGGGAGAGAAGAAGGGAGTTCAAAGTGAGCTGAGACTGAGTTTTGCCTGAGCGAAATAAAGGGAAGTAAGGAAGGTCATAGGTGAAAGTGAAAGAAGGATGAAGCGAGCCGGGTGTCTGTTATGGTTCAAATGGAGAATGATTAAAGAACGGGTGACCAAAGAATAGTAAAGTGTATGTGTGTTCTGTATGTTTATATGTGCTGTGCGAGAAAAACGCGGACGAGAAAAAAGGGGAAGAGAAAAAAAGAGATATAACCAACACCAATGATCACTAATGCAAACGAATATAGAAAAAAAGAAACAAATAAGAAGACCTATTACGCGTGAAACAAAACCTGCGCCTCACTTGGAGTAATTTGTTGTTCGTTTCCTCGGAAGCCCACTACAATTCACACACAGGAACACCATACCTCACTTCTCCCCTCTCTTTACTACCAAAATCGATGTCCCTTCTGGTCAATACCAACCAAAGAACCGGCGCCGCCGTCGTTTCGCCACTCAACATTCACCTACCCGGCCCCAAAATAGTAAACCGCCCCATCATATCTAAGAGTCAAGACACCCCTTAGGCCCAGTCGCTTTTAGCTGGCTCCTCTCCTCTCCTATCAAAAACCGATACGCGTAACTCTACTGGCCCCAGCCAGCCGAGAATCCGGTACATTTGCTGCGCCACCATCCAATGCCTGGCCCTCGATTGATTTTATTAGTAGACCTCCCTTCCACCCTCCTAGTCAATTGCAATGGAGCCAGCGCCAGCAAAGGACCAACCACTCTTGACAGTCTCTCCCGATCAAAAAAAAGATCAATTGGCGCAAAAAAGCGACTCGATCCTTCTTCGCCTGTCTATTTATCTAGGGAGAAATGGCATGGTTCCTTGAATGCATAGAGGTCCCAAGCCAGCATGGGCCTTTGTGGCCTCGAAAAGAACCAGATAAAAACCTTGACCTACCAACAGCCGTGTTTTTCGCTTATTTTTTCTTTCGTTCTCATTCTCTTCTTCACGTCCTCACCAGCCCCGACGGCAGTTATCCAATATCGCCAACTCCTCCAATCACTCATTCATATCCACACTCTCTCTATCTCTTTGACTCCACCACCCACCACCAACCATTCTGCTGAACAGCGCCACAAGTTCACCACCACCACAGCCTCCTGTGGTCAGTGGCCAGACCACAATCCCCAAGGCGCCACTCACCAGAGTGCTCTCGCGATTATCGATCGTCAACACCTTCACTTTGAAAAAGGATAGAGTTGGCTCAAAGAAGTAATACAAAAACGTTCCACATGTCGCCGACAACCACTGTGCAAAGTGCCGGTCTCGGTTCGTCCTTGGTTGGTGTGATGACTGTGAGTCTTGCTTGCGCGCTATCACTCTACTTATGTTCCGCTACTTCAATCCCTCTTCAGACTTCATGACGACGAGAATCCTCCATCGTATGGTCTCTGAGCCCTTCTGAATTCGAGCTCATGTCCTTTGGAGTTGATGGCCTTGTTCTCTCCTATGGAGTTTTCTCCAAGACGCCGCGCCAGTAACCTTTTCCTCTCCCATTCTAAGTCTTCCTCTTCTCCCTTGCATTAAAAAAAGCAACATAATCATTTGTCAGTGCACACATACCTATCCTCCGCCAATTCAAATCCTTGAAGGAAAAAAAATATTAACAATCAGTTGGTCCTTAAAACATACACCTTTCCTTCTCTATTCCTTTTTTCTTCCTTTTTCCATTGCTATCTTTGCGCATCGATTCGAGGATCAAAACACATCGAGACCCTGCGTGTAACTAGTTTGATTCGCCCAGGAGGAAAGTGAAGTGCTTTACAGTGATAGTCATGAAAAGGGATGCCGTCGCTTGCAGACGATATGTGCCTGGAAAATACCTAGGTCTGAGAACCCGAGGGTTCTTTTTTTCCCTATTCCTACTCATTCCTTTGGAAACAATGGTGCCAATTCTGGAGCGCAAAGATACCACACCGGGCCAGGACCATGTGGTGGAGGTTTAAAAGGGATTGGCTCCCCTGCGGGACTCTTCGTCACAAGATCTGGAAGCAAGAACCTCATTGCAACATGGCTGGATATCGTGAGCGACGCGAGGACAAGGCGCATCACACCTTTCAGTGCACTCAATAACGACATGTGTACCCTGGACCTCGGCAGCAGCAGCAGCAGTGGAAGAGGGTCCTCCTCATCGATGGTTTCAATGATCTTGGTGATTCCTCATCAATGACTCCCGAGATGGTATCCTCGACGCTGGTGGTGATGCTTTCCTCCAAGAAGGCTCCATCTGCAACCTCAATGATTGTGTCCTCTGTCGTCTCAACAACCGTCTCGATCAACTTCCCTCCCCCAACTGTTGTTGTGATCTCGTCCTTGATAATATGGATGTTGTGTCCGTCCTTAACAGTAACCTTCTTCGGTTTCAACAGCAGGAGATGGCGAAGATGCAGAGATGGAGGTGGCGGCGGCATTGGCTGCAAGGGCTTCCTGGAAATGCTCGGACAAGGCAGTAGGGTCGTTGACCTTGACGGAGGGTGTGCCCCATATACCGCCACCAAGAGCCTTGATGATCTTGTCGTCCTCATCCTCAACTTCTTCCATGGGCTGTTCAGTCTGTTCAGGAGCGGGTGATAACTCGACGGTGATCTGGGCAACTTGCATAACAGGTTTGACAACAGCAAGTGCAGGAGCATAGACCGTTTCGGCGACAGTCTCCTCCGCCTCCATTTCCTTCTCAATTGTCGTCGTCAAGGGGGGGTGGCAGCGGCAGGAGTAGCAGAGCAAAAGCAACCTCCACCTCCTTGGTCTCAGAGCCTTCAGCAGCAGCAGGATAATTCACAAGAAGGTCGGCGGGGTCTTTGACGGCAAAGGCGCACCCAACATGCCACCATCCAATTGACGGATGGTCTGGCTCCCCTAATTCCTGATTCAGTCTGGCTGCCTTCTCCTCCTCTGTCTCAATCGTCTCCGTCTTGTCCCTGCAGCGACCACTGCAGGTACTGGTGGTGTTAGTGCATCGTCCTTTGTATCGATGGTAGTAGAGGTGGCAGTAGGGAGGGGGTTGATGATGAAGAGGACGTTATTGAGGTGGCCGGTATAGTCACGCCCAGCTTCCTGATCCGGATCAGTAACCCAGCTCTGACCGTCAAGGATAAACTTGAACAGGATCTTTTTCCGGCTTTGATCCTCCTGATTCTTGCTATCTGTCTCTTGGAACAACTCACAAGGTCGATGGGGATGTCGGCCTCGAAGAATGTCTGGCCCTGGTTGCAAGTCAAGGGCTGGCTGCGTTGCCAGGCGGCGTTGATGGTGCCGGTGACTTGAAGAGTTGGATGAGGGGACTGGATAGGCAAATCTAACCGTGACGGTTCCTCCTACCGCTACTGACTGCAACTGTTGCTGTGGTAGAAGTCTGTTGAGAGCATTCGAGGGAGGCCATGGTCGTAGTGCTGTTGTTACTGTTGCTGTGTCGATAAGAGTCCAACGATGACTGCGGCCCTGATCATGTGAGTGCGAGTGCGGGTGGGAGTGAGAATGGAAGTGGGAGTGGGAGTGGGAATGAGAGTGAGAAGAAGGATGTTGCTGCTGTTATTGCTGTTGTTGAAAGTGTCTCTGGTTAATGGCTTGACAAACTTGAATGAAGGAGAGGGCTGGAGATCTTGATGCAGGTTGTTGTCGGGATGGATGACTCTGGGCTGATCCTGTTTGAGTTTGACGACGACGAGGATCTTCTCTGGCTAGAAAACGAGTGCAGTGGAATGAGCTAGTTTGCAAGAAAACAAGGTTTGCAACAGCGACAATTAAAAAAATTCATGCGAACAGTGTCAGAGGAAGTGGCTGGCTGAGACACGACCGGTGGCTGACTGTCCATGCAGAGTTTTTTTTATTGTCACCTGTTGAGACTGATGAACGAGTTCCACTCTCCCCGCCTTGACTATCTTGACCCACTTCCTTCTTTCCTCTTTCTTTCATTTCCCACAATCTTTTTTTTCCTCTCCCGTACATTCATACGCGCCCACCCTCGTACACACGCTTCCTTCTCTCTTCACACCTCATGGCCGTATCATAGCAGGAACCCTGCTTCTTTGTTACAAAATACACACGCACAAAAAAAATACCATCCCACACTCACTGCTTGTCTGTGTGTAACACGTCTTACCTTACATAATACACTCAACCACTCAACCACTCAACACAAACACACCCCACCGAAGAAAGAGCACAACCACCCACCCGTTGATCCCCTCGGCTCCTTCTCTGCTCCCCCTCAGCTAGGTGCAGAAACACACCCCTACAACCAACGCCACCATTGACAGCTTAATGAAGCTGTTCAAGCTGGACTTCAACATTAAGGATCGCTACAGAAGAGGCCTGGCCGACGGGGTCAGGTCCAACCGGTCTCCTCAGTCCGAGGTAAGAGCACAACTTTCTGCCAGATAAATTCGTTCTTCATACTGACAGTGGGTCGAGCCGTTGTTGTTGTTATTGTTGTGTTGTCATGACGCACTAGGACTAATCTGGACCATTCTCTTTCTCATTGTTTTTGTTTTGCGTAATCCTCTCAAAACATATCCACTTGCAACGCACCCCTCTCCACTCTGTCCCTCTTTTCCCTCTCGCTATCCTTCCCTCTCAATGCACCGCGGTATCAGGCGACGGCTACCATGTCCAGCTACCACGACCCACACCATCATGCCTCTTCTCCCTCCTCTCCCTCGGCCCTGGTCTCAGCTAACCTGTCTTCCTCGGGAGGTGGTCGCGACGAACGAATGGAACAGTGGAACCACTTTGGCTCCTCCTCCCTCGAGGCCGCCAACTCACAGACATACGCACAACCACATGCTCGAGGAATTGGTCGTCTTAACGGTGGTGGTGGGCAAGACTATGGATACGACGACCACCATGAAGACGATACCTCAAATGACGGATACATGTCTTCATCCTCTTCTTCCTCCGGGGGATCTCTCTCTTCGTCTTCGGCCCTCTCCCCTTCGTCGTCCCATTCGTCTGACGACGATGACTATGATGATGATGACGATATGCAAGGAGGAGGTGGTGGAGGAGGAGACTATGGTGGAGCGGAGGATTCACAAGACAACGAGTACTTGGGTACACACCCGTTCAGTATGAGTTCGAGTAAAGAGTATCATGACTATTACCGGGGAAGTCACGGGTCAGGGGACCATGGTGGGCTGCTCCCTGCTGCAGCTGCACCGGCGATCGAGCCCCAGTCGGATCGAGAGGCACTGGAACTTGAGGCCAGACAGCGCCGTCTGGAACGCCACGCCGACAAGCGACGTCAGTCTCTGAATGGGAACCAGCCCGCTCCGTAAGTAATCGTCGTTTCTTCTTCTGCTTGTTTGAACCTTGTGAAAAATTTATTACTTTTTTTGTTGCTGATGTCTTGGGTGACCATCAAAAATGAATGAGCTCTCGGAGAACGGAACTGAGGGACCTGACACGTCCATTGTTTTACGCCACCATTTCATTAATAGGCAACCGAGGAGGAAGAAGAGGAAAAAGGGCAAGGATCTCCGAAAGCAGGTCCTGCTCAAGAACGCACAGCAAATGCTGGATTGACTGGATGGCAGCGAAGGTCTATCCACTCATGCGCCAACTGGACCTGTTGTCTTGGACATGCTCCGGAGCGAGGAGGAACGAGAGCGGAGGAGGCAATTCGGAGGAGAGTACCGAGACTATGAACAAGACGATGACGATGACGACGATGATGAAGAGGATGAGGACGAGGACGAGGACGAGGATGACTATGAGGATGATATCGAGGAGGAAGATGAAGAGGATGAGGAGGATGAGGAGGATGAGGAGGAACAGGAGGACCATGAAGGCGAGAACGAGAGCGAGCACTATAAAGATGATGTCTATAACGATACAGAAAGAGAGGAGTACGATCCGATCGCCGAGTATGATTACGGGTACGAGAACAACATCAACGAGTCAGATCAATCAGTGGATGAGCATATGGAGGTCATAGATCTCAGTGATGGGAGTGACGAGGGGAGTGACGAGGAGCAAGACGAGACCTACTACGACGAAGAGGAGGATGCCGAAGTGGAGAACTACTAAGGACACTCGTCGTCTCCTTCGCCATCATCGATCTACGACGACGATTCCTGTGTCTACTGCGACTACCACTGCCAGAAGCAGCACCGAGTCTCCGAGGATTGTTACCAAGACCATCTACATCATTCGGCACCGCTACCACCAACAGAGCCCAGTAGACAAGTCGTCAGCCTCGAGAGTATGACCAACAACATGGAAGACGATCAGTACTTTTCCTGGATGCGGTTCCCGAGATGAAGTTGGCATTTGGTCTGGACTACAGCGATGACTCGAACCATCTCTTTGGGTGCCTGATCAACCACAACATTGGCAACGGTGGTCTTCATCGTCAATCAAGCCAAATGGCCTCGAATTATGCTGGTGAGGGTACTAGTATGACTGATTACCTCCCTCCTCCACCTCCACCTACCCTTTCGACTCACCAGCCCAAGGATGACAATGACCGTGGTTCATCTGAACTTACTTTAGTACTTGGCAGTATGGACGACTATCAACACCTACAGCAACACAAGCAACAAGAGCAACAAGAGCAACAACAAGTACTACAAGAACATCAGCAACTTGACTTTGGCAACAAAAGTGCACCTCAGTACCCACCTGAGGTCATCACCAATAGCCAAGTCCCCGACCAGATCACCGTCCAATCCCATTCAAGCCCAGAAGACGAGGACCGAGCCCAGAAGACCAGGACCAAGCCCAGACCCAGGAAGGATCTGTTGCCACTACGAGCACGAACACGACCAGTATGACAGGCACGACACGGCCTCGATCGTCGTTCCTTACTCTCCCGGGCCCCATATCCACCTACTGGAAACGACTCAAGCGAGGACCTTCGTCGACGCCTTCTTCATCTAGGCCTCCGTCTTTCCCACCCTAGCAACAACGGTTGTTTATTATCAGTTTTGTTTACTGAGCATATATCCGACTTCTCTGAATAATAAAATGTGCCACCAATTTATACAGCAGAGTATTCTTCCTTGGCATTCCAAGGGCGTAAGGATGTCGATCAATTATCACTTTCTTCCCTTCTTTTTTGTATCTTTAGTTCTGCATGCATATGCCCATTTGCCTAATCCCATTCCTTCCCTGGTCGTTCTTTTCTTTTTCTTGCGCCCTCTCCTACTTTTCTTCGATCTTCACTCCCTCCCTTCCTCTCCGGCGCAGTAAGATTCTCTCAGTCAATAAGACCATGCACAATGTACGCACAAATACACGCCGCACTTGTTAACCTCACACCCTCCCCCGCCGTCGTCGTTACCGTGCCTTTTTTTTTCCACGAACCTGTTGAACATTCACAGGTAAACATTAGACTTTGACGTAAAAGACGTACCACGACACAATCAAACAAACACAACACAAACAAATGAAAATGGCGTGTATTTCCCAAAAAGCACATAAACTAATGCACAAGGGAAAACGCTGCTCGCTCCTATTCGCCATTTGTCAGTTGGGAACAATAACAATAGTTCAATGGACTAAAACAAAATAACAAATGAATTTAATGCCACCATACGAGTACACGTGCTTGCATTGTTTTTTTTTTCTTGCGAAAAAATAATGTATGGTATTATTACATGGATAAGAAGAATAAGATGATATTAACTAGTAACGACTATGTGCAATAGAGACAGAGAAAGGGGGAGAGAGCGAGACTTATTGCCGGGTCAAGGCCATCTCGGCCTCCTTGGCCAAACGAGCAGGCTCGTTGATCGAAGGACGGATCTTACGAGGCGTGTAGTAGAACGAAGCAACGCAGTACAATACGAATCCGAAGAGACCAATACCCGAATAAGCCCATCCCTTCGTGGATGACGAAAAGCCAGCGTCCTCAAAGACGGGCTCAAAGATCATGATCAAGATCGAACCCAGCGACGAGGCCAACAGCCAGAAGGATGTCGAGACAGCACGGAATTGACGACCGGCTTCGATGTATGTGAACTGGACACCGGTGGGGGAGAAGAGGGCCTCACCGAGGGAAAGGACGAACCATTGAGGGAACTGCAACCAGGCCGAGTAGCACTCTGCACAGTATTTGCCGTCGTATGTTGCAGAGTCTTCGATGGCGCGGCCAGAGGAGAGGTAGGCCTTTTCGATCATAGGGGCGAGACCGGCAGAGACGGCGAAGGAGAGGACGACGAGGAAGAACCCAAGAGCCATACGGCGTTGGGGGCCAAAGTTCCAGCCGCGGCGGTAGCAGAAGGGGTAGACGACGTAACCCAGAATAGGGACGAGGATGATGAGGAGGATTGTGTTGATGTTGGAGAAAGAGGTCATCTGAACATAGGTTTTTGTGGGGTCGTTGCCTCCGAAAAGAGCGCCGGACATGAGGTAGTACTGGTTGGACCACTCATTCGAGTTCTGGTTGTACAACATCAAGCAGAAGGCGAAGGGGATAACAACGGGGACGAGGACAAGACCGAAATCACGGACTTCCTCAACGAAGACACCACCATACTCCTCCTCGGCAAAGTTGAGCCAGTGACCCTTAGCAGCACGCTCCTGAGGGCTGGCCTTGAAGTGGCGACCGGCAGCAAGGATGGTAGCCTTGAGGGCCTTGAGAGGCAGGAACTCGCCCAGTGGAGGCACGATACGATAGAACTTGTGACCAGCTGCAAAGACAGCATAGGCAATAGCAAAGACAATGGTGGGAAGGAGGAAGGCACCAGAGTAACAGGTCTTTTCTCCATAGCAAGGAGAGTCGGCAATGAGGGGGACAGTGAACTGGGTGAGGAGACCACCGACGTTAATGGCGACGTAGAAGGTGTTGAAGAAGAAATCCTTGGCTTGCTCTTGGGCGGGGAGGTACTGGTCTCCACCATGGGCGGAGACACAAGGCTTGATACCACCGGTACCGAGGGCGATGACGAGCATGGGGAGGAAGGTCAAGAAGTTGGACTTGGGGATGACACCGGGGATGGCAAAGACGGTGACCATGATCATACCGATCAAGTAGACGGCTGAGAATGAGATAATGGTCCACCTATGTCAGGGTTCAGTTCACACAGCAGCAGAATGAGACATTTGGAGGATAGGTTAGCATGTGCGTAAGGAAGATATGGAAGATCAAACATCGCGCAACCCAGGTTGCATGCAGATGCTGCAGCAACAGCAGGGACAAGATACACATAGAAAAGAGAACAAAATCCCTTACCATTTGCCAAGGAAGGAATCAGACAAGGCAGCACCGATCAAGGGGAAGAAGTAAGCCAACATGGTGAAAGCAGTCGAGTAAACCTTGGCTTGGGTCTTGTCCATTCCAGAGACGAGCTGGAAGTATTTGTTCAAGTTGGGCTGGACACCATAGTAGCAGAAGCGCTCACCAAACTCGTTGGGCAAGATGAAGTAAATAGCCTTGGGCAACTTGTTGGGGTTGGCCATCAACTTGGCATCGAGCTCGGCGTTGAGACGAGCCTCGAGCTCGAGAAGCTCGCGCTCGTGGTCGGTCAAGAGATCCAAGGCGGTGACCTCTTGCTTGCCATCGTCGATGAATATCTCTGAGGCATCGATATCGCGCTTCTCGGACATCGTTTTGTGTAGAGGGAGAAGTGTGCGAGATGAGTGTGGTAGGGAAGGAGAGTGTAGAACGAAGGGAGACCAAATAGGGTAGGAGGAAGAGGCGGAGAAGAGAAGGAGAAGATGGCGTGAAAGGGGAGGGAGAGCGGGTGAGAGTGAGAAGAGGAGTTTGCAACTGAGGAACCGGATTTTGGAGAGTGGGAGAGTTGCCCTCTTATAAACATTTGAAAAAAAGGGAGGGAGAACCATGCGATCCTTGGACAATCATCAATCGCCGAATGGCCACGATGATGGCCTTCTTTCTTCATGAGAGAGATGCAACCATTGGAGAAGTGTTTTTCTATATAGTCGAAATGAAGTCTACTGTACTCTTAATGTCGTCTTCTGGCTTTGTTTATGTGTATAAGAGTTGACACACGTAACATGTAAACAATTAAAAAAAAAAGCAATGAACGAAGAGGCTCATCGATATCTCTCGGTATTCTGTGGCGTTTATCAATAACAGAACCCGAGTAAAGACAAGGTAAGGGATCGGTTGATATGCTTATTTAGGCCAAAGGATCGATATGCATTGTGCCCCTCAGTCCTCCATTTAGCGTGAAAGTCTATTCCGACCAAACTCAACGAACATTTCCTCCCTCATGCTCACTTGTCTTGGCCATTTCATGTTTGCCTGCCTTAAATGGCATCCTACGCGCACCCGAGGATAGACCTGTTTATTAAGCCCTTCTTCTTCCCCTGCCCTCATCATCTCATGCATATTACGGAGGTTACTAAAACACACACAAACAAAAGCGAAAAAAAACAACGCAACCCCTCAACGAAACGCCCAATGGTTATCCTCTCGGAACAGTTGCCGTCTCCCTCTGATTTGACTGATACTTTTTATGTTTTCACCCGTGGGCTTTTTACCAACTATTATATATCCTCGTTTAAGAATTGCTGCGCTAGATAACTTTACTCTAGCGGCGGTGTTCGAGCATCAGACTAAATAGCCATCGATCAAGACCAACAAGTCGTCGATCACTCACAGCACTGTCGGTGCGTCCCAAAACTCTATATCGCGTGTTGTTGTTATCTATGCCGTCCTATTGTTACTCGCCCTCCTGTCGCACCGCGTTTCTACCTTGTCTGAGCGTCGTAGTCTGCCAGCACGCTGCGCAGAGATCTTCATTCTGGCATGTAACGAAGCGATCGTCTCTGTTCTTCTCCGAGGTTCATTAGGGCGGGTGTAAAAGAGCATTTCGCATAGCTGTAGCTGAGGGGCATGGGGAAGAGGATGCGCAGTTGATTATTTTTTCCACGCCGTAGAAAAGGGTAGAAGAATGTGAGCAGAGATTAATCTTCAAGTTTTAACCAGTTATGGTGTCTGCACTGATCACATCAGGCCCTCCGCAAATGTAGGACACAAAATAAAATGCTTACATTGCACTCACATAAACATCATCCACTGCCTTCTTATCTCTTTTTCCTTCTTCCATGCACAGACACAGTGGTCGAAGTATGTCTCAGTCAACTGGCAGGCGAACACGGCCACAAGTGTGCCATGTGTCTAATAAACCGCACATTAGTACATCAACGAAAGGGAATCCGGCATATCAAACAAACAAAAATGGTCAGATACAGTAAAAAAATATTGTTTTGCTGATTTGTTTTTATTAGGAGTTTGTATGGTACATTAAGGATGCGATAGTAGAAAGTGGTGTGTCCAATTGCTTATTGACGGATCAAGGTCATCTCAGCCTGCTTGGCCAAACGAGCAGACTCGTTGATAGAAGGACGAAGCTTGCGAGGGATGTAGTAGTACGACGTCAAGCAGTACAAGAAGAAACCGCCAAGACCGATACCGGAGTAAGCCCAGCCACGGGTCGAGCTCGACAAGCCAGCGCTGTCAAAAGCAGGCTCGAAGATCATGATCAAGATCGAGCCCAGCGACGAGGCCAACAACCAGAAGGAAGTGGAAACAGCGCGGAACTGGCGACCGGCCTCGATGTAGGTGAACTGAACGCCGGTGGGGGAGAAGAGGGACTCGCCGAGAGAGAGAAGGAACCACTGGGGAAACTGCAACCAGGCAGAGTAGCACTTCTCACAGTACTTGCCGTCATACTTGGCAGAGTCCTCCATGAGACGGCCAGAGTCGAGGTAAGCCTTTTCAATCATGGGGGCGAGACCGGCAGAGACGGCGAAGGAGACGACGACGAGGAAGAATCCAAGAGCCATACGACGCTGGGGGCCAAAGTTCCAGCCGCGGCGATCGCAGAAGGGGTAAACGAAGAAGGCGAGGATGGGGACGAGGAGGATGATGAGGATAGTGTTGATGTTCGAGAACATAGCTCCCTGGACATAGGTGGAGTTCTCGTCATTGCCGCCGAAGAGGGCACCGGACATGAGGTAGTACTGGTTGGCCCACTCGTTCGAGTTCTGGTTGTACAACATCCAGCAGAAGGCGAAGGGAATGACAACGGGGACGAGGACAAGACCGAAATCGCGGACCTCCTCAAGGAAGACACCACCGTACTCCTCCTCAGCAAAGTTGAGCCAGTGGCCCTTAGCAGCACGCTCCTCCTGGCTGGCCTTGGAGTGGCGACGAGCTGCGAGGATGGAAGCCTGGACAGCCTTGAGGGGCAAGAACTCGCCCAGTGGAGGGACGATACGGTAGAACTTGTGGCCGGAGGCGAAGACACACAAGGCAAGGGCAAAGACGACGGTAGGAAGCAAGAAAGCAGCAGAGTAGCACGTGTCCTGACCGTAGCATTGGAGCTCGGTCATCTTGGGGACGATGAACTGGGTAAGGAGGCCTCCGACGTTAATGGCGACGTAGAAGATGTTGAAGAAGAAATCCTTGGCCTGCTCCTGGGAGGGGAGGTACTGATCACCACCGTGGGAGGAGACGCAGGGCTTGATTCCACCGGTACCGATGGCGATGACGAGCATGGGGAGGAAGGTCAAGAAGTTGGAGGCGGGGATGACACCGGGGATGGCAAAGACGGTGACCATGATCATACCGATCAAGTAGATGATAGAGAAGGAGATGATTGTCCACCTGTTGAATAAGAGTGATACATCGAAAAGAGATGATGAAAAAAATGGTCAGCGATCAAAGTACTTCAAAATGGTATAATCAATACTCCTGAGAAAAAAGAAATGTCCTCATGTGTTAAAGAACAAAAAAAAGTTCTCACCATTTGCCAAGGAAGGAATCAGACAAGGCAGCACCGATCAAGGGGAAGAAGTAAGCCAACATGGTGAAAGCAGTCGAGTAAACCTTGGCTTGGGTCTTGTCCATTCCAGAGACGAGCTGGAAGTATTTGTTCAAGTTGGGCTGGACACCATAGTAGCAGAAGCGCTCACCAAACTCGTTGGGCAAGATGAAGTAACAGGCCATGGGCATCTTGTTGGGGTTGGCCATCAACTTGGCATCGAGCTCGGCGTTGAGACGAGCTTCGAGCTCGAGGAGTTCCTTCTCGTGGTCGGTCAAGAGGTCGAAGGCGGTAACCTCCAACTTCTCATCGCTGAGCTCAACCTGGGTATCGGCGATATCGTGCTTCTCAGACATTATGGGAATATGTGATGTGGTGGTAGGGGAGGTGAGAGGAGGAGTGGGGGTTAAAGAATGGAAGAGCAGTAGATAGTCAGCAAGCTGGCTATCAGAGAGGGAGGGTAAGGGAGAGGAGAGAAGGAGCGAGAAGGTTGGGAAGAATGAGAGGAGGGAGTTTGCACTGAAGAGCCAGAAAAAAAAGGGTGGGAGAGTTAGCTACTTATAGTCCACGCGGTGGGAAGAGACGATAACGACCAGGAGAGCGTAAACAAACCGCATTCTTCAAAATATTCGCCGAGGTGCGGTCTGGACTATGGGTCTCCAAGGAGAATGAGCATGCAATCCATCAAGTAGCGCGAAGCGATATTGAGTGGTCGTTTTGTTTCTCTTTACTTTGTTTAGTTATTCAAGCTCACTTATTGTCCGTCATAATTCAACACTCATGAAAAGAAAGAATAAAGGGGCAAAAACAGTTCAACTGGCCGATTTGTTCACAGATAAACTCCTTTTTTGTGAGAAAGAAGCGCTCTGATTAGCCGAAATGAAAATGTATTCCGACACGAATAGAGTTCTCAGTTTATCCAACCGCACCACACACACAAGAAAGACAAGATTGGATACTCTTGATAGGGTGGACTTTCCCTCATCCTCCTAATTTAGGATTCCCCATCCTTCCCCCTCACTCCATTTGTCAGACCAAGACATAAACCTAACCAGACCCTGCCTGCCTGCCCTCGTTTTTGTCCATTTTACAGAGGGCTATTCTTTGGAACAACAGAACCTATTCAGAGGAACAACAGAACCCATTCAGAGGAACATACAGGACAAAACTTATTATTTTTTTGCGCTTGTCGTCCTCTCGGAAGTGTTCCTGAGCTTGGCCTGTGATACGACTTGTTTACTTCGATCATGTCTTTTTTTCCGACGACGACGACAAGGATAAATGCAACAGGCTAGTTGACCACCTGGAAGTTTGGGGAGGATGGACGACTCAATGTCAAGCTTTCTGTTCGGACAGTTTTGTTGTTGTTGGGGGCTGTTGTTGTTTTGTCGATCCATACCATATTCTATCCTGCACGTCTAGCTAGGTGCAAAGAGCCAACTCTATCTCGCGACTTTCTATCATTATCTCTCTATGCTCCACCCTTCCCATGCTCACATTCTCTTTCACCCGCTACCTCCCTTTCCTTCTCTGCAGAGACCAATCGACCATCAACTAACACCCTTTTCTATCTCTCTCTCTCTCTCTCTCTCTCTCTCTCTCTCTCTCTCTCTCTCTCTCTCATATTCATATCGGTCGTCCCACACCATCTTTTTCAGGAACCATCAGTGATGGAAAAATAAAGTAATCTCAGTCCCTGATCAATGATAACTGCCATGCCATCCTAACCGTAACAGTTTGATCAGTCCTCATTTTGTGTGTGTGTGTGTGTTCGTTGGCTGTTAAACGCCGAGTACAATTTTTTCCGCAAATGGTGATAGTGGGGTCATGTCCGTGCCACAAAAAAAAAGGTACCAACAAAAAACAGGGGCAGACACAACGACCAACGACTAACGTGCTTTTTTTTCTCAGGGTCAGAGAGTCAGGGGCAATGACTTCATTGTGCGGCGCCTCGTGGTTCGTCATCATGGGTACCAAAACTCTCACGACACAACAAGTAGCCACTTTTTTTTTTTTTTTTTTTTGGATGGTTTTAATTAAGGTATGTATGGTACATGTGTAAATCCCAAATGCAACAACAGTTACGCACTGTTAGGGACTAGGGTGTGCTGTTACTCAAAAGGACTAAGGCAAAAAGAGTGGTATCTGTTCTTAGTAATGAGTAATAGCATACTCGGCCTGCTTGGCCAAGCGAGCAGACTCGTTGATCGAAGGACGGATCTTGCGAGGGATGTAGTAGTACGACGTCAAGCAGTACAAGAAGAAACCAAAGAGACCAATGCCAGAGTAAGCCCAGCCGCGGGTGGCGCTGCTGAAACCAGCATCCTCGAAGATGGGCTCAAAGATCATGATCAAGATCGAACCGAACGAGGTCGACAGCAACCAGAAGGAAGTCGAGACAGCGCGGAACTGGCGACCAGCCTCGATGTAGGTGAACTGGACACCGGTGGGGGAGCAGAGGGCCTCACCGAGAGAGAGGAGGAACCATTGGGGGAACTGCAACCAGGCAGAATAGCACTTCTCACAGTACTTGCCGTCATACTTGGCAGAGTCCGCCATGAGACGGCCAGAGTCGAGGTAAGCCTTTTCAATCATGGGGGCGAGACCGGCAGAGACGGCGAAGGAGATGACGATCAGGAGGAAACCAGCGGCCATACGACGCTGGGGGGAAAAGTTCCACCCGCGCTTAGTGCAGAAGGGGTAGACAAAGGTGGCCAGGAAGGGGACAAGGATGATGATGAGGATGGTGTTGATGTTGCCGAACATGGCTCCTTGGACGTACGAGGATGTCTCGTCCTTGCCGCCAAAGATGGCGCCGGACATGAGGTAGTACTGGTTGGCCCACTCGTTCGAGTTCTGGTTGTACAACATCCAGCAGAAGGCGAAGGGAATGACAACGGGGACGAGGACAAGACCGAAATCGCGGACCTCCTCAAGGAAGACACCACCGTACTCCTCCTCAGCAAAGTTGAGCCAGTGACCCTTAGCAGCGCGCTCAGCAGGGGAAGCAACGCTGTGACGACGAGCGGCGAGGATGGAAGCCCTGATGGCCTTGAGTGGCAAGAACTCGCCCAGTGGGGGGACGATACGGTAAAACTTGTGACCGGCAATAAAGATGGCAAAGGCAAGAGCAAACACAATGGTAGGGAGGAGGAAGGCACCAGCGTAGCAGGTATCTTGGCCATAGCAATGAAGCTCGGTCAACTTGGGGACAATGAACTGGGTCAAGAGGGCACCGACGTTGATAGAGACGTAGAAGATGTTGAAGAAGAAATCCTTTCCGGCTTCCTGGGAGGGAAGGTACTGATCACCACCGTGGGAGGAAACGCAGGGCTTGATACCACCAGTACCGATGGCAATGACGAGCATGGGGAGGAAGGTCAAGAAGTTAGAGACCTGGCCGATGGGTCCGATCAAGTTGGGGATGGCGAAAACGGTGACCATGATCATACCGATCAAGTAGACAGTCGAGAAGGAGATGATGGTCCACCTGTTGAGTGTAAAAAAAAGGGGGAGGAAGTGAAACAGTAGACAGAGTATGGTTGTTAGGGAAATGAACATGCATTCTAGAACGTCAAAAAAAAGGCTGTGGCATGAACAGGTTACTGAATTACCATTTTCCGAGGAAGGAGTCAGAAAGGGCGGCGCCGATCAAGGGGAAGAAGTAGGCCAACATGGTGAAAGCAGTCGAGTAGACTTTGGCGTCGGATTTGGACATTCCAGTGATGAGCTGGAAGTACTTGTTCAAGTTGGGCTGGACACCATAGTAACAGAAACGCTCACCAAACTCGTTAGGCAAGATGAAGTAACAGGCCTTGGGCATCTTGTTGGGGTTGGCCATCAGCTTGGCGTCCAGCTCGGCGTTGAGACGGGCCTCGAGCTCGAGAAGCTCGCGCTCGTGGTCGGTCAAGAGATCCATGGCGGTGATCTCCTGTTTTTCATCGCTCATGCTAATCTGGGCGGCATCGATGTCGCGCTTTTCAGCCATTTAGTGTGGACTGTTGTGATGTGAAGGTGGACGGGGAAAAGGGAAAGAGGAAGAGGATGGAAGAAAAGAGGGATGGAGAGAGGAGGAAGAGGAAGGGACGATGGCGAAGGAGAAAAGGAGTTTACACTGAGGAACCAACAGCAAAAAGAAGAAAAAGGAAGAAAAAGAAAACAGCAGTGGTTCCCAACCCTTCCTTTATACACATGAATGTGTATCGTTGTGCCTGTAACAAAAGTAATAAAAAAGAACGTATAACGGAAAGTCATCCCCTCGTTACTTCAATGAGCCCCTTCTTTTCTTCCTTTCATCTACTCCTTCCTCCTCATATGCAGGATCTTGGCGACAGATAGGCGAAGGTAACGAGGTTTGTCTGGAACTGTACACGGTATTCTACGCCGGTGTACAGTACTGTACCGAGGTCGATTCGAAAACGGCTGAAAGCAAAAAAAAACGCTCACGACGTTGTTGTTTTTTTGTGACCCGACAATGTGCGCAAAACAGCATCCTGAGCCAATTAGAGTTCTGCGAACTGCCTTTTTGTTCCTTTCTTATTTTATATTAGGATTTTATTCAAAGCCTACCCGTCGTTTTGGATGCATCACATTGCCTCATGAAAAAGACGACTTACAGAAGTGTAGGTGCAGTATACAAATATGGAAAATACATTCGTGCTTCTAGTCCTTGACTTGTTGGTACCCTATAAAGGCGATCGAGCGAGAGAGAGAGGGGGGGGGGGAGACGTCAAGGGGAAAGGGGGCGACAAAAGGCTGAGGGACTATTGTAGTCTTACTCAATCTCAATACGAAGCGTCCTGGTATCTTGTCCCCTTTACGGAGGGTGTGCAAAGACCATTGCCACAAACACACCACCAAGAACGACAAACTAAGAAATATAATCCAAACATGCAGCAACAAAACGATGCATTGTCCTCTCGGATGCAGTCCAGAACATATGCCTGACCTCGCAGCGCATCCTCTACCGAATCAAATGCTTTTGCTGGCTTTGGAAAAAACGAAGTCTAAGAATTTGGGGGAAAGTGAGCTGCAAGAGGCTGATACTATCAAAACTAAGAACTAAAGAAGAAAGAGGGCTACTCGTCCTATCGGGCACCAAGGGAGAGGAAGGAAGATCTTTCGGGCACCCACTGTTGTTGTTTTTGGCAGGCTATCGATACCGTCTGTGGATGTGATTGGGCAATGGAATGGTGCCTAGAATATGATATTCTCGTCTCGAAACTATCACAAATTGCTGCAACAGTAACGGTAACGTCAGCAACAAGAAAAAAAAACTGGGGCCAGAACCTGTCCGCATCGACCGTGTACACTCTCTTTCCACGTTCTCTGTGCCTCTCTGCCTCCCTGCTCCCGCCTTGTCTCCAATCTTTGCTCAACGTCAGATATGAAAATGAACAGGAAAATGGGCGAAAGGAGGGTGCGAATTATGACGATCAAATGTCCATGAATAGAACTTGACATTGACATACCTTTGTTTTGGCTCTTCCTCCATTGCCCGACAATGCATCTCGTAGTCGTTGAATACATGTCACAGAGTTTGTTAAATGAAGGGAAAGAGGAGGACATTGCCAAAGACAAGGGGATGTTGATTTGTATCTGAGCACTCGTTTATCTCTTATTTTGCTTCTCGTTATTTTGTTCGTACCCAGTTGTTTATCAACGAGGAGAAGGTACTCTCGCCCGCCATATATCGATCCACAAAAGAAGCAGGGTCCGGATACTCATGTCTTTAAATCCCAAAAGGAGGATAATTCTTGGTGGTGAATGAACTGAAGGTGGTCAGAGGTGAAATGAAGAGACCTGAGATATTATGCGGACCAAGGTACTCCCCAAGAGTTTTTTCTCTTGACCCAGTTTTCCATTCCATTCTTCTTGCTTCGTCAGCCCCTCTTTCTGTACCATTCTTGTGTTCCACCAACAAAGAAAAAAAATCCGAAGGAATGATACCGATGCACAGTTGATGCTTCTGAATAAGAAGAAGTAGAAGAAAAACGACTGAGGTGTGGATGAGTGTATGTATTCTAGAGAGCGCGAAGAATAGACACTGAAGATGAATGGCCAGTCAAGCCTGGATCTCACCCATTTTAATCATCAACCATGGGTGTCTGTTTTGAAGTATCGTTAGTTCGGGCCTTTTCTTTGTCAGTTCTCCATTGCTGAGTATGCTTTGTTGGAGTCTATGTTGTGTTGCGTTGTGATCGCAAACGAATATGCAAATTGCACCATGTCGCGTTGTTTTTGTTGTGGTTGTCAATGGAAGGTTTCCAAGCGAACTAAACCCAACTTTACAGGAGGCCCTTCCCTCCAGCCCTAAACCTCCCTAGAACGAAGACAAACACCACCTCTTTCCTTTTCCCTCTCGTAAGTGAATTCGTTCTTTACCCACGAACCTTATCCCCGTTGAATTGCACCTCATTTTAAAGTACTCTTCCCAGGTTAGCTTTGACATCCAAAATCCCTCGGTCTTGTTATTTGTGCGACACGACCAGTGTCCACAATAAAACGACAGACCAGGTGTAAACAAAGACACCTTACGCTTTTGTTTTATTTACGGGCTAAGAACCAACTCTATGTGTGTCCGAGGGTGAAGAATTTCCCACCGATTGGCAAGTGTGGGAAAGAAACTAAGGGAAAGTTGGACACATGAGAAAAACAAATCACGGGAGGAACAAGCAAACAAACAAACAAAACAGATATGCAAGACGAGACAAGACATACTGAACATATGTTACATGGTCTACCAAGCATCACAAGGCAGAAATGTGCGACTGGAGGGACATAATGCATAAATGCTCAAGATGGTTGAGAGGGGAGGAGGAGGCCATGGCGAGATGAGAGATAAGTGATGTGAACTAAATGCTTGTTTTCCATCCAATTGTTCATGTCCGTTTATTTCACAGGAATTAGATGTGGTCTCCTTCTTTCCTCGTCGATTTGTTTACATATTCCAAGGAAGGTGAGAACATCTGTTTACTTCGTCTTTGCCGGAAACATCGAACCCAAACACGGTTTAGAAAAAAGTGCATCATCCTCCTTGCAATCCGCTGAGCGTTGCGCGTTGGGCTCCTGTTCATTTGTTCTCGGCCCATCGTTGGTAACCCAAAGGCATGACAAATTGAAGTGAGAGAACACACGCGTTCTGCTGCAGTCTTGGGCTAATGTAAAGGGTGATCAAAAGAGGAGACAAAAAGAAAGGAGAGGGAAGTTGAGGAAAGAAAAAAAAAAGGAGGCAGCGAACCCTGCCAGTTTTTTTCCCCCTTGGGCGTAATGCTTTGACGGTTCCTTTTCGTTCCTGGGATCGTGGTCATCAACCCTAGCCTACTTGCATAGAAAGAACAAGGGAGAACCACCTTTTGAGAGTTCCCACAAAGGGGTGTGGCAAACCGTTACACTGGCAAACAAGTGTGTATCAGCAAGAAGCAAGAGAGCGGGAGCAAAGAAAAATGAACAGTTTGCCCATGCATTACATCCATGTCCCAGCCCCTTCTCTCATTTTTGTATTACCCGACTTTTTCTCACACATGTGTCTCTCAGCCGAGCAAGGAAGAGAGGCCAGCGAAACCACGGGCTATCTAGAAGTCCACTCACTATTCCACCATAGTGCCAAAAAACAAATGAATAAAGAATAGAGCGTCCATCCCTCTTCCCTTCCTCGTCAAACACCCTTTCATTCACTGAATAACAAGTGATAAAGAAAGGAAAATAAGGTTATCATGTCATCCCACTGACAACCTTATTTACCTTTTCACTTGCCCACCTTCTCGCATGCTGATTGGCAGGCTACATCAAGCACCAATGAAAACAACATCATTGACTTCAACCTCGCCAAAAGAAAGATACGTCCTCTTTGTTCTTATTTCTCTGATTTTAGTCCCTGGCGGAACGGCTAAAAGACGTTCGCAATCTCTGGGTTTATTTATCGCACAAACAAAACGAAAACAAACCATAGGAAAGGAAAGGTCAGGGAAAGAGCAAAAAAAAAACGGGCAGGGGTATGAAGAGCGTGGATGTACGCTACTCTTATCATCACAAGGGGAACAAGCAGCTTTAGACTCTCATTCATTTCATTCAATGAACTCCTTGGTTCGTCTGTCCGCCTTCTAGCGCGATTCTAGCCCCCCTCTACCTCCTGTCCGTCTTTTTTCTCTTGCGAGTTTCTCGGTGTATCCCATACTTGTACCGTACACCCGCACGTTGATTCAGTGTCCAGTCTCTCCCATTTCCCTTCTCCCGTTCATACAGCTGAATAATTAGACGCATTGGGCTTGCCTCCAATGACAGACCAGTACTCCATTGTTTTGTGAGAAAAAGACGACGCAAGAAATTGACAGTTACGCCAGACAGACAGGAGGAGGTACTTCTTTGAAGGGTGGGAAAGTACGAACAACGAAGAGAGGAGAAGAAAAACAGAGAGGAGGGGACGGTACAGTCACCCCTCAATCGCACACTTTAACATAGCAGACCATTCCCCTCCTTCCTTTCTGTTAAGAGGTGAGAGTACGAAGTAGACGAAGGCTACTTTAGTGCCAGAAACGCGTGAATGAGAGTTGGGCATAGCGTTGGTCGTGGCGTTCGCATGGGACGCTCTTTACTTTTTGGTATTGTACCTTTCGATGAGTTTTCTTGTTTCTTAGTTGACGTCCTTCTTGGTCTCACTAACAGCATCGAAAAAGACAGCCCTCGGCAGGGATTCCGGATGGTCACTATTTTCCTTTTCCTTTTTTTATTCGTCTCGCTCCTTGCTCACCCACCGACTTCCACTAAGAGTTGCTTCTTTCTTGTTGCCGTTTCTTGCTCATTCTCCGACACATCTGAGCGCTTATCGTTTTTTTGTTCGCGGCAAACCCGATTTTAGTACTCAGACCAGACATCATTTTGTCGTGTGATGGTGTGTAGGACCTTGTTCAAATGGGAAGAGCAATTGTGGTCACCAAGAGAGTGAGCAGAACTGGAACCTAGAAACCCGTTCATCCTTTTGTCTTTATTTCTTCTATGAATCGACTCGCAGCAGTAGATGACGAGCGGGCAGAGTAAGAATAGAGCGGGGCGGATGGGTCTTGTAGGCCAGCGAGCAGTGAGAAGCATAAGCACTGAGGCAGGTCCTGCTCTGTCAATAAAGCTAGAAGCTAGATATAAAAAGGTCATATCTCACAACTCGTAGCTCTCTCTTTGCGCATCCCATTTTCTTGCACTCCGATCTTTATTTTCCGCAATTACAACAAAGACAAAAACAGAACTCGATGAAATGTAACTGTCTGTTGCAATAGGTGCCGGTACTCTAGATCTGGGCCGTGGAAAAGTGATGAGGAGAGAAGGTCTATTTCATTTCATGTGGTGTTTGGGTGAGTAAGTGTGCAACGACAAATAAACATCATTACGAGTCGAACGTTAATTCCAAGACAAATATTTCGATTTATTTTCCGAGTGGAAGAATGGCGACAAGCTGAAAGAAGAAGGGCTTGCCAAACCTTGGAGCATTCAACTGAGATTCAAAATAGTTAACTCTCCCTCTTTCGCTCTCACTCTATTGTCCCTTCTCTCATTGATCAAAAGAGGGTAAAGGAGACAAGGCCCAGGGCAGGTCCAAGGCCCATGAAGAATGCAGCTCTCGCTTTCCATTGGACGATTGGTTTTTTGTTCAAGAGAGGAAGGTGGAAAAATAAAAAGTTGCAAAACGGCACAAACGTGAAATGGCGTCTTTTCCTCCTATCCTCCAAAAACCATAACCGAACGAACGAACAAAAAGAACGAACGAGCGAAGTTGGACCAAGCTTTTTCTCCCTTGTACCTGTCAAAGTAGCCAGTACCCATAGGAAGACGATCCGAAATCCTCACCTGTCAAAACCCTTCGTCATTTTCTTGTTTGGTGCAATTGGGAAGAACTTGGAAACCTTGTGTTCCTCAAGCAATTCTATTGGAGCCCACCCACGCCACTTCCCTTATCGTCTTTTCTCTCATAGACGACGATGGCGTTGCGAGGAATTTTGCCAAGAAGCCAAGAAACAAAAAGGAGTGAATATTCACCTCATGTACTTTTCTAGCCTAGAATCCATAGAACCATCTCACAGATAAAGGAAAAAGTCGGCAAAAATCCTCCGACGATTGATAATGGATAATGCATGGCGGGGCTGGTGTAGTTTAGGAGAAATATTTGGTGTGGGTAAAGTGAGCAACAATCTATTTGTTTTTTTTTTATTTTCTCAGTCTTGGTAAGAGGAACAACCAAGGGTGTCTTGACAGCCTATCGAAGTCAAGATGTCGAGACAAGTTGTTCCACTGATGGGCGTAAGCACACCACAACAAAACAACATCACCATCCAGACCCAACTCCAAGCCTTTGGTGCGAGAGGAAAAACAAGTACTCAAAGCATTCGCAAAACTTTTCCCACGCACTTGGTGCCTTCATGTCGGAATAGAACAGTCGTTCCCTCCCGCATAAAGACGACATCATGACAGAACTGAAATACAACACGAGCTCGACTGCCTGTCTGTAGCTCTACCGGATCCTGATCCTTGTAGTCTTCGTGAGCCTCGATGTCAATAGTCTCACTTGTTTCCTGAGATTGCTGGCGAGAACTCGATCCAACTGAGGGTGGTTGAACTGATAGTTGTCTGAAAGTACGGACTGTGCTAATCGGAATCATTCCATGCTGGTTACTCTGCTGACGGTTCCGTTTCGCTCTCGGCCGGAGGTAGTTATGATCATTTCCTGGCAGATCTCCAGGAGGAAGGTTGTCCTGCCGGAACGAGCTTGACCTAGACACAGCAACCGATCCAGGCACAGACGATCCTGTTCCTGATCCATAGTCAGAGCTGGGCGAGCTCGATCGGCCACTGCAAACACTCTCGGCAATGCTGGCCCTACTCGTCGGTCGTAATGGTTGCTCAGCTGAGGGCCCTAGGTCCTCCGTGATGTCTAATGCGGGCGACACCTCATCCTCATGTCCCGGAGTTTGCAGTAGCTCAATACCAACAACTCTGGCGTTCTGGTGCACAGATCCACAATGGATCATACCCTGGAAGCCAACACCAAAGAGACCATCATGAGCCAGGACCTGAATGACGGCCTCAAAGGTTTGGCAGCAGGTTCCACGAGGATCCGTGTCACTCTCAAGCACAACCATACCACGACGCACCTTCACCCGACTGAGTCCCGGTCCTTCAATAGCCAGTGTTGCTGTCTGCCCAGACTCGATGGATCGCATCGACATTCGCTGGCGATGAATGGACTTGACGACCACGGGTATAAAGCTCCCGTCACGATCGACTGGTCCAAGATAGAGTCTCATGCCGTTAATTGCCCGTGCCAATAATCCCTGCTGACCCTCTATAGATGACACCGCTTGTGTTGAAGGGTGTGTCGTTTCGTGGGATGCTCCTGCGATGCCATGGATCTCGATCCTGCCTTTATGCAGAAAGCCTCCGACAACAGTACCAATATCTATCAACAACCAAGACAAAGAAACGTTAGGACTCAGACGAAATATGAACGCCACCGACTTTGTCATTGATCAGTAAGCGAAACATTTCTCACCTGGGATGCTATAGATCTCTTCGATCTGATAACACGCTGGCTCCTGCGAGTCGACACTGCCCCGGTTGTCCAGGCTAGGCTTAGGCAGCAAGAACAAGAACTTTTCCAGTAGGTTGACATTCTCTCCAGTGACGCTGGAGAGCAACAGGATAGGGATCGCTACTGACTTGGTCTCGTTGATAGCTCCGTCGTCCGAAAAGCGTTTCACAATGTTCTCTAGATCCTTCTCATTGTGAACAATCACTGGTATGGCCTTAGGTAGAATAGTCTCGCAATCGGGCCCTGTGGTAACTCCAGCCTCGACGTTGATAGACGGTCCAGTAGTTCTGATCAGCCCCATCAATGCCGTCACAGTCGCTCGTAGTTGATCACGGGTAGCAACGTCCATCTTGGTGACGACCACAAAGGTGGGCAACCCCAGAGCAACAGATAGTGCAAGGTGCTCTCGAGTCATCTCATTCACTCCACCCACTCGAGAGTCGACTACGAGGCAGGTATAGTCCGGCGCATGTCCTGTCAGTCCCGAGATGGTGGTTTTGAGAAAACGCGGGTGTCCACAAGTATCGAGGAGTGTCACCACTTTGGCGGAGGACTCGCACACTTCCTGCCAGCTGGAGATGTTGGTCGTGTTGTAGTTGACCGTCTCTCCTTTGGCAGTGAACCCAATGATCTCATGCGAGATGGAGGAAGTCCTTCCTGTACTGATCTCATGGCGATGTCGAAGCAAGTTCAGTCCTATACAATCGAAAAGCATGCCGTGTTAACAATCTTTTCGCGCAGTCAACGACTTGTACCCTTTGATCATGTGTAGTAACGGCATGAGTTGATCCTGTCGGTACATACGCGCTTTCCCTCTGCCATTATCGGCAATCCCATGCGCCAGTCGTCCCAAAAGAGTCGACTTTCCAGCATCCGGTCCTCCGATGAGCGCAACTCTGATCTCCAAGAAAAGGTGATGTTCAGCCAAGCGAGAAGTCACCCGTGCCTCGACCACCAAGTACTCTGGGTCCGTCTGTGGAGATCCAATGTTGGTAGAAAGGCGCCTTCGAACGACTCCCGATGTGCTAGACCCATCCTCTATTGATGATGTGTCGACCTGTTGTGTTGATTCGACAGATTCTCGGCGGAGGATCGTGACATCAGCCTTCAAGAAGTTAGCCATCCGTTGCAGCGTCTGAAGGGACACTTCCATGTCCTGGGGCGATAATCCTACAAAGGAGCCGTCGTCTGCGACACCGATCTCGTAGATTGCACTTCCATGACCTTCCGATAGCCTATATTTCGATGCAATGAAAAAAATGCAGCTCAACAATGAGTCCAATTGCACCATGCTTGAGCCCCGTTCAGTGCTATATTGTGATAAACAGGCAACATACCGCCATTTCAATTGCGTCACCAGGTGTTCAAACCGGTCTGGTGCCGTGGCAATCAGTTTCAACTATTCCTTCGAGAAAGCAAACAATGCGAAAGACGTTAAATTACATGTGACAGATGCGAAAAAAAGACCTGGGGGTTTTCTTTTGTTACTGCATGGCATGGAAGGAGAAGCAAGAAAAGGGGATCGTAATTAAAGCAGTCTGGGCGGAGCTGCAGTGCAGGCTGACGGACGGACAAAGTGTGGTTCTGTTGGAAATATGACTTGTTTGTAAGGTGTGAGATTGTATTGTTGTACGTCTATACCTTGTACTCGATGTTGCCTTCAATGTCAACCTCTGGTGGTAATGAGCCTTGGTGGTTGGTCCATGGCGAGAGTTCGACGGGAGTAGAGGGCAGCTGGAAAGCAGCCATGCTCTGCTTGGGGTGCAAGTGAATGTGGTACTGAGGAGAGGAATGAGCGGAGTGTATGGTGAATGCAGTTGCAACTGTAGTGGTGTCAGGGTTGAGCTGATTAGGCTAGCAGTGCTGAGAGTGAGCAGGTGAGGATGATAGTAGTGGTTGTAATAGTGGTAAAGAAGTAGTCGTTGATAGTCGAGGGGAGGAGGAGAGTAAGGAAGGGTGTAAGGGAGAAGCAAGGTCTGTTGTGTCACTCATTGGGTTGCGTCAGAAGGGAACGAGCGAAGTGCTGAAAGAAATAGAAACAAGAGACACGCGCTCAAATGATACAAGGGCGGGATCTTGCGTGGAATTATTGGGAGAATGGAGAAAAGATAAAAAAATGGTGGCCATCCTTCCTTTCGTTTTATCTTTTTTTTTATGTCGTTCAAGCTACACACAGTGTATCGAACATTCAAGCAGGTTCTAGTTCCAATGAACACAGACGCAACAAAGAAACGCTCACCGATCTATCCCCTCTCGGCTTTTCACGGCCCTTGCTATCGAATGACTGACTGCGGCTCAACCCTCGCTGACTCACATTACTTACAACCCTAACCCTTACCCGCGCGAAGGAGATGAGTAGCGAGAGTCAGCGGAGGCGCTGCCTTATTCTTTTCAGCTCGCATTCTTTTGTGTTCTTTGAGAACCAATTGGTTGTGCTAGTAAGAACCTTTACTATCCTCTTTGTCGCAGTGGATGTCAGCGTATGCAATCTTTGTGGCGAGGAGGTGGAGGCTAATTTGTATAGTCGGATTAAGTGGAGGCGTAACATTCTGTTTAATTGTACAGTTGTTGACAGTGTATTGTCAGGCCATGGTACAGCATGAGCTGTTTGCAAAGCAATAGCGACAAGAAGGGTACAACTTGTAGTGAATATCAAGACTGACAATGTGTGAATGTGAATGTGGAAGTGAGGCTACGCGTAGGGAGGGGAAATGAGCGTTTCAGCCACCCAATGAGAGGGATCGGTCGATCCTGGTGTGTGTGCTGTCACTGCCAGAAGTGAGTGCATAGAAATGACAAGCGGGACTGGTCATTTTTGATCCTCCTTTTTTCTTAAAACTACCAAAATGAAGTATGGAAAGAAAGAGCGAGCACCCGGGATCTAGAGGCATCCATGGCATGTCCAACCATACATCCATCCATCGATCAACAAACCACACCCATCGACAGCACAAAACGCAACATCCCGTATCCACCATCCTCATCGACCTATCGACCAGCCCCCAGTGCCATGTCTTTTGGTCTCCAGCGTTACTTTGACGGAATCGGCATCATCAAATAACACACTGCAACTATACCCGACAAATCTGACCAAGGAACCTACACTGCATCCCAAAAGTACGCCGCAGGAAGAGATTCATCACCGAAAACCCTACTCGTCAGAGACAACCGGACTGTAGGCCCATAGACCTTTGTTTGCGCCACTACATACATCCAACTTTCACTCCAGAAGGGGCGAACCCGAAAACGAATCGCATCATAACGAGGAGTTGCGGTAGCAACTCGATGGTTCAAGTCTGCAGTCTTTGTGTCCCAACAGACACAACCCACGGACACGGAAACAGGAGGCGCCAGAATCTTTATTTTCGATGATCTAAGGGGAACCTTTGATTCCATCGGATGCAGAACGTAAAGGAACGAACCAGTCGGGAACAGGAGATGACTACCTACCATCTTCCTGCAAAGTGACAGTGTTAACCTCATTGCTCACCAATCTTCCTTTTTTTCTTTTCTACCGTTTCTCTCTTTGACCATCAGGATTGAGATTTGCGCCTTTTCTGGAGCCAAGATCTACCCCGGCAAGGGCAAGATCTACGTCCGTATCGACAACAGAGTACGTTTTTTATGCTAAAGCAACATACAAGCAGTTGAGCCGTAGTGCAGGACTATCAGCGACAACGTGAGCAGGAGACATTGATGGCATTCCTTTAGCAGAGCTGTAGTACCTGGAGGGACTGTGCTTGGACCACCAAGATCGCCCTTCTAGTCGACAAGGAGCACACGACTGACGAACGACGAAACATACGACAAAGAGCATATTGATCTCGCAAGCGTATATTGATCTCACAGTGCAGGAGTTGATCGGTCGCCACCAAATCTCGACGACACGCTAGTACATTCGACAGTCAACTGGGAACAAAAGATACACTAGACAGTGCGCAACGGAGAGATACGGCAGCACCATAATTCAACTGGAACCATTGTTAATAACACGGACCACTTTCAATTTGCATCATCAAAAAATAGTCCTTCCGTTTCGTCAACGGTAAGGCCGAGTCCCTCTTCTTGCAGCGCAAGAACCCCCGTAAGATCTCCTGGACCGTCCTCTTCCGCCGCATGCACAAGAAGGGTATCTCTGAGGAGGTCGCCAAGAAGCGCACCCGCCGCACCGTCAAGCACCAGCGTGCCGTCGTCGGTGCTTCCTGGGAGGCCATCCGCGCCAAGCGCAACCAGAAGCCCGAGGTCCGTGCTGCTGCCCGTGCTGCCGCTCTCCGTGACGGCAAGGAGAAGAAGAAGGCTACTGATGCCACCAAGAAGTCTGAGAAGGCTAAGAGCGCCACCGCTGCTGCCCGTGGCCAGCCCAAGTTCTCCAAGCAGGGTGCCAAGGGTGCTAAGGTCTCCATTGCCAACACCTCCCGTTAAATTGTTCTCTTTTTTTTGTCGAGTGTGTTTTTAAAATAAATACCTCCTCACAAGAAAAAAAGTTGCTCCTACGGTTGTAAGCAGCAATCTATCTTCTCCAACCTTGCCTACTGTGATGTGAGTTATGTTCGATACGAAAACATGTGTATGTTACACTTTGGCGATCTTTCTTGGTCCATGTCAAAACAAGCCTGTTAGGGTTAAAACATGAGAGCAGCAGATGGGGTGGGTTTGGGAGGAGATGTGGGGAGAGAGCATGACGAATAAGTCGTTATGTATGGGAACAAAAAACCTTCTCCACTTCTCCACCTCTCAATATTGTCAGTCAACTTTCAAGGTTCACCGTGTACGGTTACAAAAAAAAACAATCCCCACTGCCCGATCCTGAATGAACCAAAAAGCTGCTGTTTGATCTTTGCTTTCCGCCCTTTATTTTATCTCAAGTCGGATGATCGTTTGCCACATTCTGGTCTATGAATGGGCACTAAGAAGGAAAGCTTGATCGTTCTAGAGAACCACTTTACACGCGCTACAAAACAGATTGGATTCGTTCATTTTTTCATTTCAATTTCGGATCCCGGCTGAGTCCAAGAAGTGCGAGAGGGGAGTGTCGCGTTTGGTTGTTTTTTTTTTTTTTTTTTTTTTTTTTGCCATGGGTTTACCGTGGAGGTTGAGCGGACGACGTGCTACGGAACCTGGAATAAGAACATAGGCGTTACCCAGATCACCCTCTCCAATCTCTAGTGCGTCTCTTTTGGATAAGTGAAAATGTCTGTCAGGCCTCCAAATCTATTCAGGCACATGAAGCCCAAACATCGATCACCAAACCCCCATTACTGCACAATGGCGCCATTAAAACAACCACTGTTAGCTCTTTTTCTCCAGGCTCCCTTCCCTTTATCCACTCGGCTTCCTTCCCTGTATTCTCTCACCCCCACTTTTCCGCCGTTCTGCTTCACTTGTTAAAATCGAACTTTCCTTTTGCTGTCATTTTAGTATGAAAAAAGGAACACCGGAAGTGTGGCATGGTTTGGTGTCAAGATCGTTTTTTCACATTCTTTTTCTGTCCTTGCTTCTACGTACTGTCTTACCGTTTCAGTCTTAGTATTTAACCTAAGACTATAATGATAATAACTCCTTGTGTCCGTTTTGCGTTCTCAAATGTCGAGTGTCGTGTCGTATGATCATCGTGGACATGCAGACTAATCGGATCGCTTGCCAACGATATCCGATAAAAATGAGAGAGTATGTTCTTTTTTTCTCCTCTCGTTTCCTTCCTTCGCCGATGGAAGACAAAAGGCGATGAGATGGAGAGGGGATTTTAATCATCCACAACTTCATCGATCGACCCCTTTACCTCCCCATTCCATCCCCACCTTTACCTACCTAGTTATCGATTCTTGCAGGAAATTCCAGGGTCTCAATTAAACGACGACAACAAGGCGGATAGCTGGTACGTTCTGGCCTCGGCCCTTCCTTGCTAGACGACAAACGGTAGATATGATGCCACCCACAATCATCAAAAGAACCAATCCTTCTGATACGCCACGATGGAGAGTGTATAGTTTTTTGTGTTCTTTCTTCTATCGGAGAACGACCCACTCTTGGTATTGCACGATCCGTGGTACCTCTGAACAATAGCAAAGAAGATACCCTTTTTTGTCTTAATCTTGTTTGGATTGGATGGTGTACGTTTCATTTGGCATGCGCTTCCTGTCAAAAGCCAAAGGAGTGTTTTCTATTGTTGTCGTTTCTCTTTCTTTCTTCCTCCTCTGTTACCGTAATCATGGTCGAGTGAGAACAAAGGTACAAACCTGTCTCGACTTGACGGGAATGGTGAGACTCTTACCCTAGTCCCTCGTTAGTAACTTTTCTTGTTCTTCTTTTTCGTCTTTTCCCCTTCTCTCTCCCAGACAAGAAAAGAAGGAGGGGCAAAGAGAGTAGGTGGAACATGGTGAATGAATGGTCGGATTCTTTTCCTTCTAACCCTATCGGCATTGAGAAGAACATCCAGAAGCTGAAGCCATGAAGAAAAGGAAAAAAGTAAGGCTCTTGCCTTTTATCACGTATGTCACCAAGGTGTGCCAAAACCCAGGAATTTTTAAAGCTGAAACCAACGGTCAACAAACGGTGATTGGTGGAGTCTATTCCCCCTTTATTCCCCCTTCTTTAATATGGAGCAACCGGACTGGTACGGTGCAGAGTTGCCAAGCGTGTGCCTTGCCTTGCCCAGCCCTCTTCCATCGAGGGGACCTATTTCCCATTCCTCCATGGCCACCCAACCTTGTTTTCTATTGTCCCCTGGTAACTTGTTTCCCCACCAAATAGACACTTTTTTGTGTTGAGATCGCGTGTCTTCTAGTCCCTACTTTTTCTTATAAGTGACTTTGTCGCCCACCTTTTTTGTACTTTAGTGAAACTCCTTCCTCCTTCCCTTCCCTTCCTTCCTTACTCACCCTAATATCCCTTCGTAACTCATCATGGCTGAGAAGCGTGAACACCAAGAGTCCATCCCCATGACCGGGGAAAAGGTCGAGACCTCCCCCATGGACCTGTTGACCGACCACGAGAAGGAACTCCTCGAGCTCGAAGCCCGTCTCAACGCCGAGCTCGATGCCAAGTTGATGGCCAATCCCAACAAGATGCCCAAGGCTTGTTACTTCATCTTGCCCAACGAGTTTGGTGAGCGTTTCTGTTACTATGGTGTCCAGCCCAACTTGAACAAGTACTTCCAGCTCATCACTGGAATGAATCCCACCAGCGCCAAGGTCTACTCGACCGCGTTCACCATGTTGGCCTACTTCTTCCCCTTGATCGGTGCCGCCCTTTCTGACTCCTTCCTCGGAAAATGGTAATTCAGTAACTTGTTTATGCCATAGCCTTTTTCTTTCTAGAATGCATGTTCGTTTCATTTCTCTAACAACCATACTCTGTGTACTGTTTCCCTTCCCTCCCCCTCCTTTTTTTTTGCACTCAACAGGTGGACCATCATCTCCTTCTCGACTGTCTACTTGATCGGTATGATCATGGTCACCGTTTTCGCCATCCCCAACTTGATCGGACCTATCGGCCAGGTCTCCAACCTCTTGACCTTCCTCCCCATGCTTGTCATTGCCATCGGTACTGGTGGTATCAAGCCCTGCGTTTCCTCCCACGGTGGTGATCAGTACCTTCCCTCCCAAGAAGCCGGAAAGGATCTGTTCTTCAATATCTTCTACGTCTCCATCAACGTCGGTGCCCTCTTGACCCAGTTCATCGTCCCTAAAATGACCGAACTCCACTGCTATGGCCAAGATACCTGCTACGCCGGCGCTTTCTTGCTCCCGACCGTCGTCTTTGCCTGCGCCTTTGCCATCTTCTGTGCCGGCCACAAGTTCTACCGTATCGTCCCCCCACTGGGCGAGTTCTTGCCCCTCAAGGCTATCCAGGCTTCCATCCTTGCCGCTCGTCGTCACCGCGCCGCCAGCCCTCAGGAGCGTACTGCTAAGGGCCACTGGCTCAACTTTGCCGAGGCCGAGTACGGCGGTGTCTTCCTTGAGGAGGTCCGCGATTTCGGTCTTGTCCTCGTCCCCGTTGTCATTCCCTTCGCCTTCTGCTGGATGTTGTACAACCAGAACTCGAACGAGTGGGCCAACCAGTACTACCTCATGTCCGGTGCCATCTTTGGCGGCAAGGACGAGACATCCTCGTACGTCCAAGGAGCCATGTTCGGCAACGTTAACACTATCCTTATTATTCTCTGGGTTCCTTTCTTGGCCACCTTTGTCTACCCCTTCTGCACCAAGCGCGGGTGGAACTTTTCCCCCCAGCGCCGCATGGGTCTTGGTTTCTTGGTCGTCGTGATCTCCTTTGCTGTCTCTGCTGCCCTTGCCCCTTCCGTCGAGAAGGCTTATCTCGACTCTGGCCGTCTCATAAAGGATGCTGCCAAGTACGACGGCAAGTACTGTGAGAAGTGCTACTCTGCCTGGTGGCAGTTACCTCAATGGATTCTTCTCTCCCTCGGCGAGGCCCTCTTCTCCCCCACCGGTGTCCAGTTCACCTACATTGAAGCCGGTCGCCAGTTCCGCGCTGTTTCCACCTCCTTCTGGTTGTTGGCCACCTCGTTCGGTTCGATCTTGATCATGATCTTTGAGCCCGTCTTTGCTGGTCATGACCTGTCGAGCGGTAACAAGGGCTGGGCTTACTCCGGTATTGGTCTATTCGGGTTCTTGTTGTACTGCGTGACCTCCTACTACTATGTGCCCCGCAAGATCCGTCCTTCGATCAACGAGGCTGCTCGCTTGGCCAAGCAGGCCGAGTATGCCATTACCTCGTACTAAAAATGCACCTTTGCAGACATTTACCTTGCAACTCATCCCAACCACCCACCACTTGTACAGTACCATAATACTCTCAGAAAATATATCAGCAATATTCAAAAAACGTTCGTTGTGTTTAGTAGTGTGATTGAATGCAGGCATCTATGTCAAGTCCGTGTTCTTCATGGATGCGTTTGGATCTTGTGCTACAACGAGAGAAGGTCCAGGACTAGTCGGGGATGTCAGGCACAAGGTGGCAGTCCAATTGAACGTCGATGGCCCATTGACGGTCAACAGAAGGTCGATCCTCGCCCATCCAGGCACCATCACTGATCACTACTTGTCTCATCGCGCTGAGGGATCAGAAAATAATCATTGATCAAAATAGTCCTCACTACCAACAAACCACTCTTTCACTCTCTCACAATTCTGTGGGAGGCATCGAAACAATATGTGCATAGTCCTCAGCTTTTTTTAGTACATTGGGTGGCTGCGCTGTCCCTTGGTCCACTGGTCCTCAAGTCCTACAAAAATTTAAGTGCGACATCTGTTTTGTGTGCGTTTTGAAGACCAGCTAATTGACCTAAGACCTCTGGCTACTTCATACCAAATATGGGAACCAATTGGTGTGCATTAGTCATTTCTGCGAAGCCAGGTGCAGGTGGACAGCCACCCCTTCCTTTCCTTCTTTTCGTCTCTTCTCTTACTTCTTTTCTTCTTCTCCCTCTTCTCCTTCCTCGACCCCACTTCCTTTTCTCTTCCTTATTCTCAGTTGACCCTCCTTTCCACCATCTTCCGTTACCACTCCCATCCACTGCATTCGCATTCGCATTTCGTCTCGCCTCCTTCCTTCCTTGCTTCTCATTTCAACTGAGCTGCTGCCTTTTTCAGTTCTTCAGACTTGACAACCAAAGCAACACCAACACACACTACACTACACAACAATCATGGCGAGCAACACTGGTCAATCCGACCTACTCTCAACCGTAGAACAAGGCCAAAGCCGCCCCTCCCTTGACGAGAACACTGGCCTCCTCTCTGGTCAACCGCGCCGACCTTCCCAGGCCAATGGTCAACCTTCCAACAACAGCAGCAACAACAAGCGCCCAGCCTCTACAGCAAAGAGGTCGTTTCTTTCAGGCAAGGGCCGAAAAAAAATCATTGTCAGCCTGACGGCGATCTCGGGGGGACTTCTTATCATCTTGGGCTTTGCGCTCTTCAAGAAGATTGGAACAGATCCTAGTAAGTCCTTCTTTTTCAATATCACCTACCTCCTTGTGCTTTTCGTTTTTGATCACATTGGACAAATACATTGAACGCCCTTTTTTTGTGAGCGAACAGCCACGTGAGTAAGCCTCTCTCTTAATGATGACTATCATAACGCCTTTACTCAACGTTCTTTTCTATCTCTACCCTTGGGCATATTAGACATTGAGAATAACACACCGACGTTGATCAAGGCCAGGCACGGTGCTGTTGCGACAGAGGAGATTCATTGCTCCGAGATTGGTGTTCAAGGTAAAATAGTTCGGAATTTTTGGGGGTAATGCGTGATTGCCCAACCGTCTGTTTCATTCATTCATCCGTGGATGAGCTGGGTGGGTGTGTGGGAAAGAAAATAGTGGTAAGTGGGAGTGGCAGGACTGGGAAGAAAGGAACGAGGGGAACGAGTTGGAGATTTGTTGTTGTGCAAGAGTGCACAAAATGGTGCCATTGCTGGTCAACTCTATTTTAGTACAGGATTGTTCACATTTTTTTGACGGAAACAGAGAGAGAAGGGTACTCCTTACTCCAAAGGAGAGAAAAAAAAATAACGACAGACAACGATCAACTGACGCTTACTCTTAAATTCATCCGATGACACCATAGTCTTGAAGGATGGCGGAAATGCAGTCGATGCAGCAGTGGCTTCGTGTCTCTGCGTCGGAACAGTCAACATGTTCTCGGCCGGTATTGGCGGCGGAGGATTCATGACCGTTCGATTGCCCAACGGAACCGTGGAAGTAATCGATTTTAGAGAGACCGCCCCAGCAGGAGCAAGCCCTAATATGTACAAGAATAATCCGATCCTTGCCCAGAAGGGTGGTCTCTCTGTCGCGGTCCCCGGCGAGATCCGTGGATTGGAGTTGGCGCACAGCCGTTACGGAAAGTTGCCCTGGGAGAGACTGTTTGCACCCTCAGTCAAGATGGCGAGGGATGGGTGGGCAGTTGGTCCAGAGTTGGCCAAGCGATTGAGAGCCTACAAGACCATGATGGAGACTGAGCCTGATTGGTCTGCTGTCTTTGCACCTAACGGGACTGTCCTGAAGGAGGGCCAGTGGATCAAGCGCGAGGCGTTGGCGAACACACTGGAGACCATCGGCAAGGAGGGCGCGGAGGCCTTCTACACTGGACCTATTGCGCAGAGCATGGTCGATCACATTAAAAAGAACGGAGGCATCCTAGACATGGACGACATGAAGGCGTACAAACCGTTGATCAAAGAACCCATGGTCGGCTATTACCAGGGACGCAAGGTCTACACCACCCCCGCACCTACCAGCGGACCCATCTTGATCAGTCTTCTCAACATCCTGGAGCGCTATGACCTGGGTCGCATCAAGCAAAATGCCAACATTGAAGTCCACCGCCTTGTCGAAGCCATGAAGTGTAAGCTGAACGATCTAATAATCGCGTGTTTATTCTGTGGTTCATGGCCCATTGCACTAACATACTGACCGCTCATTCACGTTATTCAATAGTCGGATATGCACAGAGAACGGAACTGGGAGACCCAGACTTTACGGATTTGGAGAACAAGATCCAGAGTATCATATCAAAGGACACTGCAGGACTGATCCGCGCCAATATCTCGGATGCACAAACCTTCCCAGTCGACTATTACAACCCACGCTGGGGTCCCATCGACAACCACGGCACCACCCACATGTCGACTGTTGACCAGAAAAACATGGCTGTTGCATTGACGTCGACTGTCAATCTGGTGTTTGGATCCAAGTTGCTGGACCCCAAGACCGGTATTGTACTCAATGACGAGATGGATGATTTCTCGATCCCCGGTACTCCAAACGCCTTTGGATTGCAGCCCTCGCCTTTTAATTATCCCGAGCCTGGAAAGCGCCCCCTGTCATCGTGCGTGCCTACTGTTATTGAGAGGGATGGACAGTTTGAGTTGGCTCTTGGTGGTAGTGGAGGATCTAGGATCCTTACCTCTGTCCTCCAGGTGAGTCTCTTTCTACCACATTTTTTTTCATGCATGGTGTGTTGCAAGGGTCAGATTGCTCACTGTTTATTGTATCTCCTTTGTTTCATGTAGGTGATTCTGAATGTCTACAACCACGACTACAACTTGATGGAGGCAGTGGAGGCTCCTCGCGTGCACCACCAATTGATGCCGAATGTAGTCGATATCGAATCTGGCTACTCTGCATCGGACGTCAAGTTCTTGAGCACCCGTGGCCATAATGTCACGGTGTCGGATATCCTGCTGGCCAAGTCTGAAGTCCAGGCTGTCCTGCGCGAGACCGATGGCACTGTGTTCGCCGCCAGTGATTCCAAGAAGCATGGCGTTGCCGCCGGTTACTAGTTTAAAGTAAATTGTATAGTATTAGAACAATATAGAAGAATTGTAAACAAGTACTTCATCCTCTTTCTCTTCTTTCTTTTATTGTGGATGCATTGAAGCCAAGACAAGAGTGAAGAGCAAGAATGATTGTCAAACCGGGTATTCGTTTTCCAGTCGCCCCTTGGTTCGCTTTTTTTTGTGATGTGTGTGTGTGTGTGTTGTCCCAGAAGTTTATGTTCTCCCAAAAGTTTGTGTTCTTCCAAAAGTCCCAAAACCCCAACAGCCAGCTCTCTTTTTTTTTTTTTTTTTTTTTTTTTTGTTCAGCCTGTATTTTTCCCTTCCCTTCGTTCATAACATTTCTTTGAGCTGAACCTTTAATTAGTTTACGCCCGCCCCGCCCTGTCTGACGATAAGAAAGGGTGTGCGGGTGAGGTGACCCAGCACAGTTTTTTATGGACTATGGAGCGAGTGCGAATTTTGGGTGCTTGTGTTTGTGAGCATGGACCCTTGGAAAAAATATGACAGGCAGAGAGGGACAGGGAACAAGAATAGGAGCAGGGAAGGCAGAGGGCAGTGTCATCATGCTGACTATTTTGTTGTGAGCTCCGGCCTATTTATTTTTTGTGTGCGCTGAAGTTAGAAAACGAACATTCCAGATAGGCCAAAGACGCACACACCCATAGGAGGGAGACAGGGAAAGTGTTCGGTGGATCGCATGAATTTATGAGGGGGCCCTAGCCCTGAGCGAGAGAGTGAAAAAAGCGCGAGGAAGGAGAAAGATGGTGAAGGAGAGGGAGGGAAGGGTGACTGAAGGGGTGAGGGTATGATGATACAAAGAGATCGCTTACTTTTCTCCTTGGGTAAAGTGTACAATTTTTCTCGCAAGCTAATGAACCCGCATAGCGATAGTTGGTGGAGGTGGGAGGGAAGGGGAAGTAGGAGTAGATCGATAATCCATGGTTGTACAAGGGGGAGAGATGAAGGAATAGGCACCCTGTTCCTTTTGCCCGGGATGGCGGAAGTAGGGGACTCCAGACCCATGTGTTTTTTTCTTTGCGGGATATGAAGCTGAATAAATGGGAAATGGCAATGAGGGTAAGAACCCATAATGAAGTAAGTAAGCAAAATAGGGGGCGGAAGTTCGTGAGAGAAATGATCCGAGTACATACATACTCTTTCCTTTCCCTTCCTCACTGTCAATTACCAAACAACCGCTGGATTCCCCGACAGAAAAAGAGGGAGGGAGTAGAAAATAGAAATTCGACAAGGGCAGGGAGCAAAAAGGAACGAGAGAGAAGGGGTTGCTAAGGGACATGGGATGATGGGACCACACTCCAGATGACGGGAAGAAAGTCAGGGAAACGACGAAAATTGGGGTTAGGAAAAAAAGAAAATTGATAACGGCCGCAATGGAAGAAACATGATCAATTGGAAGAGTGACAGGACACCTGCTGTGCCTCTCACTCGGGAGAGAGAAAAAAATATAATAGAAACGTGAATGAGGAACAACACTGGTGGTGAGGTATAAGAAATAACAGCATTGAAGGAGAACAACGCGTGTTCCTTCCTTGAAGAAGCGAGGGAAGGACAGTGATCCACCTTTTCTTCCTTTTGTTGTGCCGATCCCTGTATGTATGAGTCCTTGTCTTTGTTCAATTGAGTGCATTGGTATGTGTGTTCACACGCGTGAGACTGAAGTTGAATAGTGTCGAATCCTGTTTGTTTGCTCACACACATGTTCGCGAGGTTACTTGTTGCATGTCTTTCTGTGCATCGCAAAAGTGCGCTCATCCTTATCAATTCGTATTGGTGTCATTTCCACACCTCTTTCGCTTTCTTTGTTCATTATCCCTTCTCTTTTCCTTTCTTTCTTCCCTTCTACATTTTCATATCCACCCATTCTCTGCTCACTTTCCTCTCCTTTTTTCTCTCACTCTCCCCACTCTCGCCCACTCCGTGCCTTTTGTCCTACTTTCTTTGCTGATCCATCAACCCACTTCACACCTCCTCTCATTTAAACCAACTTGCCGCACCTTTGCTTGTTTGGCCAGTAATCAAAACACTCACACTCACGTTTCTCGGATGGACAAACCCATCAACGGCGACAAGTATGTCCGCACCCTCTCCCACTACCTTCGTCACAACCAGCGCCGTCTAGTCCCAACCGAAGCCGCTCCAACCAGCAACAATGGCTCACCAAGGTCCAATGGCGCCGCTCGCTCGCTCGTCACTCCCGCAGATCCCATGGCCGCCGCTTACTCGGGCATGGTCAACTCGCTCTGGTCCATGGGATCCGCCGTCGTCGACGCCATCACCCCATCAGGATCCGACCCTCCTCCTCCTGCCTCGCTCGCCCGAGATCGCGACGCTTATACAGGTGCCTGGGACGGGACTGGATCAATTGTCCCCTCGGCTACTAACCCGCGGGAACAACAACTCTATCTCCAGGCCCAGCTCAAGGCGCCCATCTTCCCATTGGACCTTTATTACCTCCTCTACCTTCTCGAGCGGTTTGAGCAAGAGGGCATTGAGATTGACGGGTGGGATGGTGCCACGCCTCGCGCTGTAGGAGACTCCAAGCCTCGTGTCCTCAACAATGGCATGCCCAACTCTACGACTTATTCGTCCTTCCCACCGCCCACCGCGACCCGACCGCAGTCTATTCGTTCGTTCTCGTCTACAGCACTATCGACCCTGACACTGATTACTGGATGGAAGCAGTGGTCCAATGCGGCTTCCTCGACCTCTAACAGTATGACCATCGCGGACGACATTAACTTTATTCACCAGTTTCTGAAGAAGATTACAGGACTTCGACTCGTCGCCAAGATCCCACCAGGATTGACCGCACCCGAAGGAACACCCGGAGGAGACAGAGGCAGGATCGAAGGATACAGTGGAGACGCCATCTTGACGCTCTTCAACGCTGGTCAGTCGCACGAGCTCCCGTCTTCGTCACCATCGTCTACAACCCAGGTCCTCCTCCCAATGGCTGCTACATTCTCGTCGTTGACACATCTGGAGTTGCACAAGATCCCACCGAAATCGATTGAGGGCTGGGAATCGCTCATGGCTCAATTGAAATCTCTTGTTATCATTCAGGCTGGAATTGAGGACGTGTATGATGTCATGGTCGCTGCTGTTGTTGAGAGCGAGAGACGTCGACGCCAGCGAGTGCAGAAGGAAAAGACCAGAGCGGTCTTGCTGCGACAGGAGCAACGCGATGCTCTTCGGGATGCCAACAGGGGTGGACAAGGGCGTCGGGCTGGTTCTGGGTCCGGATCCGGATCATCTGGAACTTCATCAGCCGAGAGCTCCAACCCATCATCGCCTGCCTTGTCGACTACCGGTGGAGGCGCCCTTGGGGAGGGCGATTTTGCACTAGACGACCAATCGATTTTGAACACGACCAAGATGTGGCCTCGCCTGCGCCATCTCTCCGTCTCGGACAATGCCCTGCCGGCACTGCAAAACCAGGACACGTTCTCGTACACCCAGGCGATTGTCAGCTTGGATCTCTCGCACAACTTGCTGATCGCCGCACCCCCAGGCTTAATTCACTTGCATAACCTGCATCATCTGAACCTGTCGTACAACATGATTTCGAATGTGCAGGCCATCTACCAAATTCTGGGCAACATTGCAGTGCTGGACCTGAGAGGCAACCGATTGGAGAGTCTCTGTGGACTAGAGCGTCTGTGGAACCTGGAGAAGATTGATGTTCGCGACAACCATCTGGACGAGGCTGCCGAGATCGGTCGACTTGCCGCCCTGCCAGGAATTCGCGAGGTCTGGTCCGAAAAGAATCCATTCTGCACCATCCAGGTAAAGATGCGCAGCCTGCACATTTCTTTATTTTTGTATTGTTGTTTCGGCGTGCATAGTATGCATGACAAACAAAAAAAAAAAAAAAAAAAAAGTCGCGATTGCTAACGTTTGCATGAATTTTGCGATTATGGGGGTGTTTTTTTTGAACCTCCTTTTTTTTAGCCGAAGCATAGACTGGAGATTTTGGCAGTATTTAAGGCAAACGGACACGACCTGTTGCTGGATGGAACTTTTGCGTCGTTCACTGAGAAGCGGTCGTTGACGAATATGAACCCGACGTCGTTCTCGACCACGATTGCGAGCATCAACAATGTCAACCTGGCCAATATACCCGCAGCCTCGGCCCCCACCGCTACCCTGGCCAAGGAACTTCTCGACTCGCCTCCTCGCATCACCCGACCGACTTCGGCGCTCTATGGCAACAACACTATCAGCAGCTTGAATGCTACCGATGCCCATAGCGCGACATCTCCACCATCACTAGTCGCCGCCGCCACATCACAGCAACGACCTATCGCCACCAACAGTAACAGCTCTCCGAACGGGAAGTCCGGGAAGGATGACGGATTGACGGCCATGTCCCCACCTGGCACAAATCCTTCATCCCCGCCCGCCAAGCTGATCAAGAAGAAACTGGTTCGGTCGTCCAAGCGTGTCCAGAGAGTCGTCAACCTCGACAGTGATCATGACCATTCTGGAGACGAGGATGGCCATCTCCACGATGACCATGAGGTTTTGGGCGCACCCGTTATTCTGGAAAAGAAGAAGAAGAAGACGATCAAGAAGAAGGCTGTGGATGGCGAGGCTGCCGGCGAGGAAGGAGGAGAGAAGAAGACCAAGAAGAAGGTGGTCAAGAAGAAGAAGAGCCAAGGGTTGGTCAGCTTCGCAGGAGATCAGAGTAACGGGTTCCAGGACATGACTGCCATCAATGGACAGGACAACCACAACGGCGATGAGGACGATGGGATTGACCATTCTGAATGCAAAGGCAACAGTCACGTCCACCGCCTCGCTCAATTGGAGCAGTCTATGGCCGGCAACCGGATCTCGCAGCCTTCCCGCGGCATTCTCAAGAAGAGTCCAACGGTCGTCAGTCACCACCACCACCACCACCACCGCGATACCTCCTCGTCCCCTCCAGACCACTCTTACCTGAGGCCGACCTCTCCCACGGGATCGTACAACTCGTTGTCGGACGACGGTGGCGCTGAGGCCTACCGCCGCAAGATCGAGGCGATGCGTAATGAGGCTGGCAGCAACTGGCTCAAGGTCCTGGCCGAGATGGATAGCGAGACCGCCCTCCGCAAGGACAGTGAAGCCAACACCAACAGCAGCAACAACCACCATCAGTAGTGGCGTTTAACTATTTTTTTTTATGCCGCTACCAACATCCTAGTAAATAAAATATCATAATAACCTTTAACCCATTGGACTGATGGTATATCCATTTTGGTATATGGACTGGAGCAGGATACCGTCTGCACAACGAAGAACCACAATGTCGTTGAGTATCCTCTTGGACGTTCTTCAACATCACGACAAAAAACACCTATTGAAAGACGCAAAAGGTCGAGCACATCCTCGTTCAGAGTTATCCGAGGACGTTCCATCAAGAAGAAAATAAAAGTTGTGAGTTGAACTTGATCAGTGAAATATTTGACGCGTGCTGTGCCTCCACCCCCAACTCTTTTACACGAAAAGTATTCACGTGTTGGCTTATTTGTTACTGATCTAGGTTTCGGGACGCGTCAAGACGAAAACGCCACCACCAAACATAAAGGACAAGGACGAGCACGGAGACGGGAAAACCCGCGACTGTTTGTATCGGAGCCTCTCCACTCATCGGTCATATCCACACACAGCCTGAAATACAGGGTCGATTCAGTTCAACCTCTTAGACAGGCTCTTCTTCAACAACGGGAGCAGGAATGAAACTCAGGGATAAAAGCACTTAATCCTGCTCCTCGACCTCGACTCGCATCATCCCCAATACATCCTCAACAAACGATTGGGTTCTCAAAGCACAAGGAAAACAGAAGCACACTTACCAAAGATGCGTTGTAATCAATAAACCAACAGCAAAACCAGCACGAAGGGACATTCAATGAATCGTCCAGATCCTCGACTCGAAAAGGGATCACACCCATCAAACATCTTGTTCAAGCCGTCTGGGTCAATCCATTCCACAAATCGGCGCGACACATCACATTTAATTCAGTGGCGATATTGGCGTCTCAACCGTCTCTTGATCTTACGCATGCTGAGCAGCCAATTGATTTCTTGAAGACAACCTCTCGTGCAACTCAAAAATTCGTCGGTCCTGCACGGCTCGCCATTTCGCATGCTGGAAAAACTCGGCACCAAACGGTTTACAATAGTGGGTAGGGTTTTATAGCCACGAGAGTCGAAGGAAGTAGTTGAGGATAAAAATATTGACAAAACACAAAGCTTCAAGGCAATAAGAACAAATAAACGAGAGCTAGCACGCGTTGAGGTCAAGGGTATGTCTGTATTCGCGATTTACCTAAATTGGCACGGCATGAGATGTGTGCTACAAAACAAGAGCAGAAAAAGTCATCATTGAAAGGACTAGTATAACAAGTACAGCTGCTTTTCTAAACTTGCTCGATAGTCATCAGCGCCGCGTAAATCTCTAGCAAACACTTTGCATCCGACGCTATCATCAAAAATAAAAAATGATCACAAGAAGAGTCAATGCATTGCTCAAGCAACCGAGTCCAACTCTCTAGCAAACAGCTCATGCCAGCATAGTCGCGATTCCAGTCTTACCTGCATATGTCAGCTGGGAAGTGGTGAGGGGCCGCTGCTCCCATTGACTGCACTGTTCTGACTTGTCTAGTTTGTGTCCGCACAGTCTTGCCAATAGACCCGACAACCCTCCGGGAATCGAGTACATGCCTGGCAAACTCGGAGCCAACGAGCTCCACGCTTCCAGCATCCCTGTCATCGACACCGGTGCATTCCCTCCGTGACCTCTTGCAGTTGCGCTGTTGTGGTTTTTGCTGCTGTTGTGGTTTTTGCTGCTGGATTTGTCGGCGCTATTGTTGTTGTTGTCTCGAATCTTGAACCAAAGAAACTTCAGATCAACAAAATTTTGCAACCGGTTGTGTTGTTGGTGCAATTCCGAGAACGTCCCCTCTAGCATATCCTGATCTCCATCCCAGTCAAACGCTATGTGCATAAGTTTCACAAAAGCAAACATAGACGTTAGCGCACTGACTTACGCATCGTAACCACACATAATCGAGATATGGTCGTCGCTTGATGCATGTCTTTTCGGCTTACCAAGTTTGAGGATATTGGGGTTGCGGAAGATAGACCCCAGGACCTGGACCAGCCTCCGGCCACCATCGAAACCCCCCAAGAATGCGATCACGTCAACCACATACACCATCGCGTCAACATCGCTGGCCAATTGAATGATCGCCGTCCGAGGTTCCTTCTTTTGTAGATCCCGAAACTCTGGGATGTTGGGCAGCCACTCTGTATCCATCCCCACAACGCGAGATCTCTCCAAAACTGCCGACATGCTCTCGAGTTGGTGCGCCTGTCGGACAAAAAAGACCTTCGTTTCGCTCGGCAACCGATATAGCGACACTGAACCTAAGATTGTAGTATCGAAAAAGTGAGCATCAGCGGTAAGAATTTCGTCCGCATCCATACCCAAAACAAAAATGGCGTGTACAATAGTTTAAAAGGTCCTACCAGGAGCTGTTGCCGCGGCCAGGGCGGCTTCCGAAAGAGGTGCACCCGGATGGGTGGCCTTCACGGCCGCAGGGATCGAAGAAGCTCTACCGTCAGACTCGGCAATCTCCAAGTAGTACTCCATGATATCAAGCTTGCTGGCCAAAAACTTTGCCGTGATCAAATCTCGCCTCTCGATGCAATGCTGAATCGTTATCCGCTGTAGAGTCACAGATCCTCTGGTCAACTCCAATACCAACGGGACATGCCTCCAAGCCGTCGTCAGCAAGTACTCTCTACCTTTACCACCAGAAACCCCACCTCCCAGTTGCGCCGCAATATTACTAAGTCTTTGCGTCGGGTCGCTGGAAGGAAGACTACTGGTAGACGGAGATGACTGGCTCAAGAGTGTGGAGACCGTGCAAAACCGCACAAACATATCCAGAAACTTGTACGAGGGCTGATCCTCTTCCAGGTCAAAGAACATGATCAGTCCCATCGCCGTCTCCACTAGTCGAGTCTGGACTCTGGCTCTTCCTGCGCCCCGAATAGGCGGAACCTCTGCATACTCTGGAGGATCTGACTGACTCATGTCTGTGGTAGCGAGTCCCCAGTAATAAAACTGGAACGAAAGTTGGTGGTTGATGTGCAACAGAACCTTGCGGCACCGTTCAAGATCGTTCTCGATGTACGCGGAAATGATACCCTCCTCGCCCAGTTCCAAAAGTCGTGAGAGCAACGCCTGCTCAACTCCGATGGAAGGACCAATGTCCTTGGAAAGGACAACAATGCACTCGCGGTATCGACCCTTCTGGAGTAATTGGTGAGCAAGAAGGGTGCCATAGGTGTCGATCGACCCGCGATTATCCTCCTTTGGTGGCGCCTGTTGTCGAAGAGTCTTGTGCATGTCCATGAGATCCAGCGCCACAAACACTTGAAGGGAGCTCTTGCCACTCGAGATCTCTTCTTTGAGCTTTTGTCGATGGTGGGGTTGGATCGGGCCATCAATGTCGTCGTCCTCCTCAGCGTCGTCCTCTTCCTGTCCACTGTCATCCTCCTTCTCGTCATCCGCTTCACCTCGGTCCAGCGCACTGCAGTCTCCGTCTCCGTCTCCGTCAGATGTGTCCTGATAATCTGTTTGAAGGTGGCTGTCGAAGATGTGGATGAGTTCTGCAATTTCGGTCCGAGCAGGTTTCTTCTCTTCGTGAACATCCTCCTTGAGCAAAGAGTTCATTCCACCGAGCTGCTTCAGATTGATATCCAAGAGTCCTCCAACCGATCCCACCGCGTTGTCGTCGTCGTCCATAGGAGTGCATGTTGGTGTTGGGGTAGACTCTGTCGTTGCCTCCAAGATTTGCCACCCTTTGCTGTCAACGGAGTTGTCTATCGAACCGGTCATAAGTGGAGTCTCCAACCGATCCCAAGACGAAAAGTCGATCAGATCCAATACCGAGGGCTTCAAGACTTTGGTCCCATCGATCTCAGGTATAGCCGTCGATTCGTCCAAAGCGGTTGATAGAGTGCTGACCAATGGCTCGATATTCGCATGCGGAGACCTTGCCCATAAGGAATCGTGTCCTATGCACTCCTCGTCGTCATCCAACACAATCAGATCCAGCTGATTCTCCTCGACAGCAGCAGACACCGATGTATCGTCGCTCCCAGAACCGTAATCTTTGTCGTCTTCGTCGTCGTCGCCATCGCCTTGATATTCCAGGGGTGAAGATTCAGAAGAATTGTTCGCGTGCTCCTCGACTACGTCCCGCTGCCATGTCAGAAAACGTCGAAAGGACTCAGCCAGCAGCGCCGACACCAGCAGTTCGAATTCCGGATCGAAATTCTTGAGTCCTGCAACTGTCCCAACTGTGATCAAGGCATTGATAATGAACTCTGGCGGGTCGAGGTGGGTTGAGAGTGCGGATACGATGGTTTCAATTAGAGTCTCGATCTGACGGTGCTCGTGCAGTCGCAAGTACTCGGCTGGGCTTTTCAGGTACGTCAGCAAGCTCTGGGCGAACAGGAACGCATTGTTGTCGAAAACGTTCTTTTCCAATGCTAGATGTGCATAAAGAGTGTGAAAGCCAATTGTAAATAATAGAACAATAGGCCGAAGCTCTCCTGTCTCGGCACTGATAGTTCATGGTATATTGTTAGGACGTGTAATTAAAATTACCTTTGGTAGGGACCGTTGAGTCTGATCTATCTCTGTAGGTCACCTGCCGCTGCTGGACTTGTGCATATGGTGGTGGCGGGGGTGTTAGAGCATGTGGTCGCAGTCTTGGAGGTAAATAATGCACTGCTCCCGACAAGCGAGGGGGAGGGACCGTTCCAGGTTTGAATTGATTTGCTTGTGACATGTTGGAGGACGCAGGCGAAGGAGACCTTGGTGGTCCGTTGTATTTGTTCCAAGACAAGGGCGCCGATTTTGGGTGTGGCGGCGGCACAGGCATGGGAGTGGTGTGTGAGGGAGTATGTAATGGTATTGCTTCGTCCCTTGTTGGTTTTATCGAATCTCGCTAGTCGATATTTTCACTCCCTTCTGCTTTGACAGGAGGAGGAACGAAGGATCGTTTTCTTCAACGAGTGTGTTCTCTTGGGAGAGAGAAGGAGAGCGAGAGACGAACTATCCAGTAGACGAAGTTGGAGAACAAGTACAAGAAACGGCGAGCCAGTGGGTCAGTTTCATTCCTCCTTTTGTTGCACGCCATGGGCAACATTGCTGGTGACAGTCGAGGTTCCTTGAATGCAAGTGGTTTTAATTATTGTTTCGACTCACGTCGTTTTTAATTTGTATAAATGCAGGAAATGGGGGGAGAGAATGGCGCAAGGGTAGCAGTGGCAGTGGTAGCAGAAGGAAAGAGAAGAGAAGAGAACAAAGGGTGGAGGGTTGATTGATGCAGCAGGGAAAGAAGGAGAGTGGAAAAGTGGACGAAACAAATATAAAAGGTGAAGTCCCATGGGCGCAAAGAGGAACTGCTCGAAATTCTCCGTCCAATGAGATCTCGTGGTGGCGTCAATAGGGAAACGGACGTTCGCCTCTGCCCTACCCTCGTCATGGACATCTTCCGTCTCCCTTTTCATGCTCCTTGTCCTGGATTATTGCTTCAACCAACATACCTCCCAGTGCTGCAGCTAGAGGGGGTGGCACAGCGTTTCCTATTTGCTTCCGCCACTTCAGTGGCGACTGGTCTGCCGGAAAGATGAATGTGTCGGGAAACCCCTGGGCGCGCGCCCGCTCACGGATGGTCGTGACACGATGTTGGTTGGGATGAACTATTCCAGGACTACCCATTGGATCCGCTGAACTGGTTACCGTATTAAAGAAGCCACCAAAGTCCAGCCTTGACCCCTTGCCTCCGAGTCGCGCTTTGGGCGCCATGTCAAATTTGTAAATGCTCTTGACAGTTGTGGGCTGAGGAAGCTCGGTGATGTGGTTCCTGATTCGGTCGTTCCCGGAGACTTGGTACCTCAGTGTCCTCTGATATTCACATTGTGGTCCCGTGCGGTACCTTGTGATTTTCCTGAGCTGAGCCCTATCTTCACTACGAAGTCTTTTATCCGTCTCGTTCACCCATTCCTTGGACCCTATCCTGTTGCTACCCTTCTCAAGAGAGTTGATCCGCACAAAGCTGCCTGCCCTATTGATTTTGACGCTTCCTGTCTCCTTGTCAACGTCGTCAGGGTGAATATATTCAAACCCAGGCAGATCCGAGAGTGCGTCACGAACGGTGACCGTAGGATCGGGAGCTTGGTACCTGCGCCGACCGAAATAATGAAATGCCTTGTGATCGCTATAGAGAAGATTCCGCGGAGCATCAAACAGTGCAGAAATGTCAGAGCTGAAAGTCGTTGTCGGGAGAGGGAAAGCCGGGAGGGTGTACCCAAGCTTGGCAGCCCATACGAAGAATCTGTAGCGACTTTGCGGAACTCCAAAGTGGCCAGCTTGCAACATTGCTATCCTACACTGATACCTATGATATAGACGACAACATTGTGCGTTATTATAATATGGCCTTAGCAACAGGATGTTCGAATGAATATCGCCCTCGAACACCCAAATATAATTCGGCAACTCACAGAACCTTACCCTAGTTCCGTCAGGCAACGCATTACGAACTTGACAAATGCCTTCTTGTCCACTGCCGCCTTGTCGCCGATCTCAGTAAATCCCTTCACATTCTCCAGCAGGAGGTAGCGTGGTCGATAAAAGTCGACGTATGCCATCGCTGTCGCCACAAGTGAGTTCTTGGGGTCATGCCGATTCGATCTCCCAGTGGCATACGTAAATCCTTGGCTATTTTTCATACAGCAAGTGGTTAGAGCTTAGTTGGTTGGATCATTAGTAATGGTTGTGAGGCCATAGATCCACAATAAGTTGGCGGGTTTTCCTACCATGGGGGGCCACAATATATGAAGTCGACTTCATCTGGAGGTGGCATTATTGGACTCAACGATGCCATCCTGTTTTTGCCGAGTCTCGCGGTCTGACCCTCGCCTCCTTCTTGCGTCTGGAAGATAGCCTGCTCAAGTAGTAAGCCTGCATCACGGTTACGCACAGCGACACTAGGAAAGTTGTAACTAAGATAGCAAGGTAAGAGAAATATGTCGTTAATAATGAATGCCCACTGTAGGATGCTACCTGCCTCATGTCTTCCAACTATTCACAGGTAAGAGTGATGTTGTACCTGAAAGTGGCCGCAGCATCTTGGTCAAGTTCGACGGAGTACTTGGTTTCAACGATCCCGGACTGTTTTAACCCAAGACTCATTCCTCCACAGCCCGCGAAAATGTCCATAGCACGGAGTTTTGGCCCAGCCTTGCAGAGTCGGTTCCTTTTGGCTTCCTTTTGAATCCATCGCTTCTCACACGCAAGACAATCCTGAGGCACCTTCACCAGGATGTGCAGGCCATCAGTGTTCCCCTTTTCATCGTATATCCGGTACAGCCGCTCACGGGATGCTCGTAGAGTGCTCTTTCTCATATCCACCTTTCCTGAGTCCTGTGCTGGCACGAAGTAGTAATCCATGAACCAGAAGCTGTCTTGTTGGTCCTTATACGAGTTGCTCTCCTGTTCTTCAGCGCACGACCGGCGTTGGAATGCACCACTTCGTTCTTCTGTCTCCTTCACTTCGGGAACGAAGCAGACTCGGCACGTCGCTTCCAAGTCCTCGAGTGGCATCTCCTTCTCTACATCCGTCAACACTAAACGCCTACAGTCCTTGAAGATATATTGCTGAAGACGTTTGTGGCGTTCTGACATAGGTGGGTTCTTGTCCAGAAAGTCGTCATGTCGTAAAAGGAGTCTGACTGTCGCCTTTCTGATCGCGTCTTTGGAGCAAGAGCTGGAGTCCAAGTGTAACTTGGTGATTTGTCCGATGCCTAGTGGCTTGTACTCCTCTGATCCACTGTCCACCAAATACACAAAGTCGTGGAGGTGGTATGAGTTGTTCTTGTCGTTGACGGCCTTGCGTTGCTTGAGATCACAGCAGATGCATGGCTGAAGAGGGTCTTGTGGTTCACCACTCTCGCATTTGGCCGCATCCTCGAAGGCGCAAAACTTGGGATCGTACAAATATCTGTGCACAAGTCATAATAAGGTTAATAATTAGAATGGGAAAAATTGCTTTTTCTTTTATTTTAGTTTTGTTGGAACCAGACTGTACAGTACAAGACACTTACCGGTAGAAGTACGTATCCTCCTCCTTCAGTTGCGCGGTGGACGTGATCCGCCGGAGCCTAAACTTGCCCATCACAGACTCCAAGTCGACCCTGTCACAGTTGTCCAGCAAGAAGAGCTCCTGCCAGCTCGACTGCTCCATCAGAATGGTTTGCTGCCCTGGCGAGAAGTATCGTACATGGGCCCTCATGTGCTTGAGGTCGTCCTCCTCCTCCTCCTCGTAAAAGTACATCACCTGGCCGAACCAGGTTCCCTTGGCTTCAAGTTTTCCACCGAATCCATCGTCCGACCCTTCCAAAGTATTGTCATCGTCGTCTTCCCGATAGAGACTCTTGCCGCCGCGGTTTCTGCGGACATTTCGTCTGGGTCGATGCAGGACTCCGTCATCGCCAATCTTCATATCACTGCTCATGGTATTTTCATCCTCGGCTTTACCGTCGTCCTCAAAACCCTCCCTGATGAACACATACTCTCCCACCTTGATGGTCTCGCCGTCGATCAAGGCAGCCTCATAGAAGACCCGTGTCCTCCCTGTCAACTCATCAACCTTCTCACCAAGAGCACGATCAAGCCATTCGACAGATTCGGTCTCATCCTTGTAATTATCGGGCTCACTCTGCCGAAATATCCTCTCGGCTTGCTCGTACCCCTCGCCGTAGTAGCCCTCCAACGTAATGGGTATCGACATGTGTGACGTTGGCGCATCGGAAGTAGGAGAGTAAGGGGAGGAGGAGGGGATCTGGTTCCTGACAAGTAACTCTATCCGAGGCGTGATAGATGCCTTGGGTGGCCGTCGAGGGGTAGGGGTCTTCATCTTTGTTGGTTTCGGATTGATGCTGTTTTTGCTGAGGTTGCGGGTAGCTGAAGCGGACGTACTTGGGGAGCTTATTGTTTGAAGTGAAGAGTGGGAGGGGTAGAGTGTAGTGCTGTTGTTGTTGTTGTTGTTGTTGTTGTTGTTGTTGTTGTTGTTGTTGTTGTTGTTGTTGCGAAGAGTAGGTGTCTAGAGGTGTGGCGAGTTGTGGCGAGTTGTTGGAGGAGAAGAAACGAAGACAAGCAAAAATCAAAAGGCGTGTATTTGGGAAATCAAAACATTTTAGTGGCGTCCATGAAGACACCCTGAAAAAAAGCTTTTCTTGTTTTTGTTATATATGCGCTATTTTAAAGATGTTTGTATTCCAAGTCGTGGTTCAAGTCAAAGAACGCTGCCTCGCCAACGCCCTGTCTCGTCAACTCTGACAATGCAACAGTCGCCTGTCGGTACACAGTCTCCAAAGGCGCCGTCGTCGGAAGATGTTGTGAGGCTAAGTATTTCCGTTGTACATAAAACAGTTCAATTAGTACAATCTCCGCTCAACATGACATCATTGAGCACCACATTGTTATTACCCCAGACGACTTACCAAGGATCGCCAGGTTGACCGTACTCGCGACCTTCTCGCGCGAGACAGCTTTGCTTCCAAGGTGGCCTCCTAGCCCGCTGCTCGAGTCTGCGTCCGAGTATGCCAAGACCGAGAACGCATCAATCAGCATGGTCTTAACACAAGACCGCCTATTACTCTTGTACTGCTCCTGCAAAAATTGGCCATACTGGATCGCATTCTTCAAAAGCCCCAACCCCTCCAACTGCGGTGCTCCATCGTTTACGATTACATTAATCTCCGATGGCTTTCCATCAACATCCATCATCGCACTATCAGATCTTCCAGGCTCATGTTGATCCTGCATCTCGACATCCGCCGAGGCCGAAGCTTTGGGGATCTTTGCGAGAGCCTGCTTGTCCAAAGCACGAAGAGGCGACGATGCGGAGGAGACCATCTCCACAAACTTGCGGCATCGTAGCTGAAGAAGCATGTCCTCGTTACTCGTCGTGATTCCAGGATAACTCTCCTCCAGCATAGTCAATGCTTGGTCAATATCTCCCGAAAGGATAGTCTTCCGGATTTCTAATGCGAATTAAACAAAGTTATCAAGAAATGAGTGAACAGAAACTCTTCGCCATGAAATATTCGCATGTGGTTCCATAGAACGATGTGTAAGTGTACCTTTCCGGCGCTCAGTGTCCTGGACCATCGATGCACAGTCAAATTCGCTAGATCCGTGTGTTCCATGGCCCTTTTGATTTGAACTCTGGGGGGCTAGGTCACTAGCAAACTGGCGTGCACTTTCCGAGTATCCGTGGTGGATCATGTAGGACAGAACCAGTTTGCTGAGATTTTGTGAGAGGAAGCCGACTTGGTTCTTACTTGCCGCCTCCTTTTGCAGATTATCCTCTAATGACTGCCATGCTTCCATTTTTTCATCCTGCAATTGTACATTGAAGGATAGATTGAGGTGTTACGGAGATGCGTCTAAATATTACTTGTGGCGGTGAGTATGAGGTCCTTGAAATGCACATATCTTCTTTACCTTGACGTATTCTTCAATGTTGAAAACAAACTCGCGCTGTCCGAAGTTGGCCTCTACAATCTCTCCAGAAGTCCTCATCCCAACAGTCGGATAGAGAGGCCCTTTCAAATTGCGGAAAGCGACACCTATATCACGAATAAAAATATGGTTAGCATGGCATATACCGCAGACCATTCGGTAGCTGACAACCTTAAAAAACAACCACGAAGGGTGCCACATACCGAGATAGATACCGTTCTTTGTGTAAAACAGGGACATGTTCCTAAAGTTGATACCGCATCCAATGACATCTCCTGTCGTGAAAACTGGGCCAAAGGGTCTGCCATTACCACAGCCTTCAAAACCGTTGCCATCGTCTCCGTGGTATCCCCAGGACAATGGTTCCCAACCTACGGGTCACGAGTGTCGTAAGAAAAATGACGTGTCAATCAAGGAAGGCACAAGAGACAAACACCATGAAAAAATAAATATTGCAAAGGGTATTTGAGAACTGAGACCTCCCTTGGTTACAACATACCTGGCAACCGGTCCAAAGCGACATTTGCATTGCATGCACCAATGCCGATGTACCTATTTACAAAGTCACACAAGAAGAAAACGATGTGTTGGTCGAATGATATTTCATGGGCAAGGAACGACAGAATGACGTTGTTATGGCTACTTCAGTGAATAGCTGAAGAACAAAAGGTTACCCTTGCTGACCGTTGCTCTTGATCAGGATCTCGTAGTAATACACCCCGCATTGAGGAGGAATTGGACGGTTGGCACGAATCGCAGACGCATCAGAATCAGCCTTCCCAGGTCCTATATATGTTCAAACGAATACAGCATGTTATTACAGTTTTCCTGCAGTAACAGTTTGCGTGCCCAGGTGACAGACTTCCACTTTTGCAGAATGCACGTTGCTCCATACCTGTATACCGGACCTGCAGGTCGTCCTCTGAAAGTTCGGTCTTGTCAGTCTTTTCAACACTGCTCCAGCGTGATGGAAGGAGATATCGAAGGGGCCGCCCCTCCTTGGACGTGGATGCATGATGGCTGTGGCTGTTGTGGTTGTGGTGTCGACGATGATGGTGATGGTGTGCGATGCTTCCAGATTCGCTTCCGCTGCTGCTTCCACTATTTGTCCCGCTGCTGGTTTCGCTGCTGCCACCGCTGCTGCTCTCTTCACAGCTGCTGTCACTATCCGTCAGGAGATGGGTCGAGGCGCGCCGTCTATGATCACCCAGCAGGAGTCGTCGTCGTTTTGAAGACTCGCGATCGGTGGGTGAAGTGAGGGGTCCGTTAGTGAGAGAGGTTCCCTCTGGTTGAAAGTGCTGTACAAATGTTGTGTGACGCAGATAAGACGGAAGAGTGGCCATCCTAGACTGTTTCTCGATCGAGGGAGGAGACAATGTGGAGGCACGGTTGGGCATGGACGCTTTCTTCAGAGTTCCAAAGGTTATGACACGGGTTCGACTGGAGTCCTCGCGTTCTGGCAGTGGGATGGCAGCGCCCTGGCGGTGAGGGTGCTGTTGGCTGGCACGGTTTTGGGCGGTACGGAGGGGCAGCTGAGGATAATGACGCACAGAAGGAGCCACGTTCAAGGAGGTTTGCTCCACATCCGACATCCTTGAATCGATAGGTCTCGTTAAGGTGACTTCTGCGGATGAAACCGAGTCGACAGACGTCGCCGAGGCCGCGGACGATGCGGCAGTTGTCAAGGTTGTGGCTGAAGAGGCACCCGAAGAGGAAGTAGCGATTGTGGTAGGTGGACGTGAGATTGGACGACGGACGGCGTGGATAAAATTGTGAACCATGCTGGTGTCGTTCTCTGAGTCAGCCTCGTGGTCTTCGTGAGTGAGGCGGTCAGTTCCTCTGCTGTTCTCACGCTGTGCCATTGCAAGTGGTTGTAGTAAGAGTATGAATGCAGTAGTGTGTGTCTGTTTGCTTCGACTGAAGGTGGTGCTGCTGTCACAAAAGGCGAAGAAGGTCAGGACAGTAGGTCGAGAGAAGGATGTTGCGTGGGGGCTGAATGGGATGACGCTGACGAACAAACAAATGACGAGTGCGACAATGACAAGTAGGCAGAAGAACCTGTTGTTATTTGCAGGTAGCTGGTGATGAGAGTGAGTGAGTTTGTTGTTCTTGTTGTTACTGTTGTTGTTGTTGCTGTTGTGATGGCGGTTGAAGAGAGTGATGGAGAAAGGAAAGGGAGGGAAGGAAGAGGACTGAGTCTTCTTCTTCGTCTCCTTGCCATGAAACCTCTTTGGAGGAAAAAAAAAAAAAACAGTCCCGCCACAGTCTTTCATGATGAATATGAAGTGCTTCGAGGGCAAAGCAACGGCGGTTGAAAAATGAAAAGTGGCTCCTTGCCTGGTGGCATATCCCTCATATTCTTGGCAGCACTGGATCTCGGTCGTCGCGCTTTTATTATGTCCTATTACTATTACTCAATCTCCTGCTCTCCAAGAGTCGATCTAACTTTCTCCGCCTCTGGGTTGGGTTGTCACGCATAATCGAGCTATGTCCGCCATCCAGTCATCCTGTCCTTGTGCTCCAGTATCGCCTATGGCTGCAGCCAGAATCTCCGACTTCATTCTTTCCTCCAGTATCATTGTATTCTCACTCCTATATCCTTCAGCATGTCGACGGTCGAATGTCTAATAAACAGAATTATGCTTGTGCTATCGTAAAGTCAGGAGAACAGAGAAAAAAAAGAGTCCATCGTTCTTTCTTCGCTTTCCCTCCCTCCCTCTTTGTTCTTGACGTTGTTTCCTCCTTTTCTTTTCTTCTCTTTTCATCTCTTCTCCACTATGAAGTCAACCATCAACCCTCGCACAGCAACTGAGATGGAGGGAGGGAGAGCGAAGCCTTTATATACAAATGACAAGTCTTATCACCATGCTTGTAGAGGATCGTTCTGGTTGAGGTTCGGTCTGTCGTTGAACTGAACGTGAAGTAAGAATGCATACGATGTATCCAATGTGACTGTTTTAATCATGGACACACCAGGTTGCTGGCTGGTTGATCGCGAGGGGTTGTGCTCTCTCTCATTCCAACTTCATCGCTACGCCTCGTCTACTACCACCTTCTCTGTCGTAAACACCATCACAAGTCAGGAGAGGATGTCGACCGTCAAGCTCAATCTCAAGAATGCAAAGGAGGCCATCGTCGCCAAGAAATACGACGACGCCCTCAAATGGACAGGAAAGGTCCTCGACACCGACTCCGAGAACTATATGGCGTAAGGACAACCTCGCGTTTTTCTTCCAATGGAACCTGACTTGACAAGTCCACAGCTTCGATCGAAATAATCGCATAATTTCGCGCTTTTGTTTGCGGATACGGTGACAATGCAGTAACCTCTTAACTCAATTCCTACTTCTCGCACTTCACACTGTCTTGTAGACTCGTGTTCTCAGGATTGGCGCACCAGAACTTGGGCCAGGCCGATAAGGGAGAGATGGCATTCAAGAGAGCGATTTCCGTCAGCCCCGAGCTTCCACTTGCTCGCGAGGTATGCGTTGATCCAATGAACAAAGATCGACCCTTCAAGCATGCGAATCTAAGCCGCAGTCGACTGACTCTCCCTTGCTCCCTCTCGAAATCTTTAGGGCTTGATCAACTTTTACGACAAAATGAAAAAATGGGACGAGCTCATACTGGCGCTGGAGAAAATGCTGGAGACACACCTCAAGACGTAAGGACCTGTGTTTATTTTGTTCCTCAGCAAAAGGAACGTCAGCTGTATGCGCCGCTCAACGGCTGACCGTTCTCAAACTTACTCGTTGTTCAACTATAGTCCAGATGGCAAGAAGGCGTTGGTTACTATCGAGAGACTGATTGAACTCTACACTACTCAGGAACAACCGGACAAGGCCATTGAGAAGATCCAGACATTATTGCCAGGAAGCTCACTCTACGACATCCTTGAGGAGAAACCAAATCAGATGGAGACATTGAGAAAGCTGGCAGAATTGCAGGAGAGGACCGACAGCGAGTTCTTCGATCGGGAAGTCAGACTGCGTCGCGGTCGACTTGGCGGTGGAACTCTGGAGCAGGTGCAAAACACCGTGCGGAATGAACTCTACACCAAGTCAGAGGTAACACATTATTTCGAGTTCACAACAGCTCAACACACCGTTCAAAGTCAAAACGCGATATCCAATTAATTCTTTCTACGTGTTTCGACGAATAGCTAGGATCAACATACGAAGCTATCTTGAAACTGGACCCAGAGAACAATGGCGATCTGGAACAAAAACTGCTTACTTTCTACATCAACAAGACAGAGGCTATCTCGGTAGACAAAAAGGCTGGTATTCGTGACAAGGCACTGGAGTTGGCATCCAAAATGGTTCGGGAAGATTCTGCACCGGCACTTGCCTACGAGACGCTGCTCAAATTCACGGACGCAGCAGCCCCTTCAGAATATGACAAGGCTCTTCAGGAACAGTATATCTCCAACTTTCCTAACACTGGTCTCTCAAAGTTCATCCAGGCGCAGATGCATTTTGACAATGGAGAGTCGAGGGAGGACCTGGTCGAGATTCTGGACGAAGGCTTTAAGCTGGAGCCAAACCTTGTGTATGGATATCTCGTTGTCTGCTGGATGGACCACGAGGCCAAGGACTATGATTCAGGACTGGAACATGCCACTGCCGGCAGGGTTCTCATTCAGAAGTTAGCCGCCTCCTCCGGTTTCCCTTTTTCAAGGTACCGCAACTGAATTCTTTGTACGCCAACTTCGCAGGACCGCCTAATGAAGACGGACTATTACTCACATTGGATCGCGTTTCCTTCTTCTTAGAATGCGTCGCTCGTTTGAGCTCTGCATGGCCAACTGTCAAGTCAAGATCAGCTCAAAGCTCGCCGAGAGCGCGTTGGCGCTTTATGAAGGAATCATTAAGGAGGACAATGGCAACATCGATGCCCACCAGGTATGGGCCTCAGTATCGCTCGATAGACTTCAACCCAGTAACTTATTTTTTTTTTGCCACCAATTCTAACTCGTCACTTTACTGCTCATAGGGTATCGGTCTTGTCAAATCCGCAGATGGACACTATGCAGAAGCGATTGCATCGTTCGAACGAGTTCTCGCGCTGGACCCCAACAACATCTCTGCCAGGTCTGAATTGGGCTGGATCGCCTATCTTCAGCAGGATTACGAACAGGCGGAGAGGAGGCTCAGGGATGTCGTCGAGACATCAGAGGAACCTCGTGCTCTTGACTTGTACCGCCTCGGACGGACTTACTATGACATGGGTGGTAAGTTGCGCTGCTGCATAAAGAACCATTTCAATTGCTGGTTAAAGAGAATGAACTACGATTATCTGACAATAGCACTTGAATGATATGATTAGGCGAATATCGGGAGAACGCAGAGTACAGTCATGCTCAGCTTATTGCCGCTGCCAAGTTGGACCCCCATTGTGCAGGTGCTTTCACATACCTTGGGCACTACTATCGGGAAGTTGTTCAGGATGAGACGCGTGCGGAAAAGTGTTACCAACACTCCTTCTCGTTGGACCCCCGTGAGAGTGATGCCGGACTTCACCTGAGTGACTACCTCTTGAACAACGACAGCTTGGAGGGCGCAACGGATGTATACCAGAAGGTCATCGAAGCTAATGGCAAGGCCAACTGGGCTTTGAGCAGACTGGGATTCGCTGAGCTGAGCCGTGGCAACAACCTGGAGGCCATGAGCGCGTTCCAGAAACTTTTGCGCAACGACATCAAGGACGGTCTGGCTTGGGAGGGTGTTGCTGAGGCCTACCAGCATGAGGGTCGTTACATGGCCGCTCTAAAGGCGTTTACCAGGATGAGGGAACTACTCCCGGAATCGACCGTCGCCGCGTACCACATCTCTCGTGTGCATCAGAGACTTGGTATGTACCCAGAGGCTATTGAGCAGTACCGCGTCGCTCTCGAGTCTGCAGAGAGGAACCAAGAACCGCAGCATATCCCATCCTTGATGGGTATGGCTGAGAGCTATCTGGAGCAGGGCAAGGAGTTCTTTGTGTCCGGTTACTATGGTCGTTCTGCAGAGTCTTGCGGGCATGCACTGGACTATGCCCTTCAGCTCCTGAACTTGGACAATGAACTCATATCTGCGTGGAAGTTGGTCGGAGATGCTTGTGTTGCTTACCGTGCTGTGCCAAAGTACTTGCACCTCTGCCCCTTCGATGTTCTCTCGGGAGTCGCCTCCATTGTGCCCGCTGAGACCAACACACTCCTCCACTTCCCCGCGGAACTCGACCAAGAACTCTTGGAGACTGCCCAGACGAACCCACCAGCGGATCTTTACAACTCTACAACGGACCAGAGCTCACATGCATTGGACGTGGTCTTTGCGATCGCAGGAATGGCGTACAAGAGAGCCAACATCTTGAACGGAAATGAGGGACATCAGGCGTCGCACTGCTGGTACGACATTGCGTTGACCTACTACTACCGCTATGAGAATGCCACTAGGAAGAACCGTTCCGCTGAAGCTGCCGGCCGTGCCAACCTCTGGCTTTCGGTCGCCATGCGCTGCCTCAAGGCCTCGCTGCAGTTTGAGGAAGAGAGCCCCATGGTCTGGAACGCCCTTGGAGTTGCCGCATTGACCACCAACACCAAGATCAGCCAACATGCCTTCATCAAAGCCATCGAATATGACCCCAAGGTACTATATATGTGGAGCGTGGTTATTATGTTGTCTGGTATATTTACTCCATGACGAGTACTAATTAGCACGTCCAACTCTTGTTCATAGGATGCTGCACCATGGTCGAACCTCGGATTCTTGTACATTCTTAACTCGGAACTGGATCTCGCCCTTAAAGCTTTCACAACTGCTCAGACTCTAGACCCTTCCTTTGCTCAGGCATGGACAGGACAGGCGTGTGTGGCTAGCCTTTGGGGAAGCGATGAGTCGACGGCACTGTACGCCCATGCTTGCGAGTCCAGTACTGCCTCAGTCCTGGAGGCCAACTACGGTTACGCTGTCAACACCTTTACCGACATGCTGACTCGCCTTCACAAGACCAGCACCGCATCGACTTCTGGCAACAAGAAAGGAGCATCCACAAGCGCTACCAGCTTGCTTGTCACTCCGGCTTTCGCCTTGTCCAAATACTTGGATCAGCGCCCTAGAGATGTTGCAGGCTGGAACTTGTTGGGTCTGATGCGTGAGAGGTTCTTGCAGCCCGAAGGAGCAGCAGAGTGTTTCTTGACGGCGATCCGGATCATGAACGAGGAGGAGACTGAGGATAGCGAGGCATCCTTGAGTAACGATCACAGGAGACGCAAGATGATGTTGCATCACAACGTGGCTCGTGCGTTCTTGTCGATGCAGGATTATGCCGGCGCCGTCGAGGCTTACGAGATTTCGTTGGAGCTGGAGGGACCCGATGCTGTGCCGAGTGTGGTCAGGACGTGCAAGCATCTCGGAGCAGGACTAGCGCTGTACTATGCTGGAGAGCTGGAGCGCAGTTTGCAAATGTTTGAGGTTGCGCTTGGTGAGACTGAGCAGATCGCGGGCATGGAGCAGTCTCGCGATGATGTAGTTGTGCTGTTGAGTCAAGTTCTGTGGGCTTTGGGTGGTGACGAGCAACGTGCAGCGGCCAAGGACGAGCTGTTTAGATGCATTGCCCAGTCTCCCAGCCATCTTCCTGCGATCTTTGGACTGAGTGCGATGGGTCTGGTCCAGGACGATGAGACATTGGCGACAGCGGCATTGAAGGAAATCTTGAAGTTTTCGAGGCAGGAGCTGGCAGAGATGGATCCCGAGTTGCGGTCAGACAAGATGATCAGTCAATACTACTCGCTCTTGAATGAGTCCAAGCTGTCGATCGAATCGTTGTCAAAGTCGATCCATCAGTCACCAACAGAGGCAGTGCTTTGGAGACGACTTGCCGAGCACCTTTCGACGACGATCGGAACCACAGGTTCGACACCATACTCGGTCGCACAGTCTAACGCTCAGGCTACATTGGATCTCCTCAAGGTTCGGGATAGTCTTCAGGCTTCGGATCTGTCGAGAGGGTATGGACATCTGGCGGGCACATTGCTGTTGGCGGATGAGGAGAAGCAGCAGAAGGTTCGCGGATGGAAGAATGTGAAGAAGGAGAAACTGGATGAGGAGCACCGTCTGAGCCAGGAGCGGTTGAACCAGGCTCACGTGATGGCACAGCATAGTGTTATGGCGGCGCCTTGGCGGCGGGAGGCGTGGCAGGTTGTTGGTGTTGTTACGCAGGAGCTGCAGCAGCGTAGTTAGGATAAGGGTATTTATTTATTCTTCGATTTCTAAGGTTGATGGCCTGTGCGCTGATTATGGCACAAAAGAAAAATGTGAAAAAGACTTGATGGCCCAAGGATTCAACATGTACACGCCTTGATGCTGATGTGGTTTGGAAAGAGGAAGGAGGAGGAATTTGAAGGTGGTCATTTGTCCTCCCCTTGTCGTTCGTTTCTCTCTTGCGCTCCTTGTGCCACCCCCCTCAATCTAAACAGAAGTTTGCTGCAAAACGTCTTATTCCCTAGGCTGGTTTCGAGCCTACTTATCCCCGAAATAACCATCCACTCTATCCGCGACCTTGTCATCCGACTTTGTTATCCATGTCTTTCATGTAGTTCGAGCTCACCTTCCATCCCGACACAGCTCGTCCTTTCAACAGTTGACAATGAGGGTCTGCAGGCGCTTCAACATCCACCAAAACACAATCGCGAAACCACAAAAAGAAAAAAAAAAAAAAAAAAAAAGAGGAAAGGGGGATCTCAGTCAGCACGAGGAGGAACACATTTTTTTTAATGTGTCGCGATATATAAAGGCAAAGGTTCATTGGGCGTGTTCATGGAACGACCGGCCTACATGTCGATCCCAACGTAGGGCAAATCAGGATCCCGACTGACAGCAAAATCACCAATGCATGGAGTTATCTCGTGGCGACCAACCAAGTTTTTGCAGAGTACGAAAAATGTTCGGCTTTGCCCCTCCCTCTCCCCCCACACCTGTTCAGGGGGCACATTCAGCTTGGACATTTAACAACAACAGAATCCTACGCTGCTTTAGTCAAACTTTTATCACTGCCGCACATCACCCTGATCTTCATGGTGCCCGGTTCAGGAAATGCTATCCAGAATCTGCTGATTGGGGGGGTTAATTTGGTCCAACTGGCGAAAGGGGGATTCGTCCACATAAAAGGGTATCCTCTGGAGAGGAGAGTCATCGAAACGCCAACTAACACGTCAGCCGAAAGACCCGTGCGAGGAATATGCCATTGTTCATATGGAGACGTTGGCAGAAGCTGTCGCTCCTTGCCCGGTTAATGAACTGAATCAAATCGTTCAGGTGCTGTTGAAGGGGTTTGTATGATTTTTTTTTAATATATGACAGACGACTCTCCTGAGAGAACAAGGACGTTATCATCGAAGTTCGCGAGCTGGTCGAGGAGGATACTGCGACGACTTGACAACAAGGAATGCTTGGAGCTTCGCGAGAACAGGCTGGAAGTCGAGAAAGAAAATTCGCAGGTGGATGTGGCAAAGTTGTAGAGGGATAGATGGACAAGCAGATGGACAGGACAAGCAGATGGACAAAAAATCTGTGCGCACTTTTTCAGTGGGCCAATCAATTTCGTTCACTGCATAGGCGAACAAAGTCGTGTTGGATGGAGGCCAGGATGGGTCATCTAGTCGCTTTGCAACTAGAAGAGCACCTTAGAGCAAAGTCTCTCGCTGGTGTCTACTAATGCTGTATTGTCAAGGCACCTCTTGTGGATATGGCCATGTGGTTTTTAAAAGAAAATCATGTTTTTTGGATTGAAGATCATCAAAAGATGGTATAAAGACGCGTAACAATGTCGCCTAGTCAACGATTAAAAATCAATATTGTCGTTTTTCACACTTTTGGGTTTTTTGACTCTTGTCCATTAACATGGATTTGTAGTATTTGATCTCAGGAACATGTCAGTACAGTTTTAATGAGATTGGTGAGGAATTAGGCGAGTAAACGAAGAAAGACAATCTTCAACATTCCCAAAAGTGATCTAGGTGAGCCATCCTTTTCTTCCACCCTTCAATATGAATTTATTTCTCTATCTGAATAATAGCTATGGGTTACAAGTGTTAACGTAGGGTCCCCAGAAAAAGAGTGAGTGCGTTGAGGAACATGTCGTAGTCTATAGTGGAAGAGAATAAACAAAGGAATAAAGAGAAAAGATTAGAGCAACAGAATAGATACATATCTATATATGGAGAGAGAGAGAGAGAATCACTTTATTTCAAGTCGTGTACTACTTTGTTATATCTACTGCTGTCCTTCTTTTTTAGGACGACAGCATCCATGATCAACCAATTATTCGAGAAGATGAACAGTTTCCTCGTTCACAATGGCGTCTCGAGAATAACGAGAGAAGGACTCCACTAGAGAACGAAGGCGATCGTGCATACGATTTTGTTCACGCTCTTCTTTAGGAGTCTCGTCTCGCTTGATATACACTTACTTGAAGTCCAAAACGGTCGTGGGGACGGTAACGGTTCTCGGAACATAGAAGTTGTTGTTGAGCGGAAGGCGAAGATTGCCAGGGAGCTTGCGTATGACCATAACGATGTGCTTGCAAAAGGCACTTGGCTGTTGTTTTTATTGTTTTTGTTTTCTGCGAGGGCCGCGTTTTGTGCGTGGAAAGCCCTTTAATTATGGAGACCGTTTTCAGCCCCTCGAAAGAGAGTTTATTGTTCACACACCCTTGAAGCAAGTATGAGGGGTGAGGGCAAGAAGATGACACAGCCATCGACTCAATTATTTCTGACTGTTCCTCCTCGGAGAAAACGTACTTTCTGCGCGTAGTGCTCATGATAGACTTTTGTTTGCAAAGTTAATTGCATGGAACAGCAACACACAACATCAACCATATCACAATTAGAACATGGCAATGCGCCAAAGAGTTGTTCGCTGAATATCATCCGGGCGAGTTCTGAGACATGCAAAGTACACAGAGACAATGACACACCCAGGGGATACTTTTCTCTGAGCTATTCGGTTGATGTCTGTGTCTTCTAGAATTCTCAGCCAACATGCCAGTTGGAGTCGAATACGTGGGTAGCTGCGGATAGATAAAAATGACAAGATGTTCGAGGCACACAATAAAATTTGTGAGCGGGCTAGTCAAACGAAGAACGATCCGACCCTCATTGCCGAGGGTTTCCCTTCTTCTGTTTTAGATGGATTGGCCTGGTCTCTCTTTCTCGCCGTCTGTGCTTGTGGTGGTGGTGGTGGCAAAAGGACAAATGCAGATGCAGGGCCAAATGATGACAAAAAAGAAAGAAAAAAAAGTGCTCTCAAAATTGCAGTCGAAAAAGAAAGCTGTTTTATGGACCCAAGCACAACTCCAAGAATGAAAGGGAGGGAAGGAAAGGGAGGAAGGGTGATGATGATGATGATGACAGGCCAATTGAGAGCCAAGAGAAGGAAGAAAGGCTAAGGTGAGTGAGCGGGAGAAGAGAAGAGGAGATGGGTTGAGTTGAGATGTGAAGGAGGGGGAGGGAGTTCTTTTTTTGTTCTCTCTTTTTAAAACTACGGCGACTAGTGTTTTTGGGGGCACAGCCCACCTTCGTTTTCTTTACTCTCATTCGGTTACTTTCAGCATTTCGAGCGGCTACGCCTCAACTCAATGGGGGTGTCCCGCCATGTATATTTCCCCTTTTGATGTCTAATCAAACCCCTGGGACGTTTCGCCTTTCGGGATCTCACTCGAACACCAACGGACGGGTCCTTGTTGAGGACAAGGTAAAAATATGCTTGCTTGTGCACTTCATTCCATCTCTCTCTCTATTATATCATTCCTTTCTTTTCTCTTCTTCCTTTCCTTCCTTCCTTCCTTCCTTCCTTCCTTCCTTCTCTCTTTCCCTTCCTCTCATTCATCCTTCCCTCCTCCTCCCCTTCCCTCCCCTCATTTGTTTTTCGTTATTGTTATCTGTTTTGCATTCTTGCTTCTTTGCCTTTTTATCTCAGGCTTCACGCTTCACGCTTCATGCTTCACACCTCACATCCTACAACTCTCATTTTTTATATATATCTGTTCCTCTGTTCACTTCTGACCGTTATTCCACTTTCAACATCAATCCGTAACGAGCAACCTTCTCACCGTCAGTTTCACCCAACACGACCACACTCCTCCACTGTTTCTTTACACTGTTTCAAACATCTCACAGACCTTTCTCTCCTCCTATCATCAATGGCAGGCAACATTAGCCAGCGCTCAGTAAGTGTGTTCTCTACTCTCTTCTGTTCACCGTTCAGGAAGTGTGGAAAAGAAAAAGAAAAAAAGACCATCGAGAAATAACCTGGACGTTGTCTCGGTAGAAAGTAGACACACATTTTCCTCTCGTTCCTTCTTTTTTTTTGTGCGCACGGGAGCTAAAAAGGGGCTCCGTCTGTTAAAAAAAAAGGGAAAAAAGAAAAGTTTTGAGAGAAACTAGAAAACGGCAGCCATTGTTCAACAGCCTGCCATTTCCTATCGACGGTTCTGGCATGAGCAGTAGCAGTAGCAACAGCAACAAAACAAGAACAACACCAATCTTCTAGTTTTCAATGCCAATCACTCCATCAATCATACCGTTCATGCCGGTTCCCTGTTCTTTCTGGCGCATATTTTCTATTTTGAAAATGAAAAAATGCGCCGTGCCGTGCCTCGCCTTGTCATTGAATGGCGTAGGGATGTATGGGCTGTGTGTGTGGGAGTAATGGTGTGAAGGACAAAGATATGGGACCAGTGCGTGCAATTGTCGGGCGGGAAGAGAAAGTAAGAAAGAAAGAAAGAGGGGGTTTTCTCACAGGGGGTGTTGGACCGAAAACAAAAGACATCAGCGACTGACTTCTTAATTTTATTTTTTCTCCTCTTCTCTTCTCCACTTCCCTTCTACTCGTTGCTCTCTCTCCCTTCCTTTTTCCCTTTTCCTTGTCCTCCGCCTCTCTTCCTTCTCTCTCTCCACCTTCCCCTCGCCTCTGTCCTCCTTCACACCTTGCACGCCCTACTTTTCCATCATTCTCTCCTCTCAATCATTCACTCTCATAATCAATTTCACGTCTCTCTCTCTCTCTCTTTCTCTTCCTCACTCCTCCGTACCAGGTCACCTACTTACCTGCGGCCCACACCCCTCAGGGACAACAACAAGAACATCAACAAAAGGACTTCTACCACACCACTCCAAACCAACCCGCCTTCGCCGATCCACTCTCTTCCTCCCCTCCACCCTCCTCCTCTTACTCCTTCACCTCTTCTCCTTCTGCATTCAACACCAACACCAACATGTACAGCAACAACAATAACAATAACAACTTTAACGATGACAACAGTGGCAACAGTAGGAGTCAGCAGGCCAATATCAACAACTATCAAAGTAATAACAACACCCCCAATATCACTCGTCAACCAACACAACAACAAAGAGAGCAGCTCCAGCTGCAGAGGCAACATCAGGAACTACTCCAGCAACAGATGCAGGCCGAGGACTCCCTGCGTCTAAACCTCCAGAACGACTCCCACCGTCGTAACCAACACCCGGCCGCACGGCAAGACAACGACAACAACGGAGTAGCAAGTGGTGAACCTAAACCCCCAGGCTATTTTTCATACCCACCACAACCTCACCACGCCGACTCTTCCCTCACCACCACCTCCTCCCCCGACAGCCATGAAGACGCCACCTTCAGGACGCGCCTCCGCCGGCTCTACAGGTTCCCTTGCTCAGTCTACGGCAAGAGCCTTATCGGAGTCATTGGAGTCGAGGCGCTGCTGGTCATTATAATGCAGGTCGTGATTGTCGTCCTGTATTTTGACAGCCTCGTCGACGACCCTTTGCCACCACCTTTCGATGGCCCCAATGCAGGCGTATCACTGCCGCCGTACCTTGATACCCGGAACCAGTCGCGTGCTATCCCTGCCTACCTCATCGTCTTCGTCTTTGCGCAGCTCTTCCAACTCGTCTTTACCTGGGACGCTGTAAGTTTTTCTTTTGCGTTTCTGCATCTATTGAATAATACGTTATGATGGATGGATGTGGATGTTACGAGCATGCGACAACATGATGCGGCTCAGAATGTCCCAATGGGCATATCAATACACGCCGCCAGTTCTCAATTAACACATGCTCTTTTTTTCCCTCCCCTCTCTCCCTCCACTTGTGTTTCTCTTTCATTTTCATTGTTGTTGTTTGCCACCTATGACCGACTAGGTTCGAGCACAAAATACCATCCAATTGATTGGAATCGTCCTATTCAACCTCTGCTGCTTTGTCTATTCGATCTTTGAGATTTCACAGATCCAGAGATCGCTGTCTGATGCAGGAGAAAGAGGCTTCTTTGAGTCCAAGCCAGGAAAGACATCGTCGGAGGTTGCCATGAATCTGAACACTTCTCTGCAGCCGTTCTTGATCGTGATGGTTTGTGTCTTTGGCATCACGCAGTGTCTTGTCACCTGGCTCGCTTATCGACTTTTCCAGGAGTTCGGATGGAAGATTTATAAAAAGATTGGTGCTGACCCCAATATCAAGAGTAAGTTGAACAAGTTAAGGCAGTGCACAATTTGTTATTGTTACTAGCGCTCTGTGAGTCTATGGTGTGCATTGTTGGTTGAGCTGGTCAGGAGGTTTATGAAATGGAAAGAGAAAAAAACAAGGAAAACAGGGGGTTGTGTAGGTTGTGCGTGGAGGGTACATGGAGCAGAGTCATTATTGGAAAGTGCCGAAGGAAGGAAAAACTATGTCGACTGACGTCTAGACAACCCTGCATTTGCTCTCTCCTCTCTTTTATTTAGAAATGTACCGTGCATACCAAATATACCTGGTCTTGATCAAGGTCGACCTGTTCTTCTTTGTCGGCTTCTCGATCCAATTCATCTACCTGACTCTGACGCGGCGGTCCAACGACCCAGAGTACTGGCTCACCATCATCATCCTGCCCGTGACGATCCCAATCCTCTACATCGCCATCTACGCCGTTCGACACGAGAGCCGCAAATGGATGGCGGTCTTTTTCACGACCATGTTGGCCGGCGTCGTCTACTTTGTTTACAAGATTGTCCGCATGTACCACGGCGAGAAGGTCCCCATCTACGAAGGCGTCGTCCGGTTCCTGACACTCTTTGGTAAGTTTCTTTTTTTTTTTTTTTTTTTTTTGTCGACACTCTCATTTTTGTCGATATCTCCAGCTCTGCTCGTTCGAGAGACTTCATTGCCTAACAGCTTTTTTTTCTTTGATTTTCGAATCTTCTAGCTTCGTTGTGCCTGATCGCTATCCTGCTGACGATTGCCAATGCAGCGGTCTGCTACCTCAACTTTGGACGCGGTCTCAAGGCCCATCTCATCCGTGACGGACCTCCTTCCCCCAACGCTGGCACATCCTCTACCGGCGGCCGTGTCATGGAGATCGACTAAACCCCTTTCACCCACATACACAGGCTCCCTACGTTACCATCTACCATCTTATTTAACCCCCCCCCCCCCCCCCCCATATACCACCTAATTAAAAGCCTACGAGCCACTTCAGCACCACCATTCTAAAAGGACAAGTAATGTTGAGAGGATTGATCATCTATGTCCATGTAGATTATAGCAAGGATCCTTTTCCTACATGGGCATTCATGTAATGTGTGAGTGTCTTAAAAAGACATCCATATATTAGTAGCCGACATGGTCTGTTCAAGAAGACGGCAATACGTATCAGAGAAACTGTAAGCGAATGAAAAGGGAATAAAATATTTACAAATACAGAAAGGAATGTGGAAAGAGATGGAGTGTCGAAAATGAAAGGTTGGACGTGGAGAGTAGCGTGTGGGAAGTGAAGTGGAAAGTACAAAATAGAAATGAATGACCACTACGACTGTGGTTCACACATTCGCAACCTCGTTCAAGTGGACCCTCGGAGGTGAGGTAATGTCCCACCAGTCCTCCTTCCATACCTGTTGACATACTCATCCTCGTCCCCGTCTGAGTCTACATCCTCGCCGCTCATATCCACATCGCCCTCATCTTCAACTTCAACTTCATCCCCATCCTCTCCGCTTTCTACATCGTCGATATAATTCTCCTTCCTACGCTCAGATTGACGCTCGCGTTTGGGACCACGAGTTGAAGGCGTGACCCTATCGTCCTCGTCCTCGCTCAGAGATTCGACCTCCCACACACGACCCCTTTTCACTTGAGCAGCCGCGCGCCGGGGTTGTTCTCTGGACGACAGTTTTGGTCCCATGTCTTCCAAACCATCCTGTTTTTCTCCCAGTATTGAGTGCAACTGTTTTCGTTGTGATCGACGCTGCCCATTCTTTTGTTCACCCAGGTCTGTACCCACATCGACTCCAGACACATCCTCGCCCCCGCGTTTCCAATCATGGCCATTCCTCTGTAACCGCCGCAGTGGTCCGTTTGAGTGTTTTCGCCCTGAATCCCGGCAGTCAGCACAATTGCCTAAACAACGAGGAAAGACAACGCGTGCACGGTGAGAATTAATTTCGTCCGCAAATGGTTTCTTTCACGGAACGACAGATAAACAAGAGTTACGCATCACTGTAAAAACTTACAGACTTTACGACAAACGGGACACAACCAGTTCTTTGTGAACTTGTCAGTGTTCATGTTGAGCTGCCTCTTCAAGCACAAGCAATGGAATCGTTGCTCGCACCTAGAGCATGAGATCTAAAAGAATCAGAGAAAAATCAGATGAAAGGGTAATCAGCGTAAGGAAAACAATCCAACCATGCCACGATCTATTTTTGCCCTTCCACAAATAAAACAACATGTCCTCGTCCTTTACTTTTCTAGGCAATCAAAAAAAACATCCCCAAGTTTGCTTACCCACCCAGACCTCATATACTTTGCACACAAGTGACAATGATTCACGCGTCCCGCTTCCAAGAGTTTCGCCTGTCGTTCTCGGCCCTTCTTTGGTAGAACCTCAACTGGTCGTTGTCCCGTCTGATCGCGGCTGTATAAGATGCGTCGCGATGATAACTTCCTAACATCTTCCTTGACCCTCTATTTGAACAACCATAGCAAAAACAAAACCACCAAAGTAATATATCAGCCAAAGTAATATATCAGTTAGAATAATGGTCAGAATAAGGAAGGAAGAAATGGCTCACTTTGGTGGTTTCTTGGGCGGCTGGACGAGAGGTCCGACGAGACATGGAGATATGCTCAAAGACAAAGCGCACAGGTTGAGATGGTGGCCGAGTCGAATTGGACATTTTTGATTTGTAAAACTGTTCAAGGGCGTCGACTTCCTTGCTCGTCAGGAGTTTGTTGTTACTGCGTCGTGTGGGGGGCGCCGGGGTCTACATCAAATAAGCAGTTGATAGATGACGTATTAGACTAGTTGTGCTCCAGTTGGTTTGTTCGCTGCTCGCAGAAGGAATGGGTATGAAGAAGCGTATACTGAAAGGCGTGTAATATGCTGCTGAAAAACAGGGATCCCAATCCATGATTCGTCACCAAAACACCACCCCAACGCGTTTTTCCCTTAGATCTGTTCCTGACAGTGACACTGACTATTGGCACGAAAAGGCTGAGTGAGCTTATTGTTTTGATAGGTGATCGTTACCTTTGCGTCAAAGAGTTGTGCCTGGTTCTCGAGAAGATTCTTCTCCATCTCCCTCTCGTGCTGCGGCCGCAACAATGCTACTTTGCCTGCCATTGTGGAGCGTCGGTCGTTGTTTAGTGAATGCTGTGTACTGTGATCTTGTAGCAAAAAAGCAAAGTGCGAGATGTATGGTGTGTGTGCAGAAGGTATGAGGAGAAATTGCTGGCAGCGCGGTGCAGCCTTTATTGAGACTCTTGGGTTGGGCAAACGAATGGCAAGTCACAAATTCCTTCTAGGCCTCGGGAGCGCCCCCCGTCATTTCGCCTTCTTTGCCTTCAACCCATCAAAACCTCCAACCCAGCACACATCCAACAGCACATCAACAAACAGAAACCATGCGCCCATTCGTTCGCAAGTCAAGCAAGCGTGCCGTCGTCGCCGTCGGGCTCGCCGTCGGTACCGCCTACGTCCTCGAAGCACTCAAGATCAAAAAGAAGGCAAGCCATGGACTCTATTTTTTTTGTTTTGTTGGGTGCACCCAACACTTGTAGCATTCCAAGCGTTTGTGACATTCCGCAGCTAACCCACTTTCACACCTATTGCGTTTTGAATGACTTTAGGAGGAGCGCTTCTCGGTCATTATCGAGAGCGAGTCTAAGCTGTGGCAGGGAGCATGACAGCCCAAGGAACCCTAGCTGCTCTTTTTTTTGTCCTTTCTTATTCAGGTTATTTTTGGACAAACGGGGAGAGCAGGATCGGGAGCACTTACACAGGACAGGAAGAACAGCATTAGACGACTAATGCAGCTCTATGCACATTCCCTTCCTCCTTCACACTACAACAACCGACTGGACCAACACCTTTATACCTTCTTTTTTTCCCTCCTTTCAACCACTCTTTGCACATATTACTCTTCTTTTCAGCACATACAGCACTTATATCTACATATTTTCATCAGGAAGGAACAGCCCAAGGGCGTCAGGGGGGTCAATGGGAGAAGTGTTCTCCTGAGATCTTCAGGATACAGATTGGAGGAAGGGTTCTTTCTGTCGGGAACCAACCCAATTTTTTTTTCATGATAGACTTTTATACACTCTCGACAAACCACCCTTTTGACCTCCTTCACCATCCGTTAATAAATGTCCCTTTCCTTCGCAAATCAACACCTTGCCGTTCATTGAACTTGAGCAGACTGACGGGTTGTTTCAAGTAGCCCCTAAGAAGAAAGAGTAATGATGAAAAGGATCAGGAACTATGCTATCCTAGCCCTGCCAGACGACATTGGCCGCTGCAGCAGCACTTTAGCCAGCCCTGCAGGGAAAAAAAAAAAAAAAAAAAAAAGACTACATGAAAAGAACAAAGTGACCCTTGTTCTCCATGCACCCAGATTTTCCTTTTTGAGAACAAAAGTTTCATAACCAGCCAGGTCTCTTCTTTGTGGAATCCAGACTGGGCTCCAGGGGGGGAGGGGGTATAACCGCTCGTTTCACAGGGACAGAAGTCTTGGATGTTCAATGACGCAGCAACATGAAAGTCAGAGCGAGGCGAGGCGAGGTGGGGCTATGGTTACAAAGTGTTTTATTGAAGACAAAAACGATGGTGGTGATCTTGAAGGTTCGGTTAGGTTTTTTTTTTTTTTTTTTTTTTTTTTTTCTTTAGCGAATGACCTTCCAGAGGACAGCTCCTGCGATGACAGCCAGTGCAATCACGTATTGCAATTTGCTAATGAAAAGTATAGTAAAAGATCGGTAGTTGAGTTGTTAATTCACGAGGTTCTGAACAGGGGCTGTCGAAAGCTTTATCGTTGACTCCTTCCTCGTCATATCTGTCCTGCATGGGATTGGGGGGGGGGGGCGGAATCCTGTTCTCGATTGAATAAATAAATTATCCGCCCTGATCCTGTGAACTGAATAATGATTGTCCTTTTGTGCTTCGCTTTACCTTCCAGACTCGACGGGATCAGCGGCAGGGATGGGCTTGGGGGTAGAGGCATAGGTAGACTTGGCCTTCTCACCAGTCTGTTATTGTCGTTGTCGTCGATGCCGAAGTAGTAGTTGTGTATATCCCGAGTGCCAAGATGGATCAAAATAGGATTGTCCGAGTGTCAAAGTAAAAAAGTGAACAAGTTACAAGAAGAGTTCACATGTTAGATATGTTTACTTAAACAAGAATCTCACGAAACAATCGTTCAAAAAAACAAAAAAAAACAAAGAAGGCCAAGAAAGACAAGATAGATGGGGTTGGTTTCAGGGCATTGGGATACTTACGCCAGCTTGGTACTCTCCAACGTATAACTTGGACATAATATCGCGGGCCTCGTCCGAGTGTCCAACATCCTCAAAGGACTCGGTCGCGTCCTTGCCTGCCTCGTCCAGCAACACCTCCTCTCCACCAGGATGCTAATTGATTTAGATCAAGAGAACGAGAAATGAGCGTGAGAAAGTTGGTTCGAAAAGAAAATGGTCGCGAAGAAGAAGTAGAGGATAGTCCTCCTGCTGGGAACACGGTACGCGATGACATGTCGGTTTGTGTCACTTCTACTGAGGTTCTCCTCTTTTCCTTTGTCAAAAAAAAGAGGGAGAGGGGGTGGGGTCTAATTCCACGAGAACGACTTCGTCCTTCGCCGGTTGCATGCCCTCATTCTCTTAGAAAGGACCGTCAAGGAATGAGTGTTGTAGGTGATGTTCACCCATGTGCCGAACCGAAAAAGTGATGTCCAAACCTCGGAGATTCGGAGTGAAAAAAAAAATAAGCTGATCTTCGAGTGGCAAAAGTAGTGTTTGTTACCTCGTCGATGAATCCCGAGAGGTCGTAGACTTTGCCGTGGACGGCGAGATAGAGGCTATCCTTGTGGGTGTGTTTGGCCAACTGTGCGGCGGTAAAGATCTTCTTGTCGGCCATGGTTGAAATGAATGAATGAATGAATGAATGTGTCAAGGGGGGTAAGTAGTGATGTGGGAAGTGAAAGGGAGCAAGTGTCTCAATTTATGGTTTTCCGAGACGACCAAGCGCCCTCAACTTTAGCACGTACGCAGTGGGCCCAACACCCACCTCTGTTTTGTCCGAGATGTGCGTACGTGACCGAACCGCTTCGGCTGATTCTTTTCTTCCCTATTCGCTCCCATGCTACTCAAAACAACGGTAGGCATTTCAGCCATGTCTGATAGAAAGTAATAAAACGGGGTTTTATTGTATTTACATGGCACATACATCGCGATCGGCAGAGCCAATAATACTATCAACTTACGCCTGCTCAAAGCGTATCCAAGTGATCGACAACAACAATTCTCATCCAAAGATCTTCCGGTAGATGACAAAGAGGATCAGGCCCACAAGCACAATGATAATGCTCGCCGTGATCAGCTTGTTCGTCGCCATGCTAATACGTATCATATTCATCCAAGAAAGCCGTTGACAATCCCACAAATGGCGCACCACCTATGATTAGTACCTTGCTGGCTATTGTTGTAACCATCACAACGATTGGTGTCGTGTTCGCCAGAACTCGAACTCTGCAAGGAATATAGACTTACCGACGTGCCATTCCCTTGAGGGTTCGTGATGCCTTGTCAATACTAGAGTCGGATTCCAGCAGCGTGTTCCTTGAATGAATGATCTGCTCGCGCTGTCCTCGCAAGTCTCCCAAAATTCCCCCTCCAATTGACTCTGTAGAAACAAAGCGAAAGTGAGAAGAATCGATCAGTCGACTGACAATTCCTTGTGTTTTAATCGTGAAGCAAGAATAAAACAACCCAGGCCACAACAAACAAAAAAGGGCCGTACCAGTCTCCAAGGCAATCTTGTGGCTGTCCTGCAGGCGCCGGCTGCTTTCCGCCAAACGATCCGTGCCGTTCAGCAGACGAGTTCTCTGATCCATTGACGCAGCATCCAAGTCTGATCCACCATTGAGTCCTCCCAACAGCTCGTCCCTATCCGAAGTCGACCTTGACGTTGACTGCGCCCGTTTCTATCACAGCCGGTGTGTCAAAGCGATATTTTCGTTAGTTTTTGGTTTCCGATAGAAGGGAGGATGTTACGATAATCAATTCTTTTCCTAAAGGCTTGAAGAAAATAGTATACCAAAGTTTGCTTGAGGCGCTCCAGTTCAGACTTGTAACCTCGCAGTCTGGCCTGAAGTCGAGTTCGAGACGTCTGAGGGAGGTTAAGCAGCTCCATCTCCATTTGTTGCAACTAAGTGGTGCCATAGTCAGCAGACAAGTGCCAAGAAAAAGTGATGTTAGATATGCGAGATGGATTGTGATTTTGAGAACGAAAAAGAAAAAAAAAAAGCTGCATGTGGCAGGTCGTAGACAACAACAAACGTGGCAGGACGGTGTTGTGTGTTGTGTACTTTCAACCCTCTTGGTTTTTGATTTTCTTTCCTTCCACCCCTTCCCAAGTCCCTATTCAGGACAATTCCTGCTGTCTCCTTACAATTTCGCTAGCTTCATCGATCTCACGGTCTGCCGCTCTGAGTATCTGCTTCTTTGGTTCTAAAAAAAAAAAAAAAAGGTTATTTGGTCGCACGAGTTGAGAGTGAGAAGAAAAGGAAACTGTGTGAGTTTGACAACCGCATTGACCAAGAGCGAGAGGATACGGCGATAAAGTACAAAACGAAGGAAACTGTCTTTTTCTTTTATTTCTTTCTCAAGTGAAGATGAACACCCTTTCTGCAGTGCTCCTTGGCGTGCTGTTCTTCAGAGTTCAGTTTGAGAACGAGGACTGACTTCCAGGTTGACAAGAAGAATGAAAGGAATGAAGACGGGGTGAATGAGTTATGGTTTTACCTCCATTCTGATTTCCGGAGGCGTTGAGTCGTTCTGTGATGGAGAGCTTGATGGCCTCGTAGTCCTGTTCGTAGCTTTCAAAGAGTTCTGAGCCACCTGGCGAGTCCATGTTGTGTATTCGAGCTTTGTCTGTGAGAGAAGGAAAGAAGAGTGGTGGTCAAACAAATATAAATGGATTTTTGACTCTCACAAACTTGCGGGGACAAAGCGCACTCATATGAGAATGACAATGACGTAGAGTCTTGTCCAATTGACGCGAATGCATGTTCTATGGTTTCCGAGAACAAAGACCATAAACTCTCACACTGCATTTTTTCCAGCCCTCGAACGTGAGAGACTTCTTTTTTTTTGTAATTAGGTGCTCTCTCTCTCTTTATCTCTACCATGCTGACCATTATCCCTTCTGTATAGCTCGCATAACCATGGTCCCAGGTGGACCAAGGGTGAGAGCGCTTATTTTTTCTTTCCTTGTTATGGAAGCATTGCATTCTTATAGTATGTTGTTCTTGCTTTCATCAATTCGATTGCAGATCTGACACCCTGAAGGGGAGAGGGCCAAGGGGAGGAGGACAAGGAGGAGTGGTAGGAGGGTGGGTGAAAAGGAGGGAAGAAAAGCAGATAGGATGGGATATTGGCAAAGAGAGATAGAGCGATAGGGAGAAAGAGAGAGAGAGAGAGAGAGAGAGAGAGAGAGAAAGAGTAAGAGTGAGTGAGAGAGAGTGAGAGAGAACGGAGCCTGTGTCGGAAAGGGAGACAGAGAGCCATTCTTTGTCTGTGCCTTTCCCTCCAATGGTCCATCATCCCTCCTTTTTTTTTGTCTCCTTGATACCCTCTATGGTTATGGAACGTACTCAAGTCTTATTGTGTGTGTGTGTCTCTATTTCTGGGTATTGTCAAGCAGGCGAGCATATGAACGACGTATAAGACCTTGAGAGTGGGAGTGACGGAGTGCAAGTAAGATGAGCATGAGCAGAAAGTCAAAACATTTATTCACAGTGCGATATGAACGGGAAGAGGCGGGGCGCGTGGTTTGTTACTTTGTAGTGAAAAGTGGGAAAAAGACCTAACGAATCAGACACATGCAAACGGGAAGAAGACTCTCTCCCACTCTCTATCTCTCTCTCCTTCCCTCTCTCTTTCCCTCTCTCTTTCCCTCTCTCTTTCCCTCTCTTTCCTGTGCACACAGACAAAGACAGAAAAAGACAGAGTGATAAGAAACAAACGCTGTGTTGTTTGTGTTCTGTTCTGTCCTGTCCTGTCCTGTGTGTTGTCCATGTCTCTTGACTTGCACGTTCTTGTTTTTGCTTTGTTGTTCTTGTTGTTCTTCTTATTCTTCTTATTGTTGTTGTTGCTGTTGTTGTTGTTGTTGTGTTTGTCATTGCATCCCTCCCCTCCTCCTCCTCCTCTTCCCTTTTCTCATTCCACTTCTCATCCTTCCACCCACACATCCATCCATCTCTTCCCTCCCTTTTAAACTCGAAAGTGCTCACCACCACTGCGCACGAACCACCCATCCCCCTTCACCACTGCCACTGACAATCACCCTTCACCTCCTAACCTACCCTACCCTCTGTCTCTCTTTCCTCTCTCTCTCAACCGCCAGCTTCTTTCTCTCTCTTCCTCCCTTCCTGCAGGTCCACTCAGCAACAGTAACAAGCAGCAAACACCCTTCTCCTTCTTCTCTCTCTCTCTCTCTCTCTCTCTCTCTCTCTCTCTCTCTTTCTCTTTCTCAACCTCTCCCTTTCATCGTCCCATGTAAGGATCACTTCGCTCTACTCTCTCATTCCATCACACTCATTCATCCAACCCGTTTCTTTTCTTATATTCTCCAACAAAAAGAAAAAAATATCATTCCCAATTCCTTGTGCAACCATTGTCCGCTTCTCGACCGTTTCAAAAGGGGCGTCTGTAAAGAGCCATCTGTAAAGAGCCATCAACAGCACACTAATCGATCAACAGCTAGGACAAAGCAACCATGGCAACATTCACTGCCCTCTTTCAACTACTATTACAACATCAACAAGAGTAATAAAAACGACAACAGCAGCAACAATAACAACAACAACACCTAGACAATAATAGTCATCACTCCCTATGCCGAACCCTCTTTTCCATTGATAATATTAGCAATATTAACACGGATCAACTTCCGTTCATTTTCCAATCTCCCTTTCACACCTCATCGAAACCCCTTCCCTTCCCTGTCCGTCTCCCCTTCCCTTCTCCTCTCTCTCTCTCTCTCTCTCTTCTTTGTTGACAGTTCTCCGACTTAAGGTCGTCGTCCTCTGATACACACCACCTCCTGGATCAACTCGCCTTTGACCATTAGAGATTGACCCTCCTCCTCCTCCGCTCTTCCACTCACGATTCTCTCACTTTTACCCTATCCTCGCCTCGTCACTTCTTCCTCTCTCGTCTCTACAACATTGCACAACATCGACCTCATTCCTATTTGGCAGAAGACACCTTCCGGCTTGCTCATGTCCAGCGGTGACCATGGACACCCACCCCGACCCGGCCGAGACATCCTTAAACCCCGCAGGAGCAACACCACAACCACCACTGCCGCCGTCATCTCTTCCCCAGCAGGTCATCACCATCATTGTCACTACGATATGTAAGCCATTCGCCCCACCAAAGCGGACAATGATTTTTCTGTAACCCATAAAGAACTACAGAGGGCCTTGAGTGACACAATGGCAGATAGGCAGGAGGAAGAAGACGGATTCGAATCGAGAGTATAGCAAAGAGCTTGCGATCCTGGTTCCTGATCGCTGAGAGCACTGAATGGATTTGATTCCAGTTGGATATCTCTACTATCCGGCTCACTATCTTCATCGCCGGCAATAGCTGTCTCTCTCTTTCTCTCTTCTCTCTATTACACAGTTCCCATACTCTCAATACTTTGGCCTCCTTTCGTAAACAAGACGCTGACTTGACACTAACCAACTCCACTTTATTCAACCTGGAAACATCATATCAACAGACTAGCATCCAACCACAACACTACCATTGCAGACCTTCCTCCGTCGATGAGTTCTCAACCACCCCACATTCTCGATACAAAGCCAAGGTCAAGGCGGCGTCGCGCTGATCAGACGTCAGGAATATCGACAGCTACCTTACCAACACCCACTATTACCCAGTCCACCATGGCCTCTTCAATATCCGTGGAATCAGCTTCAACGGCAGCACCATCAAGTAAAAAGAGTCGGCGGCGGCAAAAACCACGGAGTAAAAAAAACACTGAGACGTTGTCAGAATATCGTACACCAACCTTGCCTTCAGTACCCATGGCAAGGTTGCCATCCTCTTCTTCGATATCGGCCTCTACCATTCGGAGCCACGACTCGCACCGTCGCAGGAGATCCCTCTTGATGACGGAAGAAGATAGCGAGAGCGATTGTATGTCGATCGTCTCGCAATCTTCAGCCCAATACTCTTCCTCCGCCAGCACTGCGCCCATTCGCCGAGGACGAGTCTTTAAAAGAGTCGGACGGGATCCACAGATGCTCAGCACCTCTTCTGCTGTGACCACACCTTTCTCTCTTTCGCCATTGGACTCGAACACAAACTCGCGCTACCACTCACCCCTCTCATCTCGCTACCAGACCCCATTCTCCTCTCGCTCATCATCGGTCGTGCCCTCTAGATCAGCATCGCCACACTCTGTCCGGACAGTCGTTCATGATGCCTTCCTACACAACAGCGGCAAGAATAACAGCAAAACAAACAAAGGACCGCACACTCGCTCAGAGATCAGTTTACCTTCATTGACAGCAGCAGTAATGGACCAGACACCATCCACAGCAACACTCACCATGGACTTGCCCATCAGCAAATCCAAGAAGCGGCAAAACAGGAGGAGGAAACTTCGTGAGAGCAGGCGCGAGAGTGGCGAAGAAGCCGATGAGGAGGAAGCTGGATACTCTCACGCGAACGAGGGTGAGAGTGACACCCAGGATCTCTCCTTTGACCTCCCGATCCCGACAATCACCTTCAGGTTCAACAAGACAGCCAGCAGGGCGAGGGTTGATTCCTTGTATCCATTATACGACTCATCTTGCGCCTCCTCGCCCTCAAAAACCGTCAACGACATCCAGAGCAACGTTGCAAGTCGACCACAGAGCAACAATAGCACGACTAGGAACGGAACTGGTCGGTCACAAGGAGCCGGAGAGTCCAACAGTGTATTGACGCCCTTCTTGCCATCGTCGTCCGCCCATTCCAGCGAGACCGACACGTCACTCGAAACGGTTGTTCCTCCAGGGGTGGAGTTTGACAGAGAGGGCGACAGTAGGGTTGTGGAGTCAAACGAGAGGCAAGAACAGACGAGTACCCTTCCTTCAATGAGTACCCTTCCTTCAATGACTACATTTTCGTTGATGGGCCCAAGTCAAGAATGGAGTAGTCTGTCGATGAGCACTACTCCGACTATGGCGGGGAGGATGCGTCCGACGGTGATTTCTTTTGCAGGGTCGATCGACACACAACTCGACCCCTCAGTTGAGGGTGAGTTGCTAATGACCCCGCCGCCTTCTGCGACCTTGGGATCAATGCAACCGCACAACTCTGGCCCCCCAAGAACGTCTCTCTTTGCCGGTTCGCCAAGCACCAATGACGAGAAGGCCGATGAAGGCCAGCCCTTCAAGACCACTGAGCAGCTGACGGCCCCCACACCAGACATCTCCCCTGTGCTCGTCCCAAGTGTCGTTCATGGGTTGCCTCCTGTCTCAATAATCGAACCAGATCACGTCGCCCGGTCTTCCTTACCTCCCCTTCCCTCCTCGCTAATACCATCGTCTTTTGTACCTCCTCTCTCTGTGGCTGAGTCGACTTCGCCTGTACTTTTGTTTTCTCCTCCTGCTGCGGCTCAGATCCCACTGCCTCCAAGTCCTTTCGCAGACGCTGATACCACGTTCGAGGATCCATTACCGCGTTCGCATGTGAGTACGTCCGACGATATCGCAGCAACAGTAGCAGAAGCAGCCACTGTGCCCTTGCCTGTGAGCCCAGATAAAGACACAGAGATAAAGACTATCGCATTCGTGCATGTCCCCCCTTCCTTCGAGGCCGAGGAGGGCAAGGATTATAGTCTCGCAAGAGCAGTAGCAGATGAGCCACATTTGCATTTGCCATCCCCCTCGAGTGTGCCCCCTGCAGCAGCAAGTCTGCCCTTACCATCCAGCCCTTCCGTTTCAATTCCTCTTCCTTCTTCACATTCACACCTTCCCTTTCCCGCTTTTCGACCAGATTATAATGCGACCTCTCTTTTGCTCTCTCCCCGCCCATTATCAACGGCAGCTGCTGTCGCTAAAATCTTAACACCACCACCACCACCACCACCTTCCTTCATCCAAGCAGTTGCCACCAATCTCCCGCCAATAACAACAACGACTGCAACAACAACTACTTCTTCTTTCATCCCTCCCCCTCCCCCTCCTCCGTCCTTCACACCAGCACAATCAACCTTGGTTCAGGAATCGCTTCCGACGATTGCTACAAGCAGTCTGCCACCTCTTCCCCCATTCGCTGCCCCTGGATCGAGTCATGTAGTGACACCTCCTGCAACCTCCAACATACCTCCCCCTCCTCCTCCTCCACCATTCATCTCAGCAAGCGGTGCAGCAGCAGCAACAGCCACAGCAACTGCACCCTCCCCTGTCGTGGCTCTTTCAGTCAACAACACCTCAGGAATCCCTCCCCCTCCTCCACCACCGCCGTCTCCTGGCTCCACCGGTCTGAAGAAGAACGGCCCTCGAACACCACTTCAGATCTCGACCTCTATCATGACGACGCTTGATTCACATCCACTAGGACTTGGACGAAGTCTCACAGCACCCCTTACTCCCACCCGCAGCATTGTTGCTCGCCATGTTCTTCGCTGGGACGCTCTCTCTCACGGTGATATATCTCAAACTGTCTTTGATACCGACCACCACCATCATCACAGTCGACACCACCACCATGGACATGGCCATCGTCACCCCTCAGGTCACATCCGTCAGGCCTCTACGGTCCCCAACACACCAACGTCACTCAAGTCTCCTGATTTTTTGAGTCTTGAAGGTTCGAAGGGGTTGGACCAGTATGTGTTGAATGATGGCAATGCTGTGGACGATGATGCACCGCCAGGAGCCGAAGAGTCCAGTCATGGTTACTTGCATGGACAGCCAGAAGGACCATTGGATGGCCCTTCAGGGCCACATCAAGAGAGTGGACCAGGACCCATTGCTCCCCCACTTTCCATCGAGATGGACTTTCAAAAGTTTGAAGGTATGGCAAATTCCTTCCTCCTTTTACTGCGTTTTTTTTTTTTTTTTTTTCTCTCATTGAGCATTGCTAAGCGTGGAATTGCATTGTTGGCGGAGAGTGAAAAGAAACTAATGGGCATTCATTTAACCATTTATACTTTCATATGATGCTACAAATAGAGATGTTCTGTATCGACCCAGTCGAAGAGCAGAAGCGACTCAAGGCTAAGGAAGCGGATGCTCAAGCAAAGTAAGTTATATATGCCAAGCTCACTCATAACTCTCTTTCTCTCTCTCCTTCCCTCTCTTTCTTTCTCTCTCTCTCTCTCCCTCTCTTTCTCTCTCTCTCTCTCTCTCTCTCTCTCTCTCTCTCTCTCTCTCTCTCCCTCTCTCTCTCTGTACTCTCTGTAAACTCTCAGTATACTCTCTGTGTACTCTCTATGTACTCTCACATGTATACTCTCTGTATACTTTCTGTATACTTTCTGTATACTCTCTATACTCTCTATACCTGCTCTTTGCAACTGCCTGTACGACCACACCAATCCCATCTTCCGTCGTCGGAGACTATGAAACGTGGAGCCTTTCATTAATTTAGAGCCACACCGTTTGGACTTTACCCCCTTTTCTCCTTCTTTTTCTCTCTTTTCTCTACTCCTTCTCGGTTCTAGGGTGAAGCCAAAGGAAGTGACCCTGTTGGAGGTCCGGAGGGCTACCAACGTCTCCATTGGACTGTCACGACTCATGAAACGATACGAGTCTTTCGATGCCCTTCGATCCATGGTCCTCGCCCTCGACATCAACGCCCCACCACCACCACCTCCTCCTCCCTCTTCGACCTCTTCTGCCTCAACCGCCTTGTCATCCCAATCAACCTTGCAAAAGTCTCCCTCGCTCCAGTCCCTGTCAAGTCTCTCTAACAGTAGTCACAGGCGCGTCGTCACCAGCCCTGCAGTTGTTCATTCGAGTGCCCGCGTCAGCCCCATGGTTACTCGGCCGACCAGCTCGAATTTTCCAAGTCCGTCCATGTCCAGTGATTCTCCCCCTGTTTCTACGTCAACGCCACCAACTTCGAACCACCCCGTAACAACCCCTCCTCGATTGGCGACTCCTCCTCCTCCTCATCCTTTTTCTCAACCTTCATTATTGTCGATTATTACTGCTCATCCCTTGTTCAGGTCCTTCTCATCGCCACCTTCCCCGACTCTCTCAACAACGGCCACCAACCCTTCGACAGGATCCTACTTCAGTTCTCGATCCGAGACACCTGTCGTCTACCAACAACACTTGAGCCTAGATGATCTGTTGACTTTGGAACCCCTTTTGCCGAATGAGAAGGAGCGGAAACTCTTGGACGTCTACCAGCGTCAGAATAAGACCGACTTCTTGGCCAACGAGAGTGAGGCTGTCCAAAAGCTCGGCATGTCGGAACGGTTCATGTACGCCATGTCCAAGCCTGTTTTCCAGCCATTGCCTGAGCCAGCGGTCCCTAGCGAGAACTTGCAATGGGCCAAGGGTCCATCATCGATCTTGAAGGGAGGGTTTGCTTCCCTGAACTTGAAGGGCCTTGGGAAATCTGGTGTTTTGGCGAAATTGAGCTCACAATCGGGGGGAGGCGTTAGTGGACTTGCTTCTGCATTTGCTGCATCTCCATTAGGCGCGTCTGCAGCAGCAGAGGACGAAGATCCTCTGTTGATCGACGACTACATCTTTGCAGCGATCTCCATGCTTCGCTTCGATGCTGATCTATCATCAACCGAGACGCAGGTCCGTGGGCTGTTTGAAGGGTGTGACGCGTTGAGGATGAACAAGAACCTCAAGGTCCTGTTCCTAGGAGTCTTGAAGGTCGGCAATATGCTGAACACCATCTATGGTCGCAAAAAGCCGTCTTGGCAGCAACAGACCCATTTGCTCTCCTCTGCCCACCCTGCATCTGCACCGTTGAGGACGTTGCACCCTGCAAAGTCTATGCCCAACATGAACCTCTCTATGAAGCGTGGATTTGGTATCCCTCCTCCTCCTCCACCGCCACCACCCATGTCAGGATCCAATGGTATTCCTCCACCACCACCACCGCCACCGCCCATGTCTGGAACTGGGATCCCTCCTCCTCCTCCTCCTCCACCTATGTCAGAGCCAAATGGTATTCCTACTCCACCACCACCACCCTCTATGTCCGGAGCTGATATCCCACCACCACCGCCGCCACCAGGGTCAGCCGACACACTCTCTCAATCAACAACTTTTCTCCCAAGACCTCTCCTATCTTCAGTTCACCCATTATCCCACACACACTCGCACAACGACCTCCACCAACAGTTTCATCGCTCCTCAGCCCATCATCATCCTCAACAACAGGGCGCGGCTGGGTTCCGACTGAACAGTCTTCTCAAACTGCGGGACGTGCGTAGTCTCGACAACAAGTCGAATCTAATGCATTACCTTGCCAACATGGTCACCAACACCAACCCGGAACTCTTGACCCTACCGGACCAGTTTGCGTTCTTGTCCAAGCTGGAGCAGTACCGGACCAAGGAGATCCTGGACCAAGTTGTTGAACATCAGAAGGTTATTCGCAAGCTGAAAACGTTTAGGGAGAAGCTGGAGCGGAAGGTTGTAGCTATGGAGGAGGCTGCTTTCAAGATGCTGACGCTGAAGAGTGTCACCGCCAACAGCGACGATGGACAGGAAGGGGACGATAGTGGCAAAAGTGCAGAAGAGCAAGAGAGGACTCGCAAGGAACAGGCCGAGGAGCACGAGAAGGAGATCAAGAACGGACGACAGGTTCTGGAAAAGCTCGACAAGTTCTTGAAGGACGCTCAGTCACGGTTTGACGACCTTGTTGACCAGGTCGAGCTCTTCGACCACAGCTGGCGAGCGACTGCCATCTACTTTGGAGAGAAATCTGCCGAAGACGTCGACATCTCTCCCTTCCCAAGTACTGCAACAGATTCCACATACCAGCAACAGAAACAACAACAACAACAGCAGCAGCAACTGCAGATGGTGAACAGGATGCTGACAGGACCCCGCAAACCCCCAGAAGAGATCTTCGCCGTCCTACACGAGTTCTTCCGTCACTTCCGGGAAGCACATCTCCAGAACGAGGACCAGCTGATCAAAAAGCGACGACAGGCCGCATCCTTTGCCAGACGCTCAAAGAACAGTTCCACCTCCTCGACCTCCACCGCCACAACAACATCATTATCAACAACTAGAACGAAAACTAACAACACTCCTGCTGGATCATCGTCTAAATCGACGACTTCTATGTCCGGCTTGGTTTCCAGGAGTGCCTTTGCCGGACTTTAATCTTTTTTTTTCTTTCTTATTCTTAATATTTGTCACATTTTGTTGTTACTTTTACTTTTAGCATTTGCTTTTTTTTTCTTCTTTCATTCTTTCTCATCCTACTATTTTCGCGTTTTGTGTTTTGAAAACCCTTGTACAACAGCATTTTTTTTACATTGTTTTTTATTATTATTATTACTGTAGTCGATTTGTTTGAAATAAATGCGTTCTCCCCCCTCCCCTCCCCTCTTCAAAAACCTCTATCTGAACTGGCCAGGAAACAAAGAAAATAAAAAATAATGTTGGCGTGGCAGACAATTTTTTTTTTTTACCACACCGCTGCGAGCCCATCATCTTCTCACTCGGCAGCAGCAGCAGCAGCAGCACCCTTCCTCCGCGTATTCCTCTCCCTCCTCGGCCGCGTCGCAAGACTATTACTCGCCTTCCACTCGGCGGGCAACTGGAACCGGAAACTAGGGTTCAAAACCTCTGCCGGGAAATTCCAGTACTTTTGTTGATACTTCAACACCTGGTGTAAGGACGAGACAGCCATCGCGTTCGGTTTCACACTGTTCAACGTTCCCTGGAACGAGGCAAAGGGGAATGCGCGTGTGGGCGCTGTGGCTGGGAGGAGGGAGTGTGGTAACAGTTCTTCCAAACATGCTGTTGCTGAGAGTGCGAGCGGTTCAAACTCGTATCCTCCTTCCAGAGACAGGATCACACGTCCTCCTGCTAGTGTCTGGACCAGACGCGTCAAAATCGCGAATCCTTGCGGTGATACCGTGTATCCACCAATCTAGCATGGGTTCAAAAAAACCCCCCCGTTTACGTGCCGAGTGGTTAATTGATCAGTCAACGTATTGAACGTTTTGAGCGATAGGCACAAGAGAGCTGACAAAGTTAAAAAATAAAATAAAATAAAAATGAAGTGCTTACATTGGCGGCGTGTCCATCGGCAGCATCGAACCCAGCAGAGACCATCACCAGATCTGGTCCAAACTGCCTGGCAATAGGCAGCAGGACATACCAAAATGCCGCAATATACTCCACATCTCCCATCGCTTGTCCTAATTTTGCGAAAGAATAAAATCATAGACGTGTGTCGACATTAGGTCACGTCCCTCGCCCATATAATCATGTCTGTGTCACGAAAATTAAAACCTCCATGTTTACCTCTGCCGTAGGAAGACCAAGCAATGTTGACGTTAGTGCCCTCGCCAGCTTCTTCTCCACACTCATCGGGTGCGCCAGTGAAAGGATAGAAATGGCCATTGTCCCAACGATGGAGTGATATGTACAAGACGTTGGGGTTTTCGTAAAAGATCTGTTGTGTGCCGTTTCCGTGGCTATTGTTGGTAATTAACACGAGCATATCTGTTAGACAAGTGCATTGGCGCGATATAAATGACAATGCCAGCATGGGCAGAACCGTATCCTAATGACTTACTGGACGTCCCAGTCGATGATGAGGATCTTTTGCACGGTCAGCGGATACCTCGACAGGGTCAGGTTCACAGCAACTCCGACATTGTTGAAGAAACAGAATCCCCTATATCAACCATCGAATAAACCAGAACAACATCAGTCATCGTCTCAAATAGAGTGCCAATCGATTCAACAAAAAAAAAGGAAGAAAGAAGCAACTCACATGGCCTCATCTTCTTCGGCGTGATGTCCTGGAGGTCGAATGATGGCAAAGCCGTTCTTGCACCGTCCCGTAACAACCTGATCGACCAATGTGATCAGAGATCCTGCTGCAACCTTGGCTGCCGTGCTGGAGTGGAACGGGTTCCAGGTTGTGTCGACAGCAATACCCAGTTGTCCACAACTCATGGTAAACGTGAGCCCTGGAGGGCGGATAATGACGGAGTCGCCGGTGGGCATAGGCGCAGGAGAGACTGCTTGGTGGCCCTTCTTCTTTGTAACCATCTTGGAGTCCTTCTGCCCCGACTTGTCACCAGACTTGTCCTGGGCATTCTTTTCATCGTCCTTGGCATCAGTCTCTGCATCATCCTTCGTTTCCTCGGCTGCCGTTTCTGCAGGTCCAGATTCCGCGTCCGACTTTTTGACCACTGATGTATCGGCGATTTCCTGTGTGGCCACAGTTCCAGATTGCCCCTGCATGCTCCGCGACGTTCGCCTCTCGCTGTCAATGACATTCTCAGTCGAGATTCCGTCCTCGAGTTTCGGCTTCTCTGCAGCCGCCTCGCCTGTAGCCTCTGCCTCGACATCGACATCCAAAGGAGAGATGCGCTTTTCGCCTGCCAAAAGAGACATCGCAGGCTTGTTCTCGTCCCATTCCTCTAATTTGGGTATCCTTTGAGGCAGCTGGCTCGCCAGAGATGGATCCATGCCACCAGCAACAGCCAGAGCAGCCTCACTAGGAGGAGGACCCACCTGGTCTGGCTTGTCGTCGTCGTCATCGTCGTCCTCAGGTGCCAGTGCTGCCGCCTTGATGTCATCAGGCACCATATCCTCCTCTCGCTGGGCATATAGTGTCGAGGACATACTGACAAGTGACGACATCCGGACAACCGATCCTCGCATGCTGGAGCGTCTACGCCCAAGAGCGGGCGAATGCAGATCGACCTCCATCGCATCCTTGTCCTTGTCCTTGGCCGTGCCGTCCGTCGGGGATCCTGCTGGGGCCATGTCAGTATCCTCAGAAGCAGGTTCAGCCGTCAGCGCCCCTGTCGCGGTTGGTGCACTCGCTGCGCTCGATCTTGTCGTAGGAACTAGGATGTTTCCTCTTGATGCCTTTCTTGGTCGTCCGCGCTTGGCAGGCTTCTTGACAACCTCCACTTCTTTGTCCTCCTCCTCATCATCGTCCTCTTCCTCTTCCTCCTCTTCGTCTCCTTCGTCACCTTCATCCTCAGCTTGTGCATCAATGTCCTCCTCGATCTCGTCCTCCATCTGCAGTCCCGAATCCTCGAGTCCATTCTCTAACGCATACTGTCGGTTTTGAGCGGCTGTGCAGCAGTAGTTCCGGACATGAGTGTCGGTATGGGCCGCAATCAGCTCCTCGATGGTCGCCTCACGCCCTTGGATCCACTTGACCAGACTCAGCATACCATTCTTTTGGAACTGACCCAAGATTTCGACCAGACGCTCTGGCTGCTCAGGATGGTGGCGCTCCTCCGGGTTGGTATTACACTGGCATTTGTGCAAGAGCATCCTGCGGTCGTAAGCAAGTCCTGTGTGTCGACGAGCAGTGCGACCCAGCTCAGAGTGATAAAACTTTTCATACGAGACCCAGTTCTCCTGGGGTTCGTGCCCATTAGGCCCATACCGAAGGAAACTGCTGCTGGTTGAACAGGCGCGAAGTTGGCTGGGCTTGACCCATTCGTCGTGGTGAGGCGAAAATCCCTCAAAGTGGACCAGGACTGACTTGGGGTTGATATGGTCGTGTGGGTCATCCTCCAAATCAAGAACTCGTCCTGCGAACCAGGTGCCGTTGGTGTCCGACTTCATCGACTCAACCAGCTCTCCAATCTTGAAGGGTCTCTCGCTCTTTGTCCGTGACTTCTTGGACCGATCACCTAACCATCACACGAGCAAATAGTCGTTCAGTAATGGATAAACAGACAAAGGAAAGCATGCTAGCATCAACAGGAAATGCTTCATACCTGATGGCTTGTTCGATTTTTGGAGATTGAGACCCTGGAGACCATTGCGGACATCCAGCTGGTCATCCGAATCATCGTCATAAAATTCCTCCTGACCATCGATCGATCCATGAGACGAGTTCCTGGATGTGAGATACAGGCCCAGGCCACCGCCTGTTCCAAGTGTTGACCCGGGCAAGAGCGATTTCTTCCCGTCGCTGATGTTCTTGGGTCTTCGTCGTCGCTTGTGGCTTCCGCTAGAGGATACACTAGCATTGCCGTCACTGTCCTCAGCCGCACTCTGCCTGAAGACAGACAGGTTGGCATTGTTGAATCGAGGCTTGTCCAGGAGGTTGGGACTCATGGCGCGATGGTGGAGAGAGCTGTACTGCAGAGGTTGATTCGGGTAGGGAGCAGGTCCTTGCGGTTCGGGTGCATAATCCTATTGGGTGATGATAGAATAGGTAATGGGCGATATGTTAAACAGGTGTGCTTATGAGATGCCAGTGGGCTGCTTGGCTGCGTCGAGCACCCTCTCTCTCTCTCTCTCTCGGTTCCTCCCTCTCTCTCTGTCTCTCTATCTCTCTCCTCTCTCTCTCTTCTTCCGCTCATGTTGTACCCAATTGGAAAAAGAAGGGGCGGGTTGAAAACCGTGAGCAGGGAAGGATGGGCAGGAGGGAATAATATCAGGGCACTAAAGAGGGGACGATCGGTCTGAGTGGATCGAAATTAAAAACTGAAGAGAAAAGAGAAGTGGCTTCGATTTTTCCACCTTCGATCCCTTCGCGGTACTGTACGTGAATTTTTTTTTCTTTTTTTTCAGGCGTGTGATATCCCCGACTGGGGGAAGAGGGACAGGTCTGACCTTTGCCATGTGGCCCCGCCCAAAGTCCCTCCTCCCTTCAAAGAACGCACAAGAACAAAACGACATCCCACGATGTACAACTGAAAGTATAAAATGACGCGTACCTGTTGTGGTCGTCCATACACCGGATCCTGTCCAAAGTGTGCACTGCTGCTACTGTGGTAGTGGTGACCTGGTGGAGGTGGCCCATAAGGCTGCGATTGAAATGATCCAGAAGAGTAGTGCTGTGGTGGACCATCGTAGCCATGGAGTGGGTGGTCATAGCAACCAGACGCTTCTGGATGATGGGAGTAGCCGTACGATCCTTCAGAGGGATGGTGCGGGTAGTTGGCTGATCCACCATGACGATTGTAGTACGAATCGTCTCTCTTTGGGTCTGGAACCTTGGCGGCTGGCTGGAGAGGAGACCCAGACGATCCTGGCTCGACCCTGCTCGACGACGCGACGCCTTTGAGGTATCCCTGATTCGCTCTTTCCAATGCCTCCCTTTCGCGATCCCTCTTCTCCATTAACAAAAAGCTGTACGACGACAAGTTGAGTCCTGAAGGGGGCGGCAAAATTGGCGGGTTTGGTTTGTGAGTCGGGACAAAGTACTGTGGTGGCTGTGGCGATTCTCCAGCCAAGGGTGTGGACGCCGAAATGGACAAAATGGGCGGCACCAACGCCGGTGGTCTTGATCCAGGTGAATCCATGCCTGGAGGCCGCTCTGGTCGATACTGCTGTGGGCCGTCGTAAGGGCGACTTTGCACCCTCTCGTGACCTGGCCCATAAGGCGTATTTAGCTGTTGGATCTGCTGTGGATAATGCTGCGGCTGCGGCTGCTGTTGCTGCGAGTAATCGTAATGAGCTGACGAAGGGACGGCGGGGGGTGGAGGATGCTGCCCGCTGTAATGAGGTCTATTCGAGGGCTCATTGTTTGAGTCTGGAGATACCATTGTTTGGACAGGACATATCAGAACACCACTTAAATATATAAAGCAAAAAGAGCAACCAAGGCAACTCCAATCAAATGACATCGCGAAACTCACAGTGTGGATATGGCTCTTGCCGTTGCGGTGGTTGTTGCTGCTGCTGCTGTTGGTAGTATGGACGTGGTTGTTGTTGTTGGCTGTATTGTTGACCGTGGTGAGAGGGCGACTGTTGCTGCTGCTCCTGTTGCCAATGCTGTCTTGGGGACGCGCCATAATGTTGAGGTGGTGGTGGTTGTTGCTGTTGATACTGCTGGTGTTGCTGGTGCTGCTGTTGTTGATGCTGTGGGTGCTGGGGGTGCTGATGATGTTGCGGATATGGCTGCTGATATTGCTGGCGCTGGTTAGGGTCGTGAGGTGGATGGGACCAGGTCTGTCTATCATGCGTCGTCGCGTGGTCCTCGGAGGTCTGGGGGCGCGAACTAGCCGAGTCCGCCTCGGAGTCCTTCTGGGCAGGCGACAAGAGCAGCTTCAGGTCCATGGGTTAGGATGAAGAAGAGTGGGGTTACGAGATGAGTATGAGAGGGGAAGCGAAGATGCGCGTCGTGTTTTTTTTTTGTTTATTGTTCCTTGGTGATGCCGACGAGCTGTTCTCTGTCCCAACAAATGCAGAACGAGAGTACAAATAGGAGAGTGGTTGACTAATGCATGCAAAAAGACAAAAGAGAAAAGGGTTAAGGACCAGCAGAGCAAAGGAAGAGGAAGGAAATAAAGAGACAAGGAAAAAAGGACTAAGGAATCAATGCAAAAGGGGATGATGAACGTCACCGTTTTCTTGAAAAAAAAAATCGCGTCTCAGATAGACAAACATCCACATCCAAACACACATCGCAAAGAGCGCGATAGAAGAGGCGTTATCCTCTCGTTATTTTTATTGGTACTTTTCATAGTTATCCTCGGAGGGTGGCAATGGTGTCGTTGCCCTTCAACTCTATCCGCTCGTGCAAGAACTCCTTCTTGCCCTCACCAGTCCCATAGTTGCCCGTGGCCTGGCCTTGACCATACAGACGGTACTTATAGATCACCAAACCTTCCAGACCAACGGGACCACGCGCATGAGTTTTGTTGGTGCTCACACCCACCTCCGCACCAAATCCATAGCGGAATCCGTCGGCAAAACGCGTGCTCGCGTTCCAGTAGACACCAGCAGCATCGACGCCTGCCATGAACTTGTTGGCTTCAGCCTCGTCCTCCGTTAAAATGGCGTCCGTGTGCTTCGACCCGTGCTCGTTAATGTGCTCAATAGCCTGCTCTGCGGACTCGACCGTCTTGACCGCAAGAGTGAGCTCCAAGAACTCTGTATCATAATCCTCGTCGTCACTAGCCTGGATCTTGTCCTTGTTCTCCTCGAAGATTTCTGCGACGCCCTCTTTTTGAAGAGTAGCCAAAGAAGCCGCGTCGCACTTGAGAGTTACGCCATTATCGACAACCAACGCCTTAGCCAGCTCCTGGAAAAAGTTGGACTTCAAGTGAGAAGAGTGAACAAGGAGTGTCTCGGTCGAGTTGCAGGCGGCGGGGTATGTGGTTTTGGCGTCGACCACGACGGTCTTGGCGAGATCCAGCTTGGCCGACTCGGCCACGTATGTCGAGCACAATCCGTCAGCGTGTCCCAGAACAGGGATTCTAAACCATTAAAAAAGTACAGCGTAAAGGTCAGACTCCCAAAAATAAAATACAGAAAGAGAACTCCGACGTCGCTGACAACAAGGTTGAGAGGGATCCTTACCGAGTGTTCCACTGGATGTACTTGACCAAGGCGTTGCTGCCTCTGGGAATAACGAGGTCGATGTACTTGTCCTGCTTCAACAGCGCATCAATATCCTGTCTCGACTCGACAATCTGCACAGCATCCGCCAGATTCAAACCTTCGCTGCCGGCAGCGTCCAATGCCTCTCTAATCGCCTTGGAAATAGCGCTGCAAGTGTGGAAACTCTCCTTGCCGCCCTTCAAAATCGCAGCGTTGCCTGACTTAAGCGCCAAAGCCGCAATGTTGACAACGACCTCGGGTCTCGCCTCAAAAATGACCAACAACACACCAACGGGGCAGGACACCCTGTAGAGATCGAGACCGTTATCCAGCTTGGTTGCCGAGTGGACCTTTCCTGAGGGGTCCTCGAGTTCGTCGATATCCTTGATTCCCTGCAACATTGTCTCGAACTTGCCAGCACCCTCAAGGTCGAGACGTTTATAGAGCGAGGACGAGAGCTTGCCCGCCTCAACTTGTTTCAATGCGAGATCCTTGTCGACCTTGTTGGCGGCCAGGATATCTGCCTTTGCCAGAGCGAGCTTTGAGTAGATTTGGTTGAGGAAGACGGACTTTTGGGCGGTGGTGATAGTCTGGAGGACGTTGGCGGCCTGGCGGGCATTGAAAGCGATCTGAGTGATACTGTCCATCTTTGATAGCTCTGTTATTAGGCGTAGTAGGTTGTGGTATTTGATACTGCTGCCTTTGTTGTCGACGGTAAGCTAGAGGTTGCTGTTCCTGAAGAAAAGAAAAGTAAAGGCCGTTATGCGAGGAGGAGTGATGAGGAGGAATGAGGAACAAGAAAAGAAAGAAGAGGAGACAAAATTGTCCGAGAACCGCATCAATTTTGAGTGGTCTTGACTCACCCACCCGCAGGAACAGATCACGTGCGCATTCATCGTCTTCTGTTGGCTGTAGATCGCCTCTCCCGCAGTCACGTCCCGCCGTTGCTCACGGTGAGACTCTTCGAATGCGACGCGTAGGACGCGACAATAGTCTAATCAACACCTCCTTTTACTGTTCATGGACCAAGTCAGAGGGCATGTCGACACCGCACCTGGCCCCCGTTCATGACAGTCTAACCTGTGCTCTTTTTTTCTTTGTTGTCAGATCTCACACGCGTAGTGCGGGGTCAAGGTCTTTCTTCCCCATGATTCGAACAAATGTCGCAGGTCTTCAAAACCATAAGACATTCGGGAACTAAAAAAAAAAAAAAGAAACGCGTTTTACACAATCTCGTAGCTCTTATAATCCTTCGCTTCATCCACATCTTTGTTGTGATCCTTCCTGTCGTCTGCTCTTTCTTGACTCTCTTTATCTTTTTTCTTCATCTCCTTCTCTCTCATTTTTCCGTTCCAACTCTCCCACTTTTTCCTCATCCTTCCCTTCTCCGCTTCCTTTTTTTCCCACACACGAAACCTCTTGACTGCCGCTCGAGACCAAAGTGCCGTTTTCCTCTTCTTTTCTTTTGTGCGTGCAGCATCCTTCTTACCCACTATTGGTAGAAAACCACTTCTTTTTGCATTTTACCGCAATCTCCGCTCCTGCATAGTCGTCCGGCAAAAGGTGCGTCATCCCCTTTCCTTCTTCTTTACAGCATACCGTATCCTTGCGTGTGAGTGCGTGTGTGATACTGTCCTCTCTGCCCGTTGGTGTCCTCTTTCAGCACGTTCACCCTTTCTCTCACTTCACTCCCACGCCACGCTTTGAGCACTAATCGACGGCGTTCGCCTGGTGCATCGCTTCGCGTAACTGTTTGAAGAGAACCGTGCGTACACTAGACAAAGCAGTGCTTTTTTACTCTTCTTACCATCGCACCCTTCACTTGTTCCTTTCCGCTCCCCTCCTGCACCCCCTTCCCCCCTTCCTCCTCTTTTTCAACAGGCAAACAGACAGAAATATACGCCTGATCTTCACATCCTTCTCCTTTCAGTCCTCTCTGTCTCCTCCCTTCCCCACTTCCCCACTCACTCCTTGATAAATCGTTAGACTGAATCTTCTCGAGTGTCGTCAAATCCACGTCTCCCCTTCTTTCTTTTTCTTACAAAACTCCATAACTTTATCATTCTTCTTTTTTAGGTTAAAAGGCATTCCTCTTGGACCTCCTTTCTTCCTCTCTTACTTTCTCACAATTCTTTTTTCCGATTACCCTTAGTGTTTTCTTCTCTACTCACTCCCGCCCTTTTGTTTTTCTTCCTTACAACCTCCCTCCTCAGAACCTCCTTATCAAATTCGTTTTCTTATTTTTTGATATTCCTCCTCCTTACATAGCTGTCACAACCAACGCAACCACGCTACAACAAACCCATTATCATATTCTTTCCTTTGATCCTTCCTACTTTCTCATCCTTCTCTTTCTTACGCTCTTTCTTCTTTTTCCTTTCCTCCTTTCGCGATGAGATCCCCCCTCACACATATCCTCCTCCTCTGGCAATCCATCCGCCAATCCTACTTCAACCCAAATGCCGCCCCCACAGATCTCGGTCTCCCTCCCTTCGTCTCCAAACCCTCCATCCACCTTCTATCCCCAACCCCACCCATGGGGTTTAACAACTGGGCCCGGTACGAATGTAATCTTGACCAGACCCTCTTCACCGATACTGCTGACTGGATGGTAACCCATGGGTTGTTGAAGGCTGGGTATGATACCGTGACGGTGGATGATTGCTGGATGACCATGGATCGTGATCCGGTCAGTCAAAATTTGGTAGTTAATACGACGTTGTTCCCGCAGGGGATGCTTTGGTTGGGGAAATATCTCCATGAGAGGGGGTTCAAGTTTGGGATCTATCAGGATGCGGGCTACAAGACTTGTGGAGGCTACCCTGGGTCGTTGGGGCATTATGACAGGGATGTTGCTCAGTTTGCTGGGTGGGAGGTCGATTTTATTAAGCTGGATGGGTGCTACATTAACAAGAACGAGTCCCTGCCAGAAAGTCCTACCCTTGAACCGACATTCCGACAGCTCTACCAGGGGTTCGGACTCGCCATCCAGTCCCAACCGCGGCCTATGGTCTACTCTGAATCCGCCCCCGCCTACTTTGCGGGACTTTCTGCAGGAACCGGAGACCGAGTCGGGAGGGACTGGTATAAGGTCCATACCTGGATCGGACAATACGGACAGCTCTGGCGGCACTCGACAGATATTTCGGTCTACAAGAAGGATGGCAAGTCTCGATGGCCGAGCGTCATGACCAATTACCGCTTCAACATCCGTCTTGCCCGGTTCCAGAAACCTGGCAACTGGAACGACCCGGACTTTATTATCACGGGCGATGATGAAGGCCTGACTATCGAGGAACAGAAATCCCAGTTCGGCCTCTGGTCCATCATGGCCGCCCCCCTTATCCTCAGCACAAACGTCAAAGCCCTGAGGGCCGACCAAATCGCCTACCTGACCAACCCAGAAATCATCGCCATCAACCAGGACCCCCTGGGAATCCAAGGCCGCATCGCCTGGCGCACCAACGACGACAGCGACGTCCTCGTCAAACCCCTCCAAAACATCTCCATCCGCGCCGCTGCAGTCCTCAACAAGAAAAACACCGTCTCGACCATTGCCGTCCCCTTCTCCCGACTCGGCTACACCTTCCAACCATCAACCGTCCCAAGCGGCTGCGAATATCTCGTCCGCGAACTCTTTTCCCAATCCGAAGAAACCCTCAAAGTCTTCAACCCCCGCAACGAGTCCCTTACAACCGTCCTTAGACCACATGCAACTGCACTCTTTAAAATCACAACCCTCACCAACCAGGCCGCCTGCAGACCCACCCTCCCCACGGGCGCCATCTACCTCACATCCCCCCTCCTCTGCATGGACGTCTTCAACTCCGAGACTGCCCCCGGAACCCCCGTCCTAGCATTCCAATGCACCCGTAACGAGAACCAACTCTGGCAAATATCCTCCATCCCCCCACCCTTCGAGAACCCACAAGCCTCTGTCGAAGGCGCCGGGGCAGACCCCAAGTCGTTGCTCTGGATCAAGACCCTCGACAACCTCTGCCTAGACACCGAGCTGACGAATGTGGCCCCCGCACCGGGTTCCAAGATCGTCATCAATCCTTGTGATGCTACCCGCGAGACCCAGCAGTGGACTTATGATCCTATGCTCGGCACTTTGTTCCATATGTACACGGGTTTCTGCGCCGATGCTCCTGGCGCGGCTACGATTGCTGACGTGTCGCTTATTCCTTTGAGGCTCTGGAAGTGCGGTGACCAAAAGGACAGCCAAGTCTGGTCCATGCCCGCCTAATCCCACAGTATTCCTACTATCATATATATCTCTCTTTCCTATCCCTGTATCTACTTGTAAATAAAACCATCAACATCTTTTACAAAAACACGGTCCATTACTTGCTGGTAGACTTTATTATGCGTCAAGAAAGAAGGGGCCTCTTAGTCCTCGGCCCACTTGAGACTACCCAACCACCAAAACTTCTTGGGTATCCTACCAGGACAAGGCGACAACACTGTCAGCTTCTTCCTCGAATCATGAATCTCTGAGACGTAAATGAATCCCGCCAGGTTGGTCTCCAAGATATCCGGCTCGACTCTCTTATCTGCATTCGAAACTGCCAGCACAGAATGCAACAAGTTCTCACTTGGCTCCACGCTGACCACATGCGTCTCGCTCACTTTACGATCCTCGCCAATAGGGAGTGCTGATGAAGGCGCCAATGATCCTTCACCGACCTGCAAGATCTCAATGTCGTGATAGTTGATCATGGTCGAGTAGGGTGCCAGCTCTGATTTCGAGGTTCCGTAAAAGTACTCGCGGATCTTTTGGTTCTGGGTCTGTCTCCGGAATGCATTGTCGCGCTCAACAACGCCTCCCGATTTGGCCAGCTTGATAACCGCCACTCCTGACTTTTGATGTAACCTGGTCATGTCCGCGTACAGTCTCTCGTGTCCCAATACGATAATCACGTCAACTAATGGTAAAAAACATAGCGGTAGTTAGTTCTTGTGTCGATCGATTGGACAAAGAGAACGTTCCTCCGTGCGTCGCGTTTGCCTTCGTTATACGTTACTTGAAAAGGCCTTGATACACTGAGCAATAATCTCATATCCGGTCGCGTCGATCAGTCCGTTGGTGTCAATAACGATTCCAGATGTGCGCGCTAATGGGAACAAGATACACCGTGTTAATTACGTTGTATTTTACGGTCTATTGAACATGACCCATCTCGCAGTGAAGAGAAAAGAACGTACCTGCTTCGTCCTCCTCCAATCTCCTGTTGACAGACTGAGCGAGACGAGCTAACAACAGCGAGTAGAGCTTGGTGTTGTCCTTGGGAGATGGAAATCCGTAGTAATACGCCAGGGGCATCACAGCTGATCCTGCAGTGGGTGCAGAAGTTGCTGAAGAACCGAATCCTTCTTCCACATCAATCATCTCTGTCAATGGCGTCGCTGTCAAGCATCCTGGCATAGTAATCGAGCCCTATATGTGACAACGTGATATAGTGTTAATTGGTGCGTTTAAGAGAACATGATTATCATTGCAGTGCAAGAGCTCAAAACAAGAAGGCCAAACAAACCTCACTGCAGTCCAGATCGACGTAGATGGGCTGACGTGATTGCCTGAGGGCGTAACTGAGAAGCATTTTCGAAAGGGATGTCTTTCCCACATCGTTAGGACCAACGATCATGACCTAAATGATAACAAAGGGGTTCAACTGGTCAGAATGCGATCCTTGATGACAAAAAATGATAATAACCTATGCCCGCGAATGAAATTTGACAAGCAAAAGCTTACCCGTGGACCGGCTTTGTTGTTCTGGGTGGCAAGGACACGACGCTGCTCCAGGGCAATGTGGGTGTTGAGGTAGCTCAGCATGGGTGTCTCGTTGGCGATATATTCGACACTGCAGGTTCCCGTGATCAGGATCTTGCATCCATGCCACGTAAAGACGGCGATCTTTCGTCCCGAGAACTCATAGTCGACATTCTGTCCCAGCTCTGTTCCAAAGACCTCTGCCGTTCCTGTCACAAGCTATTACAATAGGTTGAATAAAAGCAAAAAGGGTGGGCACTGTTAAGATAACTGAGATGGCAATCCTTCGAGGATCCTGATCCCTAGCAAGCAAACAAAGAGGAACGCCTTCTTACGCGCAACTTGACTTTGGTATCAAAGTCGATTTCGATTCTGAGCTCGTTTTCCTCGTCGAGGAGCCACTCCTTGGGTTCTGGGAGAGTCATAATTGTTTGCTGTGTGTTGTATGTTGCGTGTCGCGTGTTGTGTTCGTTTGGCTGTTATGAGATAGGTTTTGCTTTCTTGTTTCCAGTTGATCCTAACAAGGTGAGGATGAGGAGTACCAGATGAGTCAATAAAGACGAATGCGGAATGGATCGTTCTATTGAATCTTCTGTGGCTGCGTGGGTGGTGGGTGTTACCTGTGGGTTGTATTCTATTCTTGACTGCGACTTGCACCGATGTGTGTCTGTTTGTCTCCTGAATCAGTTGTCGTGGTCTCTTTTTATTATGTAAAGGAAAGAGAAGGGAAGGGTGTGTCTCTTTTTGCACTCTCAGCCCAAGATCTAGTTAGTGGCAGTGAAAAATCGGCTTGTCAGAGATCCCTTCAGCCACTGCTTGGATCAATGCATTCCCTCTTCTAGCTTTCTTTACTCTCGCCCTTATCTACCATTGACCCTTCTCCCACTCTCTTTTTTTTTTGTCTCTTTCTTCTACCATCCACACTTTCTTGACACCCCATCTTCTCACTCCCACCTTCAGTCTTTTCTCTTGCTCCTTTGTTCACCCTCAATTACTCCTCCAACAAATTTGACCGCCTACTCATATCGCCTCACAACATGGTGCGCTTCCGGACACAAATGAAGCACTTGTTGATAGTCCTCGCCCTATTCTACTTCATATCCCTATTGCTCCTCAGTCACTCCAGCAAAAAGCCCTCTCATCGCCATCACTCCTCCAAGGCTAGGATTCTCCCTCGCGACGCAGACGAGTCGTTGGCCAGGTTCATCCGGAAACTGCCCCTCAAGGACCGGTTTGAAATCGAACGACGACATATCAGCTACAACCTCCGTCTTGGCCAACGCGACGAATACGACTCGGCAAAGTGTGGCAGCTGGCCTGTGCACTACCTCCGGACTAAACAACAGCAACAGCAGCAGCGGCATGGCGGTACAGAGCAGCAGGAGTGGCGGTCCATTGTTCATTCGTGTGCCAAAGGCGAGAGCTGTGGACAGATCTCGGATCGATTGATGTCAGCAGCTAGTTTGTTCATGGTCAGTCTGTTGACAGATCGGGAGTTCTTTATCGATTGGGAGGGATATCCTCTGTTCTCTGTCTTCAGGACGCCATTCTTGAACCTACAGGCGCCTGCAGCAACCTCAGATGTCAGCACCGATGCACTGCAACAAAAACAAGAACCATTATCACTTTCTCTGTTGAACTGGAAGGCGGAAGATCTAGATTTGGTGTTTGGCATTAGGTCATTGAGCACATATCTCGACACCAAGACAAGGACACGGTCAGGACACCAGACTGCACGCAAGACGCACGACCAATTGATCGTCGCGCCTCAGGTCAGGATCCAAACAAACCGAGGGCTTGTACAGAGGATCATGACGGACACGTCCTTCAGCGAGCGACTCGAGAGCATGGGATTACATCAGCACAATGCATACGAATGCATCCTGTCGTTTCTGTTTCGGCCCACATGGACGACTCAGGAACTTATTCACCAATACCGCGCAGTGTTCAAGACACCCGGCGTGACCACCATTGGTATCCACCTTCCCTCGGGGGACGCTGACCTCCAGTTTACGCTGAAGGAGTACGAGCACTCGATGCCTTGCGCCCAGAACCTTTCGAGGGAGATCAGGCTCCGGAATAGGAACCCGGATGGGCGTGTGCTGTATATGATCTTTACAGACTCGATCCATATGCGGAACAAGATTCAAAAAGAGTACGGCGACAAGCTCAACCTGATCTTTCCCCCGGCTCCTCAGCAGCAGCCACAGCTCCGTCTTGAGAAAGGTCTGAAGAAGAGAGCACCAGGAGAACGAGGAGGAGGAGGAGGAGCTTACTCTCCCTTTGACCCTGCTGCGCCCATCTCTGCACACGACGAGGATTCGACACTGCTGAGCAGTTACCTCTTCTCGGAGACGGACTACCAGATCATCACCTCGTCCAGCTTCAGCAAGTTGGCACTCTTCCGGAAGGGAGCCTCGGGTCGAAGATCAGCCGTGTTGATGCCCAACAAGGCCGAGTGGGCACTGTTCCGAGAGAGCCACCGGTCGTCATCATCGCGCGTCGGGGACGAGGAAGAAGGAGGAGGAGGAGGAGTCAATTCGCCCCCGTCAACGGCGTTTCAGGGGATTCGATTGCCTGATTGTTCGAGGATGAACGATGCGATTACACCGTGGGATGAGATCGCGTCGTTCGGCACCCTCGGATAGATTGGTCTCATGTCCCATCCCAACCCACCTATGTACATACACCACCAGTTGAGCACGTTTTATGGTTTTTGTTGTTTTATGCTGACAAAAAAGAAACGAAACGAGCAATTGAATAAAGCAATGAAGCATACACATAGCATATCGTCGCAGCATCCACATCGGTTAGACCTTGTTTTTCCCTTCCCGCCTTCATCCACAAAAAAAATGTCTCGGAGGTGAATCCCTGTATGGAAATCAAGGACCCCTCTCGTTTGATCTCCTGAGCTCTCTTCTTTTTTGTCTTGTCTGCACTGCAACAACTCACACATCCATATCCACCCACAAACATGCATACCTGCTCATGGCGTGCAGTCTCTCTTTTTATTTTTGCTCTCTCGGTTTGGTCGTCCTCTTTGTCTGATAGTCTCTCTGGACCTGACTCTTCTCGGATGGACCTCTTTGATACACCTTCTGCTAACGAGACGTTTATAAAAAGACACACTCTCGCCCAACAATAACAAAACAAAAAAAGTCCAGCCAACCTTGCCCCTCTCTACACACTCCCTCCAAACGACCAATTCTTTAACGACCAACAAACAACCAACAATCAGCAAGTTATGGCCTTTTTTGCACGAACAAACACAGCACGAACACTTTCCAAAGTCATTGCACCCGTCAAATCGTGAGTGTTTCCTTCTTTTTGTTCTGTTTGCTCATACGATATTAGACCAATGGTATAGATAAAGTGTGGCAGGCACAGCAGCAACCATTCTGACAACCCCCTTTTATTTTACTTACCGCTCCCTCTCTCCTACTCCTCCTGACAGTCAATTGACAGGCTTCCCTAACCGCTCATATACAACCGTCTCAAAGAACCTGCCGACAAGGTCACCGACATCGATTGTCCCACCCAAGGTCCTCGGAACTGTTGCCGTCACAGCTGCCGTTGCATTCTGGAGTCAAACCACTGGCGTAAGCGACTGCCCTTCCTCATTATTCGTCAAGAGGAATTTTTTGGGCGAATGCAAAAAAGAAGGGAACTGACATGCATACCCTCTTGTGCCGTGAATCCGAAATAGGCACAAGCCGAGTGCGAGTCAAAAAAGGTCTCTAAGACACCTGAGAGTACAGCCGAGGAGGATAAACAACGTGTAAGTGTATAACATATGTACCCATGGACCAAGCTTACTCCGCTACATACGTATAGTGCTCAACAAGATGCCATCTTATTGACTATACTGCGTTGCTTTTGGTCGAGGTAGAAATTAGATGGATTGACAAAGGACTCGCCAATGCGACTCCGCATGGAGGAGTTTGTCAAGAGGCTTCAGATCGAGATCACATCCGAGTTGGAGAAACTCGACGGTAAAGCCAAGTTCAAGGTCGACCGGTGGACACGGCCCGAGGGCGGAGACGGTATCTCGATGGTGATGCAGGAGGGAGCTGTCTTTGAGAAGGCCGGCGTCGCAGTCTCGGTCGTCTATGGTATGCTCCCCCCAGCAGCCATTGCACAAATGCGTGCCAAGCATCCCAACATTGCCGACACCAAGGAGCCTATGCCCTTCTTTGTCACGGGTATCTCCTCCGTCATCCACCCCAACAACCCCAACGCGCCCACGGTTCATTTCAACTACCGGTACTTTGAGCTCGGAGCTCAGGACGAGAACGGTAAACCAGTGTCGTGGTGGTTCGGTGGCGGATCTGACTTGACACCCGCGATCCTCTATGAGGAGGATGCAGTCCACTTCCATGAAGTGATCAAGGAGGCCTGCGACAAGCACGACCCTCGATACTACCCAGACTTCAAGAAATGGTGCGACGAGTACTTTTACATTCCCCACCGTCAAGAACACCGCGGGATCGGTGGTATCTTTTTCGATGACCTCGACAACAAGTCGCCCGAGGAACTGTTTGGATTTGTCCAGAGCTGTGGCCATGCCTTCTTGAAGCAGTATATCCCAATTATGGAGAAGCGCAAGGACTTGCCCTTCACGGAGGAGGACAGGCATTGGCAGCAGCTTCGTCGTGGTCGGTATGTCGAGTTTAACCTGGTGTATGACCGCGGTACCAAGTTTGGATTGTTGACCCCCGGGGCGAGGACGGAGAGTATTTTGATGACGATGCCGTTGACGGCGCGGTGGGAGTACATGCACGAGCCTGATGTGCAGGCCCACAGCAAGCTCATGGATGCGCTCCGTGTCCCCAGGGACTGGGTCCCGTTTTCTCGTCCTCCCTCGACGAGAAGTAGTCGTTCAAGATCTAGCTCGAATAGCTCAAAAAGAACGTAATAGAAATCACGTGTATTTTAGCAGTCCAAAGTGTTTAGTTTTTTTTTTCTTTTTTTTTTTTCAGAGGTTGATGTAAACACCTACGACAAATGCTTCGGTTGCCATCAGTTCTACTTACACCCACCACCGACTCATAATACATCACCATGCCCCGCAAAAGTGAGTCTTTTGGCCATATAAAAGCAACACAACAAGCAATGGAGACCAATGCACCCCAGTGAACAGGACACCTCTTGTGCCATGACAATCGTTTGTTAACAAAGAACCCATTCCTCTACTTTCTCGCAATAGAAATCACCTCCAAGCGAATCCCTGCTAACCACAGGTACAAGATTGAGAAGCGTGTGAAGGACCATCACCGCAAGCTCCGCAAGGGTGCCAAGGCCAACCCCAACGCTCAGTACAGTATGTCTCCCCTTCCTACCGCCGCCATTGCTCCACTCTTCACCTTTCAGTTTTTGCCAACCAAGTATCATTCACTGAAATGTTCATTATTAACACTCTGTCCCTTCTTGTATATTCAATTGACGAAAACAGAGAACAAGAAGGACCCCGGTATTCCCAACAACTTCCCCTTCAAGGAGCAGATTCTTCAGCAGATTGCCGACCAAAAGATGAAGGAGCAGGAGGCGAAGGACCAGGCTAAGGAGGTCCGTCGTAAGGCTGCCGAGAAGGCCCGCAAGGCTAACAAGGCCAGAAACACCAACCCCACAGATGCAGAGGCAGCACCAACACCAGCAGCAGAGAAGAAGGATAAGAAGAGGAAGGCTGCCGCAGTGGAGGGTGATGATGAGGAGGCACCTACTTTGGTTCTTTCCAAGGCTGCTCAGCGCAAGGCAGAGAAGGCATCAACGACAACACCAGCGGCAACAAAGAAGACCAAGACTGCGGCGGCTACCAAGAAGGCTGGAAAGAAGCAGAAGGAGGAGGGGGTTGAGGATGCTCCTTATAACTTTGCTGAGCACTTTGCTCCCGCCGAGCAGGACGAGGAGGAGGAGTAAAAAAGAAGGACGACAAGTGAACACAGCACGCCCATTTTAGATTCCCCCCTTACCATTTTCAGTTTGCTCCATTCCTTTGTACTATTGTCTTTTTCTTTCATTACAACTCTTGCATATTCTAACTATCATACCATTGACCCATTGACTATTGTGTGCACATGGACGTGTTGCCACTGCTTCTCTAACCTGTGTGTGCCAACTGCTTGGAAGTGATCCGAAGTCGTTCATTTGATTGGCAGTCACACTGTCTCTCCAACTTGTTGTTCGCTGTGGCTTTTTCGTGTCCAATCGAGCCTTCCCGGGAACCCCTACTTTCATACAACTACTTCGACGCGACCTGTTTCTCTTCTTCTTGCTCACACACTTTTCTGCATTCATTTTCACATCACCAAAACAATGGCCAGCAGGACAACATTACAACTGCTCTCAAGGCGCGCCACCACCTTGGCCACCATGGCATCGCCTTCTAGGACCGCCGGCTTTTCGACCATGACCAAGGTCCTCCACCAACACAACGCCGCTAACAACAGCAGTAGCAATAACAGCACCAGCACCAGCCAACCAGAGACACATTTTGGATTCCAGAACGTGCCCGAGAGCATGAAGGAGGCTCTTGGTATGTCCTTCCTTCTTGGACTTCACTTTCAACACAGGATCGGGAATAATATGAAAAGCTGTTGCGTCTTGTACCTGAACCTGGATCAAACGAACCCATGATCTCGGACATTTCAATTGACTGACGAGATATCCCGTTTTTTTCTCTCTTTGGGTTGACCTGGCGCTCTCTTTCAGTCAAGCAGGTGTTCGCCAACGTCGCATCAAAGTACGACATCATGAACGACGTGATGAGCGGTGGAGTCCATCGTCTCTGGAAGGACCATTTCATGCGCACCCTGGCTCCCACTCCCGGAACCAAACTCTTGGACGTTGCTGGAGGCACTGGTACGTCGGTAGCAATACTTCTTTGCTATTCATATATGTTATCTGTTATCTTTACACCCCAGACATGTGCATGTGATTGAAGACCCCTCATCAATGCGACGCATTTTTCTCACGCCTTTTTCCTCTTTATTTGTATTTCGGTGTTTGTAGGTGATATTGCAATGCGCTTCTTGGACTACTGCAAGGAAACGCATGGAGATAGCACTGCTCAGGTCACTGTCTTTGATATCAACCCCAACATGTTGGAAGTCGGCAAGGAACGCTTCACCAAGACCCCCTACCACAACAGTACGGCATCCACCTTCTCTTCTTTCACCTCACACCTTGGAATTGACTCGCAGGAACAAACCGAAATTGGGGACGAACTCAGGCTAACGTAATGCTATGTATCGCCTCCATCTATTTTGAATAGCCTCGCAGGTGTCGTTCATGGAGGGTAACGCAGAGAACTTGGAGCACATCCCCGACAACTCAATGGACGCCTACACGATTGCATTCGGAATCCGTAACTGCACCCATGTCGATCGCGTTCTCAAGGAAGCCTACAGAGTCTTGAAGCCCGGTGGACGGTTCATGTGCCTCGAGTTTTCCAAGGTCGAGAATCCCGTCATTTCCAAGTAAGTTCTTTTCGCCTCCTCTTTTTTTCGCACTCCAGGATATTTGTAGTACTTGAATTAATGATTTGGAAGAGTTGTTGACGAAAACACACGACCCTAACAAAAAAAACTGTGCCTTTTTAATGCGTTGCAACTTGTTTTTTTTTTCACAGGGTTTACGACGTGTTCTCGTTCGACGTGATCCCAACAATGGGCCAGATTGTCGCCAACGACAGAGACTCGTACCAGTACCTCGTCGAGTCCATCCGCAAGTTCCCCCCTCAGAAGGAGTTTGCAAAGATGATTAAGGACGCCGGATTCACTGTCATGGGACAGGGGTATGAGGACCTCACCTTTGGTGTTGCTGCCATCCACTCTGGATTCAAGCTTTAGAGAGAGTGACATATGCTACAAACAGCCCCATCATCGATACCAGTTGGAAAACATAAGCAAGAACATTCATTTCGCAATACACACTTTCATTTTTTCAAGTTCACACACATACAAATCGCTGGTGCAGCGCAAATCGGACTTTCTCGTCAAACTTAGTTTGTAGCCGAACACCGTGACTGGACTGAGTGGCTGGACTGCGCGGCTGCGCATGCGAAGACATAAAGGGCACTCACCGACATCAAAGGAAGGAAGGAAGGAATGAATCCGATTTGTTTTTTTATTTCTTTGTAACTCGTCCACGCAATGCACCATCATCGCCACAACCTAGTTTCTTTTGATCCGTTTAGTTGTAGGTCATGTACTTGGGTGTACTGCTGAACTTGGCATACGACTTGATGACCTTGTTGACGGCCTCCAAAAAGTCCTTCTCCGTCGCCACCTTTCTCCTTGCGCGGATCGCAAACATACCGGCCTCTGTGCAGACAGAGCGCAACTCGGCACCCGTGCTGTTGGGGCACAGACGCGCAATCAGCTCATAACGAATATCGCGCTCAACACTCATCGACCGCGCGTGGATCTTCAGGATATGGGCACGACCTTCAAGATCGGGAAGCGAGAACTCGACCTTGCGATCCAAACGTCCAGGACGCAACAAGGCTGGGTCAAGAGTATCGGGTCTGTTGGTCGCCATCAGGACCTTGATGTTACCGCGAGAGTCGAATCCGTCCAGCTGGTTGATCAGCTCCAACATGGTACGCTGGACCTCGTTGTCTCCTCCTGCACCATCGTCGAAACGGGCTCCTCCAATAGCGTCGACCTCGTCAAAGAAGATAATACAAGCCTTCTTGGTCTTGGCCATCTCGAACAACTCACGAACCATACGAGCACCCTCTCCAATGTACCTATTCATTGTAAAACAAAACGTCAAAGTATATAGTCATTAGTGAAGGCTCTTTCAAGGCAGAGGCAATGGATTCCGTCTCTGTGTTCCTTTTGACGCATAATCCACGGTGATACATACTTTTGCACGAGCTCAGATCCAATGACACGAATGAAGGTGGCGTCGGTACGGTTGGCAGCGGCACGAGCACAGAGAGTCTTTCCGGTTCCGGGGGGTCCATAGAGCAACACTCCCTTGGGAGGATCAATACCGAGATTGACGAACCGCTCAGGCTGAAGCAGTGGCAATTCGACGACCTCTCTCAGCTTCTCAATCTGTTCTTTGCATCCTCCCACATCGCTATAGGTGACATCGGGCTTCTCCTCGACCTGCATCATCGTCACCGAGGCGTCGATCTTGGGTGGCAATGGGATCTGAATGTGATATTTGGTGCGGTCCACTCTATTTTCACAAGGGATACAAAAAAATGACATTCAGTCAGCACACGTTCATTGACGAAATCCAATTGAAACGATCCATTCTTCTTCCATGAGTAGAAAACACCGGATCGGCATAACGTACCCTACGCGAATGCCCTCGTCGATATCTGTAGGCGAGACCTTCTCTCCCAAACCGACCACAAACTTGGCGATCTGCTTGACGTTAATGACATATTTTGCTGGCTCGTCGCCCGTCGCCTGAATAATCTTTGTGCATCGTGCGACCTATAGAGACATACAAAAAGCGGCAGACAATGTTAGCCCACAACAGTTCACCTTGACATTCACGCTTCCTGGTATACCCTTTCCAGGACTAAATCGCCGACATAGGAAAAAGGGCAACGTATAGGTCGACTTGCCTGAAGTGGCTGCTCCTCTCCCATGCGCTGCTTATCTGCTGGAATGTCCCACAAGCTGGGTGGGGCCAATCCTGTATCCGACTCCTTGACGCCAATCTTTTCGTTCACGCGCTTTTGCGCATCCTTGATGTCGTTCTCGAGCTTTCTCAAGTCCTTGGCATAAGGTCCCTGGCCCTGTTTGATGTTGAAATGCAAGATGAAGGAAGATGTGGCGGGCGCGTTGGTTAGTTATAGATCGAAAGAGTTGTACCATTTTTCTTTGTCGGTACTGCGTAAGAACGAAAACGAAAACAGAAGGGCACTTGCGTAGGTCTTGAGCAAAGCGATATCGCCCTCATCCAAAGCAACAATATTCTCGCTGTCCTTGCCGTCAACGGGCTTCTCGTCTATTGTCAAAAGTAAGGAACGAGGTAACGGAAGTAAGTGAGTGATCCATGCTGATACGTATGCCTCTGTTGCCCTGGGATCCTTTGTCCACTGCTGTCCTTTTTCTGACGCGTAAGGAAGGGTGGTTCAAAGGCCAAAGCACCAGGTGCGAAAGGTCATGCCTGCAGACGAGTAGCCCTACGTACATTTCTCCCAGTTCTGCTTTGGTGGTGCCATGGCGTCTGAAAGTTATTCCTGAGTTGGTGAGAGTTGGTGATGGGTGTCTGCTGCTGGCTTCTGTAGAGGTGTCGTAGGAGAAGGCGTGTTTGTTGGTTTGTTTGTTATAAAAGGCGAATGGTTGTGCTTTGTTGATGGACAGAAAATTAAAGAGGAAAAAAGAAAAGAAGAACACGCTTTGACGGACTACCATGAGACCACTCTACTGCGAGGAGAGGGGGACGCGCAATGGGCAAGAGCTCGTCAGTCCACTCCCTCGCACCCAAGAGTTACTCGTCGCTGAAGAAATACCAATCGCACATTTAATGTCACGTGCTTTTGGAGTGTCAATGTTCCAGAAATATTTCACCAACTGGCTTGTGGAAGCCCAGCGTTCACGGCGACGTTGCTTTTTTGATCCCTCGATATCGGCCATACTCAAGCAGAATCCAGTAAGCGTTTTAGGGAACGTGAGTTAGGTTTAAACCGACGTGAGACAGGTTTGTATTACCCTACTTTGTGGGGTTATGCTGAAGGGCGGAAAGGCCATGTGATGTTTCCTGTTTATAACAATGTCAAATATTGGAAGAGATAACTCCATTGGTTGCAGGCGACCTTAATGGGGTATTGTAAGCAGTAAAGTAACCTTGTTGCTACGATCTGTTGAGATTAAGCCCATCGTTCTATAGATATGTTCGAAAACGTCTCTTTTTTTTCCTTCAGGCGCCCAGGTTAACAGCAGTTCAACATATGCCGCGCCGGCCGGGGTTTTGCGGGTAGCCTGGTTGATTTCCGATCGGTTGAGCCCCTAAGCGCGTACCTGTGTTGAATGGGTCACTCACGACGACACCCTCTCCCCCCAGCCTGAAGAAAAAAAAGTAGCTCTTTGCCAGGTAATATCGATGCGGCAAGTGGCTAGAAAACAAAAAGTGATTGCGCCCTCTTTTTTGATCTGACCCAAGTTACGCCACAAGTCGACGATGTTTTTGTTTTCGCTCTGTTCCAAATGAGAGGCAGTCAAATTGTTGTACTTGGGTTTTTAATTGCTTTCTTCGTTGTATGAAGAGTAATGGATTTGAGGAACCCACTCATCCATGTAATAAAAGTTGTGACTATAGTTATCCTCTGTCATCTCTATCCCCCTTTGCATATGCTCCTTGGGCATCGTGCTGATAACGTGGCAGTTGGGACAAACGTAGGCTGCTACGAAGCTTAAACTGCTCCCAGAGGTCATCAGATACTTTGAGGCGATCAGAAAACGGATCGTCGCCTCTGTCGACTCCACGTCATGATACTGTGCATCCGGGAGAGCTCGTTTTATATCCCGCAGCCGCTTCCAATTGCTCCATGACCAGACAGAGGGTTGATAGTAAATGAAATGTACCCTGTCGGCAGGAAGTGATATCGAAAGCTTTCGTCTCATTCCTTCAATGATCCTGACGTAGGTCTCAGGTTGCTCCGAAACCGTGATGTCGCCAAGCCGAATGTGAATCGCCAGACGCTCCACTTGCTCGACTTTGTGTTGTCCTTGTCCTTGCACTGTCGATTCGTTGGCCTGCAGCAGATCACGGATGTCCCTCGTGGCATTGAAGAATGAAAAGTCCGCATGGAAACAGTTGGGGTCTGGTCTGGGGTTATACTCGGGACAGTTGTAAGAGTTGCGTCCTCCAAAGCCGAGGAGCGGACTCCGCAACTCGAGCTCGTTCATCTGAGCGTAAGCGTTGGCGGTCGTATCTCGATAATTGTATATTGGTATCCACTGGCTCAAATACATCCCAAAGGATTGACCGTTTGGCTCTGTCGCAAGTTCTTGAGGTACAGGGTATCGCTGTCGGATGAGATCTCCCAACCACCCCAGGTAAGCTTGCCGGAAGTTGCGGACAAACGTCTTCTCATTAAAGACATACTGGAGACCGTTTTTCCTGGCGAAGTAGATACCCATCAGGAGCTCACTGAACTTGTCCCATTCCTTGATCCGCAAAGTCGTGTGTGAAGTATTTCAGTTCAGGCAGAGGAGCTTTGTCGGAGTTGAGGGGTGGGTTCCTCAACAATCTTGTCGGGTCTGGTAAAGCGCAATTCAGGCGCACTATGGAGTAATGGCAATAGCCTGGATAGGACCTTGAGTTGCAGAGCTTTAAAGGACCAGTCTGTAAAGAATGCACAATGGTACTTACATTACGAAATGTAAAACGATGAATACTGAGAGTAGCAGTCAGAGATACAGGAAATGCTTCCTGTGAAATAGTGTCTTTGACATCACTATTTGTTGAATTGTCAGTGGTAATGGGGGTCAGTATACAGAAACGGACTCTTGGGGAGCCACGGCAACTAAGAAATAAAATTTACTCTGGAGTGCCCTTGTCGAGAATCTCTGTTGGGCAGGGGCAGAGTTGACCTTTTTCAAGGCTGCATTGGGCTGAGAGAGAGTGAAAAGGAAGAAATAGGGAAAGCAAAATGGTCAACGTATTGTGGGGCCTTTGGGGTATATATATGGGTAACGAGAGCTAGTAATGGAAAGGAAGGGCAAGAAGCAGATGATGTTTATTATACAGGCGAAGTAAGAGAACAGTCCACGATACTATCACACAGTGCCTTTCTTCGACCAATCCTTCCTTTACCACTGTTCTAGTTTTGATACTTTCCATTGCCCTCATTCTGACACACTCCGCAAACGCTGTTTGAACGGGGACCTGTACTTCCGGCCGTGTGCGATACTGGTGCCTGGTGGTAAAAGATACAAGTTTTTTGAGTTTGGGCCGGAAGAATGGTTATGAGGAGGCACAGAACAATTTTTAATCGATCGCATATTTTACCTGGGGCCGAAGTATGATTCTCTTGACAGAGGTATTTTTACAATTGCGATCAAAAAATTTACCAGATGCGTATCAATGTCGCCTAGTCGATGATCAATGTTGTCGTTTTTCGCACTTTTGGGTTTTCGACTCTTGTCCATTAACATGGATTTGTAGTATTTCATCTCAGGAACATGCCAGTACAGATTTTAATGAGATTGGTGGAGAGTAAACGAAGAAAGACGATCTCCAACATCCTCCAAAAGTGATCTAGGTGAGCCATCCTTTTCTTCAACCCTTCACATGAATGATAGCTATGGGTTACAAGTATTAACGTGGGGTCCCCAGAAAAAAAGAGTGAGTGCATTGGGGGAACATGTCGTAGTCTATAGTGGAAGAGAATAAAACAAAGGAATAAAGAGAAAAGAATAGCGCGACAGAGATAGATACATATCTATATATGGAGAGAGAGAGAGAATCACTTTATTTCAAGTCGTATACTACTTTGTTATGTCTACTGTTGTCCTTCTTTTTAGGACGACAGCACCCATGACCAACCAATCATTAGAGGAGATGAACAGATTCCTCGTTCGCAATGGCGTCTCGGGAATAACGAGAGAAGGACTTCACTAGAGAACGAAAGCGATCGTGCATGCGATTTTGTTCACGTTCTTCTTCAGGAGTCTCGTTTCCCTTGATATACTCTTACTTGAAGTCCAAAGCGGTCGTGGGGATGGTAGCGGTTCCTGGAACATAGAAGTTGTTGTTAAGCGAAAGGCGAAGATTGCCAGGGAGCTTGCGGATGGCCATAAGGATGTGCTTGAAGAGACGACGGTGTCGGAGAAAATACTCGCAGGAGCAACTGTTCATCTAACCATCAGTCAGTGATAAGCCGTAATAAATGGCTGGGAAGGTGCAAGGGATCTTATTTATTATCCATAAGGGCTTGTATCAGGAAAGTGCGATGGATACTCAGTTGGCTACTGGTCAAAACAGTTACGCGGGGCTTCGAATAACAGTATTGATAATAATAGCGCTTGTTTTTACTTATATTACCTTCCTAAGGCTTGGGCGGTTTAACGAGCGGAAGAGAGGGGCCAAATGGGGTGAAGAGGGAGGCCAGATAAGGTGTGGATGTGGTACGGATGGGGCGTGGGTGGGGAGGGGAAGGAAGGGGAAGGAAAAGGTGAGGAAAAAGGGCTTTCCACAGGTATCGCGTTTTGTACATGAAAAACCCCTTAATGATAGAGACCTTTGCACCTCAACGAATGTAGTATCCTTTGCCATCTTTGCCATACTCACCTTTGTCGCCATTCCACGCCGTCACATGCCTTTGCCATTCCATCCTCAGTTCGCTTGCCTTTGCTAACATCACTACACTCATCTTTCCACAAATCTCGCGCTCTTCACGTCAGCCCTCATCAACACTACCGCAGCTTTTTGTTATTATTTATTATTTCCGCCCCTTTTTCATCTCCCGCTGTCTTTGTCTTGACTTTCTTATGATCCCGTCCTGGCATAGGTAACGTTATATCGCGCGTCTCACCATCTCACTTCTGCCTCTTAATTTTAAATGCCAGATAGAAGAAATGCGGTTGTGTACTCACCATTTTGGATCATCTTTCTAACTAGATTGAACACAATGAAGCAGAGACTGCCCGATGTAATTGCCGGTATGCTTACCGATGTGGTGTTTTATATCACAATTACCAATCAGACCCCTGCCGATATTCATGCGAGAGTTACAACCACTGGTGGAGGCAGTAAGACCTTCTTTGACGTGACTCCAGGCAACTCGGAATCATGGATTAGGTCTGATTGGCAAGTAGCCTTCGTTTTAAGGGATGATACTGGTGCCACCGAGACATTTGTTGTGAAGCCTGGTAGTACTTATACCATAGCTTAACATGGTGTATGGTAGTATTAAAAATCTCTCTAATTAATCATTGCAATGCAGCTTGAGGACACTCCTAATTAGGAGGAATAACGTGGGAGAGGACAATGAAGAAAAGGTGTGGGAACAGAGACAATGGTGATGAGGGAGTAAGGGTGGTAGCTATAGAAGTGGTGTCAAGAGATTTTCTTTGGCAGTGAAGTCCTAACGCAATTTTTCATCATAGCTTGATAAGTACTCATCTGATGTTCTGTTCTCGATGCGATTCGTTCCAAACCATGCAAATTGGATTCTGTATGGCGATAAACGTGAATCGGAAGTATATTTCGTCTCGTCGAGCCTATACTAGTCGCCTCATAAAATAGAGGTTGATATGGTGCGGAACACGCAAAGAAACCAATATCAGTGGAGCAAAGAAAAGAAAAGTAAAAAGAGGCAAAAGGGGTATGCGAAACGCGAAAGGGACACATGGCACACCTTTTGGGTCGCCCCTCTCTTTACCAAGGAAACGAAGCTGAACCCTGATCCCCTATGTTCTGTACTGACCTTGATCCTATCTACGCGGCCATCGTTTCAGCTTGTAGCGTCTCGGTTATGTAGTTTTGTTTTCTTTCTTAGGCCTTGTGTTCGCAGCATTGTCCTTCAGCGTTTCAACGTTATATTTTTACGCATGTGAACAGATCAGCTAGGAACCAAGGGCTGCCCACTTTTTTTCAACCAGAATTCATGCGCACATCCCAACCCCCCTTTCAAGAGACCAAGCAACAGGCAACAATGCCAATAATATTTTTCAATGTCAAAGCGAACAGCCAGCCAGTAAGAAAAGTCAATGGCAAATGCAAACAAAAAGCGAAAAGAGAATATTTTTGATTGTTTTTGGTTTTTAATAATAGTGTTACAGATGCGAAAAGCGATGCGAAAAAGATTCTAAAGTGGGATATATGTACAACGACTCGATGTGTTGGTCAAGTATAGTTGAGATGGTGTGTGGAAGAGAGCTGGATGGGAAGCCAAGAGTACTTTTACTTCTGGCGAGCCTCATAGACCTCAAGCTCCTCGGGGCTCATGCCGCGCTTCTCAATCTCCTCGAGGGTCATACCCTTGGTCTCGGGGATGAGGAAGGTGGCGAAGAAACCGAGGGCCATGACACCGGCGAAGATTCCGAGCAACTGGGGCAAGAAAGCGTGCTCACCGGTCTTGCCACCGATCTCAGCGACCTTGTTGAAGAGGAAGGTGGCCAAGATGGCACCGAGCTTGCCAGAGGCGGCAGAGATACCGTGGGCGGTGGCGCGGACACGGGTGGGGAAAACCTCACCGGGAACGACGAAGGTAGTGGTGTTGGGTCCGAAGTTGAAGAAGAACTGGGCCAAAGTGAAGACGGCGACGAAGAGGGGCACGATGGTTTTGAGCTTGTTGAAGGCGAGCGAGAGGATCAAGAAGAGGATGGTCAACATGGCGAAACCCATGAACTGGATCTTCTTACGGCCCATCTTCTCGATAAGGAAGACGGTGAACCAGTAACCGGGGACGAAACCGAGGAGGGAGACAATCAAGTTGCCGAGGGTAGTTCTCCAGAGGTTGTCAAAGACCTCACCGTTGCCGACGAAACCCATGGCGTTCAAGACGTAGGACTGGTTGAGGGAGATACCATAGAAGGCAATGTCGAGCAAGAACCAGGTTGAGGAGGTACCGATGAGGACCTTGAGGTTCTCCCAGCGAGAAAAGTATTCCATGAAAGCACGGTTGTGGTTGCGCTTGGCCTTGGCCTCGGCGACGGCAGCCTGGTTGGCGACGGCATCAGCGGCGGTGGTGGTGGTGGTGGCTCCGTTGTCGGTGGCACGGGCGACGGCAGCGTTGGCCTTCTCGACATCGTTCTCGACATCCATGGCGTAACGGGGAGACTCAGGCATGGTCAAGCGGAGGTAGATGGTGGAGACGGCAGGGAGACAACCGAGACCGACGCAGATACGCCAGACGTAGTCGAGGTTGTCGACATCGGCCTGGATGGCAGTCTTGAAGCAGGCGAGGACGATGAGGGTCATGACCGAGGCCATCATGTTACCGATACCCTGCATGGAGAAGATGATGGACATGAGCTGACCGCGGCGACCGGCAGAGGCCCACTCGGAGGTGACTGTGGCAGACATGGGATAATCACCACCGATACCGATACCGAGGATGAAGCGCCAGAAGGTGAGGTACTCGATGACGGTGGAGCCCTTGGCGTTGGATCCGGCCATGGCGCATAGCAAGGTACCAAGAATGATGATCATCAACTCCATACCGTAAATCTTTTGGCGACCGTAGGTGTCACCGAGGTAACCAAAGACGAGCTGACCGATGAGGGTTCCGACGGAGGCCATACCCTTGAGGGCACCCTCAGTGCCAGTGGGGATGTGTCCGCCGGTTTCCTTGAAGTAGACGTAGCCCAACATGGGAACGATCAGGTTGATGATGAAGACGTCGTAGGCATCGGTAAAGAAACCAGTTCCGGAGGTGATGAGGGTACGGATGGTGAACCAGTTCCAGGACTGCTGCTCCTCGAGGTTCTCAAGACCGCCCTTGGTCTGGGGCTCGAGGGAGCTGGTCTCGTTGATGGAGGGAGCCTTTTCGGCGTAGTGTGCGGATGAAGAAGACATTGTTGTGTGTATGTATGTGTATGTGAAGGAGGAGAGAGAGAGAGAGAGAGAGAGAGAGAGAGGGAGGAGTAAGGGAGAAGAGGAGAGTGAGAGAGAAGAGGAGAGTGAGAGAGAGAAGAGGAGGTAGTGAGGAACGACTGCTGAAGAAGAGGAGTGAGGAAAAAAAAAAAAAGTGGGCGACTGCAAGGTTTTTATAGCTCCAACAAGGGGGGGTAAGGTAAGGGAGAAGGAGACCAGTTGCAGAAGAGCAACAAGATCAGATCCAAAGGGGCACATTGGCCTCATTGGACTAGGGTGCAAAGAAACTCAGCGAAAGGGATCGAGGGACTTTGAATTTCAATCCCAGGAATAAAAAAAATAATCGCGTGTGGGTGGTACAGACCAAAGCGACATCTTTGTTTTTTCTTGTGGTCGTATTGGGTGTTGCCCCCATTCCTTCTTGGCCATAATGAGAGTTGGTCTGTCCAGGGGTCCCTCTCCACCTGTCTCGCAAACCCAAAAATAATATTCAAGCATCTAGCCAATCAGGATGATATCCCAGAAAATCACCGCCAGCCAATTGAATACCGCACGTGTGGTGGGTGCAGCCCTATTCCCCTCCAAGCGAACTGGAACGTGTTCTCTGAACTGGCCAGAAATTCTTTCCACTTTAAAAGCCCTGCTTACTCAGGAGATAAGGTTCATCCGTACTCGTCCGTCCATTGGTCAGCTCCAGCCAATCAGAACCCCTACCAGCAATGCGTGCCTGAATCTCTGGCCTCTCACACTCGATGCACTCTCGCAAAGAGCGAATCATACTACACCGTTAGCCTCGATTAGTTTTCCTGCAAGAAAAAAAATGTAGATGCCAAGGGGTATCTGCATACAGCATCATTGTTTTCTTTTTGCACAAAAAAGATACATCTGATCCACTCACTCGATTGCTTTTGGGATTTCAAGGTCCCCTTGGACCCCTACCCTTTGACGAAAACTGCTATTCGTAGTTCTCTCCAACCCAGAGTGTCTTGCTCTGCCATCTTCGTCAACTGTCTTATTTTTTCGTGTTCGCGCACCCGTAAGACCTCCTTTGAACGAAAAGAAAAAATTGTCCCTCCTGTCTCATACCATTAATGGGAAAACTAAAAAAAAAAAAAAAAAAAAAGTCCAGCGATCGGTTTCTTCATGCTATCTCTCATCACACTGGGCAAAATGAATAAAAACAACAGAAATGGTCTTGAGGGTGTGTGAGAAAATGGTGAGTCTGTATCTCTGTAGAACTGTGAAAAGAAGAAGGGTCGTCATTACAAATTGCCCTCCTTCTCTCATTGTCGTTTTCTTTTTGATGCCCTCTCTCTCTCTTGGTCACATCTACCAGTTAGCATAGCAATGAAGTAATCTAGTGGTGTGTGCGGAGTCCATCATCATCAATAAAACGACCAACTGTGATACTTTGAAATATTAGTGTCCGCTGGCTCATTTTTACTTTCTTTTTCGACCGCTCTCATCGAACCAACGGATGAGAAAGAGTCCCACACGTGTGGATGGTCTTGCCAGTTCTTTCGTTGATTTGACATTAACACACAGCCACCATCTCGCCTAAAAGAGACAAACATGGACCACTCCACTTTCTTGATCTTGTTGCTGTGGTTAGTCTCTTGGTATTAGTTTTCCCGACAAAAAAAGGGCGAAAAAAAAGAAATAAGATCTCGGAGAACTAGTTATTCACCATGCACACATGCTACGCCGTGTCTCTGGGTGATTTTTGACATATCGTCTAGGATACAAAAAAGAGAGATGAGGTACTTGTATAGGGTGTTATTGTTTCTGAGAGGGAGAATTGAGCATCGAGCGAGACGGTAACGCCTCAAAAGGTTAGAACGCACACATAGACAGCTTAGAACGTCGATGGTGGAACGACAGTGTGCTCAAGACATCCATCATGTCAAACAGCTTGCTAGTCCCACTTTGCGATGTGATCAAATGGTCATCTTTTTTTTTCTTGATACTAGAGATGGCAAGTTTCCTGTTTGCTAGAAGAATGGGTAGGCGTCGTGGGGATAGAGGATGTCATTGACCAGAGAAAAGATCGAATGAAGACTTTCTTCTTGTACGGATTCTTGATCCAGTACTCGGTGGCACCCAAGGACAAGGCAGGCCACATTGGCTCCAACTATCAAAAGAACCAACCAACCCGGCATCTCGTCGCCATTTAGGATCTCAACCGTATCATACGCAATGTAGAGAATCGATGCATCCCAGTCGACAACAAAACTGTTTCCCAGAGAAGCAATGTAGTCCGTGGCCTTTGAGGATACATTGAGGATCTCAGGGAAATAAACGACTCCTTGTTGTAGCGCGAGACCGAGGGGACGTGGTGCATTCGAGGTCCCAAGAGTCACTCTCATTGTCTTGTTCGTTGTCGTTGTGGCGTGTGCGATTGCTTTGGCAATGTCGGAGGCGTTCTGCAAGCCGTTCTACAATGGGTTGCTCTACAAGGTCATCTTTCGCGAGATCGAGTCGAAGGAGGAGACGACGCCAATGCTGATGAACTGCCTTTGAGGGTGATGAAATGCCCCCCTCAAGGATAGCGAGAAACCGGAAGGCACAGCAGCAGCGCAGGACATGCCTTGCTCCCAATCGACAAGACACCAACTCAATAACCACCGACCCAGCAGGGTGAGTGTTGGATGAGATCCCTCTGAGCCCTGATATCCAGGAGTCTCCATTGCCACCAACACCAACGCCAACAGTGAATATCTTAGTTGAGTTGCAACACGTCCTTCATCTCAACCAACCACCCTGCCCAGCGAGCCCACCTCCTTTCCCTCTGCCATCTGCAACTTTGGGACACTCCAAGTCTCTCCTCATCCTATTCGTGCCGCAAACCACCCACTGCAAGAACCAAATGAAAATCAAAATCAATTTTGATCCAGAACCCCTTTTAATATTTTTAATAGCAAGACAGCATCGACCCACTTTTCCCCTTGGTATCGCTCACACCCCCTTTTTGAAGACAATTATTCATTTTCTTTCGTCTTTTTCTCATCCATCACGCCACCTACCACTCTCTCCCATTCCCCACATTCACAAAAACTATGAAAGACGTGAGTCGAAATAGCAGCATCAGCTACTTGCATTCAAGGAACCTCGACTGTGAACAACAATGAGACCCATGGGGTGTAGCAAAGGATGAATGAAACTGCCGAATGACTCGCCGTTCTTGTACTTTGTACTGCACCTTGTCAACCCTTAGTCCGTCTCTCGCCCTCATTCTCTCCGGACTAGCGGAATCTGACAGAACCGACAGTGGACGTAACAACACACACACACACGGCCACACATACCACAATTATGCCTCTGCCGCTACCACGCCCAAGATCGGCGCCGGTCTGGGAGGTAATACAACGGACCACCCAGGTCTCCTTCGCCTGCGTTCCCCCATACCACAAGCAAGTTCGTTCAAGCCTGGGACGTCCCCTTTATAATAGACACCCAAGACCACAATCACACAATCACATGGTCCGGGATCCCCTGTTTGTTCAGAGCATCTGAAGCGCCCGCCCGATTACATGCAACTGCACGGGCACCGTCAGATGGAGACTTTGATCGAAACTATCGTATCCGCACTCTCGACTCACCCAGATTCTCCAAAGTTCATTACCAATACCTTGATAACTCACAGGGCTGGAGAGGGAGTCCGCAGTGCGCTGGACCGAGGTGGAGCGGATGATGCGAGAATTCGAACAGGGAGAGCACGACGTCAAGGCGGCAATTTTTTTGGCCGGCAAACATGACACCATGGAGTACTAGCAATTTCGTCCGCATCAATAACCAAGAAAAAAGTGGTGCGCACAATGATTAATAGGGTCCTATCAGGCGCTGTTGCTGAGGTCAGGCCGGCTTCCGAAAGTCGTGGACCTGGATGGGTGGCCTTCACGGTCGCAGGATCGACGAAGAATCACTGTCAGATTCTGTAATCTCCAGGTAACGCCGATGTTCATCTTTTCGAGACTACTGCAATGTTAGGCTCAGTGTCGCTGTATCGGTTGCCGAGCAAAACCAAGGTCTTGTTTGTCCGACAAGCACCGGGAGCGTGTCGCGTTGTTGGGAAGTACCTAAAACACTAGTCCTTTTAGTGAGTGTTGTCAATGTCTTATGCCAAGCCGATTCAAGCAATTCGCAAATACAGACATACCTCTTGACCCTAATGCGTGTTCGCATGTCCATTCTTTTATGTCGAAGAAAAGATGGTAAACAATTTAATAATCTGTCAGAAAGTTGAACACTAAACCTAAAGTCGCCTCTCATCTCCCTTTTGCGGCTTTCTTTCTGATATAATTCGTCAGTCCTCAAACTAATGCGTGTTGGTATCGATCTGGTGCAATCTAGGCTCGGTGTTGGCCCCTCCATAGGTCAGCTTCTTTGAAACCACGAAATACAACGGTCGCCTATACTTGGTCTCGACCCAGTACTCCGTCGCACCCCAAAATGCCAAACTACCGACCATAACTCGGATCATTGTCCAAAACAACTAGCGCGGGGCCTCGTAGACCTTGATGATATCGACTCTGTCGTAGGCGACGTACAGCGTGGACTTCTCCCAATCTAGGATAAAGTTCGGTCCGAGGGATGCAAAGTAGGCGGCAGGGATGATCTTGGGGTCGTGGGGTCGTGAATGACGGCTCGTCGGTAGAGGCCATGGGAAGGTGATAGAATGACAACATCTATTGGGGTTTGAATACTGCAGGAGGCGTCATATTTCCAGGAAATGTAAGCGGGATCGGTCATACACAGTCTGCTGCCGCTGCAGACCTAAGCACGGACCTCGGCGCCTACGATCTTGACCTCGATAACAACCACTTGGTGGCGAGGATCTGCCGCTAGGTTGGTGAGAGTACCGTTGTTGACCGACTCCTACATACCTAACACGAGTTCGTCCTGGTCAATGAATATCGATGAACCAACGGCATGAACTCTTTCTGGGTCGTTATGAAAAAGAGGATACTGGCAAGAGGGAGGTTGACCATTTCCCCTGACGAGAGCAAGCACTTGCTGAGGGCAATGGTCGGAGAAGCGATGTGGCCGATTCTTTTAGTATGAAGAAATTGAAGCTGGTGCCGAGGGTAATTAATTTACACCGATGATGCCATACGCTTTCCGCCCGAACCCTCTTGTTTCGGGATATGTCCGCAATTATTGCACAAGAACCTCTTTCTTACCTAGTCCACTGTTCACCATCTTCCCAGAGGACGGTATCACCACATTGCTTCGAACAGACTTCCTCCTCCTCTCCCACCTACTTAATCCTCAGCTTTCATCCAAAACCCTTTTTGGTAGCTGATCTCTTCTTCTGCTTTCTTATTTTTCATACCTCGACAATACCAAGGAATAAAAAATAGCGAGCATGGGCCATGCCATGCTTTGAACTCTAACCCTAACTCATTTTTTTTTGTTCGCATTGCTTACCTCTTCGATACTTTTTGGTGTGATGTCTTCCAGCACCATAAACCCCATATAACAATGAACGAGCAAAACGAAAAAAAAAAAAAAAAAAAAAAAAAAGTTGGTCAACAACGTAGCTCACATTTTCCGAGCTTTACCTCACACAACACACACATTCAGGCGCCATCACCTGATCACTTCCTTCGTTCACTTTGCCCCAGCAGACAAATTCAGGAACTATCCCTTTTCCAGTACTCCGAGTTTGCTGAATTTTTTTTGGCGGGGAAAATCAAGCCGTCTTTTTGAGAGCCAATCGCATCAACAACACCCCTCATTAGGGAGTGAACCCTGCTCAACCAACAGTCGAGAGGCCCTGAGAAGAGCCTAATAAAGTAAACACAAATGAGCGCTTATTTTCCATGCAATTCGACTCTCCCACCATTCACCAATCACCATTTGTTTAGTGTTGTCAAAATAGCGGTGCGCTTGATGTCTTGAGGTGCAAAGTTGCCGTTGGAGATGTTGGGGTATATAGTGCGGATAAGTTGGATCTCGTGCTCGTTGTTGAGATTGGGTCTATATGGCGTAAAAAGGATATGGTCGGAATCCTGATATAATCACCAGAGTCGTCAAATGAATATGTCTGCTCCTTGCTTTCACCCACATGTAGCAAAAAATCGACAAAGGAAAAAGAGCTGCTCTCGTCCGCCTTCACTCGCATGTTGCGAGTTAGCTTGAGTGTCTTGACCTTGGGCCAAATGGTGCCAGACATTTTTTACACATGCGCCCTCGATCTGAGACTGAGATCCATGAACAACCACCGGCAACACCTGTCGAAAATCGCCACCAAACACGACAATCTTTCCGCCGAAAGGAACCAAGGGTCGATCCATAATATGTCAAACGACCCGGTCCACCGACTCAAAGATATCTCGATGCATCATGGGCGCCTCGTCCCAGATGATGAGGTTGGCCGCATGAATAATGGATCTGACTTGTTGCTCGCGGGTAATATTGCAGGTCGAGTCTTTGAAAACCGGAAAGGGGACCTTGAAGACAGAGTGTGCAGTGCGTCCACCATAAAGGATCAGAGCTGCTATACCAGACGACGCGAGGACAACAACATTACTTCTCATAACATCGCTGATTTGTTCAATCAGTGTGTTGCAGAGAAAAGACTTGCCAGTGCCACCTGGCCCGTCAATAAAATAGAGGTTGGTCCTTCGGTGGCGGATGGGTATGGGGACGGAGACGGAGGCGACGATTTTGTCCGCTGCTCGACATTCAAGGCTTGGATGTGGGAGCCGGCCAGCTTGGCGAGTTCTTCACGCGATTTTTCGCTGTGGTCGGAAGCGGACTTTGGGATGTAGCGGAGAATGCTGTCGCTGATGTCTCGTGGCATAGTGGGAAAGGCGGCTAGGGAAGATCCGAGTGCCTTGAGATTGGAGTCAATGGCCCATAAGACATTCCTCATCGCCTCGATCTTGACATCGTCATCTGGCTGAAGGCTGTCGTTCTCCCACTTTTCTTTCGACCAAAAGATAGGATGTCATCGTACGTGTATATGGGGTGATCGTCCCAGAGCTTGCGGGGCCCAGAGGGAGCACAGTTCACCAAGACGATGCAAAAGAGATGGCGAAGCGACTTTGAAAACTTGGAATAAGAGGCTTCCTTATGGCAGAGTTCCCACTCACGGTCGTCTTCCAGAAGGTGGAGGGTCAGGGCGGCGTCTCGAAATGTATCGCAGAGGGCGTTATTGACGGTAAGGACACGTTCAAAGCAGGTGGTACCCTTGACATGCAAAAGGAGAGGTCGAAGAAAGAACCTCTCGCCGTCCTTAGGGTGGACAAAGTAGATCCGGGCAATCTCGAAGATGTCCTTTTTTTCCCTCTTGTTCCACTTGCGGTTGCTTTGGTCGTAAGTGTAATACTCAGGAATCTCGGCGTATGTATATTTGTGTGCATCCTTGTCCTCTTGGTTCAGCTTGAAGTTGGCCATCAGCTGACTGCCGTTGTTACGGCGGACGACACGGAGTAGATCCGGGTTTTTGATAAAGGTGACGTTGTGCTGGCCTGGGAGATGGACCTGCAGACTTTGCACAACAGACGATTGACCGTACAAAGGATATCCGAGGATGCGCCACATGCTCTCATGGGCAGAGAGGTATCTCATATCGCGAAATTCACGAATCTCGTTGCGTGGAGGATCCTAATATACAAACGACGGTTAAAAAATATGTAGAGAGTGAGAAAAATAGTAAACAAGGAGCTGCAATGATCAGAGGGAAGGTCAACATCAAAACATAAAGGAGTGCTAAAACACCAAAAATGGTTAGCCATTCAAATAAGGGAATGTATAGCGCGAAGCTAAATGGAGTGGGTGAGAAAGTAACAAAGAAAGGATGTATTAATCTTTCATCTGGTATTGTTGGTTTTTCCTCGTTTTAGTAATATTGATGAGTGCCAAACGGTCAAGAAAAATGATGACCATTTGGCACAACATTGGTCCAATCATATTTATTTAGGATCGTCAACGACCAAGACACTTCGCACTCTTTTCTACCTTTTTGAGTCCAATCGTACGGTTAACGAGCCAACAATATTCATTTCGCACTCTTCCCAAATAGGATTTTGATATTGACCTGCCCTCAGGCTTCCAAAAAAAATGCCAAAAGAAAATGCCTCCTTGTTTGCTGCATTTTTGTGGTCTGTAGTGACTGAGCTTTGACCAGTGGTGGCAGTGCTGGACCCTGTAGTGGTGGTTGTGGCGGAGCTAGAGCTTGTTGCAGTAACTGTGGCAGTGACGGCGCTGGTGCTGGTGCTGGTGCTAGTGGATGCAGAAGACAACGATGAAGATTGATCAGTGGACGTAAACAGAAGACTCTTCTCTTTTTCGAGGGCGATTTTGGCTCTGCCGGTTCCTTGTGAAAATGAAAAATGAGAAATGAAAATTTGTGTAAATCCATTGATGATTTGACTTTTGTGCTGCGGGGCCATTGTTTCTTCTTTTGATTTGATAAAAAAAAACGCAAGAACAAGAGACATACGTTATGGATGTACTTGTAGAAATATTCACCGCAGAGACCGAAGAACATATCTCGACATTGATATGGGCGTTGTACTTGGTTGCCAGCCAAAGGTTGCGAGGCACAACCCAGCTGTTGTCGATCTCTTTTTTCTCGTTGAGCATGTAGGACACACACGGTCGTCGACGGTACCTTTCAGGAGCGCAAAATCATATTATCGCTCTCTGTTTGCGCAGCAATCCATCCATCAGTCTGTACCTTTTGCATCAGTCTGCACCTCTTGGCAATAGCCATCACCCTCAAAAAAAATTGTTATCCTTCTTTATTTCGTTCTTTCTTCCCTTCCCCTCCTCTATCAAACGATCCTCCCGCACCCTTCCCTCCTCCAACTTTCTCATCAAGTTAAACCTACACTTTCCCATATCTCATTTACTCCGCCTTCCCCTCAACAACATAATAATCAACAACTATGGAGCGAGACTCTAGTCAGGTACAGATCCAGATCCACGAGCTTGCCTCGCTTCTTGTATTTTTAAAGCCATGGTCTACCGCGATTATCAGACTCGTATTCACGCCTCATTCATTCTTCTTCAACTCTTTTACTTTCACCTCAGGAGGAGCACAGATTGGGCATGATGGAACTGAACTCAGAAAACAGGAGAGACCACAACGAATTTGCTATAGCTGAGATGTCAGATGTTGACAAGGTATGCTTTGCTTATTGTGTATTCACTGCCTTCGCTGTGCTGCTCTTATTCTGCTGACTTTGTCCTGAAAAAGCGGGCACTGACCAGTAGCATTTTACTTTTAAAAATTCATATTGGCAATAGGGCTGCTTTACTACAGGGCCGCTTCGCTATGCAGTTGACACGGCATGGGACCCCAGGACAAGAATACTAGGAGAATCAGTGCAGAATCCTGCAATCGCCCAGAAGTTCGAGAGTGTCGCTGAAGACTCGTTTCTCAAAAAATCGTTCGGGGGGCGCATCGAATCGATCATCAAGGCTTTGGCCCGCGCAGACCTTGTCAAGGAAGTCTTTCCTTCGACCTGCCCCTTCTCTGTACTTGCACACGTCATCAAGAAAGATCTCTTGGACCCAGCAACGAGACTCGAGTCTCTCCCACTGTTCCTTGGCGTCGGCTCTGGCGGGCAGTGCGTGACTGTCTGGCCAAGAACAGCTCTCTGCTTCCAGCTCTTGTCAGCACATCTCAAAATATCGATCACCATATTCTCATCCACCGAGATACCCCGCAAATATTGCGCTGGGCAGAGTCGAGGAGCAATATGTTTTCTCCACCGAAAAGATGCTCTGCGGGACATTTCGGAGTTCGATGTGATTGGTATTGCCACCCCATTTCCAGCCTCGTCCGCACTCGCATCAGTAGCTGGAAACCAATTGTCAACAAAGAACAACAGCTCAGGGGGATCGGCGCCACTTTCTCGACTCTCAAATCCCTGCCCACCTTCTCCGCCACCTCTCCGAACGCCTGTGCCACCATCAGAATCGTCTACGGCGTCGTTGCCAGTCATGTGGTCTGTACCGCACTCGCTGCCGCCTACATTGTCGATTTCACAATGGCCCCCTCTGCCGTCCATGGAGAACCAGATCACACCACTTCAGTCATCCGGCGCACGGCCCTCCAGCTTTATGTCGTCTTCGTCGAATGCACTGTCTGTTCCCCCCCTTGGTGTCACCTTTCACCGCAACATCGTTGTCTTCCTCTTTACACCAGGCGTCTGGCGCCGATGCCTCGACATCATCCTCACAAGATCCTCCGTTCGCCATCTTTCGCCAGATCAAGAGACGCATCAAATACGCCCCACGAGACTCAAGGGACCATTTGACCGAGACCATCCTGAAGACCTGCTTCACAGCAGCATGGTAAGTTTATATCGCCATGGTTTCTAATTTACAACTGTCGTGAAAGTTATTCATGTTTTTATTAACAATAATATAACTATTTCTTTTTTTTAAAAAAACAAAAACTCTATGATAAAGCGACGAGAAGGTGCAGGAGGAGGTGCGTATGAAAGTTGATCGGATATGGAAAAAGCGTAAAAGGGATGACCTCTTCGACGATATCTTCACCATAGAGAAGAAGACCAAGGTGTTCGGTGAGCTGTCTGCAAAACCCTCCCTTCCTCAGGGCCTCGTTGACAGAGCGACCGAAATTGTCAAGACATCAAACCCCAACACCTCAAACTTTCACAAGCACAACCTGACAACAACGCTCAAAACTCCATATCGACAAGAGACGTATCAGGAGAGACTCTCTCTCAAGTTTAACGACGCCTGGGACTCTGCAACCAATATACACATTCCCTGCTCTTCCACCACCACCAACATCACCAACACCAACTCGGATAGTACCGCTAATGACTCAGGACCTGGATCTTCGCTTATCGGTGAGCAAGGCTGTCTAACCACAGAGGACGAGGAGGAGATCGCAGATCTGTTGGAGCGAGAAGAAAAAGTCAGGTCTACTGAGAGACTAAAGACTGTAACGGTCTCGTTGAAGGATATTATTCGGAAAGAGTTGGTGGCTTCCAAAGTGGATCATGACCCCGACAAGCCAGGGTTGAAGGTCTCGGTGGCGGACAAGTTGGTCGAAATTTTACTGGAGAAACAGGACACTCTCACAAACGCGACCGACGAGCTCGCGTGCATTGCAAGGAAGACGTCGCTACTAGTAAGGCATTGGTGTTAAGATTGCATGTTAATTATTATGATGTTGTACAGGCTGCAATCAAATACTAACTCGTTCATAACGATTACTTTTGTTTTGATCACAACAGCTTGCACAAAATGCATTCACGATGCCTGGATCGAGTCGAGAAACTAGTTCGAGTCGTGCCCCCCAACAGCATCCCCCAGTATACGACATCCGGACCGACCTCATCCCTTCTCCCTTTATCGCTCGCAACGATACCCCATCGTCTCTTACCCTCGCCCCCCTCCCGACACATCTAGAGGAGTACATCAACACCACCCCCAGCGGAACGGACCGACAATGGACGTCCGATTTACAACACTTGTTCTCGTACCATCACCTCGGATTCCTGTACAGCAAGTTCTTCAGCCCGCAAAGAATCAACACAGACTCCGAGACGAAACACCCGTTGTGGAGCCAGTTGGCTGCGCACATTCAGGCCCCTCCACTTGAGGCACTCAAGGCTACTTGGAGACCAGGGGATGAACATCCAATGGCAGGCCTGTCAACGGTGTTTTGCGACTACAGGATCGAACTATCAACAAACATTAAGAATATTTGGGACGGACCTCCGTATGCGAAAGCGTTGGATTTCTTACTGAGATTCACCTTGAGATTCCAACTGGCTCCTAACCATGAGCTGAAGTATTATACAAGGGTGAAGGATTTGGCCTCCAGGAAGATGCAACAAAAACAGAGCGACAGGACACGATCAATCAGCTACAAGGCATGGAAGGATAAGACAGAGAGTCTGCAGGATGAGTTGGGTCAGCTTGTTGCTAAGGGCGGGTCCAGGACAGAGCGGATAGCTGCGTTGCTGGAAATGCAGAGACAACATGCACGGATACAGCCGATTATTGGACAAGGTGACGCTCGCGAGGCAGGACTTGGTGGTGTCGATCCGGTCATGGAAGCGAGAGTGATGTTGGAGGTCATGGAAGATGCACTGGATGAGGTTGATGAGGAGGCAGAAACTGAAGAGAACCAAGCTCAGGAGAACCAGGCCCAAAAGGATGTATCAGGTAAACATATTGGGGTTATTTAGTTGCCACGTCCTGTTTTAAATGGCTAAATGCCACGAATGCTGTCAACATCGCAGGCGCTCGTTAATCATGGTTTGTATGACTATCTTCAACAATTCCTTTAGACACTTCTCAAGCCAAGGAACCATCTAGGTCTCATCTAAAGTCTATCCAGGCCATCACCAAGATCCTATTGGAGTCGCCAAATCTCGACGTATCACAACTGAATGCGTCCTGGGTCCGGCGCACTGCCTACAAGCCTGAGGATATGACAGATGACCAGTGTTATAAAGTCGTCAGGCTCGTCAAGGCTCTCCATCCGTACACCCCAAAACGAGTTCCAAAGAGCTCTGGAGGGGGAACTTCGCCTCCGACCGCCAACGCCTCCGCCATGATCCGCATTGTATTGTTGTCCAACCATGTACTCAGATATACAGGGTACACCGAGTTTACCAGGAGATTCGCACCGGCACCATCAGTCGCATCATTACATCCTGTACCACTTGGAGCGGCCGGCATTTACGATACTCTTTGTTGGAAGGCGGCAAACAATTTCGACATCTACGACCTACACAGGCAGCCTATCTCATCCGTCGTAACCGCAACAAAACACAAGGACGCCGTCTTCTTCAACTTTTTTGACCTCGATGCCATCAACGCGATGTGCCAAAAGTACAAACTTCGCTTCAGACAACGGTAAGTGCTCCTCCTCTTATCCCTCACAACAACTAGTCTTTTCTTATATATGCATTCATAAACAACAATGTCCTGACACTAAAGTTCTGTTCCTGGTTCTTCTTTTAGTCTGACATTTGTGAATCGCTATACCATTCGAATTCTTGGTGAAGTGATCCCTGAGGGAGTGGACCGCGGTGAAGGGGCTCCCGTCGTCAGTGTGTGGGACGAGTCCAGAAAGGATAAGACGCAGAAACTTACAGGCATTGATTGGTCAAGAGAAGGAGCTCGAACAGGAATAACACAACAAATGGCCCAGGAGCGGCTGGTGACGATGAACAACGAGATCAAGGACGTTGAAACGGACCAAAAAGCCAAGCGGGACGCATGGGTTGCAGCGGACAAAGATCGAAATGAAGCAGCAGTGTACCAACGCCAGATTAAACAGCTCTCCTCTCAGCATCCAGGATCAACAACGAAGGCGAACGACTCAAAGGCACGAAGACCGGATCAGGAACAAGATGCGTATCGAGAACTTCAGGCAACACAGATGATCTCCGACGCTGCGTTTTTGGATTGGATGCAGAAGGACGATGAGCTTCGGTCAATGAAGGCTACCCGATACGCGCTACAAAGGATTCAGAAGACACGACCCAACTACGACCCCCCCTCGAACAAGAAACCGCTCAGGGCAGACCCTACATGGACGAGGCCCGCCGTCGAGGCCAAGACGGAGAATCTTCACATCGACTGCCTCCTTGGTGCAGTATTGGCTGATCCCTCCAAGGCCATCGGATTCGACGGTGATGATCCAGGACTTTGCAAACTCGATGCCTCGGCTACAACAACGCTGACAGGAGTTACCCAATCAGTCAGGCAATACTCGGTTCTCACAGGAAATCCATTCGCCTTACTCGCGGGTAAGTAGGATGTTTTGAACTTGGCGTTGTTGTTGCATCCTTCATTTTCCAGATTACCGATGGCTGAGGGCAAACCATTAATACCATCTTCATTACGCTCCATTTTCTTTCACTAGAGGTAGACATGTTGGAGGAGAAGAAGTCCAAGGAAGAACAGGCGCAGGCCACGGTATTCTTGCCCCCGATACATAGCATCACAGCACCACAGATTAACGACTTGACATTCAGCGCAAAATATCAAAGGAAACGACAACATCGACTCGCGGCAGCCACACCAGAGGCAACAGCAGCACGCAATGCATTAGCGAACCTTTCGAACAGATCCATCAACAATGCAACGACACTCACAGACATCGACGACGCCCAGAATGCCCGTCGCTCATCTCGAAAGCCCTGTCGCGAATTCGAGAACTCTTCCTGGAGGATCAAAGATCAGGCTACTCAGGAGATTCAGACCAAAAGAGTGTACGCCACATTCGCATCTGGTCAGCGCGACAAGGTCAAGGAAATCGTCTTACAAGAGTCAAGGACAGCAGCACTCGACCTTCAGTTCCAAGGATCCGAAAAGTCCGGGGCCGGTAATACCTCTTCGTCCACCAGCGCCCAACCAAGCGATACCAAGGCTGCGGCTGTCGAGTTTGGCCATACCGAATGCAAGGAAGTCGCCATTTCTCAAACCCGACATTTAATCAGTCGGAATGAGGACACCGCCTCTGTCAAGGGCAAGGGCGTTGTAACCGAGGAGTCCAAGGACACAGAGTCGCAGGATCGCGGCGGAAGCAAGCGAAACAAAGGTAAAAGTATATTGTTTGGTTAAGCGGCCCCTTCATGTGCAGAGGATATAAAAAGGCATATAAAAAATATCCAAAGTCCAAGGAACGGAGTGTTGACTTCCATAACTGGCATATCTCTTCATAGTGGGCAACAGAACACAGAATAAAATAGCAATAGACAGCACAAGAATTTTTAAAATGTAATCTCTCCCCTGTATTTCACGACAAAGATACAGTTGAGAGTGCAAGTGCTTTAGATGATCACATACAAGAACTACTCAGGCGAATCTTGCAGTGAGGGTTACAGGTTAATAGTAGATGGACATATTCAAGAGTTTGGTGTGCGAAAAATAAGAAGACTTTGTTGTTTGGAGAATAGGTTGGTGTTTAGTAGGATAGTTAAACAAAAAATGTTACAATGGTTGTCTTATATGCTTGGTATCATATATACATTCTCATCCCATAGTCGCTATGGATATTGTCGAGATCTACAGAGATGTAACAAACACCATATGATAACTTGGACGTGAAAGGCCTCCTATGATAAGGACTGATTGATCTCAACAACCCCTTGAGGAATAGAGAGCGTCTTTTTTTTTTCTTTTTTTCTTGAACTCGCCAACGCTTAAAACACTGTGGACAGTCATTCTTTTTTTTGGTTTTAGCCTTTTGAAAAGCTCTTTGTCTCCACAAGCATCTTATAATTCTTTCACTTCCTCATAAAGCAAAAAAATAAAAATCAATACACGGACGCGGTGGTCACAACCAGCCAACGTTCACGGACACCCATCGTTAACTTGCATTATTTTTTATCGAAATGTAGTTCAAAACAAGCCAATCGGTATTGTGGGCGATGGGGAAGGGAGGTCGCACGAGTGCGGTTGCAGACAAGCAAGGGTAGCAAATGGCTGAAGGGCCGGGCTCACATAAACCACATCACCAGAAAAAGCAAAGCAATACGAAAAGGTCAGCTTTCTGCCATGTAGATATCTCTTCAACGTCTTAGCACGGTTCGTATATAACATACCCTTCTGAAGCTGCTGCTTTACGGGCGCGTAGGTAATCGACTCACCCAATCCTTCCGAAGGCGTGGCCTTGCTCCAATTCACGCCCTTGGTGGAAACGTGCTCGCTGCGCGACCAGGTGGGCATAGTACTCCGCAGAAACCATAGAGACGGATCGAGTGCATCGAGCATACAGGTAGCATAGTCTGTAGGTTAGAGTCTGGAGACCGTCCGATGTAAATCAGCTCCCATCGCAGAGAACGTTGTGGAGGGCAGGTCTCGAAGTTCCAGTCAGACCCGCTTGCTACTGGAAGTAAAATCAAATTGGAATGGATGAACAATGCCAGTGTAGACCACAGTTCCGGGTGGACAGTTTCCCGATCGATCGGCCTGGCCCTTCTGCATTAGAAAGAAGAGATTGTGATGGCGCTTCTGGACTACGACAGACGTGATCTTGGTGCAATGGTCAGACAGGACTTGGAAGAATGTGTATTGCTTTTGTTATATTTTATTATGAAGGAAAAGGAAGGAATAAGAAGAGTGTGCAGAAGTAAGGCAGGGGACAGATGTAAGTGAGTTATTGCAGACTGGGGAACAAGACAGGGGAACAAGGGGTTTATTTATGCTAAGGGCCGAATGAACAGAAGGAACCAAGACGGCGCTTGGACATTGGACGGGGCTTGGATGTTGGACCGAGGCTTAGGACATTAGACGGGGCTTGGGGTTTGGGATCTTGAATGGTCAGCTGGCGAAAGTCACGTGACGATATCAGAAATCCATGGCGCGTTCAACGGAACTAGGACAAAGCCTATTTTCGCATAACCTGGACAACCTGGGGCCTGGCAGCCTTGGGGCAAAAGTGGCACTTGGGAGCATACATAACTTGTAGCTTCTTGGAAGCCGACCGAATGGCATCCACTTCGACTTGGTGGGCTTGCACAAACTGACCCTCCGAGACTCTGTTGAGGTAGAGCAATATCCTCTCAGGCTTTTTCTTGGTCCTGCAAAAGATGCCGAAAGCAGAGGTGAACGGTAGGTGAGTACGAATTCGTAGCCCATCCAACAGAATTCGACACTTTCTCAGATATACTTACGAAGCAAAGATTGCTCTCGCAAGCTCGACGACCATAAGTGTCCTCGAGGTCTGCGATAGTTTCTAGGCGCGCTCCTTGGGTTCGGATAGAGGTTGCATACTTGGCGTCGCGGGACGAAGGATGGTTAGTAATGACTAGGGCGGGCAGAATACGCCCGCTCAGTGCGCCCATCACGTTTGAGCAGCACAATCTGGTTAATGATGGTGACATCTTGATGGTGGATGTTGATGTTGGGGAGTGTTTCGAGCTCAAAGAAATTTGCGGACGTTGCAGACTTGGCCTAGATTGGCGTCGTGACGAGTTCAGTCAGCTTGATAAAGGCGGATATGGTTGACGCTATTGTTCCAGGAGAGTGTAGAGTGATGAGTGTGCAAATGTGTGGTTGACTTAAGGTTCGTTATTTGTTTACTGTGTGTACTTTTGTATATGGGCGAGAGATAATAGGGGCTCAAAGGGCCAACAAGAGAAGCAGAGATACAATGAGAGAGGCAAAACGAGAATATGGTTTGCGATGTTGACCATCACCCAAGGTACGAATAAAACAGGCCTTTTTTTTTGTTTTTTTTGAAGCAAAACCATAGCCCTGCCATTTCCACAATAAACTCTTGGGTTATTGTTTTGGTGACTTCATGCTGCATGGTGTGGAAACAAAGAGAGAGAGAGAGAGGCAAAAGGAAAAAAGAAAGGGACAATGAGAGAACAAAAGGTGTTTGTGATGGTGACCATCATCCACGGTATGCATGAAGCAGGTTATTGTGGAAATGGTTTCTTGCTGTATGATATGGAAACAAAGAGGGAGAGAGAGAGAGGCGAAAGGAAAAAAGAAAGGGACAATGAGAGAACCAAAAAGAGACATGAAAGAGACATGAAAGAGATATGAAAGAGACAAAAGGTGTTTGTGATGGTGACCATCATCCACGGTATGCATGAAGCAGGTTATTGTGGAAACGGTTTCTTGCTGTATGATATGGATCCACGGTATGCATGAAGCAAGTTATCGTGGAAATGTCAGGTTATTTTTGGGCTTTTGTTTTGGCGATTTGTTCCTGAATGGTATAGATTATATCGCTTGTGTGTGTTGAGTGATAGTGGTCTCGACATGTAAGCCTTTGTCCTTTCCACTGCCCACTTTTCCTATAAAATCCCGCTTCCATTTTCCTTCTTCCCTCTTTCTTTCTTCCTCTCTAACCACACTCTCCTCAACACACCTCACATCTCACACTCTCCTCCACATCCACCTATTCCTCCACATCCACCTACATACTACTTTACATATATCTTCGCCACACCCTTTCGAAGCAACCCACAACAGCCATTCTGTAAGGCCGATGCTGGATGTGATTGCGAACCGTACTCATTATACCCTTTCACAACTTATCAAGCAAGAAGACTCACACTAGCTCTCACACTTTTCTTAACATAGTTCAAGAATGGGAATCAGTGTCCTTCCTTCATGGATCAAGGAGGCCTCCGACGGAACCGAGGAAGATCTCACCCAAAAAACATGCCATGTGGACTTTCCGGCGATGTTTTTCGCCCTGTTGAACTCGCGTGCATTTTACGGAACCGTCAGCATCGAAGCCAGGCAGGCCCGACTGCACTACTCACTAAAAACAACTGTCGCTACCAACGTACCAGGCGAACAAAAACATCCACATTCGCCATCTGGGTCTGAGGGGACCGAGTCGGGGAGTCCATCCATCAAACATGCTCGCCTCACATTGGGAGCTCCCTCAGGCACAAGTACATCGACCGGTCCTGCGTTTGTTGCGATCCCTCCTGGCTCGGTTCCGACAAACCTTATGACACAGGTCCAACATCTACTGCAAGGAGGACCAGCTCAGATCTTTCTCGACAGCAATGGTACTCTCACAACAACACGTACCGAAAACAAAGGCATTGTAAGTACATTCGATTTTCAAATACAACCGGCAAAGACAAAGCTGCTGTAAGAAATATACCTAATACTATCTCATCGCTTTGTGTTTTCAATAGGACTATGGCCACATAGGCCAGGTTATTCACGACATCCTCATGAAAAAAGTCTCACAGGGGCGCACAACAATCCATGCCGACGGTCCCCGTTCGGTCGAGAAAGAGCACGCCCATCAGAAACGGGACCGTGATCTAACAACGCGGATGAGAAAACTCATGGAGGACTACGACGAAGACAAGATCAAAGGGACGAAACGGCTATACCGGCGTCTAAAGTCTGTTTATCGGGCACCACCCGATGCCGCGAGACAAGTGCTGGATGCTCTTCAGAATCTGGGGTGGACAATATGTCGCTGCCCCCACCAAGCCGACTGCTGTATTGCCCGTTGTCTCAATAATGCCGTCAAGCCGGAGGATGTACGAATCATCACCAAAGACTCTGACCTGTTGGTCTATGAGGCCTCTACATCGATCACTATTCCTGTCGGCAGTCAGTGGAAAACATTCCAGAAGCAGGACCTTATGGATCGACACCAGCTCCCCACTCCAGCCCACCTTCTTCTTCTTGGTATTTTAACAACAAACGACTATACCGACGGCGTTCCTTACTATGGCTTGGTGTCGAACGCTGACATTGTTCGGACGTTTACATTGGACGGACTCGACGGATTGAGCGACCAGGAGCGACTTGGACAATTCAAACACCACGTCATTCAGTACTTGAAGATTGTATACGACAGCGCCCACAAGCTCCAGGAGATCGCAGAGGAGTCCTACCTCCAATATGGGAAACACATGCAACTGTATAAGAAACACGCTAAAAGGTCCTTGAACAGGGTCGGGATAACTCAGTACCAGAAGAACGTAAAAGACAGCCAGTTCGATCATGCCCTTCAGGCGTTCGTGATGTGCACCGAGCATCCTTTACCTATGGGTGGGACCGAAACGACTTCCAGCACACCCGATATCCACAGCCTTGTCACGACTATCATTCAGGAAGTTGAGATGAAAAAGGCGAAGACCAACTGGGAGCGTTTCTCAAGGAGCCAAACATCACATACAGGACCATCAGCGCCCACACCTATTATCGACCAGGCACCTCCACTCTACAAAAAGAGTAGAAAACAAGAAATGCGCCATGGCTCACGCGCCCGGTCAAGGAGAAGGCAGAAATGGCAGAGGACAAAGTAAGTACTTTTTAGCGTCATCTTCAGTTATATCCAGCCACTTGTATTGACTTCTATTGCTTCTGTACTAATATTATTCTTCATAACATTGGCGCGTTTATTTCTAGATTCCGATCCCGGACGGATCAAGCAGATCGATACGTACCCCAAACGGTCAACCTTGAGAACGCCAGCCCCGTCGAGGACGTAGAATTGTCTGGTCTGAAACCATCAACCCCTCGACCATACAAGCCAAAGGATCCCGCTACCACCAACGAACAAGCTGCCACTGCCCCTGTAGCCAAGAAAAAGAAGAAGAAGAAGCATCTTGACTATCACCAGGACAGGCCTGGTTATGCTGCTCTGAAGAAGTCATTCAAGTCTGTTTTCGCCACTGTCACACTTACCACTGGATCAGTCAAGGGGTGCCTGAAACGAGCTACCGATCTCACCCCGGCGAACGTCGACATGGTTGCTCAGAGACTTGATATGGCTGTGTCTATCGTCAATACTGCCAAGCATTTTGTCTACAAGATGCTCGAAATGCGGATCCTTGGAGAGCTACTCTCTAGTTCGCCGCCGACGTCCTTTCTGGAGGATATTCTGGATTCAGACTGGGCAGAGATTGTTATTGGGAATCTGTTGTCGTTTGTTCTCCGAGATTCGACAAAAGCACTAGGACCTACAGCCAACAAGCCAAAGTCGAAGGAAGCACAGGCGGAGGCAGTGTCGATTTTTGCGGCCTTCAAGGGGTTCCATCCAGGATTCAAGGCTGTTAACCCATCCAGCATACCCCTCGGTGTTGTCATCGATGATCTGGCGCCCAAGATCTGTTTGGCTATGAAGTTGCATTACAAGAAGCTCCCACAGACTATACGCACAAAGGTACTAATCGCCCAATTCGTTGATGAAGCGCCATTGATAATTGGAGAGAGTGTATTGCATATTCTAATACTGTGCCTTTTTTTCTTTTTGCAATAAAATAGATGGAGAAGCTGGAGTTCGATCCCGCCCTACTTCCAAAAGTCGAACAGGAGGATGAAGACAAACCTGGTGATGACGGCACTACTCTAGACGATGACGGTACTATTCTAGACGATGATGCCGATGATGAGAACCCCAGGAAAAAGTCGAAAAAAATTGTCTATCAGCCTGGACACATCCGATCATGCTGGAACTATCTCATGGCACTTCCAGCGGCAAACCGACCACGTTTCTGTACCCAGTCCAAGATGGCAGACAGCTTTATCGACATTAGGGAGGAGGGACTGATGCGTATCCTTTGGGGAAGAGATGCAGGTCAAGTCGGATTGATTTGGAGCGGCAGCCCTCATAGCCACGACTGGGCCAACCTACAAGTCAATACGTCATTCGGGAACCTCATCAAGATGCTTTTCATTGGAGATCGAAATACGGTTCGGCTCGCAAACAAACAACAAACAACATACGGGAAACGAAGTGCTACAATGAGTGAACTCAAGGCTGCCCACCCCACCATCTATGACCAAGGACCACTTGCACGACACCTGACAGATCGAATTAACTATTACCGAACCCGACACAATGCATCCATCTCGGCCGGATCGTCGTCATCGTCTTCAGCATCTGCAGTGCCGCCGCCTTCCAACCCCCCACTATTGCCGACCCCTCCTCACATCCAAGGCGCACAGTCTTCCTTTCGGTATGCATTGAACAATTTCATCCGCACGGACGGCCATCAGCTGCAACTTTTGGCCTATGACCTCACCAAGAGTCGGCAGGCGCCGGGTCGTAAGGAGTTTCTACGACGTATCGAGAACCAGTACCCAACCCGACAGTCGATAATTGAAGCATTCGGTCAAGACTTGGAGTCGGTGGCGGTGATTGGCATCGATCCAGGCGAAGTCGTGAGCGGTGCGTTCTGTGTGCGTCTCGATGACAAAACTGTGGTCAACTTGTTGGTAAAGCGCGCATCACTGTATCAGCCAACACTCGCCTTCAGAGCATGGGAACAGGAATGGAGGCGACAACACCCAGCAGCCGGTCCCGCAGATAATGTCGACGCGAGCCTTTGGACGAGGAAGACGGATGACAAGAACAGGGCAACTTTTCTACCTTCGATGCATGATCTTGAGAATGCGCTCCATTCAACAAAATACGACTCAGAGGACGCCCTCAAATCCGCGCAACGGCAGTATTTCGAGTTGGAGCCGATCATTCATGGATTCTACTCATCGTCGGACTGGAAGAAGGCCGTATACCAACATAGAATGGCAAAGTTGTCAGAGATGGACATGGCGGTGGCAGGCGTGCTCCGACTTGTGAAAGAAGCATTGAAGAGTAACCCAATGGGAGGGCGTAGGGTCCTCTTCGCGTTGGGAAACGCGACTTTTCGGACAGGGTTCAACCTTACATCGGTCCACACGACGTTCTTGCGCAGACTACAGCAGAAGGTAATAATGAGAATGGAGAGAGTAGAAAGAAGATGTACGGGTGGTCGTATCTACTAGTATCGTATGTCCCTTCAATACCATGGCGATCTGGATACACAAGTATATTAATTCATTTGTCCTTTTTAAAATTGATAGAGCTTGGCCCTTGGGTACAAGGTAGCGTTAGTGGATGAATATCTTACATCTACAATGTGCCCAACCTGCGTTTCCATGGGTGAGACGACAAGACTTGCTAAGCCCTCGATGAGAACCTGTGCGTGTGTGAAATGCAGGCGGTGGATTCACCGAGACTTGGTGGGTGCGCACAACATTGCTATCATCGGCAAGCATTACCTTAAGCATCTCGGACGCCCCCCTTCCCTTGCAAGACCGTCGCCGCAAAGCCCATAACCTCTATAGATTGAAACTATAGTTTTTTTATCCTAGTCTGTCAATGACTAATGACGGACGAAGGGATAGACAGCTCCAACATTCTTTCAGCTACATGCTAGCCACACTATCAGCCACAAACCTTAACTCAATCCTGTGCTCCTTTGAATATGTTTTTCTCTCCTCTCTTTTCTTTTCTTTCCTTTTTTCATGTTTCTCTTTTCTTTTTATTTTATCTTTTTCCTTACCTTTTTCTTTTCTTTTTTCTTTTTGTAGTAGTTGTTGTTGCCGCTACTGTTGTTGATGTTGTTGTTGTTGTTGTTGTTGTTGCTGTCCTTCATTGGTATTATGTTATCGCCTCTTGTTTTGCTCTGTCCACTTGCTTTCCTAATCAACGTAATTTGTGATGGGATAATTATTTATTTTTCGAAGACTACGCATTATTTATTTGTACATGTGGGGTGGGTCAGTCATCTCGCCGTAAAGGATCAGTTGCTGATCTTGTCAAAACTATTTTTGACTTTTTGGACGGATTCGCAGTTTGTTCTTCTGTTGCTGATCGCTTATGTTGCTTGAGTCTGTCGAGGAACTTGACATGTCGCTCTGGAAAGATATGTGGAAAGTTGTTGTCGTCAATGTTGATGGAGACTCGCTCAAGACGTCCAGCTCTGGTTCTGGATCAGGGCGAACAACCTGGAACTTGACGATCTCCGCGGGATAGGTGATAACCATTCTGACATACACTCCTGTAGGACAATAGTCTTGGAGTCTTGGCGGTTGTTGTGGCTTTGTCGATCCTGTGCGATTTGATGACTCCTGAGCTAGATCTTTCACCAGCTTCTCATGCTCCTTGTCCATCTTGCCCTGTATGGTGTTGCTACTGACAGTTGCGCGCGCCTTTTCAACGTCACTACCCTCTAGAATCTGTCATAACTTCAACTGAACGAATACCGGATAGATGTTGCCGTTAATCTTGACATAGAACACAAGGTCGGGTCCAGAAATATGAAGTGCCGGAAAGTAGAATGGAGGGATATCCTCATCCTCTCGCTTGGATCCATTCTTGACATGTGCCTCCATGAAGGCGTGTGTTGTGATGTTCTTGTGCGAAATAGCGAGTTTCGATTGTTGATCGGCGTATCCAACTATCGTCACATCGCCAGCAAGTGATTGGGGAAGTGTATTGTTCGCGAGGAGAGGCCAAGAGGAAAGAGGGCGATTCTTGAACGTCTCGATGAAACCGGCGGAATCATTGTCTCCCACATATCGAGGCATTGGTCGAGTGCAGCACTGCTCATTCGGCATCGGCCAAGAGTAGAGGATCGCTTTCGTGAAAAAAAGCCTTGACAGCTTTGAGCATAAAAGGTTCGTCCAGAACGGTTCTTGCAGCACCTCCAAATAGCTTGATTCGACCAAACGCTGCCTCAATAAGGTGCGCTTCGTTTTCGAGTACGATCTCGGTGGCGTCCAGTAGATTGTGTCGGAAAAGAAACAGCGCAAGATTGTTCCTGATGGAGGACAAGTTCTTGAAAAGGCCTGGATGTTCAATCATTTTGCTCTCCAGTCTAGAATGAGTGAAACAAATAGAAACGAGCCGGTTAGTATTTGCTTTCATTTTGTTTTAGATAATAGCGCGATATCAAATGTTGTGTTTAGTATAGGGGGAAACCTTACCGTTTGAGTTCTCCACATAGGTTTCCTCGACGCTCTCGTTGTTTCCATGATGTGATCATGGTCTCGGTGGTGTCGATTGCATTTTCCCATGTGTCTGGCACTCCTGTCGTGATAATTCCTTCGATAGCAGTCGTGATCGGTCTGAACCTCCCGGTAAGCCTCTTGTGGAGCATGTTGACCGCAGCAGGAGGGATTAGGGCGTCCACCAACCTTTTTGAACCGTCGTCTTGCAGCTGCTCCTTCATTCGATCGATAAAAGCCTGTACAGAATCTGGATCTCTCCATCCTGGAAACTCGATGTCTAAATAAAAAAAATAAAAAGGTGGTCAGTATCGCATGTTGAGGACCATTGCATGAATCTCATTAATAAAAAAAGCGCCTTACTTACATGGAAAGGTACTCGAACCGTACTCCTTGACGCCATCGCCGCTGCTCAGTGCCCAATGGAGAGTCTTCATGCTTAATCCCGTCCCGCAGTAGACGATCGTAAGCTCCTTTGAACTGCCAGCGTTTCGAAAGCCATTTAGGACAGGGCACAACATTGGTCGTGGATCGGTTTCCAGGCAAGAAGAACGGAATTTTGTACTGCCCTTGTCGCTCAGAATCTGGGCTTCGTCCACAACCAGCCTCAACTTGGACCCAGCCGGGAAGCTCGGGTATTGGTGACCAGTCAGTAGATCGCGCACCAACAATAATTTGTCCTGAATGATAGTTGTCAGGACTAACTCGAAAAGTGAACGTTCGTTCAGCTTTTTAAACAGCATCTTGAACAGGTCCAAGAAAACATCCTCTTTTTTTTTTTTTTTTTTTTTGTTTTCTTCTACAATCCTTTCATCCTTCACATTCACTCCTCTCGCTCTTCCCTCATCACCTCTTGACTCCCCCCATCCCCCCTCCTCCTTCATTCAACCACACGAGCGATCTTTGACAAGAAAAAAAGTGCTATTGTTGAGAGGAGCTGCGGTGGATGCAGTGGGAAGGGGGAGTGGGAGTACAGTGGCCCAGAGCCCCAGTCATCACGATGCATTGAAATAGAATCCCCGGTGTTGTGCCTTCTTAGGGCGAGTCCTTGGACGAAGACCTAATTCTATTATTCATGGTAAGAGAGAGCTACTTCTGTCGCAACCTCGCCACCCTTTCACTCTACACGTAGATGAGTTCCACATTTCACCTCCATCGTTCTTTTAGTAGGGTAGATTCACCTACATATACCGTTTCCATTTCTTTTTGTCTTTTAGAAATAAAAAAGAAAGATACACAGAAGCAACTCTCTCGAGTTGCTGGATAAAGAAAGATAGTAGCTCGACCACAGCATGATTATTGCCGCACCCAGAGACACTGAATACGCTATCGTTTTTTGTGGCATGAGTTATTGTCAGTTTCGACCCTTTGGACCGACTTTCGTCATTTCTTTTTTTCTCTTTTTTCAGTCACTCACCAACGGGACACGCCGAACCGTGATATTTAAGAAAAGCCATATATGGTTGATGTACACACTTTTTATCAGTGGTTCTTGTGATATTGCTTTGCAAGATGGAGCTATAGAGATACCAAGGAGTGGGACGTCGAGACATCAAAGCAGTCTAGGAGGGCGATTCTCCTTGCCTCCCTTGAACATGAAGTCGCCAATGAGAGGTTGCTGCAAGGGCGTGGAAACAGATGGGATATTCGACAGGACAGAAGATTTGTGGGTTGTCCACTGTACTTTCTTGACCGTTTTCAACTTTGTAGCCATTTTTTTCTGCGGAGCCTTGGTCGTATCCAATTGGGATTTTGCCTTTTTCTGCACATGTTCGACCAAAGTTGTGTTGCTCCTAGATGACTTGCTGTACTCGAATGTAGGAGTTCGAATGTGGCTCTGGACGGTAGATCCTAGAGAACGTGCATGGAAATTTTTGGGACGGAGGATGCCATCATCCCTCTTTTCCAAAGAGACAGATATATCATGGTCGTGAAAAGATGAACTTGAATGGAACTCCGCCGACCTGCCGTCAATGAATTTCTGGAACGTTTTGTCGTCACTCTGGCGAGCATCTTTCAGAGCGCCAAAGGACTGCATCGGAGTGGCCAAGTCATGGTCCAGTTCAAAGAAAGAGTCATCGTCGTCAATGCTATCGAACATCCAGAAAGAAGACGCAGCCTCCTCCTCGGACTCCCATAGGTCGATCTCTGGAGAAGTAAAGTAACCAGATTCGGGAGCATCCTCCCCATATTCGGGAGCATCCTCCCCATATTCGACCGTGTTGTCAATGTTGTTGACCATTCCCTGGCTGTTGTAACATTCCAAGGCGTCGTCGCGACCGGTTTCGTATTGATCGTAAATGTTCTTGACAGCTTCTTCTACTACTTGAACATCTTTGTGGTCGCTATCCTCGACACCTGCAATAAGTGCCGCATGTTCTTCCAGTAGCCTATAAAGCAACGGCAGAAAAAGTCAGTGTTTATGGCTTTGACGTTGTAATTTGCTCTATTCATCTCTCTCTCTCTTTCTCTCTCTCTTTCTCTCTCTCTCAAAAAAAAATAATAATTAGAAATATAAGGGAAAGACACTTACTTGGGAAGACGAAGCTTCATTTTCTCCGCAGTCTCGATCATCAAGTCGCGGAGCATCTTAATGCCTTTTCGACAGTTCTCCAGATCGGTCCCCTGAAACAGCTTTGAGGTCTTGAAGTCGTCCAGCAATTCCTTTGCAAAGTTCAGACCTTGAGGAATATAGATACAGGCTCCGAGTCGGTACTGTCCGTCGCTGGAGAGTCGATCGATATTTCCTGGCTGACCAATCTTCGCCATAGAGAGACCAGAGCAAAGGTCGATCCCTTTGCACACTCGCAGGAAGTATCGCCACTCGTACTTATTCCAGGCAATACGTTCTTTCTTGTTGCGCTTGTTACCATTAAAGGTCCGCCAGCGATACTCGTCGTGATCCGTAAAGGCAACCCTCATCTCCTCTTCCAGACTAATCCCGTCAAAGAGCTCCAGGAGAATGGCATCCGCCTTTCGGAATCCTTCCTCACGCCTGTTTGGGTCGGACCAATAGATCATGTACTCGATCCGTTTGTCAAGGGCCAAATCCAAGAAAAGCCTACAAGAAAAGATGGAGTGCTTGCTCAGGGATGGAAACGTGTCGAAGACATACATGTATTAACCAATAAATGAAATCAACTTACACATTCTTCCATGTGGATGCTGCCACTGTGCATTGACGAGGATGGGAATAGGGAAGCATCTTCTTGTTGCTACCGGACGTAATACGATCTGTGGAAAACTGCTTCAACGGATCACCATCACCTGCTAGCAAATGCTCATGGTCATACCAGTCAACGGAGGCACTATCTCGTGCCAGGAGTCGAAAGTGCGCCAGCTCATGGCCAGAGAGCTGTGGCACACCCACGCATACACCGTGGAGAAAAACTGTCAAGACAAAACCGTCAGCTTGAACGTTGCTCTTGAAAACGAGCTTCCTCCTATTTGACCATTGCGCGAAGTATTTGTCTGCTCTTTGATCAAGGATCGAGGAAGACGTCTGCCTTTGCTCGCACTCCTTGCAAAGCGGATGATACCAGATCTTGTCGCGGAAGACTCCAACCTTGCAGTTTTCCAAACTGCAGGTCTTGCCACAACCCAGACAAGTCCGTGACTTGGGCCCCTCAGATTGTGCACCAGCATTAGCTTTTATAGCCCATTCCTCATTCCTCTAACAAACAGAAGTAAATGGATGAGTGGATGAACCTTTACCTCCAGCAAGTAAGAATGAAGATTCTTATAACCTACCTCATGATATCGTCGCTTGCCTTGGCATCGAATACAAGTACCACCAGAGGATTGGACGATCAAGCTGGATCTCCTCTCTCATAGTCCTTCATGCCAATATCCCATGTCACACTGACAGGCATCGCATTTTTTACCACTGAAAGGGGTTGACACGAAAAAGTCAAACTTGAAGAGCAGATCGAACCATCGTTTTTCGCGTAGGGAAAACTTTCGGCCATCTACCCAGTATACAGGATATGAGAAATGTCCCTTGTCCTTTTAGACAGTCCTCGGACACTGTCAGAATGATGTCTCATACATAACATAGATCAAAGTTTCAAAGAAAATTGCGGGTGGTTTTGTGTCGTTCTTACATCTCTTTTTCATCCCTTATTACTTTTCCTTTTAACCCCACACCTTCTTTCTTCCTTTTGTCTTTTTTTTTATTTCACCTCTTGCCCTCTCTACATCCCACAACACCATGACCAACAACCCTCTGACCTTATTCTGTCTTGTTGACGGACTACCCTCTTCCAGGGCATTCGAGATCGAAGTCTCTCCAACACGCACCATTGCATACCTCAAGGACGTAATCAAGACAAAACAAGTACCCGCGTTTGACGACATCACGGTGGATCAGCTCACTCTTTGGCACATCGCCCATCCCGTCATTGCGGCCAACAAGCACCAGCCCGTTCTCCTGAACACCATTGATTCTCCAACAGAGCTCGACCCGACCGACGACATTGCTGACGTCTTTGCCGAGGCACCACCCAAGAAGACCATCCACATCATCGTCCAGCGACCCGATCCAGGTAATGCAAACTCACTTTTGGACCTAGTTGAGTTAAGCCTTCTGAAGCTTTCATTGTCCATTCCCTTGCATTTTGTTTGGACCTTCCTGGTTTTCTATCCACCCTCCTGGCTCTGCTCATTCTTTTCCAATGCTGTCATCGTCGTGTAGACCTCATCTCAGAGTCTGACTTCTTGCAGCATGTGCCTGGTGGCATTATTGGCGAACAACAACGTCGGGACACCGGTAGGAGCTCCTCTTACCGTACGTATGCGTATTCGCCCTTGCCTCGGTCCTGGGACATCTTGGACAGTGTTCTCAGCATGGAACTGGACTCAGCCCCAAAACATAAACGCCCGCAGTTCATGGAAGACAGGACATATGCACCAGAATCAATGCTTCACGTCTTATTCAGGCACGACATTGGATCCGTTAGAGTCTTGCCTCCTTTTGCGGACACTACCCAAACCATGAACCTCAGATGTGGCGCTCCTGACCTAGTGTGCCAGCGGATGAACAGCGATCGCGATTTACCGGAGTCATTTCTATTCCCCATCGAGATCAAAAGACCAGCTGACTTACGATCGGGAAACTTGGTGGGTGATTATGAGGCGCAGGAGCAGTCTGGCGCTTCAGAAGGCCCGGGGGACCATCTCAGACAAGCCTTTGGGTACATGCGACTAAACGGATATCGATACGGCATACTGTCAACCTATGAGCAGACATGGTTCTTGAAGCGAGGGGATCGAAATGTGGACCATGACCTTAAGGTTTCACCTACGATCGCTTTCGACCGTTTGGAACCTACTCTCCTCCAGTGTTACTTGTGGTTCATAAGGCAGGCTGATTCTGATCCACGGCCTTTGGATCCTCCGACCGATACCGAACTGTCAAAGATGATCAAAGATGAAGAGCGACGCCAAAAAAAGCGGAAGCAAACTCGCGAATCGAACAGGAAAAACAAATCGAACATGAAAAACAAGCCAGCTAAGTACCGTGTGTCATCCATGTAAGTTGATGCGTCCTAGTTGGCAATAACACCCTTTGTCATCCTTGTAAGTTGGCATCCAAGTTGGCAATTTAGTGGAGTTTAGAGTCAACTACTAATATAACACCTTTCTGAACAACTTAGATTTGGCTTAAACAAGACACAATTGGCCGATCGGATGATTATGCCTGCTTTTGAGAGCATGAGCCTGATCTCGCGTGGTGAGCATGCGCAAACCTACAAGGCGTCATGGGGGGGTCATAACGTTGTTGTGAAGAAATGCGACATCTGGAACCAAGGCCCGGTTGTGGAAGAGCTGAGGCATGAGGCGAGGGTGTATCAAGTGCTGCGAACCCTTCAGGGTCAATACATCCCTGAGCTGAGGTTTGCTGGAGTAGCGGACGGTATGGAAATGATATTGGTGACCGACTTTGTTGGGAGTGAAGTCAGCCATAAGCGTTTGGATGATTCGGATCAGGAAAAAATCTGGGCGGCACTGTCAGCAATTCACGATCTGGGTGTCGTTCATGGCGACATCCGACCACAGAATATTGTTGTGCAGCACGATGGCCCAAGCGTTCGGTTCTATTTCGTGGACTTTGGACGGTCGCAGACTGGTGCTGACACGACCGAACGTGACTGGGAGAAGGATGTCCTGGACTCTTTGCTGCAAGAGATGGCCGGGGACCGGTCATAATGTCGTGAGGAGACAGGATAACGGCCAGCCGTGTGCCACTACTGGATTGTAGTTGTTAGCGGAAGCAATGTTGGCCTACCCACTCTACCTTTCCTCTTTTTTCTCTTTTCTTGTTTGCTTCTTCTTAGCATCTTTTGTGGACCTGTAACATAGCGATATTGCACAACCTCCGTCCTACCCTGCTCTTCCTTCTTTTCTTTTCTTCTCCACTTTGTAACTTTCATAAATGTAGTAATAGCACATGCACAAATAGCTCCACCAAATCGCCAGTAAAAACTCGCGTATTCTTTCTGCTTGGCTCCGCATAAGAAGATCTTCATAACCTTTCATGGCCGGAGTTGCCAAACCAACGAACTCCCTCATACCAGATTCACGTAAGGCCAAACGAGGGAAAGACCTTTACAGTGTGAATTTAAGGGGTGGCGAAGCTTTTTAAATTGTTACTCAGGGGAGAGGGTCGGAAGCCAGAGTTATAGGACCGCTGTTGTTACTCAGGGGAGAGGGTCGACGGCCAGAGTTGTAGGACCGCTGTTAGGTCCTCAATTGGTACGGAGGGGGGAAGGGGGTTGTAGGTTGGAGGGAGGGGAAGTGATAATAGCGTCCTAAAAGAATCACACAAAACGATACACTGCAGCGTGCCAGCGAAACTCTTGTCAATACTGCTCTCGTCCAAGTGATGTGTAAAAGGACCTTGTATTCATATTATTAAAGAGGGGGTTGTTACCTGCAGCGTGCCAGCGAAACTCTTGTCAATACTGCTCTCGTCCAAGTGATGTGTAAAAGGACAGAGAGCAGACAAGAGGGCTCGGCGCACTACTAATACTATGTCTACTAAAGAATATGACTGCTAACCTAAGGCATCGCCGCCACTGCCTAGCCACCACATCTTTTTGTAACACTGTCAAGTCCTCAATTGGTACGGGGGGAAGAGGGGGTTGTGGTGGTAGTGTCCTAAAGAATCTCACGAAACGATTTACTGCAGTGCGCCAGCGAAACTCTTGTCAATTGCCAGGTTTTGGTCCAGAAGTGAGTGAAGGTGATAGGAAATGAGGGAAGTGAGGAGCCCATCCATGCCCCATTTGGAACAACGCATACTGCAGTTCTTTGGTGTACCAGCAGCCAGCAAAATCGGCACTCAACCCACCGCAACCGCAAACTTTTTACCATGCGTTGCGAAGTTTTTCTCATCCCTTCCTCCAACTCTTCCTCCGTTTTGCTCCCAATCGTGGAAGTTGGTTACCATCACGCACATTGGCCGTTAAGCGCTTGGATGGGGGAGATGCGTTTTGGCTTGAAATTACCAGTAGGTATTTGTCATGTCCAAAACGCATCTCCCCCATCCAAGCGCTTAACGGCCAATGTGCGTGATGGTAACCAACTTCCACGATTGGGAGCAAAACGGAGGAAGAGTTGGAGGAAGGGATGAGAAAAACTTCGCAACGCATGGTAAAAAGTTTGCGGTTGCGGTGGGTTGAGTGCCGATTTTGCTGGCTGCTGGTACACCAAAGAACTGCAGTATGCGTTGTTCCAAATGGGGCATGGATGGGCTCCTGAATGGAGTGTGGACAAGAGAAAGGTGTGAAATTGCTAGGCAGGAATGGTTTTATTGCAAGATGAGGAAAAAGGGTAACTACGACGATGACTAGGTTATTTAAGTATTTTGACAGGACAAGAACAAGCTATGTTATTATTACTTGGACCATTTTTCTGTTTCTCTTGGTATTGTCTATCAGAAAACAAGGTTCTTGGCAATCCCCGGCAAAAAGCTCCCCCAAACCACATCCGAAACTCCATTCAAACCATCCCTCAACCATCCAACCTCCTCTCCACTTCCACTACTTGTCTTGACCGAGAACTCAAACTGGAACCGATCCCCTGGATTCATCAATCCAGCTATGACCCCAAAAACTTCCAAGAAGCTGAATTTCATCACGGCCACCATCGGGATCTGGTTGTTCCCTCCATTCTGGCTCAAGTTGTTGATATGGATGGGAGAAGAAGGGGTGGGATTGTTGTTGTAGATTTCCATGACGTCAGTATTGGGTCCCTGTTTGATGAGGATGTCGATGGGACCCATGTCAACGCGGAAGGGGCCCTTGTTGGGATATGTGACGGAGAAGTCTGCACTCAGGGGGGAGAGGTGGGTTTTGACGTCTGTGGCGGACACGGACGAGCTCGAGTCCAAGACGATTGCGGGGAGGTAGATTGTCAAGCCCGTAAAAACTTGGCATGCGCCCAGGCTGATGCCTCGGAGGGTGATATCTTGGAGGGTGTTCTTGCCCTGCAGGCCGTTGGTGATTATGGAGCTCACCGCAGGTTGAGTTGCAGGTTCGGTGGCTTGGATAGTGGTGCCAATGGACCAAGGGGAGTGGTTCAGATCCATTGATGTGATGTCTGCAGTCGCAAAAGTGTCGTTCTTGTAGTAGGCCGCAAGGCTGATAGGGACGTTGAGCTTCAGGGGAAGACCGCTCAGAGAAGCGCCTGAGATGGCAAGTGATGCCTGCGCACCTGTCGCGGTGAGGAGGGCGTTGACGTCGCTCAATTGGAGTGACCCAGACTTTCCCGTGATCGACTGCAGGTATTGGAAGACAGAGTTGACGCTAATCGTCAAACCGATCTTGGAGGCGAGGTCAAAAGACTGACCGGCAGAGGCACCGAAATTGACGCTGTTGATGACGAGTGAACCAGGGGCGTTGCTGACAGTCGAGAACAGGAGCTGGGAGACGGGAGTCGAGAGCGAGGAGATAATGTTCTTGGCGGCGGGCTGGAAGGGGAGGGCTAAGGTCAGAGAAACCTTGCCGTTGGCCAATTGCAAGTCGTTGATGGTAGGGTAGACAAACCCATTACCGTTGGCCGAGACCTGGAGGCCGATGTAGGGCATCTCGACCGAGATCTTGGATCCAATACCACCGATCGCAGCACCGACAGCGACAGAAAGCTCATTGGCACCGGGGGCTGTGATATCCAACTGGCTGATACTTAGTGTCGAGTTGCCACCACCAGAGGAAATACCACCGACCCATGCCGCCAGTTGCTGGATGTAAGGGCCAATCGGGACCGAGACCTTGACCTTATCCAGGATATGGAACACCTTGCCAGCACTACCCCCAAAAGCAATATTCGACAGAACCAGGTTGACATTCTGCGCTCCGCCGCCGGTACCCATCGCCTCAGCAGCAATCGCCGCAATCTTGGCCTGGATGTCACTACCACTGGAAAGGTTGAGCAAAGAGCTGGCCTTGAGGGCGATCTGGTTGTTGCCAGAGGAGAGGGCAATACCGGGGACAGAGACGGTTGCCAATGGGGTGGTATCCAAGAAGGCGCGTAGACTGACATAATTGAGTAACAGCTTGGCGTCAAACTGGTATCCGAGGATGGCGATGGCAATATCGGCACCGATGCTGGGTGGGCTCTTCATATTGATATCGGCGCTCTGGAGGCTCAACTTGTCCATGAACGAGGTGCCAGCGCCAGATCCACCACCGGTAGTAGGAGCGACGACGGAGATGATACTGGAGACCGGGATGGGGATTTGGATGCCCTGGAGGAAGGTGTAAACATTACCCTCGTTGGGTCCAAAGGTGAGACCAGAGAAGACGACAGAACCCTGAGGAACCTGGCCAGCGACAACAGCATTGACAAGACCAGCAGCCAGAGTCTGAGCATTATCGCTCTCCTCTAAGGCAATGTCGAGGTGGGTGGCAATGGTCAAGCTGGTACCGCTAGTTCCGAGCTGGATCTTGGGGATGCCGACATTAGCCAAGGGCACATTGTCGGCAGACACGCTCAGTCCGATATATCCAACAGTCAGCTCAGCAGGGAGGGCCAAGTTCTGAAGCGCAATGGTAGCATCGATGCCGATGTTGGGAGCCTGATTCAAATCGATAGCAAGACCCGAGAGACCAAGACCGTTCAACAAGGACCCGGCGCCGCCGGAGATACCGCCCAGCTTGGCAATATATGTCGACACGTCGATAGGAATGGTGAGCCCCTCGAGGATAGTAAAGACGTTGGTCTGAGAGCCACCGAAGACAAGACCAGAGAGGACGAGGTTGGTGACGGGGATGGTTTTGTTGCTGACGGCCGCACTAATTAAACTGTTGATGACCGAGTTGAATTCCTTGCTGGTCGACATCTCAATGTCAAGATGCGCAGAGATGGAAAGAGCACCATTGACAGGCTTGAGTGTGAACTGCGGGACAGCGACTTGAGCCAGACCGACGGTGTTAAGGGCGAGGTTGAGACCGACATAGTTCAAGTTGATCTCGGCAGGAATGGTAACGTTCTTGATGGCGACAGTGGTATCGATGCCGATGGTCTGTGGTTTGTTGAGGTTGACCTTTAGAGCTGAAAGATCAAATGCATTCGAAAATCCTCCACCACTTCCACCAATGATCGCTCCAAGCTTCTGCATGTAAGGGGCGACGGCAATGTTGAACTTAACCTGGGACAGGATATGGAAGAGGTGCTGGGGGTCGCCGCCAAAGACAGGGTTGTAGATGGCGAGGTTGGTAGGCGGGATGACCTTGCCGGGGTATAGCAATGCACCGAACAACTTGGCCACCTGCGAACTGGCTTCTTCGCCTTGCTGGAGATTGAGGTTTGCCTTGAAATCGATCGAGAGCTGGTTGTTGGCCGATGTCAAGGTCAAAACTGGGATGGTGATGTCTCCCAAGGCAATGGTATCCAGTCCGAGGGAGGCACCAATGTAGCTGACGCTGAGGTCGACAGGGAGCGAGAAGCCCTTGATTTGGAGACCACCCTGCACACCGGCAACCGAAGGGCTGTTCAAATCGAGGACGAGTCCAGACAGGGCCATATTGTTTGTGTTGAGTCCACCGGCACCAGAGAACAACTGAGCGATGCTTACTCGAGCCTTGGTGAGCAACTCATTCAGCGCAAAGGGATATTGGATCAAGGCAAATGTCTGAATGTTGTCCGAAGCCGAGACACCGAACACAGGCTTGGACACCACAAGGCTGCTGACAGGAGAGGTAGCAGTAGTGTTGGAAGAAAGAAAGTTGACGATGTTGGCGATATCTGTCTGCACTGCAGGGGTATCCTCGACAGTGATGGCGGCTTCGAACGCAAGGATGAGCTGGTTGTTGGAGGTCGAGATGTTGATCGATGGAATATCAACATGTCCGAGGGCGTGACTGTCAAGTGCAAGGTCTAATCCAAAATATCCAATGTTGACTGCAGCGTTGAGGGAAAAGTTGCCGAGCGCGATCGAGGTAGAGAGATCCATGACGGGGGCCTTGTCGAGGCCGAGGGAGATGGCGCCAACCTTCAGGTTATTGAAAAGACTGCCGGTCTCCTTGGAGAGATCAACACCCAGCATGGCAGAGAAGGTGTTAAGGTTGGCACTGGTGAAGAGATCCTTGGAGGGATAGGCAATATCGATCTGAGACAAAAGATCAAAATAGTCCGAGGGCGAAGCACCGATGCGCAGGTTGTGGAGTGTCAACTGCTCAGGGGTGGCTCCGAGCTGACCACCAAGGAGCTCGGCAAGGAAGGCAGTGATCTTGGCCTGAGCTGCAATAGCGTTGTTGAAGTTGAGATCGATTCCGGCCTGGAGAGAGTTGGCGCCGGGGATAAAGGCTAGATCGTTAAGGCTAAGGGTTGCAAGATCGACATGGTCAAGACCACCGCTGATTCCGATGTAGGGGACAGAGACAGCGATTGGGATAGGGTTGGAGAAGGTGGCTCTGGCACCTACGCGGAGACCGGCGTTGGGAATGGTGGACAAGGAAAAGTCGGCAACGTTGAATCCGAGCTTTGCGAGTGTGCCATTGAAGAGCCCGCCAGAGGAGGCTGGCGATGAGGATGGGATAAGAAACAAAAAAGATGGTAAGTGTTCAATGAGTGAGCTGTGTTTGATCGAATCCGAACAGCGTACACACTCAAAACAGAAATTATCCAGCACAAAGATAAAAAGGGGAACTTACTACCACTGCCAAATAGACCACCGAGGGGCAGCTGGGCAGAGACGCCAGAGAGAGCATCAATAATGTCATTCGAACTGTCACCAATGACAATACCAGAGATACCAATGCTGCTGGTGACAGCCTGCTTGGCAATAATGGCGTTGACAAGGGTAGCGACCTTGGTGCTGATAGTGGGACCAGTGCCGACATTGAGAGTAATACCAGCATCCATCTGAACACGGCCACCAGCATAGTTGAGACCTGTGTTCATTTCCAGTCCTGCCAACTGGGCGCCATCCAACTGAACCTGGATGCCAAAGTAACCAATGTTGGCAACAACAGGGAGTCCCAAGAAAACCTCGAGGTTGACTGCAGCTGTGATCATGTTGCTGGGTAGGACGTTGATGCTGGCACCATGGATCGCCAGCTCAAACAGTGATCCGACTTTGATGCTGATTGTGTTCTGGACAACGGTGATGTTGGTCTGGAGCGAGCTACCGCCACTGAGCGAACCGGTGATGATACTTGAGATAGGACCAGACGCAGATAAGTCACTCAGTGTGTTGATGGCATCTGAAGGAGAGACACCAATTGCCAAGTTGCCAACACCAACAGTGATATCATTGGGAGCGCCAGTAGAGATTCCATCCAATAGCTGTGCAACAGTAGCGGGCACTGAGGGGTTGGGCTCTCTGAAGACAAGGCCGATACCGGCCGAGACTGCGATCTTGCCCTGCCCAGAGCCGACAAGGTTGGTCAGGAACAATTGACCAAGCAAGTTGTCGTTGAGGTCGACATCCAAAGCCAAGTAGGGGATGTTCAAATCCAGCAAGAAAGGAAAGGGGAGCTCGATCTTGGGTTGCAGCAAGAGAGTGTGTCCAGGAGCGGTAGAGATGGCAAGGCTCTGGATATACTGCGACAGAGATGTACCGGAGCCACCGAGTTTGCTGAGATCGATGGGGAAGGGGAGGAGAGGCTCAACCAATCCTAAGACCAACTGCTGAAGTACGATGGTGTTGTAGTCCAACAGTGGGATATCGACGGTGACTCCGCTGAAGAGGGTGTTGAGGACCGTGCCGGTAACAGAGGGGTCACTGGAGTTACCGAAGGACAGGTTTCCAACGTTCACAGTCTGGCTCAACTGGCCTACAATACAACAAGAAAAAGAAAAATAAAAAGGAGTGTCAGTCTTGTGTTAGAGTAGCATGCCCAGGCGTGAAAAAATATTTCATGAACACCGTTGCAATCACGTACCACCAAGAAAGTCGCGGACGAAAGCTGATAGCTGGACGGAGGCTTCAACATCGCTATTGAAGGTGAGGTCAATCTGAGTATCAGCAGCCATGCGGCCAGGGGCCAGTTGGACAGCATGCATGCTAATGGTAGCTACACGAGTGCCGTTAAATCCAAGGTCAGCCGTAATAAAGGGGATATCAAGAGCAATGTTCAACGGGTTGTTCCATTCAAAGTCTGCACCGAGGATCAACTTGGCACCAGAGACAGTCTTGACGACCAGTTTCCTGAGGGTAGGTGTCTCAAAGGCAACACCAGGGTTCAAGATACCCCAGAGGCCAATTACTGGTGGAGACGGTATGGCATCGAGCGCTGGTGGTGCAGAAGACGCAGACTGGACAGGGATAATAATGGGTGCCAACCCCATGTTGACTCCAGAGAGGATGAAATCAGATATGACGAGGGCTGGTGGGGGTCCACTAGGGGTAGTTTTGCCCAAGAGGTTGGTAACAAGGTTATTGAGCGAGGCTTGGATGGCAGGACTAGGAGGCCCCTCGGGTAGGGTGATGGTGGCGTTCAGAAAGACGGGACCTGTTCCTCCAGGCAAGGTCAAGTTGTATGCCGTGACGTTGGCGATATTTTCACCATCGACCGCAATACTGAACCCAGCGTTACCCAGTGGTAGAGGAGTATCGCTGAGGGGGTTCTTGAGTGTGCCGTTTGCAGTAAAAGATATGAGAGCTGACGTGTTGACAAAGACGCCGATGCTGGTGATGTTGGCCATGCCAGGTGTGAGGTAGCTCGTTGTGGTGCTGGCGGCTGGCTTGGGCACCAGAGCACCGAGTCCACCGAGAATGATGGCGCCAGGTGAGTCGGTAGTCGCATCAGCTGTGGTGGTTGGTATGATTATTGATGCGATCATCGCGGCTCCGACGATGGTTGTCATTGCTACGAAAGATCTCATCTTTGAGCCTCGTGTAAAGGGGAGTGGGGTCATGAATATGGAAGTATATGAGCAGATGAAGGGTAGGTATATGTCGTAAAGCTATCGGAGGGAGGGTTGCGTTATTCCTGTAACAAGAAACGGTTATCTGGTGTTAGTTATACGCGTGTAAATGGGTTTGAATGGTGTGGTGCCAGTTGGTTGTTTTCGGTGGTGGAGATGTATACATGAGGCGATTGTTGAGGATATGTGTATAGAACTTGCCTTCAACAAGTCGCCAGAACGAAAAATAGATAATCAAGAGGGTTGTGCCTGTAGAAGGAGTGAGGGAGTGTGGAGGGGTGGAGGGGTGGCCAGGAAAGGAAGGGGAGGGAGCGGGAGGAGGAGAAGAGAAGAAGGCAAGGCGAGGAAGGAGGTTTGACAAGGAAGGAAGAGGAGCAATTAAATATCTAACAAGAAGTAATGGGAGGGAGGAAGGAGAAGAGAGGAAAGAGAGGGATTGCCAACAATGGAAGGAAAACAAAAAGGAAAGAGAAGAAAAAGGGCCTCGCAGATGACGTGAGGGAGGCATGTATATGTGAATTGTCAGTTTACAATGAACAACATCGAATCAGCTTCTTGAACGGATGCATTGACCGCATGAATAACCTTACCTACAGATCCCAGATAGCTCTTTTTTATTTGTCTGAAATGAGGAAGCGCATGCTTATTAGCGTTAATAAGCATAATGTGAATCTACCTGCGCACACACACATCGTTCCATACTCTCACTCGCCTCTTCCCTTTTGTCTTTCGGCGATCGTTGTTTTGCCCTTCTACCCTCTTTTCTTAATCTTTGCTGACCCGTTAGTTGTTATGTTCAAGTACCTGCTACTTGTCTCCAGGTCGGCATCATTATATCATACACAAGGTTAGAAAGATATTAAGGAGGGAGGAAACCATGGAACCAAGAGTTCGTCCTCCGTCCAAAGCAAAAAAATAAACATCAAATGAGCATATAGACAACAGAGCAACAAGGTTTCGGGGATTTTCACCCCCCACATTTACAGACATCCAAGTGAGGAGGAATAAAAATGAGCAAACGGTGAACCCATCCTCTGCAGCTCCACCTCACAAAAACAACAAAAAGAAAGAATACCTGGAGGGATATCCAATTGGGCAATGTAGGACGAGAAAATAAAACATTATTAAAAACAAAACAAAACAAAACAAAAAACATCAGGCGATATCCTTCCCTGGCTATCCCCCCCGCATAGTCGTGGAGTAGCGAATATTAGGTGCATGTCAAGCTATATAAAATCTGTCAGCATAAGACGTCTATATTGCCATGTGCGTCCTCAAGATCTCTATTCTCATTGCTCTCCATGACGCAAGGGAAATTATCCAACTTAAACTGGGACACCATGACCATTTTGAGAACAGAGGGAAAGGGATTAGTATTGAGCCTCAACCTATTATGTACGTACCTCGCCTGGTCCAGTGGCCAAATAAAAGGGCTCTCTTGCACCATTGTTTATTTCCTCTAAGTAACAACACTTCAAAGCAAAAAAAAAATGTGTCCGTTGGCAATGGTCGCCTTGGCTGCCCCCTCCTCTCCTTTCCTTCCCTACCTCTTCGCAACCGACAGGTCAAATTCAAGTACTCCGTTTCGTCTCAGGAGCCAGGTTTGAAAACCGAACCATTGGAGCCGACACACGGATACCATCCGCTTCGCGGTGTGAGCAATATGAAGTTGACCAAAGGGGAACAGATAAACAGGGAGCAACTGGGGCTCAGATATGTGAAATAAACATGAAGCTGGTCAGGACCCAGCAGCAGGTCAGCGACCAATACCCAAACAAGAAAAACAAGCACCGCCCACAAGAATGAGCCAGGAAACGGGCCAAGGATTGGCACCAATAAGGAACCAAGAATTGCTCCAAGAATTGAACGCGTCTCCCTATCACAATTTACTTTACTTTTGTATTATTCATCTTTTTTTGTGTATTTGTTCATTACTCTTCATTATTTGGTTCTTAGCTTTTTTTTTGTTTTTCGTTTTTTGATTTTCTTTATTTTTTAATCTTAGCTTCTTTTTGCTTCTTTGCTTCTTTTTGTTCTTTGGTTTTACTTCCTCTTTCTCTTGTGTTTCATTGTTGGTAACTGAGGGAAACCTTTTTCTTCCTATGGCAAAGCGATGTATTGGGACAACTATGGGCTTGCTTTTTACAGCTATAGCAAGCTGTGGCATTGGTGATCAGGGTGATCCCCAGCTATACTTGTAAGTAAGCAAGCGTACAGTTGTCCTCCTTTTTTTTTTGAGTACTACGAATGATTGATCTGAGTTTTCACTGCTAAACAAAAGGCCAAATCGCGCGCATTTTTATTTTTTTTATTTCTTCATGTGTTTGGAAAAACGTCAACACCAACACACTACAGAAGCGTGGCGCAGGCACTCTTTTTTTTTTTTTTTTTTAGAGTAAAGAGTAATCGTTTCATTCAAGGGAAATTCTTTTTGTACAAAAGGTTTCCGCTTCGTTTCTTTTTTGTCATGTTCAACGTGATTTAGATCGCCATTATATTTAAGTTTTGCTTCTACATGTCTTTTACATTCAAAAAAAAAAAAAAAAAAAAAATCCAAAGCGATAGCATCATCATCTCCTCCTCCCTCTTACTTAAAACCCAAAGTTGATGTTCTGGAGGGCCTTGGCAAGGATGGGCAAGAGGTTGGCAAACAGCGCATCTGGCACGCCGTTCAAGGCATCCTGCAACCAGGGCATAGGTTGACCCGAGGCAGTCTTCAGCGAGAACACAAACTGGAAGTTGTCCTTAGGGTTCAGAAGAGCCGTGATGATTGTAAAGAACTGCAAGAAGTTGAATTTGAGCGAGGCATTGAGGGCCAGGAGGTTGTTGCCGCCGTTTTGGTTGACGTTGTTGAGGTGGATAGGTCCGCCGAGGTTCTGGATTTCGATGACGTCAGTGCTGGGGCCTTGCTTGATCATGATGTCGATCGAGCCCACGTCGACGCGCATGGGGCCGCGGTTGACGAAAGAGGCAGCAAAGTCCATGCCCAAAGGAGAAATGTGCAACTTGAGTTGATTCAAGGGGACTGTAATAGGCGACCAGAGGGTAATGACAGGGGGCGTAATCTGGAGACCTTGGAGGGCGGTAAAGGAGCCAAGGGTGACACCACCGAGGGTCACATCCTGAACGGCGTTCTTCCACTCGAGGACGTTGGGGAGGATTGAGTTCATGGCGGTACTGAAAGCAGGCTGGATGACATTGATGGTGGTACCAAGGGCCCAAGGAGAAGAAGTCAAAGCCATCGAGGTGGCCTGGATGCCAAGGAAGGCAACGTTCTTGTAGTATCCCGAGAGGGTGATGGGGAAATTCATCTTGAGGGGCAAGCTACCGAGGGGGATACCAGGCACAGCAATCGTGGCCAGGATACCCGTGGTAGTCAAGATCGTGTTCATATCGTTCACGTGGAGTGGGTTGTGGGCATTAATGTAGGCTTGAGCCTTCTGGAAGACAGAATTGAGCTCAATGTTGACTGCAACTTTCGAGGCAATGTCGAACGACTGGCTGGAAGAGGCTCCAAATTTGATGTTGTTGGCAACAATCGTACCAGGGACAGCGCTGACAGTCGAGAACATCAGCTGCGAGACGGGGGTCGAGAGTGAGGCAATGATGCTCTTGGCGGCGGGTTGGAAGGGGAGAGCCAAGGTCAGCGAAACCTTGCCGTCGGCCAATTGCAAGTTGTTGATCGTGGGGTAGACGAGTCCGTTGCCGTTGGCAGCGACCTGGAGACCGATGTAAGGCATCTCGACCGAGATCTTGGATCCAAGACCACCAATAGCAGCACCGACAGCAACAGACAAGTCGTTGGGGCCAGTGGCGCTGATATCCAACTGAGTGACACTGAGGGAGGCACCAGCAGGGGCTGTGGTGTTGCCACCAACAATGCCGCCGACAAGACCGGTCAACTGCTGGATGTAAGGGCCAATGGGGACCGAGACCTGAACCTTGTCCAAAATGTGGAAGGTGCTGGAGGCGCTACCGCCAAAGGCAATGTTGGAGATGACCAAGTTGGCGTTCTGAGCACCGCCGTTACCCAGCACCTGGTTGACAATAGCAGCGACTTTAGTCTGGATATCACCACCACTAGCCAAGTTGACCAACGAGTGAACGCTCAAGGCGACTTGGTTGTTGCCAGACGACAGCTGGATACCGGGAACAGTAATGGTAGCCAAGGGGGTGGTGTCCAAGAAAGCGCTGATGCTGACATAGCTTAGCAACAACTGAGCATCGAACTGGTATCCGAGAAGGGCAATGGCAATATCGGCACCAATGCTGGGAGGGTTCTTCATGTTGATGTCCGCCTTCTGAAGATCCAACTTGCTGAGGATCGAGGTGGCGTTGGTACCGGGGGTGGCAGGGACGAGCGACAGGACCTTAGAAATTGGAATGAGGATTTGAACATACTGGAGGAAGGTGAAGGCGTTGTTGGCGCTGGCTCCAAAGGTGATACCCGAGATCAAGATAGTACCCTGAGGAGCCTGACCGGCGACGATGCCGTTGACAAGACCTGCAACAAGGGTCTTGGAGGCGTCAGTCTCCTGGAGAGTGGCGTCGATGTGGGTGCTGACGGTAAAATCGCTTCCGCTCTGGCCCAGGACAAGCTTAGGCAGACCGACCTTGACCAAAGGGATGTTGTTGATGCCAATATCGAGTCCGAGGTAGCCGAGGTTGAGCTTGGCAGGGAGGGTCAGGTTGCGAACTGCAACGTTGACATCGATACCAATGATAGGGGCCTGGTTTAGATTGATGGCCAAGCCAGAGAGTCCAAGACCGTTCAAGAGCGAGCCAGCTCCACCGACTGCACCGCCAATCTGGGAGATGTAAGGTGAGATGTTGACGGGGATGACAACTCCCTGGAGGAACGTGAAGACGTTGGTGGCTGACTGACCAAAGACGGCGTTGGAAAGGATGATGTTGGTCTGGGGGAGGGTCTGGTTTCCAAGGACACCGCCGATTAATCCAGAAAGGGCTTTGCTCAACTCGGGGCTAGACAACAAAGAAACATCGACATGGACCTTTAAGGCGAGGTCAGCGCCCTGAGGAGCCAAGCTGAAGGTGGGGATGCCAACCTGGGCCAAGGGGATGGCGTTGATGGCAATGTTGGCACCGACGTAGTTAAGGTTGATCTGGGCAGGGAGGGTGATATTCTTGACGAGGACCGAGGCATCAATGCCAATGACCTGAGGCGAGTTCAAGTCGACAACCAAGTCGCTGATAACAACACCGCTCAACAGCGAAGTACCAGTGGCAGATCCCAGTGAACCAATGACCTTGTTCAAGATGGCAGTGGCATCAATAGGAATGGTCACGCCCTGGAGGAAGGTGAAGACGTTGGTGGGGGAAGCACCAAAGATAGCTCCAGAGATGACGAGCTTGGTGTTGGGGATGGCCTGGCCAGCCAAGACAGCCTGGACAAGGCCGTTGATGGTCTGGGTCAAAGCATCGCTCTGCTGCAGGGCAAGGCTCAAAGTAACAGCAATGTCCAAGTTTCCGTTGTTGGGGGTCATGCTGAACGAGGGGAGAGCAAGCTTGACCAAGGGAACTTGGTTGATGGCAACATCGGCACCAAGATAGTTCAACTTGATCTGGGCAGGGAGAGTAAAGTTTTTGAGCGAGACCGAGGTCGAGACACCAATGACCTGAGGAGAGTTAAGGTCGACAACAAGAGCACCGATAGCAACACGGTTCAAAAGGTCGCCAGAGCCAGCCAAGAGAGCAGGGATCTGGTTGATGTATGGAGCAACGTTAATAGGGATGGCAACGCTCTGGAGGATGGTGAAGACGTTGGTCGACGATCCACCAAAGACGGTCCCAGAGATGACAATGTTGGTGGCAGGGGTGGTTTGGTTGTTGATGACACCGGTGACCAAACTGGTGATGGCGCCGGTCAACTCAGGGCTGGACAACAAAGCAACGTTGACGCGGGCAGTGATGGCCAAGGCACCGTCGGCAGGCTTGAGGGTGAAGGTAGGGATCGAGATCTGGGCAAGACCGATGGTGTTGACAGCGACGTTAACTCCGACATAGTTTAGCTTGATCTCGGCAGGGATGGTGATGTTCTTGAGTGAGATGGCGGCGTCGATTCCAATGACCTGGGGAGAGTTGAGATCGACAACAAGCGATCCAATGTCGAGACCAGCCAACAGGTTGCTACCTCCGGCAACAGCGCCGTTCAACAAGCCACCGATCTGTTGGAGGTAAGGAGCCAGGGGGACGCCGACCTTGATCTGCGATAGGATGTGGAACAAGTGGTTGGCATCGCCACCAAAGACGGGCTGGGAGATGACCAAGTCAGTAGGAGGAGTGACCAGGCCGGGGTTCAACAACGATCCGATAAGCTTGGCGACCTGTCCGCTGGCCTCAGGAGTTTGCTTGACATCAACAAGGGCCTGAAAGTTGATCGACAACGAGTTGTTGGCAGAGGTAAGATCCAGCTGAGGGATGGTCAAGCTAGCCAAGGGAGTGTCATCCAAGCCAATCGAAACTCCGACGTATTTGATGTTGATGTTGGCAGGCAAGGTGATGTTCTTGACCTGGATGCCTCCCTGGATACCAATGACCGAGGGGCTGTTCAAATCGAGGACCAATCCGGACAAGGCCAAGCTATTGAGGTTCAGTCCACCAGCACCAGCAAGCAAATTGTTGACAATACCCTTGGCCTGGAGCAACAGAGACGACACGGCAAGAGGGTACTTGATCAACGCAAACGTCTGGATGTTGTCAGAGGCAGACACTCCAAGAAGAGGACGCGAGATGACCAGATTGGTGACAGGCGAGGCAGTGGTGTTGGCCATGAAGTAGTTGAACAGGTTTGCAATATCGGTCTGGATCTCGGGGGTGTCCTGTAGGGTGACTGCAGCCTGGATGGCAAGCGTCAACTTGTTGTTGGCGCTGGTGAGGGTGATCGAGGGAACTTCGATGCGGGCCAAGCTGTGGGCATCCAAGGCTAGATCGATTCCAAAATAGCCAATGTTAACAGCAGCAGCGAGCGAGATGTTGCTGACAGAAACGGATGCGCCCAAGTTCAAGACGGGGGCCTTGGTCAAGTCGGCAGAGATGTCGCCAATCTGCAAGGTGCTGAGCAAGTTATTGGTGATCTGGGTAATGTTGATATTGCCGAGTTTGCTGGTGGCAAGGTCGATGTTGGCCTTGTTTATGATGTCTTTGGAGGGGACTGCGATGTTAATCTGGGATAACAAGTCAAAGTAGTCAGTAGGCGATGCACCAAGACGCAAGTTGTGGACAGTCAACAACTCGGGGGTAGCGCCGAGCTGACCACCAAGGAGCTCGCCAAGGAAAGTAGCGATCTTGGTCTGAGCATTGGCAGCGTTATTGAAGTTGAGATCGATACCAGCCTGGAGAGAGTTGGCGCCAGGAATGAGAGCCAAGTTGTTGACACCGACAGTGGCAAAGTCGATGTTGTCAAGACCACCGCTAATTCCAATGTAAGGGACAGAGACAGAGATTGGGATGGGGTTGGAGAAGGTGGCTCTGGCACCGACACGGAGACCAGCGCCGGGGATGGTGGCCAAAGAGAAATCGGCAAGGTTGAGACCGAGCTGGGCAAGGGTGCTGTTGAGGAAATTGGCAGGGAGTGTTGGGAGGGCTGAAGAGAGGCGTAGCAAAGTTGAGAAACAAAATGATCAATGAGTGGTCTGAGTGGGAAAAATGCACGCGCTAAAAAATCAAAAAGTGACGCAAGGAGAAAAGACTTACCAACTCCGCCGATCAATCCATCGAGGGGCAGCTGGACAGAAATGCCAGAGAGAGCGTTGATCAGGTCGGTGGGGCTGTTACCAATGACAATACCAGAGATACCAATGCTGCTGGTGACAGCCTGCTTGGCAATAATGGCGTTGACAAGGGTAGCGACCTTGGTGCTGATAGTGGGACCAGTGCCGACATTGAGAGTAATACCAGCATCCATCTGAACACGGCCACCAGCATAGTTGAGACCTGTGTTCATTTCCAGTCCTGCCAACTGGGCGCCATCCAACTGAACCTGGATGCCAAAGTAACCAATGTTGGCAACAACAGGGAGTCCCAAGAAAACCTCGAGGTTGACGGCAGCAGTGACAAGGTTGTTGGGGAGGACAGCGATACTGGCGCCATGGATAGTCAACTCGGCCAACGTTCCGACCTTGACGCTCACGGCGTTCTGGGCAGCAGTGACATTGGTCTGAGCAATGATGGTCTGGAGCAGATTACCGGTGTTGAGTGAGCCGGTGATAACGCTGGAGACAGGAACTGCAATATTCAGTCCGTTCAAGGTGTTGATAGCATCCGTGGGGGAGACACCGATAGCCAAGTTGCCGACACCAGCGGTAATGTTAATGGGAGAACCAGTCGTGATTCCGTTAACGAGCTGTGCGACAGAAGCAGGGATCGAGGGAGCAGGCTCTCTGAAGACAAGCCCAATGCCAACCGACACAGAGACCTGACCCTGACCAGAACCGACCAGGTTGGTGAGGAAGAGCTGACCGAGCAGGTTGCTGTTGAGGTTGATGTCTAAGGCGAGGTAAGGGATACTCAGGTCTAACAAGAAGGGAAAGGGGATCTGGATCTTGGGCTGGATCAAGAGGGTGTGTCCGGGAGCGGTAGAGATGGCAAGACTCTGGATGTACTGCAACAATGAAGGACCGGTGGCGCCACCGAGTTTGCTGATGTCAATGGGGAAGGGAAGATAGGGCTTGACAAGTCCCAAGACCAGCTCCTGGATAGCAACAGTATTAACGCCCATCAAAGGAAGATCGATAGTGACTCCGCTGAACAAGGTGTTAAGAAGAGTGCCAGTTGCAGAGCTGTTGTCGCCGTTACCGAAGGACAAGTTACCAATGTTGAGGATCTGGTGCAGCTCACCTATAATACAAATGAGAAGAAAGGTTAGCAAACCATTCAATAACTTGTTGCCACGTGTCTTAAAGTGCATGAAAGGCATTTACAGGTAACATACCAGCGAGGAAGTCATGGACAAAGGCGGAAAGCTGGACGGAAGCCTTGGGATCGTTGTTGAACTTGAGATCGACCAAAGGTTCGGCGGTCATGAGACCAGGGGCCAAGTGGATGGCGTGGACACCGACTGTAGCAATGCGGGTGCCGTTGAGACCAAGATCGATCGAGATGTAAGGGATTTCGAGGTCAAGGTTCAAGGGGTTGTTCCAGGCAAAGCCAACACCGGCAGTCAATTGAGCACCAGAGACAGCCTTAATAACGACCTTGTTCAGAGTAGGCCACGCCAAGGTGATGTTGGGGTTAATAATCTCACCGAGACCGACAACTGGTGGGGCAGCAGGAGTGGAGACATCAACAGGCTTGATGGGCTCGTTGCTGCCGATGGGCTGAACGGTGAGAGAGATAGGGGCTGTTCCAAGTTTGTTTCCGCCGATAGACAGGTCAGAAACGGTGATGGTGGGGGCAGGTCCGCTGGGGGTGTTGCCACCAACGAGGGTGGAGACGAGGTTGTTGATGGAGGCCTGGACGGCAGGGTTGGCACTTCCGTCGGCAACTTGGATCGTAGCAGTGACATCGACAGGGGCAGTGCCACCGGGCAGGGTCAGGTTGGAAGTGGTGATGTTGGCGATACTGTGTCCGTCCAAGGTGACGGTGAGGCCGACGTTGCCCAAGTTCATGGGCAGGTTACCGAGGGGGTTCTTGAGGTGAGCGCCGGCATGGACGGTGACTGTGGTAGAGGAGTTGATGAAGACTCCGACGTTGGTGATGTTCACCATGCCTGGGACGAGGTACTGGGCGGCAGGGTTCTTGGGTTTAGGCACCATGGAGCCGAGTCCACCGAAGATGATGGAGCCGGGGGTGTCAGCAGATCCGAAGGTCACGTTGGCGGTGGCGGCAGGCATGAAAGAGGTCGCGATGATTGCGACTCCGGCGATGCCTGTCATTGCCAACAACGACCTCAACATGGATCCCTTGGTTTTTGTGGAGGACGACATGAGAGGGGGGAGTTGTCGGACGAGAGGTATGAGGGGGTGGAGTGGACTTTCCCTGTGGTATAAGTCTATGTGTGGGTCTTCGGATTCCTATGAGATGTGTACATAGAGTAAAGATGGATGTGAGAAGAACGCGTTAGTTAGGGTTGAAGAAAGGGGGCGCTGGCGGGTGGATGTGGAGAAAATATCAGGCACAGAAGGCGATTGCTTCGCAGTTCGTCGAATTATCATGTGTCCAATAGAACGTCCTTCCTCGGAACAGCATCGTTGTCCGTTCGTCCCTGATAGCACCCTCTTCATAAGCAGCAAGTTGAGCAGAAGTGACGTGAAGAAGGAAGGAGTAGGGTGGAAAGGGGAAGAAAGAAACAATTGCTTCCTTGCAGCGCGGTCTGAGAAAAGGGTATGCGTATGCGCGGATAAAGTTGGGCTTTGGGCATGCATCAAGGAATGGAACGTTCATTCTTTGAAAAAATGTTTACAAAAATGGACTAGTGAGGTGGGACAACGAAAAGGCCTCGCACCGTTCGCGTTGTCGTTGTTGTTACTTCTGCACCTTTGTTATTGCTGGATTGTCGTTTTTTGAGTGAGGGAAGTGAACAGGAATGTGGTGCTGTACTTAGTGTCCCGTGGTGAGGAAATGGCCAAAGTACATGATGTGTGTGGAGAATGAAAAGAAAGGAAGGTGGAAGAAAGTACGCGCTGCCGCTTGTGCAAGAGATTTTGTTGTTGAAGGAGAAGAGGACTGATGGTGAGGTTCAGTTGAAGGAATGAGGATCGTTGTGGAGGTATGTGTGGAGGTATGTGTGTCTCCAGGAAGGAGGGAGGCGGGTCACTTGCCTGCAGGCGCACGCTTGAAGGAATAGTGGTCAAGGGTATAAGGGGTATGGACGCCTGTAAAAGGTGGGAGGGCGGAATAAGTGGATAGGAGGAGAGGAGGGCGAGAGAAAGAGAGGGAGGGCGGATAGAAGAGAAGTCAAAGAGGAGAGGGGGAAGGGCGGGAGGAAGGGTGGTGAAAGGACAGAGAAGAAAGAGAAGAAGAGGAGGAAGTGAAAGGAAAAGGAGATCAAGGAGGGATGGTTGAGTGCTCAAATACCATTCGAGTCAGCTGTGGAGTAAGCTACGAAAGGTACTATACATGCAATTGACATAGTAAAGTAGAGTAAGCAAAAAAAACAAGCTGGAGGCTACATCAAATAGAATGAACTGTGTTGCTCTCTATACCCATATCCACATCCATATCCAGAGGCAGAGGAAGGATGGAAACGGATGGCGCATGCTTTCCCGTTTGCAACCAGGGGTTAGCTGCCTGCCCATGTTGGCCTCAAGTTCTGTCACTCGTTCTGTCAATCATTCGACTTCGCTGGTTTTTTTTTACAGTTTGCTGCCTTTGCGCCCTGCCCTCTGCTACTCTGCTGCCCGCGAGGGTCTCCGCCTCCGTATAAAATACACTTTAACGCATGCTGATGGCAAATTTACGGTTTGGCCAATAAAGAGTCTGCACAGTCGTCAGAGTGGAGGGAGGAGGGAAGGAAGAAGGTAGAGACGAAGTGGCCGAGAGCGGAGACAACAATGTTCCTTCTCTTTCTCTCTCTCTCAAGGGGGGGAAAGGAATACATGGAGCATGGGGCAACAAAGTTCTGGGGTGTTGGACGGGGATGAATGAAAACAGTTTGTCCGTCTCACATCCATATCACAGGAAGGTTTCAATACTTTAAAAAGTGTGGCATCTGAACTCTCTCTCCAACATTCTGTACTCATGCACATTGGACCCCGAATACAATCAAACAAACAACAACACACAAACACAAAGAAAGACAACAAGAGGTGGAAAAAATACAGAGGAAGTGTACACAGCATGCAAATCAACAAATACTGTAGACCGATGGTTCAATCTTCAATATTATTACAGCAAGGTGCCAGACTGACCGCATATCGCATGTAGCCCCCATAAATAAATATGTCAGGACTCAGTCACTTACTTCTCCCACTTCGCTATTATTTTCCTCTCGTACAAATGTGTATTGATCTCCAACCCACGACTCCGTTGTCCTTCCTCGGACAAAGGATTGCAAACAAGCATGTCAGGCCGCATCTCTTGCCGCAACTGGCCTTCATGATGCGACTCACGGAGGTGATAAAATAAGGATCGGTCAAGAAAAGATGTCTGGATAGTCAATCCTCCAAGCGCACCATTATGCACCACATATTGTTTTGTCAACGACTTTTGTATGCTCTACCTGCCCAACTCCCCCTCAGTCTAGACCCGTACAAGATTGTTTTTTTATACAATATTTTTTTGTGTTGCTTTAAGAGAAAACCATGGGTCGTGCGATTATCGCCGCATCTCCACTGGAGCAGGTTGGACATGAGCGTTCCTCCCCCACAAAAAACCTGCTCGGTTCACAACTGGGGGTAATAAGAAAGCGAACAAGATGAGGACGACCGTCCATTCATCTATTTACCCCTGGTAAACCAGTATTCGGATGGCAACAAAAATAAGTAGGCAAGACAATGCCCCTGGTACCCCTGCATTTCCCTCTTCTCTTTGTAGCCATGGCAAAGTAAAAACAGCCAAAACAGCCAATATGGAGGTGGATTGTTTGTCATCCTTGATTTGTCGAAGTTCCTTTTCTGGTCAGTCCGCGGTTGGGGACCAAGCGCTGAGTTGAGAGCGCTGTCTACAAGAATGTTCAAAAGTCCGGTCCAGATCTTAGGGATAAGGTACAGTACTGGCTTCTCTTGGCCGTTGTTGTCGTGGATGCTCCTGATAACTGTTCTGTCATGCTATCGAGGAACAATGGCGTTTGAGTAGGAAAGGGCTCTCAATGCTCTCTCTGTTCCACCACCCTTCCCCCCTGGCGGGCATTCATCCCCGATGGAAGAGTAGACTTTTTTCTCCAAAGAGGCGTATGATCTTCATTTGTCTCCTTTTGTACTAGACCGTGGTTACAGAAGATACAAAGGAGGTGGATACATGGAAACAAAATGAGCATATACATGCATGCAGAACAAAGACACGGCAACACGACAAGCAAACAACAGAAACGATAGTAAAAAGGCGTGGACAGCCATGAGAGAATGGTCATTGTGATGTGTCTGTTGCTACTGCTTTTGTTGTTGTCTATTCCCCTTGCAGTTTGCACATGCAAATTTTAGTCTTCCCAAGTGCTCGTTGTCTGTTGCCCTTCGCCCGTTGTGGAGAGAGCTTCCTCCTCTCTCCATCGATCTCGCTCTCCCACAAACACCATTAGAAATGGACGTTGAAGGCGTGCCTGTGTTTTGTTTTTTCTTTGTCCGCCCTCCCCTCTTCCTTCACTCTTCTCCAAGGCATCTCTCCCTATCTCTCCATTCGCCACCGCCAAAGCCCAAATCAAAGTGACAAACACACACAGCTGAACCAACCTCTTCTCCCTCGCCCACTATGTTCTTTCTTTCTCCACTTTTGTTGCTCGTGCTGACATACGGTAAAGAAAAGTCGAGTCCACCCATCACCCCCTTCACAGTTTACATCCCTGCGCACGCAAGCCTTGTATCTTCATGGTAAAATCGTCACTGTAGGAGGTTCCATGACGAGGTCCAGAACGCGCATTATCCACCAACAAGGATTTTGAGTTTCTCCTCCTGTACGACAAACAATAGAGTGGCCTGACGTTTTGTCTTGTATATCATTGTCTCCCACCCTTCAACCTCTACACGCCTCTCCTGCGAGAGTCCTGATACTCTCTCTACCTTATGCTGAGCACACTTTTACCTCAATGGCCTCGGTCAAAGAGCATATCGCGTGAGGTAACAGCTGCGACGGCCTGGTTTTCCATGGGCTCGTGTCATTTGCTCACAGTCAATCCTAGAAAGAACATCGTGTATGAGTGAGTCCCTTCGCGTTCTTTCGTCAGTGTAATCACACTTTTATTTAACTACGCTAAACAAGGATGCCAACACTTACTTGGAGTATTTCCAGTAAAGCACCTTCCTCTGTCCTAGAAAGTTCATAGGGTTAGAGTGCTTTACATTTCTGTAGTCAGCGCAATCGCAAGTTTATTCAACAATGGAAAAAGACAAAGTGGTCATAGAGTCTTACTCAGAGCGCCTTCCAGTAAAGCACCTTGTCGCTCTCGCCACCAACGACCTTGTCGCCACCGACGAATCCATTCTTGGTCAAGAACTTGACCATCCCTGGGAACGCCCTGGGGATCGTATGAACTGTCAGCACTCCCGATCCTTGTCCGTTGGCCTTCCACTCGAGAACATCCTGCTCGAGCTGCGCAAGACATTGGCTCATGAGGCGGTGGCGTCTCTGTTCCGGATCCGACCCGCATAACCAGATATGGGTGGCTCCTTTGGCAGCCACTAGAGCCTCTGCCTCCAACGGCAACTTGTGGGTCTCCCCGTTGTTCGTCGAGGGGATCGTCTTGGCAATTGACGATTTATGGGTCGCAAAGAGGAATGCTGAGAATGCCTCCTTGGCGCCGTCCTGGTCTGCTGGACGAGTAGTGGTAGCGTAGATGATTCCTGCCTCGGAGACGGGCTTGGGTGACAGGGTGAGAACGTCGACGTAGTTGTCGCTGTCTGACTGAGGTGTTTCGACGGCGCCTTGATAGAGACGGCGGTGCCACTCGGACATGTTGCAGGTCTTTGAGATGTCGACTGAGTCACCCATGCCCATCTGTCTAAACTCTGTCATGAAGAGGATGGTCGAGAACATTGTGAGGTTGGGCAGGTTGATCTCTGCTGGGACAGTGTTTTCGGGCGACGGAGCATTGCTGTTGTCGTTGATGAGGTTGACTGCCTTGTGAGTGAATTGGTAGAGTCGAACCATGGTGTCTAACGCGTCCTATGTGATGGTTGTTGCTTGTGTTGTTGACCTTTGCAAGTCTTTTTCTATGTCGTTGTTCGTGGAGGGCAGTCACTCTTTCGCATGCATTTGGTGGCGCATTAATTATGCTGGAGCGGCTCATTCCTTTTTCCTCCACTTCCCTTCGTTGATTGTCTTCCTCATCGTTTCTCCTCATTCCAACACCTTCCAGGGAACAAAAGTGCAGGGGGGTACTTCAAGTCTTTCTTCGCTCCCCTTCGTTCTTCCTCTCTTACAACCTTCTTTCCTCATACTCCCACGCTCACTCACAAAAGACACTCTCAGAGGCAGGGCGAGTACTTCCTCTATTATGCTTCCAACTCAGTCCTCGCTTCGGACTAAACGCAACCTCGGGAACCGTCCTCAAAACACGTCTGCTCGCCACGTTACCAATCAAGACAACAACAAGGAGAACGTTCCCGATCCACAAACGGAGGTACGTTTCAGTAACATCATCGATCTTCGCTGTGTTTGCAGCTTTTATGCTCGCGCTTGTCTTCACCGCACTAACAACTGCATCACACAAACGCAATTATTTGCTGCTGTACAATAGAACTCAAGTGTTGTCGTCAAGGCGACTGCCACATCCTCAGCACCTCGGGAACCCTTGAAAACAACCAGTCAGGAAAACAAGCCTCGACTGGCTATCCCACGACCACCACCCTCTGTAGTTCCTGATCCGAAAAGACGATACTATCATCAACATGACAGCGAAGTTAAAATCCAAACAACAACAGTGACCACCAACTATGGAGGAGTCAACCTGCTCAAGCTCCCTAACAGCCGCGTCGCTCTTCCTGGACAACTTTCTCGCCCCTTTCGACCCAGACAGCCACTTGATCAGAGTCACGCCCAGGTTCGTACGGGGGGCAAACCACAACTGGCCACTAGGCAACCGCTGTCGGAGCTTATCAATACAAGAATGCCTGGAGGTTCGAGCAAGTCGGATCATGCAGTTACAGCAAGACCAACATCTCTTATTGTCAAGACTCCAATTGTCCGGACTGTCAAAATTGTCGCAGCGGCTGCCACACAAACGACTACAACTACTGCCCGTTCGCCAACTACAGGTCGATTACAGGAGTCGGTTGACAGGACCACCCGGCGCACGAGCATTTTACAAAAAGAAATCAAGGACGTTTCCTCATATGAACCGAGGTCAACTCTCCACTCAAGCACTGAGCCAGCTCATCGACACATGGCACCCTTGCCATCGCCCGGCGCACGCCGGACTCGGAAGGCAGCAGCAGTTGTACCCAACCAACCCGCCGCGCCTCTCGGACGCCCTGTGGGGCCTATTGCTACTGACGCAGTGAGTCGGACATGCGGTCCACTGCAAACGGATGCACGGCGGGCAACAACCACAACGGAGGATACGGTAACGCATACCAGACTCGAGCGAGCGGCTGAAGTTGAGGAAGCAGGATCTCCTGACACAAAGCCTGGAAAGCGCAGGCGAGACATCGACGAGTCTAATGAGTTGCAGAGAATGTTACGGGTCCAAGATATCGAAGACCCCATGTTGGCCGGCGAGTATTCTGAGAGCATCTTTTCCTACATGCGTGAACTCGAGGTATTTACAAAGTTTGTTTTGTAATGTCGTAATGCTGTTTGAGTACTCCCTTTGTGTGCAAAAAGTAAACCTTCATCCTGTCACTCCCTGGGCGCATACACATAGATCATGCTGGCGCCAGCGATCGGATACTTGGAGAGCAGACCGAGGGAAGCTTGGTCAGTTCGACGGATCTGTGTGGACATCGCTTGCAGGGTGTGTGACAGTCTCAACACCATTGGCGAAACAGTGTTCTTGGCTGTCAACCTACTGGATCGGTATCTCAGCTGTCGCACCCTGCAGGACAACCACCACCAGCCACGCATATTGATCGTAACCTGTGTCTTAATAGCGTCAAAGTTCGAGGAGCGCAACTCATTTGCGCGTGTGATCGACTTTCTTCACATTATTGAACGATTGGGGTTGCCTCCTCTTGATCCATCCGTCTTTCGAGCAGGCGAACGACATCTCTTGCAGCTATTTGATTACAAACTGGGGTGGCCTGGCCCACTGTCATTCTTGCGTCGGTGCTCGCGAGCGGACAATTGTGATCAGGCTGCTCGTTTGGTGGCAAAGTACATTCTCGAGGTCATACTGATTGATGAGCGATTTGTGCTATACCGGCCATCTCTGCAGGCAGCTGCTGCCCTTTACATCGGACGATCCATGCAAGGACGCGAGGACTTAGTGAGTGTCAACTTGTTCTTTTTTCTTTGCTAAGGTTCGCGCTATGTTGCTCAATCCTCATCTTGGCTGCTGATATCAAATCTTCTTACTTCTCTCGGACGCGCCATTTTGTAGCCTGCCATTATGATTGAGTACTCGGGGTACTCATTTGCGGAGATGGAACCGGCTGTGCTGGATATGATCTCGTTCCTAAGTGAGAGCTATGTCACCCGCACGGCCCCCTTCCACAAATATCAGACTAAACGCCGTTCGTTTGTCTCGCTCTTGGTCGCCCGTTGGATCGAGCGCCGATCTCATATTCAGATCCTCTAACGCACCACTTTGTTGTGTCAACCATCTCTCTCATACCTCTCTCATCAACTCACTCAACTACCCCACTCTGTTCACGCTCACATCTTGTACTTCCACACCCGCTCCATTATTGCACCGCAACACTTATACGTCTAGAGATATGACACCATTCATTCTCGCTCTGCAATCTCCACTCTTCATATGTGTACTGCTTATTCGCCAGTTTCGCTCACCTCTTCCCTCCTTCTCTCTTTCTAGCTTGGAACAAATGAATAAACAAGAGGTCTAGATCGAATCAATGTGGGTCTAGCTTCGAGTGTCTACCAGAGACAGGACGTAACCACAATGTCATGAAATCAGGATGGGGATTATCAAAGGAACACTCAACTCTTTTTTTATTTCAGGCTATGTAGCAAAAACAGCTAGTAGCACGACTCGGTTTGAAATACCAACTGCAAAACGGAAACTACTTCTAACGCGTTTAATAATCTACGAAGGCGAGGAGAGTAGAATGAATAAGTTATGTTAACCTCTTCCAATCGGCCACTGATTGCAGTGCTCGACGACCGATGTGCCGTTGTTTTTCGAGTCTTGGGTGCGACCTTTCATCTCCAGTGCCAGTCGCAGTCTGCAATATAAAAATAATAAACAGATAACAAAATCCTGAAATCCTTTTGAAGGTCCTGCTGGAACAAGGACGGTGGCGAGAGCAAGTTGGTATCTTGAACCGATACTCTTAGTCGACTGCTTCTCGACACAGGATTCAAGAGGACGTCCTCAACCCCTCCTCATTCCGTTGTTTTTTTATGAATCAGAGAGGACCCGTAGCTCGATCCTTTGATATCTCGAACCCCAGCGGGTAGAACGAGTTGCTATTGAAAAATAGTACAATAAAGGTCAAAAACAGTGGCAACTCACGAGCTCGACTTTGACCATCTTTGCTTGAATGAACTCGACAACAGATCTTGCACTAGCGGGATTTGTTACACGGAGAGTCATCACTGGGCGTGACCAAAGTGGCATCAGACCATGTAATCATCAAAAAAGCATGCGCAACTTATGAATCGTCGACGACGTTCTCTTCACAAGAAAAGTAACAATAACAGCAATGCGACAATGGTGCATGCTTTTCCGAGTTGTTTACTGTGGTTTGCATCTTGTTTCTGGTTCGTGACACTTATCAGCTGCGTACTTGTCGCGTGTCGCGACACGCCCGGTTCTGACCGCTTTGCCTATTTGAATGAGCTGAACTCGCTTTCCTGACCAAATCACGCGTATGCATAACACATTGGCACGCGCTGTCTCCATCTCCCATAGTCGTTGCGCTTCCAGCTGCCAAACTCGGAATTTCCTGATCCCAATCCAATTGAACCGTCATATCATCCTGTTCTCTTCTTTCAACTCCAAAATCGTCCTGCTTGGCTCTCCTTGAACGGCGTCCACACATTTCCTAAAACGCTTTTAGTCCGATGCCTCGTATGCGAGGATAAGGCTATTTGAGAGCAGAAGGGAAAAGGAAGATCAAACAAGGCACCCAAACGCATTGACCAAGTGCTCATTTCAAGCACAGTTCAACAACCTTTGAAACGACTTACTTGTACTGGCATTCTCTGCCTCGGTGCGCAAGGAAGGGGATATAAAAGAACGTCATAAAGAGAGGAAAAAGAGAAAAATGAAGGAAGTGCAAAAAAAGGGGAAGTGGAGGGGATAATAAAAAGAGACGTTTTACTGAAGTCTTGATAATTGTACCTTGACCCTATTTCGAAAAAAAAGAAGAAAGAGCCACTTCAATTCCATCCAGTTCCTTATACACCTGAGCCTCTCTGGTAATCCAAACCTAGGGACTCAGAGCCCTTTACAAGGGCAATGAATCATCTTAACAAACATCAGAGCAAAGACCCATCCCTCTAAGCAATGATTTATGACTTATTTATTGTGTCACGTGCGCTTTCGTTAACCATTGTTGCACGTGATATGACATTGCTTGTGAATAAAATGGACAGAGAAATTGTTGGCGACATCAAGAAGTCGCTAAAGGCTCAAATGCCCGCTTAGCTCATTGGTAGAGCGTCTGCCTAGTAAGCAGAAGGTAGCAGGTTCGATCCCTGCAGTGGGCACTTCTCTTAATCATTCTCAACTTCGGTTGAGTTTCTCCTTTTGTTTTTTCTTCCTAGTGTTCGATAGATATGGTGTTTTTCATAACGGCATGCTCTTCCTCTTTTTTTATCACCATGAACGCGCCTTTCTTCCTTTCTCGCTTTTATTTTGGCCCATTCATTGCGTAGGTATTCAATGCTGCATCTAAGTTCTCTCGAAAGTATGGACTATGGAAGAAAAGGATAAGTAGGGGTGGAATCCGCCGATGAGAACTCGATGGATCCTGTCGTCGTATTTTGCCACAGTGGACAGACGCATTTTTGTTTTTTGTTGTTTACGGCCTATGCAACTCAAATCTATCGGTCAAACACTGTTGGGCACCATCAACTGACGGTAAAGACGGAGACCAGTAGCTGGATTGTTCACTGATAGTTACAGCATGCGCCAGATGCGATCTAGCTTCACATAGTCGTTTGAGGACGCGTCCTTGTTTGTTCGTGAACGACCAGAGGAAGGTCCCTTATTCTTCTCTTCCTTACTAATCGTTGATGACATATTGACCCCCTTTTTTTTTGTTGTTGTCTTGTTTCCTACTAAGTTAGATCAGTTAGTAGTCTCATTGTTTGTTCGAGGGGGAATGCCTTTCCGCTATTTTTTTTGATCAGTTGTGGGTTGTGTAGTGTTCATTTTCGTCCATTTTTTTTTTTTTTGCTGCAAAGCTCGAAAGCACAGCTCAAAACCACCAAACGAGGAGGGGAGAGAGATAGAAAAATAGGAGGGAAAGGAGGGGTGGGTGCACACTCTTCCTGAAAGATGACAACAAAGCCTTGAGAGAGCAACCAATAACACTGACAGAAACAATGATTACTGCATTATCATTATTTTTCCTTAGCTCCCTGCATGTCTTGAGGTGTTTCGAAACAACGTACAATGGGCACGTTAGACCTGCATTAGCAGAAACAAAAATATTCATACACCCCCCATCGCCCAATGCGAAGGAGACGAGAGGGAGTGGGGGGAAGGAGGAGGGTGAGAAGAACGATTGCGATATGACGATTGATGATTTAGCAGCCGCCCTCAGTTCACACATATATATACCGAGTATCATGTACCCTTTCACAAATATAGATCTATTGTTCTGATCGCGGCTTTACTTTCTCGCAACGGTCAAACAAACATTCGTATCGATTCAAATCCAAACTGAAAGCCCCAAAAACTCAACCATTCGTTTTGTAATTGTTTTTTTTTTATTCGAGAGACATCGGACAAACAAAAGAACGATATGTACAGAAGTAAAAAAAGAGGAAAAAAAAAATACTAGACGCGTTTCTCAAAAATAACTGCCGGTCTCACTTCAAATGACCGACGAAAAAGGCTGGGCAGGAACGACCGTTGATTTAGCACCAGATTCAGACTACTGCTGATGGTGATCTGCTGCTTTGTGTTCCACCCCACTAGCAGAGGGAGCAACGACAGGAGCGGTAGGCGCCTTATCTTCTCCACCACTAGCAGTGTTGGTACCAATGTTGCTCGCAATCACTGCCTCTCCCTTCGCCTTGTTACTGTTCTGATCTGCAAGTGTACCCGATGCAGCGGAAGTAGGGAGTGGGGGTGCAGAAGGCATGGGTGTCAAATCTGCAGGGTCGACGGCGTTAATGTGAGAGTTGATTGCAAACGCATCCGGGTGCACAATGCTGTTACTTCCGCCGTTGATGTTGTTATGAGTCGAAGGAGGAAGAGCGCCTCCATGGACGGTAGGATCCTCAGTCGCAGCCAAGACGGGTGTGGAAAGAGGGACACCAGGACCAGTTTCTGTAGCGGTTGTGGTCGAAGCCGAGACGGGTGCTGGCGCGGCAATAGTCGACAGTGCCGGGGCTGTAGGTGCTGGTGGTTGCTGCTGTGTAAGTGGCTCTGTGAGGACAGTCGACATCTCTGGTAGAGGGGTCGACTCTGGCTCGGGTTCCTTCATGGCTTCCAAAGACGCCTCAACTGCTGGCGTTGGTGCTGGAGCAGTAGCAAACACAGGAAGAGCTCCATTGTCGTTAGACGAAGGAGCAGTAGCAGTACCAGCAGCAGAAGGAAGAGCTGCTGGAGTAATAGGATCGAACGACCCGGCGGTAGCAGCGGCAATGATATCGTCAAGGCTAGGGTGCGACATGCTAGCAGAAGCCGGGAGCTGTTGCTGATGAGGCGGCTGGTTGCGACGCTCCTTTTCTGCAGTCGAATTCGAGGATGCGACGGGAGTGGGTGCAGGTACCGGGGGCATGGCTTGTTCTGTGTTCATATCCAGGTCGGGATCTAGATCCGTCTTTGCAAACTTGGTCACAGGCGAGGCATCCGCCGAGGCGGTCGTTCCACTTTTGCGCTTGAGTGGTGAAGTTGTTGTGTTTGTCGAGGTGGGTTGCTGCTGGTCCATTGCGGTAGGGGCATTGGCGGCTGCAGTGTCCAAGCCGCCAGCCTGCTTGTTTACCCTGGAGCGTGTCGTAACCATTTTTGAGGTGTATGTAGGTGAAGAGGAGGAAGAGGAGGAGGAGTGGCGAATGAAGAGAAAGACTGAGGGTTGGTTATTGTTTCGTTGGTGTGTTGTGGTGTGGGAGAGGGGTGTTGTGTGGGATTGGGAGGGATAAGAGTAAAGAAGAAAGGAGGCATTGCAGCGGTCGAGCCATTTTAATACTCCATGTCACGTGTAGCTACGTAATTAAAAATTGTAGACAGTTCCCCCGTCCAGTTGCGATCTACGGAAAGGAAGAGGAGCAAGCGCATGGGGCGTGTACGTAGTAGATGTTGTTGGTGCAAATCGAACAAATCGTTTTATTTCGTATGTACAGAAGGAGGGAGCAGCTCTCGTTTTGTGATTTCATCAATCTCTTCTTTTACTCCAAGGCAATCTGGCCCTGAGCGCCGTAGCGGGCGTAGAGGGTCACGCCCAAGGCCAAAACAGCAGACAGGACCCAGGAGACGTTGGAAAAAATGAAAGAGAGGCCGTAGTGGTGGTGGGCAAACATGGCCGACGTCTGGGTGACATGTGCAATCAAGGCCATGCACACAACCTGGAGTCCGGCTGCTCGTCGTAAACAAAGAAGATAATATTAATATCCCATGCCTAGCATACTTGATCCGATCAACTGAAATAATTCGCAGTAGACAAGTAAAGAAACGTACCAAAGATGCCGACGAGGCCAAGGATGTGCTTCCAGCCGGTAGCGATCCAGCGCTCACCGGTGTAGAGAACAGTGCTCAGGCCAGCAATGACCCAGAGGCCGACAAAAGCAGAGAAGATGGCGAAAACAGAGGCGACTCGCCACTCGGTGCAGAGGTTGACCCGGCGTCCGCTGTCCCTGTCCTGGTCACAGTCACCCCAGGACTTTTGGGGGAATCGACGGCAGTCATCCGTCAAGGTCGAGCACTTCTGGAAGAGACCGTAGTTTGCCTCTGTGTAGTATGGCTCAGGGCTCTTGTACTGCACCCTATGAGGTCAAAAGGTACAAGGGCGAGAGGGTTAGAAAGGTCAGTCGGTCGGTCAAGGTTTATGTGACTGCCTTGGCCTTTCTCTTGGAGCCCCGCTGCTGGTCAGTCAATTTCTCCTTGCGCCCATGGGAACGACGGGTGGAGTATGAGAACAAGCTCATTCAAGACGAAGGACGCGCGTGTTGTGTAGGACAAGCTGGAGTGCAGTTTGTTGAAAAAAGTCCCTTGGCGGGCATCAGCCCATGAAAGGATGAGTTGAGGCAAACAAAACAACGGCCCCTGACACCAGCCAAAAGAGGCAAAAGGTTGGCAAGGACAAAAAAACCCAGCCAAACTTACCACTTGGGATCAAAGAGCGAGGCGAGCTGGAATCCAAAGGCGGCCAAAAAGACGGCCGTGGCGGCGATGTATGCGTTGCGGGTAGGCATGATTGTTTGAAGAGGTGTGTTGATGTAAGATGTGGGTGGGTGGATGGAGAGAGGGCGAATGAAAAAAAAAAGAAAAAAGTGCGGAGGTGTGGTAAAAAAATAAAAATTTAGCTGGGTCAGTGAGCGGTTTTTATGGTCGGTTGTTTGTGTGAGACGAACGCGCTGTGGGTTGGCCGCATGAATGTTTCTTTCTCCCTTTTTTGAGCTAAATGGTCACGTTTGCATCCCTTTTCCGGCAACCATCCACCGATAAGCTCCTCTTGCTGCCGCTGGAACCTGGTGTGGCCTAGCTAGTAATGACATCATCTTCCCGTCAGCTAGAGAGAGCGTCAGATCTTGCCAATATCATTCCTTCCTCGCTTGCTTGCCGCACGATAGGTCGCCACATGGTGATGTCAATGCCTCTACATCAAACCTGAAAATGCCGAGAACAACGCGCACAACGGTAAATATGACTGCAAGTCGAGTTATTATGTTTTTAACGGGCTTTATTTGCATAGCTATCAGAAATCGATAAATATGAAAAAAGAGCGGGTTAGAAGCGGGTGCGCAAAGTAGAGAGGAGGGGTGAGAAATAAGGGCAAAGGCGAGAGAAAGGGAGAGAGAGAGGAGTGGAAAGAGGTGGTAATAAACGAGAACAATGGTATCGGGGCCATTTAAAAGAGAAAAAAAGTACAAGTAGTAATAAACAAAAAAGAAAAGGAAAAAAAAGACAAAAAGACTAAAAAAGCGAGAAGGAAGGGAACAAAGACTGTCGGTTCAGGCCGTTCTGTTAGTTGCTGTGTACAGGAGCCTGAAGGTGTTGATGGATCCATTCACGGACAAAGATCGAGGCCTTCATGAAGCGCTTGGTCGAGTACTTCTTGAAGATGAAGGTCTCTTCTGAGAGATTCTTCAGGACTTCCACCATCAATTCCATGCAGGTGAGGAGTTGTGGTTCTGTGTATCCAGAGTAGTGTGCTAGGTTGACAGTCCAGTCCTCGTGACCCATCATCTTCCTTGCCAGACAGAGCGCAGCTGCAGAGATCAGCGATGGTTGGTAAGGCAAAAAAATGTGGTCCAACAGTGGGACCTCCATGAGGTATTTCGCCACCGTGCGCGAGTGAATGTCATAGTTGTCGGCCTTGGAGATCCTGCGCAAGAAGTTCATGGGGCTGGGGTAGCACAGCTTAAAGCTCAGAGCCTGAAGCATGTACCGCTCTGCCTTCAAAATCTCCTTGTCAGTGAATCCGCCATCCGTCATGTAAATAAAGTTCTGGACCGACGGTGCCATCACCTCCTCGTACTTGGCTGCAATGAACAGCGCCGTCACGCCCACCAGCTGAAGCTTCACCAGCGAGACACCGCGTGAAGAGAGGAAGCGATCGATGATATTGACGGCGAGGAAAAGTGTTTCTGGTAGCAACTTGAACTTGTTGTGTACTTCTGCCAGCCAATCCACCAGTACGCTCCTCATCTTCCATGCCAGTTCCATTTGTGTCTCCATGTACTGTGGGTCAGGCATAGTCTCGTTCTAGGAAAGCCAAAAAAAAACAATAACAAACAAAACGATGAGTGTCAGATCTTTCTTCGCTACGCGCAAAAAAATTAATTACTTGAACAATTAATATCAACAACACGAGTTCGAACATTGCCTGCATGCATTACCTCCAGAATCTGCATGTAGTTAAAGATATCGACCACATATTCCGACACCATCAATGGATCGCCTTCATCCTCTGCATCCAAATCGTCCCAGCCGAGAAGTTCTTCCCTTTTAGGCCTCTTCATTTCCTCTTCCGTCTCATGATTGCGTGCCAATTCCGCATCGTCATCGCATTCCAGCTTGTGCATCACTCCGTGTAGTAGCGAGTCCTCTGCTGGCCGTTTTGCTGCAGTTCGCTCCAGCTTAACATGGTCAGGTTCGGACTTCACAGTCCGCAATTGATCATACTCGATATGGCGCATGATATTCTGTAGAGACGACTTCGACCCAGTGCCGGGTTCCTTCTTGACAATAACATGTGGCTTTTCTTGTTGGTGGAGAGAGATTTTGTCCTGTTGGTTGGCGACGGGAATTCTCTCCTGCAATGGTTTCCTGGCTGCGCCCGAGGCAGGGACATATGTGGTGGTGTTGGATGATGATGTGGCTGAGATATGGTTTGATGTGGAGGAGGTTGAGGAGACGGAGGATGGGGCAGCAACAGATGTCCTTACGGGGACCATTGGGATACCATGTGTCTGGAGAGGCTGTTTCTTGGATGGAGGTCGCGAAGCCTTGCTGCCACTACTTCCACCATTCTAGATAACATTATCGTGTTTTTGTTTTCCAGGTACAGTTTGGACGTTAATAAATTTTGGACGTGGAAAAAAACATAAGCTCACTAAGCCGACACGCCAGGAAACATGAAATAAAATAATAACAATCAGTGAAGAAAGGGGGCGTGGAGTGTACATGGGGAACAAGGAGCAATAGAAAGAGAAGGAGAGATATGTTTACCTCTTTATCGGACGCGCTTGGGTTGATGTTATTGTTGGAATTGTTTGTGTTGGAAGAAGACGAGACATGGACGATGGTCTTTTCGCCGAGGACACGCTTCCTTGTTGCTTGGATGGCGCCGGGGGCGGTCTGCCTGGGTCTGGACTGGACGGCGGAGAGGACATCCTTGACGTATGTGATGGGTTGGCTGGGTCCACTGGCCACGTTTTCGTTGTTCAGACGTCTTGCACCCATGGCAGGGCGAGATCGGGAAGTCTGTGGGATAGTGGGTGTAGTTGAATTCAATATGGGATTGTAATATGTGAGTGTGCGTGTCGTAGTAGTTGTTGTTATTTAGATGGGGCGAGTGTGTATGTGTATTGATATTTTGGATTCAAGACAGAGAGGAGAATGAGTGGGGAGGATGGGGGGATGGATAGCTTGGCTGTTAGTATTGCTAGGAAGACGAGGATGAGAGAATAGACCTACGTTCTGCTGTGACATGATGTGGACCCAGGGAGCATGGAACAACGAAAGGAGATAAAGAGAGAGGTAATGAGAGACGGGGCGTGCAAGAGCAAGGTGCACTGGGGGGAGTGTATGAGCTAAGAACACAGACTGTGGCAATGGGTACTAGGCACAAGGGACCAACACACATTTGCATCCTGAAAAAAATAGCTGTTAAGGGTGGCGACAAACAAACAACTCTCCACTACTGTGACAGACATCGTAAGAAGTCCGCTCACTGTTGTGTGTGTGTGGCTATCAATCGCTCAATCATATCTTCAACTCCTTCAACGCCGCCACCACCACAAGTCAGCAACCACACTCACTCTTCCTACGCCACTCACACATATAACACACAAGGATACGACGCATACCACCCTACTGACTATAGAACTGACGCACACTCAGCCAGCCTCGCATCACTTGAAGGAAGAACCAAGCCAAACAACAAAGGGGCCAAGGAGATGCATTCGATGCAAGGACAACACCCGTCCAACATGCAGTACATGCATCAGGTCGCCGGGCTCTCGGGCCAGAACAGACAAGGAACTGGAGGAGCTGGAGGAGCTGGAGGAGCTGGGGGAGCTGGAGGAACTGGAGGTGCACCACCAGGAGGACTCTCTGCAGGCGGGATGCACGGACTGGGGCCCAACCAGATGAACTTTGGTGCAGGAGGTGGAGGAGTTGGAGGAGGCGTCAATGGAATGAATAATAACCAGCTTGCCATGCAACTCCATCAACAGCAGCAACAACAGCAACAACAGCTCCACCAGCAGCAACAAAGACAGCAACAGCAGCAGCAACAGCAACAATTGCAGCAGCAACAACAACTTCAGCAGCAGCAGCAACAAGCTCAGGCTCAGGCGCAAGCTCAAGCGCAAGCTCAGGCGCAAACCCAACAGCAGCAACAACAGCAACAATTTAGGATCGCGACTATTGAGGACGAAAAGATCTACTTACTGGTCCTTGAATTGACCAACCCTGTCAACCGTGAGCAAGCCTTGCTGGAGTTGAGCAAGAAACGCGAGCAGTTTGATGAACTCGCCCTCGTCCTCTGGCATTCCTATGGTAAGATCACAGTTCATGAGTTTCATTCGATGTGGATCCAAGATCCTTAACTCTTTGACTTGCTCTTTGGCACAGTTCATGAGGCCAACGCGATATTAACTACCTTCGCCTCGTTTTGTCCCTGCTCTTTGTGTCCTCTAGGCGTGATGGCTGCATTGCTGCAGGAGATCGTGTCAGTGTATCCTTTGTTGGTTCCCTCAGGATTGACAGCCCATGCCTCCAACCGCGTATGCAACGCCCTGGCGCTTCTGCAGTGCGTGGCCAGTCATCCAGAGACCAGGGGTCTCTTCCTCAATGGTACTGTGATCGATTTTCTTATTCTTGCACTGTCATCGATACACGCGCTCGAGTTGAAAAGAAATAGCCTCTAATATTTTTCATTTGTTGACACCCATGTCCCCACTCCACACGGACACACAGCCCACATCCCCCTCTTCTTGTACCCTTTCTTGAACACAACCAGCAAAACACGGCCATTTGAGTACTTGCGTCTCACAAGTCTTGGTGTGATCGGGGCATTGGTCAAGGTACACTCCATACACATACACCCAGTGCATTGCGCTCTGTTTACCTTTTGTGGTTTTTGTGGTCACTTTCACGTTTCATGAAAATTAACATGTGTTGCATGTTTGTTTCTTCTTTGGTTGCTTAGAACGACAACACAGAAGTGATCACATTCTTGCTTTCAACTGAGATCATCCCTCTCTGCCTTCGCATCATGGAGACCGGAAGCGAACTCTCCAAAACTGTAAGCCTTTCAGTTCATGTTCTTTTGCTTTTCATGTTACTCTGTTCCTCACTTGTCCCATTGTAAACCCATAACTCTTTTTTTTTCGGATTTCAAACTCGCTAGGTTGCGATCTTTATTGTGCAGAGGATCCTGCTAGATGAGACTGGACTGGCATACATCTGCCAGACATACGAGCGATTTTACGCTGTTGGCACAGTTCTTAGCAACATGGTCTTCCAACTAGTCGATACCCTTGCCGTTCGACTCCTCAAACACGTTATCAAATGCTACCTCCGCCTCTCTGACAATGCCAGGTAACCAGCGATTCTAACTCAACATCGACGGTGACGATTTATCCATTCGTCTTCACATGTTCGCAAAAGACTCTAACCTTCATCTTCTGTCAATATCTGAATTGTAGGGCTCGGGAGGCGCTGAGGCAGTGTTTGCCGGAACCGCTGCGGGATGCGACGTTTGCGCATGTTCTCAAGGATGACCCCAACACGAAGCGATGCTTGTCGCAGTTGCTCCTTGCTTTGTCCGACACCTCCAACAATGCCAACACCACCAACAACGCCACCAACAACAGCGGACTTGGCAACTAATATGCAACGCGTTTTTGCTTATTTTACTCTTTGGATATCGACGATACCCCCCCACTCACTCCCCTCTCTTCCTCTGCCGCCGTAAGCGCCTTTGTTCTATTCTTTGAGAAGAAAGTGTGTTGGGCGGCACTCTTATATTGCACCTTCCTTTTCTTTTCCACTTCCTTTTTTTACATGTGCGATATTGTATCATTCTTAATCTTTGTCTACAACACAACACACAAAAACTACAAAAATATGCTTGTACCAGTTTGTAAAAAAGCCTCACTTTTCTCGTCCTTACTACTACACCAACTCGCGTTCGCGATCTTGAATAAAAAGAAAATTTTCAACATTAGATTCTACCGTTTCTATCATACGCTTTTTGCTATCCTGGAACATCATCATGACTCGTTCCTCAACATCATCCCTCTCCCTCCGCTCATTAAATCCCACTTTCCTTCTCTTAGCGAGTAGTCCAGAGTCGGGTATGGTTCTCGTAAGGCTTGGTGGAGACCTCGGTCTGGATCTTGCGATGGATCGCACAGAGGTAGTCGACATAGGACATGGCATCGTTGTTCTTGTCCTCGGCCAACAGACTCAAGAACTCGGGCTCCTCGTGCTGGCCGCGGCCCTGGCGGACCACCACCAGGTTCAGGTACTTGCCACGCTGTTCTTGCATATACGCCGCTACCGTCCTCAACTGGTTGCTTGTCTGTGATTCGATTTCTGGCAGATGGCGCTGTTGTCATGGAAAGGAAAGGAAAGGAGGAGGAAGAGGAGGCAAAAAAAGTTGGTTAGGGAAATGATGCGACAGAGATGAAGTTCCATTAGAAGGGTGACACGAAATCAAGTAGACAACAAAAGCTTACCAGGCTAGGATCAACTTCGTCCAAGGTAGAGACACCAAAGACATCCATGAGGTAGTTGGAGGGGATATCGCGTCCCAACCAGAGGAACATGCATTGACCGTTCTCCAGCAAGTAAGCTCCTGCAGGGTTCAAACGAGCCACTGAGACACGAACCAATGGTGGGAACAACACGCGTCCTGTAGGACCTCTCACGCCAACCTACACATCACATAATAAAGATATGCAGATATAATGTCAGTTTTTCCATGCATTCTCTACCTCACAACTTACAAACAAAAACGCAGCAATACAGTAGGGCAAAAAACGCTACCTTTTCTTCCATGTCGAAAACGGGGACCATGCGGGGGTAAAAGAAGGCGATGGACTCGCTGACACCCATGCTCCTGAGCATGCGCATATGATGCACTCTGATATCACTGTTCATATCAATGCCTGACCGGAGAGACTTGGACTTCAGCAGTGTCAACGCATACAGAGGGAATAACTTGTATGACTCGGGAAGAATAAGCTATCAACATGGAGGATTCAAATGCGTCAGGTACATCCTCAGCTGAGCGCTAATGATACAAAAGTACAAGGGTGAAATCGACGCGTTCTGGAAAGCTTAGGATGAAATGTTACCTGACCAGGGGCGGTTGATGAAGCACAGTTCTTGCGGTATGAGGACAAAATCTTCACACATTTCTCAGTAAGAGCCTCGCGCACATCGTTCAAGGGTTTGCTCAATCCTTGTGCAATGGCTATCACGTTTACAAGGGAATCAAGGGTGAATAGTCAGCAACATTGCACAAAATGTACTATTCCATACAGATCAGCATTAAGTACAACTTGGCGATCGCGCTTACCTCCTTTAGCCAAGAAGTTGATGGTGGTGTCCATGTCAGCCCATCGGAAAACATTGCCCAGCAATGTGGTGACGGGTGTGCTAAAGTTGTGGACTCTCACTCTTCTCAAACCATCGGCAGTGGTGTAAAGCAGTGCCACTTGGAACGAGGCCTCGACCTTCTCGTCCAACTTTCCATCATGCTTGACCAAAACACCAAACGCTTTCTCAGAGTCGATACCAGCGAGCTCCAGATCAGTGCTGTTCTTCATGTGGAAGTTTCCAAAGTGCTCCGTGATCCTAAGACCGGTCGAACAACGAACACGCATCAACGCGTTGTAACCGAAAGGACGCGCCACCAACTTGGCCAAGTTGCCCTTGAACTTGACAGCGTCGCGTGCGGGGTTGAAGTTGGGGAACATGTGCGACTCTCCTCCAGTAATGCTTGGAAGGCAACCCAACGTGGCAACGTCAATGTACGCATTGGGGAACAGGAACAGGTCGATTGAGAGACCAGCGTCCACGCAAGACTCTGCCACCTTCTTGTAAAAGTCGTCCTGAGGCGCAAAAAGAGTTCTCTCCTTGTCCGTGCCATAAAGTTTCGAGTCCTCGCGCTGCTTGAGGGCGCCAGGTCCAGATGTGGGGAGAGCAGTCTGGAATATGACCAGCTTTCCTCCACGGTTCTCCAGTGCCATGTGAACCGCCTGAACGACAGCGCCAATAACGGGATCTGTGGTCTTGTTCTCGGCGAACAATTGAGGGATGGAGTCTAGCAATGACTCGACAATGGACCTAGACAGTTCATGCAGTCATGGTGAGTTTGTTGTTGCCATTGTATTATCAACAAACAAGTACTGCCAGTAACATGAAGAGTCGACTTACTTGGAGGTCTCAGGGCTGACCAAGAATCCCTCACTGAGTGGCACAAAGACATCATTCACATCGGGAACAACCATCATCTGCGCTTGCTCCAAGCCCGACTATTTTCAAACACAAGCATATCAAGTGGGATAAGCAGTTAGCACTTCATTCTTAGGTTCCATGTCGTTCTGTTCAAAACAATCCCCGATGAGTCGCTGATAACTTACGGAGAGGTTGTAGAAGTGAACGGTCTTGTCGTAGGTGAGGATTCCGACCTGAGCACCTGGTGCCAGTCTAGAGACGCCATCGGCATCCCAAAGCGCCTCCTTGATGCCCTCAACACAGTTGGCGAGCATGCCGCTCTGGACAGCGCTCCAAGAAACGTCAATTGCAAAGACGTAAGCAGCAGCAACTGGGGACTTGTTCCAATACTCCTTGGGAACTGCGAATTCGATGGTTCCATTGCGCAGCTCGGGTCTCTGATCGATATCCAAGCGACGGCCGCTCATGTCCAGGTTGCAGAAGTAGTTGGGGTCGATCTCATTCTCGAATAAGCACAGGTTACAAACGAATCGCTGACCGCCGTTAGTGAAGATCATGTAGGGGTTGATGTATGCCTTGCAGCGACGACATCTAGCTGGTCCTGCATCGCCAAAGTCAACGGTTTCAATAGGTGCCTAAAGACAAGGAGGTATCATATGTCAGCCAAATGATCTTTCAGACACTTTAAATGTTTGCTGTGAAAAAAGAAAAGATGCACACCTCATCGGCGCGGAGCTTGGCCAATGGCTGAATGATAAGACCCATGGGCAGTTGCGCAGTGCTGAGAAGATCCTCTGTGTTCGGAACGTTGTAGGTTGTCATCCTGAAGAAGCGAGGGTTACAGTTTCCTACATAAATCAATGGGTAGGCCGTTAATTTGATGATTGCAGTCTTGGTGCGACCGACAAAACACACCCCAAAGACAAAAAAAAAGAGCATTCGTGCGCATACCTTCATCGATGGCCATAAAGTCAGAGCTGGCAAGAGGAGTGACAAGGGTCTTAGAGGAGGTGATGAAGGGTGTGTCGTCCCACTGCGCCTGATCATTCTCCTGAACTGCAACGGGTGAGGGGATCTGGTCGGGATCGATCTTTGACTTGGCGACAGGCTGAATGGGTTGTTGAGGTTTGAACTGCTGCTGTTGCTGACCCATGCTCATGGGTTGCTGAGGTATAGGTGGCTGGTTCATGACGGGCTGCTGCTGCTGCTGATAAGGAGTAGGTGGCTGTTGAGCATATCCCTGGTTGGGTGGCTGTCCAAATTGCTGCGATCCATAAGGTTGCTGTTGCTGTTGCTGTTGCTGCTGCTGACCCATGCCGTTCTGAGCATCGTAAGAGTTCATGCCGGGCAGAGGAAGTGGGGGCATGCCGTTGTTCATTCCTTGCGCTGGAGGTGCCGCTGAGGGATCAGTCGCAAAGACGCGCTTTGGTCTTGCTCCTGCCTTGGGTTTGTACTATTGAATCCATTGACAAAATTTGTCAGTCAATCGTGTCGGACATGATGAGAAAATCCTGACTAGATAACGATATAAACGTCATCATACCTCTGCAGATGGCACTTGGGGTGGCCCTTGAGGAGGAATAGCGCCGAATCCAGGTGCTTGCTGATCGATGGGGCCGTTCGATCTGAGGGACATGTCAGCCATCTGGTTGTACATGCCGTTCATTCCAGCGCCATTTTGATCAACGGGAGCTGCGGGAGGAGTATGCTGTTGAGGTGGCAGTTGCTGTTGCTGCTGCTGTTGTTGAGGAGGGGTTTGTTGCTGGAATTGCATGGGTGGAGGCTGGCTGTGCCCGAGAGGAGTTCCTGCCCTTGCGTAGGGTGGCTGCTGCTGTTGGAGAGGAGATGCTTGCGCATGCTGTCCAGGAGGTCCATTGAGGGCTGTTGGTGTGGGTGTAGGAGGGGCATGAATAGGGCGAGGCGAAGGAGCATGAGCCATTCCTGGTGCTTGCCCAGGCAAAGGTGAGGCAGTCCTGAGTGGCTGGTTCATAGGCATGGGGGGACGGGGACCCATTGGAGGTCTGGCTGCTGATGGAGATCCAGGGTGAGGTCTGACTCCTGGTTGCTGTTGGTGTGGGTATGGGTGAGGAGAGCCATTGACAGGTGGTCTTGGGCCACCTTGACCTACAAGTTGTAGAAAGATAAGAGAACTGTCAGCATGAATGTAATGGTAGTGCGTTGACTGATCGAAGAGTGTCCATGGACCTGAGTGGTGTTCGCTCCTTCGGACTTTGTCACACATTTGATCAAATCGGATGCATGCTGAGTACCAACAATAGGATTACCTGACTGCATAAGAGGACGAGGACCGCCAGGGGGCATGTTGTTGGGCCGCACTCCGGGCTGGCCAGGCATCGAGGGTCCAGGGCGCGCATTGACATAAGGGCTAGGTGGTCCCTTCTGCTGCTGCTGTTGAGGGAAGCCATTGGGAGCCTGAGCAAACTGTCCCTGTCCTGGTGGCCCCTGCTGTCCTGGCTGTCCTGGCTGTCCTGGCTGTCCAGCATAGTATGGACGCTGCTGCTGCTGCTGTTGCTGAGGGTAGGCAGACATTGTGCTTTATAAAGGTGAAGAGGCCTAAAGGGTCTGAGGAAACGGTTGACACGGCATGGAGCGTGTGTTCAGTAAGAAATATAAAAGGCGCGGAGAGATCTCTTTTTTTTGTTTTTGGGTTGCAAGAACAGGACCCTTACAGGTTTGGTGACGCTGGGTGTTTGTTCTCCTGTCAGCGGTGTTGGTTCCTTTGTTCACTTTTTTTGGGTTTGTTGCAAGGAAGAGGGGGGTTGGTGACAAAAGAAGGGTGGCGAGGACAACGAAAAGGGGGAGGAGGGACGGGAGGAACGGGAGGGAATGAAGAAGAATGAAAAAGAAGAACGAGATGATGAGCCAAAAGGGACGAGCAATAAGATGTCTGAGCAGGAAAGGGTGTGAAGGGACGATAGGGCTGTTGATCGAATAGGATTGGCCCACACACGAGGACAGGAGAAACCAATTAGGGTCGATCGGTTAAGGGGCCACATACTGCAATCAAGCCACGACCAAATGGAGGGAGGCGCATGGCATTCACTCTCTCTTTTACAACTGCCATCACCAAAAAGGACAAACACCCGACACACAGGAACTTAGCCATGTAAAGAACCAGCCAAGCATACCTCAGGGCACAAGGAACACTGAAGCAATCAAAGAACCACTCGAGACGACAAAAACGGCTGTACGACACAGTGCAATCAACAACATACTTGGACCTCAGAGGGACTGATTCCACTTCAACTCTTACTATTGTTCTCTTCGTAGGGTTGCCAAAGGAAAACAGGCCAAAGTCAGGTTCGGACGCAAGAGCAAGGTAATTCAACCACAATATTACAGGAAGCAATCGTTGAGACGTTGTCGATGATAACAGGGAGCAATGATAGCAAACGACGACCAAGCGAGCCTGAAACGCGTGTTATTTACTACTCTAAATTGACTTTCTGTTGTCTTCCAATTGTTAACATAGGATGATGAAGAGGACGAGCAGAACACAGGTGCATCATCCATGGCATCGTCGATTACAGGATCCCCCACCAATTCAACCAGCGGAGCAGCATTGGTAGAACAAACAGCTCCAGCACTGCCCGTCACCAACATGGCCCACATCCACAAGCCTTTCAAGAAGCCAGGATGGCATGCCTCCAAAAAGACAAAGAACCTGAAGCAGATTATCACAGCGGACAAGGCCAAAGAGTGGAAAGCAAACACACCCACCTGTACGTTTCTCTCCTTGAGTTTTAAACATGGTCTTTGGAGCTTGAAAAGTCACGCACATGCTAATGTCAGCGCCCACTTCATGCCTTTTCGTTTGTAGATTGGAACATTGAGGCGTTGCCGTCGATGACTCCTCAGAAGAAGTACTGCGATATCACTGGACTGGAGGTAACGATCACACAGAACCTTCATTTCGTTGAACAATACATTGGAAGGAAGACTCTGGACAAGCCAATGGTGGCGTTTTTTTCAGTTAGCTAATCGATCTTGTTTTTGGTGCTTACTGGATTTGACTTGTGTGCAGGCACGGTATACGGATCCCAAGACTCGACTTCGGTACCACTCAACGGAGGTGTACCAGCTAATCAAGAGCCAGCCCATTGGTGTTGTGCAGCAGTACCTCGGTCTTCGCAACGCAGCGGTTGTCCTCAAGTGAGCAGGAGGGGTTTCTTTCCCATGCTCTGTTCTTGCAGTCGCTTGTCGCCGTAAATAGCCCTCGTTGTTCCTTACCAAGTCTTTTCTCTCGTTCTCTTTTCTAATAACTGTACAATAACATCACTACCACGAACAAAACGCCAAGAGGTTACGAATGGGTGTGTATGTCTTATGCAACCAACAGCACAGTCTGTGTGATGCATCGATCTGAATACTCAACTTTTTTCCACATTCCGCCGCATCTTTCTTTTCCCCCTTTCCTTTCCCGTCTCCCGTTTTTCTTTTTCTTTTTCTTTTTCTTTTTCTTTTTCTTTTTCTGTTTTCTTCCTTTACGCCCTTCCTTCTTGCCTTTCCTTCCTCCTCCACCCTCTCGTTCACAATGTCTGCATTCGACCCATCCGACCCATCCGACCCCTTCGACCACAGTCAGCCATGGCACAACGTCCCCTCAACCCAACCCGTCTGGCCAACCCTCGATCAGCAAGACCTCAATCTCTCAACCCCCGTTCTCACACCCACCCCCGTGGCCGTTCAGCCTGCTACTCATACCACTGCTACTTCTTCGTCAGGTTCAGTTCATGCTCCAGTTCAGGCTCAAGCCCACACTTCAACAACCCACAGCATAACCGAGGCAGTGACATCCTTATTCCACCGCCACCCACAAGAAACTCCCGCGCCCGCACACGCACCCGAAGTGGCAGGAGGATCATCGTCAACACCAGCAGAACCAACAGCACATAAATCCAAGGCGGCAGCGTCAAAGAAGGGCATCCTGGGAAACGAAGAAGAGCCTCCATCATACGAGTCGTCGGTTATCAGGAACGCTACGACCACCCCACATCAAATCCATGACAACTATGACCACCTTCGTGGACCCCCCGGCCAACGCGGTGTTGATATAAAGACCAGGATACCCCTGGATTCGACCCCTGCTGAGCATTTCCAATCAGGGAGTGGCAGTGGTAGCAACAATGGTGCTGGTGGTAGTGGATCTCAGCCTCCTCGGCAGTATGGCGCGACGAGTCAATCAGGCGGCGCCTCTGCACCACCCGCCAGCTCGTCTTCGTCTGAGGCAACTCGGCCTCTTCTGGGACAGACCTCGCACGGACGGGACGATGATGACGCAAAGCATTCCCGGGACGTCGATCGTCTCCTCGGTCCAAACTCCTCTACCCATGGCAACGGCGCTCGTCCCGACGACGAGGAAGACGAGGAACCAAAGACACACTGGTCGATCGTCGGCGACGGTAAGGCCTGGACAGCATTCTTCTACATCCTCTTCATCGTCGTCCCTCTCTCGCTCTTCTTCTTTGTCTGGTCCATGGCGACGCTCATCATCTCGGCCGTCAGTATGATCTTCCCGCCCGTTGGATACTTTGTCGTTATTGCGACCGTCACCTCTTGGAGAGCGCTTGGAAGATTGGACCTGGTCCTCGCCCGTGCCATGGTCCCCAAGGACGTCCGTGATCGACACCCCTACCAGACATTCGACATCTTTGTCACCCCCGGATCTGAAGAATGTGAGCACCACGGCATCCACGCCTCCGCCTCTTCTTCCTCCCATACCACCGATCCTACTCCTGCTGCAGCTCCCGGCGGAGCTCCTCCAACCTCCTCCTCATCATCAGAAACCTACACGACCGCCGAGGGCGAGGTCCGCCAGCGCCGCCGGAAACCGCGCAATGTGTTTGACAAGTCTGCGACCCATCTCGGCGCCTCCTTCAGCAACAAGCACACCCTCAAGACCCTGTCTTACCTCCTGATCTGGAAACTCGTCCTGGCTGTACCCATTTTCTGTGTCGTCGTCGTCTTTGCCTGCTTGACGATACCGTTGATATTCTGTCTCTTGCCTTCGTTGTTGATCATCTGCCGGGCTTTTGTTCACTGGCAGTTCCGATGGGCTATTATGTGGCTTGCCGAGCGTCACAAGCCCATTGCCTTGCCCTGAAGGGAAAAGGGCATGCTGGAAAATGGCCCATTTTGCATATCGCTTGCTGAACAAAAATAAAAACAACATCATTGTGCATCTTACAATAGTCATCTCTGGGAATATTTTTTTTTGGGGTTTCTCTATGAGGACATGCTGTGTCGTTGTATATGTGTATTATGGTATCATTTCATCTGCCTTCGTTTCTATACTTCCTCTCTCCGTCTCTAATCTATGGTACGAAGACTGGTCAATTGGATCGACGACAGGAAGACTAGCTTCCGGGCGACGATCCGGACCAACGCCAAGTCAACTACATCCAGCCTCAACTCCAACTTCTCCAACCGCTTCATGTTTTCAACCCCCAACAACACCCCTCCAATTGTCGTCCCCACAGTCTGGTCCAACCTCAACTCCTTCAACTTCAAACACTGATTGGCAATCCGGCGCAACACCCTATCGGGCACCTGCCACGCGCCGTGGAGACTCAACCGTTGCAGGTTCTTTAGACTGGCAATGGATCGGATCTCCTGTGACCGGATGAACAACAGCAAGTCGCCTCCAGGGTTGGTTCCGCGGGCCAGGTGTGGGAGTGGCGACAAGGGTGGTTGGTCCTGTCGATAGTAGTGGTGATGCGGGTGCCTCATCGATGTCGCCAAAGTAAGTTCCTCAAGTGCAGGACACCGGTTCAAGGCATCCAGACTGAAATAAAGACTGATCTCCCCCTCGAGCGTGAGACGCGTCAACCGGGGCATCCTCCATCCCCACTCAATCGTCGTCGGATGCCATACTCGAACGCGGGACCTCGCCTCCAGATCCTCCAACGTCGCCTGGAATGCAAACGCCGCGTCTCGGACACTGTCGACCACATCCAATGTAGGGCCCTCAAGGTGGATCTGTCGCATCTCGGGGAGGCGTTTAGTCCTGGATCCTGCCAATATGGGTGCACAGATTAAGGCAGCTCGCTTCTCGCTTGCGGCCCAGGCAAAGACGTTTCCTTTGCGGATCGGCATCTTGATCTCCTCGAGTTGCCGCCATTTTTTGAGCTGCTCTGCCAGTCCCATCAACTGTTGCTCAGCCTGTGTATAGTTGGGCGAGGTTGAGGATGGGGTGTTTGGGGACAGCCAGAGGCGCTTCAGGCTGGGTGAAGGAAGTCGATCGAGATAGAGGACACAATCGTCCCAGTTTGTCGCATCCAAACGCTCCAGTCCCTTGATCGCCTCCACCACCAACATGACCGATGAAGCCATGGAGGATGTAGTTGCACTTCTGGGAAAATTGATCAAGGATTGGATAAGAGCAACTGGTGGCGACGTGGAAGAAGAAGGAGCTCCTCCTTCTCCTCCTCCTGTTGCCGCAATGATTCCTGCAGGTATAGGATGTGGCGGGAACATGGGAGTAGACGAGATGGGCGATCCTGCAGACCCAAACGAAAACATCGAAGCCGCAGAAATGGAGGCTTGATACCCTCCTCCTGCTCCTCTCGAACCAGGACTGTTTGCACCACTGTCTCCACGGGTCTCTCCCTCTGTTTGCGTCTTCTTGAGCGAGAGCTCCTTCAGCACAGGACCAAAGACCATCCGATGCGACTTGATAAAGTCTATCACCTTCTCGACCTTGAACTCGAGCTCCAAATCCGTCAACTCCAACCGCGAAACCCTTCCCAGCTGTGGCGCCAAAGTAATTGCGTGGTCGATAGTATGGACGGCCGAGACCGACAAAGTCCTTATCCCCCCCGGATGATGCGCCATAAATTCTCTCTGGATCTGATACAGAACCTTGTAGGCTTCTTTATCAGGTGGACCAAGCGGCACACCCAACCCTCGCGCCTCATTCTCCCACCGACACTGGATCAAGTCCGCAAAGAGGAGATGAAAACATTGGACCATAATCTCGCCACCTTCTTGTTGGTCAGTATAGTAAAGCAGATAGTCGAGTTTGCAAGGCGGGCGGATCCATTGCTGACCATAGCCTGGATACCGAAGTGCCGGGAGTCGGGCTTGGATCGACGTGCAGGCGATGAGCAATTGGAGCAACTGAGACATTTTCTTGAGCTTCCAGCCGTCGCGTTGTGGCGTAAGCGCCATTGTTGTTGCTGTCCCCGTAGAGCGCGTTAAGGAGGATTGTTGTTGCTGGTTGTGGTGGGTGATGATGGAGAGACGGGCTTTGGAATGCGCTGCGGCCGTGTCAGAATGGCTGGTGCCGATGCTGCTGGGATTGAACCCCTTGGGGTGATCAGACAACGACCGTTGGTGAAGTGAAGAAGGGTGGACCGAGCGGGGTGTTGCTGAGCTCGGGGCCGAAGTCGAAGTAGTGGCAGTGGCAATGGCAACAGGAAATGGGCCTGAAGTTCCTGTGGGTCGTGCTGAGGGGGGTGAGTACGAGCTAGCAGCGGTTGTGAGGGCAGTGGCTGCTGTGTGGGTGGAGGAGGACGAAGTCGAGGACGTGGAAGTGGAAGAGACAGAGGATGCAGATGCTTTGCGGAGGGAGTTGGGGTTGCCAGTATGTCGACGGGAGCTGTGTCTCATGCTGCTGCCAGAGCCTCCTGCACCACTGCCAATACCATTTCCAGCGCCATGGATGCTACTGTTACTGTTGATACTGCTGTTACTACGTACGAGCCTGACGGTAGTGAGTGTTGCGGTGGCGGGAGTTATTGTTGTCCTTGTTGTGGAGTAGAGGGTGGAGGATGTGGGGATAAATGAGGAAGGGTCCGATACGGTAGAGTAATAAGGGAGAGAAGAATAAGAGTGCGATGCAGATGCGGATGCAATTGGAGGAAATGTTGAGCGGGAGGAGGTTGAGGTTGGAGAGAGAGGGTGTGGAGAAGTTTTTCCATTGTAGGCGAGGAGGAGTCGGAAGGGCGATCGGTAGAGGGCGGGGACGACTTTGTAGAAGAGGGAGCGGCAGGTCAACAGGAGACTGTGTTGGTCGGGTAGGTCGAGGAAGGGGAGCAGGCGGAAGAAAATCTCCTCCGGGAGCAGAGTGATGTGCAACTTTGTCATGTTTTGTTGTTGAATGAATGAAAGGAAAGAAGGGGAATGAGGTGTTTGAATGAGGAAGTGAGAATGAGGAACGAGGTGGGAAAAATAAAAGAGGGAGGAAAGAAAAAGAGGAGCGAAGCGAGGGATAAGGAGACGGGGAAGAAGACGAGAAAAGCGATAAAAGGTAGAGAATGGTTCACCCCTCTTTCAATAGCGATAATTTGAGTTCGGGGAAATAGGAATGAGGGTTGTTAGAGGGAGTGAAGGAGAAGAGAAGGGGGAGTGGGGGAGAAGAGAGGGAGGAGTGGAGAAAGAAGAAAGAAGAAAGAAGGGAGGAAAGAAAGGGAAAAATAAGAAGAGAAAAAAGCGCAGACCACTCTCTTACTCAGAAGAACGAAATGCCGATACGATGAAAGTACGCGCCCATCCTCTTTTGAAGGGGAGGAGAGGTGCCTGGATGGGGTTGAATGGAGTGGAGTAAAAAATGGACGCGTGTGTGCGCGTGTCGTTCGGCTTGTCTGTCTGTCAGTCGAAAGAGAGAGTGCGATTGTATGATAGCTGTTAAAGTAAAGATAAACAACATTGCTGTTCAAATGACGAGCAAGGTTCAGAGTAGCGTGTGTCTTAGTCTGACAAGGAGAGCAGCAAAGGACAAGGTCTAGTTTCAACCTTGCGAAATGGGAAAATGCTCGTGCTTTTCGTCTTTATTACTATGGCTGTTGCCTGTTGTGTATGTGTGCCTGAATTTTGTTATGCCCTGACACACTCTCTCTCGCCGCAACTCAAAAAAACGAGTTTTCCCCCCCTTCTTCGAACAAACGGCAGTTTTCTCTGCTCGCAATATTGTGGTTTTAATAATCCCACTCGGCACTCAACTAACTGATTACAACAACCGACCCCACCCCAAAACCCCGCCTTCCTACCGCCTTCTAATCCAAACCCCAGTCAGCCACCCTTACTCCCATTCAATCCACCCTTCCCTCACCCTTCACTCTTACCCCTATCCTCAACGTCTTCTTGCTCTCCATCCACCACAAAATCCAATGCAAATGTCTTTCTTATGGACCCAAATGCAGGTTTCTTATTCATTTCGCGTCATTGACAACAAATAAACAAAAGTGTTCAAGTGAAAAAAAAACCAGCACTCCTCATGACAAAAGAACAGGCATGGGTGTTTAATTTAAAAGTTCATGTCCCCCTTGGCCTTGCTTTGACCTATTGGTCTCCCTTCACCCTTGCCATACCCCTTGTTCTCTACACTTACCCTACATTCATGACCAACTAATCAATGACCAACCAACTAATCCCTTTGCTTTTTTCCTTGCAGATATGGAAGAATAGCGTCCAATGGATCCTCGTAACGACTACCCGCGCTCCTCCTGCGTTTAGCAGCCTTGGCCAGACCCACCCACCCAATGTTCCCTACTGCCGGTCCGTTTTCTGCTGTTGTTGTTCAAGAGGAAACGCCTGCCTTTCGTTTTATTTTGTGACACCGAGCGAAGGGAAAGTTGCAAAGTTCTTTTTTCTTTCCTCCTTGTGAAAGTCAGAAATGTGGAAATTGCTTCTACCAAGAATTCAGCCGCACAACCATAAAACACAAACCATAAAACACAAACCATAAAGGCAAGCACTATCATGCTCTGCGCCCGTTTTAGGACGGCCAAGTTCACGTCTCACTCCTCCTCCTTCTTCATCTTTGCTCGCAAAAAAAAGAGAAAGAATGGAAAAGAGACGCAAGAACTTTCTGTGCGCCTCTTTGTGATAACTTGATCTCCCCCCTCAACCATAAAAATCATGCATGCAAGGTAAAAACTCAACATAGCTTTTTCCACTTTCTCCCCGTATCATTGCTTAGAAAGACACAATCCGACCTAAACTAAATAACAATGACAAAGTGTGTGTTTGCCGAGCTCTCCTACCCCTCGCCCTTCGACTTACTTACTATCTCCATGGTTGTTTGTTGTTGTGCTATGATGAGTTTGTTGACTTCAACCGGCGGAGGTTTATATTAGTTTACGAGAAAAATGAACTGTGTACAAGAAAATGAGCAACGGATATGGCACGGTAAAGACAACACCAACAACAACAAAATAACCAACAGTGCACGCGCGCGGTTCAACTTTTCCGTGTTCATCTCCGTGCTTAATTCCAGTCAGTCATTTCCACGATCGCTTAGATCTTCCCGTCATAATGAAATCCACATGGACGCCAGAAGGTTAAATGCTTTTTTCGAGATTTTTTTACCTCCTTCCCACCACCACCAACGCTAACAAAATAAAAGAAAGACAACGAATGACGAACGCGCTTTTTCACAGTTTCACAGCACCCACCCTCAAATCTCATTTAATTTGTTTGTTTAGAATGGAGAAAAAAAAGTGACGCGGAAAAGTGAAAATGCATCGACATGCATGGGCGCAAATAGAAAAACAAGTGAGTCTGGCCACACAAACACCATACACTTTGCACTTGTACTTCAGCTCACACCATCCCATGATCGACCAAAGCAAACAACAACATTGAAAAGAGGCAATATCCATCGTCATGAACCATGAATGACCATTTGGCTCAAAAACAACGATAGAGTGAGCCAACGACCTAAAAAAAAACAAAGCACTACTTCCCAGTGCAGTCCAACTTCAACCAAGAAACCAACCAAGAAAGCAAACAACAAACCCCCTTGTTTTTCATTTCCGAAAAGGAAACACCTATTTTGTGGGGTATGAACGAGATGAAATAAACAAGATGGACGTTCTTTGCTTTAGTTCCAGTTGTGGAGATTGGGATGAAAAATAGGAGCCTCCAACCCCCCAATTCCAACCCCAAAAAGCGACCATTGTCTTTCCTCACCCACCGAGGGAGCGTGCAAGGAAAGGAAAATTAGAACAAAGGCTAAAAAAAAGGGGTGTTCGTTGGTTCCATCGTCATAAGTCAAACTCTTAGTTCTTCATCCAACGAACACCTGTCAAAGTGAAGCCTTTTCTATCCTTCGTCCTCCCGGAAGCAAGACCGAAGCGGAAGGCGCAGGACTCTACTTCCATTTTTCACGCTCTGTTTTCCTTCCCTTTCCTTGCCTTTCGTTCTCCTTCTCCTTTACTTCCCCCCCCTCTCCTTTACTTTTTTCCCTTTCTTCCATTCGCCCAGCACATGATGGGAGGAAAACAAGTTATGTTCCAGGCACACAGGAAGAATTTTTTTTGTGCAACCGAACAACACCTCTCTTCCCTTCTCTCTTCACACCCTCTTCACAGGACCCAAATAGCTTCAACATTGAAAAGTAATATAGCACAGCCTTTTGTGGTAAATCACAACATCCGATAACAAAATGCTTGGGGGAAGAAAAGGAAAGGAAAGAAAGATCAAGAGCGAACAAGATGAAGTGAGCACTACCCATAAAAAGAAGAAAAGACGGATAAAAGAATAGATGAATCAGTCAATTCGACTCTTTCTGTGAGTGAGCAATCTCAAAAAGAAGTAGCGCATCGCAAAAGAAGGAATGCAAAACGAAACAGCTCTATGTTTTTCTCTCATTGGTTGCGTCCGTTCGCGGCCAAGTCCTTAATCTGATGATCTCGAACGGTTGAGTGCTATACATCTCACAATAATGCTGCTATGTTCTTTAGGCTTTTTGTGGGGAGGATGGCACCTGCCTTCCTGTAAAAATAGCTTTGTTTTCCATGCCCACAGTAAGCCCATTTCTACATTGTTCCTCGGTTACAGATCCAAAAGGTCTCTGATGTACTTCATCTACACAACATGTCTTGGTTGCGTAGAAAAATGATGACAACCGATAAGGGATGGAAAGGAACAGATAGAGTGCCGTATCACACAAGCACAAGGCGAGGCTGCATCCCATATCAGAGTCCATTTGGCCGTTTTTTTTTGCCACATCCCAATTGCGTATTTCTCTATTTGAATTCTTCTTTGGGTAGATGGTTGTGCCTTCATCTCTTCTCACATGTACAGGTCCTTGCGACAATATATTTTTTCTCAGGGGAAGGAAAGTTTGTGAATTTTTGCGCCTTCATCAGACCCGCACATCCATCCACGCACACGCGCTTACGGTTCTCATGGTACATGGTGCATACAACCTTTGCACTCCCCTTTTGTACCATTCAGCGCAAATCACCTCACACATCGCATCCCAGGGATAAACTAAAGCCGAGAGACAGATGGGCAGATTTTTTGACACGCGTATCGACAAGTGTGCAAGCGCTAGTCAGATTTTTTTATCGGCCTCACCCCAACCAAAAACAATAACTCATAAAATATTGCGCGTGAGCCATATGGGAGACTCTGCTTTTCATTTCTTCCCGACGAGCATAAGGATAGTTTGATCAGCATATGGATGTGGGGAGGATCGATTGTGACCCCTACCTTTCTCTCTCTCTCTCCTCTGCCACTTTAAAAGACTTCATACCGCACTATTATGTTTTGTGGAGAGAAAAGTGGCGTGAAGAAGTGAGATTCATGAAAAAATGCGCAACGATACTTGATCAATAATACGCTAACCGGGAGTCAATTCTCAAGAAAGTGACAATTTTTTTTCTTTCCTCTGTCACTCCTTACCTTTCTTCTTCTTCGTTGCAGACACGGTATGAGATTTTGATTGCAGTTTGGTGAAAAAAAAGAGTAGTGAGTGACACATGCGAACGCAATTCACACGCTTGATCCATTAGCACTTGCAAGAAAAGAGGTATAGGTGGTGGCGCATGCGAACGCGTCTGGATCTGAGACAAGGAGGTTGATCTGATTAAACACATATACAAGTGCGCGACGCGTTTTTCAATGAATAAAGCTAAACTACGCCATTGTACATACATGGTTCTCTGTTCGTATACCGAATGTCCACATGATAATGATGGAAGCGATGTATACAATGTATATTTTTTCGTTGTTGCTTTGCTAAAAAAAAGTGTGCTATCTACGAAAAGAACTCCTTCGAGAGTGCATGAGAGAGAGAGAGAGTGTGTGTGTGTGTGCATGTGCGACAGGTTGAAGAAAGAGCTCAGATGTCCTCGACAATTCTGATGGGAGGCAAGTCCTCATAGCAGATCCGGTAGATGGTCGTCATGAGAGGGAACTCCTTGCAGAGACCCTTCTTGGACAGGATGCCGTACATATCCTTGGCGGTCGAGGTGCCCTGTAACTTTTGTCCTCCAAGCATCTCCTTCTCCAGCTGGTCGAACGACTTGCCCGTCGTCACATGGGCCTCGGCTACCTTGCGGTTACGACCTCCAGCACACGTTGTGACAAGATCTGCCACCCCGCACGACTCGAAAAAGGTCTCGTCCTTGACATCTGCGTAGAACATCTTTGCAAACTTGCGCATCTCGTAAAGACCAATGCGGATAATTGCTGCCTTTGTGTTATCTCCAAGCCTAACAAGGTGATTACGAAAACAGGTGCAAATGATAAGTAGGTTGGTTCCTGGAAGGAAAGGAAACAAGTAAACAGTTTGTAATACAACAGAGCAACGATGACTTACTTGAGACCGTCGACGAGACCACCGCCGATGGCGATAATGTTCTTGAGGGCACCACAGAGCTCAACTCCGACGACATCCTCGACAATGTTGACACGGAAGGTAGGGGTGTGAAAGATCGCCTCGAAGAGCTCGCCGTCCTCCCTGTTTCTATATCCAATCGTGGTCTCGCAGAATCTCTCCTCCGCAACCTCAGTGGCAATGTTGGCTCCACTGAGCATACAGGCCCGGATTCCCAAAGAGTCCTGGATCATGTCGGTAATCAATCGGAAGCCGTTATCGTTCTCTTCAACATCGACTCCTTTGATAAGTGAGATGGCCTTGCACTTGGGCGAGATCTTACCCTTCAACTGCTTGCAGACGCTTGCCACAAACTAGACAAACACGCACACGTTCAAATAGGTCACTAGCAGGTTAGTCAACATTGCTCTGTCGTACGCTGAAATACGTGGTTACAAATGACTATGCCGTTGAAGAAGAGTCGTATCACCATTCTCATGTGGAATGTAATTCCTCTGACACATTGGTATGCACGTTGCTCCGACATCCTACGAGTGGACCCATGATTCTCTCCCTCTTGGCAACACGCTCCTGATTACAGCCTATTCCATCGGGCACTGTCTCTCCTTGACCACCGCCTCCTGCACGTTGTCCTTCCTTGCTATTCCATTCCAGTGTGTGAGTTAGAGACTTTCATGGTCCGAGACCCACAACAAAAAAAGTCCATGCCCCCCCCCCAAGTGACCGGCCTGATAAGGAAAGTGTTTGAACCTTATCAAGCATCCTTCTTTCCTACCCCACGTCGGAGAGTTGGGTTTGGTGTTCATGTCCTACCTGATGGGGAACGACAAAGACCAGCATGGTCGCATCCTCGCACGTCTTGATCAGATCAGGACAGGCAACAATGTTCTCTGGTAACTTGATTCCTGGCAGATATCTTCCCAACAATAAAAAGAATACCATTTCGCGATTAGATGATGCACGTTTTTCATTGCTTATCTTTCTCTGTCTCCCATTCTCTCTTGACTGTTGAAAGGCTGGGGCAACCAAACCAATAGTGGACATATCTGGGTGCGTGAGAATAAAGCCAAAAAAAGGTAGGGTCATCGGAGAAAAGACGACATGTCTTCATGCCGGTGTGGTAATTTCTGCTGACTGACCAGCTTCGATCCATATTTTTTCTTCCTTGGTGTTTTGCGCCACTTTATGTTTTTCCTCACTATCCAGCGAGGAGGAGTTGATCGAGTCTTCTCGGCCGACATGAGGACTTGTTGTGCTGCCTGGTGTCGATTCTGATGCATAGAATCGATGTAATGTTCCAATCGAGCTTTTTGTTTGTTTCGCCCCACAAAAAAATCATTCTGCAACAAATCAAGTGGACATAGATCGAACTCGCTTGTTCTTTTGTGTTGTACCCATGTGTTCAACCCCACAATCCCTGATTCCATCGTTTGTACCCACAATTGCCTTCGTGCGTGGGAGAGTACGCGTTTCCCAAATTGTTGCTTCAGCAAAAATGCAAAAAAACAAGACTTACTTGACGTTCTCGTGCTTGGTGTTGATAATTTCAGTCAAGTTCTGACCATCGACTTGCTCCTCAAAGACCCACATCTTGACCTCGTTCTGGAAATGATCAAACTTCTGCACGTTGCCGCCAACGATCTTGGCAACTGCTGATCCCCTACGAAAAGTGAGATGCATTCGGTGATTAGCATTCAGTCTGTTCCATTCGTTCATTCCATTGTATTCATTTGCCGTGAACATCACCGTCCATTTTTTTTTCGATGCTGTTGAGAGAACTGCGTCCGGTTTTTGCATGTCTTTCTCTTTCCAATCTTCAGTTCGTATTTATACACTCTCCAGTCTCGGTCGGTTATTCCAGAAAACTGAACATGGCGGTCGTTGTCTTGATCCATAAGAGTCGTTGACCTTGACGATACGCCTGACAATATGATATGAGTAACGAAGAAGAGGAGGTATTTACCAGTTTCCGGATCCGATAAGAGCAACTTTTTCAGTCATTATGTGTGGGTGTGTTGTTGTCGCTATTGCGGTAGTGGTGGTGTTGGTATGGATACGCGCCTGCTGTTGTTGTAAAAGGGTGTCGAGAGTGCTTGATCTGCGCGAGTGGTCGTGGGTGTTAAGGTTGGTTGGTTGGTGGTGGAAGGAGGTGCGAGTATGATGGAAAGGGAAAGAAAGAGAGGAAAGGGAAGGAAAGAAGTTGGGAGTGGTGCGGATAAAGAGGGTTAAGAAGTGATGAGATTAGTAGCCTGTTCGAAAAGAGAGTCTCCTATTTATGCTTCTCAGATGTCAGCCCATGGTTTCGGGCATTTCTTTTTTTTTTCTTTCATCTTCTCCAGACCATTGCAATCAACAAACAAATAGAAACCATGCGATAATGTCTCCAAGTTAATGAAGTAATAATAAAAGTCTTACCTTCTTGTCAATTGTTGCCCCATCGCACCACCCACCCAGCCAGTCCGTCCTCGGCTTGGCTCAAAGAGGGTCCGTCTTCCTCCTCTCAGCCCCGTTGCTGACGAATCCCACCCTGTCACCCCTTCCTCCAACGAAATGCCACAGCCAGCTCCTCCCAGCCTGGTACTCATACTACTATTGGGATATCGCGCGTAGCGCTGGTACTGACTGTTGTTGTGCTGGCGCTGGTGGGTGAAAGCCCTTCTCAGGTTCACCCCCTTGGAACACAGGTTGCTGCTTGTCTCGTCTCGGCCAAGGACTGCCCTACGCATGACCGCTGCGGCCGTAATCGTGGTTGCCCTGGAGATAGTGGTCCATGCACTTTCGTCGCTTACGCTCTTGGTCTTTAGTCGCGATCCAATGACGACATGCTCAAAGTGATCTTTCGTTGCTCTTGCTCCGGAAGTCCAAGCTGGGGCAATTGAGTTTGCCGTTGATGTGTGCAGGTCATTTAACCTTTTTTGGCCACTCCCAGAGACAATTGAAGACTGGTATTTGGACGAGTGAAGCTGTGTGTGGATAGGTCGAGTCGATCTGGTTGGAGCGGTATTCCGTGAAGCCGAAAACAAGCTTGTAGTGAAAATAGTGGCGTTGGCCTTCACGCTCAACTGGACTGTTGTTGGGCAACAGCGACATGCTGTTGTGTGTGCCATGAGCAGAGGCACTGAATGTCAAGTGGAGGAATGAGTGAGAAAGACGAATAGAACGAATGAATGAATGAGAACCTTCTTCACTCTCCTTACTTCTTGTTCTCCTGTCAACTCTCACTTTTGACCATTTACTACTAGACCCTTCCTTGAGAGGGTCCCCGGTGGAGGGCTGATCTTGTTTGGTTGATCAGCCGAATTGCAGGCAGTCACTTTTGGATGCTTTGTTGGGCTAAAGGGGTCAAGGCGGAGAGTAAGGCGAGAGTGCGTCGGTTGGTAGAAGCGAGGTAACGATCTTGGGTAATTGGCTTGCTGTCTGGCTTGTTCTCATCTGAAGGATATGGCAGAAGCAATGGTCGATAGTGATGTTTTTATGCACATGGGTAATGAATGGACTATGCAGAAGGCATAAAATAAGCCTTGGACAAGCTGTCTCGCCAGTGGCTTCCACGACGTGTCAATTATTCAGTGCAGGAAAGGTGGCGCATACGCAAACCAAAATAAAAATAAAAACGAGAGGTTCTTTTTTCCCTTCGTACTGTCCTGTTTCTCCTTCACCCATCAAGCCGATCGTTTCTTTGCGACCTCGCCGATCTCAATTTCACAAGGACGACCACGAACACATTATTCGCAAAAACCAGCTTCAATTGCGTCAGTGCAAAGGGAAAAACAACAAGACATCAACCTTAGAGGATCATCCTACTTTCACGACAAACAACAGCAACAAATGTCCAAGCGAGGAACAGAGAACCAGCTCACCAAGGATGAGTACGATCGCGATGGCGACAACGACGAAGGCAGCTCCATTCAAGGTGTCTTCAAGCAAGCTTCTCAGGAGGAAATGGCAAAGAGAGTGTAAGAACTTCAACTCGACGACCCCATCAACAAAATCAACTGTCAAATCGCGCTTTTTGTTCGTCTTTGTTACAGTGCTCGAACCCAAGCTTATGTCGGAAAACTAATACCTTACAATTGTTCCTTTCCTGACGGCGAAAAAAACACTTCTTAATAGTATCAAAGCTCCCAGGGGAAGAAGACTGAATGGAGGCGGTGGCGACAACGGCGCTGCGAAGTCTTCGCCTTTTGCCAATATGCCATCCTTCGCTGCCCCATCAACGTCCACTGCGACGGCGTCGCCATTTGCCAGCGTGTCGTTCGCTGCCCCAACAACACCCACCCCCACAACAGGAGCAGCAACCACAGCAAAGCCTTTCTCCACAGGATCATTCAACTTTGGCGTGACATCCTCCTCAACTTCCACCCCAACCCCGACCGCACCATCTACTACCTCAACGGGATTGTTCAACTTTGGCGTGACGCCTTCCTCGACCTTGACCTCAACCTCAACCGCACCATCCACTACCTCAGGAGGATTATTCAACTTTGGCACTACACCTGCCGCGGCCCCAATGCCTTCGACCTCGACCGCGACGTCTGCCTCACTATTCACATCTTCGACTTCCAAAGGTAATTTGCATGACAGGCGCGATACCATGCTATTTCCGACGCATACTGTGTATAGATATATCACCCCGGTACTTATTTCATATTCTGTTTGTTTTAACTACGTTAGCGTCGTCATTGTTTTCGGCTACATCAGCGCCGTCCTCATCATTGTTTTCGACGACGACAGCCCCGTTCCCATCGACAGCAAAATCCGCATCGACTCTTACTCCGGGAGCATTCACGTTCAACGTTGGAAGCGCACCACCTGCGGCTTCCTCCTCAACTGACGCCGACAATTCAGGGACGCCAGACCGTGAGGAATTGGAGCGCTACCTTCAGGCCCTGAACAGGACATTTGTCAAGAAGATTGAGAAGGAGCTGATCAACAATCCCATCGTCAACTTGGCACAGATCTTTGGACAGTACACGGACAAGAGACAGGCGATCAAGAAGAAATACATGACCTCAACCGGCGCTAAGTCGACTGCGTCGAGCCCTGCCCTTGTATCTCCATCTCTTCAGAACGGGTCATTGTTGACGGGACCTTCAGGAGTGACCACTTCTGGATCTGATGCTGCTCCTAAGCTGAGCTTTGGAGTTCCCTTGAGCGCCATCGGCGAGAACCCCGCCCCCAAGCCGGTCTTTGGCGGATTCAACTTTGGCGTCTCAACAGCTACCGCAACCTCAACTACAGCAACTGACTCGAAGGCCACCACCAGCGCCGCTACCTCTACATCCTCGCCATTTGCATTCTCTGTACCCAAGCCTGCTACTTCGACTACTAGCGCCACCACCTCATCTTCGCCATTCACCCTTTCTGCACCCAAGCCATTCAGCTTTGGAGCTGCTTCTTCTCCCTTTTCGACATCATCTCCATCAGCAGGAGGCGGATTCCAATTCTCAGTCCCTGCTGGCCACCCCTCTGGCAAAAAGGATGAAGGTGATAACGAAACGATGCCTGATGACACAAGGTCGCAGTTGGTCGACAGTCGTGCTGGCGAGGAGGGCGAGGAGACTGTGTTTGAAGTCAAGGGCAAGTTGTACGCCATCGTGGATGGCGAGAACAAGGATTTAGGAGTCGGACAGTTCCGTGTGAACGAAAACACCGAGTCCAAGAAGCGCCGCATGATCATGAGAACCGGCGGCACTGGTCAACTCATCCTTAACAGTAAGTTATTGTTTGTTGTTGTTTTGTTTGTTTTGCGGCTCGTTGCTTGTGCATGACAATTATTCTTGACTAACAACCTTGTGCTTTTAATAGACTGGGTGATTCAGGGAATGGGACCAAAGCGTACTAAGAACTTTGTGACGATTTTCGCGGTGGAGGATGGCAAGCCCAAGAAGTTCTTGTTGAAGGTCAAGGAGGAGTCGTCAGCCGAGGATGTTGTCAGGGAACTCGAGGCTGGACAGGGCAAGTAAATGCGACAAAGCACAAAAAATAACAACAACCAGAGTTGCAAGCATGGCACAACACAAAAATTCTTGCGGGAATCAAGTGGGGTTATCAACAACTCGTATTCATAAAATAAAAAACAAATGCATCTTGGATTCTTGGCAGCACATTGGATTGATGGAGTGGCATGAGGCTTTGAGTGAGAGGCCAAGTTGATGGTGGTGATAGTAGTAGGGAACGCGGTTTGTAAGGGACTTAGACATGTCTCTTGCTCTTTGTTTGGTGTCTGAGGGCATGATTTGTAGTGCGCTCTTGTGTATGTGCATAAGTGTAAGTGGGGGTGGATGGGTTGGGACTTGCATGCATGATGCGCGACTTTCTATTTTGCGCGCGCTCACTACTCACATCTCCAACTCGGACACTCAGTTGCAGTGTTTTTTAGGCGGCCTGTTGCTTTTGCTTAATATTCCTCCCGTCATTTCACTGCCCCCTACCTCCCCTCTTCACATGTGAGTAATGAGCATGAAGATGCAGGTGCTGGGACTGGGACCAGTGATTTTTGCCAAGCAAAAAAATACTGGCGACCAACGACCAACGAGGGATCGGGATGTCATCGTGTGATAATACGATACTCCAGATACTTTCTGTACCTCCTCTCTCTCTCTGTCCATGGTGAGCAAAAAGAAGAGGGTGGGATGACACAGCAACGAGAAATTTCACGCACCCTCCAGGCCACCACCGCTACCATGGTTGCACTCCATCCGTGCTCCCAGGTACCTTTTCTACTTCCATTTTCTTCGCGAAAACGATGACAAATGTTGATTTCCTTGTTTGAGTAGTTTTCGAGTGTGTGTATGTGCCTGTGGTGCATTTTGCGTTTGGGTTTTCTAAAGGTCGCAATCAAAAATGCCTCCTCACTTCACACACACGCACACACACACACTCTCTCTCTTCTCGCGCCTTCGGATTTATTACCCATTATTTTGGAGGATGTCTGGGCGCAGCTAAGAACACTCTTTGTTTTTCGTATTAGTCAATAAATGTCAGGCAGGATCACACATGGAGGTAAAACGGTTGGGTAAAACTGAAGAGAGGTGAAGTGGAGATGGATGGCGAATGGTGCACTCTCCTTACTACTCGTGTGCCTCGCTGTGCCTCCGAGGTCGGGGTCACATTAGGAGAGACTTCTCGGACATATTGGCCGCAGCCCATTCACTTAACATGCACTGACATATGAAAAGGAGGCGAGCAGAGAGGGAGAATACCCTTGTCAGCTCACACACACACACACTCACTCACAGTTTTGCTCAGTGCTTGCTTGCTCCAAGTGGAACTATTTCAGATTACGGGTTGTTAGTCCATGCATGTGTTTCTTCTCCATGTCCCCAAAAAAGAAAGTGCAGAAGGTGCACACAGAGTCAAGGAATGGGGAGTAGCGGAGGACGAGAGCAGTAAAAACAAACAAACATAGTAATAAACATCACCTAGTGTGGAGAATGGAGAGAAAGGCCCAAAGTGGAGGAGAGAGTAAAGTTTGCAGCGCTTATTATGTTTTTGTCAATGTTCATGGATCAAAACAAAAATAATGGACGACGCGATGCACGTAGGTTCAAAGTGAACACTGTGCTATTTCTTTTTTTTTTCTTCTCTTTAAGGGCCAACTTCTTTCAGCCAGTTGTTGGTGTAAGTGAGGTATCTATAGCGACACGACAGACAGATCGGATCTGAATAGGAGAAACAAAAAAAAAACAAGCCGGGATAGCCATTGTCAAGGCATGGCAGCATTGATCAAGGAAAGGTGTTGGGGTTGGTGGTTTAGTGGTTTGCAGGGACGAACGAACTGCCCATTGTATACTTCAGCGTTTTTTTTCTCCACATTCACGCGCGGTAAAAAAAGAAATCACGAAGCAATTTTTATGTTCACTTCAAAATAAAGATGGAAGTGGGAGAGTCGGCACCCGAGAACTCAATCCAGCTCAAATGTCAATAATGTTCAGGTCCCCACCTGAAAATCATCTCAACATCCCCCTCACTTACCTCTCCGCCATGAGACTAACGAACTACCCCATGTCAAATGTCATCTCCATCGTTCCCTCCTCACCCACACCACAGAGCGACGGCCGCCATCCTGCGCATGAAATCATGCAACGTGCATATCAAGCCAGTCTAATAGGCAAGCAAGCGACAAACCAATGTACCTAAGCAATCAATATTGCGCACAGGGTCCAATCGACAACAACGGTTTGAAACGGGGACCTAGACTCTACTTCTCGAGCACCATACCCCTAACAGACATGCGCCAATCTCTCTCCTTCGTATTGAGGGATGCTCACATTCCCAGTTTATTATTCGCCATATGCAAACCTGTCGCCATGTCGGTTCCTGATTATTCGTCCAAATGTTGTGAGCATACATCTAATCCAATCGTATATTTTTTTGTCCGGTTGACAACCCAGCAGCGCCATATCTTCTTTCACTCTGTCCTCCGTGGGCGCACTGCATTGCCTGAAAGAGAGACTGAAAGGATGGAAGAAGGAGCCAGGTTATAAAAAAGTAAAATGTGAGCATATTGAACACGAAAATATACAGCATCAAACGCGTGGAACGAAGAGTACGAAATGGTGCCACAAGGCGGACAGCACACAACCCCTTGGAGAAAAAAAGAACTGGCACATGCAAATTTCAATATGCTATTACGGTAATCTTGTGTTCGGGCAAGAGCGGGAATATGAGGGAAGTGTCAAATCCTCATGGGAACTTTGCTTAGGGAGAGAGGGATGCATGAGGATGCATGCACGAGAGGATCAGATATTACTTTACGTATAATAGCAAATAAATAATAAATAACAAATACACATCCAACTTGGTTACCTCTTATATTGTGATGATGATCATGATCGTGAACGAACGTCCAGGTCTCCTCCCCTGATTTTTCACGCGCCAGGCAGCACGGTGACCCCCACTTTTCACACACACACACATCCCTTTCTCTATCAGTGTCAGGGGTTCATGCCAATACACGTGTCCAATGCTATCGTTCATGTGCATTAAGCCACCGCACTGACTAATTTGATAAACAAAAAATCAAAACCTAGCTTACACAACACACCAACAACAGGCACACGATGGAGAATCGAAATGGAATGTGAAAAAGCCAAGAGGAGTGGAATCCCACGTTTACGAGCTAGCTCGTAATACTCCATCCCTCTCCTGTCATAATCCAATGTCAGCCACCAGCGAAAAGGAATGTCCATTGCCCAGAAGATGATGGCGACATTATCCTCTCTCCCTCGTTCTCGATATCGTTTTCACACTTATCGCCGATACAACTTTTTGTGTGTTTTTGAAAGACCGCGCCACATGGAAAACAACAAAAACGAATCAAAAATAAACATCGACATGAGACTTATGACGATGAAAGTAAAAAGAGGGTTGGGTGACGGAGGTAATGGAGGGACAAATGGCAAAAAGGAAAGTGGGAAAGAAAAGAAAGCAACAAATAGGACCATGATCGAGTGTAGGTCATTAAAGACTCATTATTGTCAACGACAAACATCATCAATAAGCCGGAAGAAACAGTAAACAAACGATCTCCAGTCTTTGTCTCTGTATTTTTCCAGACACAGCAGGGTAGATCGTTCCTTTATCTCAAACAAACGCGCACCTATTCGTAACAAATTATCCGACCGATCTGATGTCGTCGTTCTTCCTTTTCTTCACCTCGCCAAGAAAGAGAAAGGGTCATGCTTCCAAGAGGCATGGTTATGGGAGTCATTGATAACAAGGATGACAGGAGTGAATACCTAAGTGGATAGCACAGGAGAGCCAAGGCCGACGGTTTTGTCTTCCCGATTAAGAGGGAGTCCGATAGATACCGTGGCCTAGAAGGATCGTTCCCGGTATCTGTGTAGCTGCAAACAGCAGTGCAATTGCGTAGTTGAACGTCTATTTTTTTAAAGCCCCGAGCATAGCAAAAAAAAGAGGCCAGAAACAAACGTATTTGCTTGTGATGATGGACGTCAGTGTTTTCTGGAGTGACAGTTGTTGTTCTAGCAAGAACAAGATGTCAGGGTCCTCCTTCACGAGATGTTGTTTATCATCGAAGAAGGGGGAGCGTACCTGGGTTTGCATGTATGTATAAGTACTTAAAGGGTTGACCTGTCCCATGTTCTCTTTGTGCACCGTGAGTAAGGAACTGATGGTACCTGAATAGAAAATAAAAGAGGTCTGTGTGTCAACCAAAACAGTGATGAACTTTCACGTCTCTCTTTATCTTTTTATGCTGCAGAATGCAAACTGATCAAACACAAAACAATCTGTTGGTTGGCGAGGATGAGGATTGGCTGATCAAGAAACAGCCTATCAGAGCACTATCCCAGCAAAGGGCTACATCTTTCTGCTCGACTGTACAAAGGTCTCCTTGGAAAAAAAGGACCCGGCAACGTGGATAAGCTGACCCATTTGTCTCTCACATTGAGGGTGATGTTCCGATCGTATCATTGTTGTGATCGAATTGAATTAAGTAAGGCAAGGGATTTTTTCACATGCCAACATATATCCTGTGTAGTTGTGGGGAGGATAATAAATGATCTGACCGTGAAAAATTTCATCGATTGCACTCAGAATTCATTTCATTCAAATGCTAAAATAAAATAACATACAAACAGACAAATGCCTTGCATTATCCAAGGGCAAGCCAAGCTCCATATCAACCAAGCAACAACAATCATTATCATCGCCCAGACTCGTCATGGCGTCTTTACCCTTTTTTTTCCCGCCGCCATAACGTGATAAAAAAAGTACACAAGCACTTGGTCCATTCGCGTGCTTATCCAAAACAATGTTCACTTCATCGATCCTTTCTCATCCCTACCTTTCACGAGCAACAACAAGAGAACCCTTGTTTTCTGGATGTAGACTCAACAAAAAAAAGGGGGGGAAGAAGTAGCGCGATCATGGATTCTACGGACCGTCTTCTTGTTCGAAAGAGAATAGTAAATCCGCCTGTTATCACGCTCACCGACCGACTCACTGACGAACATATGCTTGCAGAAGGCAAGGGACAATTCCTTGCCACAACCATCGCCACCATCCAAAAGGGAACAAAGAACGCCAATCAGAACTTCATCTTTCGCCCCTATTTCCTTCTTGCAAACACACGCCACACTAATCATGAAAGAAGGAATGAAAAAAAATTGACGGATGTGGTTGCGGGTTGTGCGAGAGAGAGATGAGAAGACCTACCTGTCCGAGACCCTGGACCGTCAATGAAAAGTGACACCCCGACAGAGAGAACGACGTGCTTTTGGTTGCGATTTTCTTTGGTGAATACGCTCCATCATTACTCCTTTGAAGAAAAACAAAGGGAGAGGAGGCGTGGCCATAAACACAAGCACAACATTTTATTTCGACTCGCTTGAGGCTGAAAAATAGACGCTCACTAAACTCTTATCAAAGACAACGTTATTCGCTCGTGAAATATGTTGTTTATGGGTTTTTTTTTGCTTCTCCGTCCGAGCATTCTCTCGTTCTCCTCCGGAGAATGAGACTCATTCCGAGGTTATCGAAGTAGAAGAAGTGAAAAGGCAACCAAAGGGATACATAGATGGGAAGGGTTAGTTAATCCTCATTGCAATTGCCTCCTACCCTTTGCGGCATAACCAACTCCCTGTGTCATTTTCTATGAGAAAGATTTCTGTACCTGACATTCAGGAGGACGAAGAAAGGAAGGAAGAGAGTTCTTTTTTTCACCCTGCTTTTCCGATCGACACATGTGGCACGAGTGTGTGTGAGTGTCTATCTGAAAGAGTTCTTTTTTTTATGGTCAGTCATTGAATGGCCGACCAGCTTCAACCACACCCCTGTCCTTTTTTTTAAAACAAAGTCGTGATCGACTGAGTAACGAGCGTGAGGGGAAGAGGTGATTGTCAATTGAATAGAATGAGAATGAGAGAGCACGAAAGAATAAAGACTAAAAAGCCAGTGAGCCAATGTGCTGAGCCAGGGGAGACACACAGAACAGAAAGAGGGGGTGGATAGGAGTCCAAACCAAAGTTGAGTGAGAGTGTGAGAGTGTTGACAGGAAGTGCCATATGCTTATTGCTTTGCTTGCTCTGGCCAGCTAGCAGAACTTACCCTTGTGTCTGTCAGACGGAGTGAAGTCCACTATCACGCTCTGGTTTGCGTATCGCCCCTCTGCCGATGATTTTTTTTGTTGGAGTTGAAAAAAGAGGTGAATGTGAATGTTGCGCTGAATGAATAACTTGTATTGTTTACAAGTGTGTGCTTTTGCTCATGATCGCCGTTCGGTTAGCATCAACATGTCAAAGGACAGTGAGTGAAAGTTGAATAAATAGACGCTGTCTCCCCTTTCTCTTCTCACTATTACTTCCCTTCTATCACTCATCCTTTGTCGTCCACTCTCTTTTACTCTTTCCTCCCATCCATATCGGCACTTCCATCTTCTCCTTCCTCCCTCTCTCCCCAGCATCTCCCTCTCTCTTTCAGCATTCAATACCCTATACCCCACACATTTACTATCTCTCTCTCCATTACTCCTCCTTCCTCTCTTTGTAACACCCTCCCCACCAAACACCACCAACATCAACACGTAAGTAAGCCCTATCCTTTTTTTCCTTTCTCCCACACTTCCCGTGTCTCCCTGTTTTTTGCCTTTAAAATTATTTTTTACCCCAACAGATCGCATCAGCAGTCATTACTGTGCCTCCCCTCCTCCTTCCTTTCGACCCTTTTTTCCTTCTTTTTCGTCTTTCCCACTTCACCACCTTTGACCATTCGCACAAAAAAGAATGCCAATCATACCATCGCCACCTTATCGCATCCGCCCCCCTTCCTTCTTTCCCCTCGAGAGATTGAAAATGTGAAAGAGAGAGGCATAAAAATCACATGAGTTGCAATCCAGGAACCTTTCTCTGTCCGGTCTTTTTCTATTCCCCCTCATTTTTCATTTCCCTAAAATCTTGCTGGTTCTGGTTATCTCTCCGACAAAGCCAGGATCTTGGGAATCACAACAACCACCACAGCAACCATGGACATCATTCGACAGAACAAAAAGAGGTGTGGAGCAAGAAATAAGAAGAAGCAAAAGAAGAAGTAGGATGAGTGTCGCCGACACGATCAAAATAGAAAAGAAAGGAGAGTTCATATCCACAACCCTTCACCTCGACGGACCGACCTCACTTTTACCCACATGCACACAAACACAAGCCCAAGCACGCTACGCACTGGCGCAATTGACAAAGACAAAATGCATACAAACAGCTAAACAGCTGGGCTGGGCTGGATTGGATCGGCTGCAGCATCATCATCACCCCTTCACGCCTTTTTTTGTTGCAAACAAAAAAATACAATCGCACCCCCTGACTTTTACACTCACACACAAAACACAACAACCACTCCCTTGCTGTCAACATAATCATCGAGACCATTGTCAATCACTCGCTCAATCCTCATGTTATTTTCAGCCTTTTCGCTATGTGTTGTTTGTCAACAAACATTGAACATTGGACATATTGCATTTGGCGGACTTATTTTCTATCGCCTTTTTCGCGGGCGCAATCCTCTCTCTTTGCATTTTGAACTCCACTCGGACCCTTTCTAGTCATCCATTCTAATTATCGCCTTCTCTTCTTTTTCTCTCCTCTCCCTACATCCCCTTCATCCCTCCAGTTTTCATAATGACCACCCGTTACAACTCTTCAGAATCCGACAACTCTGACATTGAGGATCGCAACCACTCGCGCACCTCTACCTCTTCCGTCGAGGAGGATGTCATCAAGGGCCCCAATGGCCAGTCTGTCAAGAAGACCACTAAGACCACCACCACCACCCGCAAGTACACTACCACCACCGACAAGGACGGCAAGCAGACCACCATCGTCACCGAGGAGGTGTCTGTCAACGGTGGCCCCACTGCCGCTGCCCCTACTGCTGGCTTCATTGCCCGTGTTAGCTCCTTGCCCTTGATCCACGACAGCGTCTCAACCCTCCACTCGTACGCCAAGGACAACAAGTACTCCCGCTACGCCCTCGACACCGCCGGTTCCGCCGTTGAGACCGTCTCCAAGTACACCGAGCCCTACAGCACCCGTCTCCAGCCCGCCATCTCTAAGGTTGACCAGATCGCCACAAAGTCCTTGGACGTTTTCGAGACCACCTTCCCCATCGTCACTAAGCCCACCTCCGAGATTGTGACCCAGGTCAAGAAGCCCTACGTCTACGTCGAGGAGTCGTCCAAGAACGCTTATACCCAGATCCAGTCGACCATCGACACCCGTGTCACCGCCCCCGTCAAGGCCGTCACCAGCAACATCGCCACCACCGCTGCTTCGACCCGCGACCAGATCACCACTGTTGCCAACTCGACCCGCGACCAGATCACCACTGCCGCCACCTCGACTGCCAACAACATCACCGCTGCTGCTACCACCACCGCCACTGCCTTTGCCACCCGTGTCAACACCCACGCCACTCCTCTCGTCGATGGTCTCGAGACCATCGTCAACCGTGTCTTGCCTGCTGATGCCGAGGCTGAGCAGTCTACCGCCGGCCAGAGCAACCAGGCTTCCCGTGTTGTCGACCTCGGCCGCAATGTCTCCCTCCGCGTCTCCCGCCGCGTGAGCGTCTCTGTTGCCCCCATTGCCCAGTCCGCCCAGGACTTGCGTAAGGCTGCCGAGAACAACGCCACCGTGATCAAGTCCAAGGAGTCCATCCAGGCCTTGAACATCCGCCTCAACGCCCTCATTGAGGCCGTCCGTGCTCACGCCATTGAGCTCCAGGAGAACGTCCAGAAGGTCCCCACCGAGGCCTCCCAGCGTGTCCAGACCCTCTCCACCTCCCTCCTTGTCGAGATCGACTCGCTCTCGGTCTACCTCAAGGAGCACAGCCCCAAGCTGCCCGTCTATGTCCAGGTCCGCCTCGAGCCCCTGGTGGGCTTTGTTAATGATCGTTATGTCACCGTCAAGGGCGAGATGGTCAAGCCCGATGTCTCGGCCCTCCAGAAGGCCCGCAACATCCTCCAGTTGACCACCGAGGAGACCCTCCCCATCCTCCAGTCCGCCGCCCAGGAGGTCAAGGAGTCCCTTCTCCAGTACCAGGTCTCCATCCAGGAGAACGTCAACAAGGGCATCACCAAGGTCCAGGCCGTCAACTCTTCCGTCTCCGATGCCGCTTCCCGCGCCGTCCAGACCGCCCGCGTCACCCTGGTCGGTGCCAAGTAAAGAGCTAACTCTTTTTTTAGTTCTATGATATCCATTTTCCCCCCATTTACCCCATGTGAACTTCACTTTCTAATGAAAACAAAACAAAAAAAAAAAATCACCTACCCTTGTAACTGCTTGATGTAGTTGTCAACAAAAATACTCTTTGCTCTTCAACCTTTAAAAAACCAACAAAAAACAATAAAAAAATCATCTTTTAGGAATATTGAACGCGTTTTCTTTTGTTGTGATGAAGCTGTGCACTGTTTGTAGAAATTGCATTTGTAATAGTTTGAGCGGGGGGACTTGCCGTAGTAGCAATGGCTATGTACCAATGCACGTGTGAAGGTGCGTGTGTATGCGAGTCTATGTGTTGTGAGAGGTAATTTACGAGGGGCAGAGTACTGCGGCTGTAAACATCAAGACCGACAAAGTGAGAAAGTAGCAGAAGAAAGATGGCTTTGTTAGTGCAAGTGTCAAGAAGGTGCACCTATTGCCCATCCAGGAATAAGCCATGAGACTTTATTGTCAGCCGAGAGGGAAAGGAAAAAAGGAGCATGAACTGTCTGGGTGGCAGGGTCTCACTTCTGTCATCATGGTGCGTGGAGTTGAGAGAGAAAAGAAAGGAAAAAAAACTGGTTAGATTGTTTAAACGCGTTCCTGTTTCTCTTGTCCTATCATGTGCAATGACCGCAATTTAGCATGTGTTCAATGTGGAGGGTGCGCGAAAAACAGACAAGCGAGAAGGCACGCGAAAACAGAACCAGCTTTGCCCTGCCATGTCTTCCAGCCAGCCAAAAAAATAATAATTACGTCTTGGCATCCCTTGCTCGCTCAGTTCGGACATGGTATGTCATACAGTAGTGAAGCAATTGGAGGGCAAGGCGGTTAGGCTAAGCATGTTGAGATTTTGAATTATCTTTTCTGAGCACATTTTTTAGGGAAACAAAGAAACTCTTTCGGACTCGGACGTTTTGGATGGAGTGGTTTTATTAACCTTCCTTCGGCCTTGGCCAAGGGGCGTTTGTTACTTTTGCATTCTTCCTCATTCCTTGGATCTCCGCAACACTAGCAGCCAAACGAGTCCCAGCGTTCAAATAGTGGGCACCTTTATGCTGGTCCTTGAGTTTCAAAATAACTTTGTTGTAAGCGACATTTCTAAGTGACAATGGTAGTTGACAAAGGTATTGTGCGGGTCATGTCCATGTTCACTTTCCTTTGTCATATTCTTCATTCATGTATAAAAAGTCGTTGATCTCCTTCACCTCCTCCTTTCCTTTTTCTTTTTTTCTTTCATCAACTATTACCCGCTCAACCAGCTTTCTGTCACCTCCCCTTAGCCGCGCCAAGACATCCAACTCACCAACTCACCAACTCACCAACTCACCAACCCACCAACCCACCACTCTACACCACCACCACCACCATCAACAAGTAAACAGATGTTCAAGGATCCAAGGGCAACGATCAAGAGCGTCGACATGGCCGAAGAGATGCAACAGGACGCCATCGAGGTCGCCATCAGGGCATTCACACAATTCGCGATTGAACGCGAGATGGCCGCGTACCTCAAGAAGGAATTCGACCGAAAGTACGGTCTTACTTGGCACTGTATCGTCGGACGCAACTTTGGCAGCTTTGTCACCCATGGTAAGCTTCGGTTTTCAAACGCGCAATGAAAAAAAAAAGTTTCTCTTTTGTGGCATTTTTTCAAGAATCCTACTTGGGATCAGTCGTTATTGATGCTATTTTTTGTGCTGTGCTGTGCTGTGCATTGTCACTAACGGTAACAGCAAGGCTACGCTTCTTGCCAGATATGGACCCTATCGATTAACGACGATCATAACTTTTCTTGTACGTTTTGGCTGTTGGTCCATGGCATTTTTCATGGGCTTGGCATTTTTTTTTGTATCAATGCGTATTCGATAGAAACGAACCACTTTATTTACTTTAACCTCGGACAGATCGCCATATTACTTTACAAGAGTGGATGAAGCAGAAGATACTCGCATCCAACCTGTCACCGTCACCACTACCAGCCTTGCTGGTTGGATCCAGTATGGCGGTTTCCCTCAGGGTCCTTCAGCAAGCGTGCCGGATCTCCTTTTGCCAAGACATTTTTTTTCAAAACCATTTTTCTCTCAATTGCATTTCCACATATAACCTTAATTTCGCTTCCAAACCCATTTCAAAATAAAAACATAAACAACGCTTTATTTCTACCTCACCCCTTTGCCCTCCTTCCTTCATACCAAACCGCCTTGGTCTCCCCTTCGTTACGACAACGACCACCTCACTGATAAATAGTAGTCAAGATCCCTTCCAAGGCTTTGTTAAATTCCTGGAGCTTTTCAAGCATCGCAAAGTGACCAGTCTGAATCGAAAGCGTAGAATATTCTTGTGCAAGTACGACATCGTAACCGCCAACTCTGGGACCAAAATATGATCGTTTTCGCCCCTGATTGAGTACACCGAGTACGGCATGTTCTTGTCCCTCGTCGGGTGTTCTTCTGCCAACAGAAAAATGAAAGATGGGAAAGAGAGAAAGAAAGGGGAATGATCATCTGTGAGATATAGATGTGGCTCGTGCGCTTGGCATTCCTAACGGTTTCGCTTCGCATTTCGCAAAGGCGATTTAATCATCGATCAATTCAGTCTTGTAATAGTTCAGAGGCCCTTCGAACCTCTTCGTTTCAAACTGCGCAGCCAAATAGTCCAATTCCCATCTCACGAAATGAAAAGCGACATTAGTCGGTGCGGTCACCAGCAAGCTGGTCGCACGCCCAACAAAAGAATAGGAAATATAAAAAAATGTACTTGCCTGCTCAGCGGTGGTCAAAGAAGACTCGTAGATACCCTTCAGGAACTCTCGTGGCTAAGAAAACGGCACCAAAAAATAAATAAATAAATTATAAGCAACGTTGTTCTGCTGATGGAGGCGCGTTGACTGAAAAGAGAGAAAGGGAGAGATCAGAACTCACGTTGCTGTTGACGAGTGGGATCTCACTCATACGATATTTGAATAACTCGGTCGCCAAAAAGGTTGCTTAACGTCTCTCCGTATCCGAGGCAGTCGATGGCGATGACTCTGTAGCCCTTTTTCGGCAAAGACCTTTATATGGCGGTGCCAGCTGTACCAGAGATCAGGGAACCCGTGGATCTGGAGGAGCACAGGGCCGGTAGGGATCCCTTCCTCTACGAAGTCTTTTTTTTTGAGAGAGAAGTAAAATTTTCGCGAGTCATATAGCTCAGGTTGCACAACCAAAAGGGTCTCGATGAGAATAAAGGAAAAGAGGAGAGAGAGACATATGCAACTTACGATACTTGTACCCTCCGGCGATAGCATACTTGTGCTTGAAGCTGTAATGAGTGCGCGCAAAACAATCAAGGGTGAATGAGAGTTGACTTGCCTGGTTGGATCGTGTTCCTGGATCGTCATTTTTCTCGATGGATACAGTGGGATGTCGTAGGGGAGTGCGAGGGAAAAGGAAAGAAATGGAGAAGAAAGAAGAAAGAGGTGAAGAAGAGTAAGACGAAGAAATCATCCAAGCTTAAAAGAACATAAGAAAATGCCTACTCTTCCTCCACGGTCATATTGGATCCCCGCCATCATAAGTAACCACCCCTTCTCGTCATCCTCTGCACACAGATCGATCGCCCTCAAGGCATTTTTTAAATATCTTTACTGAAAAAAGAACGGCATGATCTCTTTCTGCTTACAACGAGTTCTCATCCTGCATCACCCCGCTACCCGACTGACATAACCAATTAATACTCTCTTCCTCCTCTGCTCACAGCTCACCCTCGGGTGTAGCAGCTCCTCCACCAACGACGACGTGCTGGACCTTTGTGAATCCATCCGCAACAATCGCTCCTACATTCTTGCCAAACGTCGCAATGCCGCCAAAGATCTTGCCCCAAGTGCCCTGCTCTGCTTTATCCTTGGTTTCCGCCTTAGCATCCTTCTCTTTCTTGGCGTCCGCTTGCTCTGCCTTCTTCTCCTTCTCTTTCTTGTCCTTCTTGTCCGGGTGATGTTCCAGCGCATCCGCCAGCTCCATGTCAATCTCGTCCGTGCCGCCGGCAACAGCACCAGTAGCGGCTTTTTGGATGGGACGCTCGGGCATCAATTCCACGTGGGCATCGTTTCCGAGGATAGGGTTGATTCCAATGCCAACGTTGCTGTCCTTATTGGATTCGTCGGCATCATCGGAGGCGGAGACGACGACTTGAGCCCTGGATGGTTCAGCTGCGTGTGCCATAGGGGGTGCAACTATTTCATGTTCGATGATAGGAATAAAAAAGGGGTGAGTATGTCAAGAACATAGATTCCATTCTTCACCTATGCAGCATTGAGAACGAGTGTGCTTGTTATGTTACGTTGGTCAAAGATGGAGTTGATTGATGCCTGCAGACCGACAGCCAGTTGACGCATGCGGAGGTATTGGTGGCGTTTGGCGACGAGGAGCATCTGTCGGCGATGACGGTTCTTCTCCAAGAGTTGCGCTGCCTCCTTTGCACGCTGCTCACGACTACCAGTCGACATGACAGTGAATCGATTTTGATGTTGCTCCTTTTGTTGCTGCTGGAACGTCTTGACCAGTTTGTCGACCTGGTGCTTGTAGTATCCATCCTTTTGCTGCTGTTGTTTCTTCTGCTTGTGTTGCTTAGGCTGTTTTTTGTTCTGTTGTTGCTCATTATTGTGGTGGTGTTGTTGTTGCTGTTTGTTGTCCTTAGCACTCTGCTTGTGGACTTGGCTCTTCTGGTAACCGCGACCCTTCTTCTTGTCCTTCTTCTTCTTGGCACCTCCATCGTCTCCATCGTCACCGTGTCCGGTACGCTTCTTCTCCACCTTTGCATCATCATCATCCCCATCCCCTTGTTCCTCGCCGTCATCCTTATCCTTAACAGCCTCAATTCCATACTCATCCTCATCCTCACCACCACCAGACGACGGCTCAACCTCGACATTCCCAGCCTTGATAGAAAACTTTGGCGAATAATCCAACGCAACACCATCCATCCCTACCATCGCCAATTGATACCCATCCCCCAGAACCTGATGCTCCTCCTTCAAATCGAATGAACACTGGCCCGAGCCCGTGATCTGACCCTGACAGAGCGTCAAGAGGGCATTACCATCCTTCATCAGGACGACCGATTGCTCGACGTTTCCGAGGGAGGGTTGACCGGTCCAGTCGATGGTAACCTCGGTCCCGAGGATGATCTCGTTGATCGGGCTGAACTTGAGACCGTGGGCAGATTGGATCCAGGAGGATGCGGAGGATACTGTGAGGAGGGCGACGAGGTGTCGAAGGAGTATGACCTTTTCCGATCGCATTGTAGAAAAATATTATTGTTGTGTGAAAAAGAAGAAAAAGAGTATGTCGAGGAAGGGGTTTGGAAAAGTAGAGTGAGTGGGTGTTTGCGTGAATTGGTAAAAGGAGAGAAAAGAATGAAGACATGAAGAAATGAAGATTTTTGTGCACGAAAAGGAGTGAGGAAGGTGGTTAAAAAAGTGTCAGTTTAGTGTTAGTGCCAAATGGACCCAACCAGTCGCTGAGGGTCATTTGCGGGCAAGATAGTATGGATCATCATCGTCATTGCATCTTGTATAGTCACTTAGTTCTTGGGGATGTGTGTAACTGCATAGGGATTAGTGTGAGATGCCAGGTGCTCCCTCCCTCTCTAGGAAGGCTGCAGTCTATGTGCTTCCCATACACGCGACAGATCACAATTTTTATCTGCTGGGCATATTGCTTGACAGAAATCAAGTTCAAGTCGGACCATAAGAAACGGTACCCCTTAAAGTCAGAACCAATTTTTTCGATATCTAGTAAGGTGGTGCAAAAATGTAACCCTCCTTTGAATTCTCACAACATGGGTATGCACACGACGCTATTTCAGTGGGCACAAACTAGAAAGAACATCCCATCCATTCGTGGGCCCCATCCATCCAAACCCATCGATACCCATCGATACCCATCGAATACCGCATCCACACGCCATTCAACTCAGGACGACGCACCCATCATCGACAAAAATCACCATCGCCATCGACAGTCGGGAAGCGCCTTTTTCTATTTCTTGGAGAACTCCATGGAGCATCCATCAACTTTTGCTGCAGTCGGCAGAGAGTGGAGGGAGAGATCATTTCTCAGAGGAGGAGAGAGTTCTCTGTCAGAGCAAGGCGCTATTATTCACCATCAACAACTTACACGACGGACAACAGGAAGGAGGTTTTGTTTCAAAGAGTTGGAGGGACTGATTGGACCCTATGAGGTGGTCACGGCAAGGACAGACCATTCGCTGCAGCTGGATCGTTGACTTGGACGCCGGCACCTGCGGAACGGATCTGCAGTTGGTCTTGGCTGAACCAATCGTCCATCGGTTTTCATACAAGGCACGCAGCACGATTCAGCGCAGTTTGTCTGCGCTCAAAATATTCTCCTCTGCAGACGACATCTCTGGTCGTTTCTTTTCATAAGAGGGCAGGACTATGGTGTGCAAGCAGCCTGACATTCATACACAGGACTATTTTTCTGCCAGGAGGAGATCAGGATGCAACCAAGCACCTACAACGGCGTTATACAGAGTAGCAGACCTATGCTTCAGTATAGTCATATCCCCGTTCACCCAAAAGCACGCCTCTGACCACCCTCTCTCTTCCCTTCACTCCTTCAACAAAACAGGTATCAGCAGAGACTCTCGCCACAAGCGCTCCGCTTCTGGAGCCAAGCGCGCCCAATATCGCAAGAAGAGAAAGTTCGAGTTGGGTCGTCAGGCTGCCAACACCAAGCTCGGTGCTAAGCGCATCCACGAGGTCCGCACCCGTGGAGGCAACCGCAAGTTCCGTGCCTTGCGTTTGGATGCCGGTAACTTCTCCTGGGGTTCCGAGGCCATCTCCCGCAAGACCCGTATCGTTGCTGTTGTCTACAACGCCTCCAACAACGAGTTGGTCCGTACCGGTACCTTGGTCAAGAACGCCATTGTCCAGATCGATGCCACTCCTTTCCGTCAGTGGTACGAGGCTCACTACGCCACCCCCATCGGTGCTCGCAAGGGCAAGGGTGCCGTCAAGGTAATAACCTCTCTCTACAATGATGCTGGCTTGAAGCAGATCTTTCAATTGGACCCTGGACCTCCTGGGTATCAACAGCAACAGTTTTTGGGTCTTGGGAAACGACAACAAACAAAAACTGAACAGCGGGAGCTTTTGCCATCATTTTTTTGTTTTGCGATCGCCATCATACTCATCAGCAACTCTGGAAATACCTTTACCCACTCCATTCCTTTCCACTACCAATTGAACCAAAACGAACATGATATCTAACGTTCCTTCATATTTCTTTTCCTTTTCAACTAATCAGGTTGAGTCTGAGGAGATCAACAAGGCCCGCTCGAACCACGTTCAGCGCAAGATCGAGTCCCGCAAGGCTGATGCCAAGGTCGACCCCGCCCTTGACCACCAGTTCGCTGCCGGTCGTATCTACGCCTGCTTGTCCTCCCGTCCCGGTCAGTCTGGCCGTGCTGACGGATACATTCTTGAGGGCCAGGAGTTGGCTTTCTACATCCGCAAGCTTAAGAAGTAAATTTGTGCGACCCTGCTGCAAATAAATTTCAAAACGAAACATTACAAGAACACCACTACAAAGAAGCGAACATGGAGTGACAGTATTGAGTATGCTTAGAGTGGAGTTAGGGAACCGGGGCTCATTGTTCAAGGAGAAAGCGGTACTTGTTTGGCGCATGCGTAGCTCAAAGTCAACAGTCGACGGGGCACACGGATCGACGGAGCGGAAAATGAATCATACGCGCTTGTGGTCATCGTCGAAAACGCGTCCCTCCCATTTCGTCGCGTCCCTCTATGGCCTACAGGAGAGGTTGTTATTACCTTGCAAAAAAACGTTGCCTAGATAACTTCTAGACTCAAGCAAACATACATGGCAGCTTGAGTTCTCTTTTACCTTTTGGCAATAGAACTCGATGGCAACACTTGACCACTGATGCATGACTCTTGCGATTGCCCAAAAAAAACAGGATTGACTGACATTGACGACGTTAAAGGGTCGCATTGATGATGCCAGCCCTTTATTTCGTGGTTAGATCATGGCAGGGAAGTGAAAGAAGAGGACGCAAAGGTTAAGAGCACCTTTTGTTTTCTCTTATTTTGCTACATCCACATGATATGCAGGACAAAACCTTTCTTGTATGCTGACTTTTTTTGCCTTCTCGCTCCCTTAATATCCTTTGCAACTCATACCTTCTCCAATTTTGCGGGGGAATAGAACAGGTTGCATTTCAAGGTGGGTCTGCTCCTCCGAGCAAGAAATCGACTCCACCCGAACTGCCCGCATTTTCCCCTTGAGCCAATCCCTGCCCATTCTACCCTCTTGTCCACCTAATAAAAAAGAGCGGACTTTCCCTTTTTTTACTTCTTTTTTTTTAAGCCAACTTCTTCCTCTCATTCCTTCACAACATACACACACATCATGGCCGCCCGTAGTCCCATTACGTGCCATGTGCTCGATTCGTCCTGCGGTCGTCCCGGTCGCAATGTCCCCGTCAAGCTCGAGATCCTCAACACTGCCGCCAACAACACCTGGGGCGGTCTTGCTACGGGGTAAGCAAAACCTCCTCGCGTTGTTACTCCTTGTCGAACTGGAGTCTGGCATACATACGGGCATGGTAGATCGAAAAAACACAACAAGGAGACAAACCAGGAACTAACGATATATTGGCTCCATTGCTCTCTCTCTCTTCTCTATGTGTATTTGGATGTGCATTTTGTTTCACAGTCTCACTGACTCTGACGGACGCGTGGGAACTCTTTTGGACCCCTCGCACCAGCTCGTTGCTGGCATCTACCGAATGACCTTCCAGACCAGCGACTACTGGGCCTCTGTCGGTGTCATTGCCTACTTCCATCCCTACGTCCAGGTAAAAAACAAAGGCTCATTTCATCAGCAAGCATGAAAAAACGACTATGCCGTTCAATTGACACTGCGTACTGACTTACCCTTTGGTTTGTTGTCCGTAGATCATCTTCGAGGTCGCCCCTGGTGCCGAGAAGCAGCATTACCATATCCCCTTGCTCCTCAGCCCATTTTCTTACACCACCTACCGCGGATCATAGATACTTTATCGATCCAGCGGACGAAAGTATCTCAGACAGCAACAATAAAAAAAACGAGTAAGAAAACAGCCATGTGCGGCGCAACGGGATGTCGTTTATTTAACAATTGAGCAAGTGGGAGATATATGTGGACGCCATGTGTAGGATGGAGATGGTCGCATTCGATTCCTGACTTTAGTTTGCCTCGGTGTTTGCAGCGTTCTCGGCAGTGGCGAGCTCGACTTGGCCTGTGAAGGAAACAAAACGTGTAAGGGAGGCGACATTAGGGGCAAGCACAAAAACGGGGGATCAGAACAGCAGAGTAGATTGACAAATGAAGAGACCAATAGAAAAACATACGTTGACGGACTTGGTCAGCGAGGGCTTGGCGAGCCTGGATCTTGTCCTTGAGGGCGTTCTCGAGATCGACACGACGCTGCTCAACAGCCTTCATCTTTTGGTCCAGATCGGCCTTGTGTTGTTCGTATTGGGCCTTCTCAGGGTCAGCATCCCGGACATTCTTGACACGCTGAAGGTGTTCCTCCAGCTTTTGGACCTTTTCGTCCTCCAATGCCTTGCGACGGGCGTCTGCCTGGTCCAGCTTCTCCTTGATCTCACGGATATCTGCTTGCGATTGACTAATTGGGTGTGTGACATTGAGGGTAGGGTTGTGAGTACAAAGATGAATGTAGGTTTGGAAGTTTCAATTGCTTGCATCGGCGAGTGCTGATATCATCGTTAGGTGGCGGTGTGTGAGAAAGAACATTTGCCACTTACGACTCATCCTTTTGCAGAGTGGCGATCTTTGCATTGCGCTCCTCCAATTTGGCCAGGCGGAGACGTTCCTAGATAAGTGGTAGCGATATTTCGTGGTGTAGGTTGGTTAGGAAAGAGAAACTAAGGAAGGTTTCGTCACAGCACATCATCGTGCCCGGTGCTATTTTGTGTGTGTGTGTTTGTTTGTTCTCTCTTCAAATTTCTGGAACAACAAGAAGCCAACTCCGCATTTGCCCAGAGGATGATGCCGCCAACACATGGCTGACTTTCTCCTAGAAAAAAAACCAGCAGTTGGTGACCACATCATACTTCCTCCCTTCCCCTCCTTTGCCTCCTTCCATTGTGCATGTTTTCGCTCCCCCTTCCTTGCACTCCTGTCATCATCGACCTTTGTGATTATCCAGTTTCCATTGCTCTATCTCTACCTCAGTGTATGTGTTTGCACCCCCTTTCATGCCATCTCCATTAACGCACCTGTTCGTTACGAACACGCTCGGCGTTCTCTTGCTTCTCACGAAGACGCTCAATGGATTCGTCACGGTTGATGTCTTGGTCGAGGCGGTTCTTCTCCGAGACTTCCTTGGCGTGCTTTACATTGTCGTGTGCCTTTTGCACTCGCTCCTCCTCCAGTTTCTATTAGATTTAATTCAAAGAAAAAAAAGAGAGAGGGTTCGTAAGGGATTGAGAAGTGGAACATAGCGGGTGGACATGCGGGTGGGAAAAAAATAATCAAATAATAATGGTTTGTTCTTTGATACCTTGCGCCTCTCTTCGGCTTCAGCCAGTTTGTTCTCGATATCCTGCTGAGTCCTATTCGCATGATGTGCAGAGATGACGAGGTAATACCAGTGGGCAAGAAGGATTAGCTTTGTTCCGTTCTAATATCATCGAAAATAAAGTTGATATCTGACCGAGCATCATCCGCCTTTGACACTCAACGAGGCCTGCTGCTTGGGTACATTACTTGTCAGGAGTATCGTGAGGAGTGAGTCTGGCCAGGAGGTGGGGTGGGACGACGGGCTTGGCGCCTCCAGCAATCTCGAGCTCGGCAAGGATCTCGTCCTGGTGGAGGGCTTGTTGCTGGTCCTTGGAGAGGGTGGTTGGATCGGCGGATTGTTGAGTAGCCATGTTTTGTATATGTGAGTATGTATGCGAGGAAGGTACAAGTGAGGAAGACAGAGAGTCAAGCGGGTGGATTGTGTGTTGCTGTGGGAAAATAGAAAAAAGAAGCGCGTACTGTGAGTGTGTATGTGCAAGTGTATGTGCAAGTGTGTGTGGGAAGTGTCGTTGTTGAAGAAGAAGAGATAAAAAAGAAGAAAAGATAAGGAGGTCGAGCCAGTTTTATTTCCTGAGAAATAGTAGGGGGACTGGCAATGCTGGCAATGCGTCGAGCATTTTCAAACCTTCAAATTGAATGCATAAATCAAAGAAAAAGGAGAACCGTCTAGAGACAATCATGCCCACTTTCACTTACTCCTTCTCGATATCTTAAAAGCATGTCCCATTCTTTTTCACTCATATGATGCTTTGTTGCTCCTTGTCCATTCATCGTCATTCTTTGTTACCTGTTGTCTGCCTTTTCCTTTCTTTTATTTGAACGTGCTGTCGCGAGTCATGCGCGTTCCAAGGTGTTGAAGACAGCCTACGGGATAGACTTTTCAAGGACCCTCGAAATCGAAATACCAGTGGGACTGGCCTTTTTTGGATGCCAAAGCCACCAGCACAAACAACCATGGCCAGAGACTTCGCCTTAAGACACTTGAACTCAACCCTCGCTCGTTCGCATCACCCAGCTACGACACTCCACCACCATGGACAGGAATAACAACAAGCGGCCAGGACCCCCAGCGGGCTCAGGAAAGGACAAAAAGCGAGGTGCGTGCTTTGGTCTTGGCACTCTAAATTCACTCGATTCAAAACGACTCAAGCTGATGGACCTTTCTCAAAATGGCACTTCACTCATATAAGCATCGCGTTTTTTTTGTCACATTGAAAACACCATGTGATCTCGCTTGGTATTAGTCAAGATGCAGCAGGCTCGCTCCATTCAGATTCAGAACACACCATCACCTTCGAGGTCTATGCACTCTACCCCTGCCGCCTCGCCCAGTGGTTCAAGTACGCGGGGACACCTTCATAATTTTTTTTGTGTAGTCAAAAATCAGAGATATCGCGATCGCAGTGTCAGAATTTGTATTTTGATCCACACTCGTACTTCTTTTATTATAGGTACTGCCAAGTCAACAAGAACTCTGGACGTCGTGAACTTTGCAGAGGTGAATACCGGCTAATTGGATTCAGCTGGACGAAGTACTGTATGCAGGAAGACATGATGTCAGAAAGTGAGCATACGACTGATACAAACGGACAATTCTTTTGGTTGATATTAGGCTCGCGCGTTCGAGATCAATGCATTGCACAAGGCCATGGAGTCGTCCAGGAATGCAGCCGCTCAACGCGCGTTCCAGAGTCTTCCCCGGAACCTGAGGCGTCGAGCTGCCAGTCATAACATCAAGCGCCTTCCTGTCCGTCTGCGGGACCGAGCCAAGCGAGAGGTATAAGATCGCTTTGACCTCTTTTTTTTTGCGATTGTTGGGTGTAGTTCCAGGAACGACGCATATTCACACGCATATTCACACGCATATTCACATATTGTTGTCAAATATAGGTCGAGTTTGATCCGGTGAAGAAGGGAAAGAAGCCTGACAACAGATACAAGAAGAGACGGCCAGGCACCCTTGCGGAAGAATACCTCAGGAGACAAGGAACGAAACGGTGGTTGGAGACACATATCTGGCACGCCAAGAGGATGAAAATGGTCGAGACCTGGGGCTACAAGCTAGCGGAGCATTCGAATGAGCACGGAATCAAGTCGGCATACAAGTCCAGTCACCATCAATGCATTCTCCAGGATTCGTCGTACAATGGCTGCCTTGAGATCACAGGATCCAAGAAGGATATTTCAGACGTCTTTACCCGTATGCTGGACCCCACCATGCCTACCATCGGAAGTGCTAGGTAAGGAACGATAGCAATGCTGTTATTGACTTGCGAGACTTTAGCATTTTTTGTCCCAGTGTAATGTGAGACGTCTGCTGATCAACATTTTGACAAATACCTCTACATAAACTAGATACATTACGGGAAAGAGGCAATACACGACCTACTTGTATGAATCCGACAGTTTCCCCAAGAACCTCATTGCACCGGCGACTTTTCTCTGGAAACAGGAACCACAATCAGACATCGCCATGGATGTGGATGAGCTGTCAAAGCAGGGCCAACTTTGGGTTTGGATCCACCCTTCGGCTTTTGAGTCTACCAAGGTGATGATTCAGGAAACCATCGCGAAAACCAACAAGGCGGATTTGGTCAATGTCAAGGATATGGAGAACTCGCTGGTCATGTTTGACTTTACTGGACCCCGCTCAACCGCGTTGCTGAAGGCTGTCCTCCAGCTCAGCCAGTCAGATGCAGCATTACCCTACCAAGAAGCACACAAGGTACATACAACTGTTCCTCCACGCTACTGACGAATTGTCATTACGGCGAATTTAATTGAAGGACAATTACTGATCAATATCTCTTTTTGTATGCTTGTTCATTGTTAGACGTGGGAAGCGATTTGCAACATGCGGTCGTCGTCTTCACTCCCCCCAGGCATTGTTCTCGGTCTCCTCGCCGAGGATCCTCGGCTCACGTATGTTTGAAAAATGTGACTGGTTACGTTCCTCGTTAGTGAAGAGCAGCAACGCGAAAAATAAGGTTGTCTAACAATGTTGCTCTTGATTAATAGGTTTCCACATAAGGCTGAGGCTCGCCCTGCCAGTATACCCGCCCAAGAATCCAGGAGGGCACAGGAGATCATCACGCAATGGCCAGAGACCGTGGCACGCTCTGGGATCTGGGTCGCAGAAGGACGGGAGCAGCTGTTGAGCAGTATGACCCCCGAGTCGAAATTGAACGAACGTCGGTCACAAAACTTGGTCCCCGGAACGAAATTGCTGCCTACAGAATCTGACAGCAAGGTTCCTCTGCTCCTGATTCAGCGAGAGGGTAAACCTCAGATTCAACGGGCACCCAGAGGAGGAAGCAGCGAGTTTGAGTGCGGGTGGACGTTGGTCTTGCCCAAGGGGTGGGCGATGCCGTTCTGGAAGAGCATGATCTTTGCAGGTGCTCGACCCGGTGGATTGCGGGAACGCAGGAGTTTTCATTTTGAGACGCACCAATCATGCTTTCCTTATGACTTCCCTAATACGGCAGCTTATATCGACTACGCACAGGAGAGTAAGAAGGCAGGAGAGCAAAAGTATGGACGGATCCCTGTCGCCAAGAGATTCAACTACGAGAAGATGGGTGTTGAGGATCCCTTTGGCGCTACGTGGGTCAAAGCCTTGAAGGCGGGTGTCATAATGCTAGGAGGTGGTGAGCGCGAGGATCTGAAGGATGAGGATATCTGGTTGCTCCAAACTCCCAAGATGGTTACGGCTCTGATGGACGCTGCTAAGGCTGCTGGTGGATCTTCGAGAGAGATGGTGTCGAGGTTGACACTCGAGTCGTTGAACCTTGTTATGGCGGACTGTCTTCAGGGACTGGTCAAGACAGCCCTTACTCCCTCACTGATGAAGGAGCCATCTGCACGGATTGACGAGGCGTTGGTTAGAGTCGGTGTTGACTTTTTGGACAGGGGTACGATTGGTATGAACGGGATGATTTATGCGATCACCGAGGACCAGTACATGGCGTGGGCTGCACGTGTACAAATGAAGGGCAAGCGGACAGTGGATGGACGGCCGCGCAAGGAGAAGAAGGCTAAGTCGTGGGTGGACTCTGACAGCGACGAGGAGATGGATGAAGACGAAGAGGATGAGTCTACCATGGACGAGCTCGTACGTTGCGTTGCGTTCCATTGTAGTTGTATTGTCTATTGACTGCAAGCATGTAATTGGTATTGGTATCTGCCCACTAACATACACGTTTATTTGATATTCTCTGACTTGTAGGAAATGGAGAGGCCAGCAGGGGCGACTCTGCTTGGATATGTGACGACAGGACAATATTGCTATAGTGAAGGAAAGAGCTATGGCATTGGGTGTGTCACTGCAACGGGACTTGCGCGAGTGATTGAGCTAGAGACCAAGCAGCGGTTAGAGCACCCTCTGAGCTCTCAGGCCAGTGGTAATGGAAGTGGAAGCAAGGCGGGCACAGGTCCTTCTACCCCTCTCAAGGTGCCTCGGATGATGGTCCTTGTCAGGAGTGTTCGCAGTAAGGCCTCCCGTCTTGCCAAGCTGACCATTGTCTCGTGAGAAATTAAAACACACATGGCTAATTCGCCCCTCTTGAATTTGACGACATCTTTGCGTGTTTGCTGTCCGTGAGTGGAGTATGGCGAATGCTCTCTGTGTTTTGGTGGCGTCATTTCTTAGGCACTAAATATGTGTACTAAACCTTCTTCGGGTTAGGCCGACTAGCGTTTTTTTTTATTGTCTTGCAGTGATGGAGAAGGATCGCGCCGCAATAGTTTATTAGGGTCCAAGGAGGTTTAATGCAGGATGGATGGACGGAAATAAAAGCGCCCATGGATGAAAATATGACGAGATCTTTGTTGACAGCATCCCCCACTTCTCTCCTTCTCCCCCTTCTTTCTCTCTCACCCAGGCGCTGAGTTGAGGTTTTTTTACGGTTGTCGATTGATAAGGAACTGAAAACTTGAAGGAAGTGTGGAAAGGGGTAAGAGAGAGAGAGAGAGGGAGAGAGTAGGAGAGACGAGAGACAAGGTTTATCAGTGGGGGGGGCGGGGCGGGCGGGGCGGGGCGGGAAAGAGGAAGTGCCAGGGCTATTTAGATTTCCGGTACGTCATTTTTTTTTTTGGTCGTTGCTGTCATAGCACCTTCGATGCTACACGCCTCTTGCATACGCGCCTGCGTTTGTGTTGCCCGACTCTTCCTTCCAATGTGCTCGCGCATGCAAAGTTATAACATATGGCATGAGTAGACAATCAAGGAACCTCCGTTAAAAATAGGAGAAATCATAGTAACAGAGCGTGTGCGCGACCCAGACAAAAACACGTACAGGTACAAGCGTTTTTCTTATCTCTATTTTCGACACTGTGTAATGCATTTTTGAACAATTATCGTCATCTGTTCATTCGCTCGTTTCGTTTCGTTTCGTTCGGGGCTGGCTTGAACAGGACGGCTAGTTCTATTTGTTAATTGCCATTCTTCTTTTTTTTTTTTAGTGTTTTTAGTGTCCAGTCTTGGATTAGGGAAGCCTTGTTAATGGGCGAAGGCCAGACCCGTTTTTAGGTGTGTCTATCCTGTTATATTCAAAGGGTGGTTTGATTGTTGTTGTTTTTCTCGTTTTTTTTTTCTTCGGGTATAAACAAAGTGGACAACGCCATATTCTGAAAAGATGGTTTTAATTGGGAGCTGCTTGGAGGATACAGGATTGAGAAAAAAAAACCCCCCCTTACAATGGATGCAATGGAAGAAGAAGAAGCAGATGACGACCGTACGTCCATCATCATGATGTATCCTACACGAAAAAAAAGACAACATTGACGCCTTTCTTTCTGTTCGTCTTCTGCACAATCCTCCATGACGACGTTGAAAAAACACTTTCAATGTCTCTCTGCCTCCTCTTTTTCAATTAAAAGAAAGAAAAAAAAAAAAAGTGTGGTGGAGATGTGGTAGTAGAGGTGTTGAAGGAACAAATACAAGATTCATGCAACAGTTTTAACGGACCAGAGGACCTGACAATCCAAAAAAATGATAGCCTCTTCCTTTGGAGCCTTTTGTGGCTGTGATGTAACTACTGTTGTAATGGCTATGTTATTGCCCCGCCCTTTCACACACCCCACCACCCTCGCTCTCTTTCCTCTTACTTCTCTATCGATCCAGAGCGAAGAAAATGCGTCCCACCATCAACCACCTGTCCGTTATCGCCAGAATTCATGCCGCATCTTCAATTGCCCCTCTCTACCTCTCTCTTCCTCGCTATTTTGCATTCTGTCATTTTGCAACTTGCAAATATCATGATTGGTTCACTCTTGTCTAGCGAACAAAAAAAAACCCGATGATGAAATCATTGTACATGCTAGCACCAACACCAGTACCATGCCTTGTAGGTGTTGGGTCTGATTTGGATCCATTCCATTAGAATAGTGCCTGAATATCAACGGATCCTACCATGTTGACGAAAAAAAAAAAAAAAAAAAAAAAAAAAAAAAAAAACCACCCCTGCAAAAGAAGTTGACATCAAACGGACAAGAAAAACATATGCGGAAGAGCCCAAAGCAGCCAAAAAATCTCGATGTTAGCGCAAGGGGATAAACTTAACAAGTTTGTATCAAAGCCAAGGACACTAAAGAGGCATGAGGCGCAAGGAGTGTAAGAGAGAGAGAGAGAGAGATGGTCAATGGTAGGGTGGGGGTGTGAGAAGAGGCCAAAAATAAAACGCGAGCCAATTGGTATTAAATATGTCCACGCATTGAATAGAGAGATAGAGAGAGAGGGGATAGAGACGATTGTGGGGAGACTTTTTCTAATGACCGATAGCCGTGTTTTGTTACTTCTCGTCTCCTCTATACTTTTATATCGCTACTCGACTTGTTCTCACTTCCAGCCTCTGGAGAATTAAAAAAAGGCACCACAACATAAACAACAAAGTATATGTAATGGTTGCCAATACGACTACACAAACAAAATAGAAGAAAAACAATGGTCCTCACTCAAATTCAATCTCCTCATCTCATGGTGGAAAAGCGATACCTTTTCTGTTAGTGCTCCCCATCTTCCCATCCCTTCCCTCCACGTTTGTATTTTTTGTAGTATGGAAGCTCTTAGAAACAGGTCCTTTCGTGCCTGAAAAAAAATAAAGCGGTTCCATAAACTTGTTTTCATACAATGAATTCAGGTTACACTCAAAATTCAATAGATTTTGCTGGTTTTTTTTTTATTGAAATAACATACATAATGAAAGCAATTGAATTGATACGCTACAAGTACAATGAAAGAATGGCAAAGAATGCACACATTTGAATGAGTGGAAGATGGAGGGGAAAAAAGAACGTATGTACAAATTGAAGGGGTGAATGCGCGAAAATGAGAGCACGACACTGGCATGCTTCCATTGTCCTTTCCCCCTCCAAAACCTCCATGACAAACCACAAAAAATGTTTAAGGTTATGGTGTCGTTTGTTTTTTTGTTGTTGTCGTTGACCTGTTCCTTAAGGAAGGTTCATGACGGGGTACGAAGGGCGACGACCGACGTCAAGGCCTGGCGCATGGGTCGACACGGGATAGGGTCCAGGACCAATGCTACGACGAGAGGTCATCGATCGGTTGTTGTTGTTCCCTGCTTCGTTCAACTCGACATCACGGCCCTGAGACCACAACTGTCCAAAAGCCTCCAATGCTCGCATCTCATCCTCTGACACATCCACGCCGTTCATTCGCTGGTCAGCAGGGGCACTGTTCTGGGTCTGATGGGCTGTTGCCTTATTTGCCTGCTGGATAGGGGCATTCAGCTCAACGAGAGAGAGGCGGCGCGTCTTGGGCGAAGGGTAGGGCTCGGTGGGGTGATTGTTGGTCGCGTTGAAGCAAATGCTGTGTGAACGGTAGCGGCTGTTCTGGTGGGTGATCGAGGGGAGGCGCGCTTGAGCCTCGTGAAGGAACAAGGTGGTCCTCAAAGGAGGGAGCGTGCAGTCCTCCATAGGCTCCATCTTGTAGTGATCCAAAGGGTGAGAAGGAACGAACGTCTCCGTCTTGATCAAAACACTGGCGTCATCCGAATCAATGTCATCCGAGTGGGAAGAGTAAGCAGGGGACATTGGATGTCTAGGCTGGCCAAAGGTCGACGAGTTGTAGTTGTAGTTGGTGAAGGCCGGGTTCTGGACCGGGGGCACTTGCTGTTGTTGATACTGTTGAAAGTGCGTGGTCGACAAAGGCGCCTGAGCGCCACCATCATAGTTGATATCACCGCCGTAATTGTTGTAGCCATGGTAAAACTGAGCATAGTGCTGGTCCATATCGTAGTCAAGGCTAGGACGGTGATGGAGCTTCGAGGCATACCAAGACTCGGCCGAGATATCCTTGTTGGCCTCCAAGGACCCGCTTCGGGGTTTGGTCGCGCCCTGCGACCTTTTATGGATACGGCCACTCTCGCGTCCGAGAGACTTGGCACCTTTAGAACGCTTCTTGGGCGACAGTGGAGACGAGTTGGAAGGGGTGATGGGCGATGGCAGGGCTGGGGAGGATGATCGGTGGTGAGGATCGGTCATGACATTGAGCATAGGCAGCGACTGAACACGCTCGTGGCGAGACTTGCGACGAGGAGCATCAGACCCAGACGCGGACGAGATCGAACAACGCTTGGCTCCGATGGCCTTGACGCTGAATCGACGGCCCAGGGCAGAAGTGCCGCTAACCTCGCTCTTGCGACGGGTCTCCATGGCAATCCTTTGGGCAATCTGCTCGTTCAGGGCGGTATCTCCACTCTTGGTGTGGGTTTGCGTGTGCTGGACCATGTTGTCGAAGCGACTAAACATTCTCGTGCAGCCATCGACGACGCACTTGAAGGGCTTCTCGCCAGTATGTTTTCTACATGATGATGGCAATTCAAAAAATATAAGAACAATATGAATAAGAGTCAATAGAAGAAAAATAAAGTACGTTAAAAAAGGGGGGAAGACAGTGGCCATGTTTATCTGTGTATGTGAATGTGAATGTGAATGTGTATGTGTGTGTGTGTGTGTGTGTGTGTGTGTGTGTGTGTGTGAACACAAATTACTTAAACCGTTGTTATTGTTATTAACCTAAAACCCCGGGGCACAACCGCATCCTCCCATCTTTTTCTTTCATATCTGGGGCCCAATGTCCAGCTGATCGGTGTGTCGGAGACCAAATAAAAAAGGGATATGGACTGGCACAGAGGGTGACGACGATAATGCAAAAGGGAGTCTCCCCCTCAAAAGGGTACTGTTGCTGATTGTAAAATAATGGCGGGGTAAGGATGAAGATGATGATGACGACGATGTACAAGAAAACCAACGGACAGCCCAAGAGCGACTAAGTATGAAATGTCGTCAGTTCTGCTTGTCTGCTAATCCCAGCCGGGGAGTGCATTGAACCGATGACATAATTATTTGGTCCACTGTCAGCGATTGAATAGGAATACTAAAAAAGGAGAGACCCCGTACCCAGCAACAAAAGCTCGAATCCAACCATCCTTCCCTGACGTACTCTTATTAGTCACCTTCTCCAACCGCCCGTTGTCGTTGTGATATCGGTCGACCAGCAGAGGTTTTTCCCCTTCGGTTTTTTTTTTCAGGTACCAATCCCAAATAGTAAAAAAACTTACCGAGCATGACGAGCGAGGTGCTCACTGCGGGTAAAGACCATGTGGCAGTCGCCAAAGCCGGTGCACTGGAACAGTTTGCCCTTGTGAGACTTGGGATCCTGGGAATCGTTGTTATGGTCGTTGTCGTTGAGGTCTCCGTTCATTTCGGCGGTGCTGTCGAAGTCGTTGTGGGTGTTGAGGGTGATGGAGGGGACTGGGCTGGTTTGTTTACTGCTGTGGTTACTTGTTGTGGTGTTGTTGTTGTTGTCGGCGATGATGCTTGTACTGCGGCTAGTGTTGTTGTCATAGGCCGGGTAAGTGTGAGCGTATGCGTATGGATGATGCGCTAGTGGGTGTTGGTAATACTGCTGATGTTGTTGGTATGAGTGGCTATCCATGATAAGGGTCGGTCGTGAGTGTTGAGAGGGGATGAGAGGAAAGGGGTACGAAGCTGTTGGAGGAATGAGGGGCCGATAAATGCGGACGAGGATGCGGACGAGGATGCGGACGAGGATGGTTTGTGAAAGTGAGGAGCGAGGGAGAGTGATAGTGAGAGTGGGAGTGGAAGTGGGAATAGGAGTGAGAAGGAGTGAAGAAGAGGAGGTCAAGTAGGAAGAGAAGTGTTCGCTGTGGTTATTGTGAATGGAGGGAACAGAATGGAAAGAGAAGAAAAAAAGAGTCAAGAAGAAAGAGTCAGAGTTTGATTAATACGTTATCAGTGAGTGGGTGTGTGCTCAGGGAAAGAGTGTCTGTGTGTTCGAAAAGAAAGAGGGAAAAGAAAAGACGAAAAAACATTCAGGGCTGGACACTCTGTTAAATACAAAAAATAACTCCGCCCGGAAAATAAGAAGCGCGGGACGGACATTGATCAGGGACAACAATCCACACACACTCACACACATGCACTAGCATCATCACCCCAGGCACAAACAAAAAGGTACACAGAATGCTATTTTGCATGATAACCAAATACACTCAAGGGGGCGAAGGGAGGGAAAGAGAAAAGAGAAGAGGACCCTGTCCTCCAAAGACAAGTCTCCAGAGAACTCAAAAAAAGAAAGACAATAAGGAGAAAAAACTAGGGATCGCATTCTGCCGATGAAAATCCCATTAGACCGATGATAACGATACCGACGATGGCGACGATGACAGAGGGACGGACGAACGGTGCCCGAAAAAAAGGGACAAGAAAACGCATTACAGTAAGACGCAGACTGAGAGACAGAGACTGCCCCATCATCATCATCGTCACCCATCGATAAGCCCATTCAAATCCTGCCATCGGAATATCGAAAAATATGCAAGATCGAGTAGGAGAAGGAAAGAGGAGCACGGGGGCAAAGTAAAAAGGTGGACAGGGCGCGCGCCAACATGTACCCAGACACACAACCAACACACACACATGCACACAAGCACACATGAAAAAGGCACCTTCGCTTGATCCCTGATCCATCCTTCCTTGCTCCCTTTCCCCTCCAACAGGGACGGGTCGCAAACACTCAATACCAAGGGGGAAAAATGAAGGAAAGAACGCACACAGAAGGAAAAGAACGCAAGGGACAGGGGCGAAAGGACGAAAACAACAAGAAGGACGTGGACGAAGTAAAAGAGAACCATTCATGTCGCCTCCTTTTTTTTTTCTCTCGGTGTCTGTTTCTCTCTATTCCCTTGGGTTCGCAGTAACGCAAACCAAGCATCATCTCTTCCATGACAGTAGACAAACAGGACTGGACAAGAGACAGAAACGCCGTTTCCCTCATTTTGCTGTCCTGCCCTCTCTTGGCACACTCTGTGTCGTACCTTTTTTATTCTTTTGGCACTTCTTCTGCACATCTCCACAGACAAGAAAAGGGGGGGGAGCAGAAAAAAAGAGGGTGAGGAAAAGAGAGCGTACTGAGATAAAAACGAAGAGGGGGGATAGAAACAAAAAAAAGTGAGGCAAGCCAAGGTAAGTTTGGGATAGATGGGAACGCATAATAAAGTTGCCCAAGTGTCCAAAAGAATGCTTGTCATCTATCTTTTTGTTGTTGTGCTCTCTCGTCGTCAACCCTACTCGCAGGAAACCAAGTACAAAATATACGACGCCCATCTTTTATGCCAACCCCTGTCTTCTGATACCCAGTCGCCAGAAAAATCGACTCCATGCACCCAAAAGGAAAGCACTGAATGTTCTTCAAGAATTGTTGACAGATCGACCCACAGTCTCGAAAGTTCTCGCTTAGTTTGGCAGAGTCTGTTACTTCATTCTGCAGTAATCCCGCACAATATCAAGTGTCAGGGCATCTCTACACCTGGTTCACTGTACCTCTTTCTCACTCATCCGGAATAGAATGCCACAAGGAATAGGCTCGTTCCTGGAACCCACTCCTATGACTCTTTTTTTTTTTTTTTTTCTTTTTCTTTTGATCCACACACTGAATTTCCTAGCATTCCTTCAAGCCGTTGACATGGATTATCGGGATGAAGATGGAAAAAAAAGTGATTGAGGTCCACAAGGCACAAGACACTAAGAGGTGCAACGGCCTGAGAAAGTAACTGAAATAGGCCGAAGACAGACGATGATTGGAATACTACCAAAAGAAGGGGCGAAGAATGCAAAGAGCAAAATAGGCGGGAACAGGGGCGAAAAGGCGTATGGGTCCAAGGGGGAGGAGGAGAGGAGAGAAAAAGAGAAGGGGCATGACCTGAAGGGAAGAACTTCAAGGAACGAAGTACTGGGTAAGAAAGAAGGAAGGGTAACGCAAGGAACAAAAAGTCGACGTGGATGAGTGTGTCCTGGTGACTGGGGCTGCGATGCTTACCAGTAATGCGCTGTTGATGGAAGATTGACAAAGAAGGGCAGAAGGGTAAAAGGAAAGGGGGAAAGAGAAAAGAGAAGGAAGAAAGTAAGGCTGGAGGGGAGAGTGGGAAAAAGTGAGTTAAGGCACCGTCTATTTGACGGTGGATATGTCATTGTCCATTGGGAGGTGAGTGAGTTCAAGGCACCTGAACAAACAAACAATACAAACAATGCATTATAAAACAAAAGATCCCCAGATGATGTGTGTTACCACTGTGTTTGCACAGTACAGCTGTTTGTGTGACAATGAGAGTAGAACAAGTCATCATCTTCTTCCCAACAACTTGTTGTTGCATCCCTCACCAGGACATCCGATCGCACGATTGGCTGGCCGTCTTGCCAGGCCCGCGCTTGTTGCATAACTGAAACCGAGCCACTCTCATTCTTCCTAGAGCCCAAGGGACCGCTCCAGGGCCAAACAGCATTCAGTTCAGCAGACTGAATGGATGAAATAGAAAAAAGAAATATGCTCCTTCTCTGTCTCGCTCTTTCATATCCATCCTTTTCATTTCGCTCACTCAGGCCCCATAGCCGACATCGCCGTTATTTCTACCCAGCAGGCAACAGGGGGATGGAAGGGAACGTAGGGGACCTGAAGTAATTGGCGATCGCCTTCTTCTCTTCCTCATTAGAGAACCTGCGTTTATTAATAGCTCACTTATTCTATCATTCTTATTCCCCTCTTCCTTTTGGCAGTGCAATCCATGCATGCGCTGCGAATCGTCCGGAACAGCCTGCTCAGGGGGTGGGGGTGAAGAAAAGTACACGTATCTAAGGCTCCAATGAAAGACACGGTTTACCTCGCCCGAGAAGTCCATCCAAAAGAATCAAGGCACGTGCCGCCGTTGTAGGCGCTTGTTTCTGTACAATACAAAATGAAAGAAGGAAGAAACAAAACAATCGAGAGTCAGTTACAAGGGGTCCGGGTGTGGCTGTGAATGGAACACAGGGGAGAATGAGAGCTCAGGTCAAGTGTAACGCGATCTTCAGCTTGAACGCAAGACATAGTCGACAGGTCAACTATGCTGGTTGAATAAAGACTAGCTTTTTATCATCACTGCTCTTTTTAGGTGAAACGGTTTCGTGATACCGCACGTATCGAGCCTTGTTCGTTACCTTTACGTCTGCTTTTCTCTTGGCCACCAACTCAATTCGGACCAACACATTCACTCATGCAAGACACGAAAACAATGCCCTAACGACAAGACAAGCTCAACACCGGAGGCAGGAGACTCTCGGACAACTTTTGGATTCGCAGGCAAGGGATGAGTCTCGTCATTCACTGTCGAATAATCTCTTTCTCTTGCTGAAAAGAGATGGGCGTAGAGGCTTGTTTTTTGTGATGATCGACGAGAATCAACCCTTGCCTGCGAGTCCCAACGTTGTCCGAGAGAGAGAGAGATAGAGAGAGCGAGAGAGTCTCCTGCCTCCGGTGTTGAGCTTGCCCTGCCGTTAGGTTGTTGCTGTGTGAATGTGTTGATCCAAGTTGAGTTGATGGCCAAGAAGTGAAAAAAACAGACTTTGTCTTGTGAATAGTTCAAGCGTCACGTGTGGTGGCGTGGGGTGCGCTTTGATCCTTGTCCCCAACCGCACGCACCACAAAAAAGAAAAACGAAGGGGTGGGTGTGAGTGTATGCACTTCCTTCCATGGTGTGATATCTGTCGGCATTATTACCAAACAGAAAGCTCATGTTCTGGTCACCCCTTTTTGTTTGTTTTCTTCTTCTTCTTCGTCCTTTTCATCCACAACTTCTTCACGCACCATTTACCACCACCGCTTTTCTTCCTCTTCTTCGTCCTTTCATCCACAACTTCTTCACACACCATTACCACCACCGCTTTTCTTCATTCACGTTCGAATCAACTTTACATCCCCCTGTTGTTGCTCTCTTTCTCCTTGAAACACACGCACACGAACAGCACCACGCCACTTCTTTGCCCTTCTTATCATATTGCGTGCAACAAGCACCCACATACATTCATACTTTTGACATTCGCTCTTTTCAACTCATTCATTACGCCCACCTGCAACACACTCACTGCCGCCGTGAAGGACAACAACAGCATACGACAACCATGGGCACGCTGACCCTGAAGATACAACCCCCAGCACCATCATATTCCTCACACCCACACGAACTCCCAGACCCCTTCTTGGTTACTGTCGACTCACTCACGACCGTCAAACACCTCAAGCAGGTCGTCCTTCAGTACCTTGCCCGCTCCCCTATTCTTGCTCTCCCCTTTACTCTTCCACCTGCAACTGACCTCGGACTGGTCTTTGACGGACACATCCTCAACGACACCGACACGCTTGACAAAGTCTTTGAAAAGGTACTCGCATACACAACGGACCTGGACTTATATCCTTATCAAGCCAGACCACCCCAAAGAAGACCTTGTTCTTCTTGCTTACCTTTTTTTGTCCCCCAACACTCCAACACTAGGTGGACTGTGCAACCTCCTTGCCCCATATCCATCTCATCGTGCCATTATCAGGATCGAAAGGCATTTTAGAAGTCAATGAGCCTTGCTCGCCTGCTCCCTTGCATTTCAACGACCAGTTTACTTCCCCAGCTCCAGTCTCAACCTACTGTTCGCACGAATTGACTTCGCCGTCACGGCAGCGAACAACTACTACTACTTCGACCCCTGCAGAAGAGAGCGGCACACCTACGCCAGGTACTACCGAGTGGTGTCAAAACAACATGGCAGAAGGCAGTCCAATGTCAAGTGTCCCCGAGAAAAAGGGGGTATATCCTGTATCACCAGCATATCCTGCCCCGTATCTTCAAGTCTTGGCGCCATTCCAGTACCAATACGTTCTCGTAAAGTAAGATCCAGAACTGTGTGTTGCAGTTTCTTCTCGCTGATCCGACTGTTGTTGGACAGGACCCTTCGGTGACGATACTGACTTCCTCCGTCTTACACTCGTCTAATCTCTAGTGGAATGCCGTACTTGGCGCCCTCCTACTACATACCTCATCTTCACATGCAACAGTTTGCTATCTCAGGACACCCAGCAGCAATTCCGCCTTCAGAGCTCGGATTTAATTCACCCGTGAATGGGCTCCATCAACAAAATCAGCCACAACCACAGCGGGAAGCAGGAGCAGCTGTCGCACTGGAGGGAAACGCTCAGGATCAAGCCGCCAGGGGTCAGCGCCGAGCTGCTTCGTTGTGGCTTCTCCTCAAGCTGGCCTTTGGTGTCTACCTTTTTAGCCAGAACGGAAGCATCGAGCGCATAGTGCTCCTACACATCGCTGCCCTCATCATCTTTTTGTAAGTGTTGTAGATTCAATCCGTGAGGAAGCTCCTACCGTCCCATCGCGCACGGCTTCAAAAAACATAGGCAGGTTGGTTTACTAATATCTGCAAATTGAACATTAATCTCGAACTGCTTGTAGGCACCAGACTGGCCGACTTCGTATTGTCCGCAGAGTGCCGCGTCCACCGCAAGAAGCTCCTCGAGACCCAGGTGTGAACGCAGCAGGAGTAGCAGAGCAGCCTCCCGCTTCACTGACAAACCAACCCACCACACCTGCGCAGGCCAGTTCAACTCCCGCGACAACTTCAAATGCGTGCGATGCCTCCAACACAGCATCATCTAGCGTCTCCAGCAAAGAAATTGACCATTCCAAGAATGACGATGACTCGCAAGTGTCAGATGAGATGAACCGATCGGCTAAACTCGACCCTGCTCCAACTGTATCACTTGGACAGGACACAGCGACCACGGCAAGCGCCATGGAAACTACGGACTCGCAGAACACATGCACCGCCGCTGAGCAGATAGGCTCGACCGCCGCTATTACGCCTCCTGCAGCTGCTGCAGCTGCTGCTCTTCCTGAAGAACAAAGGGTTTCGACGTGGCGGTATGTTGAACATGGGATCTTGACGTTTATCGCGTCGCTGATTCCAGCACCTCCTCCAGAGAATGAACAGCAGGATGCCAACGCCGTCGCTGCCGCAGAGCGCGCACTTTGAAACACATATCATACGCAACACTATTTTCTCTTGCTTTCTCTCTCTCTCTCTCTCTCTCTCTCTCTCTCTCTCTCTCTCTCTCTCTCTTGGTTCGCGTGCGTTCGTTCATCTTGTATAGTTTTCTTGATTTTCCTTCCATTTTTGAGTCCCTTCGGCTCCTTGTACAGATCACATGGACTTAGTTCTATGTGAATAAAACTAACATAACGTGAATTGATCGGGTGGGGCACTGATGTCTCAATGGACCATGTTTCTAAGAGACTTAGGTAAGGCAGAACCACAAGTGCCCTTCTATGCATCTCATTCCTCGTGTTTCTTCTGGGGTGCGTGTTTTGCGTTGGCTTTTTGTTGTTCTTTCTTCATCCCATCCTAGCGTTTGCTGCGGGGTGCGCGCTTGCTTCTCTGTTTTTATTTCTTCCTCGATGTTCCTGTTGAGTGGCATGTTTACGCTGGTACTTTATTGTTCATTCCTTCCTCCTTAATACATTCTCGGTTCTCAACTTTCTCCCGCCTCCTTCGTTTTTCACTAATTGCCATGACTACATCAATCAGCACTGATTAAAAAAATCAGGAACAGCCTACATATTTTAGTGGCGCACCATCTTACTGGTCTTTCTTGTTTACCAACGTCGTATCTTCACTTGATACGGGTGTTAAAAGGGTCTTCAAGAGGAGTCATTGGTGTCGGACAGGCGAGCCAAGGTTGGGTTCGCCCCCCGCCCCCCAAGCAGTGACCATATGCTGACGAGGCAGACGAGTCAGGGTTATCTTACTCCATCAGCACCACTCATATGCTAATGAGATAGACAAACGGGCGTTTTTTTCAGGATCAAGATTGCACTTTACTAACTTATTTACTACTAACCTATTAATCTACTAAACTACTGATCTCGGGGTACTGCTCGCGACCTCCTCGACCTTCTCGCGGTGTGTGTGTGTGCGCCCTGGACAGTGGGTTCTCGCGGCGAGAACCCACGGACATAAATGGTGAGCCAAAACAGTAAAGTTCTTTTTTCAAGGTTTTTTTTTTTTTGAGGGGAGAGTTTATGGTGGTTGAAAAGAAAAGAAGAACCCTAGCGAGATGATGAGATAGATAGGTGAAAGGGGGAATATAAAAGAGCAAAAGGGAACGAGTGGCTTTTATTTCAGTTAGGAGATCCGAAAGAACTTGCATGGGGACTACTTTGCAGCAAAAATGGCTCAGAAAAGCAATGTTTGCAAATTGGGCATTTCATACAGACCCACTGCGCCCTTCGGATAAGTCTTTTTGTAAAACTCGTCTTCTGCCTCCAATTATCCGAAAGGGGGGGGTGTGTGTTGTCCAAGCGGACAACGATCCGAATCTGAGAGGAGGAAACCACTTTTTTTTTTTAGAGCAGAAAAATGAAATGGAATATATACCAGGATAAATGTGTCTGAAGGAGCGTTTGTGCTTGTTGGAGACTTACAAAAAAAAAACGCCTTGCGCTGATGGTCGATCAAGACCATTTTATGAGAGACCATTTCTTTTTTTTTTAACGCGAGGGAGTCGCGATGGAGAATTATATCAAGCGCGTTCAAGTTTTGTTTTCAGGTTCAAGTGATTGGTGCCAGAAAGGATTGATTTATGTCCCTGAATCAGTTTATTGTTTTCGAGAGCGCCAAAAAAAAAAAAGAAGCCAATGAAGGATGGGGGTCTCTTGGCACTGTCTGAAGGAAATGAAGAAAAAAAGAGTGCCGGCAAAGGCATCCGAGGCTAATTTTTATTAGCTCATATTTTTTCTCAAGGTGGGTCTTGCGATGGCTGGCGACTTTCAAAAATGGAACTTTATGTCCAAGCGGACAGCAGATCCGACAAGCATATAAAAAAAGGTACTTGTTAAACGTTTGTCATTAATCCCAATGTCAAAAAGAGTCAAGAAAAGAATAAAAAAGAAAAAGAGGTATTAAAGACAGAGGGTAATGAAAGGAAGCAGATCCTATTTGTCAATAAAGCGTTCTAGCTTGAATGAGAGAGTCGAGTGGGAGAGGTGACGATGCATGTGTTGGCATGTGCATAACCACGTCTTCTCCTTTTGCAGAAAAAAGACCGCCTGGATTTCCTGTCCATGAGGGACATGTAGCACAAGAGTCAACCAGTAGGAAAGCAAGGTTGGCGACGCCGCATGGGAAGTGTATTCAAACCTAAGAAGCGCTCTCGGAAGGGACAGATGGACGCCCCGTTCAAAGACTGTTCATCATTGGTTGTAGAGAGAGTGAGAGTGAGAATAAGAAGGGAGTGAGGATGCCCATGAAGCAGAAGAAGGAAGAGAGGTAGAGAAGCAAGGTAATGGCAGGGGACGGGTATGATTCCGTTTGGGCTCATCTTGGATCGGAGACAATGGAGAGACAAGGTGTATCATTCGAATGTCGACTTTAGCAGGGGTTTGTCACAACCAATATCCTACCTCCCTTGCATTTTTTTGGCTTGGAGAAACTGTTCCTTCTATCGGAAGAGAACCCATGGAGAAAGATGACCTCGTGGATGGATGGAAGGTACCTTCCCATGAGGTATTTCCTTTGCGTCCCATGAGCAAGACTGCAAGCCGATGAAGCAGTAGTGTATATAAACGAGCAGGGCCTGCCGTTTTTTTTTCCAATCAGCCTTGGCCCACTCTTTTTCCCCCTCTTCCACCGTCCTCTCCTTCCTTCCTATTCACCCTTCCCTCAACTAATACCTCTCCACCCTCTATTCATTCACCCTTATTGAAGCTATTATCTACGATGAAGGAAGAGGCCATCATCGACGAAAAGTTGCAGTACGAAGAAGAAAAGAGACACGATGACCTTGAGCATCAAGTTGCCCTTGACGAGGAAGATGACTCTCCCATCGAAGAAGTTCGCGTCACCGTCTCCAGTAAGTAAAATCAACGGATATAATCGATGATCAGTCCTCGCCCATCGCAACACATTATTTTTTTTTACTCCCCCAAATTAACCATCAAACAATTCCTCCCCATCTTCACCTCTCCTTTCTACAACCAAAATGACTAATAGACACCGACGACCCCCAGCAGCCATACAACACCTTCCGGATGTGGTTCCTCGGCCTCCTCTTCACCGCTATCATCTCCTTCGTCAACCAGTTCTTCTACCTCCGCCAAACAACCATCTCCCTCAACTACGCCATCGTTGCCCTCATCGCCCTCCCCTGCGGTCACTTCCTTGCCCGTGTCCTCCCTACTCGCGAGGTCGACCTTTTTGGATTCAAGTTCTCGCTCAACCCGGGTCCCTTTTCGATCAAGGAGCATGTCTTGATTGGTACTATGGCTGCTTGTAATACATCTACAGCTTATGCGGTGGATATTGTGCTGATCCAGAGGCTGTATTATCACGAGGAGAAGAGTTTTGTTGCGGGCTTGCTCTTGGTCTTGACTACACAAATTGCAGGATTCAGTATGGCCGGCGCGATAAGGAGGTTCTTGGTTCGCCCTGCGCACATGGTCTGGCCTTCCACCTTGGTCACAGCATCGCTCTTCCGCTCCCTCCACGCAGAAGCAGACCAAGACAACCATGGCCGCATGTCCAGAATGAAGTACTTTGCGATCGTCTGCGGCGGCAGTTTCGTTTACTACTGGCTCCCAGGTCTGATCTTCCCAACCATCGGATTCATCTCTTGGATGTGCTGGATCAACCCCGACAACATTATCCTTGCCCAGTTGACTGGTTCAAACGGTCTGGGAATCGGAACTATTGCCCTTGACTGGTCTGCCCTCTCGTACTATGTCGGTCCTCTGGTTACCCCTTGGTTCGCGCAGGTTAATATCTTGGTTGGTTTTGTCCTCGTCACGTACATCATGGTCCCTTGGGCGTACTACACCAACCTGTGGGACTCTCAGAACTATCCCATCATCACCGCGACGCTTTTCAAGGAGAATGGATCTGAATACAATGTCACGGAGGTCCTTGACAAAAGCGGAGTCTTGGATGAGACCTTGTACACCAACTATGGCCCCCTTCGTATGGACTCGTTTTTTTCCTTGACCTACGGTGTGGGTTTCGCCGGTCTGACTGCCACCTTGGTCCATGTCGCGCTTTACAATGGCCGTGAGATCATCACCCGCTGGAAGTCTGCCCGTGACGAGAACGAAGATATCCATTCCCGTCTGATGCGTGCATACCCCGAAGTTCCCGACTGGTGGTACGGCCTCCTGTTCGTCATCACCTTTGGTCTCAGCATTGTCACGGTCGAAGTCTGGCACTACATGCCCTGGTGGGCCCTCTTCCTCGCCTTCGCCCTCGCCGCCATCTTTGTCCTCCCCGTCGGTATCGTCCAAGCCATCACCAACCAGCAGCCCGGTCTCAACGTCATCACCGAGTACGTCATCGGATACCTCCTCCCCGGCCACGCGATCTCTAACGTCACCTTCAAGACCTACGGCTACATCGTCAACCTCCAAGCCCTCAATTTTGTCTCCGACCTCAAACTCGGCCACTACATGAAGATCCCCCCAAGAATCATGTTCATGGCCCAACTCATTTCTGCAATCATATCCTGTATCATTAACCTCGGCACGGCAACTTGGCTCGTCAACACCCGCCCAAACGTCTGCACAAGGGCTGGATACCCCTTCACTTGCCGTAACACCAACACCTTCTACTCTGCCTCCGTCATCTGGGGCGCCATCGGACCCGCACGCGTCTTCGGCAACAAGGACAATGCAATCTACTCCCCCGTCCAGTGGGGCTTCCTCGCCGGCGCCCTCCTCCCCGTCATCTTCTGGTACGCCTCCAAACGATTCCCAAACATCGGCTGGCTCAAATCCGTCCACTGGCCCGTCCTCCTCGCCGCGACTTCCAACATGCCCCCAGCACTCCCCTACATGTACTCGAACGGTCTCTTCGTAGGCTTCATCTTTGCGTTCCTGTTGAGACGCTACAGATACGATTGGTGGTCGCGGTATAACTACTTGACGTCTGCGGCGTTGGATGCGGGTGTAGCAGTGGCTGGTTTGATGATTTTCTTTGCGGTCCAGTCCTGGGATGGAGCGTTCCCATTCTGGTGGGGAAACCCGGATGATACCAACCCGGATGCCAATGCTGGTGCCTTGGACCATTGTGCCCTTGGCGGTGCCCCTTACACTGGCAATAATTAGAGTTTGTTTTTTTTTGGCTAGTTCGTGCATGTGTAATAAATAAGAACTCTCACTTTTTTTTTCCGCTTGGCCATGCTAATTTTTCATATCGGCGGAGAATGTCTTGTCGGAGTTCTTTTCCTTCCCCTTCTGTCCTTCTGTTGCCCTGTCGAGAACGTAATCAAATCTGAAAGACAACAGGAAGACCGAGCAGGGTGAAATTGGACGATTGGGCTCCACGAGAAACTAAGAGAGCAAAGAACGCTGAGAAACGATAAGCACAAAAAAAAGAAACGGGATGCATAGGATTGATGTTTTTGCGCACAATGGCGTTTTTTATGAAATGTTTTCTAAATTACGGTGGATATGAACTTCAGGTGGAAAGTAGGGGGTGGGGGGGTTATAAATACAGAAACTAACGAGTTTAGTTGAAGACATCGCCGGCAGCAACACCGATCATATCAGCCTTGACCATCTCCTCAACGAGCTCGTCAAAGGTGACCTTGCGCTTCCAGCCGAGCTTCTCGTTGGCCTTGGCGGGCTGTCCCAAGAGGAGCTCGACCTCGGTGGGGCGGTAGTAAGCGGGGTCGACACGGACGCGGATGACACCGGCCTCATCGATACCGACCTCCTCCTCGGCAGAGCCCTCCCAGCGGATGGTCTTGCCAGCGGCCTTGAACGACTTCTCGACAAACTCACGGACAGTGTGCATCTCTCCGGTGGCGAGGACAAAGTCGTCAGCAGTCTCCTGCTGGAGCATGCGCCACATACCCTCGACGTAGTCGCGAGCGTGACCCCAATCACGCTTGGCGTCCATGTTTCCGAGGTAGAGGCACTCCTGCTTGCCGAGGTGGATGCCGGCAACAGCGCAAGTGATCTTGCGGGTGACGAAGGTGCGACCACGGCGGGGGGACTCGTGGTTGAACAAGATACCGTTGCAAGCGTACATGTTGTAAGCCTCACGGTAGTTGATGGTGATCCAGTAGGCGTACATCTTGGCAACACCATAGGGCGAGCGGGGGTAGAAGGGGGTGGTCTCGCTCTGGGGAACCTCGGCGACCTTTCCGTACAACTCGGAGGTGGAGGCCTGTTGATATCAATTAGCGTAAAAAGGGGGATGAAGCGTGACGTTAGGGATCAATTATGTGAGAGTTGCAGTTGCAAAGCCCATGCTTTTTCAAAAGGGGGTGGGTGTGGAAGTAGACGATTGTCAACTGAAATAAAAAGATAGTCGATTAAGACAAGAAGGTTACCTGGTAGAAGCGGACGAGGTGGGCAAGACCGCAGGTACGGATGGCATCGAGGAGACGGAGGGTTCCGACGGCATCGACATCAGCTGTGTACTCGGACATATCGAAGGAGACCTTGACGTGGGACTGGGCACCCAAGTTGTAGATCTCGGTGGGGAGGACCTTGGAGATGATGTGAACCAAGCAGGTAGAGTCAGTCAAATCACCGTGGTGAAGACGCATCTTGGGGTCTATTAGGGCGAAGAAAAGACAGAAAAAAAGAACTTGATTAGAATCTCCTTTTTCCTTCCGCTGCTCGATTTGCTTCCTATCGTTTTAAGAGCAGCCAAGCTGAAAGTAGTTGCTATTAACAAGAGCTCAATGGAGGGCGAACTTACTCTCATGGGCATCCTTGTAGAGATGCTCGATTCTGCCGGTGTTGAAGGAGGACGAGCGACGAATGATACCGTGGACCTGGTAACCCTTCTCGATCAAAAGCTCAGCGAGGTAGGAACCATCCTGACCGGTGATACCTAATTGTCGCGAAATAGAAGGGAAAGGTACAGAAGCAGAGTATTAGTTGACCTGTATGTGTGCGAAAGAGGACGACCCTCATCTCATCATCTTGCGAGATGATGACCAGCTGAAGAGACTCTCTCTCTCTCCTTCTCATCCTCCGTGAGAGTTCATCTCACGGCGAGGACGGAAGAAGACGAGGAGGGTTGGGACAGACTTGGCTCGTACCGGTGATGAGGGCAACCTTGCGCTTGCGGTAGTCCTCAGGGGACATGTTGACGACTTCGATGGGGGAGGACATGGCTGTGTGAGTGAGGTGGGTGTGAGGAAGGATGGAGGTGATGATGAAGAGAAAAAAAGAAAAAGGAAAAGCCCTGCGTCTAATATAATAGTGCCCTGTGAGGAGCAAGAATGAGAAAAGAAGGCCAGGGAACTTAGATCCAGTGGAACAAGCCACTGATGGTTGATTGGGCCAAAAATACATTCGACCAATCACCGTTCTTTGATGGTCTCTTCTTTTCTACTTGTGGTAAGGCGTTCGCGCTCCCCTGGAACAGCCAGACGTCTCCTCATTTGACGCCAAAAGTGAAGGGTCCCTCCCCTTCCCTCACTTTGCTGCTGCTGCTCTTTCCCGTTCGTCTATTGACTGCACGCGCTTGATTATTCGCACTCCAGGCTGGCACCCGCACCCACCTGGACTTGCTGATACTCATCAGAAATTCCCGCTCGATGAAACCTGGCTGCTTCGCTCTGCACATCTTTTTTTATCTTTTTTATCTTTTTTTACCTTTTTCTACCTTTTTTTACCTTTTCTTTCTTCTCTTTTGCCAGTCCATGGACTTGGCGGTACCACTATCTCCTCTATCCTACCCTGCCCGCTGCTCAATTATCAACTAACAACCGCTCGTCTATCTCTCCCAAGTGGTAAGAAACACGGCATACAGACGATGTGGACCTCTTTCTGCATTGTACCTTATCTAAATGGTTAAAAACGGCACATGCCTGTGGGGATCTACTTGTCTTGCCAACTGGCCTAGTCGTGTAACCTGAGAGCACTTTTGTGTTTTCCACTTTGTGTACGAAGAAAACAAGCGTGCGGACTCTCACTCTCTCTCTTTGTACGTTTTCTCATTCTTGGTGGCGATGAGCAGGAGGAGGTAGGGAGGGCGGGACACCAGCCAGCTTCTTGTCTGGAATCGCCTGTCAGTTCAGTCCACTACGCCTTTATGCGCCCTTTGGACCCTTGAACCTTTTCTCTGTCATGCTCATAATCCATCCGATATGGGCTATTCATGCGATATTGTTGACAATGAAAAAGTAACAAAATGGTAGGTGTGATGACCTAGATTCCCCTCCTTGTCGAACAAGCAAAAAATAATAAAATTGAACCAATTGCCCACGTTCCTGGATGGTAGGTGGATACAAAGATCATCTGGGCAATTGTTGGGTAAAAGCTGCCTTTGTTTTTACTTAACCTTCAGCATGCGAACCATAGGACAGCGGGTTCGGCGTTACACACTTTGTTTTTTTTTATTTGTCAAGGAACTCCAAACTGCCTTTTGGTGCGAATGGGGATGGAAACTCACTGCGCGTGAAAGGGTCAAGGTCGCGGTTTGGGATCAAAGGAGTGTCTCCCTTTTTCCTGGCCCCCCTTGATGGGAGAAAAAGAAGATAACGAAGAGAAGATAGAAATAAGGGAGATATCGATACTTAAGAGAATTCCACGACAATTGTTCTTTCTCTCTTTCACCTCTTTCTCTTTCTCTTTTTTCCTTGCCTCGTTCAATCCACCCACTCACCAACACACCTCGCAGAAATACCTATCACGCACAACCTCTCAGAAAGATGACAGAAATCATGGACCTATCTACCTTTCTGTCGCGGTACCTTGGGCTTCTCCTCGCCTGTTGCGGTTTCCACCTAACATACTTTCAACTCTTCCGGCACTTTGCTCCGTCAATCGCCAAGGATCGAAAGCGCCTCGCATGGGTCCTCACCTTCACCACCGCATTCTTTGTCTCCGTCATAGCACCCTTCTACACCTGGGGTGGCATGCACACCATCTTTTCGTCGCCCACTCTGCTGGATACACGACATCCTGGGCTCTTGGGCAACAACCTCAACCACAACCGCATCAACAATGGTGGTCACCACCTCTTTTCTGTGGAGTTCAACAGTAACGATGTTGCAGGTCTTGGACAGTATAGCCAGGAGATGAAGGGAGAGCAGCCTACTGTTATGACGATGGATCCTTCCTTCTTTGGAATGCAGAAGAAGGCAGAGGGATCAATGGCACAGAAGGAAGACGATGAGCAGCAACACGGTAGTAAGGAGGAGGAGTGGATTAGGGACGGAACCCATCAGGCCATTACGGAAGACGCCGGAGATAAAAGCCCACAGTCACCACCACTTCGCAACGAACGGGATCAAGGAAAGCGACAATTCCGCCTGCTCTTTGACCTGCGCTTCACCCCAGACGACAACGAGGGCACCATTGCACTAGTCGTATTCTTTATGGCTTATCTGATCATGGACATCACCCTGGGTCTCTTGTACTACCAAGAACAAGTGACACTCCTGGCAGGATGGCTCCACCACACCGCTTATATCGGCATCACCTACTATGCGGTCACCCAAGGAGAGACGTTCACTTATGCCATGTTCTTCCCCATGGAAGGTAAGCATTGGATTTGTAGAGATGACATATTGGATGCGGCGTGAGAAGGAGAGAATGAAAAGAATTCGTTTCATTGGAGGCAAGGGGTATTATTTTCATGCCAGTCCTGACAAGAACTGGCCCCCTACTTCCTCAGGGGTATGAGGATGAGTGATTTGAGAAAACAACCAAGAGAAACATTCCATTAACAAGGTCATATATTGTGTCCCTCCTCCCAATCGTATTAGTACCAACAATCGTCGTTGGAGTAGGATGTCTGGACAAGAGTCTCCGTCGTGACATGCTCTATGGGTTCTCGTTCATCATTTTCAGGTTCCTGTTCGACATTTCGCTCACTCATGAAGTCGTCTGGAACCGAGAACGCGAGATGACAACCACTCTCAAGACCATCCTAATCTTCAAGTCGCTCATGAACCTCAAGTTCCTCCAGGGCTGGATCTCGCAGCAGAAGCGTCTTGCACGCCAACGACGCGCTGAGGCTGCTGCCAAGGCCTCTGCTTCGATGGTGGTGGAGGCGAGCATCGCTGCCGATACTGCTGCTGTTGGTGAGAATAAGATTACATCGATCACTGCTCCAGCCATCACATTTTGCAAGTCTATGAATGTCCAGCGCGAAGAGAATTGTACATCCATTGAGTTCAGTTCGAGGCGGAGGGTCAGGGTCCGGAGCAAGGGAATCAAAAAGGTTGATTTGGTGGATACGCAGCCCATGATTGCCGTCTATTGAACGCCATTGTTATTACTTGTCCATAAATCGTATTTTTCAGAGATTGCTTGGTGGCGCATGGGTTTGAGTAGAGACGTGTTGAGCAACGCAGGCGAAGTTAATAGTAGGGTATTCAACAGCAGTCACCAGCTACATGTCATTGTACACCGGAAAAAGAGCAAACGGGCACCACCTTTCTTCTTTGTTCCAGTCAACCCACTCCACAACAAACCGCAGCATAAATCACAACCGTAACCACCATGAGTTCGCAGACAGCAGCAAAACCCGACACCAAACCAACCTCACCATCATCAACAACAACTACCACAGTCGCAAAAACAACAGGATCAGGAGGATCGACAACCGCCCTCACTCGAACCCGCCCAGTCTACAAATCAAACATCCCCGCTCCTGCACCGCAAGTCATTCTAGAGGAAGATGACTACATCGAGGCCCTCAGCAAGATCATCGAGCGCGACTTCTTTCCTGACCTCGCTCGACTCAAACGACAGCATGCCTACTTGGACGCCGTCGAACAGAATGACTCGGAGCGCATTCAGGCTGCTGCGAAGGAGCTTGCAGGAAACGACACTCCACTTGCAAAGAGACGGCTGAAGACACCAGGTGAGGACAACGAAGGTTCTTTCACGAACGCTACGCCAATTGCCTTTACTGACAAAAGCAACAAGTATCTAACCACTGTCAGTTTGAAATCGTTTACTCCAATAGCCCGAACGCCAAGATTCGATCGCGCAGGACTGCCTAATGAATCATGGACGCCAGCCCGTTTGGACGGAGCACAGGCAACACCTTCGTGGGGCGACCACGAGCCACCCACCCCAGCATTTCTAGGACCCATTGATACACCCATGGCGGAGACACCATCACAGAGCAATTTGAAGAGCAAGAGTGAGGAGGATACGGCCCAGGATGCCATTGACACAACATTATCACTGGACCAGTTTCAGATGCGATACACCAGCGAGGACAACGCATCATTCGACGAGATCATCGAAAAGATCAACGCCCAGAAGAAGGAAAAGTTCAAGTGGCTGTACGACCTGGAGAAAAAGAGTATACGACTCCTGGAGAACGGCAACAACAACCAGGAACAGAGATTGTTGCGGGAGGCTGGAGAGACTGGCGAGGGCAGCAGTAGCAGTCAGGCCCTTGTTCACGTTGGAGATGGCAGCAAGCAGGACGGTCCATCCAAACTCGAATTGGCTCTGGCCGACAATCGTTCCGGAGTGATCTCGACTTGGGAATACAAGGTGAGCATCTCATACATTGTTGTTTGGTCACCACTGCTGTTACTTTGACTTGGCTATTATTTCTTGAGTACTAATTTTTTGAGTCTCCTGTATGACGAAATACTAATGATAGAAGTCTATTGCTTACTGTTGAACATTTAGGCCAAGAATTCGTTGATGTACGCTCCCGAAGGTCTTGGAACAAACCTGGACGAGAAGTCGATCCGTGGCAACCCAAAGGAGATCGTTCACAGGAACACCAGCTTCCAGGGACAGGATTTGTTGATAGTCAACCAAACAGCAGCAGCAAAGTTTGACCCGGCACCATGTAGGCTTTCGCGTTTTCCGTGTCATTCCAGTATATATTTCGTGGTTTTTGATTAATGGTGGGCCAAAACATTTACCTGCTCTAATTTTGTTATTTTTGATGACATTAGATATGAAAGGCAACAGTGTCACGGACACGCCCAAGGTTGCAGGGTTCAGTTTTGTCTCTTCAACACCCTCGCCAAGTATGTCCACGATTGGAGACGACCCAGAAATGATGACATGGGGGACCATCGAGGATGAGCCACTGTTGATCAGCTCAGGAGTACAATCATCAGGACCATCGCCTTTCAAGCTGCCGCCAACCCCTCGCCGTGAACTCATTGCTCAAAAGTTGTCCGAGAAGGCGTCCAAGAGCTTCAGAGCGGGCTCGTCATTACGCGCCAAAGTATTTGCTTCTCCATCGGCTTCTGCACTCGCCCAGTACCGGGAATCCATGGGCGGTACGACCCCGACACCTCGATTCAACTCACCATACGGAGTCACGTCACCAGCGCCATATAACAAGACGCCAGGAGGACCGAGTTCACAGCCGACTCGCTTGGGCAGTCCCAACCCCAGAGCCAGAGCAGAGATGTTGTCACCAGCAGCCAGAAGCTTACTGGACAAGACACGAAGCAAGCGTGGTACCGACCACCAGCAGCTTCGCTCTTCATACGGAAACGCAACTCCAGGTAGCAGCAGCACTCTCCGACAGGGATCAGTCACCCCATCGCCTCTTACAAAACGCTGATGTGTGCGAGAAGGGCCAAGACGATCTCTCATGAGAGTAAAAAAATAAAACCAAAAATCTTGATCAGTCAACTCTTTGAGTCTCTTTTGTCATCTCATCTTTTCTCACTTCCTCACTTCTCCACACCTCTCTCACATCCGCCAACCTCATAAACAGAATACCATCCTGCTCTTACCATGCTCGAGCACATTCATTGCAACAAGTGTTTCCGGTTAGACCCCGTCAAAGACGTCCCTTACTGGCTCACAAACTGTGGTCACATCATTTGTCAACAGTGTCTTGATCGAGCTCAAACGAAGGAAGGGAAGAAACGAACGGCAGGACCTGACGGTGACGACAGACAAGCTCAAGAAAATAATAGTACGAACGAGGACAATGTATTCTTTGCTGCAAACTTGTTGCACCTGAACTCAAAAATGGAGGTGCTAATTAGTCGGAAGGCGGTTAAACTCACTGTGCATGTTTTTGCCACCAATTTATTGTTAGATGGCTCAGAATCGATCTGTGCGATCTGCAAGAAACCTTGCGAGTGTATCAATATCCCCGAGAACGTGGTAACGATATGAATAGAGTGCTTCATAGAGCGGCCATGCTGCCGTAGGTCTATGTGATATACCTGCTGATCCCTGGTTTGATGTCCTGTTTTGCTATCTTTTTAGAATGATCTTCCACAAGCCATCCAGCCCTTTTTTCAACCGCTTGCGATTCTTTGCAACTCAACCCTCGACACATGGAAGGCACTTGAAATATTTATCTCTGTTTTCCAAAGGGCAAGACATGACCGTGATCTTGGAATATATTGTTGACAGCTTCCCCATCTCTCTACAAAATGACCATTAGTTTCAGGAACAGAACTTCACGAAGCTGATCAACCATCTGCAGGCCAGGACAAAGAGGCAAAACGAGGTTCTGATGAAGGCTCGCACTGAGTTGTTGAACATGAAGGCTATGAAGAGGTAATAGCCTGTGGTTACGCGAGTGCATGATGGTAACTTTTCACTCTTTTTTTTTCTACTAATGTGGAGCTTTGTTCGTCGTTCTTAGTGAGAACCAGACACTCAAAGAAGAGAACGAGAAGCTCAAACTGCAGATACAGGAACTACAGAGGCATCAGAGCGGTAGTGGCGGTAATGGTGGTCATGGAAGCGGTGCTCCTATCACGCCGGTAACGCCTCAGATCAGAGTGATGAACCCACCTGCAGACCGCGTTCAACCTCTGACCTCTTCGCGCGACAACCAACGACTGTCTGGTCGCGAAAAGCCAGCCATAGCCAAGAAAGCGCACGAACCTCCGCCAAATCCTCGTGCTGAAGGAGGTGATGCGGGAGGGAATCTCAAAAGGTGTACCTTTTCTCTCCCATGCCATCGATTCCTTTTTGTGCCTGATTACCATTTCCTCCCCTTTCACACTAACCACGCCCATTCTTTCTTTTTTTCCCCAGAGCGCGTTCAACGACGTCGAATGTTGGTAATACTATGCATGCAGGTCGACCGGTAATTCAACATATTGATATTACATATACGCAAACAACATCGGCTGTCTAAAACCTGATGTGGTTTTAAACAATATCATATTTCAATGTACGCTACATTCTGTTTTTAGAATGTGACGCCTCGTCCGCCTCCGGCTACCGGACGAATCTCACTGGTACCCCACCAACAACTTGGCTTCATGTCACCACGGTTGACATTGACACACCAACTAAACGACGTAATTCAGTCACCAAGAAGGCCACCATCTGTCCATGCTGTGCATCAGATTGCTCAGCCACGATATCCGAACGCAAGTGCGACCACTCCGCGTCTTTTAGGCGTCGGTCTCCAGCAAGCTCCTGGTCTTGGAGATCATATCGCTGCTGTTCCTGGCGTGCACAATGGATATGGATACAAAATGGCGCCAGTGCCGGTGCAGGGGTTGAATCAGGGGCATGTTTACCCGACAGCGCAACCTTCGTGGCCGTCAACGTCTGGTTTGCCGCAGGCTGGTATGGGATATCAGGTGATACTAGGCGCGGGGCAGGCACATAGTGGTGGCGTGATGGCGCATGATCCTTTGATCCGAATGCGGGGCGCGGCATCCGCGGCGAGGACTACTTGGCAACAACAACAGCAGCAGCAACAACAACAACAACAACAACAACAACAGCAGCAACAACTGCGATTACAACAGCAGCAGCAACTTCAGCAGCCACAGTACGGGTACCCAAGGGCTCCGAAATCAGCAGTACCGCACCCTGTCGTACCAAGGACGCATTATGGATAGGGTTGATTCAAGGTACTATTCGTTTTTGCGAATCGCAGTTTATCAAGCGAAACAATAGAGCACGCGTTCGTCTTTTTTACTTGGTACGTTTTAATTTGAAGATAAGAAAAAATGGTATGGGTGAAGATTTTTAACGGAGCTCGACCTTCATGCGGTTGACGACTTCGTCGCGGAGCTTCTCCTGGAGCACGTTGATCTCGTCGTTGGTGACATTGCGGTCCATAGAGCGGTAGTTGATTCTGTAGCACATGCTGCGCTTCTTGGTCTTTGGGTGCGTGAATTCGTCGATCTAATTACAAGATAAGGGAAGAATAGACAACTGTTAGCGGAGGAGGATCGAGATATCATCTTCCTTGCTTCAATGAACCATCAAGACCAAGAGGTAAGACATACCAGTTGGACGTCCTCGACAATATCACCGGCGATATCTCGGACGATCTCACAAAAGTTGTTCTCATGGAACTGATCATTCGACCAGAACGAGATATCCTTGATACAGGCAGGGTACTTTGAAAAAGGCTTAAACTTTTGAATAGTACCAGGCTCAAACTGCTTCAGAAAACGGTCATCCTTGGACCAGAACAGACGGATGTCGGGGATACCAAACAACACCAAAGCCAGACGCTCAAGACCCAATCCAAAAGCCCATCCGATTTTGTCGGGCTTGCCAGCATTGACCAGGATATCCTGACGAATGACTCCACAGCCAAGGACCTCGAGCCATTTGCCCTGGTAGAGAATTTCCATCTCCCAACTGGGGGATGTGAAAGGGAACTGGGCGTCGATCCAGCGGACTTGGAGGTCCTTTTCGTGAGAGAAGAGTTTGCGGACCATCATGTTGAGAGAGTGCTTGAGGTGATCGGCGGTGGCCAGCATGGCGGCCTCGTCGTGACAGTCCTGCTTGGGGTTCTCGGGGGTGATCAATGTGGTGTCGGTGGTGTGGATGGATCCAGAGGCTGCAGAGGTGGATTGGGCAATGTCTTTACGGATCACATCGACGGCAGTCTTGGCGTCGAACAACTGTGCGCCCTCCATCTGGTGAAAGACAGGGTAATGGCTGGCATCAATTTCGTCTCTCCGGTAGACATCAGCAGTGACGAGGATCTTGTCCGACTCGGTCATGACCCGCAACTGGTGGGCCGAGGTATGTGTCCTCAACATGATCTTCTCGTTCAAGTAGTAAGTATCCGTGACAGCGCGTCCAGGGTGATCATCCGAGAAGCAGAGATCATCAAAGTTCTCCTTGGTAGTAACAACGGGCGAGAAGGTATCGTAGTGTTTGAAGCCAGGGAATCCTGAGGCGATGAGTTCCTTGATGATGGCGACAGGGTGCTTAGGGTTGAGGTGCAGCTGGCGGGTGGTTTTTTCGAGGATGGTGGGGGTGACGTTGGTGTATTTGTCGGAGGGGTAAGTCTTTCCCCCGACTGTGATGTTTTCTGAGGTGATCACTGGTGTCTCCTTCATCGGGTTCGATCCTATCGATGTGGAAAAATCGTAATTAATTAGATGAAAACGCGTCGTTTGAAGTGTGGGTCCAGTGGTATTGGATGTTTTCACGTAGAAATTGAGTCTTCCTCTTATCAAAACTTTCGATCCGCGATCTAATTGCTCATACCTGCTTCAGACGTCAATCGAAGGGGCGTGGTATGGAAAGCAGCAGTGAGGGTAGGGCGAAGGGTGCGCTGCAGAACAGCCCTGGCGCTCCTGCCGGTGGTGCTTGAAAGCATTGCCCTGATAGTTGGCGTGGCTGTTGCCGAGCGGAGTGCACGACTGCCCTGAGTTGCAGCTCTGAACATTCCTGAGGACATTGTCGGTCGATGTTGAAATGAATGAAGAATGAAAAGAAGGTTGATCAGCTTGCCCTCCTTGTACTTTCTTCTTTCCCGGCCACTTCTCGGGCTCAACCATCCAACGATGAAGCAGTCACCCTGAAGTCGTTTTTTCACCATTTTCGTCAAGCTCAGCCACTTCCCGGGAGCAACTAGCGCGCTTAGAACAATGCTCAGCTTGGAGGTTGTCACTCTTGTCATTGCACTTTCACTTTTAAGACCCACCAACCAGACGATGCAACGTGCCATGATGCCCTTCCCGAGGGCAGTCCTCCGCAGAACCACCCTCGGAGCCATGCCCCTTCGCCACACTGCTACCACCACTACGGCCACACATGTCCGCTCTTCATTGCTTTTACAGCGCAACTTTCACGCTTCGAGACAGCGCTTTGCTCAAGAGACCTCAAGCAAGGAGTCCTACGGCAGTACGTTATCATTTTATTGAACATAGGCGAAGACACGCCTAGAGAACATGCAATGAAGTTTTATTCTCACAACAGCAGAAATTAATTCTTTATTCTGTTTTTTTCGGTATGTGAATAGCTCGCGTGCGGAAGGCGTGGGAGGATACACCAATTAAGTGGTCGCCTATCCCTATTGGACTGGGCCTTGCCTTTATCACCTTCCTGCAGTATAGCAAGATTATCAAGCGCGAGTCCGAAAAGAACCATGACCCATCAAAGGCCCTCATCGTCGGGCCATGGCATGTAAGTCCTGGTATTAATTGAACGATATACAATCAACGTTGTCATTATTAACACTGCAATCTCACAACGAACTTGCTTCTTATGTTCTGCCCATAGGTTCATGTGATTAGCGAGTTACCATTGAAGACGATATCGAGACTTTGGGGTGCTTTCAACAGAATTACGTTACCCATGTGGTTCCGTGTTCCAGGATTCAAATTGTACAGCTGGATTTTTGGATGCAACCTGGAGGAGATGAAGGACCCTGATTTGACACACTACAAGAACCTGAGCGAGTTTTTCTACCGTGAATTGAAGGATGGCGCCCGCCCTATCAATTTCGATGCTGCCTTAGTAAGGACCTCGCTTAAAGTGGCGATGAATGTCTTGGCATGCTTGTGCTCTATCTATTACGGGGCGAATTAGTTGACCGCTTTAATTGATAACCTATATGTAATAGGTATCCCCCTCCGATGGAAGAGTGTTCCATTTCGGATTAGTGGATGGCTCAAGAGTGGAGCAGATCAAGGGCATGTCGTATTCATTGGACCAATTTCTGGGATCGCAGAAGGCTGGCGAGGCCGCAGAGATCATCAAAGCTACTCACTCTGCCAACATTGTCGACGAAGAGGAATTCGCCGAGGTCAACGGAATCAGTTACACACTGGACAGCCTTTTGGGCCATGATAAGCAGACAACTATTGAACACAAGAAACAAGACTCGCAGGGAAATGTCGTGCCCGACATTGAGGCCGATCAAAAATCAAAGACGGGTGAATACGCGGAAGAGTTGCGGTTGCGTCCAGGAAACGCGCTCTTCTTCTGTGTCATCTACCTTGCCCCCGGAGACTACCATCGTTTCCATTCACCTACCAACTGGGTTGCAGAGACCAGACGTCACTTCTCGGGAGAGCTCTACTCGGTCTCACCCTGGATGGTGAAGCAGTTGCAGGATCTGTTTGTGTTGAACGAGCGTGTGGTCTTGTTGGGCAAGTGGCGTCATGGATTCTTCTCCATGGTTCCCGTTGGAGCTACTAACGTCGGAAGCATCGTCCTCAACTTTGACAAGGTAAGATTTATCAATTGCAATTGATAGTTTGGTGCCCGTCTCTTTGAGATTTGTTGCCGTGGCTGGATGCTAATCTTTACGTTTGATTGTCACATCGTAACCGTAGGAACTTCGCACGAACCGCAGGGAGGATGTCCATCACCGTGGACAGGGAGAATTGGTGTACAGCGGTGTGAGCCGCTTGTTGAACGGCCAGCCCTTGCATGTTGGAGAGGAGATGGGCGGCTTCAAGCTTGGATCGACTGTTGTCCTTGTCTTTGAGGCGCCTGAGAACTTCAAGTTTATGATCGAGCCCGGCCAATATGTCAAGATGGGCCAGCCTCTAGGTCAGATCGAATAATAAAACGACCTACCCTTAAGCATTATTTCTTGAGTTCACAATGGCAATCGAATTATCGACTGCCAGCGGTTTGGGCTCCACGGCTCATCATTCTTCACCTCCATCCACTTCTACTTTTTCACATCTACATCACACATGGCGGCGACATCATGGCCGGAGGAGGCCATCAAGTGGTTCTCTTTAACGTTTATCGGACTCTCCGTCACGGTCCTTCTCGGATACACCGTCGTTATGTCGTACTTCAATTCCAAGATAGCCGGCGGCTTTATGAGGAACCGGGATCGTACCTTTGAGGAGCTCTATCAGGAAAGGAAGAAGAACAAGGCGACGACGACGACGGCTGAGGGAAGCTCGAGCAAGGACGCTGAGGGTGTCAATGACAAGGAGAAGGAGTATGGCGAGAAGAATGCTCCTTATCTTATTGCGGGATTCTTTCATCCCTACTGGTATGCGCATCGATGCTCTCCTGTTCGTTGTTGATGATGTTCCCAAGAGGACTTGAATATCAATTGAGTAAAACTGCGTTAGCTGACTCCATATTTTTTTTACGTTTTCTTCTTCAAATAGTAACGCAGGAGGCGGAGGAGAGCGTGTACTCTGGACGGCGATCAGAGATATTCAACAAAAGTACCCCCATGTGGTCTCGGTAGTCTACACTGGCGACACAGATGTCAACAAGCAGGATATCCTGGAAAGAGTTCGGACTCGATTCAACATTGACTTGGACCCTTCCCTCGTTGGGTTCGAGTTTCTGAAGAAACGGTTCTGGGTTGAGGATGCGAAATGGCCTCGGTTTACGTTGATTGGGCAGAGTATTGGGTCGATGGTTTTGGGGTGGGAGGCGCTGCAGTGTGTTGTTCCTGATATCTGGATCGGTAAGTGAAGGGAAAGGTGTGACGAGCAAGTTTTTCGGAGGGATGAAACAGAGCCTACTCTTAACACTTTTCTACAATGACACACAACATAGATACGATGGGATACGCATTCACGTACCCAGCGGCCAGGTTGTTTGGAGGATGCCAAGTGGTCGCCTATGTTCACTACCCATCCATCAGCTCAGACATGATCGGACGAGTCGCCAGTCGCGAGAGCGGCCACAACAACGCCAATGAAGTCGCCAAATCCTCGTTCTACACCATCCTAAAACTCGTTTACTACCGTCTCTTTGCTCTGATCTACGCCCTCGTCGGGAAATTTTGTCATACAGTCATGACCAACTCTTCATGGACAAAGGGACATATCGACTCGCTCTGGGGAATCAAGTCAACAGTAGTTTACCCACCTTGTGACACTGAGGCGTTCAAGGATTTCCCATTGCGTGATCGAGAGAGAATTGTGGTCAGCGTGGCCCAGTTCCGTCCTGAGAAGGGACATGCGTTGCAGTTGGATGCTATGGCGCAGTTGTTGAAGGATCATCCTGAATATCGTCAGAAAACTGGTGGATTGGAGAAGAACCCCAAGGCGGTGCAGCTGGTTATGGTTGGAAGTGCCCGTAATGAGTCGGATACTAACAGGATCAAGCAATTGAAGGAGAAGGCTTCCCAGCTCGGTATTACGGTATGTAGAAGGAACTTTTTGGCAGGGTCTTTGTTCAGTGGCAAATGGATGCTCTATAGTTGAGAGATACTAACTTTTACACTTTTGGTTAAACGATCTAGGACAATGTCACGTTTGTTGTCAACGCTCCTTTCAGCGAGCTCCAGGCTTGGTTGGCACGTTCCAAGATTGGAATCCACGCCATGTTGGACGAGCACTTTGGCATTGGTGTTGTAGAATACATGGTACGTTGGCCCGTTTTTCTGCACTACACGTTTTGTTTACTAAATAATTGACGAGCAATGTCATAACCGGAATGCTTCTGTATTCTAATTCTACGACTTGACAGGCTGCGGGATTGGTTCCAGTGGCGCATAACTCGGCGGGCCCCAAGATGGACATTGTGCAACCTTACAACAACGAGCCCACCGGATACTTGGCCTCGACGCCTCAGGAATTTGCAGATGCGATTGAGAAGGTATTGTCTGCCGGAGACTCGACCTTGGATATGCAACTCCGTGCCCGGGACAGTGTTCAAGAACGGTTCTCGGAAAAGGTCTTTGAAGAGGGGCTCCAGAAGTGTCTCCATGAGGCCCTTTCGCGTGAGGCGATTACTATCTATGGACGGTATATGCTTGATCCTCCAGAGGGCGGGTGGCCTTCTGTGGTTGAAGAGGACAAAAAGGGGAAAAAGGACAAGTAGACATAAAAGTATAAAACCCAATACACTTTTTCACTTTTCTTTGCACTAACTACACGTGATGTGAGGATCACCACTGTCTTTTTGAATTGTTGGTCCCTGAGACAGTTGCCAGTGTGATCAACTCTTTCCTTTCCTTCAATTTTCCACAACTCCTCCTCAGCCCTTCCACCTTCTACTATACAACAACATGGCTCCACCTCCACCTCCTCCACCACCTCCCCCAGGCGGCGGTCCCCCTCCCCCTCCTCCTCCTCCCAGCGGCGGCGGCGCTCCTACTGCTCTCCCACCAACAGCCTCCAAAGACAGAAACGCACTCCTATCACAGATCCAAAGTGGAGCCCGACTCAAGAAGGCCACTACCAACGATCGCTCTGCTCCTGCTGTCTGTATGCCCTCTTCTCTTTCGTCTTTGGAACTTTATTTGTGACGCATGCAAGGCAGGCGGTAGCATCCTTGTTTGTTGTGGAGGAGAACTAACGTCGTATGGATTTATTTATTTTTTGAAACACAGCAACGCCAAAGTCTAGTGTTGGTGGCGCTGGAGCGTTACCGAGACCGCCTGCAATAGGCGGCATTGCAGCACCGACAGCAGGAGCAGGAGCAGGAGCAGCAGGAGGAGGAGCTCCGCAACTTGGAGGGCTCTTTGCTGGAGGCATGCCGAAGCTCAAGAGTCGAAGCGGCGGATTGGACACTGGAGGTAGGTCGAACTTTTGGGCAACACACCCATTCGCCTCACTTCATTAAACAGGAAACACAACCCTGAGACCTAGGGCAGCGTGACGAATGAGCAGAGGGGAGTCGCAATTCGCATTTTGGGAAAGAACTGACAGCCCACCTCCATCCCATTCACAAAAAGATCATTCAACCACCCCCTTCACCCCACCACTTTTTCATCTTTGCCATTGCAACCAAAGGAAAAAATGAAGCGCAAAAAGGGAGGAGGTTATCTGTCGCCCCGTCACGAGTTTGAGCTGGTTGTACAGTACACCGTTCGTCAGCTAGTCTTGAGCTCGCTTTTTTTACTGTCTGTCTGTCCGTCCCCTTTATCTTTTGATCACAGAGTGGGACGGATGACAGCTACCCCCTCTTTTTTCTGTCTCTCCCCTTGGATACATGGTGGACTGACTTTCTTTTATCTTGTTATCGCATATATAGCTGACCATGGTACAAGTTACGGTTCAAGCAATCATGGAACACCCGCAAGAGAACTCCCCAAACCAACAGATCACAGTGCAGGAAAACCAGTAACACCCACCAGAACACCGCCACCACCCGCTCGCCAGACACCCATGACCCCAACACCCTCAGCCTCAGCTGCACCCTCCCTCCCAAACAGAAATTCGTCAGGCAGATCGGTCCCTGCTCCACCTAATGGCTCCTCTTCCTCAGGAAGCGCTCCTGGAGGGGCAGTTCCACCAGCACCTGAACGAACATCCTTTTTTGCGACTCCCGCAAATCTTTCAAGGCCTCCAGCACCGCCATCACGAAAGACAGGAGGAGTACCTCCTCCACCTCCCTCTAGAACCAACGGATCATCGCCTGCTCCTCCTGCGACGCCTTCTCGACCAACACCAGGACTACCTAACCGGGCACCGCCTCAACAACCAGTACGAGCCTCACCGCTACGTCCTCCTGCTGCCAATGGATTGCCGTCGCCCATTGTCACTGTTACCCCACCCAACAGGACCCGTCCTCCACCTACCGCCCCTGTTGCTACACCACCTGTATTCCCTGGAGCAGGCGGCAGACCTCGATCTGGATCTGCACCTCAACGACCTATAACCACCGCCATCAAAGCACGTACGTTCCACTCTTCCCCCTCGATTACAGTTTACCCCATTTCACACTTTGAATCTACCCTTTCTCTGATTCATGATCATGTTCTGACACCGTCTTTATTTTCTCCTGTGGATATGAAATAGCGGAACCACCAACCACAGAAGGTCGATGGACATTTAGAGCCGCCTCTGATTTCCCAGCTCCCATGTCGTTTCAGGAACATGGACCCAAAATATACCCCAGTGGCAACTCTTCAGGGAGCGGTACGTGTTCTTTCTTCATTGACTTTCGATACCTTGTGAACCAAGCAAGGAATTCGAACTACTAAAGACTCACCAGTACGCGCTTTGTTTCCCCTCGTTTTTTATGAAATTAGCCATTCCTCTGGATTTGACTGCGTTGGCTGGCGTCGCAGCAGGTCGAGTCCCACCCCCACCTCCTATCAATGGTGGCTTCCGCTAAGTCTATAGTTTTGTTCGGCCCATTAAAATCACCATGTATGATATCCTCTCAAAATGCTGTTTTGTTCCTCGGTCAGTCTTTATTGAAGGTGTTCAGGAGTGTATTTGTATAAGTATTTCGGTATATATATATTGAGGACTCGGTTCGTTCACTTGAATTCATCAGGGCCATGTCGATCGCTCGGTCAGTACTGGGAGGCAGAGGTCGCGCAATAGTCGGGAGTGCTAGGACCGGCATTGATACACTGGTAGGGACAGGGACCGAGGTTGACGCCGTAGGATCCAATAAAGTAGTACAGGCTGTTTCGGACGTACTCGCCTTGTGGAGGGCGACCTCCTCCTCCTCCACCACCACCACCATGTCCACCGCCATACGCGCTGGTGGAACCACCAAAGGCACTCAAGTTGTCCTGACCACCACGACCATCACCTCCACCACCTCCGCCGTGCTGGGCGTTCAGCGTCTTGCCGCAATATAATCCACTCCCCGAGGGGAGACGCTCAGGAACCTTGGCAGGTCCACCGCCTACACAATAGTTCTGCTGACAATCGCCCTGTGGGCAGGAGGCGATCCGGACGGCGTTGGCGTTAGAGGATGGGCAGATGAATTGGTCGGCTTGCACGTTTCCGCCAAGTGCTCCTGGGCCGGGGATGCCTCCACGGTATTGAGGGTTCGGGGAGGTGTTGGGGGAAGCAAAGACAACGGTGCTTTTACAGAAGAAACCTGGGCTTGTGCATTGGACTGGCTGTGGGTCAGGGCGTCTTGCTGCAGGGATTGAACCGGCCTTGGTGCTGATGTCGTTTGAGAATGCGGAGACTGCACCTAAGATGGAGCAGAGGAGTCCGAGGGTGAGGGAGCGGTTGAGGATCATGGTTGGGTGTTGTGAGTGTGTTGACAGGTCTGATTGGGAGAGAGAGAGAAGAATATCGTTTTGGTGGCCGAGGCTCAAGGCTGAGGGTTCATTTTATACTTTGACAGGGAGCAAAGTTGATGGGAATACAACAAGAAGTGATGGTTACTTATGATGAGTATCTATGATGAGTGTCATCGCGCGTTTTTTTATTCCCCGGTACCAGCCAAAAGAGAATATCAGGATGTTCTATGCTACTATTACTCTCGCTGCGTCCCATACACCAGCTTATACGAAGTAGTTGTCATGATGAAGAGGGAAGAAGGAAGAGGTGAGGGAAGAGTGGTGCCGTTTGAATTAGGCGGCTCCCTGGGTAGCAAACAGCATCTGAGATCTCCTGGCCGCGACGGCATCTAGTTGTCTTTGCAGGTTGGCAATCTGACCCTTCAAGACCGCGATACCTTTCTCTGTTTGGGCTAATAAAAAGAAGGACAATCAACGAATTCGGAGGAATGCATAGTGTTAGGCATAAATTTCGCTGTTCGAAAAGACATCGGAGACATCGATTCGGAACTGATTTTTTACACCAAAAAGGGAGAAGTAGATTTTAATTTTATGCGACGAGATGTGTTACCTTTGAGCTCGGCGTTGGCTTTGGCAGCCGCGGCGGCGGCAGCCTTTGCGGCTACTACGACATAATCGCGGTGGTAGGTTTCTTTCCCGGTGCGCCATTGGTGTTCCATGGCCCGGCATTCTGTCGTCAATTGGACCACCTCATTCTGCAAGTTTGGCCTATTTAGGTTTTTTTTTGTTGGAAGGATGACAAAAAAAGTGAGTTGAGTTTAGATTTTTAGATCGCGCGCATAAAAATATATATAATGACGCGTCCTGACCGCGTCGTTTGGGTGATGAAGAGAAGGACGGAAGAGAGAGAAGAAAAAACATACCGTTGGTTGTCGTTGATGTGGAGGAGGAGGAGCTGACGCTGCTTCTCGGTCAGCGCCTTGCGCGAGGTCATCAAAGCCTCCGTCGATCGCTCAAGCTAGCAAAAGAGAGACAAAAGAGAAAGGTCAGTCGAACATTCATACAATCATAGGTTGTCGATTTCATAAAAAATAGAGAGAAGCGGCATATTTACCTCAAGAAGAGCAGATCGCTCTTGTTCGAAACCAGGTTGACCCTGCTGGAGGTCCGCAAACCGGTCTCTGAAGTAAATGAGCTCGCCCGCGAGATCAAGTTGCATCAGTGCTGCCACTGGGCGGATCAGCGCCTCAGCCGAGAACTCTGGTTCCGATTGTTGTTGGAGTGTGTTGTAGCTGTTCTCGCCTTGGTGCTGGTGATAATTTTGGCCATCCTCTTCATGACGTTGTTCGTTGTACTGCTCCTGTTCCTCGTTTGCATAGTCGTTAACAGGTTCCTGAGACATTTCTGCGTACACATCGATATCATTTTCATACGCATCGGTTTGTGTTGCAGGAGGGGTGTCTTCAAAGTCGGCCTCTGCGTAGAAGGAGTTGGGTCTTTGGGACTGTGCTTCTTGAGACTCTGAAACAGGAACGGTGGGTTGTTCGGGTAAGGGCCTGGATGGCGAGTGGAGTGCAATTTGAGAGGTCAGACTCCGGATTGCGCTCGAGCTGCGTGGAGGAGGGATTGGAGCTGCTCTGTAGAGTGTGGGCTACAATACATAACGTTCAATACAGAAAGCAGAAAAGGTCAAAAATAGGGTCGAGAGTCATGTTGGAGCGATGTTTTGCGCTGGAAGAAAAATGTTTTAGTACCTGGAATGGAATGGGCTGCTCGAAGGTGTTCATGGTTGATATGCAAAGTTGTGAGGTTGCGCTGGCGTGGATGCGGTGTTGGTTGTAAGTAAATAAGAGTCGGCGAAATGCAAAAAGGAGGGAAAAGCTGGTTCGTTCCTTGTCTCTCCTTTTATGTAACCATGACCGCAAAGAAAGGAGGCAAAAACATGAAGGTGAAGAAAGGACTCCTTGAAAAGGTGAACAATGAGATAAGGCTACTCGGAGACACCATGGAAAGCTACCTTTGACAAAAAAAAAATAGACGAGAGAAGTGAGCCCGAGCAACACGCGAGAGCCAGGACGAGTATTATTTTCCTCCCCTTGGTTCTTTTTCGAAGGCTGCCTTTTTTTTCTTTTCTTTTTTGTTCCCTCCTTTTTTGTTCCCTCCTTTTTTGTTCCTATTTTCTCTAGACGACCAACTAGCGAAAAAGCTCTTGTTGGTGTTGGGAACGACGTCTTTACTGAAGTCCCTTGAATTTTTTTTCGCGGTGTTCAGTGAGTGCTGCAAAGGCTCTCACCATCAAGAGCAATAAAAGTGAAAACGACTAAACGAAAGTAGCTGAGAGGTGAAGTCATGAACGTGTTGTACGGTGTATCACTGTAGTCGTGTGGATAAGAACACAGACCATCTCGTTTTCTGCCTTGTGTAAGGCTCTTATTCGCGAGATTTCTTCATCTCTTCTTTTCTTTCTTTTTTTTCTCTAGCATTTTTTTTCTTGTCCTTCCTCGGGTGCCCTGCATTCAAAGGATGGAAGTCATGTGTGACACCGTGCTAGGTCAACCCTTGTTTCTACGACTACGACTTGCGCGAGAAAAGTAGGACGAGAACATTAACGTCTAGAGAGCGCAAAGGCGAAAAAAATAATCCGGCCAGTGTCTTGTCGATCGCTATCTACTGTACTAGAGCTTGCAAACAAATTTTGGTTGGTCTCATCAATTATGTCCTTCTACATCTGCTCTGCAGACACGATAGATATTTTCTAATTTTGATTGACGTACAGTACGTGTTGTCTTTCTACCTCTACCAATACTACCTATCGGCAATACCGTTCACAGTCCCATCGCCTCCACCGCCAGGTCCACCAACTTCCCATGCAGAACCACGCATCTTCCTCAAAGTAATACTAACTCGTATCTTGCGTTTAATAGTATCACCGCCATCCACAACATCCTCCATCGTTTCTTGGATCCCATGCTCCCACTCGTATCGGGCCTTGCCTTGGATCGTCAGGACCGATCCTGGTTCCAACCTTACTGTGAAATCAGGGCTTCGTTCTTTTGAAGGAAGGTGGGGTGGTGTGGGTGAGTTGGTGCCTGTTGGAGGATCGTTGGGAGACATGGGGGAGAGGGCCTTGTAGAAGTCCATGTTGATGGCTGAAAGGAGCGAGATGATGATAATCCCATCTTCGAATCTGGAAAAAAAAGAAAAGAAAACCAGGGGGAGACATAGGCCAGGCGAGGTGGTGAAGGCACACATAGGGGATGGAAAGGGAAGGGAAGGTATTACTTATTTGCATTGGCATGAGAGCAACAACAAAACCACTAACAAGGCAAGACGAGCAACGCCTATTCCATCTGCCGCAAAAGCACCAATTCGAGAAAAACCAAGACCACTTTACCGTGCTAGATCCACGTGCGGTTTTATCCCATTGCCTATGGAAGGTTGGAGTAAAATATAGAAAGTGCAGTGAGGCAGTGTGAATGAACGATGCATAATAGACTCAACTGGGAAACATAGCCATCGATAAAGAGCGCAGAAAAAAGCAGGCTTTACCAGGAAAGTACAGGTTCATGATGCTCTGGTCAAAAAGAGGCACCCGTGTGGTCCAGTGGGAGCTGCAGTAGGGCTCTGACAAAACACTAATTCCCTCCCCTGCTCCATCCTCCAAGTCGGAAAATAACCGGCCATAAATGAGCCAACTGAGCCATTCAAGGTCGCGTTTGCCAAAGCACATGGCCTGGTTCTGTTGTCCGGCTTTGAAAAAGTTCTTTTCGGTGATCTGGGCCATCAACCGGGCTTGGTCTTTATCCGAAAGGACGTTGATGTGCAGACAGAGACCTTCGACTTGTTTGTGCGGAAGATGGTTCGGACGTGGTAGGGTGTTGTTGATTGGAGAAGTTACAGCAGGTATGAGAGCGTTTGTAATTTCGGTATTAGGGTTGACGGAAGATTGTTGTTGCAGGGAGTGATAGTGGAGTGGTTTTTGTTGCTCTTGTTCTTCCTCATGGCTGTTCATGATGCTTTGGAAGATGGGGTCGAATGCGTCACTCTCGTCGTCGAGCTCCATACTGTCGACTGGCTGATGCGTGTTCATGTCATGTTCTGAATCAGAATCCGAGTCTGTGAACCCAAACAGCTCCTGCTCGAGGTCATTCATCGTCGTGTGTTGTGTGAGTGTGAATCCGCTCTTCACCGCTGATGAACGAAGCAGAAGTAAGTTGGAGCGTCCCTCCAGCACTCGCATTTTTTCTTCAGGAACAGTCACCATGTCTACAATCCCTAGCCATCATCCCAACCTATTTTTACGCTAAAAAATAGAGTCCTTCATTATCAGCCGTCCCGATGGTGCTTTTCATCTTACGCGCTAGACATAGCCCTACTCCTCTCGTCAGACGAGCATTGAAGAAAAAATAGACAGAGGGGAACGACAGAGAAAGAACGTGTCAAACTCATCGCCTTGCAAACATCAGCCCAAACTAAGCGCAGGCGACTAGAAAACAACAATAACAAAAAGAATAACATTCCCTTCCCTACGGTACGTATTGTATGCTTGTCATGCATAGTCTACCAGCCGCTAGATAAAGCTAACAGTTAGTGTCGACCGACCTTCCAGAAAGGAGGCGAAAGGAATGGGTATCAATGGACCAATAGGCAAAATAGACCAATGCATCTTTTAGTGTATTTACTTGGATGGGTCACGCAATTCAATTGTTGGATTTCGCCCACGGCTCACTGACTGGAACAGTTTAAGGTTCCTTCAGGGACAACCGCCGCAAATGCAAACGACAAACATGGTACGAACACCTACGATCGTATCTTCCACACAGGTAAATCTCTTTGTCAACAAAACAAACAAACATGGCTATCTTGTTTCGCGAGTTCATGAGTTGACTTGAATTGACTGCTGAGTGAAGAAACACGCAGGCACAAAGTGAGGGAAAAGTAATACAAAAAACAAGAAATGTTCTTCACTGCCACACGTTCTTCCTCTTTGCCAAGAAAAAACAAGGGACCTGAACGACGGCGACATTATTTTAGGAAGAATAGAAAAATAAGTACCTTGATACAACACAAAGGAGGCAGACAGATAACAAACCTGAGGCTTCAGCCCCCGCCCCTTTCCTCGCTCCTCAGACAACTATCCCGCTGTACAAGAATCCCCAAGTTTATCCTTGTGCTCTTATTGTTTGTTTGTTGGTTGTTGGTCGAAGAAAATGGACAATGGTCAAACAAAAATTATGTTTTCCCACACACACTTTCTCTCACACCACCATCTCACACACACACAACCACTTTGTCTGCTCTCCATCACGGTTGTTTGTCCGTCTACCCCTGCCCTATTTGCCGGATTTTGTTTACACCCTATAACCCTGCATCTACTTTGTCTACTTTCTCCTTATACTATACTGCCCTATTGTTCTTTTTATAGCCCACAATAGATTCGCCCAGCACAATCCTGGACCCTTTTACTTTTTCCTTCTTTCCTTTTCCTTCTTGACCCTTTTACTAAATTGCGCTTGGCCGAGGAGAACGAGCCTTTTTGACCTGGGGCATCTGGGCTGGCCTGCATTTTATCTTGTCGATTGGTCAATGGTTCAGAGCCCCCTCCCTCTCCCTGTCCGTGTCCCCTTTGCAATTAACTAGTGGGTTCTAGTCTCATTTCTATTCTGTCACAAGAGTAGTGGGGGCGAAGAAAATGGCCGTTAATATTGAATGTAGCAATCGCACCATCTTCGCCTATCATTTGTTCTTCCTTTTTTTCTGTCTTCCCCGGGACAATAGCTAACAATAACATCCTTTTTTTTATAGGTATATAAACCCTTGCTCCATCCTCCATTTTTTCATTCTTCAATCCTCTCAACTTCTCCAACCAAACCAACCAAACCAACCTACCTCACTCAACCACCACCAACACAACAACAATGTCTTCCGTCTCAGTCTCCGCCTCTGCTGCCATCCCCAGCCCTGACGCTTCGATCACCATCTCCCCCATCGCCTCCGCCTCCGCCTCCGTCTCCGCCACCGCATCCGCATCCGTCGGTGTCCCAACCACCACAACCGCCCCTCTCGTCCCCTCCGTCGTTCCTTCCACCGGCGCTAACGTGACCGCGACCATTGCTCCTACCCCTAGCTCCACCACCAAGCCCTCGTCTGCCACTAGCTTGCAGAAGAAGATCTCCTTCGGTTTGGTCGCCATGGTCATCCTTCCCGCTGTCCTCAGCGCTCTGTAAATTGGAGATACGGTTCTCGAAGCAGAAGCTGCTCCCATAGGTCGGGAGTATTATATAGCTTACTGTCCTAAATAACTGGATGCCCCCTTTTTTTTTCTTACAACTAATCGTCCAGGCGACACACATACTGAAGAGAAGGGACTCCGCGATTGTACCAATACCAATATTACCATCTACTCTTTTTTTTACCTTTACACCCCCTCCTCTACTACAACTTACTACTACACCTGCCCATCTTTTTTGGCAAAATAAAATTAAAAAAAAGTACGAATGCAATAGCGTTCGGGACTTTTTAATATAACTGTTCCTGAACGAGTCTGTTTCATCCCTTCGTATAGCACAGACGACCCTGCAACGGTTTCCGTCCATGACTCCCTCCCCGCTCCCCCCTATTTTTTCCCTTCGTAAACGAACCAACAACACCATCATCGTTTTTTTTTCTTGCTTGTCGTTTTTATTCACAGAAAATCTACACAAGGGGATCAAAAGACGAAGAAAGAAAGGAGAACGGGTGTACATAAAAACCCTTCCGCAAAGATAATATTAACAAAAAGATAAATGACAATGAGTGACAAGAAGGGCTATCCTTCTCTCCTTCAAAAGACGACAGGGCTTAGAAGAGACCGACGACGTTGCCGGTGTTAAAGTCAATGTCGACATCGTAGAAGCATGGACGCGTGGGGAGACCGGGCATGGTCTGCATGGCGCCGCAGAGAGGGTACAGGAACCCTGCTCCAACGGAAGCACGGATATCACGGATAGGGATCTTGAATCCGGTGGGAACGTTCTTCAACTTGGGGTCGTGCGACAACGACAAGTGTGTCTTGGCCATGCAAATTGGCAAGTTGCCGAATCCCTATTGTTATTGAAAATAAATATATGTTAATCATCCGTCGACGCGTCATGGTTTCACTTTGCCACCAAAAATTATAAAAAATAAAAAAAAGTACCTGGCGGGTGTAGGTGGCAATCTTCTCCTTGGCGAGGTCAGAGAGCTCAATACCGTCGGCACCGTACATCTCCTTGGCGATGGTCTCGATCTTGGACTCAATGTCAGCCCCAACATCATAGAGGTACTTGAAGGCAGTGGGCTTGCTGCACGACTGGATAACAGCCTGACCCAAATCAATAGCTCCCAAACCTCCCTTGGCCCAGTTCTCGCACGCAACTGCATCATCGGCACCAGCCTCCAATGCAATCTTGCGGATCAACGCCATCTCGGCATCAGAGTCGGTTGTGAAGCGGTTGATGGCAACAACAACGGGCACACCAAACTTCTTGGTGTTCTCAATGTGCTTCTTCAAGTTGTCGCATCCAGTCTGGAGCAACTCCAAGTTCTCGGTGTTGTAGACCTCGGGAAGGGGCTTGCCGGGGGTCACCTCGGGTCCGCCTCCGTGCATCTTCAAGGCCTTGACAGTTGCAACCAAGACAGCGCAATCAGGAACCAATCCACTGGTGCGGCACTTGATGTCAAAGAACTTCTCCATTCCGATATCAGCACCGAATCCTGCCTCAGTGACAACGTATCCCATCTTGTCCTCGCTCTCACCAGCCTCAATACCAGCAAGCTTCAAGGCAATGCGATCAGCAATAATGGACGAGTTTCCGTGAGCAATGTTAGCAAAGGGTCCGGCGTGAACAAACATGGGGGTTCCCTCAAGAGTCTGCATGACGTTGGGCTTGATGGCGTCCTTCATCAACACAGTCAAGGCTCCACCGATACCAATGTCGTCGGCAGTGACGGGCTCGCCACCCTTACTGCTTGCAATGACCATCTTGCCCAAACTAATAACATGCAGGACGACAGACTGGATTAGTTTCGGATTTCCGAAGGACAACAACATACATGAGTCATGTTCGGCCATTGAAATTAACAAAAAAAAACAAAAACAAAGCATTCGATTCACTTACCGCTCGCGCATGTCCTTGAGGTCAGTACTGAGGGCCAAGACAGCCATGACCTCGGAAGCAACAGCAATATCGAATCCGGTCATGCGCTCGTGGCCAGCCTCAGTGTCGTTACGTCCGATCTCAATCTTGCGCAAGAAGCGATCGTTGGTGTCCATGACGCGCTGCCAGGTAATGGTGGCAGGGTCAATATCCAAGCGAGCAAAGCGGGTGACCTCCTCGGGGGTCAACTCGGCAGGGTCGGTCTTGTTGATGCCCAAGCGCCCCAAACGGCCCAACATGACGGGCGCAAAGGTACGCTTACCCTTCTTGGGGGGACAGAGACGGTTGAAGAGTGCCTTGTCGGTCTGGGTGTTCTCGTGGAACATGCGGGCATCAATGGCAGCAGCCAACAAGTTGTTAGCGGCGGTAACGGCGTGAATATCTCCAGTCAAATGCAAGTTGAACTCATCCATGGGAATGACCTGAGAGTATCCGCCTCCGGCAGCTCCTCCCTTGATTCCGAAAGTAGGTCCCTGGGAAGGCTGACGAACACATCCAAAGGCAATCTTATTCAAGTGAGCCCCCAAAGCCTGGACCAAACCGACGGTGGTAGTCGACTTGCCCTCACCCAAAGGAGTAGGGGTAATTCCTGTCACGACAACATAGCGACCGTTCTGACGGTGGGAGAGACGCTCCAAAATATCCAAGTTGACCTTGGCTTTGTAGTCTCCATACAACTCAAGCTATTTTTCATGCGAAGTATTAATGTCAAATTCTAATTTCCTGGAGACGACACAATATAAATGCAAGATAAGTTTGACAGCAGGAAAGCATACCTCGCTGGGCAAGAGACCGAGCTCTTCGGCAATAAACTTGATAGGCTTGGGCTTCTGAGCCAAGGCAATGGCAATATCGCTGGGGACGGGCTCCAAGAGCTCCAAAGGGAGAGGAACAATAGCACGCTGGCGGGACTCGTTGAGGAAACGGACAGCGGACAAGTAGGTGTTCTGCATCAACATGGCAACGGTCATGGGACCAACTCCACCAGGAACAGGGGTAATGTGGGAGGCATGGGTAGCGGCGGCGTTGTACTCGACATCACCAACCCAACGGATTCCAGACTTCTTGGTGGCATCTGTACAAAACGTAGAAGATACCAGCGTGAGATTCTCCATTCTTTATGTCTGCGCGCTGTGATTGAATTACAATTAGCAAGTATGAGTGTGAATTTACCTTCAACGGCGTTGGTGCCGACATCGATGACAACAGCGCCATCCTTGATCCACTCGCCCTTGACAAACTCGGCGCTGCCAATGGCGACAACAAGGATATCAGCAGTCTTGACAACCTCGGCCAAGTTGGTGGTCTTGGAGTGGCAGAGAGTGACAGTGCAGTTGTTCTTGGTCAACAAGCTGAAGACGGGGGTACCCTGGGAAAGTTGAAAAATGTGGTGTTGTGTTTTTAGTGACACACGCTTTGACAAAAGCAGAAAAAAAGAAGCCTTTCATTCATTTTTGCCCGCATTTGATGCAACCGAGTACTTACGACAATATCACTGCGTCCAACAACAACGGCCTTCTTGCCTGACATGGTGACGCCAGTCGACTTGATAAGCTCAATAACTCCCTTAGGGGTGCAAGGGACGAAAGCCGGCTCAGAAGCACGCTTGGAGAGGTGACCAATGTTGATAGCATGGAAGCTTTTTGGAAGGAGGCGGGATTAAAATCGTTAGTCTCTCCGGTCCCTCGTAGTCCTGACTGGTCCGTTCTATAAAAGTAGCGATTCATCGCCTATTTCTTTGTGGGGTAATTGCATTGTGCTTACCCGTCGACATCTTTCTTGGGGTCAATGGCCTCAGTAACGATCCTGTCATCCAAGTGTTCGGGGAGAGGAAGTTGAACAAGAATTCCGTGAACCTTGGGGTCGTTGTTCAAAGCTTGGACCTTGGACAGGAGCTCGAACTGAGTGATAGTGGGAGGCAAGTGGAAGAGCTCAAAGTCCATGCCGGCCTATTGAAGAGTACAATTAGAAGAAAAAGCATGGGAATCCAATTGGTGGAATGATTGGCTGAGTGAGTCGCCTGTTGTATCTTTCATCTTATGCCTTTCCTTCTTTCAACCCTTGTTCCTTCCCTCAGCCCTCGTTCCTTCCTTCCTTCAGCTTCAATTCATTTCTTTCATCCGTCTTCTTTTCTTTTCTCTCGTTCGACCTCTCTTCTTTCCCCCCCTTCTCTAATATGCACGTCTCCGTTCTCCGTACAAGAAGACAACAGCAACAATAAGAACATGGCGTAGGGTTTTTTTCATACCTCCTTGGCAGCCTTCATCTTCATGTTGACGTAGACGTTCGAATCCTCTCGTGCTCCGACCTGGATGATCGACAACTTTGGGTTGAAGTGAGGGGTCGTCTTGCGCATCTCCTCGATTTGCGACTTGATGTCGTTGCGGAGGTTTCTGAGTTCATGTGAAAAAAGAAAAGAGAAATGGCGATAAGTATATGAGAAGTACGTGTATATATGCGTGTGATAGCGAGCGAGAGGACTTCAAGCTCAAGGATGTAATTGAAAGTGAACAAAAACACGTCGACGGGTCAATTAAGATACATACTGTGCAATAACCTTTCCGTCGATAACTTTGGCCATGTTGTTTGACGTTATAGTAGAAGAAATAGAGGGAGTGGTGTTTCTTGAGGAATTCAGAGAACGGGAGGTATGGAGAGAACGGGTTGGTAGCGAGAGACGGACGACGCGAAGTAGAGCAACGGGAAAGGATCCGGGTCGTGAGACGGTCGTGAGGGAATGTAGTTTGGAATGAGTGGAGGGGTGTGAATTAGCGGAGTAGGAGAAGGTAGAGGAGGAAGAAGAAGAGTAACGGAGGGATTGTAAGGAAGGAGTGAAGGAAGAATAAGAAGAGAAGGAAGAAGAAGAAGAGAAAGAAGAAGAAGAAAAAGTAAAAGGACGCGGACAACAAGGGGTTGTTATAGTTGCTGTTCTTATTTGTTGCTGTTGTTGCTGTTTAAGGTAGTGAAGTCTCGAGGTGTAGGAAGGGGAGGCGACACAGGTCGAGAGCCTTTTTCTGGAGGTAGTGGGGTGGGAAAGATTCAATCGTGCGAAGGAAGGAACGGGGCGGGTGCGATCGACGAGGACAAGCAGAGGCCGGCTCGGGAGGGTCGACGACATCCAGGAACAGATGAACTCAAGGGGGTGGGTGAAGGAAAGGGTTGGTGTGATCAACAAAATAAGAACAAAGTGAATGGGTGATCAAGGAACAAGCTTGTAAGAAGGTTGATCAGGTGCTATGACTGGGGGAAGGGCTGGGGGGAACAGAAGGAGAGCAAACAGAAAGACAGTGGTGCTTAGTCCAAAATAAAAGTAGGTTAGTGCGCATGTTTTGTGTGTGTGTCTGCAAAGGGTTAAGGATGGAAGGGCGTGCATCATAGTAAGAACCACTTCGACGCCCTATTCGTATGGGATATTCCCCTTACCCTTTGCCTTTCCCGTCTCCTGCCTTCTTTTTTCGTCTTCTCCCCTTGCTAACCTCGTCTCCTATCACCCCTTCCTCTTTCTGTTCATTTCTTCGCTCGTTCCTGGTGAAAACGACCAATCCATATCTTGGAGTGAATCGGCTGATGTTGTGCTCGGAATGTTGTTCTGTCTGTTGAATATGGATACGGATCATCTCTTGTTTCTTTCTTCCTTTCTTCCTTTCTTCCTTTCATCCTTTCATCTTTTCATCTTTTCTTCCTTTCTTCCTCTCTTCGTCTATGTGTCTGCTCCTCCCTTCTTAACCTTTCATCTACCTTTTTCCTCGCTTCCCTTCTCCCCTCTTCTCCTTCTTCACCCCTTTGCCTCCCTCTTCTCGTCTTGACGGAGGAGAAACGGGGCCCCCTGTTTGGCTCCATTTTGCTACACAACATAAGGAAGTGGTTTGCGGATCTCAGCGACGACTGAATATTGACTGTGTGAGTCAATGGAAGAAGAGCAGAAGAGGAGTCCAACAAGCTCCCTTCTGTTGACCTTGATTGGGCGTTACTTTTGCTTGTGGGAAAAAAAGAGGAAGGGTCCGCGAACTTCAAGCCACGGAAGGTTTCTGCAATGCACTTGTTACGACGGATCGAACCTGCAGTAGCACTCTACACGTGATCATTATGTCTCTTGCCAACGGACATCTTTGTCTCTTCACACATCCAACTTCTTCGACATCAACTCTTTTGACATTGAAAAACATATTCATCTCTCTCTGCACCTCTTCTCTTCCTCTCTCTTTCTCCCCTTCTTCTCCTCCCACTTCGTCTTCTTCTCCCCTCTTCCGCTCTCCCCTACTCCTGCCCAATTCCCGTCAACTATCGTCAACTATCGTCAACTATCGTCAACTATCGTCCCACCTCGTCCCCGCCCAATTCCACCCTTTCGCTTCTTTCCTTCAATTCTCCTCCTACACTTCCCACTTTACTCACACTCCATCCTTTTCATTTCAGCCTCTCTTTCATCTCGGAGAACATAAACATCCCTCTTCTTTACCATCGAAGATAGCGGACGCATCATGCCAGATAACAACAGCGAGTTCTCGGTAATTTCAACCTGCCCTTCTTCCTCTTCCCCCTCCTCTTCCTCTTCCTCTTCTTATTGATCGGCACCCTGAAATATGCATTGATGTTTTTTAATATTATCATCTACCGCTGTCGTTTTTCCTCCACTGGCATGTGTTCATTGTATATTTCGATACCCTCCAACGAATTATTAAATTTCATTACGTCTGGAGATGAAAACTGGTTCTTTATTTATTCTTTCTTTGCGCTGTTTTGAAACAACGAAAGAAACAACATAATAAAGCCATCAATCATCCTTGACCATGGATAGGGGAGGGGAGGGGACGGAGATGGGGGCCAAGGGAAAGGGTGAATGACCCTGGCCTGGCCTGGCCTGGCTGGGTCTTGGCTTGGGCTGACCAAGTGAAAAACAGTGGCCCTTTCGCGTAAAGGATATTTCTGATTGGCTGCTTATGTTCCAGTGTGGTTCCACTGTTGGATTAATTACTGCCGGGTGGTGATGGTGCCTGACCCTGTAGCTGAAATTGTTCCTGAATTTTGTTTGTTGTGTGTGCGACAAATGCCCTGTTTGGATAAACCTTCACTCTCCCTCTCTCTACTTCTCTTTCATTTTCATATTGCATTTGTATTACCCTTCCTTTCCGCTTCCGCTCTCGACCTTTAGTCCCTTTAGCGACCCCTTCTCTCTTTGTCTCATTGTCTTTGTTTGCTCTCTTCCAGCTCATCATCATCCATTCTTTCTCTTTCATCAAACACACAACATTAATCACCCCCTCCCTCTCGCTCCTCACTCCCTCAATCCTTCATTCTTCTAACTCGTCCTCTTCTCTCCACTTCACCTCCTCCTTCATCCTACCTTCTCTACGTCAGCAACTTTCGCTCACTGGCAACCAGGGACCCGCCATGCAACACTATAACCACAACAGCTACGAACAAAGTCATCCCCTCCAATCCGATTACGACCCCTCCTCTACAGGATACCCCTCTCAACAGCAGCACAACAACGGCCAATACCAACAACAAGAACAAGGCTACCAACGGGACGACCACAACTACAACCAAGGTTACGACTTCAGCAATAGCAATGGCGACAACCAGCTCTCTAATCTCCACCAAATATCTCCCCTTCAACTCGACCAACTACAGGCGCAGCGGCAATACAACCAGCAGCAACAACATTATAATGATGCAGACGAGGCGCTCAAGCAACAACATCGCGTTGCAAGGACGTCCGACAACAAGTCCGCCAACCACCACCTTTACCCCCCACAACCCAATGGATCGTCCTCCTCAATCGACATGCAGGATGGCTCGTCGCTCAAAAACAGCTTCTCAACTCTATTTCGGTTCCCCTGCTCGACGAACGGCAAGGCCCTTCTGCTTGTCATTGGACTTGAAGCACTCCTGGTTATCATCATCCAGACAATCATTGTCATCAAGTACTTTGCTGCCCTTCGAGACACGCCTATCGAGCCTCGGATCGGACAAAAACAGATGCCGCCATACCTTGACAGCGGCAATGCGTCTCGAGCCATCCCTGCCTATCTTATCGTCTTTGTTTTTGCCCAGCTCTTCCAGCTTGTGCTAGCATGGGATGCTGTAAGTCTTGACCGTCTCTTAATATGTTTCCACTACCCCTCCTTCACTTTCTCTTGTCTGTCTCCTTTTTCCTCTTTGACGCCTTTGGATTGCTCCTGGATTGACAATAATACGGCAAAAGTGGGGTCGGTCTCTAACTCAGGATTAACAACGTCTCACGCCATCAAAAAAAAGATATATGTATCAATATGTGAAGGATTGTGGGCATATTTGATATTCAGGCTGTACTGGTCTTCGCAGTACCACACTCGCTCCCTTTCTTGCTCTTTGTTTTGAACCATCTGTTGTTGGTCGTTCCGGTTTAATTAATTAAAGAGAAAGAAAATGCTCACCCATTGTACATTCAACCGATGCCATCATTGAATTCCTTTGTTTTTTGCCTCCAACGACCTATTTCTGCCCGTATGGTCTAGTACTGTTACTGACACATACCCTCTCTTTCAATAATGTAGGTTCGCGGACAAAATACTATCGAGATGATTGGTATCGTGGCTTTCAACATGTGCTGCTTCGCCTACTCGATCTTCGAAATCACACAGACCCGGAAATCTCTCAGCGAAAGCACTCGATACTTTGAGCCGGAAGGAAGCGCGGAACTTCTCAACCAATCCCTTGTACCGTTAATTGGAGCCAACGTTGTCGTGAGTGGGCTGAGTCAGTGTGTCGTCACCTGGCTTGCGTACCAGCTGTTCCAGGAGTTTGGATGGAAGATCTACAAGAAAATCGGCGCCGATCCCAGGATGAAGAGTAAGTAACCACTGGTCGTTAATCATTGTAATTTGAATCGATATCGGGTATCTGGAATAACTTGATCGTCTCTTATTTACAATTTCTCTCTTTTTCAATCAGGAATGTACCGCGCGTATCAGATTTACGTGGTCTTGATCAAGATGGATTTCTTCTTCTTTGTCGGCTTTTCGATCCAGTTCATCTACCTGTCGTTGACAAAGGACACTGACGACCCGGAGTACTGGCTCACCATCGTTGTCCTGCCGCTGACACTGCCCATCCTGTACATCGCCATTTATGCGGTCCGCCACGAGAGTCGCCGATGGATGACGATCTTCCTCTTCGCCATGCACGGCGGCGTTGCCTATTTTGTGTTTAAGGTCGTGCGAATGTTTGTCGGAAATAAGATCGCGAATTATAATGGAATCAAGATCTTCCTGACCCTCTTTGGTAAGTCCATTAGCCTATTTTTTGTTCTTTGGTACGCTTGAAAAGGATGTTCTTTCTAACTTGCCATGACTGCCTTATCACTGTCTCTGCTTAGCTTCATTGTGTTTGGTTACGATCCTGGCGACGATCTCGAATGCGGCAGTGTGCTATCGCAATTTTGGAAAGGGATTGAAGCCTCATTTGTTGAAGGGCACCCGAGGACCACAGGATACGTCTTCGGCCACAGGAGGACGCGTCCTAGAGATCGACTAGGGAAATCGTTCGTCCCTTTTTTTTTTTTTTTTTTTTTTTTACTTTTTTTCTTCTTTGTTTCACCATGTTACGGGAGGGCGAACATCGATACTCTACTGTACTTGTTTTTCTCAACCGTCGACCCCAAAACTCTTATTGGCACACCGACCACCACATTGATAGCATACATAGATTCGTACCTTAGAACAACGATTAATGGTGTGAAGTGAAGAATGAAAATGGTTGACCAAATGTGACTGCACCCGAACTCGCCCTGACAAAGAATAAAAAGTGAACGAAACGAAGCGAACCATCACTTTTTCAATAATCCACACACATTCGAACAAGATGCAGAACAACGCGGACCAGGACGAGATTGACTATGAGGTCGGACAGGAACAACTGGATGCCGTCGATAGGATGCTCGAGGAACTGGACATGGATGAGCAGTTTGATCGAGGTAACGTTTTTTCATCCTAGCCCCCTTTCCCATCTCTCTCCTTTCCATCCTCTTGCTGTGGGTGGTCATCACACACGATCGTTGTATGTAACAAGCGCTAAACGGCAACACCCGTCTTCATTCAATTAACCCCTAGGTGTTCAATAGTCCCGGCCGCCTTCCGGATAGTAGAGCGGTTTGAACAGCAACAGGACCAACAGCGTCAATTCGCCGCGCGTAACGGCGACAGTAACAACCACAACAACTTCTCTGGGGTGAATGGGTATCACCACGACAACGACACAAAGTCCTCGTCATCACTTAATGCGGGTGGTCAGGATATGCAGGGTTATGCCATGCAGAGCTCTGACGCCGAGGAGATGGACCACGAAGATAGTGATGATGAAATGGCCGGGGAGCCGTTTGGGTATATCCCCCTTGACCAGGGCGACTTCAACGGCATGGACGACGAGGATGAGGAAGAAGACGAGGCCAACGATAATACAGGATACGCTCAGATGGAGAGTGACAACGAGAACGAGCATGGGCACGAGAATGGCATCGACCAAGAAAATGCTGATGAGGAGGAGGACACAGAACAGGGATACGATGGTTACCTCCGCAGACGCAACCGTGACGGCACAGTCCCCGTCCCCGTTATCCCCGCGGCTGTACAGATCGACCTGGCCACTCTCAACGAAGACTTCAACGAAGACGGCACAGCAAGAGCGGAGGTGGCTGCAGAATTGATCCCGGAAGAGGATTTGAAGACGATTGCGATGGTGATGAACTCATTCTCGTTACCAGCCCCCGAATGGGCACAGTCTATACCCGAGGACCGGTGGTTGCCTAGGATTGTCCAGCGCGCCGAGACGTCAGGGATTAGTGGTAGTGGAAGTGGTACTTCTTCTGGTACAACAGCCGCTGCCGAGAGATTTGATGCTGTGGCAGCGGCCCCGTCCGTCTTGGCTACAGCCACAAACACCACAGGCACCACAGACACCACAACAGCAGCTATAGCCACAATCGCAGCAGCTAGCACGAGAGCTCATCAGCCTTAGCAGATACTAGCCCAATACTATCCTAGCAGCCCTACCTTTACTTCCCTGCCACTCCCTCGTCACCCAAGTCCTGCGACCTGAAACGATTAGAAATAGGGAGGAGGGCGGTACGATAGGTAGCTTAGACTGAATAATAATGTTGTCCCTTCATAACGAGTGCTGTCGCTGCTGATGAAGCACTTTTTTTTGTGAGACCTGGAGGCTCAAGCCGCAACTGGCTGAGGCTTGGCACTACACTGACTGGTACCTCATAAACCCTTCTTTGAGTAAGTCAGCGGGAATCAAATATCCAGGAACTGGGAAAGTAAAAAAATAAGACTCGTGTGTTTTGTGTGTGTGTGAGCGCCGGGTGGACGGACAAACCGAGAAGGAAGTTGAATTTGCCGGTTGTTCCGGTTCTTGTTAGCCTGTTTTTTTTCCCGCGTGGAGGAAAGAGACCCTGGGACGTGAGAAAAGTGGGACAAGAGAACAAGAGTAACATCGAGAGAGAGTCAAGGCATTAAAACAATTGTTCTTTTTTTTTCTTCTTTCGTGCGCTGCTTTTTTTCCCCCTTGCCTTGTTGTTGTTCTTACCTCGATCAGAATTAGATGAGCGATCCGTTCCTATCCTTTATGCCTTCTTTCTCTATTCTCAGTGTTGTCGCCTGATTGCCTTTTCTTTCCGCTTTTCTCTAGGCTTTGTATGTCTTTTTCTCTTGCCTTACATGCATCGCACTTATGACTGTCCAAAATAGCCCAAGTATTTCTTATGAGCGTAACAAGTGAGAAGAAGGACAGGCAAAAGGAAAACTGCCAAGTAAAAAAAAAATGGAGAGCCGGATCATGGATGTTGGCTCAATCCCAAAAATCGATTCTTTGCTTGGCAATGTAACAATGCAAGCCCACTCCCTCCTTTCCTCTCATTTCGCTCCCGGAGGTGATATTTTTGTACAGAGGAAAGAGGTAAAGCCCACTGTCTTGCACAAAAGGCACAGTGGCCCATTGAATGGCAACGGATGCGGTTGAAAGCAGTAACCGAACATGAGTTTGTGACATAAACAATATATGCGACAAATGAGACATCGAGGGAGGATTCGAGCACAACCAAGTTCTACGCATCACCGTACCAAACAAAGGTTGGACAACCAGGCATATGCAAATGTCTGCTTAGTAGCCGCTTGGTAGCTGCTTGGTAGCTGTTTGTGGTTGCTAGAGCCGTCTATTGTTTGCATAGATGACAAATGAACCTGGCATTTGAGATCCGTCGGGGCAAAAACCAGAAGAAAAAAAAACGTAGAGAGCGTCAAATGTTTTTTCCGCTGATGTTGAATTGGGCAAGGAGCCTGGTCGGCTCTTTTCCTTGTTGCTTTGTCGGAAGAAGAACGACGACGACGGTGATGACAGACCGACTGCGCGAAAAAAAGAAAAAAAAAGAAAGAAATGGACAGGAAAAGGGAAAAAAAGAGGGTGTGTTGAGAGCATGCCCAGGGTATTGCCTGAGGGATATATGAAAAAAGAAAAAACTTTATCGCCTTTGGCTCTCCGGCCGGGAATACCGGCAATCCGTGGCCAGCCATTCATATTGGACTTTTTCTGTTCTTTGTGTGCGCATTGTGCATCGCTCGCAACAAATGTCATTGAATTGTCTTGGAGAAGGCACACCCCCTTTTGTCATCCATTGGACCTTGACCTTATTTAAAAGGGGGGAACATGTCCTTCCTTCTTTTACTTTTCTCTCTTATTTTCTCAGTTCCTCTCTCTACTCTCTTCTATATCTCTTTTCTTCTCTTAATCGTCATTACCATCACTCATCCATTCACCTTACTTTGCTCCCTCTCTTCTTCTCTTCTCTCTTTCTAGTCCTTTAACAATCCTGACGCTTCTACCTTCTCCTTCTCCTCTTCGTTGTAACACACACATTCACGCACCAACACACGCCACCGTGCCTGTCTGTCTGTCTCCACACTCTCCCCTTCTCTTCCTAATAAAAATATCTCTCTCTCCTCTTCTTTCTTCTCTTTCATCCTCACTTTCTCTCTTGACCTTGCATCCTTCTTTCCCTCTCTCCCAGCTCCATAACCCTCTCCAACCAACAACAGCAACAGTACCACCAACAATATGCAGGCTTTGACACCCCTCCTCTTTTCAATGCTGTTCCATCGATTCAGCACAAAAAACACGGCCGATATGAGTCCAGACGCTGAAGGGAACTATCCGATCGAATCGTTGCTTGGAGGTCGTAACAGCACCAGCAACAGTAGCTACCGCAACAGCACCTCCAGTGAGCTTCTCGCCGCCTCCTTTTCCTTCGGGGAGGGCTATCCTGTCGACAACAACCATAACAACAACCGCTCGGCCAAAGCCCGTCGCCACCACAGCACAGGAACCCTTCTTGATTCAGCTCAGTCTTCTTCCTCCTCAACAAACCCAATGAACAACAACATCCGCCGCAACAACACTGTGCCACAAGTCCGTCGGGCCAGCCGCCCAGAGCGCCTGTCGATTGATCATGCAGCCTTTATTGCAACGTACCCCTCATTGGACGGACTAGGGGATATGGGATATCGCAGCAGCAGCAGCATGGACTACTATCGCAACAACAACAACACTGCCGACACCGCCAACAACAGCTCGCCATCACCACGCAGGAAAGCTTCGTCTTCAAAGCTGCGCAAGCAACAGTCGCAGGAGAGCCTCCCCGCTTCCCGCACCTCAACCTCGTCTATTGCCTCCATGGTTTCGGATGCTTCCTCTTCGACGTCTTGTTCATCCTCGGCTTCCTCGGTCCACGAACCCTTGACACCCACAAAGTCTTCCAATTACCACAGCATTGATGGCATTGATGCAGTCTCATCTACCAAGAAGTCCAGCAAGAGGGCTTCCATGCCTGTGTCTATTGTCCGTTCGAACAACAAGAACACCCTGATCAACATCGAGAGCATTGCTGCCGACGATGAACAAGAAGAGGAGAACCGTGTCAAGTCGTTGGCCGTGTGCCAATCCCCCCAATCCGACAATTTCTTTTCCACGGAAGAGGGTTTCGCCGGATCTGCTGCCAACAACTCCACTGCATCCAGTGAGGGAGTCGTCAAGGCCCGTGGCCAGCGTCAATTGATCGCTCACTAAGTGACGACTGTGCAATCTTATCCCTCCCAACACTCCCCTCCTTCTTTCAACAACAACCAACACTCTCTTCTCTCTCATAACTCGGCCGTTTGCTGCCTATACTCGATACAACAAGAATCTAGAACTCGGAGGATTCCTTACAGGAGACAGAGAGTGCTGGACACTTCTCATCATTCCGTCCACTAATCAATACCCTCGGCACCCAGCTCAGCCCAGGACTCTATATTGCGTTTCGCGGTATTTTTGTCTGTCCACACATACACAGCAACACCAGTCTGGACCCCTCCCCTCTCTCCCCTCTGTCTCCTGTTGGCTCGTGGACGATAATCGACATTTGTCTGGGACGATGGGGTCCCTTCCCTTCTTTCTAGTCCCCTTACACTTCTGGGCTTCCTAGCCTCCCTTCCTTTTTCCCTCTTTGCAAGACGTAATGCGAGTCTCGGCAACGAGCAAGGATATGAGTTTGAGGGGAAAAGGGCGGATTTCGAGGCAATTGGCAATTAGCTATTGTCATCTTACACACTCTCCCTTCTCACTTTTATTTTCCTGTCATCCCTTCATTTTCGTTCATTCTCCCCTCTTTTTTTTCTTCTTGTTCTCCTTCTAATTGTACCATAAAAATACCCTTTACAAGAACTCTCCTCGTTTGTCTACCCTTATTTGACCCCGACGGCGTTGTTCTCGAGCTTGTGGAAATACGAGTGAAGTGGAGGTATGATGTGCTTTTCGCGCGCTTCTATTTTTTCCTTTTCCCCGCTGGCGGCAAATTATCCTCTTTTTTTTTTTCTTTCCTTGAGGCCTTGTGTTCATCATTGGTCTTCCTTGTACTTTTAATGCCCTTCGTTCACCTGCCTTCGTAATTTTACACACATATATATCCATTTCCACATGGTGAAACCAATAAACATAAACACCCAAAACAAATAACCACACACAGCAAGAAAAAAAAAATCAAAAATCATCAACGCCATGCATGGGACCCATCGAGGAGGCCATTGTGAAATGAAATCGAGAAAAAGGATACGAAAAGGAGAGTTGTGATGAGGAGGGAGGAAAGAGGAATGAGTGCTTCTCAGTGAGCAAGTGTAATTTTTTTTTTTTTTTTTTTTTTTTTTTTTTGGCTGAGCTCACGAACGTATTGGATGGAATGGTATGGGTTGGACAGAAATAGATCCCATCCCCGCATTCTTGATGTGCTCCGTTTGTTGTGTTTGAGGAAGAGGCCATCGGGTCCGTCGTTTCGGATAGGATTGGTGAGATAGGAGGGGGGTGGTGGTGTCTTTAGATGGGACAAGCCTTAACAATGTAGGATGAAGGGGGGGCGGCAGGCCACGCTAGTTATGCGGTGATTAAAGTTTTAGTGGAATATATTTTGCCACCAAAAAGTAATATGTTCGCCTGGTCTCTTATCTCAACAGAGCCGACATGGAGAGTCTTGTGTGACAAACAAACAGTAGATCCTTTGTTTACAAGCCTAGATCCTCGAGCAAAAGAGTGTGAAGATGGATCGTGTCCCCCAGTGCGAGGATAATTGGGCGCAGCTTTACGGAGGATATGAATAGCATACATCTATCATGGTTCAGATGTAGGGTCGGTATCCACACGCGGATGTATTGTATTTTCGATGGATGAGCTAGGGGTGGGGTCAGAGGGGTTACTGCTGACCATTGTGTGGTAATGCAACATACTACTTCGCCTATCGTTCCTTTCTCATAAAAAGGAACGCGAACAGTGGGCAGAGGGATATCCATTGTGTGTTTTTTTCTTCCTTCAGCTCCGCTGTCTCCATCGTCCGTATCCTGCTACTTTCCTCGCCAACATTCACCTTTTCACTTCCCTTCCACACCGCACCTTCGCAACACAAACTACTCCATAGTCTATCTCCCTGGGTGTTCCTCATACGATAGAAACGGCGGTAGAGATGTTGTCTTCGTCGTCCACCACCTCGAGCGACGAGAGACGATTTAGCAGCAGTGGCACCAGTAGCAATACTTACTCGACTATGATGACCCAGCAACTCACCCCTCGGACTATGACAATTACCACTACTACCACAACAACTACCACTACCACTGGCATCGCACCAATCATACCAGCCAACAACTACGATCTTCGCCTTACACACCAGAAAATGGGGACGGATCCAGACGTCGCCGATGAAGAAGAAGAGGAGGAGATGCTCCGACTGGAGTTTCTCCGGTTTGTTGAGGATGATGATGCTGTACAGATATCCACACAATTGAGTCTGGCTTATTCTATCCAGTCTTCCCCCGATCGTTCCTTATCTTCTCTGGTGACTGACGATCACGCCGTTGGTACCCCATTCGAGTTGCAGTCGGATGAGAGAAGTGAGAGTGAGAGTGAGAATGTGGGGGAGGATGATGGCGGAGGTGAAAGGTGTCTCGGCGAGAGGCCGGAGCGCATTGTTCACTTCCAGAGGAGGATTGACGACGATGACGAACAAGTAGAAGGTAGTGGAAGAGGAGAGACGTTAGGAGGACTCGCGCCAGCGACAGAGGTTGTTGGCATACAGATGAAGGGCCCGGCCGCACAGCTAGATTGCATCTTCGACTACCCAGATCCCAGAGCATCCAACAGCAACGACGACCAAATTGATCATGGAGATATTATTACACCCCATGTACCGTTCCTGCCTATATACTCACCAATAACTCTTCGACCGCAACGACTCTGTAAAGTCCCCGTTGTCAGTGAATATATCGACCCCTATTGTCCTCCTACACCACTACCAACACGACCACCATTGTTACCACCAACATCACCGCCATCATCGGTAGCATCGGCATCATCATCTTCCAACAATCCATCCACTGCAGCTGCAACGCTAGTGCCAGTAAAAACGGACGATGTGAATGTGATGGTGGCACATGATCACAACCCGAGGCAGGAGGATGGGGAGGAGAGTCAAGATAAGACCGACGGCATTGCCCAGGAGGTGTCTCCATTCCATCCACTCGATCGGCCTCCTTCCCCTCCTCCGCAACAGCAGCAGCAACAGCAGCAGTCAGACAGGATCCGATGGCGATTGAGCACCAACTACCCACCCACCCGCCGCAGAGGCGAACGGAGAGCCGTTACTGCTTCTGGTATCCTCGCCACTTCCGCCAGTGGCGCCACCAATTCCATCTTTGGAGACACTACCGATTCAACCTCGCTCCGATCCTCGATGATAGCACCAACAACTTTTGTGATGGTTGATATAGACGGGAACCAGATCCTGACAGACCCTTATACCTCTTCCGTAACACCCCCACTCCCGAGCCCCCTCTCGGCTGCTATCATGGGAGGGGGAGGTGGAAGTTCAAGTGAGGGTGGGAAGGCTTTGCCGGCGCCTGTTCCGTTACGGTTCGCCAATGCCATCCCAAGATACCATTTCACTGGCAACAGCAACAGCAGCAGTAGTGGCAGCTCAAGCAACGGCGTCGTTAGTCAAACAGCAGACCCGCATGTGGCGGCGCATATCGCAGAAGCACTACAGATGTACGGGATCCCGAGTCTGCACCAACCCACCACCGTCCACCCCTTCCAACGGTACTCCATGATCCCCTCGACACCAAGCCGGTCCACTTCTTTGGGAACCTCCACAACAGGCGGTGGTGGATATGAACCGCCTAGGGGGTCGACTTTTCCGAGGTTGATGCATCGATCACCTTCTAGAGGCAGTAGGAACACAAGGAGTAGCAGTCCGTCGCGCGTTGCACGTGTCTGGGCGGCATTGACCAGACGAGGCGTCTCTTCCACCACCAACACTACCATGACCACGAATACGACCATTGGTAGTTCAAGGGCAACTACTATGGTAGCGTCCTCAACGACCCATTCTCGATTGAGTCAACTGGCACAACCATCGTCGTCACCGTCGGCGTCGTCGACTACGCTACAGTACGAACAGCTGCCATTTGTGCAACAGCCTCGTCGACCTACAATCGTGCTCCCGTCACCGTTGACAAGGGTATCTGTCGTCTTGGGATCAGGATCGACTGCCGGTTCATCTGTCGCTGCTGTTTCTTCCTCGGTCACTGGCGGCTGTGGTAACTTCGATGGTGGTGGAAATGATGGCGACGGCAATGAGGATGGCGCTGATGATGGTGACGGGGAAGGCAATCACGATGGCGCTGGCGAGCAGCAACAACAACTTCAGACACGATCGATGCTGCAAAATGCAAACCCCGAAGATAAGGATCAAGCTGCAGCAGGAGAGCCATCGGCGTTCCAGGCGTTCCTCAAAGTCCTCATGTGTGGATGCTGAGAGAGGTGATTCGTAGAAGTGGAAGGAAGACCGTGAGATGATTGAGAGGATTGGTGGAAGAGTTTAGAGACAGAGAGAGAGAGAGAGAGAGAGAGAGAGAGAGAGAGCTGATACTATTTTCCGGACGCCCAGAGAGCAGGACAATTTGGGGTGAGGGAAGAGAAAGGCGAGCTGGAGCAGGAAGTGAAGGGAAGAGAACAATTATTTTTTTTAGGATGTTGGTTGCGTTGTCATAAAAATAATCAAATTTCTGTGAGCGAACGGTGAGAATGAGAGCAGCGAGAGGGAGGAGAGATTAATGTTATGTGTTTATTATGTGATGAGAGTGTGGAGCAAGCGTGTTTGGTTATGGATGGTGATACGAGTGGGAAGAGATGGAAGCAAGTGCATGGGTGGGCGCATGGATATTCTGCCATGCTATGTTGTACTTGTTCTCCCGCATGAAGAAGATGGCGAAGAATGCCGAGACCCACTGGTAGGTACGAGTTCGGAAGATTTGTTCTTTTCGTCTCAGGTGTTTGTTGTCCTTCACGAGGAAGTAATTCCTTGTTTTGTGCTAGATTGATTGTGTGCCATTATGCGGGTGAATGTCGTCGAAGATAAAGGCGAGAAGGAAGAATGAAGAGGGAGAAAAGGGAGCAATTGTTTTCAGATTCATTGATCGCTTTGTTGTCGTTAATGTGTGTTTTGATTACCCATGCATGTAATGTCTTAGCCCATGCCTATCCAATCCCCATACCCTATTTCTATTCTATTCTTGATTGGCGAGTGATTTAACTTTCTTTGTCTGATGCTGTTGTCTGTGCCTGAATTTGATCCTTGTTCCTTTGAACCAACCAAGTGGAGAGGAGAGAAGAGTCCAGACAAAGTGCAAGGACAAATGATTTGCGCCCGTTTGTTTGTTGCGTATGGTTATCCTGCTTTGTGTTGTTTCTGGCTCATTTCTTCTATCTCTGTCCGTTGGTTACGTCGAGGAGGGAGAGGGAAGAAGGAGAGGAGAGAGACAAAGACGGACTTCTTTTTTCCTTTTTTTTTTTTTTGCTCGCCTCATCTCTTTCATCTTTTATTTTCTTCTTCTCATCTTCATCCCTCGCCTCTCCCTTCATTCCACACCCATCCTCCTCCCTTCCTTCCCCACTCTCGCTCTCATACCCAGTGGTTGTACATACTTTTTCTTTCTTTTTTCTATTCTTCCACAGTTACACCAACTTCACCCCTTCCTTTACTTTTAACGACCACCTTTCTTCAATTCCCCGCATACCCCCTCCTTCAACCCTTCCTACCTCCATCCTTCTCCCACAAACCAACCCAAAAAAAAGCAGCGCCCCACAAGAATGTTCACAAGAATGTTCAAAGGTCTAGAGACGTGGACGACCCGTCGGTACCTCTTCTTCATAACCTGGTTCATCCTCCACGTCGTCCTCTTCATCTTTGGCGTCCTCCGTGTCAAGAACGACAAGAACCTCATCAACCTCAACGGACCCCTCAACTACTCCCTCTGGATCGCCCGTGGAGGCGGTATCTGTCTCATTTGGGATTGCTCCATCATCCTCCTCCCCGTCTGTCGAAACATCCTCCGTATTCTCCGAGTCTCCTTCCTCAACAAGTTGATCCCTATCGATGAGAATATCTGGTTCCACAAGATTACAGCTTATTCAATCCTTGTCTGTACGGCCATTCATGCGGTCGGCCATTACGTTAACATCTTCAAGATGAACAAGTTGTATATGGCTGGCGTCCCCGGGTTCACGATGAGTGGTGGGGAGTTGTTGTACAAGAGTCCGGCCGGTGTTACTGGACATATTATGCTGTTGTGTATGGTCCTGATGTACACGACCGCCAAGCAGACTCAGAGGAACAAGTCGTTCGAGGCGTTCTGGTATACTCACCATCTGGCGTTCGTCATGCTCGGATCCTTGATGTTCCATGGAATCGGATGTATTGTCAAGGACCAGGACGGCGTCTGCAGAGGATACAAGTCCTACCAGTACTTGCTCATCGGATACATCCTCTACATCATCGAGCGCGGTATCCGAGCCTACCGTGCCCGCTTGGAGACCCGACTCGTCAAGGCCATTCAGCACCCTGCGGGAGTCATCGAGTTGCAGATCCAGAAGCCCTCGTTCAAGTACAAGCCTGGCCAGTATATGTTTATCAACATCCCGGATCTGTCAGAGTACCAGTGGCATCCTTTTACGATCACGTCGTCGCCCTTTGAGGATTATGTCTCGGTTCATATTCGACAGGCAGGAGACTGGACTCGGGAGCTTGGAACCAGGATGGGAATCGAGAAGGAGGGTCGTGGAGGGGACAGTGGTCGTGGAGGCCAGGGTGCCGGAGGACCCAAGAAAGCCGAGAAGACTACAGAGTTGATCGACGACCGCGGAAAGGAGATCCACGTCCGCGCAGGATTCAGTATGCCCCAGGTCAAGATCGACGGGCCCTTCGGCGCCCCCACAGAAGACGTCTTTGACCACGAGATCGTCGTCCTCGTCGGGTCCGGAATCGGTGTTACTCCCTTTGCCAGTATCCTCCGTGACATTTGGTACCGCTCTAACAACAACATGTCACTCAAGACCAAACGGATCGAATTCTACTGGGTCTGCCGTGACCTCGCCTCGCTCAAATGGTTCCAGTCCCTTCTCGCCACCATCGAAGGATCAATGCCTCACGTCCAGCTCAAGATCCACATCTACTGCACCGCCGTCATGAAACCCGACCAACACCACAACATTGCCCTCCACATGAACGAGGATGTCTTTGGAGGGGACACCATTACGGGATTGAGGGCGCTCACCAACTTTGGACGTCCAAACTTTGGAGCCATCTTCTCGGAGCTGAGACAGGGGATTACAAATGGGACGTATATGCCGGGCGCGACACAGGAGTTGATGGTCGATGTGGCCGTCTTCTTTTGTGGGCCTGGAGCTATGGCCAAGTCTTTGAGGAAGGAGTCGAGGTTGCAGAGCAAGAACGGTGTCAAGTTCTCCTTCCGCAAGGAACACTTCTAGTTCTTCTCATAGCCCACACTCGTACACTCCAAAAAACACACCCTTTATCTTCATTTTCTTTCTACATATTCTCTCAAGTAAAACCCAACACACCTGTACCAACACAAAGCAACAATAACTCAAATGAACAGGCGATTGAACAGAGCAGGTGAACAGGGTTACTTCTGTTCGAACATGTGGATAAATACTTTCAGCGATTATGAATTGTGTTTGTTGTATTGGGATGTGATGACTCTAGTAGATATGTAGTGTAAAGTGGAGAAAAGAAAGAAGAAAACGGCAAAAAAGAAATGTTCTTCTTTACAACAAGAACTTCCAGAGGAGACCACCGGCAACAACAGCCAAGGCAACAAGGTATGTGCGGCTGCATTTTTAGTCATCGGCAACCAGGAGGCGATGTAAAAAACGATAGTAAAAAAAACGGTAGTAAAAAAAAACGGTAGGAAGACGGCCGACCCGCGGGTTATGTGAGACGATACGGAAATAGTGGCGTGATTCAAAATTCGTCAGATTGGAATCGGATGAGCGCGGTATGATAAAATGTATGATACATTGCCCGATATGAATGCGAGTGCGAAGCAGAAAAAAGAATTAAAAGAAAAGGAGGGATTGTGGTCAGTAAAGTGGAAATAGCACAGCTTAAAGACGCTGCAGTTTAAAGGCGGCAACCATGTTAGAGGTAGTAATGATGATAGAGGCGGAAGAGGAGGAAGAAGTGGTGGTGGTGGGGATGAGGATTCCCGCTGACAAACGCCAATCGATTCCATTTTGAGCCCAGGTGTCCCTCGTCTTCACGCGCGCTACCCCACGTTTTGGTCCTGAAAAACATCCCTGCACAGATCGATTGCTACTCCTTTTTCCCTGTTGTGCTCGTTCGCCTTTTGTTCTATCACTCTCCTCCAACTGGCGGACAATGGGTAATATGCTTATCGTCTTTATGATCTGTGCGCGGGTTAGCGACCATTCATATCTTTAGGTCATCTCCAAAAATAAAATGCAAAAGTCTACGGTTATCAAAAAATTGGTGGGAGGAGGGGGATGACCGATTGTGCAAGGTTCGGCCCGTTGATGCAAGAAGAAGGAGTATGATAGGGGTATTGAAGGGGATGGATGGATGGTGATGATGTAGGGCTGTAACTGCGAGTGATGTTGTCGATGTGTCGAAAACTGTTGATTGTTCTTTCTTTGCATTCGCCGTATCCGGATCGCCTCTACCGCTTCTACTCTCACTCCACACACCCACTCTCTCTCTATGCGCCTCAATCCTCTCCCATCCATTATTCTTGCAGGTCCGGTTGTATATGATGTAGGTGGGTGGGGTTGGGGTGTCTTTAGAACCAGCCTTTGACCCAGGAAACCAACCTTCCAGAGTCGGCGCTCCCGCCAGCGGGGATGGGCTTGGGGGTCGTGGAAGACGCAGACTTGGGCTTCTGGGCGGAGCCCTATGTCATTGGAACAAGAGAAAAAGAGTGTGGTATCATCAAGTCAGTATGCAGCCTTTGTTCACACCAAACAAGTTATCAGATCAACGAAGCGCAATGGCCTCCATTGAGCCGAAAACAGGAGGATATTGGCGTTTGTTGTTGTTTCGAAGGCGTAACAAGGTTAAAGGGGAGTTGGTTAATACTTACATCGGTCTGGTACTCGCCGACGTACATCTTGTACATGATCTCGCGGGCCTCATCCGAGTGTCCGACATCCTCGAAGGACTCGGTGGCATCCTTGCCGGCCTCATCGATAAGAACCTCCTCTCCACCGGGATGCTACATCATCATTGAAAAGGATAAGAGGGGGAAAGGTAGTTAGTATTGTGTCTATGTATGTATCGATTGATAATTGTTTGAAGGTGTCTGTGTCGGTTCACGAAGTAGGGTGACTGGGGTGTGAGTCGATGAGTATTCCGAGATGACAAAAAAAAGAGGGTCGGAGTAGTTGAGAGCTGTTTGTCGATGGCCGTTCCTGAAGAGAACAACCCACATTGCGAAGTAGATGTAGTCATTGTTGTGCCGAGTAGTCTTGGTTTCATCATCTTCCATCGGGCAGCCGTAGTAGTAGTAGTAGTTGTTGTTGTTGTTGTTGGCTTTTTTTCCGAAGCAAAAGTCCGAGATCCAAAGAGTTGGTCGGTGCCTTAAAGATGAACCTGGCTTGGTCCAACACATCAGGCACCACTTCTTTTCCCTTTTTCATATGAGAAAGAAGGGTGAAAAGATGAGCAGGAGGAAGTAAGAGAAAAAAGTACCTCGTCGATGAAGTCGGTGCAGTCGTAGACCTTGCCTCCGACGGCGAGGTAGAGGCTGTTCTTGGAGGTGTGTGCGGCCAAGTCGGCGGTGGTGAAGGTCTTGACGTCGGACATTGTTGATTAGGATGTGGTGATGAGAGATAGGTAAGAAAGTGAAGGATGAAAGGGGAGAGAAAAAAGATGGAAGGGAAAAAGTTTATGTGAAAGATAGGGCAGCAGGAAATCTCGATTCCACGTTCACGAGCAAGGACAGCCGACATTTGTACGTGTCGTAGGAAATGAGGCGATCGGGGTCGGACATCGCCCAACCGCCATGCACCTTGGAGTACATTCGAACATGCCACGAACACAAGCAACTGCAATTGCTATTTATTTATCCTTTTCTTTGTAAAAACCTCGGCTTAGATCTTGCTGGTAAGCAGACCCTGGACAGCCTTATACCTCTCCGGCATCTCAATCTCAATCCCAACTCCCGTAAACTTGTCCAAATTACGCACAACATCCTGCGGGAACGGCCACTCCTTCGGGTTACTCACCCTATCCAACCTCGCCATCTGCTCCGGAGAAAGCGTAAACTCGAGCGCACCCAGATTATCATCCAATTGCTCCAAGGTCCGCACACCGATCAAGGGCGAAGTAATACCGGGCTTCTGAAGCGTCCAGTTGACAGCCACCTGGGCGGGAGTTCTGTTGCATTCCTTGGCTATCTCCTTGACCTCCTCCAGGATCTTCCAGTTCTCGGGTCGCTTGAAGTGTGTCTGGACTTGGCCCTTGCGCTTGCTCTCGACTTTGGTCGCTTGCTCCTTGGTGTGTTTTCCGGACAGGAAGCCCTCGGCGAGGATGGACCAGGGGACGATACCGAGACCGTGTTCGGCAGACATGGGTTGGATGTCAGATTCGAGTGATCGATTGAGAAGGTTGTAGCGGGTCTGGAATCCAATAAATGGTGTCAATCCACGCAGTTCTGCCATTGTATTTGCAGCTATTTCACATTGATACAAAATGTTGGTGAGGATTGGTGCGACCAAGGTGTCTGTTTTGCCATCTCAACGGAAAATTTGAAGTCAATTTGGCTTACAGGAGACGACCCAGCTGGGTGTGTCGCTGACAGCCACATATAAAGCCTTGCCAGACCGAACAGTGTCATCCAATGCTCGCATGACCTCACGAACAGGGGTCCTGTACTCCCACAAATGTACATACAGAATGTCGACATATCCTGTTCCCATTCGCTTCAAACTGGCATCCAGCGACTCGACCAAGTTCTTCCTGTGGTTACCGCCTATCATCGATAGGAATTATTGAAGTCGTTAATGCCAGTGGGACATAGATTCTCCTTTTTGAGGTAATCATAATCGTTCTTCATGATGTGCCAAGTACCTGCGTTGGGGTTGGGACGGGAAAAACGACCAGCCAAGGCCTCGGTAGACGAAGGGTTAATGGAGTACTTTGTCGCAATAACGCACTCGCTCCTCTTGTCTGCAATGTACTCGCCCAAGAAGCGCTCCGAGTCGCCGTTGGTGTAAATGTTGGCTATGAACAAAAACGATGAATCGCATTAAGTAGTGTGGGGTTAGCTGCCTTTTCAATGACCCTGCAGTCGCATGTAAGCTTTGCACGTTTGCAATCGTACTCGTCGTACCTGTATCGTAAAAGTTGCCACCCTTTTCGTGGTAGCTGTCAAAAATCTTCTTGGATGCCTCCTTGTTGCTTCCAAAGCCCTATCAGTTACCAAGAAAAGAGATGCTTGTCAGCCAAACTGAGAGTTCAGGTCATTTCATAAACAAAGCAAAGTGAACACAGAAGCAGACATCGGTGAAGGTTACCCATTCTTCGCCAAAGGTCATGGCTCCGAGACAGAGAGGACTGACTCGCAGTCCAGAGTTGCCCAGCAGGACATAGTTGTCCAAGGCTGTCAGGGTCGAGTCGATTGAAGTGCTGTCGGACGTGTCTTTCATGTCCGAAAACGTTGCGTAAGAGGAGGAAAGGGTAAAAGGGTAAAAAGGGTAATGTGAAAAGAAAGAAAGAAAGAAAGGATGAAGTCTAAAGCGATTAAAAGTGACAGAAGGGGGAGAAGGGAAAACAGTTTATGCAAAGCAAACAATCAAAGCGAGCCGAGAACACTTCGCTCCACACTCTACCAGTGCGTTTTCTCGATCACTTTTTTCAACAATCACAATTCCGTTTGAAAGGCTTAGATCTACAGTCTGAAACAAGGTGCGGGTATACGTTTATCTCGGGACATGCACATGCGTAAAGTCGCTCGGATAAAGTCGTCTAGGAATAGTGTTCTGTACAATTCGGTTGGGGGAAGTGAAATTTATTTCCCGGTCAAGATCGCCATGATATTGTCCAGTTTTGTCATGGGCTTGTTTGCCTTGGGTTTTTTGGGTGGCCTAGGTACTGCTGCTGCTGCTGCTGCTGGAGTGCTGCTGTTGTTGCTGCTAATCTCAGTCTTGGTGGATGACTCGGTACCAGCCGTCCGTTTCTTTGGAAGAACCGACTTTGCCGCGTCTGTTGTTGTCTTTGTTGTTGTTGTTGCTGCTGATGTTGACTCTGACTTGGACTTCACTTTCTCTCCTTGTGTCTTCTTGACTGGAGAGTCAGTGGTAGATTTCTTCTTTGTCGGCCGATCTATTGACACCTCCTTCTTCTTGTTATCACCGTGCCGATCCGACTTGCCAGGATGACCGTCACGGGTAGTTCCTGTAGACGCTCCTGCGCCACCACGACCACGCCCACCACCTCTACCACCACGAGCACCGCCTCGACTAGCACCGCCCCTTCCACCATCACGTCCACCTCTCGAGGAGTAAGTCTCCTTTGGTTGTGTTCCTGCATCAATAGTGTAGCGATCGAGTCCATGGCGTGGTGTATAAGGCTGACCCCAGCTCTCCGAGACTTTGGTTTTCCTGGTTGTGGCGTCGATGGTTGCTTGATCGATCAGTCCGGCCTTGACCTTCTTCTCCCACTCGCGTTTCCGCTTGCTCTTTTTCACTTTTGTGTTTCCTGTTTCTTGCTTGAAGGGGATGTGGATGACTTTGTGTGGATAGAATGACCGCGCCTATATGCGATGTATAAAAGCGCAACGTGGCTAGAGTGAATATCATTTGCTGAATGTCCCCATACAGTTGATGCCAACTTTAAGTTTGGTACTGTCAAACTTACCCATGGGATATGCGATTGTTCCAGTACGGTTTTGGCATCAATGACTGCCTCGGCGATTTGTTGCATGCGTTCTGATCCAGGCGACTCATCCAGCGGTGGTCTCTCTCGGTGCACATATATGATCTCTGGCTCCTTTGCATTCAGGACAATGGTTGTTGGGGTTTCGTCTGAAGCAAATAGTCGGAACTCCATGCCATCATCTTCATCCTGACCCTCTTCGTCTACATCTGACTTGTCCGAGTCGCTGTACAGCCTCTTATTCGAAGCAGCCTCTGAGGTTTGCATCGTCATCTCCGTGTCTAAAATAAATACGTGCATAAATGAGGTTGTTCTTGTGAGTACGCGATGGTCGTTTTCTTCAATTGAAAGGCAATTAAACAATACGATTCATGGCTCTCTGCCGATGGTAGGCACTAATTGTAGCAGTACCTTCGATCTCAATGGCACCCTGAAGTTGTCCATAAAGTCGCTCCAATATCGATTTCGACTGTTGATCATCTCCATCCTCACTATCTTCCTCCTCCTGAGAGTCCTCGTCCTGATTACGCCTTGATGATTTAAGTCTGTTGTTGTGTGTTGGTTTTGAATGTTGTTGTTGTTGATCAAAATTGTCGTGAAAGATGGCAGCTCTTGACGAGCGGACTGTGTTAGGTTGTAAGAACGTTGGTACAATATTTGGGTTTCTATTTTCCGAATGAGGTGTGAAGGGAAGTGGGTGTTAGAGGTTGGAATGAGTGATGAGTATGTTCTGTAAATGGCCTGTACTCTTGGTGTCTGTAGTGTCGCGTATTTCCTGTATGAGGCGCCGTACCTTGAGTTCGACATGGCGGCGTAAGTGTTGTCAACGGTAGTTGGCGAATGTAGTTGCAGTTGGGCTGGCTCCAGCTTAAAAAATATGCCTCGTCAAACAACAAACATACCAAAAAGCAGTCCCGACAACAGCGAATTGAAGATAGAATCATTTCTCACAAATTCGCTCTTGCTCAGGCACCTTCTCCTACGTTTGCCATCGATTGCTCTACGATCAATGGATCCATTGGGTTTTCAGGCACATTTTAACAATTTGACTTGATCAATTCACAAGGGACTGATCAACGGTTGAAAGCGCGCTGAAACAGTGATCAGCGAAGGACGTGTCCGAGCTTTCGGCCAAATTGCTATCAACTACAAGGTCAGGAGGCATTGAGTAGGGCCAAGCCATTTAGCCATGTAGCCGAACTCAGCAATTGTCCATTGCTGTAGACAAGCAGGCTGATGTGCGAAGGATGAAGCTGTTTCGTATGATGGTCGGGTCCAGACCCCGACATGTCAAGGATGCCGCCGCTCGGGAAAAGCCGAGACCGATAGGCGAAGAGTCATCATTGTTGTTGTTGTCTGCGCGAGATAGTTTCCCACCAGCAGACGAGTCGAGTAAAATAAAGATGAGAGGAGTTTGGATTGAGGAAAGGAGAGAAGAGAGAAGAGTATCATTCGTCTTTGTTGATTGTTCCCCCGCACTTTTTCGATTTCCTTTTTCTGACTGGGCAGTTTCACTCGCCGCCAGATCAAAGAACTGCTGCCCGCTATCTCTCCCAATTTCCTGACTCTCCCTTTCCTCACTTCAACCTTTTCTTTTCTTTTCTTTTTCTTGTCTCTCTCCTCTTTTTCCCTTCTCTTCATTTTTTTCATTTCCTTCTTCAATCCTCACCCTTCCCCACTCACTACCACCACACTACATATATTGACAATGACTGCCGTCGTTTCTACCTCCTGCCCAGACCTCAAGCTTATCGCCCGCGGCAAGGTCCGCGACCTCTACGAAGTCGACGAGCACTCCCTCCTTTTCGTCGCCACCGACAGAATCAGCGCCTTCGACGTGATCATGCAAAACGTAAATCTTTCTTCTTCTCTTCTCACTTTTGCTCTCATTCGAGATCAGGAATGACAAACAAGCGAAACCCATTCATTCACGTTTGTCGTTGTGTGTATTCACGGTGACTCACACGCCTTTCTTTCCTTTCTTCTCGAAAACAACGACTGGATAAACAGGGTATCACAAACAAGGGAAAGCTGTTGACAGAGATCAGCGTCTTTTGGTTCTCATACCTCAAGGATGTCCTCCCCAACCACTTGATCACCGCCGATTTTGAAAAGATGCCTGCCAAGGTCCAGCAGTACCGCTCTCAGCTCGAGGGACGCTCCATGCTTGTCAAGAAGCTTCGTGTCCTTCCCATCGAGTCTATTGTCCGTGGCTATATCACTGGTAAGAAGCGAGAAAGAAAAATAGGAAGAACTGAACAATAGAAGGAATAAGAGACTATGGAAAGAGAGGATCAAAGGAACGAAAGGAGCAGCGGAAAGAAGGCTATACCGGAAAGAAAACAAAGGAGAGAAGGCAACAATGGAGGAGACAAGAAACAATTGAGAGAAAGTAACATAGTCTTCAAGGAGCAGGAGCACTTTCTTCAACTTCATATACCATTCTTTTATCACCACTTGATCTCAAGGCGCTAATATTCCCACGTACATTTGATTTGGTTCATACCTTAGGCTCCGCTTGGTCAGAGTATAAGAAGAAGGGAACTGTCTGCGATATTGCCCTCCCCGCTGGTATGCAGGAGAGCGAGGCCTTCCCCGAGCCCCTCTGGACCCCCAGCACCAAGGCAGAGATTGGCGATCACGACGAAAACATTCACCCCAGTAAGGCCGCAGGAATCATTGGCGAGAAGCACGCTTCCGAGATGGCCAAGATCTCTGTCGAGCTCTACACCAAGGCTCGCAACTACGCTCAGGAGCACGGCATCATTATTGCCGACACCAAGTTTGAGTTTGGTGTCGATGAGAACGATAACCTCTACTTGATTGACGAGGTCTTGACCCCTGGTAAGGAAAATGCTGTCCACTTCAAAACAAAAACATGCATACAAAAAAAATTTGTCCCTCGCAGATTCCACTGTTTTTCTTGAGATCAAGGACTTGATGATTCGGGTTTCTAATTGGATCGATATGCTTATTCTTCTTCCAACCATCTCTTGTAGACTCTTCGCGCTTCTGGCCTGCCGCTACATACAAGGTTGGCGCTGGACAGGACAGGTAAGCAAGGGTCTTTTGTCACTAGAACTTGCTTTATTCGATGCAGCTCCTTGTGAATTTGGTGTCTATTGTCTAATTGACCTTGTTTTCGATCCTTTCTTAACTGTAGCTTCGATAAGCAGTACCTTCGTAACTACCTCGAGTCCATTGGATTCGACAAGAGTCAGGGTATCACCCTGCCTGAGGACATTGTCACCAAGACCATGGCCAAGTACCAGGAGGCATACAGGCTCCTCACCGGCAAAGACGCCCAGCTCTAAGCACATTTTCACCCACCCAATTTTCATCCAGCATCTCCTCTCTTAACACTTGTAAAAATAAACAGTCACAATTCAAGAGTGCAGGTTTTTCCAAACGCGACCTGCACTTGACACTTCTTCGCACTTCACACATTTCTCCTTCTCTTCTTTGTCCATTCGCACTCCTTCAAGAGCCAACAACCCAGCTGGATTCCAACATGGCCGCCAACGAAATGGCCATCAACGACTCTGCTGCCCATGACTTGCCTATCAGCCTCATCCTAGGACGGTCAGTCTCTGAAGGATTCATCAAATTGAACGACCCAGAGCTCAGTAGACCATTCGACAACATTGACGAATACAACACAACAACAGCAGCAAACAGTCACCACTCGACGCATAGGGTTCCCCTCTCCCAGAGCACTTCTATCTACAGCCACAAGATCGGCCTCGTCTCCACCACTACACGCCCTCGTTCCAATCACCCAAAACGAGCCACCACCCTGAACGTCTTCAACGGTCGACGGGCTTCCCATACGGCTACAACAACAACTACGACAACAAATGGTGGCGTCGGCGAAAAGACGAGACCAGTTGCTTGTGGCTATGGATTGCCGGATTTCTCCTCTGACGAGTCTGATTTCAGCAATGGAGAGAGTGATCTCTCCGATAGCGAGCAGGACTATAACCGCCCACATCGCGACGGTGCACCACAGTATATCCCGCCTGCCAACAACCCAGCGCACTATGTCGCTCAGATTACTGGTCGCATGGACCCCTGGGAAGCCCAGATGCAGCAGATCCAGGACCTTGGCAAGGTATAGAGCGGAGTGCTTGTCCTTCTTTACGCCGTTAAGAGTCATCACAAAACGAACTAAGATCGGACATTAACGGGCACCCTTTAACAATCCCCAAAATAGGACCTCGCTCCAGAGATCGCGGACGAGATTGCAAGGAGGTTCGATACAATTGCACGGCGGCCAGTTAGCTCCAAGGTTCAATGGATCAAGGAGGACGATATCGTTCAAAAGCTCAAGAATATCAGCCTGGAGACGGAATCGATCAAGGAAAGACGGAGGAAGGAGAGCGAAGGCAGGAACCAGTCCATGAGCAAGGTACCGCCACCAACGAATGCGCGCACTATGAGTATACGAATAATTGTTATTTTTTTGTGCAAACCACGCACCTCGGCCAGCGACTAATAATCAATAATTTTTCCCTATTAGGATATTGATATCTGCATTGCACAGGTCAAGGATGAGCGGGAAACCGCGATTCGGAACTTGCAGGAGGCACAAAGAAAGGTGCAGGAGGAAAAGGAGAAACTGGCTAAGGAAGCCGAGGACAAGAAGAAGGCCGATCTTGCCAAGAAGGAGGAGCTGGAGAAGAAGAAAGCAGAGGCGGCAGCAGCAGCAGCGGTGAAGGCCAAGAAGGCAGCCGAAGAAGCCGCAAGTTTGGCATCGGCCAAGAGCACCAGTTTGTTCGCCAGCGATTCAGCAAAACAGGAGTGGGAGACGTACTCCAAGGTTCTCGAACATATCAAGACTGTTGTGACACCCTCCATCACGAGCAATCCTGGTCTGAAAAAGAACTGTAACGCCGTCCGCCGCGACATTGTTGCCGCAATCGGCAGAGTTACCAACAAGCGCGAGGAGATTATGCGAGTCGTAAGTGTTAGCAAGCCGGTTCTTTCGTGACGTTTTATTCCATGAGGATCGTATGTTGTCCATTGTTTCTAACTCAACTTTTATTTTCTGAATGTATATTAGGCGACAGAGTTGGACGGAATTTTCAGGACAACGATGCAGGCGGGAGAGAACGTTTACTACTGGGCCATGAACGTCACCGCGAAAAAGCTCGTGGTAAGTACCTCTATTCATGCTCATTCTTCGAAAGACGTCGTGTATGCAGGTGAGTTGATACTAACGTGTTATCCTCTAATTGATATCTGTAGAAACAAGCCGAGACAGAGGCGCTCGTCAAGTCAGCACCCGCCTTCCCAGTGGCCCACGTCGCTGTGCTGTTGTTTACAACACACGCAAAGTTTCTGGATGTGCTCATGGCCAGATTCGCCAAGAAATGCCCCTATGTGACGCCGATGTACATTCCCAAGGCTGCTGTAAGTCACCGAGGCGATGATTTCTTATTGAATGTTGGATTGGGTTATTCTCTCAGTGCCTTGCGATATTTTACCAGTTCGTTATTTATCTCTGGCTTTGTTTTCATTCTTTCTTGATAGGGCGACAGTAACGATGTTTACATGACGAAGCTCGCGTACAAGAAGAAAGAGAGCGGCTACGAGACGGAAGCGCAATACGATGCCCGTCAGGCGGCCATCTTCACTCTCTACTGTGCTATCCTTCAGACGAAACCCCCAGGTAATTATTCAAAGGGTGTGCCTCTTTTAGGCAGCAATGGGTGCTCATGAACTGGTTGACATTCTCTAACTCAAAACGGCAAATTTCTATCATTACTTTAGTTGGATCAAACGTTCATGGCATGGACAACGGTTGGCGCTGGATGGCGCGTATTTTGAACATGCCGCCTCGACCCATCACACCCGCTCTGATCCAAGTCTTCCTGGAGGTGAGTGAACTTTTAATTGCTTTTCCCAGCCTTTTTTGTGTGGTTTTGTCTATCATGAACTGATCATATTTTGCATTGATACTAATGCCGAGTTTTTCTTCGCTTCGACTTTAGGTTTGCGGAAACGAGTTCATGAGGACGTACCGGACCCAGGCGACTAAGACGTTACAGCTCTTGATGCACAAATTTATACCCATGATCCCTCAGCAAGGTATCGCTGGTACAGTGAGACTGAAGACTCTGCTAGAGGCGTTCCTGAAGACGGGCAACATCCCCGTTGCCGACGGACAGCAGTATGATCGATAAATGGAGACAAATCTCGGTCATGTCATCGTCGTCGTCTTCTGCCGTCCACGAGATCGACTGCTATCATTCACTCCCATATCGTCATACTCATACTCATTAATAAAAACCTCAGAAACAACCAGATACAAGTGCGTGACATTTTTATTATGCAAAAAGGAAAGGGGAGTGAAGTGACAATGCAAAAATGGGCGGAGGATGGTTTGTGATTGTGCAAGGTATGAATTGAAAGGTGAGAGGTCTCTTGTTTAGTAAGGCTTGAAGCGTCTGTTAACCTTGAGAGCCTCGATCCTAAGCTTGTCCTCCTCAAACTTGCGACGAAGATCAACCAATTCTAAATTTTAACGAAAGAAAATAAGAACCGAAGGGTTAATTGCTTTTATCATTTCGAGAATCGCGAGTGATAAATAAAAAAAAACGAAAAAAAACGTACTGTCGCGCTTGGCTTCACGCATCTGGAAGCGATAAAAGTCCTGGAGCTCCTTCTTCTTGGGCTTCAAGTTCTTAACATCCTCAGCCTTGGCCGCAGAAATCGTAATAACACCGTCCGAGTTCTGGCCCTTAGATCCGGTACGAGTAACCAAAGTAAAACCATCATCGTCCATGACGTTGTGTCGTGCCAATGCGGCCTGTCGGGTTTCGTATTCTGACCGCTCAAACTTGTCCATGTAGTCGTCCACCTTCAGCTGCAACTCCGATGCCTCGGGTCTCCTTGTGTGATATTCGTTCAGCCATTCTATTATGAAATTGTTCAAAGGGTAGCGTTGGGGTCAGTTTTCCGAGTGGCAACTTTTTCTGCGGTAAATCACTCCCAAGTCGTGAAAGCCACATCCGGCCGAGAAAACAAGAGAAGGTCCTTACTTGAAACGCCGAGTCCGGTGAGTTTGGCAAGATCGGCAGGGGAGGCATCAGCTCCAGAGTTGATCCAAGAACGCTTTTTCCTCTTCATAACCAACGCCTTGTTCAACTCCTGCTCCTCCAAGAACACGACATACGCCTGTGATCCCGTCGCATATAACCTCCTGTGCTCCTCCTCCTGTACCACTGCTGCTGCAGCCTGCTTCTTTCCACCCTTCTTTCCTGCTTTCGTCCCTGCTGTTGACTGTGCCTCAACCAACGCAGCCTCCCTCTCAAGCCTCTCCAACTCCTCCTGCTGCTCCCTCTCTTCCTTTGTCAAGTTGGAATCCCTCACCCGGTCAAGGAACTGGACAGAGACAACCCGACCACAGGGCTTGAAGAGGTCCCGGAGGTGGGATTCTGTGGCATCTGCGGGGACGTTAAGGACAAAAAGTGTCCGGTCCTTGGGGGTCTTGGGGTCTTCTTTGGGGGACTCGTGTTTCTTGAAATAGAGGTAGTGGAGGATGTTTTTGTAGGCGGAGGTTTTTTGGGTGGTGGTGAGAGAAGGCATATGGAGGGGGAGGATGAAAAAGTTGGAGATTTGGTCCAGACCTCCTGCTGTGGAGGTGGAGTCTTCAGACTTTTGCTTCTTGGAGACCATTGTTATTCCTGCTGATAGGTTGCTGGTGATGAGGAAGGGGTGGTTGTTTGGTCGACTGTCGAAGTGAATGGGTGCAGTAACGAGGTAATGCTTTAAAAAAAAAGAAAAGAAAAGTAAACAAACGGTGGCTTTTGCGGATAGAAGAGACTGCCTTTTATTAGGGTCTTGGATTAATTGTCTTCGAACTTGATCCGCACAATGAGCTGCTCTTCCGGTTCCTGACCACCGTTGTCCTGTGACTCCTGGCCCTCAGGGACCCTGGTCTCTACTGCCAGCTCAACAACGCCAAGATCCTTTAAGATAGTAATTACGCGTCCTAGGTTATGTCTACGCTCCTCCTCCGGAGGGAACTCAGCCTATTTTCACAGAACAAAAGCACAAACAAAATCAGCATGGGATTCAATTGCAGTAGGTGCAGAAAGAAGGGTTCCAGTATGTCTAAAAGATTTACCTGGACACGTTCACTCTTGTATGCAAGCTCACTGTCCGGGCTTTCCACCAACATCTCGAGAACCCGGACCATGGTGATCCCAATGCTGTCTTCTGGGAAGAGCTGCTTGCAAAGATTCCGCATCTGCCACAGCTTCCTTGACTTTTCGCGCGTCAACTTGTTTTGCTCAATGTCAACCTATCGTAGCAATTAAACGAATGGTTAGAGAATATGGTTGAAAGTAGCATTTTCAACGGCTGAATCCTGGAAACGAGATGCAGGTGGTACGCACCATGGCTTGTTGCGGTTCCAGTTCCCTCAGGTATGCCTCCGACAGGCGCATGAAGGCATCACTGTATGCTTCCTTGTCACGCTCATCCACAAGAATATCAGCGTCAAATCTCTCCAGGAACTCTCTATGTGGCAAGTACAAGTTCCACGGCACAGCTATAAATATCATTCCAAACAAATAAACGGCTAGTTGTTAGTGTCGACATCCACTGAGCGAATAGCCCCACTTGCAGTGATTGACCAACACAGCGCCGGGTACATACTGGGAGTGAAAGCGTCCTGTCCTGCAGAATTATCGCCATCTCGGCTCTCTGACTTTGCTTTGAGTTCTCGTACTGCCTTTTGCTTGTCCTCGATTTTTTGTTGAATCGCTTGCAACTCTCTGTTCCTGCGTGCAATCTCCTTTTTCCGCTCCTCTTCTACTTTTGTCAACTCGCGCGATTCCTGTAGAAACCAGTTAGTATACAATGTCATACACTCTCTAGTAGCGAACTCCAAACTCGATCATGAAAAAAGCGAAGCAAGAAAGAAGGACTCACATGGGTTGGGCTCCTTCGGTGCTTCTTTGCCGGTAACGTCGTTGATCCTCCGCTACTTGCTCTCTTCAACAGCTGACTGAACTGCTGTCGCTTCTGATCCAATACATCGTCCAGTTCCGACGCACTACGGCTCAATTCTTCTTTCCGCTTCGTCAGAGATTTCAGCTTCTTGATGTTAGAGAGTCCCGAGGAGGCGGCCTTCTGAAGTTGAAGTCGACGTTGTTCTTTTTCCTTCTCGACATTGACAAGATCCATGAGCTCGTACTCTTTAGCCTCGAGGGCAAAAATGATGTTGGCGACTTTTTCTGAAAGAAAGGTCAGCTGAGGTGAGATCTCCTTGGTCACCTCTTCCTGTGCTAGGGCAATGTCCTGTTCCGAGACCAGTTCATATTTCTATTGACATGACGACGATTGAAAGGTGTGTTGTTAGATACAAATCAAGAGCTGTTGATATATCGTGGTTATATAAGATGAGTGTTTACCTTATTGTGGGAGGCGATAGTCTTGAGTCTTGGGTATCCACTTGTCGCCTCGTCCAGCATTGATACAGATGATTTCAACTATTCGTCAAATTGAAAGTATCGTGTCCTTGTTATTAAACACTCGTAGTATTTGACAATACCAACAACAGCGTTGTAGTTGTTGACGTCGAAAGTAGAGTGCACCACATACCAGCTGTGTTGACAGGTCTAAGGTATTGACGCATCGCTTTAGTGATGGCATAAAGATGGAGCTTGTAGAGGTTGTTGGTGTGTATGTCTTCCTTGTTCCGCTTGATGATGCTCCGTAGTCGCTGGGGCCGTGTCCAGCATGGCCTTGAAAGGTATTATTATTATTATTGGAGTATGAGCCTCCGTAGCCGAATCCGTTTCCGTGGGTGTCCATGGCTGGCTGTGTCTGTCTGACTGTTTGGTTCCTTTTACTGTTTCGGGTTGTATGGTTGTTTGTCCAAAGAGTCGAAACGAAATATGCGCGTTTTTTTATTTTTGCATTTTACCGCCATGTGGAAGGCACAAAGTCGACGTCACCTGAGCGAGCGGGCAAATTCCCCCAGGGCCCTTTTTCCCCTCCCGCTCGCTCCTTTCCTTTTCACAAGTTCACCCATCCCCTCAAACACCTCAACCACCTCTACCTCCATTCAATTCACTCTTCCCTCCTTCCTCTCCTCCAAGCCCTACCTTAACACTCATATCTCACAACCATGGACGCTGGCGGCTCTGAACTCTTTGAAAGCTACGAGCAGGACTACGAGGCCATCAAGGTCTCCATCACCGAACGACTCAATGCCTCTGGAAGCCAGGCTGGAGGTATGCTCTCCTTCTCTCCTTATGTCTGACTCTCTCTCTCTCTCTCTCTCTCTCTCTCTCTCTCTCTCTCTCCCTCTCTCTCTCTCACTCTCGCCTCCCCAACAATGACCTCTCCTATCACCATGCCGTACTTTCCTCAGTCTCAGCACCCTTGTTTGCATCTTTTGAGAGAGAAGGCTGTCTCCCTCTTACGCCAAGGCCCTTTTTTGCGGTATCAGCTCCCAGTCCAACTCCGCCCAGACCAAACCTGGCTGAACCGTTTCTGACTCGCTTCTTTTTGCCTTTCTTCCTTGTGCCATTTTTAGAGATCAAGAAGCAAACCCTCCGTGCGGCAGACCGTGAGATTGACGAGGCCAACGAAATTGTATGAGGGCGCATTTGATAGGAACAGCTTCTGTCGATTCTTCTGGGCGCAAGGTGCCATTGAAAAGTGGGACGACCCATGCAAGACACTAATTCGTATTGCTCTTTATTTATGTCGTCTTTGTGTCGTATGCTCTTGGACTTTTCGTAGTTGCAACAAATGGAAATGGAACTGTTGAACTTGCCACAAGGATCCAAGACCCGCCTTCAAGCCAGGATGCGTGCCTACAAAATCGATCTGGAGCGTATCAAGCAAACTCTGGCAAGTCAATCTGGATAAAATTCCAAGCACCATGCATGTTGTTCCTGACTGTGTGTACTGTCGATTGTCATCCTCACCTCACCCCCACACCACGCCATACATGCACGTGGGATTTCATCTGACTCCTTTTTTTTTTTTTCTCATTATTTTTGTCTGCTCCCTGTAACTCTGCTACTTGATCTATTAGAAGCGCGCACAAACCACATCAAGATCTACATCGGACAGGGATGAGCTTTTGGGAGGCGCCAGTGGAGGCATGGATCTGGATGCAGCATCGATGGATCAGCGCACTCGTCTCTTGAACGGCACAGACAGACTGGCAGAGAGCAGCAGACGTCTGCAGGACAGCCACAAGATTGCCCTCGAGACTGGTATGTCTTCCTTAATTATAGTGTATGGGGGATTGACTGCAGTCAGGTTAATCAGGAACTAACACTCTCATCTTTGGACAATGGACGATCTTCTTAGAATCACTGGGAGCAAACATCTTGTCGGACTTGAGAGGCCAGCGTGAGCAGATCGTCCACACTCGCAACACGGTAGGAGCTCTAGGTCATGTTTTATCTTTCGTAAGGGAGTTAACAAATGAACAAGTGCACGACCTTTAATCACTCTTTTCTTTTGTGTTATAGCTTTTGGAGGCTGATTCCAGCATTGACAAGGCATCTCGCACATTGAAGGGCATGGCTCGTCGGTAAGTTTCGGCAGAGGGAAGGAAAGGACATGCTGCGGTACTGAAAGGACGATTGACTGAAGGGTACCAGCTAATTTGCTTTCGTGATCGTCTAACTTCAATTCTCCAATAGCATGGCAACCAACAAGCTGATCACGGCATCCATTATTGTGGTTCTCGTTCTTTTGATCTTGTTTGTCCTCTACAGCAAAATCTTCGGACGTAATTAACTGTAGACAAAGTTGCGTTGACAGGGGACGAACACAATGTAATAAAATAATGTACTAGAAGATACAAGAGCATAAACAAATGTGATTTTGCCCTGGTGCACCATTATCTATCGCTGATGTGACGCGTGTCTTTTTTTTACTCGGCTACTCTTTCTCTGATCTATCATGGGATGCTGGGGCGGGTGTGTTTTCCCAGCCTCCTTTTTTTTGTGGCTACATACATTCAGATTCAGGGGTGTTGGCTCAAAAAAATAAATATGCCAAAAGAAGGGGCGCAAATTAGCGCTGTGTGTGCACAGTCCCGTTCGACCATCCAGGGCGGGGCTGCTCATTATTTTTGATTTTGTGATTTCTTATGTTAAGCTCAGCCCTTCCTCCATACCCCCAATAAAAATGCAATATGGATTGCGCTAGGTGTGTTTGCGAGGAAGGAAGATGGCGCACTCCCGTCGTTGGATAGTATGATCTCCGCGGAACACCAAATATCCAAACCTTAGCAAAAATGCTTGTTGTAAAGTATCATGCCCCTGCTTATCTTCAGACTCGCAGCGCAGCGACCCTTCTGTTGTTCACAGACAGGAGTGTTGAACAACCTGTTTGATTTTCTCCTTTAACAAGGTCCACCATTGCGCCCCGTTGCTCAAAGCATCTACGCAAGACGCCCAAGTTTTACCCAAAGGAAAAAGTACAGCCAGACACCTGGTAAAACAGCACAAGGATTAATGTTGATTGCAAAGCAACATTATGTCTGAAAATTGCTGAAACTGCACTCAGATCACGGTGACGCGTTAAAAGCAGACTAGTTAAAGCGCGACAAACAAACCAAAGAGATTGTATTAGCCACTTAACTGTAGTATAAATTTTGACAAGTGAACGAAGCATCAACAATGCGACCTTGAATTCCTGCTGGAGCAAGAATTGAAAGAGCCGACATCGAAGGATCAAAAAGAAACGTCGCTCTGAACGCTTGGCTGCCACAAGCCGGTTATCCCTGTTGATAAAGTAGATATTAGAGAAGTGACAGTTAGCAAATCAAACAATGGTAAAATATCAGTAGGCAAAGCAGTATCACAGTAAAGTGAGAAATGGCAAAACAAAGGGACAATGGCCAAGCACTTTGTAAGTAATAGGTCGACAGGTGCTCTTGAATTTTTCCTCAGCATTGTTTTGTGCAACCATGATCGATATTGACCGACAAATACCAAAGAGTATTTATTGCGCATAAAGGAGGCATCAGTTCGTTTAAGCCAACAACCAGGGGAAGATACAAAGAAATGGCGAAACAGAAGGACAGCACACTTTCGAGTCAAAAGGGTACAATTTGAAATTATGTCTCTTTCATCCAAACTCTTCCTCCTATTCACGCATTCTTCCTCGCTTTTCTTTTCTCGCACAAAGTCGCTATTTTCTTCATTCCTATGTCCCCTACCCACAATACATCTAACAAGAGCAATGGAGGATACTCAATCGTTTCGCCTGATCGAAACCATGGATACCATGGCAATCACTCTCAACCATGTTGACGGACAGAACATCGTTTATTGGGAGGATATTGAGCAAGTCTTTCCCGGAGTTAAGCGCGTTAGCAACGGCTATTCGGTGATCAAGTTTCTTCGGGGTTCCGATCAACAAGGGTAATAAATAAACGTAAAAATAATTTGAGACGAATGGCCTTAACGAGCAAACATCTCATCGTACTGTTCTCTTCCTTTCTGAATCATGCCATATAGCGTCCTGGACGTTGTCTTGTCTACCTCTATCCAACATGTTCTTGCCAACCCTGCTAAGTTTGATCCAGTCGGTGGTGAAACTAATGCTCCAGCCGGTGCTCCAGTTAATAACAAAGTCACTGTTGCTCTCAGGGCTACCCCACCTATACCAGAGACGCCCGTCAGCGACAATGGCCTTCTCGGCACACCATCAAGTCCATCGTCTACCACCAATGCTGCTTCCAAGGCATCATTGTTCCAGCAGACTGTGACACGCGCGTCTAGGAAGGCACGCGAATCTGAGGTCGAGCAGCGATTTATCTCCCTTTTGGCCCCTGAAGTCCACGAAACCGTTCGAGCCTCGTCGGACATCTACCAGGCGTTTGCCAAGGCTATCAAGTACAGTAACGGGGAGCTTAGTCGAGCAGAGCTTAGCGGCCTCCTTAAGCAAGAACTGGGTGGGCACTTTCAGAAGCTGGAGGCTATGGTGGTCAAGAACTCAGAGTTGCAGGAAGCAATGCTTGCCAAACAGGAAGAAGTGAAGCAGCTGCAGGAGCAAGTCCTTAGCAACCAAGACGAGATGAAGCAACTACAGCAACGAACTCTTGATCAGTTAGCTGTGCTCCAGTCCCGTGTGCAAGCCGTCTTAACTCAGACCTACGAACTCCACGAATACCCGATCCCTCGTCTTTTCGTTGTCCTTCCTCAAGACCCTTCAGGTTGGGATGCCGTAAATCCCTTCTCCGTCTCTACTTTTTATGCGAGTGTGGAGAACACACCAGGTCGATCAAATTCAACACTGAGATCTCTCATGATATCCACTTTGCTAAGCATGAAGGCTACGAGATCGCTCGACCTTCAGAGTTCTTTCAGCAATACGGCCCCTATGTCCTCACTATCCTCAAGATGCTCAAGTTCGGTGTTTCGGTTGCCGGAGTGGCTGTACCAGCTATCTCTCACCTGGTCAGATCGGACGCCATCGATCAAGCCACTGCCGGTCTACAACAGTTGAAGGACAACATTGAGCCTGGAATGAATCATCTCATAGACTGGATGGACAAGGTCTCTGTGAACGAAGGCGAGGCTATTGACGAGTTTTCTAAGCAGATGGAAAAGAAGGAGGCATTGGAAGGCGCCGACCTACGCAAGCTAGACACCTTCCTGAAGGATAAGGACGGCAATAAGGTGTTGGGGAACTTGTACAGGACCGTTACGGACGAGGGGCATGTCAAATGGGTTTGCATTGACCACTACCGCATGAACTATCTAGAAAGCTCGGCCAAGGAGTTCCTGCGCGTGTTAGGTTCCGTCGAAGGATCGTTTAGTGAAAACATCGGTAGGGTTGACGTGAGACTCCAGTCAAGAGCGTTGGCAGAGCCTTTCTTTTCGGCACTGGGAAAGGCGAGATATATCTACGAGCTCGATATCGACTTACACTGGGCCTGCACCACAAATGATCTTGAAGCACTGGAGGATGCGCTCAAGGAATCAAGAGTATCAATTCTTCGACTGGATCTTCAACAATTTCGGACGAGCGTCGTCAGTAAACTACTATCGACATCCACACCATACGGCGTCATTTACCGCATCAGAGATCTTCCTAATATGAAGGTACTTCATATTCTTCTTTCAAAGGAGTTCGTCAAGTTTCTTGGATTTCCACTCAAAAAATCAACTCATATTTGTAAGATGTCCTGCGAGCTAGCATCTACATGGATTGGAGGAAGGGAGTTGGGAATACTAGCTGATGCACTCAAGACCAACTCGACCCTGATCACTTTGAACTTGCTCTACAACTCGATCGGAGACAACGGAGCCAAGACGCTGGCTGAGACACTCAGGACCAACTCGACCCTGACCACTTTGAACTTGGGGGGCAACTCGATCGAATCCGACGGAGCCAAGGCGCTGGCTGAGGCACTCAAGAACAACTCGACCCTGACCACTTTGGACTTGGGGGGCAACTCGATCGAATCCGATGGAGCCAATGCGCTGGCTAAGGCACTCAAGACCAACTCGACCCTGATCAGTTTGAACTTGTTCTACCAAGCGTGGTTCAAGGAGGAGTGGAAAGAGACGAAAGGGGAATAAAGAAAAAGGAGGTAAGTGGACGCGGGCTCGAGGCATTCGTTCGCACCACTTCTCGCTAACTCCTCGTGCCTTCGCCATCAACTCCAACCTCCCGAGTAAACGTCGTCTGTACAAGAGCACTTTCCTATAGTGATCAAAAAGGGGCTCTACCTCATCCCTCTTTAGCATCATAAAGAATGAGAGGGGGTGAGTAAAAGTTGGGGGATTGGACTTGGCCCGTTTTGATGATGAATTTACTCGAAGAAAGCACAATTTTCAAGCGACTTTCTCTGATAGTCGAGGAATAGTAGGCGTGCGGTTGTGTCGGCGTCCTTGTTGTTGCTGTGAGAGTAGGTTATGAATTCGCAAAGTCCTCCCTTTATCGTGATCATCCTATCCATTTTCGGATCCTATTAGCTCATACACACAACCCGACATCGTGGACATCTGTCTCCTTAATTCCACTCCATTCTGTTGTTCTTTCTCGTTTTTCCTTTTCATCATACCCATGAATGAAATCAAAGAAAATATGTACAGGGAGGAGTTTATTGGATGTCGTAGTTGCCATGCGGCATAGTTGCTTGATGATAAGTGTCCGAAACGTCGGTTCTGATCTTGCAGACATCTGTTTACTAAGCGGTGGTGTCCTGGACGAACTGCATCTGGAGGTTGACCTGTTGAATGAAAAATTTTGGGACAATGCAAAAAAAAAAAACATGTTAAAAACACTTTCTTTTCACGTTTTCCTTTGCGAAAAAAAACCCCCACCATTGCCAACGCGAAAGGGCCCGAGACCTTGCCGTCGCTTCTCAAGCCAAACCACTTGGGGAGATTATAGTCCTGAGGACCGACGTTTCCAGAAGCCATAACCTGGTCCAGCGAAATGCTCGTATCTCCAATCTTGTCATCACGGAAAGTGTCCTTGTCGACCGCACGGACGTAAAGAGTATTCTGGCCGGGACGGACATAGAAGCAGAAGGTCTGGCCGTAGACAGGGTTGAGGCCCTTGTTATCCTTGGACCGGGACTTGTAGGACTTGTCGAGCCAGACCTCAAAGTAAGGGTCGGATTTGCCAAAGAGATCCTTGTCGCGGAGACCTGACGCGCTGTTGAGGCGGACATAGAGCTGGCCGGCCTTGGAGGCTGCGATGGTGATGGGGAGGTTGGCGTCAGAGGATTCCTTGGCAGTGGAAGAGGTGGCCATGGCGGCAATGGGGGCCAGGATGGCGATGGCGATAGCTGTCAGCTTCATTTGTGTTGTTTTTGTAAGTAGGTGAGAGGGCGAAGGAGATGATTAGGTGATAACGGAACAAATTTTTTCGAGGGAAAGTCACCTCTTTTATTGAGTTAATGAACGATTTTTTCTCGCGATTAGATTGAACTCTCGTGTTTCATTCTTGGTTTTACGGCGTAGTTCCAGTTGGTTTAGCGCGTTGTTGATGCAGGGATCATGCATGTCACTGTCATGGTCTTTGTATCTGATCCATTCTCGAAACCATGTCTCGACAGGATCTGCGCCTAGAAAAAAAAAAAGTAAAGAGGACTATGGAGAAGACGGAGATGAAGGAGTTGACGTAGAAAATAGCGAAAGAAAAAAAAAGTCTCCAAAAAAAAAAGGCGCGCGAAAATGCAAAAAATAGCTGTATTTCAACGCGCGAGATATATAAAGCATTCGTTTTGTCCTAGTCCATCAAAGACTTTTTTCACCAATCTTTATCATCCTACACCCCTGATCTCCAGCTCTCCTTCTACTACCCCCACACTTCAGAAATGAAATTCCTCACCCTCGCAACGGCTCTCATCCTCATGCCCATCGTCTAAGTCTCGGCCCAGGCCTGCGTGGACCTCGAGTCCCCCCCCCTTCCGCCGAGAACATTGATACCACCATCTCCGCCTCCTCCGCCAAGGGCAACCTCTACGTCAAGTTGAACAGCGCCAGCAACCTCCGCGACAAGGACTGGTTCGGCAAGTGGCTCGACAAGTCCTACAAGTCTCGTTCCAAGGATATCAAGTCCAACTTCGACCCCGTCTACAATCAGACTTTCTGCTTCTATGTCCGTCCCAGCCAGAGTACTCTTTACATCCGTGCGGTCGACAAGGATACCTTTAGTAACGACAAGATCGATCAAGCCTCGGTCCCACTTTCTAATGTCGTCAGGACTGGCAGTGAGGGCCCTCAGAACTATAATTGTCCCAGTGGTTAGGCCTGAGGGTCTAATGGAAACGTAAATAATGGCCTTTTTTATGTTTGATGCATGACAATGGGTTGTTCGCAATGGAAAAAGAGTAAAGAATGGAGCCTAATTCTTGATTTATTTTCCTGCATTTTACTCAATAGGTCAACATGCAGATGCAATTTGTCGCAGACAACTCCTAGATGTCCATCCTTTGAACGGCTACACATTGTACATAGTCTCCAACCACTTCATCATAATAATAAAAACGACTGTTGATGAAAAACCTTAATTGGGCTCGTGCCTCCTTGGGAACAGGTCGACTCGACTATTGAAACAACACCCCCGACCCATCATTCCATTATTTGAGAGGTCGGCTGGCGAGGCGATCTGTCGTCGTCATCGTCCTCGCGGATCTCGGTATGTTTTCGCTTGGAGGTAGCCGATACCGTATAGTCCACTAACCTTGACCCTGAACCTTCGCCACAAAGAGGTGCCTTGATTTCGTGTGTCGGTCTTTTCCACCCTTTCGTCCTGACTGTCGCAACTTTCGCTGAAATAGCCTCGTATTCATCTGTGCCTTCATCTTCCTCCTCTCCATCGATTTCTTTCGTCAGCCTTCACAGGCTTTTTTTATCTCTACTTGTGCGCACGCATGAATGGTGTATTCGCAGTCAAGGATAACAAGATGTATTGGAACTCGACGTTGTATTTGACGAGGAGACCGAAAAGTACCACAACAACTTTCGGACGACGGATTGGGGCGGAGACGCGGATAGTATGTGTAATGACGTTCGAGACTTTCCTATCCTTGGAGGCGATGGCACCCTCACTATTGGAGATGTGATCGACAAGATGCGCAAGGGCCAAATGACAAAAGTCATGTTGGAGGAGAAGGTATGTGACACCTGGTACCATTGCAGGACCGTCTTGATTGGCGATGGCGAGTCTCTCTTGCTTGTCACCCTATGTTGTCTTTAATTGCCCCTCTCTGATTGTACTGACCCCCCTGTTTTATTTGTATCGATCTCGTTTGTATTAGCATGCCTCAAGATAATTCTCCTTCGCATTATTGTACTCACACCCAAGAGATCCATTCACAGGGATAGACAAGACACTAACACTACTCTACTTCTTCAATCCTTGTATTTGTGTTGTGCTTCAGTTACACCCAGCTGGCGCCCAAGGCGCGAATATGGCGATTCAGGATGCAGTGGCGCTCGCAAACTGGATCAATGTGATCGCAACTCCACAAGTCAAGGATGTCGAAAAGGCGTTCCGGGCGTACAAGGAGGAACGACATACAGCCGCACAAGTAGCTAATACTCTGTCCAAAAGTATGTGCAGGTTCTACGGCAAGGTTGGTGATCTTGCCCCATTTCTTTCTGTGAATTTTTTTTTTGGTGGGCGATTTTTTTTTCCTATCCCTTTCTAAGGTCTGATCCTCTTGAACATCTTCCTCTCCATCCCACACAACCGACATTAGCGCACTTATTACGCGCTTCATTGCCAAGAACATACCCTTGTGGATGTGGGAATACGTGATGGTGGCTATGGTGCGAAACAGGCCCCAGGTCTCGTTTCTGCCGTTTGTACAGGACCATGGAACGGTCAAGCCTGCCGAGTTGAACAGCTACCGCGAGACATTGAAGATCCGGGCCAGGGTGGCAGAGAGAGCGGCAGGGATGGAATCAGAGGCAGGAGCATCTGCTGAGGTCAATGCCACGGTGGTATGAGTCAGGTCGTGGGCGCTAGTTTGTTGGGGATGATGCCTCCTTCCATGACGACTCGAGTGTTAGATGTGTGTGGGTGGATGGCCTTGAGTTGCACGGGGGTCGAGGCGTGAGAGGGTAGGGGAGCCGGGATAGTAAGATAAAAAGAAAAGTATGTGCGTGGCGTAGTGAGGAGTAAAGAGTGGAAAAAATATAGAAAAAAAGAAAGGAAGGAGGAAAGGAAGAAAGAAGGAGAGAAAGAAGAAAGAAGGTGTTGAAAAAGGAAAGTGGGAGAGAGAGTTTTATATACCTCTCCATCCTGGTGAGGGATCAAAGGCAGCCTCTCCTTTGTCTCAAACGCGTCCTTGTCCTATCTATCAGTCGGTCGCGTATAGTAGTAACCTTATGTGACCCTCAGGCACGATCGCAACCCTGTCACGTTCTTCGTTCACATGTCATCCGTTCTTCTTTTACTCAGGCTGAGTACAGTTGGTTCTAATCTTTCTCTCCTTCACAACTCATAGCTGAAAAGTAATAGATCGTTTGTCGTTCTTAGCCCACCTGTTCGTGTTCTGAGCAAATCCAGGGGGCGGAGCTTCAGGACGGTCACTTGCTCACTTTTTTTTTCTAAGACACCCCTTTTGCTTCTTCACCCCTTTCTTTCCTTTGTTCTCGAATCTCCTTCCCATCACTGCGCCATCAACAACAGCAACAACTCGGCCATGCTACTGAATGACTTTAGCGTCATCACCCCCTACGGCACCAATGTCTCCTCTTGTGGCTACTGCAAATCCACTGGAGGATCACACACCTATGGCATGTCTGCTCACCTCATGACCTGCAAGGTAACTTAGTCAAGCATTCACTCTTTGCATTAAAGTCTCTTGCTCAACGCCTTCGCCAACGGGTTCCCTTTTGAATGAGCGTAAGGGTGGTAACAGTTCTTCTAACTACTCCCTGTGTTACTGGTTGTCGCACTCTAGGACTACCAAGCGCTCGTTAACCGAGGATGGAGAAGGTGAGACACAAGATCTTTCGAGGAGCTGTGTGGCAACAGGCGTGGATTTACTACTCAGCGATCAATTAAACTCTTGACTGACCTTGCGCCTGTTTGTGTATTTTGCGAATAGGTCTGGGAGGTACCTGTACAAGCCCAACCTGAGAGACAGCTGCTGCCCGCAGTACACCATCAGGTAAAGACACCCATTCTGGGCTACGTGACACCCCGATGATCCCCACAAAACGAAATTATCCCACGCTAACTCTCTTTTTTACGATCCGTTAGGATGAGAGCCAACGATTTCGAGGCGTCCAAACACCAAAGGCAGATCGTCAACAGATTCAACAACTTTGTTCAGGAAGGCGATGACAACTTTGACAAGGACATTGCTGCGCGTCAGAAGGAGAGTCAGGCGACTGAGAAAGGCGGAGCTGGAAAGACCAAGCCAGAAGCCGGATTGGAAACAGCAGCGACCGAGGCGTCTTCATCAGCGGCGGAGACAGCGGCGCCAACACCTACGAGCAAGAAGCAGAAGCCGAGAAAGGCGCCCAAGAATGTGGCGACGGACCTGCGGACTCGGATTCGGTCGTCAGAGTACCTTCTTTCCCCTGATATCACCTCGTGGAAACACCGTCTGCGAGTATGTTATTTTGGTCTCGCAATTAATTGCAAAGGAGGTTTCTGAACAGAAAACAAGATCAGGGCGTAACAGGCGTAACAATTAACGCTTTTTTTTTTATTTCAATTGACATGTCTCGATATAGATCAAATTAGAGCCATCATCTTTTACGGAGGAAAAGCACGCCCTGTACACAAAGTACCAGATGGAAGTCCACCACGAGCCCCGGTCCAAGTGTCAGCCCAAGAGTTTCACCAACTTCCTCATCGACTCGCCTCTGACTGCGACCAAGCCGGATGACTGGACAGAGGAGGATCCAGGATACGGATCGTTCCACCAATGCTACTACCTGGACGAAAAGCTGATTGCCGTCTCGGTGATTGACATTCTGCCATCGTGTGTGTCGGCAGTCTACTATTTCTACGACCCCGATTACTCCGTCCTGTCGTTGGGCAAGTACAGTGCCCAGAGAGAGATTGCGCTCGTTCAGGAGTTGAGCGCCAAGCCAGGATACGAGGATCTCAAGTTTTATTACATGGGTATGTAGGATACTCGTGGTTGTTAATGTTGGGGCGCTAGTTATTGATTTGTATCTCGTCAATTAACAATTGCACTTTGATCTTTCCTGCAATTAGGTTTCTATATTTTCACCTGTCAGAAGATGACCTACAAGGGCCAGTTCCATCCTTCGTACCTTCTGGATCCTGTAAGTCAAAGAAACACGCGCGTGTGTTTTGTCAGTTCGCAATACCTCTTCCCGCAGAACAAAACACTAATGGTCTTGAGTTGTATTTTTGACATAGGAAACATACAACTGGATCGAGTTCAAAAAGTGCCAGGAGATCCTCAAGGACCAGAGATACAGCACGTTTGAGCACCCCACACCACTGGATCCCTTGTTTGAAGCAAAGATCCAATCCATCATCGACAAGAAGCAAGGTGCGTCCTCCAAATCGAGCGGTGACGACGATGATGACGACGACGAAGATGAAGATGGCGATGATGACGAGGACGGCTGGGACAGTGTGGCCGAAGAGGATGACGAGTTTGATCTAGATCCGGATGAGTTCAATGCTCGGGCGGTCGACAACTCGGACGACGAAGTGGAGGACTTTGTTGAAGGAGGAAGTGATCGCAAGAAGAAGAAACTGGACACTGAGCACGAAAAAGTTGACGGAGTTGATAAGGCAGAGAAGGAGGCCAAGGCTGCCAAGGCTGCCAAGAAGGCTCGGAGAAAGGAGATGGACAGGGTCTTCAAGGAGATCACGGCGCGGCCTGCTCCGGGCTGCTTGGACACGAAGGCTGTTACTCAGTTAACATTGGTGAACGTTCTGTGCTTGACTGACAAGAACGCATTGCGCCCCGTTGTGGTAAGTCATTTGTTCGCGTTCTCAATTTTTGTGTCGTTATGAACTCATGGCGTGCCTGAGGCTGTCACTGATCAAACACTGTTCGTTCCTTCTTAGGCTATTGACGCTTACAAGAGCCACAAGGAGTTGCGGAGCGTCATTGCAGAGTACTACTGTCAAGTCGGAGAAGAGCTCGCCAACTCCATGATCCTCTACGTGCGCTGAGTTGTGAACGACAGTACCGTGGCAGCAGATAGTCGCGAAATACAATGGCGTTTATTACTGTATGAAGGGGTGGGTTGTCCTTGGTCCCGATGTATCAATTGTAGTTCCTGTGTTCTAATGAGGTGAATGTCGTTAAACTGCATGGATCTTTGCAGGTTCCACGATTTCGTCGTCAACTATCGAGGATAAGAACACGAGTGTTAGAGTGTGTGCCTAGGCAAAGTACAAACTAGTCAGGGATACGTTGAGAAAATTAAATGTGATTTACCTTGACGACGGAAGATGGTGATCTCCTGCTGCTTGAAGTAGCGTCTGTTCTCCTCGTCGACAAGAACCAAGTTCAAGTAGTAGCGTGCAGAGAACTTCATGTTGACTAGTTTGTTCAAAGTGGTGCAACAAAATGGCATCAGTACCAAAGGCGATCAAGCAGTATTTGGTCCGCAAGCAATTGTGTCCATTCAGACGAGCAGCTTACCATCGCGGAAGGTAGGGGTGAGCTCGAAACCACCCAAGAAGAGGCGAATGGGAATAGTCTCTCCACGAACGGGTGCGCCATCCATGATTTCGAACTTTGTAATCGTTTCGCTTTCGTTGTACTGGTTGGGTGGTGCTCCGGTGGTTTCCCGACGGATAATTGAGAGTTCCATGTGCTTGACCTTGATGCGGACCAAAAGGAAATAGATCTTGCCGACAATAACGTCCTTCAAGTGGTATCTATCGGTCGGAGGGGAAAATTGTTAGACGTGTTGTTTGACGCGCTACTAAGCAAGCACGAAAAACGCAATGCAAACCACAAAGTGTTGGCGGTACCTAGATTTGTTGTATTCGAACTCGATGTGGAGGCAGTCCTCGATTCCGACCTCCATCTTAATCGAGTTGTTGCCGTCTGGGGGCATGACATACGAGTGCACCCAGATGTCCTGCTCCTTGACCACATCAGCCATTCGGCGCAGAATCGTAACTCTCACAAAGTATCTATATTGTTTCGAAGGAAAAACAAATATCCGTGTCGTCAATTAAAAGGTTGATCCAGGCGTGCCGATCTTCCAATTCAAAAGTCATGTTGATCTTTGAAAAAGTGCTCCTTAGTTACCTCAGCTTGACATTGATGCCGTGATAGCTCTCATACTGCTTCTCGATGTTCTTGAACTCAAAGTCAAAGTCGGCGTTGTTGCGGAGCTCTCCAGGCACAGCCAATTCCTGTTGAATCGTCCTGAACTCGTAATGGTTTCCACGGTCGTAGAACATTTCTATCATGACACCATGACGAGGAATGTATCTTGGCGTTAGAATTTGTGGTCCATTAGTAAAAATACTAATATTAACGCATGGACATAAGACGATCGACTTTTGTATAATTTGTGTACCTATGCTTCCAACGAATTCGACCTTGATGCCGTTGTGCTCGACCTTCTTGTTGTCCCTAACCCTGATATTGATCTAGCAATTGAGAAAGGGCAAAGTATCGTGTCAGGTTATTCTCGTTACCAGGACTTCAAAATGCTCAGATGCAAGTCTCCCATAGGTCGTGTACTTTTGCATGGCGTGAAGATGCCAAGTGATGGGCAAAGTAGGAATGGCACAGCTATGACACGGGGGGGGGACGTGTTCGCGTTTCTTTTTTTCGTTCCTGATTTACCTTTCCAGCAACGGTCTCGCCATCAAAGTAGAGGGGGTATTTTTCGCGCTTGTCCTTGTCGACCTTGGCCTCGATTTGCTTGCGCTGTTCTTGACCGTTGAAGTGAATGTCGATGTCTATTGGGGCCGAGAGGCCGAAGAGACTCTTTTTTGGGAAAAGAGGCGGGAGAGGGAAAGAAGGTCAAGGCGTTGTGCATGTCGAAGGTGAACGAGAAGAGAATGAGGAATGACGTGAGTGAGAGATGTTTGCATGATAGAGGACGAGGAGAGGGAAACTCACAGCCATGACCATGTTTGAAGTGAGTTAGGAACGCAACCAAGCGTGGGAGAGGGGGAGAGGGAATGGGGTAAGGTAAGGTGTCTGTGTGAAGGGAGAAGGAGCAGAAGAAGAAGCAGAAGAAGCAGAAGCACAAGCTTCATTGTCTACTTGTGATCGCATGTGCTGCGATTGCCACTCGATGTACTGTTTCTGTCTGTGTCCTCAGAAGACCCTTGTTCTTTTTGCCCTTTGCTTCCTTTCCAACCACCACCGCCTCCTCCTCCCCTTCGACTGGCGTGCGTAAAAAGGTAACAACCCACGGTCCACCTTCTGGTCTCTCTTTTTTTTTTTCTTTCTTTCCACACCTCTCGTCACCCATCCGTCCTCCCTCCCTTCTCACCGCTACTGCTATTCATCCTCACATCCCTCACTCTCATACACCCCCCTCACACCTGCGATTGCGACCGTCCCTTTTGCATGGTACACGCTCATGCCCACCCTTTCTTTTTCTCACTCTCATCGCTCTGAAAAGAGGACACAAACACGTTTTTATTAACAGCTAGACACTTCGTTTACAGTCTACGATACACAAGAGAAAAGTTAGCAAGGGCAAGGATATGTCACAAAACCAGAACAACTCTGACGATGCCCATGACAGGCGCCTTGAGGACCCCACCGAGGAATCGCCCTTGCTCCAGTCCTCCCCAAAGCCCGACTCCCGTCCCGCCACCGCTTTAATTAACCAGGGCTCCTGGCGTCGCATGGCCGGTGTCTTCCTCCTTATGACCGTCTCCTACCTCGTCATTGGTGCCATCGTCAGCTACAAGAGACTCTCCCTCCCCGCGCCCATGTCTGTCGCCGATGCTGTCAGGCCTAATGATTTCTCGGCCGAGTGGGCTTGGCAACATCTGGAGCAGATTGCCCAAAAACCCCATCCCATCAATTCGCGTGAGAACGTCCGCATTCGCGAGTATCTCGTCCAGACCGTCAAGGGGCTTCAGAAGGAGGCCCAGCTGTTGAACCAGACTATTGAATTAGGTGTTGACGACGTTCATCTGACGCAGACCAGGAACTACCTTGGCAACGTCTCCCGTCTGGAGTATTACGAATCGTCGAATGTTCTTGTTCGGGTTGTTGGTACCGAAGGCCGAGCTGAGGGCAGCCTAACGGGTTATGCTGAGGCGGTTGTTGTGGATGCTCACTATGGTAAGCAAGCTAGCGCTATTACAAAAGTGGGTGAAATAGGATAAGACTCCAGTGGTCGAAGCGCGGGATGGTGTCTGAAAGAGGCAAAAGTGGAGTATCTGTCATCTCAATTGGATATTATGCTTTGATCCGGCGAATCTTTGCCAGCCATCCTGTCCTAATCCGGACATCAAGTGAACAAGAACGCGAAGAGCGTTTTTTTGGATCTTTTTCTACACGCTTTATGACACTTTCTTTGCTAAACAAACTATCAACACTCTTTCTCCTTTTTTCTCTTTTGCTCATCGCATCGCCTTCTAACTACTTTAGACTCGGTCTTGATTGGTCATGGTGCTACCGACGACGGCATCGGTGTATCCGTCTGCTTGGAGGTAAAAAAAAAATGCCCGCGAACAGAAAGGGTTTCCTTGATGATCGACTATACCTCGCTTTTAGCTTTGGTGTAACAGTCGAGATGGAATTCTTCCGGAAAATTGACCAAACGACCATTTTCTCCTTGCACCCACATAGATGATTCGTAACCTCATCAACCACCCCGTCAAGCACAACGTTATCTTCAACATCAACAACGGTGAGGAGGTCGGCCTTTATGGAGCCGCCGCCTTCATGAAGCACCCTTGGTCCAAGGATGTCAAGGCCTTCGTCAACCTCGGTAAGTCTCGTCCCTAACCCTTGGTGCCTCTTTCTTTTCAGATGTCATTGACAACACCTAACATCATGTCCATTTTAATCTTCATACATACTTGTAGAGGGAGCTGGTGCCGGTGGACGCGCTCTGCTTTTCCGTGCTAGCAACCAGGCCCTCGCTCATGCCTACAGCAAGGACGGCAACTCGCCTCATGCTAACGTCTTCGGTAACGACATCTTTAAGCTCGGTCTCATCAAGAGGTAAGCAGCATACTTCTACACATCTGTCCTTTGTAATGTGTTTTTGCGCGTTCTCTTCCAGCACCCACGCTAACATCGTCCACTTCCGTCCTTGTTCATAGTGGTACCGACTTTTCCGTCTACACTGGCAGCAACATCCCTGGAGTTGACATTGCATTCTACAGTCGCAGAGCCTTCTACCACACTCTCCACGATGACATTGAGCACACCTCTAAGGGATCTGTTCAGCACATGGGGATCACTGGATTGAACACGGTCCGCAACATTGCCGACTCGGACTACTTGATCAAACCCAAGAAGATTGTTAGCTCCGAGGCTTCGATCTACTACGACATTGCAGGGTTCTTCATGCTGACCTACTCGTTCAACACTTACCTGACCCTAAACTACAACTTGCTCATCATCGCACCCATCTTTGTTGCTTGGGCCGTCATCTCGTCCGCCAAGCATGGCCTAACCTTGGGCATCGTTCTGAGAAGCTACCTGTCCTTGATCATCAGCTTTGTGGTGGCCATTATCTCCTCGGTAATCTTTGCCAAGATTTTGGACAGAATCAACCCTATGCTCGTCTATGGTGAGCACTGGTTGGCATTCATGTTCTTTTTCTTCCAGTGCTGCAACACTATCATTTGCGTCCAGTGGGCCTGGGTCCGTCTTGAGCTCTGGCTCAGAGGTGACAGCTTTGGTCCTCTCGAGGTTGCCCTTGAGCGTATCCGCGTCGATTCGGAGCAGGTTTCCAACGTTGGCATGGTCCTCTTCTGGTGGACCTTGTTGATCGGTGCTACTGTTATCGGTCGCTCTCAGGAAATTGGTCTCTTTTACTTCATCAGCTGGTTCACCGTTACTTCGATGATCTCTGCCTACTTTGCGGTGTACCCCAGACGCAGAGGCACCCCCTGGACTCTCGCTCGTCTCTGGATTAACTTTGTGCCTTTGATGATGGTTCTCGATGTCGCCATTACCAACATGATCGCCATGGGCCAGACCCTTGTTGACGGAACTCCCTCCTTTGCCAGTAAGTCTCTAATCCGTTAAATGAGCCCCCGATCACATTCCCAGTAAGAAATTGGTATCTAATTATTACTATTCTTTCCTTCTTCCATAGTTATGGCGCTGTTCTCGCTCTGCGCATTGAACTGCGTGATGCCTTTGATCCCGACGATCCACCGCTCAGCCAATTTCCGCAAGATGGGTCAAGTCAGCTTGTTCTTTTCCGTGGTCCTGTTGATCTCCTGCTGCATCGTCTTCCCTTACTCGGCCCAGGAGGCTCCCAACAAGCTGGTCTGGCGCCAGATCCACGATCTCGACAAGGATACCTCCTATGTGACCGTCAAGACTGTCAACAACCTGGGGACCATCTTGGACATGGTCCCTGCTGCCGCCAAGAAGAGAAAGTGCAGCCCTGACCCCGTGAGCAACGGCGCCTTGACTCAGTGCGTTTACTTTGGTGCCACCCCCAAGCTGGTTGTCGAATCCAAGAAGGCTGGTTTTGAAATTATTAAGTCTACAGTCTCAGCCCCCGAGCACCACAAGGAGGTTATTGGCGAGGCTCAGATCGAGGCTAACCATTTGCTCCGTAAGGTTCACGTGAAGTGGACTGCTCTCGACTCGAGACTGTGTGCTATCCAGTTCCCATCCAACTCGAGCCTTGTGTCCTTGAAGCTCGCTGGATTTGATGACCCCGATGAGGGTTATCGTACCCCTCAGGTCGATGCGGCGATCCGTTTGGGCATGACTGCCTTCAAGCGCGACTATGACCAGGAGTATGATTTGGAGGTTGCATATGAGGTCGAGAACGAGGATGCACCTGCTCTGGAAGGTATCCTTGCCTGCCTGTACGACGAGTGGGATAACGACCAGATCCCTGCTTTTACTGACATGAAGAACCACCTTCCCCAGTGGGCTTTGCTTGGTGGTGGAAAGGGACCTGGTCTCCTCACCATCCAGAAACACATCCATGTCTAAGGTTGATCCATCTTTTTCAATGCAACCACCAATAAACAACCAGTGCGAGTTCCCTTCAGCCTTGAAAATTGAACGCCCCTAAATTTCGTGTCTGATGATGGAGAGATGGTCAGGGCGAGGTAAGATGATGAAAACATAGATCCAGGAATGGTCAATGTTTATTTGTCTCTGTTGGCCACCTGCTTCGCCCAAGGTCACTGTCTTACCTTACTCTTGTAATCTTGTGTGGAGACACTCCACCGGACTCGATTTTTTCTTGACCTGTCCTTCCTTCATGACAAAGAAAACAAAAAAAAGAAGTACGCGCCTCAGACGGCTTGACAATGGAAGAACAACAAACAACAGATAATTATTTTTCCCTTCACATATGCGTGTGCACAAACACTGAGCTTCCATATTGCCAAGGACTGGGGTACATGCCCAGTGCACAGTACGGTTGTCCATGAGAAAACTCAACAAACGGAAGAACAATGACTAATTCTTTGTTTTCCCATCATCGCACAGCATCACTCATTTGGTTTTACTTCTTCCCACTCTTCTTTGCGGTGAAAGGGTCAAATGGCGGTTCTTGTTCACGATAGAGACGAAGGAAAAAAAAGGTTCCGCCTCGTCCATACATTGGCACCTTACTCCAACAAAGTTCTTTACGTCCCTTCCCTTCTCTTTTTTCTTTTTTCGTTCCTTTCACTCCACCTCCTCTTTTCGACACTCCTTCCGTACCCATTACCCTTCCACACAATGCCCATCGTCCTACACGGCCCTAATCTCCCGGTTTACGACACACCTGACCGCAAGCCCCACGGTAACATTATCGGAGCAGGAATAGCCGGTACTCATTCGGCCACAAAGGAGTAAATTTGATGACAGCAAAGAAATGAACTAGGGTTCTGTCGCTCAACGCGACCATATATATTTCTCTTCTTTTTAGTTAGGCCTCACCTTGGGCTTTTCTGCTGCAGAAAGCAGGTATCTCTTACGATGTCTTTGAAAAGTCTCCCAAGGCCAAAATTTTTGGTGAGTGCTCGTTTGCCTTGTGGCCCAAGTGTGTCGTCTGGACCGAGTTCATTTTCATTCTTTGCTTGACTCCTGACACGACCTCGATATATCGATTGAAATAAGAAAGGAGGAGCCCTTTTTCCTCGCCCCAAACGTTGGGGTCCTTTGTTCGCCCAGATGGGTATCATGGACGAGTACCTGGTCAAGTCGAAGCAGTGCTAGACTACCTCGTCTTTTAACGAAAGCCGTGAGCAGGACTTTGCGCTTGAATTTTCTCTGAACGAAGAAATGCACGGATCCCTTTCTGGTTTTTTTTTTGGAGGGGGTTTTTTTTTTTTTTTTTTTTTGGTTTCGATGGCCCCATCCCTCCCACATTCACGTCCATCCTTTTTGATATAGCTCCACTCTGCAGGAAGACAACGCCCTTCCTACCACCCAAGTCAAGGACCTGGAAAATGCATTCAAACCCCGACGAGCTGACACGCCGCTGCTCTCGTGGCGGAAGCCCACGCTAAAAACATGTGCAAGTTCTGCGGCCATGTTTCGTTGTTTTTCCTATGATGGCATCGCCTTGCGGGACATGTAAAATGACCTTAAAAACATTAGACACCCCTAACGTGCAAACCCCCCTTCCTTCAACATTTTCACTTTCTTTTCGATAGGCCATTGACCGCGTTGCATCACTCACGCGGTTTATTTTCAAGAACATGCCCTTCTGGCTTTGGGCCTTTATGATGAGGAAGCACATTGGATGTCATCCTCAGGCTTCTTTTTTTGCCCCCTGTGCCCAATACCGGGACGGTCCCGCCAGTCGATCTCCCTAGTTACTGCGAGACAGTGAAGGTTGTCAAGGCACGAGAGGCAGCAGAAGCTGAGAAGGCGGCTCAGAACGAAGATGTGCAGTAAGAGCTGGGGCCGATGCCGTCCCGTTGTAAACTGAACTAATAGGTTGCTGGAAGCGCATCCATCGCCAGAGTCGACTGCTGGAGCAAAGAAAGAGCTAACCACCTGTCAGCGTGGATATAAATACAACAAAAATCCTGACAACTTGGTATTAAAAAATATAAATGCTTTATGAGGTTCAAATGTTGGAGGAATTATGACTTTGAAGTGCCGAATCCCGAAAAGCCCATCATGGCGGCCATAGCAGGGTCCATCCCACCATCATCAATACCCTCATCAGGCTTCTTATCATTCTTCTTCTGCTTCTTGCGTTCCCGCTTTTCCGCTCGTTCCCTATCCTCCTGTCTCTTGACCTCCTCAAGTCTAGCATCCAGATCATACTTTTCCTTCTTAGGCGCCTCCGATTTTCGCTTCAGACTCTCCATCTTGGCGACAACATCGGTCAAATTCTCCCTGACGGCCTTTCTATCGACGCCCATCTTCTTGAGATGCTCCTTTCCGTTCCTGTGGTCCATGTAGGCGATGCTATCCTTGAGTACGCACTCGCAGAGTTGACAGAAGAATCCGGGTGCTCGGCCGTTGGGGCCACCTTGGACAACTTGAGATTTCCCGATGGCTGATTCCAGGATGAGGCGTTCGGATTTTTCGGCCTTGATTGCTTCATCTGTGGGCGCCTCCTTTACCCTCTTCTTCACCGTTTTTCCTAATATAGAGTGAACGAAAAAAAGTTAGCACTTTCCCTTTTTTTTTTTTTTTTTTTTTTTTTGCTTGGATGATCGGTTTTGTGTGTGGGGGGGGGGGGGGGAGAAATAAGGGTTGCCAAGCAAAAAATAATAATCGTGCAGTAGTTCGACAAACCAGCGAGGATCGTGGTAAGTTTTACCTAGTGCCCTGGCTTCATCTTCTTCTGCCAACTCCTTGTCACGAGTTGCTCTCTCCTTGGCCCGCTTCTCAAACTCTTCCATATCCCATCGTCCTGACTTTTTCTTGACCTATTGTGTATGTGTTACCACCAAAATAATAACAATATGTGCTGCGGTTAGTCATCGAGTGAGTGAGAGAAAGAATGAATGAACGATGTCTGCCAAGGTGGTCCTTGTTGCTTTTGTCAATCCTGTAGTGAATACGTACGACTGTGCCGTAGGCACCCTTCTTTGAGTCTGCTGATGACATTGTCTTTGTTCCTAGTGCTGATGTGTTTGTCTTGTGATGGGTTTGGTTGGTTGTTTGTCGGTAATTGTCTTGTGGAGAAGAGTGAGAGAATGATGTTGCCAAAGTTTCTTTTTTTTTATTTCCTTCAATCATAAGGCAGTCACAACTCTCAGCCATGTCTGTGTCTATGACTCTAAGCAGAGAACAGGGCGAATTCATTCACACTCGCGATACAGAACATCACAACCTCAGTTGGACTTCTTCTCAACCCGCTGGTCCTTGCCAGCAGCATCCTGGCCGGCCTCAGAGTGCAAGGGCCAGACATACGCCTGCTCTCCGCGCGTGTATCCATGCTTGGCCACAAACTCGCCCACACCCTTGGGTCCACGGCTTCCATAGGCATAAGGGATTGGATCGATCTCGCCGTGGTCAATCGTCTTCAGGATAGGCGTAAAGATCTTCCAGGCCGCATCCAACTCATCATCACGCACAAAGTTGGAATGGTCTCCGTTCAGGGCATCCAGGATCAACGACTCGTACGCCTCAGGGATCACCGAATCGTTGAATCGGCTCGAGTACGACAGATCCAGGTCCGAGATAATAGTCTTCATACCCAGACCAGGCTCCTTGTTCATCATCTTGACGTACACTGCCTCGTTGGGCTGAACACGGATCACAATCTCGTTGCGCGATAGGCCCGTGAACAAGTGGCCGGGGACGTCCTTGAACTGGATACGAATCTCGGTCTTTTGTTGGTCCAGAGCCTTGCCACACTTGAGCATGAAGGGCACGCCGGACCATCGATCGTTGTGGATGAACAGCGTCGCGGCGGCGTACGTTGGGGTCTTGCTTCCATGGGGGACAGTCTTATCATCGAGGTAGCCAGGCTCCTTGCCGTCTTCGGACTTGCCATACTGACCCAACAAGATATTCTCCTTTACGATGGGTGGGATGAAGCGAAGCACCTTGACCTGATATGTCGGCGACGAGGAAGAATTAACAATATTAGAGAGACCCTTATTAACGATATTTCTAGGGGCAGTAGATGCCACACAATAACTCGATCACTACCGATCTGATTATTGGATCATTACCTTTTCGTCGCGGACATCCTCGGCGCTCAACGACACTGGGGGCTCCATCGCCACCAACGACAAGATCTGCAACAAGTCTATCAGACAAACAATACAACGATGCTGAATGAGAACAAAGTTCTTGTGAAACAACGCGTCATAGCCGTTGCGAATGTTGGGATGACGGGAAAGACATCGTTAATGGGTAAATATAAACTTACGGTTCTGCATCACGTCGCGAATGATGCCAAACTCGTCAAAGTAACCGCCTCGGCCTTCAGTGCCGATCTTCTCCTTGAAAGTGATCTGGACGTTGTCAATGCTCTGACGGTTCCAGACCGATCCAAAGATGACATTGGCAAAACGCAAGATCATCAAGTTCTTGACCATCTCCTTGCCGAGGTAGTGATCGATGCGGTAGATCTATTGCGTATCAGTTGTCATGTGCAGTTAGTAACCTTGTTCGCCCCCTCCCTTTCTCATTTTCCAATGAGAACATAGAAAAGAAAAAGAAAAAGAAAAGAAAAGAAAAGAAAAGAAAACGGAGATGTGAGATAAACAGGTGGGGCGCAATTTCCGACAGAAATGATAAGAAAGAAAGGAACATTACGGCGTTGACGTGAGAAACCGGGAATTTGAATGAATTATCAACGGAGAAAGGAACAAAAAAAGTCAGAGCACACAACTGCAAGACAATGGGTGGAAGGATAACTTGCCTCGTCCTCGTTGAACAACGCGCCCAACTCCCGACCCAACTTGCGCGAGCTCTCGAGGTCCATACCAAAGGGCTTCTCAACAATCAATCTGGTTAGGATACCATCCTTTTCGAAACTATGGTAGTTGTTCTTCTTCAGACTGGTCGCGACAGGGATGAACACCGAGGGAGGCAAAGCCATGTAGAATAGACGTGCAGTCGATCCGGATGCCTTCTCGACCTCAACAATGTGCTTCTCGAGGTTTTGGAAATCCTTGTCCTGGTCGTACTGACCATCTTGGTACGAACACAACTTGAGAAACCGTTGCAACGTGGCCTTGTCGGCCTCGGTCTTGAGCTTGATGTACTTGGAGACGTGGCCCTCAAAGGTGGTCTGGTCCATCTTGGTGCGCGCATAGCCAATGATGTGGGTGTTCTGGTCAAGGTATTTGTTCTTGTAGAGCCCAAAGAGCGCAGGGAAGGTCTTTTTCTTTGCAAGGTCACCCGATGCACCGAGGACTAAGAATGACAAAGTGGAATGATAATCGACGATATTTTAGCCAATGGACGCGTCAAACATCATGCTCGGACTCGGAGTAGGACTATGATGACTAACGAGGGGAGCGATAAGCATGGAGGATAGATAGAGTACTGACCGATGACGGTGTAAAGGTGCTTGGAGTCACCTTGGTTGACTTTAGGGGTGGTGATGTTGGACATGGCGGTCGGGAATGAGTTGTGGGCGGAGAGGAGATGTGTACGTGTGGAATGAGGAATGAAGAAAAGAGGAGAGGAGTTGATGAATGCAAAAGAAAAGAAGTGGGCACACGCCCTCTATTTATACGTCCACAAGGTGCGCTACGATGGTGCTGACGATGATGATGTTTAATAAGACGCACGTCAACAGAGTGCGATTTTACTATGCGACGACATTCGACGGCAGGGACGCTGCGACCAGAATAAGAATCTCATCTAGTGGCTTTCCGGCGGTCTTTTGGTCCTTGGCCACCGCCTGCCAGTACTCGCCATGCCGTGGCTCAGCCGCCTTGCACCTCATCGCCAGGTCCTTCTTCCTTGCCTCGTCGCCGTGCTCGACCTCAAACTTGTAGTGCCATGCCCACGCATCCCCATGGTCTGAATCTGACTTTTCTGCCTTCAGGAACCATGACCGTGCCTTCTCGACCTGACGGTCGGACCAGAACAGACGTGCTGCCGTGACGATGACATGTACCGAGTTTTCTGACTTCTTAAGGGCATCGACGATCTTGCCCTTGCGCTGTGCCCTCGTCTCTAACCAGACCGATTCGGACCAAAGCAGACCTGAGGAAGGACACTCCTGCAGTGCCTTGGCCATCTGTGTTTTGGCAAAGTTGGCATTGTTTCCCCGCAACTCGATCCTGACAGACTCCAGCCTATTGAATGTAGCACAAGAAATTTCAACAGTGGGCACCATTAGTAAGAGACATGTCAGCAATAAATTTTGCACAAGCCATCAGTTCAATCCACATCGTGTCTGACAAAGAAACAAAAGACAATTGTGGCGCATTTGATTAGAAAGAGGGTCTTACCATAATTCAGGTGTCTTGGGGTTGAGCAGACGCGCCCTATCAAGCATTGCTCTTGCTTTCGTCTGCAGTCCAGCCCTCTCCTCCAGTCTCGAATACAGGATCCACAGCGGTACGGACTTGGGACAAAACTTGACCGCCTTGATATAGTTCTCTCTCGCCTTCTGATTGTCGCCTCGGTCTGTCAAAATTTGGCCGCGGATCATCCACAGCTTATCAGCAGTGGGGTATTTGGCCAAACCTTGGTCCAGCAACTGTAATGCTTCCGGAATCTTACCCAACTGACGCTCAAGCACTGCTGACTTCATCCACACCTTCATGGTATCTGCCTTCTCTCGGGCCTGGGACAACAATTTCTCTGCACGTCCATGCTCGCCGTTCTCGGCCTCCAGCTTGACAGCAGCCAGCCAGATCGCTTCGCTGTTGGGGTTTGCTTCAAAGGCCGCACCCAGCACAACACGAGCTCCAGGAACATCTCCCTGTTTAATCAATGAAATAATATGAAAGAATGTTTGTTAGTCAACCTCATCGAAAATTCTCAAATGCATGCCATACCAATCCTTAGCAATTGAAAACTTACTCCGATCCACTTCTCCTTGGCACCCATTAGCCACAAGAACTCGGCGTGAGGACAGAATTTGACGGCGCGGACAAGGAGCTCCTCTAGTGACTCGCGAGTACCATGCGCCTTCTCCAGAAGTGCTGCTCGCCTCCAGATTGACTTTTTAGCTGGGAAGGTTTTGAGCGCGTGTGCATAAATAGCGCGGGCGGTTCCAAAGGACTGGCGACCAATAGCACCATCAGCGTCATCCATCCATGTTGACTTCAAATCAGCCTCCTCAATACCCATAGAGATCGTAGCTCCGACAATAGCCTGGCAAGTGTTGATGAATCCGTTCTTCTCGCACTTCTCCGCCTCCTCCAACCATTGATCGCGGCTCAGTGCCGACTCTTTCATAGACAATGTCTTGACCGCTCCGACCACAAGGCGCTCCACAGGCTTCCCGTTGGCTTCCTGCAGACAGAACGCAGCAATCCAGATCTCGTGTGACGTCGGGATGTGCTCACGAGCTTTGTTCAGCACCTTTTGCGCATTTTGGTAGGTTTCCAGTCTGGCGAGGGCGATCCAGAGCTCCACTGAAAGCGGTACCAACTCGACGGCGCGTGCAAGCAAAATGCGAGCATTGTTGGGGTCGTCTTCAAGTTCAATGGCGGTCTTCCAGAGCTTGATCGAGTTGGGAACATAGTCCAGAGCGCGTCGGATAACAGTCTTTTTGGCTTTAGGGACAGTTTCGAGCTGTGCTGCTTGGACCCAGATCTTGACTGACTGAGGGACCTGTTTAACGGCGTTGGCGAGAATCTTTTTGGCGTTGTCGGTGTTGTTCAGTCGTGCGGCCTCGAGCCAGATATCCTCGGCCTTGGGACATTCCTGACAGCCCTTGTCGATAATCTGGCGTGCGTCCGTGAGTTTTCCAGCGTGCTCCTCCAGACGCGCTGCGGCGATCCATCCGGGCGCGTGTTTAGGGTTGGTTGTGATGACGGACTTTAACAACAGACGAGCACGCTTCAAATCTCCAATCTCAGCCTCACTCTTCACCACAACGCTGTTGAGTCCAGTCAGATATCCTTTGGGGTCAATAGTTGTCTGTCCCGAAGCAGAGTCAGCCATTCGATCCAATCGCAATCCAAGAACTGATTTGTTTGCTTCTCCAATCTCCCTAAAGTTCGTCATCGACGGTGCAGGTGTTGCAAGTCCATTGGGCTACTAAGTTATAAGGTGCATATCAAATTCAGTGTTAGAAAACAAATGCATGAGAATATAAAATTACCAATACAACAACAAAAAGCTACTATCCTATTGATGGCTTCACCTGTGCGTCCAGGCTGGTAGCCATTTCTTCCTGGGCCCTGGGGAGCAACGAATCTGGCACAGGTGCGAACTTGTCTCTCAAATTGGCCTTCTTGCGGTTCTTTCCTGCAATGTTTCCAACATCGGGCAGGTTCTCCCACTCTTCCATCGAAACGGTGTTCAGTCCACGCTTCAAGTCCGCAAACTGATCCTGAATCCTGGGTCGCTCCTTGTTTATCCTCTCCGCTTCCTCCTTTTCTCGCGCCTCTCTATTGCATTGTTGAATAGTTGTGCAAAAGTGATGATTAGTAAGCGGTTCGTTCCGGAGAAATTATAACATTGACAGGATATACATAAAAAACGGTAAGCGTTCTTGGTTTCCAGGTTACCTTCTGGCTTTCCGCCGCTCGTCCTGTCTGGCGTCAACGGCATCGTAAATTCGATCTGCTTCCTCATCATCAGCCTCGTAAGGTGCAGTGTTGAACAGTCCCGTCTCGTTGTCAGGATCCTGAAAGCGCTCGTCATCGTCTCCATCCTCCGCAGCTTTCCTCCTTGCCTGCTCCTGAAGTTTAGCGATATCACTATGAAGTAGAAAATGTGTGGCAAATGTTTGACCATTAGCAATGTGTCGATTGCTACCTGATGCCCTGGTAACAAATGATATTGTGAGCAGTAATCTACACTTACGCTTCAGTGGGTCCCTCGCGAGCAGGTCCGATATCAGACCGAGTGGTGAATCCAGTAGCACTATCAGGTTCCACGCGAACAAGAAGGACACAAAAGAAAGACGATCGATTAGTTTTCAGTACAGACATGTCCCGTAACCAAAAAAATGAATGTCATCAAATGATGAGCAAAGACTAGGTCCTGAGTTGTTGATGCGTACCCTCTGCCAAGACCGGCAATGTATCCTGGTGGAGCTGGTTTTCCCAGAAAGTCCTTGGTTGCGCCAAACATCGTGTCCTTGTCGAGAAATGGAGTTGAAGTACAAAACGATCGCCTCTCAGAAGGTGCAGCACTTTTATTCAGAATTGGGGGCGCTGACAAAAATCTGAATGAATGACAATGACGTCACTAAAACTCTACTGTGGCGGAGGGTAGGACATCCTGCCTGCCTCGCCGACTCTGTTCTCAACCAATTGGACGTCGCCCACTCGGGCCACCAACTGCGCCCAGTAAAGACTGCGAGGCTCCACTGTGGCATTTGCAGCCCTGACCTGTGTCGACTGGGCCATAAACTCGGGCTGCTCCGTCTGTCCTCCCTTGAAGCCGACGATCCAATTGGTCGAGCCAGGGGCATCCTGAAAACAACTCTTGCTGCTTTTGGCTGTGCAATTGTACACCACTTGGTACGCACCTATCAGATCGGACAAAGTGGTATAAGTATAACACAGATCTAAGAGTAGGGACCAACATGCTGATTTCCATACCATCACGAGATGCAGGAAAACTTACCAGACCATCCCTGACCAGACCCTTTCCAGAGGCGTTGGCGAACATTGATAGTGTTACAGGTGATGTTGTCGTACAGTGTGCCCATAGCCCACCTCTCGTGCGGACCAGTATCGTTGTTGGCATCGACCCCTGTCGAGTCGACAAACACGTTAGGGCCTAAAAATCACATCAGTAAAAAGGAGGGAGCAATTGATTTGCCACGAGGGACAAATTACTAATAGCATTAGCAAACACAGAAAGAAGAAAGAAAAAATAGATGGACATGCTGAGATAGAATTGAGTCAACACATATCCTTACCGCAACAACGTGCAAGGGTAATAAAGTCATGGCGGGCATTATTGGTGAAACATCTCTTGACAAGTCCCATCTGCCCATTCAGGCACAACTGGTAGCGCCGGCCACCCTCAGTGGGCTTGGAGACTGGATAGAGCACAGAACAGTCCTGGATGGTGACATACCGCGACCAAGTTGAGGCAAAGATCCCGCTCACAAAGTGCATCGTCGTTACATCTGCGACCCACCCATGGAGTGTGTTGTCCATCACCACTGCATACCACCCATGAGACTCGTCTTCACTATCGACTGGATCGTATTCGCTCACGAGGCGCATGTTCTCGACGCCAACGTCGGAAATCATCGGATTTCTGTAAATTAGCTCGTAGACCTTGGCGGGAGGGTACTTTGGGTCCAGACTCATCACCATTGGAATGTCAATGATGAGCGAGCTTGTTACGTCGTCGATCCCGAGAATAGTACGCTCAAACTTGAATGTGAATGTCTCCTTCTTCCATTGAACAGAAGCTGCACTGTCGGGTCTCGGTGGAAGGCTATCCATGCCAATGTCATTGATCCACTCGTCCGATCCGGGGCGCTCGATCTAGTATATGTCAAAATGAAAAGGGTATTAGTTTCAATCCTAGATCGAATGGAAAGATGCTATGTCCGACTTGAATAGATCAAAGACACAAAGATATACCACGATGCGCTCGCCGATGCTGAATCCTACGATACTCTCTACAGGGATATGCGTTTCGCCCACTGGAACATAGACACCGGCCGTGGTTGTAGTTTTCGGCTTCTTTGAACTCTTGTATCCGTTGGTAGGCATCATCTCCTTTGTTTTCGCAAGGGCCTGCTGCTTTTCTAAAGTACCCATGTCAGAACTCAGCATGCCATTGACCAGGATAAAGTCTCGTTGGATGGCACCAGTGGCAACAACAATAGTCCCTGTCTCGTCTTGACCCTCGCCTCGAAGGACTACACCCGAGGCACGAATGATCAAGGCACCTGCGACTCGGTATACTCCAGCCTTCAAGAGCACGGCTCCTCTCACAGCGGCCCCGTCCTCTCCAATGGGCTCCAACGGTTGAGCGGAGACTTGATCGATAGCAGATTGAATCCGGTCAGTATCATCCATTGTATCATTGTTCGACGGCTCGATAATAACACTGACGGGGACGATGGGGACCCGGACATGGCCTTCTCGATAGCCTACTCGCGAAAAATCGGGGATGGAGTTGTGGTGTTCGTCCGGGAGCTTCAACGCTTCCAATGTGCCGTCGGCCGTGAAGGTATTTGTTGGTTGTTGTGGCGGCTGAGCTTCGACAACGTGGTCGTCTAGTGGCGGGGCAACGAATGGTCTACGTCGAACATAGAGATATTATGGTTACTCTCTCTGGCTCAACAATAGTAATTGTTACAATCGAGAGAGGGCAGAATATCTGACTTACTGCTGGAAAGAGTTCTCATGGTTTCCTTGAGACTGGGGCTCTTGTGGATAGTGAGGCTGCTCCTGGTGTTGTTGGGGCGCTGCCTTGTCAGCAAGCTCTAATCGTCCAGTGCGGATTGTAGGAGTGAGTGAGTATCAACAGGTTGATTCAATAATGAGATTGTCTCGATTTGGTGGCAAAATACCACACAAGAACGATTGTTTGTTGCGGTTGTTGATGCTCATCTCGAGCGACCTTGCCAAAGAACTTCTCAGCGCGTTTGCCAAAGGAGGACATATGTATGTTGTTATGAGATGAGTGTAGAGTAGTATGAATGACAAAGTTGTGGGAATAGAAATGAGGACGTGAAAGCGTACGAAAAAGACGAAAACAACAAAAGAGACACAGAAAAAAAAGAGGAAAAAATTGAGCATCCGTCATGGGGCCATAAGAAGAAGAAAAAATGGAATCCACTGGGAACCGTGTCTCAGTTGAGTTGCTCCTATTTGAGTCTCAGAGAGATCCCGTCCGGTTCTCCTATCAGAGTCCGTCGCGTCGTCGTCTGTTTTTGTTTTTTTTTTGCTTAGCACTGCTTCTTTTCGTCCTGTTCACATAGTTCGCCTCAGCTTGCATAATGGAAAAAAAGGGCACAAAAGGGGAGGTACAAAAAAGTTCCGCAGTACAGAATTGGGCATCATTCCACAATGTAACAATTCTCATTGGATCAAATATCTCAGGAAAAAAAATTGTGTACCCATGGGTCGAGAGCCTCTTTCTTTTTTGTCTGGGAAATGAAAACCATTCACCTCTTTTGTTGTAAAAAAGAGCACAATGAGCAATCCAAAGACCGTCTTTCCCTTTCTCTCTCTCTGTCCATTGAGCATTGATGATGGGGAGGAGGAGGCCTATCGGCCTTGGGCAATCAGGGCAGACTGGTAAACATAGAACGTCAAGTCCATTCACAATTAATACAACTGGCAAAACATGACAAACAAGGTTAGGACATGGTACTCATGCTTATAGGGTTAAAAAGAGCTATCTGTCTATTTTTTATTTTATTTTATTTTTTTATCGCGAGTGACCATCAGAAACAACAACAAAGGCGGGTTGTACAAGTAAACACAGGAATACAAAGAAAAAAGGCCTGGGAATAAATCATGGAAGGGAAAGGATGAATATGTACTGTATGTAGGAGTGGGTATACGAATGAAGGAGGAAGAAGAAAGAAGAGATGGGGCAGCGGGAAAGGATGAGCAGAAGCGGGTCTGGGACCTATGCGTCCTTGTCGACCCCAAAGGAAGATAGAGTGAGAGAGAAAGAGAGAGCCGCAAGGAGGAATGTGGGACTGGAGTTCATGCATGAATTTGTGCGGGAAGAAAAAAAAAAGAAAACAAACAACAAGAGGTCGCTTGTTTGTTATGTTACACAACGAATGTGAATGTTATCCTTTCCGCCAGATCTTATTCCTTGTGTTCACTTCTCTCTCTTTTTGCTCTCTCCCTTCTCAATAGCTGATGCCTTGTTGGTTGCAAGTAATTGGCTCACCCTGAACACCGTCGTACTCTGTTTGCTTCATTTTTTTTACTCCCTCACTCTCACTTTGTTTGTTGTCGTTGCCATTATACCTGTCATGCTTCCTTTTCGACACAAACATCGCCCTGTAGACAGTACTTCCTCTCCACCTCCCTTGATATTCTTCGTATGATTCGGCAGGTTTGCATTCGCAATTGCGTTCTTTCTATCCCAATTATCCTCAAAGATCCAGCCCCCGGAAGTTGGCATCCTCAGGCTGTGCTCCTCGACTGGAAACGAAGTGCAGGAAGTGAGAACAATCACTAGGGATGGTGCATTGGGAAGAGGAAAAACGACAACAACAACAAAAACAACAACAACAGCAATAACAACAAGGCTGAGGGACAGTTGAACCTTAGCCAAAGGTCATTTTGTTTTCTCCTGTTTGTACAAACACAAACGCCAATGCTTCAGATAGGGGTCCAATGATAGGCAGCCATTCCTACTGCCGTTGGGCCTGTCACTCTCCGTTTCTCTTTCTATCCCTTTCCTCACTCTCGTTACTTTGGCTTTTAGACACCCGCCCCGCCCAAGGGTATGTACCAAACATCTGATCATGGTATCGTGGAGGCCATGAGGCGAGGAAAAAATAAATGAGCAAAAGAGAGTTAAACACAGCTTGGACAACCTCGACCATCTTGTTACTGCCTCTCATGGCTCACGTCTCCATCTCTTTTTTTTCCAGTTTTCTGTGCAGTGGGGTTTGGTTGCCTTTCAACAAAGAGAAATGTGTTCCGAGAAAGAGGAAGAACCGTTAGGGGGGAAAAGGGGTGGACAAGGTTTATTTTTGTTGCTGCTTTGGTTGAGTTCTCCTTTGTGCATCCCAAAATGAACTGAACATGCCACGGATTTGTGGCGCGACGGCTGAGGAACCGACGCGAGGAAGGAAGGGTGTCGAGGACGAAGAGTTGAGCGGAATAGGGCTAATGAGGAACTTGGAGAGGAAGAAGAGAGGAGGAAGAGATGGGTGTGCGGAGGAAATGAATGGGTACTGGAAAAATAAAGGGAGAAGAGAGTTCACCAGCCCATGCATTGGATCAAGGAGCGTAGATACGATGTGTGAGAGCGTGCAGGTACTTACAGGAAAGACAAGGTCCTCTTTGTCCCGCCAGCCAAACAACCAGGGAGCGGCCAGAAGCGGACAAAAAAAGAGAGACGATTCCAATCAGACGAGACAGAATGGCGATGAGAGATAGAGTGAGAGCGAGAAAGAGCGGCTCCCATCCCGTGTCCACCTTTTGACTCCGTCCATATTATCGAGTCCCTTTTTCGATCACTCGGCAATTGTCCACTTGCTGTCCTTTGCCATCAACCATCGGCCATGGACCATAATAGCCCATGGTCATGGGCCATGCCATGCGACGATCTGTGTGTTTTTTTCTGCCAATGGTATACATCGATGTGTGTATGTCCGTCCCATTGTGGATGACAATTGATCCGTAGGTTGTATCTCTCTCTGTATCGGTGTAGAAAAGGAATGAAATTTGAATGAATGGATGGATCTGAGTGTATGAACTGACAGGAAGCTGCTCCCATCTCACACTCTTTTCTTTTTCTCTCTCACTCTCTCTCTCTCACACACACACACACACACACACACACACACACACATACACACATCTTGTTCTTCATGTTTTAGCCCTTTGTGAGTGTCTGTTCTTTTTCTGTCGCTCTATTATTTATCGTCCCATGCCCCTTCTCTTTTCTTTCTTCCTTTTCCCTCTTGTTTTTTTAACTTCTTTCCGCTCTTTTCCTCTTCTCACTCTCACGCCTTCCCTTTCACCCTCTCATTTTAATACCCCAATTTTGAGAACACTTCGCCTTCTTCCTTTCTTTCTTCTTTTCAGTACTCAACTCACTCCACTCATTCTCTATCAGACCCTTTCCCTTTCTCTCTCCCTTCTCCAACCTTCTCTTTAAGAAAATCAATCCTATTCGTTTCTCCACACCCACTGACCCTCTCCCCCTTTATCCTTACCCCTGCACACACCCATACACACACATACACAACACATACACACCCACAAACACACACACATACACACACATTCAACACAACACAAACAACAAACCCGACCCCACACTACTCTTTAACTACCTCCTCCCTGCTACGCCTTCAACGCAAGGTAATTTGAACCGCATCGCAAAGGACCAAGCACCCACCGCCCCCACACACTTACACACATAAAGGGGGGGTATTAGAAAGGAAAAGGAATGAAACAACGGGACACAGATCGTACCTTTCTCTTATCCCTACCCCTGTCCTGCCTTGGCCATGTCGCCATTCACCTCTGAGGCTGCCATTGGCACTTCCAACCCAAGAGCGATCAGGATATGCGGACAAAACAAATATGTAACACAATTACAACAACAACAACAACAACAACAACAACAAAAGCGAGGAACCATACAGCAAGCATGACATTCCCATCCCTCGATGTCTGTGTTCCTTCCCTTTATTCTTTTTTCTTTCCCTTCTTTATTTCATCCCCAGACACAGGGCGATGTTGGGCGTGGACGATTGGATGACTGAGTCCCGCCCTGGCTATATCCATATGCATCCTGTGAAGGAAAACAACCCCAAAAAGGGAGTCCAGGTGGTTGAAGGATGAGGAGTAAGAAGCGAAGGTTGTGGTGGTTTGTAGAAGGGAGCAGGAGGAGAGACGACTGACAAGGAGAGATGAAGAAGCACAAGAAAGAAGGAAGAGAAGGAGAGAGAAGGAAGAAGGAGGAGGGATATGCGGGTGCGCAATCTGCATTATGCCCATTTTTTTGGGTTGATGTTCTTTTGTCCCTTTTTTTTGCCAGCAGGAACATGAACAACAAGGAAGTGAAGGACGAGCACAATCAGGAAAGCAGGAAAGGGAGGAAATGAAGCCAGGGAAGGAAGGACGGAAAGAACGAACAGAAGGATGCCTGTCTTTCTTTTAATGCATTAAGCAAGCAAAGCGAGAACCAGAAGGACAAACAACAAAGGGCGAGGGGACGCCATACTCTTGACTTCTTTTGGGATGAACAGGAGTCATTTTATGTGGCATGGGCGCCAGGAAAATGGTGTCTTGAAGGAAAGAATGAAGGGACGCAAGGAATGCTAGATGTGGTGACTATTTGTGGGTACCGATGGATACAGGACCTTCAATTGCACAGATACCAGTCGTAGTAGCCCATCATCATCATCCCCGATGGACTGACCGCATCCACATCGCCAATCGCTTTCGCCTCAGCAACAGCTATACTAACCACTTTCTCTTCTCTTTTTCTCCATCCTCGTTGTCGTTCTTCTTTGTCCTCTTCATCCCACCCTCTCTCTTTCTCTCTCTTTCTCTCTCTTTCTCCCACCCACACTCTCGTTTTCATGCTGCCGTTCGTCCTTCCTCCTCCTTCTCACCAATCAATCAATCGTATATCTTCCTTGGTCCTCTGTTTTACCCGCTTCTTTTTACTTTTTTTTTTTCTTCCCGTCCATTGCCTTTCCTTTTCCCTTTTCCTTTCTGCTCTCTTTTTTTCTTTTTCCTCTTTGCCTTTTTCTGTTTCTCCCCTTCACCAACCTTAGAAGTCCCTCCTTCCCTCTCCCTTTCCCTCTTCCCTCTTCCCCTTTCCCTCCTTCCCTTTCCTTTTCTCTCACCCTCACCCTCATCTCACACCTTCCAGCACCTCTTCTTCATCATCCTCCCTTCTTATCATCTCCTCCATCCGGATCAACAACTAGTGTTCACAATGTCCAGCCTCAGGAACAGGACTGCCCACCCAGACTGCAACGCTTGGCAGGACACGCGCATGCACTGTCTTCGTGTGCGACGAGTCGTCGGACGCAAACACCAGATGCTCCGTCGAGAGCACCACACCGAACTCCTCGCCACCACAGCCTCATCAGACAACAGGACCATGTACTACCATCCAAAACTCAACAACGACAACAACAACTCTTCATGGACAACAGAAGCATCATCATCTACACATTCGGCAGGGCCAGGACCCATCCCCACACACCGTCGACACAACCTTTCCAGTGAGCGCCGCCCGTTCCCCAGCCAGTCCTCGGAGCCTTACAGCCTGTGCGAGCGCTCAATGTCACTGTCAGGAGTCGGTGCCTCACCACACGCGGTCGGCCATAACACCCGTTCATACCAACCATCCGACGACGCTCCTCTGCTAATGCCCCTGCCTCCGTTCGTCCAGCGGATCGACATGGCCGGCTCGCCCTTCTCGCCTCTCTCGCCCTACGATCCATATGCGACGACGATGGACGAGTCGCCCCATCACCGCAGTATCCGATCAGGAAACCCTTTTAGTGGCGCACGAACTCACAGCAGCGGCGGCGGCGGATCAGGAGGTGGCGGCGGGACCACCACTGCTCCCGCGGACATGAGCCCAGGAGGCGGTGATGCTACCGAGGGGGACACGCCATCGGATTACACCTTCCGCCGACGCAACGCCATTGTCGAAGGCTCTGAGGACGCACCCAAGGCAGATGACTTTCCCAACAACTCTCCCAAATGATATCGACACGATCTCTCCTTTCGTTTCTCTTTCTCTTTTTCTTTTTTCATGAACCCTTCCCTTTGTTATTTCTCCTCTTTCTTTCTCTCTTTCTGTTTGACACGTTATTTGCTTTTTTCTTTGTTGTTATTTCCTTTTTGTTCCCTATTTTTCCTTTTACCTTTTTCACAACCTCGCATGCGGCCTTTGTCTCTTTGTCCCTTCATGGCTTGACCTAGCCCTTCACAATTTTTCCTTTCTGTTTTTTGTTATTTTTTTTCTTCCTTTTCCCTCTTTCCTTTCCCTTCCCCTCCCCTTTTTCACGCCTTTTTTCGTCTCTTACTTTGCACTTCTAATAACGATCTCGGTCTTTCAGGGACTATGCCAATGCATCACAGCAGGAAAGCATGATCCAGTCCTGAAGCTGCTGCCTGGCGCTTTTTATGCTCCTCTCCTTCTTTGTTGGGAGGAAGAGGAGGGAGGAAGTGGTACTTTCCTACTCGATTCGGGATGCCGATGCCCTACTACTCATGCCTATGCTCATGCCAATATCATGCCATGCTAACGCCCTAGTGAAGATCCAAAGACGGCGCGTGCTGTTTCGACTTAGCACCGCGAACGGAGAAGCGCGGAGATCGCAGGAACGCACCACCCCTCATGATTTCGCGCTCACCTGTCTGGCATTTCTACCCGCCTGATGACTATCTGCCTGTCGTTCTGGCTGTTCCTGGTCGAAAGCGCCCTTCTCCACAGCCGGCACATTTTTCACATCCTTTCCGCCCCATTTGTTTGCACAGCCATCGAGGAGTTGGCCCATGTTCGGAATTCATCTCTTGCAGTTATACCCAACTCTTTCCTCGCTGCCCCTTATCATCCCTCCCATTCCTATCCTTTCATTTCTCCCGATCCGACCATCCTCTCCACATAATGAATTCTTCTTTACGACATTTCGTTTTACCTTCGCCCGTTTATCTCCTTTATCACTTTCTTTTATCTCTTTTTTTTTTTTTTTTTTTTTTTATCCTTGATGTTATTGTTTTCTTTTTTTTCTTCTTTTCTTTTTGTTGCCTTTCTTTCTTGCCAATGTTTTCTAATTCTAATTCACAATGTAATAGCACTGTTCTCAAAAATAAACGAGTCCGTTTTTCCTTCAATGCTCCTTACCTTTGTCTCATATATGGTTTTCTTTGTATCAACTTATCAACCAACAAAATCTTGTCCTACCACAAAGACGTTTCTAGGCCGTGTTGTCACTTTTGTCTGCGTTCATAGTTCATTCATGTGATGCAGGAGATACATGGCGTTTTTCTTCCCACTTATTCCCGTCCGTCGCACATCCACCTCCTTTTTTTTTCCTTTGCCCTTCTCCCCGCCTCATGTTCTTTTGTGGTTTCGCCGTTGTGGACTTGTGGGTTGTGTCAGGAATAGGAAAGGGGGGGGGGGAGAAGAGAGATGAAACATTTGAGTGTGAGAATGCGTATTTACAGGCAGCCGTACTAGTGTGAGATGATACTTCTACATGCCTATGCCTCTGTGGGAGATTGGGTCTCGGGGTTCAAAGGGAAAGAGCAGGGGTGCGGGTGAAGACAACTGCTCGTGTATATCAAGGGAAAAAGCGAAATCGTCTCAATCCGCCATCCGGGAACATGTGCGTGTGTTATCATGCTGTCAAGTGCAGAGTGGGAACCCCCCCCCCCCCCCGGCTCTGAATAACGATTCTCAATCCCTTTTACTCCTGTACTTCCTCATGTCACCAAGATACTCCTCCCATGACATATACCCAAAGCACACACGCCATTTATTTCTCAGTTGCTCAGTTCTGCACTGGTCACCAGTTTCGCTCCTCTCCCTCCAACCTTAGTTTTTCTTTATCACCGCCAAGTTGGATAGCAAGTTTGTTGACTTTTTTTTTTTTTTTTTTTTTTGAGGGGAGGAGGGGAGGAGAGGAGTTTGATTTTTTTAGTATTTCTCCGGGGTAAGTATATTCAACAAGGGCTTCCCCCACCGCTTTCGTTCTCTTTTTCCTCAGCTTGGAAGTATGACCCCTCTTCCGCCTGCTCGTCCGTCTTTTTAGGTTGTTGAGTCGTCCAGTCTGGAGTAGTGAGGAGAAAGAGGGTGGGGGATACGAATGTGCAGACTAGACAACGCTGTGAAGAAACGAGGGTGTTCGTTCTGCTCTATATCCTCGGGATGGATATTCAGGGATTTCTTTAGGCCTTATTCCTGATAAGGACGACAGGGGATGATTGGATTAATGCATTGTTAGTTCAACCTGAGAGGGAAACAGAGCAAACCAAATGATTTTTTTTACCGCCAAATGCACTGACTCTGATACATATGTGATAAACTATCTGGACCGTCAAACGCGACTAGGGCAAAGGATGTGGACAAACGCGTAAAAAGCACTACGGGGACATAATCTGATGGGCAACGATAGGATGATGCTTTTGCAAAAGACGAGAGGAAGAATAAGGAAAAAAAAAAGATATCGTCATGCTGCTCAACCAATATTTGTGTGTTGTTTTAGGGTTGGCGCAAAATCAAAAAAAAAAAGTGGTGGCATCATTGTTTGTTTATGTTGACATCGTTCTTCCGAGAGCAATGTCGAAATTTCTTTTGGAGTGGACATGGATGGATGGATGCAGAAGGAGGGTGCGTGTGGTGTGTGTGTGCGAGTTCCTGTGAAAAACAACAAAAGACAGGGCATGGGGCAGTGGTCGGTGGTCAGGGTACAATGTTCTAATTGACACAGATGATCGATGATGCTGGGCTGGCATGAACAATAAAATACGATGATGCAACGTACGCTGCACTCCACCCATCATCCCTTCTTTGTCGGAATACACATGTGCATCTCCATGACCTCGTTATTTACCTTATTCGTTATTGTTGTATCACTCAAGTGTTCTTTTTCTTCGTTTACATGGATGCATATTTTTCATTCGGCCTTGGGTTCCGTCATTGATACAATTCGAACACAGGGGTACCCCGTTTGAACTATGAACCCAAATCATATCCATCCCCTCCCTTCCTTTGACGAAACAATCGTGGGTGGTAAAGTACTATACTTCTGAGTAAGAAAAGTAAAGAGGAGAGTCGCATGTCAGCCATTGTTATCGCGGAGTGGTGGATACTCGTCTTGAACGCGACAAGCCAACAAAAGAACACTTGTACTCATTCATCTTTGATCCTTGTCCCCATCATCCCTTATTTTGCCCCTATTTTTTCTTGCTTTGCATGGCCAATGACGAGCGAGGGAAGAGGGATAGAGAGAAGGAGAGCTTCTTGAATTGTCTCCCTTTTCTGGGTATTAATGATGCTCTCTATTGCATCTTCCTCATCCAGCGATACAATCCACATAGGCAGGATATCTGATATGAAGGCGATAGAAAACAAAATGGAATGATGAAACTCAACCCCCTTCATACTTTCCTCCGCTTATTGTTGACATGACCCTGATTGTTCTCCAGAATTGGGTGCAAAATAACCTGCTACACAGCCGCTCTCGCTTTCTCTTTTACCCATGTCGACCCGTGTCTTGTTGACAGGCCCACAGAAAAAGAGAAAAAAAAAAAGACGTGAAAGAGAAAGCAATGACGAAGTTGGTGTAACGTTCACGCCCATTGTCCGACCCACAAAAATAATAACTCATGCATCTCGTACCATCATCCGCCATCAAAGTGTTTGGCCAGACTGTCCACCTCCAACAAATAGAGTGCACCGGGTCATTGCACATTGAACAGCCGAATCCAAACTCCAAACACAAAAGAGAGTTGTGCGCCATTTTTTTAGGTGATGCAAGATAGGGATGGATAGAAGAAAAAGAAGGTGAAGGGAAGGGTTTGAATGAGCCCATCCCACCTCTCTCCCCTGCCTTGTCACTACCCTGCCGCACTCTATCCTGTCCCCCGGTACTGTACATGTACAGTACTAGTTCTCTTGTACCCTAGCCTCTGTGCCCACTTTTTTTTTCCCTTCGTTCAGTACACTCTCTTCATTGCCATTGTCGTTAGCCATTTTTCTCCTTCGCGGTGACGACAACTTATCCTTCGGGGGTTCAAGGGGAGAGACCTGAATACTAGCAACGGGGAGGGTAGGTACAACTTTAAGACTCTGCATGAGAACAGTATCTCGAGAGCAAGTGACGTACTCTTTTTCTTGACTTACCATCGTTCAAGTTCAGGATGTCTTGTTCGAAAAAATGTGCGAGGAACCAAGCATAGAATGGAAGACGCGTGAACAAAAAAATAATAACAGAGAATGATGGGAATCAATCGTTTACTATCGCACAATATTTGAGCCTTTTGAAAGATAGTAGCAGGGGGGTCAAAGTGATCAACGAGATCGTCGCTGTCGTCAGAGGTGAGGATGAGAAAAAGGGTGGCCGTAAAAATGAAGAAAAATGACGACGTCATTTTCGTCCATTCAGCATTGGCATCCCTTGTTTGCCTACGCTTTTTTTTTTCTCTGCCGTTTTGGACTCGACTAAAGGAACAAAAAAACAAATGGTGGTGGTAGGTACATAACTGGATGTGCAAGCATGAACAATAATTGGATGGACGAGAGTCAAAAGCGCCCAACGAATGAACGGCTGTCGATAGCTAACCACTTTGAAAATTGAACGCCTTGAACACCACCACCTCGCCTATTGTTGTTTGTTATCGGTTGTTGTTGGTTTTTTTTTCGGCGTCTATATGCATATATGCCTTTATTGGTTTTTTCCCCCTCTCCTCCTCTTTGGTTGACAATTCTTGAAGTAAATCCCCCCCCCCCCCCCCCTCTTTTCCTTCCTATTATTATGCCTATTATTTTCTGTCAGAAATAACGATGTAGATATGTAATGGCCACCCCCTTTCCTTCTTTCAGGTGTGTGTCCCCTCGATGCTCCTCCTCATCTTTTCTTTTCTGTCCAAGAAGACGAAGAAGCTGCATGAAGCAATCAACATGAAGAGTTGCCCGACTCTGCTGTTTATGTTTTCATTGGGTGATGGACCTGAGCAAGGCAAAGAACCCCAACCCCT